GGGCGGTGTTGGTATTCCATGTGTTGTGCTGCATGGACTGACGGGCGAATTTGAGCTACCCTGTCCTGACTGTGTCGCCCCAGAGATAGTACTTGAAAGCGTTTGATTTGTATCTGTTCTCGGGCGAGCGATGATGTCGGACTCGCTTCCTACAGACACGTTGGGAATATCGTCCGGAAGCCTTGATGGTGGCTGGAACCCTTCGTGATGCGGAGAGGGCGTCCTACGAGGTGGGAACCACGCTGCATCATCGAAGTGTCCAGGGGTTGGACCAAGATGCTCCCAATCCGATGGTGTTCCAAGGCCCAGAGCCGATGCGCCGACAGATGTAGTATTTGTATTGAGGATAGGCGCAGGGCGGAATTCGTAAGATCCAGTCATCGCAGCCGGTCCTGCGCCCTGAGAGAGCAGAGGAGCTCGCCCCGTCTGATTGCTTTGTAGGGTTGGTGCATGTTGGATGTCTTGTGGGATCTTTGGAGGCGGTTGTGGAACACCGGGGGGTGGTGGTGGTGGTGGAGGAGGAGGTGGTGGTGGTGTTGGTGTATATGGAGGTGGGGGTGGGGGCGGAGAGGTTTGAATGCTGTGAAAAGGAGTTGCGACAGATGGATTGGACTGAGGTTGCCCATAGGCATATCGTTGCTCATTGGTACTTGGAATTCGAGGCTACGGGGCTATTAGTTATTTACATTTAACATTCCAACATCGGACTTACCGGCAACGGGGGACCGGAGCTCTGGTTGAACCGCACTCCCCACGTGGTTGTATCCGCACCCACACTCGGTGATGGCAGCCTCTGTGGATTTGAAATCGGTCCATAGGTGGCCGGCAAATATGGAGCAGCTGGTGAATATGAAGCAACCGGGAGACGTGGAGGAGGGGGAGGAGGTCCTGGCTGCGGTTGCGACGGCTGCGAGGGAGGACGCTGAGGAAGTCGCCATTCCGGCTGTGATGGAGAATCAGAACGATTCAAATGCCCGTGCATGGTAAAGCTAATCAGAGCACTTTAGAAAGAAAGACATAAGAATCTTTTAAAATGCCAGTCTTTCCAAATGTTGTCGAAGGATTCCAGGGCTGGGCTGGGGTTGGGGGGTCAGCACGGTTCACCCCCACGAGACTCTCCAGTGCAACTTCCCAACGACAACGCACTTTTACCTGTTGGACATATATATCTCCTTCGGACAGATACATAGGCTGACCCAAGGCTTGGTATTACAAGCCTTCGAAAAATTTCATAGGCTACCATGGTTGGCATCTCATCCTTTGTTTTGCTATTCCTCTATACTCCAGGGCTGTTTCCCACTAAAAAGTGGAGTGCATTTCAAGGACCCCCAAGGATCCCGATCTCTCTTCTCATTGCATATTGGTGTTGATATGAGGTTACCAAAGGGACATATTGGATTTCTTTATTGTGGAAGCACGTTCATTTCAAAAGAACACATCTTTTTTCGCTGTTCTTTGTTGAACTATACTAAAGTCCACTGCGTTCATCTCCAAAAATAAACCAGCATGATATTATCTTTTCTTTGTCCTCCGGGACTCTTTGATCTCGGGGTTCCTTTCAAGGTGTGACCTGCGGCAAGTATCAGACTAATCTGACATTTATACTCTCATGGCAGCTCCATGGGTCCGTGTTGGGCTCACAGTCTCACGCAATCTAAGGAAATCGAAATCCTGAGGCCTGCCATACTCTTTCCCGCGTTCATATACCCACCCTTACATCTGTTGTCCATTACTTGATACACCAACATATCAAGATGGATCCGAGGCGACGATTATACGAAGTCTACCCCGGTGGAGACATCGTCCACCCACCCCCGTTTCCAAAGCGGCCAGATCTCTTCAATCGAGCTCCACTAGCCCCAGCGTTGACTGAAGACGACGCATTTCTTGCCCGTCGATTTTGGCAGCAGCCCAACGAATCACTCGGGCGTGCATGGAAGGCACATGCCAATCGGCCGTATACACGAGCAACCGAAGAAGAAGAATCGGTAATGCATGCGTTGGCTCACAATGTGTATGAGCACCTGATGAGCAATCCACTTATGCCTATCTCGAGTGAGGATGCACGAGCCAGGTTCGCAGCGGAGGGTTTGGATGAGACCTATAACGGCGTGCAGGGGCTAGACGCAATGGAACAAAAAGTGTTCATACACGGGCTCAACGTCAGAGATCCGGATCTTTGGACTAAAGATGCACTCACAGATGAACTGACATCAAGGGGTCTAAGCACAGACGGGAGAAAAACAGACCTACAGCATCGTCTATGGGAATACGAATGTGATGAGCGCTTTGGGGTCTCAAGACAAAGCAACCTGAGTCACTGGGGTATACATCGTGAGCCAAGGCCTGTAATGAGCCCTGCTACAAGAACAGATATGTCTGCACTCGAAATGTACACCGCGGCAATTAAATTGAGCCCGTACAATCCAACTTACTGGAACAGTCGTGCGTATTGTCATTATCTGCTGGGCCATTTTGATCTTGCCATTGGGGATGCCTATCGCGGAGAACTTCTCTGCGAAGTGTTGATGACAGCAACCCAAAGGAACAAGCGGCCCGGGATGTATACCCGGGTTTGGGACGCCATTCAGCAGCACCTGATGATGGAATTGAAGATCAAGGGAGTCCCAATGACAAGGGAGGTTCTGCAAATGAGGAAAGCAAATGGTATCAACTATTTCATTCCAACTCTGAGGAACACCCTCCACAGTATCACCAGTCTCAGCCTCGCAGCACTGAATTGTTGGGATGATTTCGAAGATCACATGCAGGGTCAACTCCAAAGACCCCTGCCATACCGTGATATGTCGGTCCCTAAAAAACGGATGACAGTGAGCGCTCCTGTGAAAGCGGAGATCGAGCACAGGAGGGATAATCCCTCAGCCCTTCATCCATCTCTTTATGGTCACGAATGGAGCCGAGGATGGATTTCAGGCGCCGATAAATATCCATACGACCAAGCGGACGTAAAACGTGAATCACCGCATTTTGTCAATGCAATCAATGCAAATATCTTCACGGTTAATGCCAGTGCCGGGAAGTCTCCCCAACGAACATGCCAGGTGCAGCCCACACTTACAAAGGACAATTCCTTCAATGGCTTGGGGGTCTTTGCCATTGGAGATATCAAAGCAGGAACCCTGATTCACTACGAGGAGCCCGTTATTCGCGGAAACCTCATCCCCAACAGGCTGCTTGATGATGAAAGTGAAGACCCCCTCCATGCCCCACGATGCGACAACTGTCAAACCGTGATTGACCCAGAAGAGGTTCGGCATATCGAGGACAACTGGGACACCATCCATAATCCGGCGCTTATTCCCAGATGGGCACATCCGTCTAATTGCGCGTGCCTTGACATGATGTGTAAATGTGCGGATGTAGGATATTTCCGAGCCACGAGGGGCGGTCTGTTATTCTGTTCTTCCAACGATACAATATCAGACGGCATGGCTCCCCATTGCTTGGCCATTGCACGTGAAACATACCATTTCCAAGAATTCTGCGGCCTCAACTGGGGCTGGTTGCATGATGCCATGCGACCTAATAAAGTGACATGGGGCGGATCGCAGTATTTCACCCACACCAATGAACGCCACGGGACTGTTTTGAGTCTACTCTTGAAGAGCGTGCTCGAACTCACGCTCCACCGTCGCCAAGAGGACCCTAATCTTCTTGCGCATGAAATCAACGAACTCCTCGTCCTCGAAGCAGGTACCGACACGAACGAGCCGTGGAGAGATAGTTGGTTCCCTTTCACTCTGGCTGGTAATATCCAGATACCTTTCGATATCCTCTTCAACCTTGGAGTGGACATCTTCAGCGACCTCTCATTCGATACTTGGGTTATTCAGACTGTACTACGGAAGTTGCTGGTCAATGCTGTACCCTGGGAACATGCACGACGAGGTGCGAACCCAACGTTCAATGACCGGGATGGTCCCAAGGCCGTGCTACACCCAACCCTACAAACTAGGATGAGAGACAGAAACGAAGATCTCTCGGCAATGGAGCCATCATTTGGGAACTTTTACCTCTTCCCTGGATTAAGCATGTTCAATCATTCCTGTCGCCCTTTTGAAAACGCACTGTGGGGATACGATGACAAGGTCCCCAACCGCGTAGTCATCTGGGCGAACAAGGATATCAAAGCCGGGGAAGAGATCAGAATTCCGTATCAACGTTATAGGATCGCTGATCCCGTCGGCGAAGACGTCGATCTCAATATGCACGCCGTGCAGCTATTTGGAAAGAACTGCGAGTGTCCCAGATGCCAAGGCAGGGGCCTTGTTCCTCCTGTTGATGATGGGAAGGCCAAATCCGTGTCTGGTAGCGATGCTGCTCAGGGCGATGGGACTGTTGACTGGACACCGGGTCATGTGACGATTCCCCCAAAGCAAGAAACTTGGGGTGGTGTGCTCGGAGAGGACGACTCTGAGCTTAATGACTATTTGACAGAGTATCGGGAGATTGTGGATGATATATACGAGGAATACTACGATCTGGGTAAACCGGAATCCCAGGATGATGATGAGGAGGAGGACGAGGAGGAGCATGACGGGGATGAGGTTAATCATGATGGGCCTAATGATGACGAGGCCAATGATGACGAGGATGAGGATGTTAAGGCTGAGGATGGGGACGGGGACGGGGACGGGGATAGCCACGGATATACGGGTGGCCAGTGGAAGTCTTGCGAATTCTGAGCTTTAAATAGAATGAGAATAAATGATTTTATTTACTTGGACTGACGAAGTATGTAAATATGTATGCAATGTATCAAAACGGAGTTAACCCTAAACTCTGCCGATCCTAAAGTCAAATTTAACCGGACTTAGGATTTAAAGACATCATACTGCATATACCTGATACTACACACCTGTGCATCCTAGATTATTAACACATTTATTTAACCCCTCATATAGCCCGTCCCCGATTCCTCCCAATCCCCCAATCCTCATTTCCATACCAAACTAGCTTCAATCCTCTCAATTCCCATCATGTTTGCCCGAGCTGCCACCCCCAAGTCCTACCTCGGCCGCTACCGGCTGTTAGCCCCCACTGCCGGTGTTAAGGTGAGCCCACTATGCCTGGGAGCGATGAACTTCGGTGATGGCTGGTAGGTGGAAGACCTGTTTATAGATCTTAAACTCCTTGGAACCTTAGAATAGCAACTAACACCGACGCAGGAAAGAACGTCTCGGCGAATGCAACAAAGAGACCTCATTCCAGATCCTGGATACATACTACGAGAACGGAGGCAACTTCATCGATACGTATGCATAGCACCAATCAGCCTTCAATGCTGAACATGTCTCCTATATCCCCAACGAACCCAATAACTAACAAAACAAAAAAGAGCAAATAACTACCAATTTGAAGAATCCGAAAAATGGCTCGGCGAGTGGATGGAAGTCCGCGGCGTGCGCGATCAAATCGTCCTCGCAACAAAGTATACCTCGCCGTACCGCATGCACAATAAGTCCGAGATCCAGGCGAACTTCGTCGGAAATAATGCTAAGAGCTTGAAACTGTCTGTCGACGCGAGTTTGAAGAAATTGAGGACGGATTATATTGATCTGGTACGTGGCTGTCCGCTTTTTTCGGCTTACTTTCGGGATATTTGTGTTAACATATAACGTCTGAGGATATAGCTCTACGTCCATTGGTGGGATTTCAGCACTTCCATTGAGGAGGTAATGACCTCGCTCAACCAGCTGGTCTTGTCTGGGAAGGTCCTGTACTTGGGTATCAGTGATACACCCGCGTGGATCGTGACCAAGGCGAACCAATGTAAGTTTTACCTTCACAGCTAGCTATAACCGCTGCTCTCCCCCAAGCCCAAGCCGAAATTAACCCAAACCCAAACCACAGACGCACGCGACCACGGCCTCCGCCCCTTCTCTGTGTACCAAGGCAAATGGAACGCCGCAACTCGCGATTTCGAGCGCGACATAATCCCCATGGCGGCGTCCGAAGGCATGGGTCTCGCACCATGGGCCTCTCTCGGCGGGGGCGCATTCAAAACAACCGCGCAGCGGGAAGAGCTCGAGCGGGCCGGGAACCCTGGACGACAGGTTCCAGCAACGGAGCGGGACATTGCGGTGTCAAAGGTGTTGGAGGCTGTTGCGGAGCGACATGGGACTGCGTTGACTAGCGTTGCGTTGGCGTACGTTATGCGAAAGGCGCCGTATGTGGTTCCCATTGTAGGTGGGCGTAAGGTTGAGCATTTACTGGGGAATATTGAGGGGCTTGGGGTTGATTTGTCGGATGAGGATTTGAGGGAGATTGAGGGGGCTTATGAGTTTGATGTTGGGTTCCCGATGAACTTTTTGTTCCGGGGGGATGATGTGCCGGAGGCGCATCCGGGTAATTCGTCGTTTTTGAATGTCGCGGCTAAGTTTGATTATCCTGATTTGGTTCGTGGGCCTAGGCCGAAGAAGTTGGATGCTTGAGGTGTCTGGTTGGGTTAGGTTGATGGGTGGTGCATTGGATGTGAACTCGAGGATCGATTCAACGTCGAGCCTCGAATAGTTCTGTTCGGATTAGTATTTCATTAGTCGTGCAATGAAGACACTGATTCAATGGCCTAATCATGGAGTGAATACCAAATCAAAGGATATAAGACTTTTCCAAAAAACAAATCCATTATATGCATACAGATACAAGCGGACCAAGTGAGATTTGTAAAATACATGGGCAAAGAACACACAAGGAAAACCCCAGGATCCGATATACAGTTGTAAACGTGAAACACAAAGTTGAAAGCCGGAGATAAGACAAAGAAAGAAATGCAACATATAGCCCTCTATTTCAAGGCGGAAGCAGTGGCGCCGACACGACGGCCGAACTTCTCCAGTTCGCCGATGATACCGCCGCCAGACAAGCTCCACTTCTCGCTCACCCACTGGTCATTGATGATCTCACGCAGCAAGCCGCTGCGAGCAAAGTACTCCATGAAGCCACGAGCCTCGTCGCGAGTGAGGCCGCCCAGCGTCTGCAATTCGAGTGGGTTGACAGCCTTATCTGCGGGCTGGAGCAGTTCCAGGACGCGAGGATCAGCATCGCTGTAGGCTGGTGGTTGCGGGTATTCCGGCGAGGAGGGGCTGATACCGGCCTGCCGGGCGGCGAGGCGGTCCAGGGCAATGTTGAGACCCTTGGGGTTGGGGTTGTTCGAGGATGAAGTGGCGTAAAGGAGGAGACCGCCGTTCTTCAGGGAATCGCCTTCCTTCAGCAATGAGAGGAAGTGGTGGACGAAGGCGAGGTCGTGGGCGTGAATCAGCTTGTGTTCAGCGGAGCGGTAGGCACTCTCGGTCATCCAGTGGGCCAGACCATCCACGGCAACAAGCATAGGAGGACGGGGCTGGAAGTCTTTCTCCAATCCTGCAGCGGGGGCAGTAGCAGTAAGCTCGGTCCAGAGAGCCTGGAAGACGCGCCAGGAGACAGCAGGATCATTGAAGCCAAGCTTGGCGAGGTCTTCGAGGGTCGAGGAAGGCTTCAGCAACTTCAGAGCCGGGTGGTTCTGGGATACCTTCAGGCTAGCCAGGAGCTCGCGGTTGGCATCGACAGTGCGAGTCAACAGAGCCGAAGTCGCACCAGGCTGGACATACTGCAGCGGGTTGCTACCTTCGATGGCGGCGTACGCGGTTTCACCGGACACAAGATCTCGGGCTGCAAGAATGAGAGGTTAGTAGCTGCAAGATTGCAATATACACCAGCAGAAAGTTCCACTTACCATCGGGAATAGTGATCACAGCCCACTTCTTCATGAAGCCCATGGCCATAGCCTGCAGCAGGTGCACGGTCTTGCCAGACCCCTTCATACCAGTAACAATTTTCTTGACAACCTTGCCCTTCTGGGCATCATCACCCTCCCCAGAGATCTGCTCAAACAAACGACCCATCTCAATGGTATCACGTCGGAGGACCGTCCCAGGTCGGCGGAATATCGACCAGCCCTGCTTGGGCTTGAAAGCTTGCACTGCTCTCAATTGATCGATCATCGGCACAGGCAATCCCAGAACGGTACCACGAAGACGGGAGTCCACAATAGTCTCCGGGGACAGCTCCAGCATGCCCTCAATCTCAAGGGCATTAGGGTTACTCAGGACAATGCGTTTCCGCAAAGCCTTGCGCTCACCCACGGCTGGGGGACGGCCGCCGCGATCAGCAACCTTCTTCTTCTTCCTTCTCAAGCTGGTTGACTGTCTGTGCTTCACGGCAGTCAAGCTGTTTCCCTTCTTCTTGGCCGGCTGGGCATAGTGCACGGCTGTGGAGTGGAAGGGGGCGCTCGAAATCCGGGGCGTTGCGGACGGCGGGAGGAGTGCTCGCGGTGTCGGTCGAAGCCTCGAGAGGCAATTCCAGCACCACGAGGAGGCCATTGTTGTCAGAAACACCGGCGCAGCCAGTGAGGGGACAACCGGTGCTGAGATGGAGAGGTGGGTGGGAATTGAGTTGAGAGAACAACAGCAGTTAACACTTCGGTCAATAATTTGATGCGAAATCCGCCCGCCCTGAGAACGAAAGGCGGTCTGGATGCCTTAGTCATGGCAGAAAAGTAAAAGCGGCTGTATCTGATAACCAACTTTTTTTTTCTTCGGGCTGATACCAACCTTTGAACATCAACAGTCTACCAATACTACTAGTATCGCTATGTCTGATACCGAGATGGCCAATTCCGCGCCTGCGGCTGGTTCCAAGACCGAGAGACTGTAGGAACCCCTCTTCCCGAACTGGATGCACGACCAAAAACTCAAAAAAAGAAAACGAAGAAAAATATAGAAACTAACATCCCATGTCCAGGCCCATCACCGTCTCAAAGCCCACTCCCTACACATTCGACCTGGGCCACCTGCTCGTCAACGACCCCAACCCCCTGGAGCTCCCCGCGGACCAGAAAGTGAACGACTCGCTGAAAGCGACAGCCCGCGACGGCGTTCAAGTCCTGCTCAACCAGCTCCTGACAACCTGCGAGATCAAGACCTCCGTCTCTGACGGCGTGCTCCTCACCCTGCCAGCGCCTAACATCCACCTCCCGCGCCACAAGCCGCTTCCCATCCCCAAGGCCCCCACGAAATGGGAGCTGTTCGCCCGCAAGAAGGGCATCGGCAAGTTCAGCCAGAAGCCCGGTGCCGCTGGCCAGGACAAGGAGCGCCGCAAGAAGCTCCAATACGACGAGGCTTCTGGCGAGTGGGTGCCGCGCTGGGGATACAAGGGCAAGAACAAGGACGACGAGAACCAATGGCTTGTTGAGGTTGACGAGAAGAAGTGGAAGAAGGAGGCTGAGGCTAATTCTGAGGGAGGAAACATCCGGGGTATCTCGCGGACTGAGCGCAAGGACCGTATTAAGCGTAATGAGCGTAAGCAGCGGTCGAATGAGAAGAGGTCGAACCCTGCTCGTGCGAAATGAGGGGTGGTCGTTGATTGAGCCGGTTTTTATCGGGTTCTTTCGTGCTCTTTTCTCTTTTCTTTTTTCACGCTTATGTTACTTGTGGCCTCTGGCTTTTCCTGTTCTTGATTCTTTTTACATCTCTGGCGTTGGGGTTGGGAGTCGAATGGGATTCTTCATGTATTGTGGACATACCGTGATTCACCAAAAGCTCTCTTATTGCATCTGTCGATATTTGCGATGGCCTTTACTCGATAGCTCGATAGCCTTGATTTATCTGTGTGAGGCTATGGGGATTATTGTACCAGAAATGATCTTGCTCGAACCGAAAAGTGCCTTTCCCACTTTCTTTATTGTACAATCCTCGAAAGGAAACGCCAGATACATACTTCGAACAAAAAAAAAGAGCAAAATGAAAATGTAAACCCCCATTGCAAAACGGAGCAAACAGGCATGAAACAAATAGCGATGATGGAAATCAATGTCAACCGCAGAGGGGAATCTGAAGATGTTGCAATATCAAGCAAAGCATGGAATGAGATTTGCTGCGCTTCCAAATAGACAAGAGACAGCGAAAAGAGAGAAACAATGCGAGCCAAACAAAATGGCACCAGTAAACGAAACGGCCGGCCATTCGCCAATTTCAGCGTAGATGCCAAGAGAGCAAAAGATGTACACATCGAAGAGGAATATGGATGGGGCATCTGATCCCACTATGAGACCAAATGACAATGGAGATATCGATCAATCATACGACTAGCGGACGATGGAGGTATCGTATCAGAGGTATGGGAGAGGAGAAAGTGGTAGTAGTAGTGGAAGAGAATGCCATTCTGAAACAACTTGTCCAGTCCTATCTGGTCCTGCAGATAGAACGAATATCGGGCCAGCCAAATCGGAAGCAGTTCATAAAGGTAGATAACGACGTGAAGCTGTTTTCATCCGAGGCAAGTCTGTGCTAGGAAATACGTCTTTCGGATTTAGATTTTGATAGGAGAGAGCGGTGGGCCAAGCTCGGGAAGCTGAGAGATGCTCCGGTTGTGTGCCGTCTCGATATTCTTCGGCGGAGCCTTTCGGGTGCGAGCGGTAGCTGGACGAGCAGTTTCTGGGCGAGTGGGTTCTAAGCGTGAGGTCGCGGGGCGAGCTAGCTCACGAGGAGGCTGACGAGGTTCTTCCCCAGCACTGCTGCTGGAAGACGAGACAGCGCGTTCATGGCTGGCAGACGCGCGTTCCTTTGCCTTGGCGGCCTCCTGCTCTTCTGAGACCCGCAGGTCACGCTCGTCCATCTTTTTCTCAATCTCAAGGTATTCCTTCTCGGTCCAACATCCCTGCCAGCAGTTCTTCCAGTCACATACCAAGAATTGGAAGCAGAATGCGTCGATCTTCATGCAGGGCTGGAAGCAAATGCACAAGTTGCGGTAGTCCATTTTGTTTTGGTCCACGTACGAGTGAAGGAGGTTGAGGTGACAGGTGATGGCGAAGAGGAGATAGTAATGGTATGGTGGTAACTTGGAGAGCTCGTCTTTGAGTAGCTGTGGTGCGGTCGTGGCGCCTTCGCACTTCATAGCAATCATCGTTTGCGTTGACTTGGGGAAAAGCTCATCCGGAAGCTCACGAAGCCATGCTTTGAAGAGGGATCCAACCGTATTGATGTCGTAAAGATCAGGGACTTCGAAGAGATCGATATCGAGTTCTGTGTCAAATCGTCGTTGCCAGTGCTTGACCTCCCTGCCACTACCGGGAACACGGTAAAGGCCCTCTTCCTCACAACCCTTGAAGTTTAGATAATCAATTGAGCGGTATGGCAAGGCAGGCATCCAGAACTCGGTCTTGTCTCGACAGTCCTCGAGCTTCTTCGCAATACGGGTCTTTCTCGCCTGCTCGATGAGCGGGAGGTTGATCACCGAGCACGTGTACGAGTCATCGGTGATCATCTCTCTCTCGTTGGTGCTGCCGCTGCGGGTGATCTTACTGAAGAATCCTTTCCCGGCCTTGCCAATACGATCTGCAGTGCCGCTTGATGAAGACTTCAGATTGCTGAAAATGGTAGCCGAGGCGCCGGAAACTTGACTTAACGAACCCGATGCAACCATATTACCGTGGCTACGCTCTTTGCGCAAAGACACAGTATCGGCTTGGCGCTCAGGGGGCTGCAAGCCTCCCCGGACAGCGCGTTCGGGTCGCGTAGTCGCAGTCGCACAACGAGGTGGATTCGCGGTCGTTGTTGTACCTTGATTGAACTCTTCAAGTTTCGCCAGACCAGTAGAGGGGCGTCGGCGTGGTGCTCTGGGTCCGGAGGAGTCGTCAACTCGAATGGAGCGAGATCGGGTCAAAAGGTTGGCAAATCGCTGTTTGTTCTTCTTCGGCGCAGCGGAGTCTAGATCGGTACCGACTTTCTTGGTGCCTGTTTGCTGCGAAGTATTGTGGCCTGAGAGTCCATCTGTAGGTTATTCTGTTAGATATCATCCACATAGGTGGTGAGGGAAACTCACTAGTCCTTTCGGTTCCGTTCGCACGGGCAAGTGTCCCTGGAAGATCAGGCGTTGACTCGTATTGTTTCGAAGTCATTGGGGTCTTCCGTTCTCTAGAGCTGCCTCTGCTCTTGGAATGTTCGGTGGAGTTCTCCGAGCTATCTGAATGTTGCGACTTGTGTGATGATTTCGGTGCTTTGAGGTTGCCGAAAAATGATCTCGAGGCATCGCGCGTGTGCCTTGAGTCTTTGGGAGAAGGGAAATGTTGAGGAATGGCCGTGATACCGGGTGTCGTAGGCTCGGCGGGGCCTGTGCCAGGAGAAAGTGAGAGAGTAGGGCTGGTTGCCTTGCTGTCGGAGTCCTGCGTGACGGGGCGAATTGTTGCGCCCTTGAAGAGTGGAGAGCTCGATGCAGACTTGGGCGAACGTGGTGTTAAGGGGCTCTGTCCGTCTGAACTGTGATCACCTGGCGTCACAGGCGATGAGACCTTCTCTTTTTTCGACTCGGTCTTGCACGAGCTCAGATCGAGGTTGGGCACTGGTGAAGTTCGGTTTGACATGTTGGGCGACAATTGGACCCGGTCCAGGATGTATGCGAGGGTTCGGGGGTCAAGGGTTTGTGGGTTGTAGGCCCCGTCACAGCTCGTCACAGCTTCAAATGGATTGATTCTTGGGCTAGATGTGTACTTGGCCAGCGCTGAAACCAAGTCACGTATGCGGCTGAGAGGCTCGTACGGGTATCAATGCTCGAGGTCTGACCGGGTGGTGGGGAGGGGGCGAAGCGACTTTCGAAACTGAGTAGTACTAGGAGATAGGCAATGTTGTCTACCTGAATGTCAAGTGTAATGACGAAAGTAGTATGGATCAAACGAAGTATCGAGGACGCGGGATCTGAAGCGCCAGTTATAGGGTCAGCGCAAAACCAGAGACATGTGAAAGAAAGCAGAAGAGTCAAAAAAAAGACAAGAGGTGAGACCGCAGGTGACATATGCAGGCAAACCCCGACTTTGACTCTTGAAAGAAGCCACACCTCGACTCTTTGTTGACAGACAAGGCCAGGAATGAAATCGCAGAAACAATGGACAGGTTTTCTTGATTCAGCTGATCACTCACCAATATCCTCATGTTATGGTTTCAATTGTTTTCACCGATGTCTCTAGGTTTGCGAGGCCGGGACTTGTTCAGTGCAAGTTCACTTTCCCCCCTCTTTTTAGGCGCTTCGAAGTTCGGGGATCGGCAGGGCGGAAGGGGGGGCGAGATAGGAGTTGTGTGGATCAAGGTTAAAAGAAACAATTCAATATGAATGTAGGATTTGTCAAAATCAGGGATATGAAAGGTGAAGAATTGAACTGTAAACAAAAAAAAAGTCGCCAAAGTCGAAGTCTCTCCTAATAGACTTAGCGGTACACTAGTCCCAGCAGAGACTATCAGACAAGCCACACTAGTATTATAGAAGTCATAATTATTAGATCATTATCAAAAATAAGTATTATAACTACCTAGCTAAGTATTATAATTGGTTTTCTGGGTGAACTTGAAACCGTTCCACATTCTGTATTATCCTACTTAGGCCCCCAAATAATTCTATGGGTACAAGAACAGAAAAAAGAGGGGAATATCTTTTTTTTTAATTTCCTATCTGATCCCCCTGAAGGGCGAAACGTCACTTTGTAGACCCAAGGACGACCTTCGCTTGGATGATCCGAGTGTGACGGTGGATAAAGCATCATGTCCATGAACGACCATCTTTATCAACTTCCGTGGATAACAGTTGGGCTTACTCAATTGACATTGGCTCGCGTCACCCAAAAAAAAAAAAATCTCAGACACTGGAGCTTTGCGGGATTAGATTCTATTTGTCGAGTTCGAAGGTACTTGATACGTTATAGTGGGCTGTACGGAGTACACGAATGATCAGAGCTCTCCACTTTTGTAGGTCAGAGCCACGGAATGTGTTGCCTTACGTTGCAGTGGATGTGGACTGTCATTGGTTAATCGACGAGCCAGTGACAGTACAATAAACCTTGGAATCAGTACCTGATTTCCCTTGCGGGAAGATCCATGGTTGTACTTTGGATTGTTTATGGTCGCATATGCACCTGAGCAGATATAGTAACTCTGTAGATATATGTATAGTCCACGATCTGTACGGAATTGTGCCTATGATAATAAGCAACTACTACTCTATCTAAGTATTCAACAGAACCCCATTTATATATCAGGGGTAAGAGCTAAATAAGTGCACAAACGTGTCCGTGTCCAAAGTGTCGCGTCCACTTTTAGAAATTAATTTAGCCTGGTCTCGGGTCCAACCTTGGAACCCATATTCCCGCTTACCCATAAAGACCTCACACCATGGATGACTGCCTCCACTGGGGATCTCCTGTTTTAGAGACAATTTTAGAAAGAGGTTTCCATTGCCTACAATTGTGATACGGTGTGCGTTGTTGGTCAAAAAAAAAATTTGTATAACATGGGAAGTCTCGGAGCTACAACGCTGACAATACTCCGGGGCAGTAGCTCCAGTACGGAGTAGAGAAAATAAATATGGATACTGTATAACGGTTTAGATTGTATTTTATATTGCTCTACATAGAACTACCGAGTACAATTCCTATTATTAACTATGCATTGCAATTCCTATATGTACTATTTCTGGCATACTTTTTGCTACGTATATGGTTTTTCCGAGGTACACCGCCCTCCTATTTCGCACCCTTCCCACTCGAGGTTCCATCAAATCTGAAACATGGCTGGAGATGTCAAACTAGCGCCTCCAGGATGACAGTGCTTTGGCGTGCACGGGGCAGGTTGAGTGGATATTATGGGTTTCGACCAATTAAAGTCGAATATAATAGTTTAGCAGAATGTAACAGCTCCTCTAGGGCTTGCCCAGGAGAAATATAAAATTCTAAAATGATATTTAAACGAAAACGTCTTATCGGCATCTCGCACGTGATGATAACGAACCCAAAAATCCGAAAAATAATCTTGGAATCCCACTAACCCCATTCTTCCTCCAACCATTATTGAGGATTGGTGCACGGACATTCGGTGCATAGATGATCTAACTTGCAGCTTCACCGCCTTGTGCTAACTGTTTCAACAAGCTCTCAGATCTTCGATCTACTAACCTGCACATCCATATCCAATCAGTGTTCGTCTTCAGAGCCACCTCCATCATTACAGGACATGGCCCTAGTATCGGGCCCTGGTAGAGCCGGGGGTAGCCCCGCAGACTCTGAACTACACACCGCAAAGCATGTGACTTACATCAAGAACCTGGACACTGTGCGTGCTGCTTGAAAGAAAATGCTGGAATGGTGAAGATTGACCAACATAGAGGAAAGATGAGCTTGAATATTGGCTGACCGAGCACCTACGACTAAATGGTGTTTACTGGGGTCTTACAGCCCTACATATTCTAGGTCGTCCGGATACGTTACCTCGAGATCAGACCATCGACTTCGTCCTTTCGTGCCAAAATGACAATGGAGGCTTCGGTGCTGCCCCGGGCCATGATGCCCATATGTTGTACACCGTCTCTGCCGTTCAGATCCTCGTAACCATTGATGCTGTCGATGAACTCGAAAAGCGGGGCCGAGGGGGCAAGGAGAAAGTTGGATCTTGTACAGTATTCCCTTATATTTACTGATATCAAGGATTATTTACTAAAACCATTACAGTCATTGCAAACCTACAGAATGCCGATGGCTCCTTCATGGGAGACCAGTGGGGCGAAACAGATACCCGATTCTTATATGGTGCCCTCAATGCATTGTCACTGTTGCGTCTGATGGACCTAGTCGATGTCCCCAAAGCCGTTTCTCATATTCAAAGTTGTGAAAACTTGGATGGAGCTTATGGTATTCGCCCCGGTGCCGAGTCCCATGCTGGCCAGGTGTTCACCTGTATTGGCGCGTTAGCCATCGCTGGTCGCTTGGATTTGGTGAATAAAGATCGACTCGGAGCTTGGCTCAGCGAGCGCCAGATCGAAAGCGGCGGTTTCAATGGTCGACCAGAAAAACTTGCAGATGCGTGCTACAGCTGGTGGGTTGGATCAAGCCTTGCCATGATCGACCGTCTGCACTGGATTGATGGCGAGAAGCTCGCCGCATTTGTTCTACAATGCCAGGTCAGTCAATTGCATATTGTGTTGTGGAATCTGTTGCTAACCCTTATATAGGACTCTGATGCTGGTGGCTTTGCTGATCGCCCGGGAAATATGGTGGATGTGTATCACACACACTTCAGCCTTGCAGGGCTGAGCTTATTGAAGTTCAATGGCCTTGAAGAAATAGATGCTGTTTAGTGAGCTATGCATCTGCTATTCTATTGTATGATTTGCTAACTTGTATGAACAGTTGTATGCCAAAGTCAATCACTGCCAAATGCCTTGCGGGGTAATTCATCAATTGATAGATCAATTGATCCATATTGAAACCTCCCGCAATCTAATAACCCAGCGTTCTATTCACTATGGACTATGGGATACAATGCGGGAGGAGAATAATGACCACGTTGACTTATTCCGCTTCATATCCTCCTACAATGGCCAAAGAGCTGTTAAGACTTCGTGGCACATACCCATTGTGTACCTAAAGAAAATGAAGAGATGAATGGAAGCCAAAAGTTGTCAATCCAATCACATCCCGTGACCTACCCGTGACCCAGAAGGACGCACCTTCCTCGGATATCAATAGCTTATTGATAAGAAGGACAGTCACTACCGTCCGCCTTGTCGACGGTTTATAACGTCCTTTTATTCTTCCATCGCTCCTTCACACTGATCCCCTTCATCACCCACTTTCTTGGCTTTAGCAGTTTGGTTGTTTTGCCCTTTCCATTTGCGTCTCATTCTATCTGTTTAGTTGCTTCCTTCAGGGCTTCCTTCAGGGCTTGCATCATGGATGAAACTATCCTCATGTGCAGCATCTGTCCTGGGCAGCCCGAGTTCAGCGATGTTTCCCACCTGTTGACCCATGCTGCCTCCAAGGCTCATCTCGCCCACCACTTCAAGCTCAAGCTTCGCACCGACGATCCTACCGCAATCAAGCTTCTCAAGGAATACGACGACTGGTTCGACGCCAATGGTTTCGCGAAGCAGCTGGCTGCTCGCATGGCCAGCAAAGAAATTCGGAAGAAGAGAAAGTCGGACGAAGCATTGACTTCCAATGCCACCAAACGCACAAGGAACCGAACATCCAATGTCGAGCCTGAGGACTCCAGCACTCCTGCAATCCCAACCACCCCAGTTCCTGATTGCCTCGATCCTCGCCTAGCTGATTCTCACAATGACAAACAGCAACATGCTGAGACGACCATCGCACCAACTACGCCAAACCGTGTGCCTGTGGCGAACAGTAATGCGAAATCTCGAACGGGTCCGGTCCTCCGCTCGATGCGATCCTCGACTGGCACAAAGTCAAACGTGCTGCAGCCGGTGGATGCTTCCGGGCCCAGCGATGAAAACCGATCGTTGGCTTTGCCTGTGACACCGATACAGCGCCGACGCAAACCGGACCCCTTGGAGAGAACATGGACTGCTAGCAGAGATACCCCTGATCCTTTTATCGACTCTGGTGATCAGACCCAGGCATCGGGTGATGCCGAGATGGACAAGACTCGGGCTGAAGAGATCGCAAGACTCAAGGGAGTTCTGTGGCCAGGCATGGATATTTTTGATTCCGCCACGGTGCAGATGCGTCGTCGGCGCAACCAGAAGAAGGATAGTGGTGTGCTGAAGATGATGGAACTTACTTCTTCGCTCGTGGAGCCAACCGAACAGGTCTTTTCCCCACACGGAACTCTGTTGAAGGAGCGTGTGATCACGGGTAATGTGGAGGAGTACAGCCCACTGAAAGGAGAGACTCCAATTCCCAGGCGAAGCCTCGCTCGTACCAGGAGCACACGTTTGACCAAAGCTGACCCCAACGTGCCACGTGCCGCGGACAGAAAGCGACAGAGGACCGGCAAAGACCGCAAGAACATGGAAGAAGAAGAAGAGGCCAAAGAAGAACAGAAGTCTCCCCGCCGCTCGCGCCGTGCAGCAGACCGTACTCATTCTTATGTTGGCGACGATGAAGAGTTTGGTTTTACTGTCAATACCTTTGGCAAACGGCCGAGGGGCGGCTTCGACGTTTTTGTTGATGAGGAAAAGGAAGAAGAGGAGAGCAAAGTATCTTTTCAGGAACCGGGATTCAGAACGCAGTTTGACACATTGACCCCCACTCGCCTTGTTTTGAACGGAAAGACGAACACCGGTATTCATACCTCGAGAATTGGGCACACTTCCGTTGACAAAGAAAACATTGAGCCTATTCTGAACCCCCAAGGCCGAATTGGCCCCCACGGTTGGCACTCTCCATTCGCTAAACGCACTGACCCTGATGACTTTGGATTCGGCCCTCCATACTTTTCTGATCTTGGTGATGCATACGACAACTTTGACAAGGCTGGTTATCGATCCAACCCTCTGCAAGCCCCCTCGAAGCACCCTTTCTATGACAGCCAGTACGAAGAAGAGCACACTGCAGCTCAGAATGGCTGGCTTTCAATGGACCAGACAGTTCCATCCGAGGAAACCGTCCCGGAAGACGACAACATCTTTCATGCATACTACTTGACTACCGATGCGAATTAACTCATGACCTCATGACCTCATGGCCTGGTTGATCAACCCCAGATCAACCTGCTGGTCAACCCTGCGACAGTGACGATACGTGACGTTTCCCGAAATGACCGAAGATGTTATGGATATCCAGAACCGAAAACCCAGCAGTGACAGTGGTAGCTTTACCATGGTTTCTGCTCACCCGACGACCCGAACTCATTGACACCCATCCTGATTGCTATCTTCTATCAATTGTGATTATCCATGGGTGTCCATTTGTATTTCTCATCCTTGTTGGGCTGTTTGATATGCTGTACAATATTATGATTAGCCAGTATCAATATGAAGAATGTGCATTATGAATTTTTTCCGTGCCATGTATCATGTAGTGAATCTTTTCCCGCGCCAGGGTTATGTAGACATTGTGATAATATTGTTTTCTTCTCTTATAAAGCCCTAAGGTTGTCTGAGCCATTCTTTTCTTGCCTCTTTTCCTTCCTTCCTTTTTTTTTGGAACCCTGCACAAGTAGCCCTTTCCAGACTTACTGATTTCATTCTAGTCAAAAAAAAACTCCGAAAATCTCTAGCAATATCACATATCACACAAACAACAACGGCATATACTCTCAAATATGATGAAAACTCGCCAAGTCCCTGTTCTCTCGGCGTCTGAAACCAGGACCATCGCAAGGCGCTGGACATTGAGCGGGTATGCACCTTCAATCGCGCACTTCATGCCATGATACTACGCACAGAACTTTCGTTGGCTGGGAGATTGGTTATAGGGTTGATGATCGGCAGTCAAGCTTTGACTCTACAACCTATATTATTTGATTTGAGAAGATTGAGTCTGTGTTCTGACTTCAACTCAACGCTCCTTTCGAGATTTGGCCTCGATGGACATCATCTGTAACCGCCTTTTGTCGTTGTTCTAACGATGATGCGACCTGTATCCGAGCTCAATATGGTCGTGTCTTTTGAGTATATAGGTCCTGGAATGTCGTAAAAAAACCTAACCGGATGAACACTCCCAAAAAGCAAACAGGTTATGGTACATATGACCTCTCCCAGTTTCCCCTGTCCTATCTTAAGCCGTTTACAGCCGCAAGATCTTGAATAATCAAGCTAACAATCATGGACAATAGAATATCTCAAATATCTGACGGATAACCGTCCGCTCGTCATGAACAATGGGGTGCGCTAGACAAGTGAGATATACACCCTACCTCGGAAGTGAAGAGAAATTGATGACTGGCACCAGGAGCCGGAAAAAATACCCCAGATCGTCCACTTTGAGGAAGTTGTTCCCGACTCGGAGCGTAGGAATGAATACAGATCCATATGTCTCAAGCGCTATACTTATACACTACTTCAATTCCGTTTCCCCCAAACCTGAGAATGAGACAGACTATAAATATACTATGCACTACATATACACCCAAATATATAGCCAATTGTTACTTGCATCCCAAGTATTTCGTGAATTCTATGGTAACTATAGCTTACAGGGTACTAGCAGGTAGCATCGACCTAACGACATGATATGGGTCTATGCACAGGTGACCTGCTATAAGTTGCTAGTACCACTGGAGGGCATGCATCGCATCGTAGACCAGAGCAAAGTTGATCGACCACGGGTCGCTGGCGAAGGTTATCATCGCCTGATAATACCTAATCAAGGCGTCGTTTGAGTCTACCTGAGTTGAGTGTACCCGCATGAGCTGCTCATGCTCTGACTACGTGGGAAGGTGGCTGAGCTACTGGGGTTCAAGCTATGTAAACTTACTTCATTGTTTTGGAGACTACGAGGAGGAAGTTGGAGCACCCGGGCAAGGATCGCGTCTTTGATGAGAATGTGTCAGCTTGTGAGACTATAAGTAAGGGAAGAGCTGAGAGATCTGGAGAGACTGGGTGTGGTAATGATGGGCCTTGTGCCTACGAGACATGGTGAATGAAATTCTTTATGGTTATACGGATACTGGAGTGAATATCAGTATGCAGATGTCCTGAAAGTTGAATTTAATGAGATGAATATAAAGAATGAGATAATATCAATTCAGTGTCATATAATCTGAAGTCATATACAAACAAAGAGAGACCGCTGCCTGAAGCTGCCTAGTCACCTGAATGCCTGGTCAAGTGCCTTCCCTTTTTGTCAAAACTCGTCACCTACCCCAGTTCCCCCATCGCCTTCAGCCACTGGGAAGGTATAAATACCCCCTCCCCCCATTTCTCTCTCTTCTTCTTTCTTCCTTCTTCAACACTCCGGGCCCACATTGCACCCCGTGGTTCCCTGGACACCCACTATTTTTTTGAACTTCCTCAGCTCTCAGGGTCATATTCAACATATGTCTCCTGTTGTCCAGTGATCGGTGTTATCCTGAGGACTCTGACGGGTCTTCTGTAGGCGGCCTAGGCTAGGCTGCGAATGGCACGAAGCATGTATATGCGGGCTACCTACACGCTATCTTCGGATGCTTCCGGTGCTTTGCTATGACCTCTGCGGATACAGACTGTACGTGTCTAGGTGCTCCCGTTGTCCGTCAGGAGCTGAACCAAGGGGCTCTGTTCTCATCTCCTCTCACGTGCTCTTTGAGCCAACTTTTCGTGCTTACCTTACAGAGATAGCTCTCTGTTGCCCAGTGGAGAATTCTCTGAGGGCTTTTTCTTTTCTTACAGGTTCCTTCTTGCATGGTCCCTTTGTGACTGTGCTTTGTGTCTCTTGTGTCTCTCACCCTGTGTCTCCTACTCTGTGTCTCTTACCTGTATGATTACATATGTACTTTATAACTGCTGCACTGGATCAGGTTGATGGTTTGTTGTTTGCTCAGGCAGTCTGTGGTCTTTGTTTCTTTGTCCCCATAGAGCTAGACAGATGGCCCTATGACAGTCGTTCCTCTGAATTATGATCAATCTACATATGTATCATTTACTTCTTCTCTCTCTTTGAGTTGTAGATAACTACATATGTATGCTTAACAGTAACAATACACATTCACTCATGCAAACCTCAATCACATTGACCCCCACTCCTTGTAGATAGAACTGTATGCATAGACTCTATTTGTTACGATAAAAACTTGGCTCAAGTTGTTCTTGGTAGAATGCAAAATAGCTATTCCCACCATGAACTAGGGCTACAGACGAGGTAGAGATGGCACGGACCTCTTGGATATCTTCACAATGAGATTGTCACAGACACAGACCCGGAGGCTCAAGTCGATGATTTGATTCAAGTTGTGAGTATAATGTTATTCCTAGCACATTTGTGTTTGATATTAAATATCCTGGAAGTGATCAAACATGTCGCCTTGCCTTCCGACGGGCCTCGGGGATGGAGGGTGCTGAGTCATCAACCAATTAACCCGTGGACGCCCCAGCGCGTTCTACGCGTCGAGCTCCGGGTAAAATGCGGAGAACTCACATGGGACTCGATTGAAGCATTCCTAGTCTGGGATCAAGCTGAGATGAAATACACCCGTATCGAATTCTATTGAATCCTGTCTCCTATCACCACAACCCAGAACCCCTACGTCCAACCCCACTGCCACTCCGCATACTTGCTGTGGAAGCAGTTACAACCATCTTTCGTCAAGATGGCACCTCATTCTTCGCAATCCTCCGCACCCTCCCCGTCGTTGAAACGAAAGCAAGCAAGTATCTCCAGCTTCTTCGCTCAGAAATCCGCTCCCTCGGCCACGCCCAAAGAGTCCGCACCGGCCCCGGCCCCGGCCAAGGCACCTAAGAAACGGCAAGCGTTGCCCGCCGACAAGATCGGGCCGAAGCAAGGCGATATCACCCCGGCAGATGATGATGACGATGATGACGATGATGACGAGGATATCGTGGCGCCGGCATCAAAGCGAGCCAAGACCACCGGCACAGACGCGGAGGAGCCAATCCGAGTTGCGACAAGCATACACTTCGAGCATACATCTCAGGCAAGTAGCAGCCAACGCACTGATATCTTCAAGTTCCAGAGCTCCCCTGCTGTTGCGCCAGTCCCCGCAGAGGAGGAAGACCCAGAGCAGCTACAGCGGAAGAAGGAGAAGGAGAAGCTGCACCAGAAATTCGTCCGGAAGCTCGGTGGGTCAGATTGCCAGGTTGGGATTGGGAGAATCGCAGTGACCGATGCAGCCAGCGCGGAAGCGGAAGCTGCAGAGGCCGAAGAAGAGGACGAGCCTGCACCACCTCCCCCGACTAAAGGGAAGGGTGCGAAGAAGGGCGGCAGCAAGCTCACGCCCATGGAGAAGCAGGTCATTGAGATCAAGCGTCAGAATATGAACACGGTGTTGGTCATTGAAGTGGGATACAAGTTCCGGTTCTTCGGAGAGGATGCGCGCATTGCGGCCAAGGAGCTAGGCATTGTGTGTATCCCCGGGAAGTTCAGATTCGACGAACGTGAGTATTTTCTGCGTGCCAGAATACCGAAAACATACTAAAGCTAGAGCCTACCACAGATCCATCCGAGGCACACATTGGCCGGTTTGCTTCGGCTAGTATCCCCGTGCACCGGTTACACGTACACGTGAAGCGACTCGTTACGGCCGGCCACAAGGTCGGGGTGGTGCGACAGATCGAGACGGCTGCGCTCAAGGCTGCGGGTGATAATCGCAACGCGCCATTTGTTCGCAAATTAACCAACCTCTACACGAAAGGAACCTATATCGATGACGCTGAAGGTCTGCAGGGTCCTGCGCCGGCGGCGGGAGGCGCCTCCCCTGCCACTGGGTACATGCTCTGTATGACGGAGACCAATGCCAAGGGCCCTGGGAATGACGAGCGAGTTCATGTCGGGATTGTCGCTGTCCAGCCGGCTACAGGTGACGTTATCTACGATGACTTTGAGGATGGCTTCATGCGGAGCGAGATCGAGACACGACTATTGCATATTGCTCCCTGCGAGATCTTGATTGTTGGAGAGATGTCTCGAGCTAGCGAAAAGCTCGTGCAGCATTTATCTGGAAGCAAGATGAATGTTTTTGGGGACGCCGTGCGCCTCGAACGGGCTCAGAAGAAGAAAACCTCCGCTGCTGAGGCACACAGCCATGTATCGGGATTTTATGCAGGAAAGATGAAGGCTACGAGTACCGAGGAGGATACTCAAGCTGCGAAGTTGCTTCAAAACGTCCTTGGCCTCCCAGAACAGGTGACTATCTGTCTTTCTGCTATGATCGAACATATGACCGAGTATGGGTTGGAACATGTGTTTGACCTTACAAAATATTTCCAGCCCTTCTCGGCTCGCTCGCATATGCTTCTGAACGGAAACACGCTGGTCAGTCTAGAAATCTACCAAAACCAGACGGATCTCTCGACAAGGGGTAGTTTATTTTGGACCTTGGATCGGACGCAAACGCGATTCGGACAACGCATGTTACGGCAATGGGTTGGAAGGCCTTTGCTGGACAAAGTGCGCCTCGAGGAGCGGACGAATGCCGTGGAAGAGCTTATCGATCCTGCGCGAGCGATTCCGGTAGAAAGAGTGCGAGGCTTGCTACACAAAGTCAAGAGTGATCTTGAAAAGGGTTTGATCCGCATTTACTACGGAAAGGTATGTAATACTTCTGCGATGATGACCACTCCTGTACTAACGTTGAGCCAAGTGCGAGCGACCCGAACTTCTCACTGTTCTGCAAGCTATGCAGATGATTGCAATGGAATTTGCAGATATCAAATCACCTGCCCAGACGGGCTTTCAATCATCGCTAGTGAGCGAGGCTGTCGCCTCTCTGCCCACGATCCGAGCGTCAGTCGTCAAGTTTTTGGATAAGATCAACATGCACGCTGCCCGAACCAATGACAAATATACCTTCTTTCGTGAAGCGGAGGAGACAGAGGAGATTAGTGAACTTAAGCTCCAAATTGGAAGCACTGAACACGGGTTCTCAGAACACCGCAAAGAGGCAGCGTCAACAATTGGGAGAGGCAAGGTCGAATATTCCACGGTCTCCGGAATTGAGTACTTGATCGAGATCGAAAACAACTCCCCGGCACTCAAGCGCGTCCCAGCATCGTGGGTCAAAGTCAGCGGCACAAAAAAAGTGTCCCGCTTCCACACACCAGAAGTCATCCAGCTCATCCGCGAGCGTGATCAGTACAAGGAAGCCCTAGCAGCAGCCTGCGACCAAGCCTACAAAACCCTCCTAGCTGATATCGCAGCGCAGTACCAGTCCTTCCGGGATTGCATCCAATCCCTCGCAACTCTCGACTGCCTATTATCTCTCGCAGAAATAGCCCAGCAACCGGGCTACGTCAAGCCAGAATACACAGAAGAAGCAGGCCTCCACATCGAGCAGGGCCGACACCCAATGGTCGAGCAACTTCTCACAGACACATACGTACCCAACGACACGAATCTACAGCACGACGGCACCCGCGCCCTCCTCGTCACCGGCCCGAACATGGGCGGTAAATCCAGCTATGTGCGACAGGTAGCACTGATTGCAATCATGGGCCAGATCGGATCCTACGTCCCAGCAGCTTCTGCCCGACTCGGTCTCCTGGACGCTGTCTTCACACGCATGGGCGCCTTCGACAACATGCTCGCCGGGGAATCGACCTTCATGGTCGAGCTCTCCGAAACAGCAGATATCCTCAAGCAAGCCACACCTCGATCCTTGGTTATCCTCGATGAACTGGGCCGCGGTACATCGACGCATGATGGTGTCGCTATCGCGCAGGCAGTGCTTGACCATATGGTTCGCTCGATCCAATCCCTCACTCTTTTCATCACGCATTACCAGCATCTCTCGCGGATGGTTCATTCATTCCCGGATCAGGCTCTCCGTAATGTCCACATGCGGTTCACGGAGACGGGTAGCAAGGACAATCACGGGGATGAGGAGATCACGTTCCTCTATGAGGTTACTGAGGGAGTTGCGCATCGCAGTTATGGATTGAACGTTGCACGCCTGGCGAATTTGCCCTCGGCTGTTATTGACGTCGCCCGTCAGAAGAGTGCTGAGCTGGAGGAGTCTATCCGGCGGAAGCGGTTGGCTGGGCTTGTGGGTGCGGTTGGTCGGGTCCTTGATGATAAGAGTGGTCTCGAGGGAGAGTCTGCTGGTGCTGATGGCCTTCTTAATAGGCTCATGGCCAGTGCGGAGCAGCTGTAGTTTTACATTCTATGCGGGGCATTGGGCATTTTCGGTTGTACAGTTACATATATACATGAGTTTAGCATGATTTTTGGTAGATCCATATTCAATATCAATCTTGAATCAATATCGACAAGGAAAGTCAGCCGCTTACGCAGCCTGTGTCCTTGGACATTATGTTTAAGATAAAGATTACGATGTTCTTTTTGGACGTGTTTTTATATCTTTTGGGTATCTTTTGCCCTTCGCGGTTTTATAGAGAAATATACAGACGACTTTCCTATGTATAACAAGGGACATGGCATAGTTACTGTCTACCTGTACTTGGTAGACATGTCGCTGGGAATCCCAGACAGCAATCAAGGTCCGGAATATCTCTAGAAACTCACATAGACTACACTGGCCAGATGTTCTACGAACGCTTTCAAAACCTCGACCTCGACAAGGCTGAACTGGAAGTTTTCAAACTTTTTTTGGATTCCATTGTTCTTTTTGTCGATCGGGGTCTGGTTCGAATCGGCGTTTTGTCTTTTCTAAGTACCAGTAATGGGAGGAAGCTGGTACGAGGAAGAAAAGAGAGGAAACAACATCACAACCTCGTTTGTCGCATTGAGCCCATGCAAGCACGCCTAAATGGACGTGTGTATGTAGTAAAACACCAAGATCGAAACCAGACCAGACCGTGCCACAAGTCCACAAACCAGCCCTCGCGCAAGAACCTGATTTCGTTTTCTCGTATCAATAAAAAAAAAGGCTTTCTATTATCTTTTTTGCGCTCTCTGCTCCTCTCTCTCACGATCGTTTCTCCATAATCGACCTTCCGGGACTTTCGGCGTTAAAAAAACCAAAAAGTCAATCCACCCAAACCATCACCTCCAGTCGAAACGTCGGAAATCGTAGAAACGGCCCCTCGAGAGTCGGCAGACGGGGATGATTGGGCAGCGCGGCGGTTTAGGGCTGAGGAAGATAGGAGGTTGAAGGTACGGCAAGAAAGAAAAGCGGGGGACTCGATTTTGGCCGAAGAGTAATCATGAAAAACCGGTCGTAAGGGATATGCGAGAGAAGAAGAGAGACAAAATAGACGACGCGAGCGAAATTTCGTTTTGGTGGATTTTAACGGAGACGGCGGGCCTCGCGCTCGGACTCGAGCAGGCAGAGGATGTCGTCAACGCGGACTGGTGCGGACATAGATGTTAGCGATGTGGTTCGGCAAAGTTTTCGTCTTTTGGGTCGATCCTCGAAAATTCCATATTTCAACATGGGGGCTCCTTTCATAGAATGAATAGATAGACCCGTGTGTTTCCTCCTCTTGTGATCCCAAAAGACGCGGGTTTAAAGAAATCAATATCGCATACCTGGGCCCTTGACGTTGCGGATGATGGAACGCGAGGTGTCGTCCATGAACTCGACGCGGACCTGGGTGACACCACCACGGGATCCTAAATAAATAGACCACAAATTAGCCATTGCTATTCCTCCAAGTGTCTGGTTTCGATCGGTTTGTTTCGGGCGATCCGGGGCGCAATGGGTGCACCCCGCGAATATCGAATATCGAATTGTGGGTTTTGGGGCTTCAAAAAGCTGGGAAAGCACATACCGGTGCGGCCGAGGACACGGGTCACCTTGACGAGCTTAACGGGCTGCTTGCTGGAATCCATCTTGGAGGGAAGGAGAGGGCGTTGAGCTCGAGGGTTGGAGTTGGTTGGACTGAAGGTAAGAGAGTGTTGAAGTGGAATTTGGCCTGTGTGGGTTCGTGCAAATTACGCGAGGGCTCAGGGCTGGACACCTGAGCCGTCAGGCAGAGAATGAGTCAGCGAGTGAAATTGACACCTGGGCCGTCAGGCATTTTAAGGCATCAATAGATATTCAGGCAGAACAGATTTTCTTGCAACTCCGATATCGTTCGGCATCACCGTTAGACAACTTCGGCTTCCACGGCCAATTATCCATGAAATCAATCGAAAAACTCATTCGACACTCTATCAGGTATATCCTGTAGATATTTTAGATAGCCATATACCATAGAATCCTATCACGTGGGCTCATACTGTCCAGCGAACACGGTACATACTCCCCCGGTCCCGTCACTAGTTCACCGGAGTAATCTGCCCCTCCAATTTCTGCCGCAAGTAGCTCCGGTCTCCCTCTCCCTCTGACTCCTCCGGACTATATCAATTGTTCTATCTTGTCTCCAAGATATATTCACAGTCTCTGAATTGCAACTGACTTAACTACCTTGTCAATCGATCCCCGATCCGCTTATTCCCCCACCAATCCGTGAAAAGCCCCGCGCCGCACCGCTCTATCGCCATGGATCTCGTCAACCAGTGAGTCAATTTCAATTACAAACTCGCATTAGAATCCCTACTAACATAACAATTCTAATCAGCCTGGAAGGCCGTCTCCTCTTCGCCGTACCCAAAAGCAAGTGCCCTCCCAAATCGTGACTCATAGACCTCTGCAAGCAGCGATACCCGCATGAACGAGAAACAAGAAACAAAGATAAAGAACCTAAGACTGACGACGCAAACCCCACCATACAGAAGGACGTCTTCAACAAGCAACCCTCGATCTCCTCGCCGGCTGTGACGTCCAGTTCCGCCGCGAAACCCGTCTAGACATCGCGCTGGTCAAGAACCTGCCCATTGCGCTGATCTTCCTGCCCGCCGCCGACATCCCGACCTTCGTCGGCGAAGGCCGCGTCGATCTGGGTATCACTGGCCGCGACCAAGTCGCCGAGCACGATGCCACCCTGCCCGCCGGCGAGGCCTCCAACGTGGAGGAGCTCCTCGACCTGGGCTTCGGCGCCTGCAAGCTGCAGGTGCAGGTCCCTGAGAAGGGCAATATCAAGGAGGCCAAGGACCTCGTTGGCCGCAACGTTGTGACCAGCTTCACTGCCCTCACCGAGGCTTTCTTCCGTAACCTGGAGGGAGCGGAGGCTGGCCAGAAGCTCTCTACGAAGATCAAGTATGTCGGCGGTAGTGTTGAGGCTGCTTGCGCTCTCGGCGTCGCGGATGGTATCGTTGATCTTGTTGGTATGTTGCATAATCGCCAGCCCACTGAAATACTATCCTGTGGAACATGGAACCGGAACCCGTTGCTAACACTCAATCTTCTGTTCAGAGTCCGGTGAAACCATGAAGGCCGCTGGCTTGAAGGCAATTGACACCGTTGTCTCCAGCACCGCCGTGCTGGTCAAGTCCCGCAAGTCTAACAGCGACATCCTTACCCTCCTCAGCTCCCGTCTGCGCGGTGTCATCACCGCCCAGAAGTTCGTCCTGTGCCAATACAACATCCCTCGTGATCAACTGCCCGTCGCGTCTAAGATTACCCCCGGCAAGCGCGCGCCTACTATCACCGCGCTCGAGGAGGAGGGATGGGTTGCTGTCAGCTCGATGGTGGAGAAGAAGCGCATTGCTACGGTAATGGATGAGCTAATTAAGGTCGGCGCGAGTGATATCTTGGTCTTGCACATTGCCAACTCGCGCACGGATTAAAGACTTGATGATACTTTGTTTTCTTTTTGGGTTTTTATAGCATCCTTCTTCATGATAATTCTTTTTTTAACTTTATATACTGTGATGGAACTTCCGGGATACTGTCTCCTTTTCTTCTGTTTGGTCTTGATAGAGACTGTCTCTCTGCTCTAATGGGTATTGGATTAAGAGGACAAAAAGCACATACATAGAAATGGCATAAGGTTACATAGCGTGTGTGCAAGGAGATCATATTCATGTTCGTATATTGAGCTCTGCTCTAACTTTCTTCTCTATCTTTCTATTTCTATATAAATAGCCTCATCCTCCCCCATAGAAACGAGAATATACCTCAATGCCAGTACATATGTATGATACAGTCACATCCAAATGTGCCATATCCAAAATCGTGCCCAAAACCACATAACTCAACAAAAATCATCAAACATATGGTAATGGTATCATCAAAAGATCATCAAGAAAACAGACCAACACCAGAAAACAAAAACCCATGCAAAACCACATGCACTCACAATTCCTTCTCCCCCAATCCAACCCCCTCCTTCCTCCCCCGATGAATAGCCCTAAGACACTGCCCAACCCCCTCAAGATCCCCAAGCAACCCAACATGCCCACGATCACTCTTCACCAACCCATCCTTAATAATCCTATATCCAGGCGGCAACATAGCAGCCGAAGCAAGACAAACCCCATCCCCAGCTGCAAACGCAAGATCATCATACGCATCAACCTGCTTAATACCCTCACGCGAGACAACCCGCGCCCCGTACACAGTCGGCAACGTCTTCCCGTACAACACCGCCGCAGGCGGGTATCTGTTCTCGGAATGGTGCGTCGGCCGGAACGCCAGATTTGCCTTGAACCGCTTGGTATCCGCCAGCGTGCGCTGCAGGTACTCCCTCGCTGCGGGGAGCGGAATGGTGCTCGTCGTGGCTATTTTGGAGGTTGCCGCGCTGCTGCGCGGTTGTGCGCCTGGTCCGACCAAGCCATCGGCGGGGTTTTGGGTTTTTCCGCTGCGTAGGCAGCGTACGAGGCTGGGTTATGGGGTGTGTTGTTGTTGCGGGCGTATATGTCTTTTTCTGTTGCTGTGAGGGCGTGGTGGCCGTCTTGGGGGTGGTTGTGTAGGTCTTGTTGACTGAGGAATTCGTCGGAGTCCTCGCGCGGACCCATGGAGAAGCGCTTGCCGATTATGGGGATGTCTTTGAAGCCGAGGGTTACTGGTGTTGGGGGTACGGGGAAGGCTGGACCCATGCAAGGGGAGAGACGGTGGTCTTCCCAGGTTTTGGGGTTGAAGAAGTCGATGCGGAATTCCTTTTTGCTTTGCTTGTCGATGAAGCAGTGGCCGTCTTCCGGGAGGAGGGCGAAGCTAGTGCGGAAGGTGAAGTTTACTTGCGCTGTTAGAACGCGAGAGCTGAGGAGGACGTCGTCGCCGCTGCGGAGTGGTCCGAGGATGTTCACGCAGTGCTGGGGTACGCCTGCGTACACGACTCCCGCGAATAGATCGGGTCGCTCGTTGACCGCGTGTCGGGTTATGAGACCGCCCAGGCTGTGCGCGATGACTGTAGCGCCGCGTCGGGGCTCACCCGGTGAAGGCTCCTGGTTGCATGGCAGGCTCTCTAGGAAGGAGATGAGTCTGCGCGAGAGAAGCTCGGGGCTTAGACGCCAGTCATATCCATAATCGTGGACGCGCATATCGCCACTCAGGGCATTTTCGCTCTTGCGCAGCCGCTTCATCAATCGTCGACAGACATCCACCGGGCCAACGTGGGAGAGAACCCCAGACGGAATGATGGTCTCTTCCATGCGTTCCTCGTCCTCTGGGTTCAGACCGACCTCCAAGTCTACTTTCCGCAGATTCAGGCCAACCTTCATCGGCACCCAAAGTTGACGGTGGGGTGGCTTAGCAGACCGCAGGATTGATCCTCGATAGCCTCCTAGAATCACGACATCGCCCGTGAGGTCTGCCATTGCTTCTTCCAAGATTGGATGTGTTATGTTAACATTGTTCCGCGGAGTTAGCGGCGGGGTTGCAACCCGCGGTGGTTGTTCCGCTTTGGTAGTACCGCAGGCACCGTTGCTGTTACTCGATGAACCGTTTCCAAGCTCTGGCAGGAACGGGCGAGAACCCCAATCAGTGCGTATATCCTGCAGATGGAGATTCGGCATGCTGAGCAGTCTGCTACTCGAGTCCTGGAGACTATCCTTGATTGCCTTGAACCGGCTGTTTACCTGAGTGTGTACATTCTCGTATAATGGTCGCTGCTCTAGGGACGATGCCGTGGAGGACGCACGCAGATACAGCGATTGATCCGACGAGGACCTCCGCAGACTTGGCGGTCGACCGGGCATCGCTGAACTAGGCCTCCGTATGAAGGAATGTTTCGCAGCCGAGGTTCCATCTGGTGAGCGCAGCTCAGGTATCGGGTGAGCGGCTTCTCCGTCATCGTCAATGCTAGAGCTACTAGGTGCAAGAGGTGATGGCGGCCGACGCAGGATCAGCGATGAAGTTCTTTTCGGCAATCCCAAGTTGCTTTTAGCTGCGGGGGCTACCGTCTGGCTGCGGAGTCTGTTTTGGCCATTGTGGGCACGGAACGAGAGAGATGGCCGTTTCCTCAGAGAGGTCAGGTCAGGCAGGAATTTCTTAAACTCGCCAGACCAGGCACGTGGTCGGCGAGGTAATGTGTTCTTCAATAAGGTCCCGACAAAGCCAGACCGCTGGCTCACGGCTGTATCTTTCGACCCGGTCTTTCCAGGAGCCGACGCAAACAGATCGCTGCGAGGGCCATGCGCAAGGTGGCCTGGTTCGGGCTCTTTATATTGTGCAGAGGGGTATGACGCCCTAGGCTTATGTCCGGACCTTCGTTCGCGTGGTGCCGGTGCTGGTGCCGGTGCTGGTGCCTTTTCGACCTTGGGCTCCACTGACTCTGGCTCGGCCGTGAGTTCCGACGCAAACAGTCCATCCTCGCCTATAGTATCCGGGATAGGCGTAAAATATGTGCCCTGGTGTTCCAGCACCCGATTCTTCTCTTCCACGGGGGTTGCTCGGGCCTTCATGCGGCTCTGCTCGCGCCCGATGCTAACCCCCACCACGTCGCCGGCGGCATCTTCATCGGTAACTTCGATCGAGTGCGGGATTGGTTCGTCGCTGTCGGAGCTGGAGAAGGACGAATAGTGGGAGGGAGAGTCTGAGACCGGATTTGAGGATGTCTCCGAGGAGTCCACAGTTTGTTTCTGCGGGTGTGTTGAAGCGGCCGCCGTTGCAGCGCTTTCCGGGGCCAGACGTGAGGAATGGGGTTGGTCGGCAGGAACTGAGGCCATGGCGATTTATGCCGAGAAAAGAGAAAGCTCCAAAACGGGGTTCAAAGCATGAGGTCGTTCGAGTGTGCAACTATCCCAAAACTTGGCATTGGCTGTATGATGCTGTATGATGCTGTATGATGCACCAATGTGGGCCGGGCGCAAAACGTGGAGTAATAATAATAGATTGTAGAAAACTTGCCCCTGACGTATGTATATTGTACAAGGTAGTATACTTGAAGAAGAATGTGTGTTCAATGTTGTTTTATTTTGGAGTGTTGCGTTCATAAATGCCCGGAAACAGGTGGGTTCCACCAGCACAGCCCGGGTCGGTCGGATGTTCGAACCTATAAAACTTAAACATCTGAATAAAAACAAGTACAAATAAGAACAAACAAGAATTTTTAAGCAAATGCTAGACGCTTGGCTTGACAATGTACACCTATATTGTTATCTATCTCTTTCTGCTACATATATGTACACCAATCTGTGATCGCCGTTGAATTCGGGGGATGCCCTAACTGTCCGACTTGTTTTGAATGACTTCCAAGCTTATTTTTAATAATAAGTACATTCTGGAACTATATGTTTAATAATCCAAACTCCTATTTAATTTCACGATTACAAAGTATGCTCGCCATCTAATTATTTATTCTCCGTAAACCGACCAGACCGAATCTCCTCTGCGCCCTTATTCGCAATCTCCTCATTCCTCTCAGCACCCTCATTAGACCCAAAAGCCCGATCAACAGCTGTAGTCAGTGCCCCACGCAATGACTCTCCAGCACCCTACACCACAATCAGATCCCCAATTCCCTGAATCAAAGAGAGTTCAACTTACATGAACTGACGCCGCAGCGCCCTTGACTTTGTTCCCGAACCCCCCACCAACCCGTGCAGCCTTAGACCCACGACCCGAACGATCCTGCATATCTGCCCGCTGCGCCGTACTAGCCGTGTGCGGGAGCGGCGCATCCCCCACAATCCGGTCCTCGCTGCGAGACGGTGACGGCGAGAGCGGTCGCTGGTGGGTCTGGGTTGGTCCGCCCGCTGATGATTTGGAATAACTGGCTCCTGTGGCCGGATTGTAGCCTTTGGTTGCGTTGTACTCGGATCGTGGATCGCGCAGGCCTGTTGGGAGGCCTGGGGCGCCGGTTGAAGAGCCGCCAGCCACTGCGCCGCTGGCGTTGTGGGTTGTATCGGCGTGTTCGTAGGCTTGATATGCCTGAGACATGATTGTACATATATTTGATTTACTGCTGTTCTTGGTTTGGTGTTATTAGGAGAAATGTGGCAGTTCTCGTTCTTCCTGCAGTTCTCGTAGTTCCTTTGGTTTATACTTCCTGGATAATGACGTCACCATGAGGATAGACTGGGGTAGGAGTAAATGTATAAATCGTACTTTTCCAGAGTTCTATGTACACCAGCTCTCAGCTCTTCTGAGATGTATGCATATATATTTTTATGTCCAAATAAAAAGCTAATAATGCATCCCCACGAAATTGATTATTCAACAGTTCTTCTTTGGCCCGGGGAAAAGCCGAGGTCCAAGGAGCAGTTTTCCTAATATGGAGCGTCTCCGATGCTACTTCCAACATAGATATTTTTATATCTTTACCTCCTCTCCTCTCTTTACAACACAGCTTCTCCCTTCACTCTAATCCCCCTCAAATATCCTCCAAAATGTCCAACAAACAAATCATCTACACCACCCCTCCGGCCCCGGCCATCGACCCCTCTCTCAGCACTGGCACTTTCCGCCTAAACACCCTCCCCATCCCCAAAGATGTCCCCACAGACAAGCTCCTCGTACGCGTGCACTACCTCTCCCTGGACCCAGCGATGCGCCAATGGCTCACCGCCAAACGCTCCTACATCGCGCCCGTCGAGCAAGGCGCCGTGATGCGCGGGCAGAGCATCGCCCAAGTCCTCTCCGTAGGCAGCGGTCTGACATCCAAGTACAGCAAGGGTGACTGGGTCGTTGCGGGCTCCGGCTGGCAGGAGTATGCGGTTGTCGACGCGAAAGAAGCACAGAAGATAACCGTGCCGGAAGGCGGACGGCCCACGGACGCAATGTCCGTGCTCGGCATGACCGGGCTGACAGCCTACTTCGGCATGGTTGAGATCGCACAACTGAAGAAGGGAGACACGGTTGTTGTTTCTGGTGCTGCGGGCGCGACGGGTATGGTGGCTGGCCAGATTGCGCGCATTAAGGGCGCTAAGCGCGTTGTGGGGTTGGCGGGTACTAAGGAGAAGTGTGATTTCTTGGTTAAGGAGCTTGGGTTTGATTCGGCGATCAATTATAAGGATCCCGATTGGAGGAAGCAGCTTAAGATCGCTACGCCGGAGTATATTGATGTCTTCTTTGATAACACCGGTGGTGATATCCTTGATGCTTGCTTGGCGAGGGCGGCTCAAGGCTCGCGCTTTGCTATCTGTGGCGCTATCAGTCAGTATAATGCTGCTAAGCCGCAGGGTCCGGGCAGTTTTATGAGTGTGATTGTGAGTTCCCTTGCACCTGGTGGTTATTATTTGGGGACTGAGGGCTAATTTATGACAGTCCCAACGGATCACGCTGAAGGGTTTCATTGTCTTCGATCATGTGAAGCAATTCCCCGCTGCACTCAAGGAGCTCGGCTCTTGGTTGGCTGAGGGTAAGCTCAAGCGCAAAGAGCATATCGTGCCTGGTGGCTTGGAAGCGGCGCCTCAGGGTCTCATTGACCTATATGCTGGTGCAAACACCGGTAAGATGATGGTTGAGGTAGCGCCGGTTAGCGAGGCGTTGGCTGCAAAGGCCAAGCTGTGAACGTATATCTAGAAGCGCGAATTTCGGGTTTCGGGTCTTGTACAGGATGCTTTTGATGCAGGCCATGCTAAATATTGCCTTTTACCTCGGGTACTAAATATATTTCTAGCATGAGGATATCTCAAAAGATATATGAAATCAAATTCACTTCAAATTTTTATATTAAACAGTAAGATAGATCCCGGTGGGATTTTGTTTTCTTTTTTTGCTCTGTCTTTTCTCTGTCTGAGTCTTGCTGCTCTGTCCACACTTGAAGTGACGTCACTCTGATACATTTGAGCCCCTGTTACCACGTTCGTCTACTTTGATATTCAAGATTTAGCAGGAATTGGAAGATATTCAGACAGTTCATTGGAGCAACAGATGACCTACAAATGATTCATGACTAGAACAGGTTTGAGCTCTTGTCCTGCATGATTTATCCACATTTTACTTCGTCTATATATATAGCCATGCCACGATTCCATATACGAGCTCTCAACAAGAGCCAAACAGCCCTAACCTCAATTCCATCAATCCGAATACCCAGACTCTCTCCTCTCCTGCCTTGTCGTCAATTGGGAATAAATCATACCAGAAAACCACCCATTCTAGAAAAGATCAAAATGGCAGCCAATGAAAGCAACCAAAGCTTCAAGCTCGAAAACCTGTTCAATGTGAAGGACAAAGGTGAGCTATATATAACCGCTCGAATCCAAAAACTCTATTCTAACAACACCAGTGGCCCTCATCACAGGCGGCGGCTCAGGAATAGGCCTAATGGCAGCGCAAGCATTAGCCGTGAACGGCGCCAAAGTATACATAACCGGACGCACGGCAAAGAAACTCGACCGCGTAGCCACTCTCTACGGCAACGACATAAGTGGCCAAATCATCCCCCTCCCAGCCGACGTCACCAAAAAAGACGAGATCAAAAAGCTAGTCTCCGAGATCTCCACGCGCGAAGGCCACCTATCAATCCTAATTAACAACGCGGGAATATCCAGCCAAACGCAAGAAACCGAGCACGAAGACGCATCCAAGCTCCGCGAGACCCTCTTCGAGGACCCAGCCGCGACATTCGACGAATGGGACTCGGTATTCCGCACGAACGTCTCACAGATCTTCTTCATGACGACGGCATTCCTGCCGCTGCTGCAGCGCGGCTCGGAGGTCGAACATGGTTGGTCTAGCACTGTGCTCAATACGACTTCCATATCGGGCATTGTGAAGGTCTCGCAGCATCATTTTGCGTATAATGCCTCCAAGGCGGCGGCGATTCATTTGACCAAGATGCTTGCGCATGAGGTTAGTACGTCGAAGTTGCGTGTTAGGGTTAATCATATTGCACCTGGGGTTTTTCCGAGTGAGATGACTGCAGGGGAGAGTGATGAGATGCAGAAGAGTTTTATTCCGGCTGAGAAGTATCGGGAGAAGGTTCCTGCTGCTAGGCCTGGGAGGGATGAGGATATGGGTAGTGCTGTGATTTTTGCGGTTTGTAATCAGTACTTGAATGGGCAGAGTGTTGTTGTTGATGGGGGATATGTTCTTGCTGCTGGGTCTGTGTGAGTGGGAGTTGGATAGCAAGAGTTGTTTGTAACAAAAAGCAAATTTGTTAGGGTATCTGAAAGGAAGCTAAGAACAAACATATCAAAATAAGCATCAAGACTCTAAGCACGCATTGTAAAGGTATCGAATTCCAGCCTCGTTCAATATCCCTTCGCGCCCGCTTCGCAAACTGTCACACCGTCTATCCATTCCGATTGCAACAACTTGGTAGTTGTGATACGCTTCCAAGAAATGGGGTGAAGCATTGCATAGATAGCGTTGCGTCGTCTCTAAATACCAGATATTAGTGACCTGTCTTCTGAGCCGAAGCTTCCCAAAGATATACTACAACATACCTGCCCTAGAGCCTCGATCGGCGGGTATCCATCCTCCTCGCTGCGAGAATGAAGATACTCCAGATACCGCCCATCCTCCTGATTGGGACGCGCACTACGCCACAAAATCCGATCGGTCACGAGTGCCATGTAAACCATGGCAGTGGCCCACACATCAGCGGGACGAGAATCACACTCACTACTTTTGCCATGTTCATCATGACAACGTGATTGAAAATGAAGCTTGAATTCTTCCGGGGGAATATACGGAAGTCTCATACCCACAAACGAAGCAGTCGGTGAGTTGGCAATGACAGCCTGACTACCATTGCCAGAAGAAGTCTCAGAACTTTGCCGACATAATGAATTCAGCGGCCACGGTAGCGCGAACGACCATGCACTTTGTGTAGGTGGCTGTGGTCGCGGGGGAAGCCTTCCTCCAGCCCCGGCCTCAGCAGTCTCCTCCCAGATCCGCCGGATATGTCCATCGCCGAACCCAGCTAGCTTTACGGCTCCGTTGGCAGTGAGCAGAACCGTCTCGAGGCGGACATCGCGGTGTGCCGTGCCGTGATCGTGTAGGAAGGCAAGAGCGCGCAGGATCTGGGTTATTATACAGTCCGCTTCTTGCGTTGGGAGGGCCCCTTTGCGGCATAGGAGGGTGTTTAGGTCGCCGCCGGCGCAATATGGCATTACCAGACAGAGCTCGTTGCGTTCATTGTGGAGGATGTCTAGGATTGGGAGGATGTTGGGGTGGCTTGGGTGGAGAGATGTTGAGTGGGAAGAGCTTGGGGGACCTCTTAGGATGGAGCGTCGGTAGACTTTGACCGCGACAAGTTGATTATTGTGATTATTGCTTGTTTCGTTTATCTTGGTTTCGTGGAGACGGGTTGTGCTGTTTGAGCCATAGTGTACCATTTGGCGATAACGGCCGTACTTGTCTATAAAGGGGAGGTTTGGCGATGGGAATGGAGATTGTGATTGTGATTGTGATTGAGTAGATATTGATGGCGTCGAGTCTCGGTCTAACAAGGGTTGCTCCTCTGTTGGGACTGCCTTCAACAGGGGTAGGTTGTTGTTCTTGATAGCGATACTATTGGACAGGTGGTGTTCAGCTGAGAGCTTCCCTCGTATCAAGGTGTGGTGATGATCGACGGTCTGGGCTGGAGAACGCATGACAACCGTTGTACAGGTGTGGTGACGTCCTTCCTTTCCTATATGTGGCTGCTGAGGCGCTTACAGCGTGGAAGAACTCCAAAAAATTGAACAAAGAGAGACATCATATTATCAACGAGGCATCAAGCCAATGCCCTTTTTATAGACTGGAATTAGAGTGAATGAGGGAATTGCCCCCTTACAGATCTAGAGGAACAATAAAGGTAGCACGGGTGGGAGGAATGTTCAACTCCAATTCCTACATCATAGTCCCATGGAAAGATCAGATTCGATTCCAATTAGTTGGGATATTCTGCGATTGGACAGGACAAACTGCTCAATTTAAGAGCGATTTAAAAAATAAATTTTTTTCCAATCCTTCGAAGCCGCTGTTAGCGAAAGAGAGGAAAAAATTCGATTGCGGAAGCCTATAGTATAATTCCGGTAGTGTGAGGTCTGAATTGAGTCCTGGTTAATCTGTGGAGAGGAAAAATCCCTCACGGCCGGGGATTAACACCGCACTTTCGTGGCTGTGTACTTTTTCATTTTTTTTTGTTACACTTTGCCTTTTTTAGGAAATCTGCGGCATTTGTTCTTATCTGTTACTACCAGAAATCTCTTTCTGTTTCATATCCCAGGGAACTCGTTGCTGAACCAGAGGGGATAAGTTAGGGCTGTGTATTGTATTGTCACATAACTATATTTCGCTGGTTAATGATTGGCCTAAGCCTCCTATTTATGGTAATATTACGGCACATGTATGTAATATTCATGGGATAGCGCACCACAGCTGTCATAGTCGATATACGAGGTATCATCCATTTGTGGTACCTGGCTTTAATATGCAAACCTATGCAGTTGATCATGTATCTGTGGACCTTCATGATCTTCCCTTTATTCCCTCATTCGAGTCCCCAGAACCGGCAGGTCCCTCGTGGACTCGCGTGGGCTGCGTGGCTGCTTGATACAACATTTCTTGCTGGGAGAACCTTCCCAATTCGTACAGCTTGACCAGCTTGGGTTTAGACATAATCGGAGCCTCCCACACCCTGGTGTCTATATAAAAGGCTGAGGGTCGCACATCTACGATTTTATCTTCCCTTCAGCTACTCTTCACCAGTGTTCTTATTTAGTCTCTGCTTTCCTTTCAGGGCTATCGTCACTCTTGTAGTGTTCTGGTTTAGATTTAGGGCTTTCCCAATTTTTCTCTTCTTCACTCCTCCTCCCCTCTTCCCTTCTCTCCCCTAACCTATTTCACACCATGGCACCCATGAATCCAGATCACGGCAAGAACGACGTCGACGTCGACGTCGAGTCAGAAGGTGCTACGCTCAATGATGATGAGCGCACTGGACGTTCCACGCAGATCACCTTCGACCAGTCCACCTCCGCAGAGGGATTTCGGTCTATCTACCAGCCGACTCAGATCAACCGGCCCCGCTCGATAAGCCGTGATACCATCCATAGCACCAGAAGCAGCATCCAGGGAATGCCCGAGCTACCAATTGAGTTCCGAACCATCTCCATCCAGATCTCGGAATCCCAGAACGCCCCCAAGGAGGCTACTGTCAATACCACAGAGAAGCAGCCCCACCAAGACTACTTCGAGACCTTGGACTTCCACATCATATCCCCCGACAGCCTGTGTCGAGAATTCAATGTCGATCAGCGTACTGGACTAAGCTCGTCCTCTGCTGCCACACGTTTGGAGCGCGACGGCAAGAACGTCATTGCCCACCATGGGGAGAATTATCTCAAGAAGATCTTCTTCTACGTCTTTGGTGGCTTCTGCTCTGTTCTTTGGGTCGGAGTCGTCATCTTCTTCATCTGCTGGAAGCCTCTCAGCAACCCACCCTCGGCTCAAAACCTTGCTCTGGCTGTCCTCATTCTGATCGTCATTGCTTTGCAAGCAAGCTTCTCGGCTTTCCAAGATTGGTCCACGAAACGTGTCATGAACTCCATCTTAGATCTCCTCCCTGCAGAAGCCATGGTGATGCGGGATGAGAAACTTGTGCATCTCCCTGCTACAGAACTGGTCGCTGGTGACATTGTTCACATTGGAATCGGAAACAAGGTCCCAGCTGACATGCGTCTTTTGTCCAGCTCAGGCGATGTTCGCTTTGACCGTGCTATTCTGACAGGCGAGTCGGACGAGGTTGAAGGCGCCATTGATTGCACCGAGATCAACTTCTTGGAGACTAGGAATATTGCTCTCATGGGAACCGGTGTCACCAATGGCAATGCCATTGGAATTGTTGTTTTGACCGGCTCTCGCTCCGTGATGGGCCGTATTGCCTCGATGACAGCTGGTGTCAAGCAAAAGTCAACCTTGATCCAACGAGAGATCAATCGCTTCGTCACTATTATTGTCATTCTTACGGTCTTCTTGGCTTTGCTGATTCTTTTCACTTGGCTGGGATGGTTGCGCAAAGATCACCCTTCCTACATGAGTGTTGTGGCCATGCTGAACAATGTCATGGGGTGTGTTGTTGCCTTCATCCCCGAGGGAATGCCTGTCGCTGTCGCATTGACCCTTATGATGATTGCCAAGCGGATGAAAAAGACCAACATTTTGCCTAAGGGTCTGTCAACCGTTGAGACTCTGGGCTGTGTGAATGTCCTCTGCTCCGACAAGACTGGCACACTCACTCAAAACCGCATGTTTGTCAAGTCACTCGGAATGGTTGATTGGGAATACAACCTCGAGGATTTAGTTCCTGGCGAGTTCGGAACTGTTGATCTTGCCGGAGGCCTACGAAATATGCTGGAAGCATCTGTTTTGTGTAATGACGCCACCTTCGACCCGACTACGATGAATCTGCCCATTCATGAACGCGCTGTCAATGGCAATGCTACAGATGCAGCAGTTTTGAGATTTGGTGACAGTGTTGGATTAACATCCCCGACTGCCCTGGCTCCATATGAACGTGTGCATCAGATTCCATTCAACTCGAAGAACAAGTGGATGCTCACCCTGCACCGTGATCCCAAATCTACCAAGGAATTCATTCTATACGTCAAGGGAGCACCAGATGTGCTGCTGGATCGTTGCGCCACTTATTGGTCCGCTGTTCACAATGCAGTCCGTCCACTAGATGTCGAGGCGCGGGAAAAATTCTCGAATTTCCAGGCTAAACTATCACGCCGCGCAGAGCGGGTGATTGTCATCTGCCAACGTCGCTACATTCCCCGCTCTGTCCTTGGCTCTAACGATTTCAACAATGAGATTATAGACCACGGTGTGCAGGATCTCACAGTTCTCGGTATCTTCGGTATTGTCGATCCACCACGCCCGGAGACCGCCTCTACTGTCGCAGCTTGTCGCAAGGCGGGTATCCGTTTCTTCATGGTTACCGGCGACTTCGGATTGACCGCGGCTGCCATCGCTCGTGAGATTGGAATCTATGACGGGCAAGCTGAGCCGGACACCGTGGAAGAGCTGAGAGATGGCCTCGACCCAAAAATGGAAGTCAAAGTTCCCAAGTCACGACACAGCCTGCTTCTTGAAGGACCCAACTTGTCATCGTTAAGTGCAGAGGATTGGGAAACAGTATGCGGCTACGACGAGATTGTTTTCGCCCGCACCACCCCTGAGCAAAAGCTTCGCATTGTAACAGAACTCCAAGCTCGTGGTTACGTCGTTGCTGTGACAGGTGATGGTGTCAACGATGCCCCAGCCCTACGTGCCGCAGACGTGGGTATTGCAGTCGGATCTGGCAGCGACGTGGCAATCGAGGCAGCTGATCTGGTCCTCTTGGACAAGTTCGATTCTATCATCGAGGCCATTCGCCTTGGTCGGTTGGTCTTCCAGAACCTGCAGAAGGTGATCGCCTACCTACTCCCAGCAGGTAGTTGGTCTGAGATTTGGCCCGTTATCATGAACGTCTTCTTCGGCTGTCCTTCCCCACTCAGCACGTTCCTCATGATCATGGTCTGTGTGTTCACCGATCTGTTCCTGTCTCTTTCCCTCATCATGGAGAAAGAAGAATTCGACCTCCTCAGTCTTCCCCCACGACGTCCCACCAAGGACCACCTGATCAACCTCCGCATCTACGGCCAGTCGTACCTGTTCGTCGGTGTAATGGAAGCCTTCAGTGCCCACTCCATGTTCTTCCTGTACATGTGGCGCCACGCCGGTATCCCCTTCTCCGACCTCATCTTCGCGTTTGAGGGCTATACCGACGGCTTCCACGGATATACCGCGGACGAGCTGAACCACTTCGTCAGCGTGGGCCAGTCTGTCTACTTCGTCACCCTGGTCATCATGCAATGGGGCAATGTCTTGTCTGTCCGCAGCAAGCGCATGTCCATCCTCCAAGCTGATCCGATCCGTCCAGCTCGTCGCAACCCGTGGTTGCCTCTGGCCATTCTTATTTCATTGATCATCGCCATCTTCGTCACTGAAGTCCCGGGCATCCAGAACTTGTTCAGCACGGCCTCAGTGCCCCTTGAGTTCTGGTTCATCCCGCTTGGTCTTGCAATGGGTGTTCTGTGTATGGATGAACTGCGCAAGGTCCTGGTCAGAATGTTCCCCAAGGGACCTGTTGCCTGGGTTGCGTGGTGAAGAATATTGGAAATGATTACCCATGAAAAAAGAAAAAAACTAAAACCCCCGAAATGTGTGCAAGTTGATCACATCGCACACTTATCACGGAGCATATGGCTTGCTTCGTTTCTTTAATGTTTACTTCCCTTGTCACGATGATTTTATGGCTTTGGCGAGAGTAAAGGGGAAATATACCCATAGAGGCTGTTGCCCCTAGATGTAATGAACATAGCTACCTACCAATCAAAAATGAGATATGACACTTATCCCTTTCCTAGATGTATCTCCTCAAAGACATAGCTCTACCCTCTTCCCGGCTTTGTTCCTTAAGAAATGTAAATGTAATCAGTCAGTTCCTCCATCCAATACTAACACTACCTATCCCAACTATACAAAGGCAGTATATTTCTCTCGTGAAAACAATGGAAAGATTGGAAAGGCCTGAATTGCTTGTAATACCACTAAACAAGTACGTACCAACGACAAAAAACAGCGATTGCATCAGGGCATGAAAGTCAGGATGGCTAAAAATACAAGATGGAGAAGTAGCGGGAAAAGCAGGAAGTGAAAAAAGACCAATCAATGAGCTAAGAATACTTGGATTCCTGGATGGGAACAAAAAGGAGAAAATATAATGAGAAGAGAGAAGCGAGTGGTTCTCATGCAGTCCGAGATATAGAGAATAGACAAAACGGCTGTGCAGCGAGTGACATATGTGTATACGGGGTAGAGGATGGATAGTAAGACAAGCAGACGCGTTGGCCAAGCTGTGTCGTGCCATGCGTTCTCCGGGATAGCGAGTGGATATCAAGATCGATGAGGCATCGTGGGTGTGGGGGGTATGACGAGGAAAAAGAAGGGGAAGAAAAGGAAGAAAAGGCCGGGGTAAAAGTGGGGACCAGACAGGCTAGAGCACACAGATTCTCAAGGCGCAACCAAACACAGCCCGTGTCATATCCAACAAGCCTATTGAGCTTGTTGGCGCACCTTCCCAGCTTCTCGGACGGCATTCATAAACCCATCTTCATCGCCTGCAGCAGTAAGAACCCAATAATCACCAACACCGGGGTTTTCGATCTGCCCACCGCCAAAGCCGGCTGCGGCAGGGGCGCTGTGTCGCTCTTTGGGTTTTTGGGTGTTTGCTCCATGATTGCGGGGACCCCAGCCCAGCACGTCGCGCACAGCAAGACGGGACTGGTCATCAATCTGGTGGAAAGAGAATAGCTGGGCCCGGAGACAGCCCAGAATGGCGACGGCGGAGCGGATCATGATGCGGTCGCCCTCGAAGACCCAGCAGTCCCAGACGCGGGAGATGCACTCGAGGTCCAGGCCGTTTGTCAGCAGCGAGCGGAAGATGGGCTCCCAGATCTCTGCCTCAGAGAGGTTGAGGGTTTCGGTCAGGTGAGTGTGTAGACGGGGGAACTTGTAGAGCAAGGTGTCTGAGGCCAGTGTGTAAGAACGGGCCATGGCGCCGCGGTCCCAGGTGAGGAACGCGACGGGTAAGGGACGGTTGAGAGCGTTGGCCATGGCGAGGAAGGCAGAAGCAGGAGTAGGGAATTGCAAAACGAGTAGGGCGGCGATAGTGTGCAGGCCGTAGATGTAGCCTACGTCGCTGCGGTACATGCAGTATGCCTTCAGGACGTCGCTGAGGGTTTCCCGTAGTGGACCGCCTTCTTGGAAGAGGTTCAGATCTGGGAAGGCCTTGGGCACGTCTGTTTCGATTGCCTCAAAGCAGTCCAATAGTCGTTTGTTGTTCTCGCTTTCTCCATCTTTCTTGATTTGGAGATCCTTTGCTCGGAGCAGCGCTTTGGTAAAGGTTTCCTCGGATAATGCTAATTCGTTGCCAATAGCTCGGTTCCATATGGTGCCTCGGTTGCGAGGCGGAATTCCACGCCACCATAACTCGCGAATTCGGGGCTCGCGCAGAGCGCGGTCCCAATTTGGATACACGTATTCATCCCAGATGTTCTGCAGTGTTACTCGGGTGTTGTCCTTTTCACACTGCGCATTTGCATCCTTGGCAGCTTTGCGTTTCTCTGAAATACCGATTAGAAGGCCGACAATAATTCAAGGCTCTTGTCTTAGCACATACCGATTTCTCGAGACTGGGCCATCATTTGCTGATACTGCTTCAGGTGTTTTTTCTCCTCCTTCTGGTCCTTAGGCGGAAGCCAGCTTGGGCGCGTCCGCGACAGAACCTTTTCTTTCTCCTTGCTAATTGGCAGCGGATCTATCATGATATTTGATTTCTGCAGAGGCGGTAAAGCGACAGCATCACGGGATGCGCGATGCGAGTCCTCGCTGGACTTCCGCGGAGCACCAGTTTGAACATGCTCCTCCCGCTTGCGGTCTCTATCATCAGCATGCAGCTCCAGAGCTTCGGTGATGATCTTTGCTTCCTCGGACAAGTCAGATAGAAAACTGTTATACGAGTAGGTGCGAGGGTTGCGTGGCGAGATTTGTCCACGCTCCGGTCCTGCGGAGCTCGATCGCTGTATACGCTTCATGCGGGATGCCTTGGCCGTATTTTCGGGTGACGCTGGCTTATCGCTTCCCGGTACGGTGTGCTGGATAGGTAGTGGTCGCCGCCCGGGGCTGCGACCACCCCCGGGGCTGCGACCATTTGGGCTGGCAGACCGTGATGGAGCCCGATCTTGGACTGGGCGCGGAGAAATAGGAATGTTCCACAGACTTGCATCGTCCGGTAGTTCATCATCCGAGTCATGATATTCTTCCTCCAGGTCTTTAAGCGACTTGCGATTCGGTTGCCATGTTTGTTTTTGGATAGGCACTCGTGCGGATAGCGGAGACAGAGCTAGGCTGGTGCTCGAGGTGGAGCGACTGGATGTCGGCCGTAGTGGTGAGACAGATCGTGAACGGCGAGCTTGCGCGGGTGTTAAACCGGGTGACTGCAGTGTGTTGCTCGAATCTCTCCGGTTTCCAATTCTCGTCGTGAGGGAGCCTGCCGGCGTATTGGCCGATCCACTGTGAATCGGGGGTAGGGGGCTTCGCTTGCGAGGCTTCGGGGTCGCGGTCAGGTCGCGAGTTGAGGTCGCAGGGACTTTGCTTGACATTCTGGCGGCGGGCGACCGTGCCATTACCCCAGGGCGGCCGTAGGAGCCTGGTGAATCGGCGTATGACAAATCGGCATCATCTTCCAAGCCAATGTCTTCGAAATTCGAGATGTCCGTAAAGATACTGTCCGGACCGTCCAGGTGGGAGGAGGAATGAAACGAGGAGGATTTGGAGGATTTCGACCCGGAGAGCTCGGGGGGAGAATTGGGTGTTGGGCAAACGGTGGTCATGATCTCATGTAATTATTCAAACGTATTGATCTCCCACAATTCTTATCTGCCTGCAAAAAAAACACAGAGTGGGAGGAAATCGACGGGATGTCCGGAAGGGGTCAACAACGGACGCGAGGATTGAGGTTTGTGGATCAGAGTGGTCGAGGGTTTTCAGACATGAAACAATAACACCGCAATAGAAGTCGATTAAGGTAATTGCAGGCACAGCCGCAGCCTGATGAAATCCAGATCAGGTGTAGTCGTGTAAAGAGGGATCAGGGGAGGAGATTACGGGGTGACCATTGGGGGTCAGGGGGTTTGGAGTGTAAACAAAAAAGGTGAGAAATGAGTGTGGGGGTAGAAGTAAATAGAAAAGAAGTAAAAGATGCAAACGAGAGACGAAATACAATGGAAATCCAAAAGAGAGTGAAAAGAAGAAACCGTGATGCTCAAGACTGCAAACGGAGAGCCTCAGGCAGTGCCGCACTCGGTCTGGCCGAGAACAGGGGGGTACCTCGGCGATACTTCTTGAGACTAGTACAGAAAGGGTTATCACCAAGTACCAACCAAGTATTCAATACATTCTACATGTAAACCCGATCTGCTGCCCAGATGGGAAGGGATAACCTACACAGCCTTGAAAGTCTCTGAACACAGATATCTTAATCTGAACCCCTGAACCATGACCTCTTTTAGTCGGATCTAGTCGGATTTGTGCCCAATTCTGGTTGTCTGACTAGATGTGGCACAGTATGAATTTAACTGGCCCTAGGGGAGATGAGTGTACAATTGTACACTTGTATAGGTTGAGAGCAATTGATCATACAATTACACCGATTTGGATTTGCAGACATTCCACAGTCCAGCACTCTAGAACTATTCTAGAACCGCCACTCCTCAAACATGGCATTTCCCTTCTTCACCACCTGTGCCATCCTTAAAGCCTCGGAATCTGATGTGGGTCGAGCATCTTTGATCAGCGAGTCTAGCCAGCGGAGCACCACCGCATACCGCGTTTGCTTGCGCTTCAAAACAAACCGAAACGCCGCAGAAGCCAGATATTGTAGATGGGACCGCTGCACGAAACACGAGAATGAAGACTCCGAATTACCAGCACGCCGGGCTTGGATCGTGCCGTTCGTCTGCGAAATCAAATCGCGGATGGTCTGTGTTATGATGGCAGGACCGGGGTGTGCACGGCCCCGAAGTGACTTCATATAGCGGTACATCTTCATGGCAGAAGTGATGAAGCTGCAGTAGAGGTTGGCTAGCACAACTGCGCGCGAGTTGTGCCCGTCATCAATGTACATGGCATGTAGCTGCAAGCGGAATGAGGAGAGCACTTTGCGGTGAAAAGTGCGGCCGGGGAGGCGGTTGGCCTCAACCGTTAAGGTGTTGCAGAGAGTAGCAGCAGCTGACTCGGCGCCCTCTAGGATGCGATCTCGATCGCGGTGAAATTCCAGCGTGTGAGTATCGATGAGACTGCCGCAATATGGGAATAATGGGGTCCCTTCTAGTCTGGGGAGCAAAATTCCGTCAACGGCTGCGCTGAAATTGGCCATGCTTTTGGCTGGATTGACTTGTACGCCGTACGATGGTTGGCCCCGGATCATTACTTCCAGGAACTGCATTGCCACGGCTGCATCCGGTGTGATCAGGAGGAAATCGTCCACAAGTCGCAGGAGTAGAGAATCCTCGGGTTTAATAAAACCCAGTACCTCTCGCTCAAGCTCAGCGTAGAAGAAATTGCAAAGGATGCTGGATAGCACGGAGCCTTGAGGGATGCCGTTGCGTTGGCGGAAATATTTCTTGCCTATCTTCACGAGGTTGTTCCGGACATGTTCATTGAGGAGGCCCAGAAGACTCTCAGCATCCTGATCTTTTTGACCTTTACAGTCAACGAAAACAGTATTGGCCTTTCGCGCAGTGCCTCCGTTATTGACGAAATCCGGTAGGTGTTGCGGTCTCATGGCAGGCGCAGCGCGGCTCATAAATCTGCGTGTGGGCTTTCCTTGTTGCGAAGTAGGAGCGGGTGGTTGGATTTCGACGTGCTTTGAGATGCGGTAGCTCTCTTCAGAGACCAGCTCTTCGATAAGATTAAGCAACTTTTCTTGGGGGATGGTATCAAAACAAGCTTTGATGTCAAGCTTGACGAAGTACATCGGTGGGAGCTTGGATTGCCAAGGTTTAGAAACCAAGGGCAGTCGTTTGGACAATTGTTCTTTGTACGCCTTCAATCGGCGGTGCATGTCTCCAGTGGAGAGCATTGACGAGCCCAATTTGGTAGGAGCTTGCTGGCTCTCGTAGGTCAACATGTTATAGATAGGCGTAATACTTGAATTGATGCTGGCGGCAAGGTACGTACCCCGTTTCCCCCATGAAGATTCCTTCAAGGCTCGTTTGCGAAGATTCAAGATGGGCCGGAGGCCTGTAGATTTGGGAAGCAAACGGAGAGCACCGAAACCAAGGGACCGCCGTGCCAGCACACGTTGGGCTCGATCTGGCTCAAGCTCCTCAAACATCGTTGCCTTCAAGTCCCCGAAAGGTTGCTGGGTCAACTGCTGCCACAGATCATGGCGGAAATAGAACAGGCGGTTTCGGTGCATTTGAGACTCTGTGACATAGAAGTGCGAGCGAATGAGAGGAATAAGAATTGAATCGAAAATCCAAAACATGAATTCGTGGAGTAGTTCGGTGCGTTTGTGCAAGTCAGACAGGGCGATCTTCGATCTTGTCTCAGATCCTGAAGTAGTCTGGACCTTGGGTGGCTCCAGCCAAGGAATGCTTGTTATCTAGCGTGTGGATCAGTACAGCCTTGTCTCGGACGATCAGTCCAGTGCAAACAATAACCAACCTTGACACCTTTGCATACTTCGTGCAAACTTAGACTTTCGAATCGTCGCAATTTGATAAACCGATCAACATGTCTGAGGACAAGCTTAAAGTTCGTAATACCATCCGGACCGACCCCCAAAACTGTCGGGGGATCAATTTCTGGATCACCGCTCGACAAAATGCTGAGACAGAAGACGACGGAGTCGCATAATCAGTCAGACTGGCTTGAGTTTTTTGGGTTTTTCGAATCACCGATTTCTCAGCATTGATTCCACAAGATGCGTCGACAGCCATGTGCGGCTCTAATCTCGAGACATCACCTGAGGTTTGCGCCGAACTATCACTTGGCGACGGGTGGTTAATTCGCACCTGTGTAACTAAGTTTGACTGGAGAGAGGAGATAGGCTCGCTGTTTTTGGCATAAGGTGTGAAGGCAAATGCGCCAAGTCTCCTGGGTCCGGTTTGCTGCCAAAGGTCAGCTACACAATCCTAGCCATTGTAAACAAAATTGTCTCACATCGGTTGGACAATAGTATCGCAGCAACTCTCCGTAGGAGCATTGCGCATTGCGGTTCCGGAGCTTCCGGACAAGCTCTATAGCAATTCCACGAAGCCTCTTAGGTACCTTGACACTTCTCACGCCGCCACAATCTGCATCTGCGATTTCATTCTCGGGCTGGGGCCGCTGTAGTCGTTTCTCTTCTTCCAAACGAGATATCTCACTCTCACGAAACATGAAACTCTTCGAGTCATCCATGATGTTGCGTTCATCCGAGTCCAACGTAAACACATTCCGGAGGCCAAATTGCGAGGGAAAGATGTACTTCATTACATGGACTGTTTGCGCCATCGAATCAAGTGACGAGAAGCGGCTAAGGACATCTGGAGTGGGAATTAGCATAAACCTAGAATTCGATATTCAAACGGCGAAGCACGTACGTGTCTGTCCCAGTCCAGAGGGTACTTTCTTTTGGGACTCGATACGTCCATAGAGGATACGCCGCCGTAGAAACACAATGCTGTTTGGACTTCGGAGTGTGTTATCGGAATTCTGTTTGCGTTCAGCTCTCTCTTTGGAATGTCTCTGATCACTGGAAGGCTTTGGGTCTTGTGCTGTGGCAGCAGACTCCTTGGCTCCCGAGGACGCATCGCTCGAAGGCTCGAGGACCGAGAGCGGTAGACCTAGAAAAAGATCAGCAAATTAGGCTCAAGTCCCTCTCCACACCTTGAGAAGACCATACCGCTGAGTTGGTAGTAGTTGCCGTTTCGAGCGTTGATAGCGGCAAAAACTCCGCAATCGAACAGGAGCTGCATCATAATCTCCTCCCCATTACTACCAAGCAAGCCAAGGACCTCTGCCCATGCACCCTCTTTGAGAACCTGGACATTCTGATTCGGGAATCGAGACACAATGCCTGGAATATTAGTGTCTTGAGCATTCTGCCCCACAGACGGGCGTTGGAAGCCAAGCGTCAGCAAATGCTCGGGCTTTTGGTAGGAGCCATTGTTATGATTGAAGAGTTTCCAGATCACAAAATCAACCACCTGCAACAAGGGTCAGCAGTCTGATACATAGAAACGATTCGACTGCCATGGACGCACCTCAGACTGCGGACAGGTCGGCCCCGTATCGGTGCTGACGAGAATCGACCGCGATTGAGACTCATTAAAAGATGAGTATTGCTTTTGTCGCTCCAAATTGAGGGTCGGAGAAGATTCCTTCAGAACACCCACCAGGGTGGAGTCTAGCAGCTCCGCCACTGTTTGGGGTGTTTGAGATTGTGCATTGGTCTCTTGGTCTTCACGCGAGCCCAATGTCAGGATACGGCGCCGACGCGACTTGGAGGTCACGGGAAGTTGCTGGAGCAGGTACTCCCGCAAGGGTACGACATGTGGGTAGTACAGGGAAATAACGGGATGGCTTGTTTTCGTTCCCAGGGAAATTGGCGCATGGGGGGTTCTGAAACGGCGGGGAGATGTAGTGATACCCGTGTGAGACGAGGACGTGGGCCTGCGGGCCTTGATGGGTCTTTTCCGCTTTTTGCCCATGTTAGGCGATTAGATGTGTATTGTACGGAGTACGGAGTACCCGGCCCTTGACAAGAGACCCTACCCCCTTCGGGCGTAGGGTCTCCACGGCTCAACGCAAACTCTTACTCAATGCAAATGTACCTTTTGTTAGGGATCCACATATAAAAGGTACCTACAGTCAATCATCAGTTTCTTAACTCTCGATATAGATAGAATAATTATAAACTCGCTATTAGAATTACTGCATGCGATTATCTAGCAATCGGGATAGCTCTAACTGCTACTCTTCTATCTCAAATCGAGTAAGATAGGAAAACATCATTAGATATAGTGGAATATATATTTTCTAGTTCCAGTACTTGATTTCTAACGACCACCCCCTAGACTACTACTATTGATTCAAAAGTAAATTTCTAAAACCCGCCGATCTAGTCAACCAGATCTGTAGATCTCTGAAATCGTGAAGGTCATTTTTCTCGAGCGAAATATCGACAGCAGGGTCGTGCCAGTGGCGGGTTCTTTTCGTTTCGGTGTTGCGCAACGACTCCCCGATACATCGACAGCTATCGAATCAATGAGAATAAATGTACCACCATCGTCAAGCATAATGTTTGCAGGGTTGATGTCGTTATGGACAAGTCCAAAAGAATGAAGATGTTTGATGGCGGCCAAAATTCCTTCTAGGCCACTTTTCATATTCGGTTTCACTAGTTCGCGCGCACTTGAAAGGAAAGCGACCTTGCTTAGGCGTTGGCGGTTGACTACTTCAAGTAGTGTCGACGTATATCGTCTGAAGCATAGCCCTGAGACTCGACCGTGAGTATCCTTGTGGCCATAGTAGGTCACGATGTTCGGAAGGGAGTTCTTGCGAAGAATTTCGCATGTTTCGGCTTCGCGAGCGATTTACTTTTCAAGATTTCTATCGATATACGCGAGGAGACTTGGTGTTTTCACATAACTAGATCGCTGACCAAGCGGTTTTCCCTTCTGGGCCCCTGTCCTCGGTTGGAATTTGCTTGAGTTCCTGGAGATCGTCCAGCGTCTTTGGCGAATTTAATCGATTCGTCCATATTCCGGAATATAATATGCCATCTTGCCGAACAAAAACCTGGACGTAGGAAATTTTCATTTTACCATCAATCCTTCTAAATGCCTCATTCTTTTGGATAACTTCCATATTTATGTGAGATATCAGTTCTGTGAAACTGTGCTGGCAAAAGCAGTGTTGAGTTGGCAGAAGAGAAAGGTGACCCTACGCCCGAATGGGGTATTCCCATGACACGTCGGATGCGCAAATGCTTCTTTCCCGAGGTCGCCTTCTTGAACTCGGGCACGTTCCTAGTATTAGTGTCTTTTTTATACACATGGTTGATGAGCTATTAAAGGTCTCTGAAATACCTAGGTAATATATGTGCAATATACAATTATATGAGACTTCCCTAAAAAGGTATGTGAAACCAGGAACCCAGGAACCAATCAAGGCTACCAATTAAACATCAGAGTGAACCATGGAACAGGGCGGTCTAGATGGCCATTGCGTCCCCACTGCGTCATCCATGGAGTCTTCAGGGGATTAATCTGGTGCCTGGAGATGAGACAAGAGGTACAATATCTGTTAGTTACAGTATGGCAGGTGTGAGATATATGTGGTTGAAGTATTTTACTAGCTATGTGTAGAAAAGCACAAAGCGATATATAAGATTACCTATAGTATTGACAGTACTTTGTATGGAGACATCTGCGCTACGCTAACAATGAAAAAGACAAAGAAATCCACCAAATCCACTTCCGAAATTCAGTTTCATGTTAAACATATCCCAATTTATTTCTTCTCTCTTCTTTTATCCCGAATCTCTTCCTCGAACTCATCGATTCTTCCATTTCATCACAAAATATTCAAAAATAGATCGACACTGTAACTTCAACTTCTCATTGTCACTAGTGTAAGTCAGCCCGTCAAAACGGATTGGCCCGGAGAGCTAACAAACCGGCCCACTGCCAGGATTCGCTTTGAAACCCCTCAACTACCAGGTCCCCATCACCTATCAGCGTCCACTGCTGCTCGACAAAACGTCAGTCTTGAGCTCGACCCTCTTATTCGTTTTTCCCCTCGCTACAAGTGTAATTTCGGCAACTGGCCGATCTTCGATCTTACCACTCTACCCTTCTCCGATCCCCCCGATCCGCACTCCATCCAACCTCTCGATTTAGGTTCGACGGGGTACATATCCCTCCAATATTCGGGGGGGTTTTTTTTTGTTTTGCAAGTGTCTCAAATATGAATGCTGAATGGGTGTGCGCCACCCGAGAGGATTGCTTTGTAGCCTGAATCGACTCACCTGCGACATTCCAGTTGGGCGACCATCCCGGAACAACGCACCAGCTCAACCCGCCCAGAACCGAAAGGCCGCGACCAGTCCACGTCGACCTGTCGGCCTGAAGCATGCAAGATGTCTGGCGGTGACGAGCAGGGTTTTGATGTCCGGTATCGCGACCCGCCTCCGTTTGGGCGACAATCGTCGGCTCCGGCATTTGGCCAGTCTGTCAATGGTCACACTACCACTTCTTTAGATGACTCGCCGACCGTCTCTTTCTCCCAGGCACAATCATCGCCGTATTCTCCACCGTCGGGCTTCATTCGACCCCATAATCCTCCCACTTCCACGAATCACCGGTCGTCGGGCGATCAATTGGAAGATCGTAGAGGGGAGTCTCCAGACCCTGCTGACTATTATCGCCAGCGTGGATCCCTGCCAGGGACTTCATCCAATGTAAGAGAGGAGTTCGGCGATGTAAGAACGGGCATGGCTGCGGCCGAATATCCTGCAGTCGGTGACAAAGTGTCCCCCCTGCCAACAAACATGTTGGAGTCATCGCGCACTAGACGTCAACCATATCGTTCAACCTCCGATTCTCCAACATTAGGAGCTTCCTCGGCCAACATACCCCCGTTGCACGCGAATGCAAGGTCACGACAGCCGTCGTTCAAAGATCTTGTCAACAAGTTCAACAAAACCTCCGATCAGATACTCCCTTTGCCCTCTGTTTCTCGTTCAACCTCAAGGGCACCGAGCCCTTCCGGAAGTATTGACGGGGAGCGAAATCGGGTGCTGCCACGGCGTCGTCAGTATCGTGATTCTCTACCAGAGTCGATCACCAGCAATCCCCGAGCGCTTGTTGATTCGACCCCATCGTCGCCAGAGAGAGATAGATTCGGTCCGCCTCTAGATACAAAGAGCGCTATTCCGCCGCCTCTGTTCCAAAGGATCACGGATTCGCATCCCCGTCGGCCATTGTTTGGTGAACTGTCGCCAATCAACACACAGGTTAACAACGGAGCCCTATTGCGTATACAACAACGCCGCGGGTCGGATGGAAGTATTCCAAGCCCAAATCCAGCCTTCTTCGAGCATCGCGATCAATATCCCTCAAAAACACCACTCACACCTACTGCATGGTATCTTGGACACACAACTTCCTTGGAGGCAGTCCACACCGGGATAAACAGCACCGGCAAACATCGCCGAGCTCAAAGTGACTTGGATAAAATAAGAGAGCCCCTTGCAGAACCGTGGAATCCTGAAATGGCGGTACCTGCGCCCTTGCGGCAGACCAAGCCCGGTCATGGATCGCCCCCGGGCAGTCCAAATTCCAAGTCTCGCATTCCTGTCTCCTCGCACCGTCTCGTCACTGCTCCCGGTCCCGAAAGCTTATCCGCATCCTCCAATCCAACCTTCAGCAGCCGATCCGCCGCCATTACCTCGCCGCCCAGGGGCAGTAGCCGCCTTCCTATTCTGTCACCTAAACAAAGTCCTCCCCGCATGCCAGCAGATGATCCCGCTTCGTTCGCGACAACCTCGCGTGGTAGACGGGATCTAGCAATCGGCCGAACCCGCAATCAATTATCTGAATCCAGTCGCCGACTTCAAGCCTACATCGCTGAGCCGCCGCCTAAAAAGTCGCCTCCGTTGCGCAGTTCACGACCCCGACAACCCGTCTCACATGGTGCCGCGGTCTCCCCACGCTCCAAAATTGGAGATAGAGTTTTGAATTTACAAAAACGCGCCACCCACAACAACTCGCGGTCTCGTCCAGAACGCAAATTACCTGAATTGGGCAAGGTTGATTTTGATGCTCGTCGCCGGCACATTCAACAGGCAATCAACCGACACTCAAGCAACCCGGGTGTTCAAGAGAATCAGAATGACAGAGGACCGGACAAGTCAACTGCTGCAAAGCTTCGACGTCACGCTTTGGTGCGAGAGCAGGAGACGCATGAAGATTTCAAGCAATCGATGGATGGACCTACAATTACACCTAGCCTGCCTGTGACCAACGCCCCGTCATCCGATGAGATGGCTACGATGGTCAAAGACTCGACCGGCTCGGTCGAGTATAAGGAAAGTAGGGTTCAGGCTGTTCCTAGGCTGCACCTCAACACTGCCCTGCCGGCATCGGATATGGCAACGCCCCACACAACAATGGACTCTCCCACTCTTGGCCTCCCACAGGGTGTGAATTCAACGACTTCAGGTGAAGGACGGCCTGTCAATGATGACCCGACCCACTCGGGTGCCACATCAGACTCCGACGATACCCATGTCACTACTTTTGATCCGGAGCCGCAGTCCGGGCTGTTGCAGCGCAATCCCAGCGTTTCTCATCGGACTATTCTGGATCAAATAATGCAAATCCGCGAGTGCAGCCCGAGCGACGACTCATGCGACGAACCTGATTGCAGTCTTTCAGAGAACGACGATAGAGAGTCCATCCGGATTATGCTTGGAGGTACGACCTACTACAATTCGTCTAGTAGCACGAATACTCAAGAGCCCGAGCGTGCGTCAATGCACCAGGCTCAAAATGAGACTCATGCTCACAACCGATGGAGCATGGGTTCATGGTCTTCTGGACAAAACCAACATTCCACCTGTGACGAGCATTGCGATGAGAGTGGAGATGATTCTCTGCTACGAGGCCGTGAGACGGAACCACCAACTGAAACTTGTTCAGCTGTCTCAACAAGGCCAGCTTCAATAGCGGACGATGAATCACCATCCCCAGTTCAGGATCACGGCGTGATGGGGCCGAACACACTTCAAGCGTCTGAACAGTTTCGGCCCAATGCCTTCTCTACTCCACCAACCTTGGCTAGATTAGGCAGATGGGATTCGAAGCGTGTCACTCAGCTCTATCTGGAGGAGTTGACGCGAGGCAGGAGCCACCACCTTGACTCAGCAATTTACACCTCGTCCGAGCCTCGATCTCATCCCACAAATACACGTACAGATGGGAGACCCGATAGTCTGACTGACGATCCAGTCGTCGTGCCAGGATTCAAGGATTTCCATGCCTCAGAGAGACTTTCACACACGGCTAGTTTGGTTGGACGTGATGATTGGGAACATGCATCTCCCTCCATCATGGACTGGATGCAGATTGCTGCCGAAGATGATGCTATGACCCCCGACACCGAAACCGATGGCATGCGTACTGAAGGAGTGCTCACCCCCGCCTGGCGCCTTCGGCAACCCACGACGCTGGCGCATCGAACACGAACAATGGCCTCGGAGTCTCCGTTGATATCCAAGCTTCGAACGAGCAGACTCAGCCGCAAGATTTTTCTTCATCAGAATACCCAACCGATAATGAACCCCTTGGAGGTCAAAATCCCCTTATGCCATCAGGCCACATTGGACTCAATCGCAGTACCCAGGTTGCGCCTAGAGCTGTGGGACACAGCCCGGGCAGCAGTCAGGACTCTTCTTTCCGAAATTTGGAGTCTATTCAATCTCCCGTGGCCGCTGACTCCTCCGCTACTTCACTTGTTCCGTCCACTGAGCAAACTATTCGGGTTGAGCCGAAGGATTCGCCTTCCCCGGAACAACGACGTCTTAAGAAGCGGCGTCACATAATCAAAGAACTTGTTGATACGGAACACACCTTTGGTCATGATATGATAATCATTGAGGACATCTACAAGAGTACCTCCCTCACGGTATTGGATCCCGAAGATGTCAAGGTTCTCTTCGGCAATTCCGATCAAGTCGCAGCCTTCTCCGACAAGTTCTTGTATGATCTCAAGCAAGCAGCTCAAAGCATCTACGTCATTCCAAAGGCTCTGCGATGGACCAGCAAGCGAAAGCGCAATAATCAGCCTACCGAGTCCGCTACCCCAGAAGGCGATGAAGTAGCCGAGCTTGCAGGAATGTCGGAGCTCGAAAAAGATCGCGCGACCTCTGTCGGTCAGATTTTTGTCGCCCACATGGGGAAGATGGAAAAGGTGTACACCGAATACCTGAAGAACCATGATGCCGCAAACAAGAAACTTCAGGTCGTGCAGCGTAACGCAAAAGTGGGCTTTTGGCTGAGCGAATGTCAGAAGGGTGCTATGGATCTCACGACCGCCTGGGATTTGGACTCTTTGCTCGTTAAACCAGTGCAAAGAATCTTGAAGTATCCCCTTATTCTCCGCGACCTATTGGAGTCCACACCAAACGACCACCCGGACCGAGCGGCAATTGCCAGTGCCCTGGAAGAAGTTACAAATGTTTCTCATCGCATCAACGAAATGAAGAAACGAGTAGACCTTGTTGGTCAAGCTGTCGGTCGAAAGCGCAACCAGTCCGATGTGCGTACCGGTCTGTCTAAGGCCTTTGGTCGCCGCACGGAGAAGTTCAGACAGCAAGTTGGCCTCTCCGACTTGTTTGAAGACAAAACCTATGATTCGCTAGCGCAAAAACTTAGCGACGGCTATTTCCAGTTGCAGGTTGTCATGCGTGACGCTGAGAGTTACTCCAGGGATGTGCAACTCTATGTGAACCAGTTCAACGAGTATGCTGATTCGATCGAAGAGATTATTGGCATGTCGCCTTCTCCGTATCCACAGTTGGAGAGCAAGTGGCATCAGTTCAAGATGACAGTTCAGGAACTTGTGTCGACTGCTCTCCCAGAACATGTATGTTGAGTCCTGTTCATATTTGAACAAAATACTAACGTTCATTGCAGCTTGCTGTCGTTCGTAAAACGGTCATCGATCCGATGGTTGAACTACTAGGACTTTACAATGCACCCCAGCGAGTCATGCGGAAGCGTGACAAGCGACTCCCGGAATATGCACGCTACAAAGCCATCAAAGACCGTGGCGACAAACCTGACAAAAAGACTGTCGAGCAGGGCGAGCAGTTCCTGGCTTTGAACGATACTTTGAAGGATGAATTGCCTAAACTTTATGCGTTGACTTCCAAATTGATGGCAGCGTGTCTGAAGAATTTCATCGAAATTCAAACTGTGTGGTACAGTGTTCTACAGAAAAAGATTGGTGCTCATGTGGAATTATTCCCCAATGACCTGGACAGGCTCATCAGCGACTTCAATAGTGACCACACTTTGATGGAGGCACGAATGGGGGAGCTAAGCTCTTGCAATGGGGCGATGATGGCTCATTCCCTCAATTTGGTCCCCCTTTCACCCAGTGAGCAGCAAAACCCCATGTCGCCTCGCCGTCCTTCTACGGTGAATAGCTCAAATGCCCGACCTGGGTCTATGAACGATGATTCACCAAACGTTTCCCGGGATTTCAGCGTCGGCAGCCAATCATTCCAGTCTCCCCATATGGAAAGCCACTCCAGCCGCAGTAGCCGTTACCGGGCTGATTCCATTCTATCTGGCCGAGTCATCCCAGACACCCCCAGTCAACTGCTGCAACAAGTCACCAGCTCTCCGGCCCCTGTGAGAACGAGCGATGTCGAGCCTTTCCCAAGCCTGCCAAGACTCAGCCTAGACACACCTTTCCTCGAGGATGTGATTAACAGCTCCTCGCACTCGAGCAATGCGCCAACCTCCCCGACTGATCGATACTCCGGATTCTTCTCGTCCGCCATGCCCATGTCGGATGTGCCAAGTGATACTGTCGTGGATGGTCACTTTGAACGCAGCCCCCCTCCCATCGGCCCTGCGGTGTTGTTCTGCGCAGCGAGTGTGTATGACTTTGACATTGACGCTCGCACTGAGGGCGGATATCCCTATCTGACCTACGCCTCCGGGGATATCTTCGACGTCATAGGCGAGAAGGGCGAGCTCTGGCTTGCCCGCAATCAGGACGATGCCACTAGGACAGTTGGGTGGATTTGGAACAAGCATTTTGCCCGACTCAGCAGCTGAATCAACGACCTCATGCCATGTTCTCGATGTATTCGTCAATTGCTTTTCAAAAACCTGCAAGAAACAAACGAACACAAAGCCCAAAACACACAAAGGTTCCATACTAACTACAGGATATTACAGGATCATATTCCATGTTTCTTTTGCCTGATTTTTTTCTGATCTGTCTTCATATTTCTTCAAAATAATACCCCCTAAATACCAGGGCAAAACAAACGCAACTACACCAGTTGCAATGTTGCTGCTTTGTTTCTTTGATCTGCTTTGGCTTCATTCGGCGTCATCTCATCTGATGATTTATGGTTTTCTTTTCTATTCATCTCAGTTGCTTTGCTCTCATTCCTGTTGTTTCTATCTGATCTCTGTCCATTTCGTCCGATCTTCGTTCCTTTCCTCCCATCTCAGCGCATGGTCTGACCCTCTTCTTCTACTGGAGCTCTGGGATACACGTTTAGATACCCCTCTTTCTTATGAATTAAATTCTTTAATAAATCCTGCTGCAGACTTATCCAAATAATGAGTATCGTGTATCTATATCAACAGTACCTCACAATACTTCCTATCAGCAACGCTTCCCATAATGATAGTCCAATGTTGTGGTATAGCATCATGTGACCCCACATGTGACGCAGCCCGATCAACCCCGTTTTGAGTGCCAGAGTCCAGTTCCTTTGAGGATTTGTCCGTCATCTTGTGTTTTCATAACTTCCCCCTGTTCCTGTGTCCGAGATCGCCTCATTCCAAGGGAAAATCACGGCGTCGGTTTAACCCTCCCAGCTCTGCACGGCCACTACCTGATCTACTTACTCTCAACCTTGATACTCCTCGACCAGCTATTGTCCATAAAGCGTAATTGAAACTAGCATTAGCATTCAAGCATACAATCCATCCTCCGCCTCTCCCCCTTCTCCGCCGCCCATAAGCATAAGGCTGACGGCCTCCCCCTCCGAAGCGCCGCCCAATCCCGAGGTCCCGACCGGTCCCACTTCCACTCCGCCAGTGCAGAAACGGGGGAAACATTCGCGCCTGTTACTCGGGACATTGCCAGTCTCTCGCCTCCGACTTTGCTCGCCACTACATAAACGAGCTTGCAGATTGCGTCCCATATCTATTGTGCGCGGGTCATCTCCAACAACTCGAATCCTGCACAAAGATCTGCCCCGTTTATCATAACCGCGATTTGTGGGGTCTGGCCTGGCTATCTGAGGAGCCTGGCACGTATTGCGCGTTCTTCACTGTGGCGCAGTGTATAGCTTTTCTTGCCACGGCATTCATATTCTAGCGGTTTGACTTCGGTTTTGTGATCAACTTCAACACATCATATTGCCATCATGTTGCGCAAGGTGCGCGGGCGGTTTGGCGATAAGGTGAGTTTGGCGACATTCGGCATTAGCGACGCATGTACTGACTGGCACAGCTGAACCCAGATGATGCCTTTTTGAGTTGTAAGTGTCTAGAACAGAACCTGCGCCTTGGTGATTTGAAGACGGTATACTTACAAGTCGTCCTTGGGTGCTCATAGATTACGACGTGCGATGTATGGAATCGACCCCCGAACCCAGGAAAGGTTCTAGGTGGCTAATGAACATGCAGTGACAAGAGAGGACATGCAAACTCTTAAGAACGACTGGCTCACAGACAATGTGGGTTGAATGGCGAGACAATCCTTCTAGCTTGGGGCATGTGGGCTAATTTGTCATAGATCATCTCATTTTGGGAGGAGTGAGTCGGTCCGACATACTTCACAGTTACCGAACCTGGCACTGATCCCCGACTTTCTTGCTCTAGATATCTCGAACATGAATTTCTTTCACGATACAAATCCTCCAATATCATCCTTCTCCGTCCCAGCATGTCATTCATGATCTTCCAAACCCCCGATCCACGCACCCTCCGCGAAGCACTCCCGGACTTCACTCGAGCCACCCATGTCTTCCTCCCCATCAACGACTGCCGCAACGTCTCTCAAGCAGAAGGAGGCACACACTGGTCCCTCCTGTTGATCTCAGTCGTTGACCGCATCGCATTCCACTACGACTCTCTATACCAAGGAAACGTCTGGGAGGCAGACACGGTGACTCGCAAATTCGGACACCTCCTAAACATGCCCATTAGGTTCCTGCATCTAAACGACTCACCCCAGCAAGCCGGCGACAGCGACTGTGGCGTATACGTGTGTATGAACATGCGCCATCTTCTCATGAAGCGGTTGCTGATGGCGAGCTCACATGAGAAGGTGAGTATGAGTCTCGGAGGGCGGAAGGTCGATGCCAATGCCTCTCGCAAAGAGATGGCTAAGATCATCGAAGGGTTCCGGAAAGAAGGCGAGCGCCGACGATCGTATGTCACCCTTGATTCACCGAGCTGTACAGTGCAGTAGGGGAAACAGAAGTAAGAGGCTAATATTGGAACTTTTAGAACAAGCGCCAGTCCTATGGGGAAGAAATCGAGGAGTCCGCCACGTGTTGATTGATTGGTCTTTCCTTATGCTTATGAGTTTACGTCTTCTTTATGGTTCCCTTGCACACTCTCAGACTCTTTCAAAGACAAAGCTTCGTCAAACACATGTGGACATTACATTGACGATCGTGTACTTACCAGCGTTGCATTACTTGAATGCGTATCATGAACTACATAATATTCTTCAATGTACGTTGTATTGTGCTATCTACTTCTCATACGGTTCTTTTTATGGGTTTCTCGAAGGAATTTACATACCTTGACATATCGCCACCAGTGGGATGGATCTTCTGTCGTCGAGTCCGGAAGTATCAAATCCCACGCTGATAACAAAGTTTGTTCGAATCCATCCTTTAGGAAAGTATCCAGCATTCTCCCAATCCATGACGCCGATAGCTCCAGTTTCTAGAGCACTTTCCACCCACGACGGAGAAGGGGCCGATAAGCCATGTATTTTTTATCAACCTGCTTGATGGACAGATGGACTCCCAGACGGGATTCACTGTTCGAAGCTTGATTAAATTTTCGACTTCGGTCATTGTTTAGAGCTTCGATAAGCCTGTTTAGTACAATGTGACTATGGGGTCTTGATGCTCGAAAGTCGGTGTGAGGGTGAGATGTGGCAGGGGTACATAGAAAGCTATATGGGGAACGGAGTATATTATACATACATGCTGCGAATACCCGGAACCAATGATTTATCATAAGAAGCCGAGTTTCTCTCATGACATATATATCAGGTAGGGCGTCTAAGCCGGTATATATCGACTACAATGTACTGTTTGCAAGGTTATGGGTGTAGTTGTGAGGCAGATGTGAAAGTTGATACATGTTGTACAATACCTAATTAGAATTAGGGAGTCAAGACCTGTGAACAAAAACAGCTAGAAGTTCGATCATCTTATAAAAGTCCTTATAAAAGTCAAGTCCATCTCCAGTTCGTTCATCATCTATCTAGACTGGTAGCTCCGTATCTTATCGCCGTGCGGAGCCGAAGCCCAAGCGCAACGTCAATTCCCCTCAACGTCTCCCGAATCCACTTTCCTTCTTGTTCATCATCTCCAACCTATTGAGAGTGACTCAAAATCCCAGTCGGGCTGAACCGGGTAGATGCCGCAGAACTCGAGAGGCGACACCGAGCAGAGCGGTAAGCGCCAATCGATCGGCAAGAGGAAGCTTTCTGATCAAGGAGAGCTGTCGCAGCCGCGATCGCAACAAACCATCTCCGAGCTCCTCTCCCAGAGCTATTCACCCGACAGCCTTGATCCGCAAACCCATAAGCGTTCTCGTCTGTCGCCGTCTCCCTCCCGCTTCTCCTCAACCCAAACCATCCCGCATAAGATGCATCCGATTTCCGGTTCCCCGCCCAAGAATGGCGCGCCTGGTCGGGGACTATCTGGGCCAAATGGCCCCACCAGGCCTCAAGGCTTGAACGCTCATGCCCGCCAAAACAACTTCTCTCCTCATACCGGCGCGAAAAAGCTCGTCGTCAAGAACCTTCGGACCGGACCTCGGCTTAACCAGGAATCATATTTCGATAAGGTGTGGTCGCAGTTGGATGCGGCTTTAACGGCTATTTTTGATGGCAGGAAACCAGAGAGCTCACTGGAAGAGTTATACAAAGGCGGAGAGAACGTGTGCCGCCAGGAGCGAGCAGCTTTGTTGGCTAAGAAGCTTCAGGATCGGTGCAGAGAGTTTGTCAGCGGGAAAATGCGCACGAATCTTGCTACCAGAGCTGGAGGTAGCACTGACGTCGATACATTGCGGGCAGTGATTGAGGCATGGTCAGCCTGGCACTCGAAGCTAGTATGTGGCAATGAAATACCTCGGATGGAGTTCACCGCTAACTTTTCCTCTCCCCCAGGTTACTATTCGCTGGATCTTCTATTATCTCGACCAGTCATTCCTCTTGCATTCCAAAGAACAACCGGTGATCCGTGAAATGGGATTGATTCAATTCCGGTCATACATCTTCTCCGACGCTAGTCTGAAGCCAAAGATTTTGAAAGGAGCATATGATTTGATCGAGGCGGATCGAGGCGGATTTACAAAGGCGTTGGCAGATTCAAGTCTGTTAAGAGAGGCCACAGAGCTTTTCCACAGCCTCGATGTTTATGGGAGTGACTTTGAGCCTTTATTCATGGCCAAGTCTGAGGAGTTTGTGAAGGAGTGGGCTCAACAACAAGCAGCAGGATCCCTGGCTGCATACGTTGAGAATTCTCACCAGTTGATCGAACGTGAAGTAGAACGGTGCGGGCTGTTCTCTTTCAATCGAAGCACGAAGCTCAAACTGTCCGAGCTCCTGGATGAGAGTCTAGTTACACAGCGAACGGACATGTTGACCAGCGAAAACGAAGTGCTTGGTTTGATGCGAGCCGGCAATAAGACCGCCTTGAAACAACTATACGGTCTGCTTGACCGGCGAGATCTTAGTCTCGATTTGAAGCCTGTATTTAGGAAGTACATCATCGAGGAGGGTGAGGGTATCGTGTTTGATCAAGAAAGCCAGGCCGACATGGTAATTTACCTGCTGCAATTCAAGCAAAAGGTTGATGGCATTTTGACCAGTGCTTTCGAGTCCAACGAGGAATTGGGCCACACGATTCGCGAAGCCTTTGGCGCCTTCATGAACCATGGCAAGAAGATGGACTCTACAGGTGGTACTGACAACCCAAAGTCAGGTGAAATGATCGCCAAATATGTGGATAGGCTGCTTAAGGGCGGTTACAAGTTGCCCGCCGGCCGTAATCCTGAGGAAATCAGCCTGATGTCCGACGATGCAGAGCTTGACCGCCAGCTTGATCAAGTTCTCGATCTTTTCCGTTTCGTACATGGAAAGGCCGTCTTTGAAGCCTTCTATAAGAACGACCTTGCCCGGCGTCTCTTGATGAAGCGAAGCGCGAGCAACGATGCGGAAAAGAGCATGTTGACTCGTTTGAAGAACGGTTTGTCGCATCGATCCTACTTTTTTGCGCTTTGACTAATGTTTGGTTAGAATGCGGGTCAAATTTCACTCATAACCTCGAGTCCATGTTCAACGACATGGACACTGCTAACGATGAAATGACGGCCTTCAGACGGTCGCAGCAGGAGGAGCGGAAGGGCCGATTTGAATTCGAAGTCAACGTGCTCTCTGCCGCCTCCTGGCCGACATACCCCGATGTCCCCGTACGGATTCCACCGAAGATCGCACGCTCGATCAACAAATTCGAGACGTTCTACCACAACAAACATACAGGACGCAAGCTCACCTGGAAACATCAACTGGCGCATTGTCAGCTGACTGCCAACTTCCCCCTTGGCAAGAAGAATCTGGTAGTCAGTTCGTTCCAGGCGATTGTATTGTTGCTATTTAACGATATCCCCGATGGCGAGAGCATGCAGTACCCCCAGATCCAAGAAGCGACCGGATTGTGTAAGTGGAGCATCTACAGCACCCCCAAAGTCGAACAATCCCTAATATGACATATGACACACAGCGGACCCGGAATTGAAGCGAACGCTCCAGTCTCTCGCATGCGCCAAGTACCGAGTCTTATCCAAGAACCCCAAGGGCAAGGATGTGAACTCCAGCGACCAATTCTCATACAACACGAGTTTCAGCGACAAGCAAATGCGCATCAAGATCAACCAGATCCAGTTGAAGGAGACCAAAGAGGAGACGAAAACGACACACGAGCGGGTTGCGGCCGACCGCCATTTCGAGACGCAAGCTGCCATCGTGCGCATTATGAAGAGCCGCAAATCCCTCAGCCATGCCGAGCTGATTGCGGAGGTTATCAATGCTACTAAGAGCCGGGGTGTTCTTCAGCCTGCTGAGATTAAAGGGGAGATTGAGAAGTACGTATCCTCATTAGTGACTACCCCGTCGTCCCCGGTTATGGTCTCTAACATTGTTTTTCGCTCTAGGTTGATTGAGAAGGAATACATCGAGCGCAAGGAAGGCACTAATCAATACAGTTACGTGTCATGAGGCATAATTTTTACATGTTGAGAGTTGAGAGTAGGTACTTCACTGAATGCATTATTTGGTTTATGTTCGAGTTGGACTATTTAGCGGGCAATTGATTGTATCTTTGGAGAAACAACGGAGTAGCTCCGGTCCCAAGCCACTGAAAGTACTTGACCTCGGCGACTGCCGATGGTTAAATAAAGCTAAAGTCACTAAGGACACTAAATTCCGGGAAATGCTCGTGTAGAGGGGTAGACCAAAGAGGAATTCCGCGCCACCATTGTAAATACCGTGGTCATTAGAATACTGAAGATATTACCCTGTAGATATAATGGAATACGTTGGGATAATATCGTGAATCATCAATATGAATCATCAATATCATACCAAAGTACGAATTAACAACCGAATGCATTTGATACCCACAATTAGAACCCCATGAGATCAACGATATTCAAAGGAACACCTCATGACCTCGAGCTATACATACCCCTGGATCTGACAGCAGATCCGAGTCCGGATGCCCCTTTCGTATGCTGTAGATCCCTTTTTTTTTTCGAGTCTCATGATGTCTCCACTTAGGAATTGCGGTATCCTAGTATTTGCCCTAGTGGCAATTGGCATTCGCACTGGCATTGAGATACTATGTTGTAGGTATGTATTATGAAGGACATCCCAATGAAAGCCGAGACCAGCATGAAGATGTGCTAGCCAGAAATACATCAATGTCTATAACTCATATACAAGCTCAGCAAGTAAGAGGTGGTAGGTGCACCAGGAATGCCGGCATACCTACCAAGTTGAGGTCGAACCAAAGTCCACTCGGGCGAGAGTGGACCAAAGTACATTGTACAGCTCTGGATGCATCGAATTATACATTCCAAGAATGTTCTCTGGCGGTGAAAACGCCCATTCGGACGATAGAAGACGCCTTTTCTGGAATGCGTGCCTGGCGGGATATCCCTAGAGGGTAAGCCGAACCGCAGATCCAGACCGATGTTCATGTGAGGTGGAAAAAAAAGGGAAAAAGAAATACGTACTCCATTGTACGATGTACACGATGTACACGATGTACGTACTCAGCTTCCTTAAAGAGAGGGTGCCCTCTACAGTTGAACACGTACATTGTACTCTCACACTTGTCCCCGACTATCCCGTACAACGTGAGTCCCAACAATTTGTACACTTGGCTATATACAAGTATCCTGACATGATCCCAGAGACTAAACCCACTTTTTCCCCGCCTTCAAGACTCAAAAGTCCAATCCGAGAGCTTCTCGCCGGCATTGACTAGGTTACACTGGGAATCTTGGAATCTTGGAAGCTTGGGAGCCTCCATATCCCCATTGGCGAACAGCCCCCGACATTTACTTGAATTACTTGGAGAAACATTTATACCACGACCCTCCCAAAATCCAGATCAAAATCTGTGATCCTCTTCTCTGTCTTTGAATCCAAAGTCCAAATATATCCACTAGTCGAAACTGTCCACTTTTGATCAACAATGCAGAGTACGCTCCACCTCTGATCCCCCGATCTTCCCCACATATCTGACCGTTCCCCAGCCAAACATTTCTTCACCGACCCGAACCACCTGGTTCTCACAGCGCTTAATTCGCTTACACTCACAAACCCATCTCTGGCCCTGGACCGACAGAACAAGATCATTTTCCGCCGTCCAGATGCGCCCCGTAGAGCAAACAAAGTCTCCATCGTGACCGGCGGCGGTTCCGGCCACGAGCCCGCATTCGCAGGCTTCGTCGGCCACGGACTCTGCGATGCCTCGGTCGCAGGTACAATCTTTGCCTCGCCATCTGCCGAGCAGATCCGCAGAGCGGTGATCGACCGCGTCCCCACTGATAACGGCGTGCTGATCCTTCCTATGAACTATACCGGCGATGTCCTGAACTTCGGTATGGCCACGGAGAAGTCCCGTGTTGCTGGTATCAAGACGGAATTCTTTGCTATCAATGATGATGTTGGTGTTGGTCGCGAGAAGGGTGGGAAGGTCGGTCGTCGCGGTATCGGTGGTGGTGTATTGATTCTGAAGATGGTTGGTGCATTGGCTGAAGCTGGGTGAGTTGATATTGATACATATGGCATGTTTTACCTACATGTTATACTTCTTTTTACAAGAATCGGATCAATGCTAACAACCCCTTTCACAGCGGCTCCCTGGACGACGTCTACGCTCTAGCCCAGCTAGCAAACGCAAACCTAGTCTCACTAGGCTCATCGCTGGAACACGTCCACGTGCCAGGCCGCGGTGTACCCGAAGACACGATCCCGCACGGCGAGGTCGAAGTCGGAATGGGAATCCACAACGAGCCCGGCTCGCACCGCGTGAAATTCGACCTCGTCGAGCTGGTCGAGGGCATGCTGCTCCAGCTACTCGACCACAACGATCCAGATCGCTGCTACGTGACCCGCAAGCCGGAGGACCAGTTCGTGCTGCTGATCAACAATCTCGGCGGTGTCAGCCCGCTCGAGATCGCCGGTATCACAGACGAAGTCTACCGCCAACTCCAGCGCGATTACCAGCTCAACATGGTCCGTGTGATCCAGGGCACTTTCCTGACCAGTCTGAATGGCCTTGGCTTCAGTATCTCGCTGATGAAGCTCGTCGACCCAGGTCTGGGCGTGAAAGCCACTATGCTTGAGCTTCTTGACGCCCCCGCTGAGGCGGTTGGCTGGTCTGCCCCGATCAATACCTCTACCTGGGAAAGCCACCGTAACGCGGAGCCCGCCGATCTGAAGACATCTAACCTAACAGAAGACATCCTCAGCAACCTACAGCGTAAGTTTCCATCACATCAATCCCCACAATCTCTCATACCCCCAAACTAACACAACCCCAGTCGACCCAACCCTCCTCCAAAAATCCCTCAACGCCGGCCTGCAACGCGTAATCAACGCCGAAGCCGAAGTAACCCGCTACGACACAATCGTCGGCGACGGCGACTGCGGCATCGGCCTAAAGCGCGGCGCCGAAGCCATCCAATCCCTCCTAGCCAACGCCTCCCCGGCCCTAACAAACGACGTCGTCAGCACGGTCGCACGAATCGTGACCGTCGTCGAGAACGTCATGGACGGGACCTCGGGGGCGATCTATGCGATTTTCCTGAACGCACTAGCACACGGTCTACTGGCGCAGAACACGTCCTCGCCGACGACGATCACGACAGAGACGTGGGCGAAGGCGTTGAAGTCTTCGCTCGCGGCATTGGGGAAATACACGCCTGCTAAGGTTGGTGATCGGACGCTTGTTGATGCGCTGGCGCCGTTTGTGGATACCTTGCTTGAGACTGGGGATGTGAGGGTTGCTGCGGCGGCGGCGCAGAAGGGCACGGAGTCGACGAAGGATATGAAGGCTAGTCTTGGGAGGACTGTTTATGTTGGTGGGGAGGAGGAGTGGATTGGGAAGATTCCTGATCCGGGGGCTTTTGGATTGTCGGAGTTTTTGTTGGGGCTTGCGGAGGGTGTTTAGGGTTGCGGGCTTTTGGGGATGGATGGGGTGTGATGGATATGGTTCCAAGATTCTTTTTGGGTCATTCTGAGTATACATAGCGACATACCTGGCTCCCCCTTTTCTCTTTTCTTGTTCATGGTTGTGTCTTGATATAGCTTGATATGGTCATTTTATGATAATGATATTCTTATTTGGTTGATACATTTCAGATTGGCTGTAGTGTTCAGTAGTTGGCGAAGAACTGGCTACAATAAGTTACATACATAATGTACCTCTCTGGGGTTTGGGTTTGGGCCTGGACAAGCCCTAACGTGCAAGAGTGAGACATCTCAGAATGATAAGCTCGTAGGGGGAATATGGATCACAAGATCTATGAAGCTTACGAACATCTACCGCGGTCCGATGAAATCTTTCTATAACATTCATTGCTAACCAGCTCTGCTCCAGGTTGACGCCGCCCGAGGATTCCCTCTACAAAAAAAACAACGGGTCTAGCAGCCCGCGCAAAGAATTGAACGCCAACAGGTTTTTTTTAGTCCATCCCCAGTTTGGAAGATCAAAAAACGAGACAAGACCAACCAGAACCGTCTCATACATGCAACGGTTACTTTGTAACAAGTAACCATGCCAATCAAGACAGTGGTAGCATCGGTCAATTGTGTTCTGGCGGGGACCAGAAGCAAGGGAGGAAAAGCGGGATGTGAGGGGAAAAGGAAAGAAAAAAGGGTATCGAGATCGATTACTTGATAACTCGCCCACTGAAAATGTTCGTGGGTTCGAGATGCTGTGCAAATAGCAGGATATCGACCATCCCGTAGATCGAAGATACCAAGATCATGTCAACGTGGAGATCGAAGTGTGCGAGAGAAAGTATGGCGAGACGCTCAGCTGAGCAGGACGAGGATGACGGAATCGCCGCGAAGGAACCTAGAAATAAGGCAGTAAGGTTAGAGACTGTTTCAAAGATAGGAAAGAGGGACGAAGATCCGTCCGCGGTCTGCACGTACATCTTGCTGATGAAACGGTCCTTGTTCACTCCCTTGCCCTTGGCACCCTTGGGCTTCTCGGTCCACATCTCCTTGACATTCTCGAGGACCATGTTGCAGTGTCGGTCAAAGGCCTTGACGCGGGCCAACAGCTTGCGGTTGTTTCGGCAGGAAATCAGGACCTGGGTGTGTGTGCGGGTGGCGGTCTGCAGGAGAGACAGGGGACCGGCGGTGAGCTCGTGCTCCTCGACGAGAGCGACCTCATATTCCCTGTTGAGATGCAAGATGCAAGATTAGTTTTTTTTTTCTATGGTATGTGCTTTGCGCAGCTTGCATAAGAATGTGAAGATGCCGGTCGCAAAGTTTCCGAGATACGGGCGTCGTAGGTAAACCCCGCGAGCCCACCGATCAGGCAGAAACTCCCGAGGTCAAGGGATCGTGATTACTCAGAATGAGAAAGATCGCATGGGAAGGGAGGGGGATAAATCCAATGTAACGGGTGTACATACGTGAGCTCGCTCTTCGGCTTGTTGAGAAGGTCTCTGTTCGGATTGTTAGCTGATTGGTCATGGACAGAGCTATGAGTCATTGATAGAGTAACATACTGAATCTGGGGTTCGGGAGCGGTCGACATGGTGGGTATAAAAAGGTCGTTGAGGTCAAGAGATGCCGTTGATGCAGCAGTGTGACAGTTGAAGTTGGCGGAGAGCTCAAGTCACGTGAAAATTTCGCAAACACCTGAGGAAATTGTCAACACCTTATATTTCAGGCACAAATTCCCAGCCATTTCCCGAGGTCGCGATTGGCTGCAGTCACGTCGCGTCACGCTTGTTTGGAGATCTTTCGAGATAGCTTTGACCCGCGCATGCAAGGCTTCTTAACCTCATCCCTTCCTCACTTTTCTCTCTTCCACTTTTGTCTGCTCATGCAGAGCTAGTGGAGAGACTATTGCTCTTTTTCTCCTGTTTAATTGGTAAGAATCGGTTTTTTTTACCTTTTCGGTGTCTATGCTTTCCCTCTGAGGGCATGCAAATCAATTGCTAACATTCCAGGCCTGCAGATAAAAAGACCCCTCCACTACCTATTCCTGCATAACCTGTCCATTCTCCCGGTCGACGAGATCCCAAATATGCACTGCTGATCGGCTAGCTCGCAAATACCTCCCCGTTCATTCCCGATCTTGAGTGAAAGGGCTTTCTTTAATCGACAATTTCGTTGCACACTCTCTCTCCCCTCTTTCTACCTGTCAACATTTTCGAACCTCAAGTCTCATACCTTCGACCATACTTAAATGCCATTCGCCCTTATTCTTCATTCCAACCCCAGAATTTGATTCACTGTCTTGCATGGTGGGCAAACAAGGTCTGATGAGATGGAATCTCAGGACGGTATCGATGTCCGCCCTATGAGGCGTATGTTTTCCACTACTGTTCTAATGAGGTCAATTGGGTGGCAACTAAACATGGTTATCCTACAGTGAAAGTTCTTTATACATTCGACAACGAAAATAAGACAAATTGCCTTGCTCGGTGGCCACACGTGCTCGACATCCAAACCGCCTTTCTAGACGAGAACACCCCGGTTGGAGTGATCGAGTTGAAAACATGCATCCAGGCGATCGTCTCTGCTAGGTTTGACTTCCTTACCCTCGGGTGACCAAAAATAGCATACTTACGCAGTTCTTTGTTCAGCCCGGAGCTTGTGGGTCAGTTAGGAAAGGATTATACCGTCTATGCCTACGACTATTCCGAATTCGAAACCCCTCTTGTCGGGCAAGGCATGCTTTCTGGAGTGCTGGCCACCTTTTCATCGACATCCGAGACGCCCAACAGCATGTCGAAGACCATGATTACTGGTCGAGTTTGCAAGAGCCCTCTCAGTGGTCTCTTCTCTAAAGGTGCCCAAGAGACGTTGGAGGTCAAATTACGGCTGGTGCCTGTCCCAACCGTTACTCAGAGTGAGTACTTCACCAGCATGCAGAAGCATCAGAAGTTGACCAATGACAATTCAGGCGACTTTGACACGCAATCATGGACAAATTTTGTTCGTCAAAACCCCGCCCTTCTGGAATCCTCGAGAAGCCAGAGCCACAACGACAACGCCGGATCACCAATACATCAATCTGGGATTGAGAGGTTCCACCAGCTCTTGAGTGAAGGCTCCACGCCACGGGAGTTCGCTACATTCCACCACAATGGATCGGTTCGCTCGGTATCGCCTTCGCACTCATACGCTGGCAGTCGAGTGTCAACACCTGGTGGATGTCGAACACCAGCTCATCATCAATCTTACCCCAAGCAGAGCATTCCCCATAGTGATATGATTCGTCCGTCCTCGAGCGCCTCTATGCGGGATTGCGACACCCAGACACAGCTTTCACACGTCTCACAAAACAACCTTCGAAGAGGGTCCATTCAGTCAGGATACGGCAGTGGTGATGAAGAATCAACGGAGGCACCAGCCCGGAAGAGGGCCAAGGTGTATCAAGCAAACTGGCCCGGAAAGTCAGGTATGAACATCGAAAGACAACCCAGTTCGCTTCGAGTTGCAGCCAGCACGGCGGCCTCTGTACGAATCCACCGCCCAACCCCCGTGAACCCTGCTCTCGCGGCCGAACATGCCCACGAAGAGCCCGTCCGTCCACCCACCCCAATATCTCAACCGTCTGATTTCCCCCGTCGAAGCCGACCCACGGGTAGCTTGTTGCGGGAGTCGTCAAGCATGAGCATTGCCTCGTGTCCTCCTTCGTACAATTCTCCATACTGCATGAGCGATGACGTCCCTACCACAGATGCTGGCGGTCCCTCTCCTGAGGATACTCGCTACCAAGGTCTCTTTGAGCCGTCTTTCAACATGCCATCATCACCTCCAGTTTTCGATAGCCGGGTACCAAATAGATCAAGCCCTGTCTTGCCTACCATGTCTCTGGACAACGACTCCGGCTTCATGAGTGCAGGACCGGATGAAACCATGGACGATGAAACCGTTATTCCCCTAGATGACCCCAGAATGGAAGTGTCTCGTGGGATAACCCGAGACAAGTGCTCTGTTCGGGCTCCCGTGCAGGCGAGCTCTCCAGTCAGCATTGTCAGCGCTGCCCAGGGAACCAACAATGATCCTCTCCCCGTCGATGACAATCCAACGGAGCAGGTTGCAAAGCAGACGCCGCGTCCAATATCTCGTGCTCCCCCCTCTCGCCCCGCTCAATCCGTTCCCACGTCCCGTCCCGCCACAGCTACTACATCGAGACCTTCTTCGAGACCTTCATCTAGCTCTGGCGCACAACGCTTGGCACCAAAGCCCCTCGCGCCGGCGCCATATATCTTCAGCAATGAAGTTCCCCAAATGTTTCGCGCAATCCCCGCTAGCGACCCCATTATTCCTCCGCGCTCTGCTGTGCCTGTGGATGTCACTTTCATGCCGTGTGAGACAGCTAATTCCAATTCCAAGCAGCCGAAACAATCTTCGAAGTCAAAGTCATTGCCAAAGCAGGGATCCAAGGCGGTGCCGAAGAACATAAAGGCACGCCTGGACAATGCTATTCTCAACGGGTTGATTCCGCCGTATTGCGAGAATTGCGGCTCTATCGAAACCGCTAGCTGGCGGCGAGCGTGGGTGAAAACGCTTAAGGGCGGCGAGAGCCTTGCAGAAGAGATGATGAAGTCTTCCCCCATGCTCTATTGGGAGGCCGTGGACCGAAACGACAAGGGTGAAGTCCAAAGTTTCAAGATCTACAAAAAGGCTCTCGAGCAGGACGATAATGATTGGGACCAGATGACCTTCTGCAATCCTTGTGGCTTGTGGCTCCACAAATTCAAACAAATGCGCCCCGAAGACAAATGGACCAAGCCAGGAGCAGCAAAGCCGGCCAACAAAAAGAACAAAAAGCGCCCTTCGAGGAACCGCGCAGAGGGCCAGGCCAAGTCCTGCCCTGCTGCCAGAACTCGGAGCAAGGCTGCACCAAAGAAGCCTTCGGCTTCCTCTCCAGCACCCACTGAAGCGTCTTCGGTCCATCCCGATGGGGAGACTCCCCAAATGGACCATGACGATGATGATGATCAGGACGGCGAAGCGGATTATTCTCCCAACGAGTCTCCTCGAGCCACCAGTGCCGAGTCGGAAGGGACGTTTGATACCCCAGGACGCCGTTGGTCCAAGGAGGACGCCAGAGAGGTACTGGCGCGCGCCACTAAGTCTAGCCCAGCGAGCCGTATGCAAGCCCGCTCTGCTCCAGTGACAGATGCCAACAGTCCCACCCCCAAGCCTTTGAGGAGGTCACTTTTCCAGAATTCCCAGAATGAAGGGCCTCTGAAGGAGCTTGATTCTTCTATGGTGAACAACTGCTCTCCGCGTCGCAGCCCTCGCATTGCCTCCACAAAGGATGACAAGCCGGGTCAGCAGAAGGAGAACCTTGCACCCACTCCGGTTGATGACCTCGATGATCTGTTCGAAAGCCCCTCTATTGGATTTGATTCAGCAAGCCCTACTCCTCGTCGACGGAACCCGCGGATCAATGCGATTGACAAGCGTTTGTCTTTCCCCGCAAACTCCCCAAGCCTCAACAAACGCAAGGACCTGGGCTCGGTTATGTCTCCAGCTCGACTGTCCGCAGAGCGCCTGCAGCGTATCCAATCAATTCACGGAAGCCCTCGGTCTTCACCACGGCAACAGAAGTCCCCGGCTAAGCAACAGTCTTTGGCACCACAGCCTGTCAACGACAGTCTTCCGGAAACCTTCCAGTCCCTTGATGGCATGATGCTCGACATATTCGATGACGACAAGGCCGAGGCTTTCTTCGAAATGGAGAACGCCAAGTTCGCTGGTGACAACTGGGCGGAGTGGCTTCCAGCAGACTACGTCTCCCCTGCTGGATCTTGCGAAACTCCTGCCAACGAGCTGCTCAATGCTCTCTTCTCGGACAACCCCAATGAGAAAGACAACTTCAACCCCGATCTCCTTCCCTTCAATTTCAACGATGTTGTCATTCCCGACTCCGGGTTCTTCAGTTCGGATGCTCTCATCACTGACGCACCCAAGAGCCAGCCCGCTGGTGAAGAGCCCGAAGGCCAGTAGGCCACCTCCTCGTCTAAGACTGGGAGATTTGCTACATGCCAACTCAATCATGTTTCCTTTTTTTCCTTTTTTCTTTTGCAGTTTTTTTTAGCGACGGCGTTGGGTTTATGGGTTGATCTTGTTGCATACAGCCAACGGATCCTGACTTTCACCTTGAGATTTACGGCCTTTTCTTATTCGTTCGAACTGATGACCTAGAGTATCCTTGACAGGACTCTGATACTGCATTCGCTGTACCTTTGGTGGATGCATTCCCCTGAAGTGGAAGCGGTGGTCTTTCTTAGCTGCTTTCCTATGTAGCTTTTATGATAGCACGAAATACTAAATCAAATTAAAAATCACAATAACCATACCCTGGCTTGCCGTAGACTCCATTGATGAGTATCAAAACAAATGATAACTAGTACCTACCGGATTTTAGGCCGCGCGAGATGGCTCTCCCTTTCCGTTTTAGTGCTCACCCCTTGTCGTTTTTTGCTCACTGAGCGTGACCCGTATACGGATCTCGGCCCAAGAAACATTATAGTGGAGGATATGCCAATAACTGGTAGTGTCGGTATCATTGATTAGGAAGTTGCTAGCTTTTTCCTAAAGGGGTGGATTCGAACTAAGTTTCCGGATTTAGCTATGGATATACCACAGGAGTGGAGGTCGGGGGTTTAAGAATTACTCGGGGCTTATAGGTTCGAAGACTATCTATCGCAGTTTGTGTCCTAGTAAGATTAAGATCTTACTATAGGTGCGAGGTCGTTGTTTATAACCCCTTCATTCCATATTAACTTATGTCTCTTAAGTTTCGTAATTAGCTCTACCCATTAATGAAACCGTAATATTTCCATCGTATGCACAATGGTGAGCCTATCCCCATACCTCAATCTATACTAAGCCATAACCTTCGCGTCGGGTTCTACAAAGGTCATTGGTTGTGTAGCAGAACTTCATACTAGAAGAAAATAATATATTTAGTTTATGGATCGTCCGATAGAGCAAAATTGGTCGATCGTAGAACTGAAAATATGACATATATTTTCTGTAGCTTGATTTCACAAAGTCAAGATATCAATAATAGTGCAATGCAACGATGCAAGCGTCCATTTCGATAATAGGAATTTCGCTTCAAAGACATGATATGTTGAATATCATACATATGTTGAATATTATATATACCGAGAACTATCAACCACGTCCACAAACCATCTCGCTAGGAGATTTATCTGCCATCACATTGCCTCATTTCCCTTGCGCAGCCGCGGCCTTCTCCTTGTCATCAATGGTCTTGGCAATAGCCGGGCGAGCCTTGATACGGTTCAACCAGGAATTAACATGCGGGAAGCTCTTCTCGAGATCCATTTCGTTCGACCAGAAGAGCGCAGCCACCTCGAACCACGGCACAAAAGCAGTATCAACATAGCTGTACTTGCCACCAACGAGGTACTCCTTGTTCTGGAGCGATCGGTTGAGCACGCCCGAAACACGACGGATCTCATTAACGTAGCGCTCGACCGCACTAGGCACCTTCTCGGGGTGGTAGACGGTAAACCAGGTGGCCTGTCCGAAGTACGGTCCCTGGCCGGACACCTGGTAGTGTAGCCACTGCTTGCTTTCGTAGTACTCCTTCGAGCCGGTGGTGAAGCTGATGGTGTTTTGCTTATCGTATGTGTCCACCAGGTACTCGAGAATAGCGCCGGATTCCCAGATGGTGATTCCGGTGTTCGGATCCTCGATGGCGGGAACACGACCGTTAGGATTAACAGACTCGTAGGGTTCCTTCTTTAGATCGTCGAGATCGACCAACTTAGGCTCGTAGGGAACCTTGAGCTCTTCCAGGATCATGAGGACCTTCCAGGGGTTGGGCGTGCCGGCGTGGCCCCGGAGGGTCCAGAGAGTGAGGGGTTTGAGAGACATGGCGAGTGAATGAATGATTGATTTGGTGGAAGAGAGTTTGATATAGAGACAACAAGGATCGAGGGTTGGTCTACTTATAAGTACCGGTATACTCCAATGGCGGGAACATCAGGGCATGAATTATTCAGTTCGGCACCCGTGAAGACCGAACGGTTGGTAAGCTGGATAGTTGTTCGTAAGCTGGACAGTTAGTTCTGTGATTTTCATCATTTATCAGGCTTTAGTTACATATGTATCAACACAAACCACGGACTATGGAGCCAAGCATGGTCCCCGGGACGTTGATTGGTCCTTGGTCATCAACACAAACAGCACAAACTTTGACAAACAGCACAAACTATACAAACAACACTTGCTCAAGTGGAGTGGGTGGATTAATAATTGTGGGGCGTAGCAGAACTATTGGTGGTCATCAACACCGCAGTCTAAGGGCGTTCACTGAGCATGACCTGAGTGAGCATAACCAGAACATGATTTAAGCATCATTAAGCATGACCTGGCATTCACTAACTACCGAATCTGATCTATTTGGAGGAGATTATATATAAGCACCCTCCGATGTGTCTTTTTATATGTCTTTTTTTATGTCCTCTCAGGTGTATATGAAGGCAGTGAAAAGTATAAACTGGGCAGACGACTTTTCTATGTATAACCTTTGATACAGACGTAGATGACAACCAGTGACCCGAGACGTAAAAATGACAAGAGCAAAGGGCCATTTTGGGAAGTTAGTAAATTCTTTGTGCATGAGCGATGACGTCCCTACTACAGACGCCGGTCCCTCTCCTGAGGATACTCGCTAGGTCTCTTTGAACCTTGGTCCGTCCTATAACCAGATACGCAGTCCCATTCTTTTTAAGCTCCGGTGCAATCTCATGTCTCTCGAAGAACATCATCGAATATCATCCACTGGCAACATGGAGAAAGTGGACCGTTACCAACCAACCAGTCAGAACGACAACACTGTACATGTTCTGCTAGCCTTCAACACTCACCTTCCGCCAGATGGCCGAGTCAATTTTGTGCCGATCTCCAGTCTTTGCAAACAAACCAAGAAATTTACGATCATGCTGAGTCCTTGGTCAACGGTCTGCTTGTCCCAATACCGAACCTCCCCTCGACGCCTACTATATCCCCACGTGCTGGCATGGAAGACTGTTCAGTCCACGGGGCCGTTGATGAGAGAACCCCGTCTGAAGGAAGATTGCCTCAAGCGCGATGGCAAGATATGAGTTGTGACTGCCCTTTTTGATATGCGATCTGTCGATTGGAACGACACACAAATTCTATGACAGTGGCCCGTGATTTTCGTTACTCCTTTGATCTCTTCGAGTTTGCTTTCGAAGAGACTTCACAACCCCACGATACAGACTGAGGAACTACCGGCCACAGTTATTCTTACCGCATGGTCTCCCTCGAGCGGTCACATTCAAATGTTACGACCCGCAGTACGCACTCGCTGAAAGAAATACTCGGTCTCTCCGGGGAGGTTTGCGAAAAACCAAGTGGTGGATTTGCGATTTTCAATACCAAGCACCCAAATATATCCATCCCATATTCATTGTACAGTTAGTTACCCAGATACATTATTATCAAGGGCTCCCTTCAGTGCTTGGTAGGTTCAGCTCAATTTAAAATCTTGATTGGGAGAAGCTTTGATCATAACCTCATATGTAAAACGCAAAAACCGGGGAATCACAGAGGGAGAATCACAGACAGCATCGACTTCCCAGGCCCGGTCAAACAGACACCTACTCCATAGGCTCCAATGTAGAGTGCTGATAATGTCATAATGACCAGACTAATTTGTAGTCTTGGTATATTCCAGTCTCATATCAGACCCGGAACAAACCCCTCAGAAAAACGGCCATATATTCAAATCCCTCAACTCATGACCCATTAATCGTAGAAGATAGTCTTGAATTTATGCGTAGCATTGACAACATTCTCATAGATCTTATAATCTAGAATCACAACACACACAAAAGTCAGTCTCTGGCCACTTCACCTCAAGGGAAAGCATTCAACACATACCGCAATCAGCTGGGTCACCCCACTCCGTCGAGCCCAGTACGCGGATTCCGTATCCCTACAAGAAGCAAAGCATTAGCACCACACTCTACAAAGCCGTAAAAGTTCAAACTCGAGATATCAAGTCCATATCCCTCCGGAATCAATGTTGAACATACCTGTCCACCCTCTAGATCAGCCACCTTCCCCACAATCTCAACCAGCTTCCCGACTTGCAAGCGCGCATCGGACTTCAAGATCAGCGTGACATCGCCATTGGTGCCGCAGGTGAGTGTGCCGGTGTTCCCGTGGAGCGCGGTGACGGTGCCGAGAATGCGAACAGTGTTCGAGCTAGCGCCGGAGGGGTGGAAGGCGTGGAGGTGGGAGGGGAGGATGCGGGGGGTTTGGAGTGACATTTTTTAATATTGGCAGTTCCTCGACTGTCTGAAACTTTGGTATTTGAATGTGTTGAGGTGATGGGTTTTCGTTGCTGTGATTTGATGCTGGAAAACGGCGGGGAATAGGTAAGGTTGATCGACGCGAGTCGCGGAAACGCGTGGTCACGTGGTGATTAATTAGTATGAAATGGCTAAGTGGAAGTTTTAAGGATATCAGGAAATATTATGTGAGCGCAGCCTTAGTTGAGAATTATGTTTTGGGTTGCGCCGAGAGAAAAACTATCTACATTGTAGGCACAATAAATCAACCTCTGAGTTGTCGCAGTCAGTTACCACTTCTGCCCTCGTACAGCTTTTTGATAACATCACGTGATCACATATCAATCTCCAGCAAAAGCTTCAGCCCGATACGTCAATTCAACAAGTCACCACCATACCATACTACGGAGCAGACCTGGCGCAATTTTCTGGCGCTCAACTGCAAGATAGAGAACGGAGCTCTACGTATCTCCACCATAACCGACACTCACCCTCCTTCCACACTCATCACATCCGACCATAATGCCTCCTCCATTCCCCTCGTCCCACCGGGGAATGACCAAAAACCCCGTTAGACCAACTCGCTACCGCCCTGGAAAGGCTGTCGCAGAAGAGCACTCGTCCGAGGAGGAAGAAGAAGAGGAAGAAGATGATGAACGGGAGGCGCGACGAGAACAAGAGCGGCGCAGACGAGCGGAAGCACTGCGCCGAGCAAAAGCGCCCAAAGCGAGCTCATTCCCCGCCTCTGCATTAGCAGCTCAAAAAGTTGAGGAGGACGATGACGAAGAAGGGTTCGTCACCGAAGACGAAGAAGATGACAAGTCCGCACCCGCACCCGCGCCGAAAGCAGTACCGCATCCTACGACTGACGATATAAAACCTACTGTGTCCACAACTGCCCCGGAGAGTGACGAAGAGGAAGAAGAAGAGGAGGAGGGGGAAGAGGAAGAAAGCTCCGAAGAAGAGAGCAGTTCCGAAGACGAAGCACCCCGCCGCATGCTCATCCGACCAACATTCATCAAAAAAGACAAGCGCAACACCGCAGCCTCAGCAGCCGGCCAGACGCAGGCACAAGCAGACGCAGAACGCGCCGCAGAAGCGGAAACCCAGCGCGCCGCGCAGCGACAAGAAAAAGCAGACCAACTAATCCGCGACCAACTGGAGAAAGAAGCGATCGCGCGGTCAAGCGCGAACCGTGCCTGGGACTACGACGAGCTCGTCGAAGCCGAAGACGAAGAAGCCATCGACGACACAGACGGGCTAGACCCGGAAGCCGAGCGGGCAGCCTGGACACTCCGGGAGCTGAAGCGCGTGCAGCGATCCCGGGAAGCGATCGAAGCGAGCGAGAAAGAGCTCGAAGAGATCGAGCGTCGGCGAAACCTTACAGCTGAAGAGCGGGAGCGCGAGGACAGCGAGTTCATCGCGAAGCAGAAGGAGGACCGCGATGCCACGCGCGGACAGACTGGCTTTATGCAGCGGTATTTCCACAAGGGTGCTTTCTTCCGTGGGGATCTTGAGGCGGAGGGTCTGGATCGGCGTGAGCTTATGGGTGCGCGCTTTGAGGATGATGTCAATCGTGATACGTTGCCGCAGTACATGCAGGTGCGCGATATGACGAAGCTTGGGAAGAAGGGTCGCACGCGCTATAGGGATCTTAAGACTGAGGATACCGGGCGGTTTGGGGATGGGTTGGAGAATAGGAGGAGGAGGGATGGGCCTCCTGAGGGCGTTACGGATGAGAGGTTTATGCCTGATCGTCGTGGGGGTGGTGATGATGGGGATCGTGGACCGACGGGTGCCAATGCTAGTGTTGTTAGACCCCGGCGCAGGTCCAGGTCGCGTTCGCCGAAGCGGGAGCGACGTGATGATAGAGACTCTGGTCGGTTTGAACGGAGTCGGTCTAGGGAGAGACGGAAGCGGAGTCCGTCGCCTTATGATGATCGGGAGAAACGTCGGCGGGTGGACAGTTCGTGATGATTCAGTGGTGAAGCGGACAGTGTTGATATCCTACTTGGCTGTTGGCGTTAGGACGCCAGTCTATCAAAAGGTGCATGGTGGGGTCTGCTTCTAGATATGTTAATTTCGAGCAACCAATGTGCCAATCTCTTTTGTGTATGTACATATACGTAATATAGCATATCCTCTCCTGGAGGAATTGTATTGTATGATATCTATCTGCTGGCCGACAATCAAGGACTTTTGTACATGATCCACAGCAGATTCCAAGAACAGTGAACAAGTTCCTCAGATCGACCGTCCAGACTTGTACTTGCATGACTTCGTGAATGGAATGCCGGTGCCGGAATCAAAGATCACCAAAGAGCCGCAGACTAAGAGCGCCATAATCACCCTATCGCATCTCAAACGCCGTAGATCTACCATGCACACATCGATCAGCCTGCAGCCTGCCAAACACCGCTGTAGCCCGAATGCAAGCTCATTTGTTATTTAACACCGGCCCTCTCGAGCACCTTCTCTCTCTCCATAACCGGATCCCCAAAGCGAACCAAGAACACCGTCCGACTAGGCCAGAGTTCCGTGGGCTGATTATGCGCCGAGACCTTCGTCTCAAAGCCACATCCGTCACAGACACCTTCGATGATACCGGCAACATAGGCAGCGCAGTTGAGCATGCTCATATCGCGGGGAGCGCTGATATATGTGTTGACCATTGGGTCATTATCGGTGATCATGTATTCGTTGGGGGTATCCGGAGACACGGAGTGCTCGAGGGGCATCTGCGGCGCGGCCGAAGAGGAGGCGCCAGAGGGGGCCGTGGATCAGGTGCAGCAGGGTTATGATGCGGAGGGGTCGGTTTGGGGGTGAAGAGGAGGTGGAGGAACTTGAGAGGGCGGAGGAGGATGTTGAGGTTGAGCGGTAGAAGAGGAGGTCGAGGAGGCGGAGGCCGAGGGGGTAGCCTTGTTCGTTTAACCTGGGTGGAGGGGTCGTTAGCTACGGAGGTTTGGCAGGTACATGGTGATAATTGGTTTCTGGGAGGGCTGGGCAGAGGATTCCAGGTTTGAATCAGGGGTGTCTCGTACCGTTTCTCCAGATCTTGGATACCTGTTACTCGTCGTTGAGCATATGTGACCATCTCCCCGAATAGAAAGGCGAAGCTTGCCCGGCTGAGTTCTGCATTACGAGTCCGGTTCAGGTGTCTGTCGTAGATGGTCTTGCGATTGGAAGGTACACGCAGCCCAGGGGATTGTTGTGACAGCTGGGCTTGCTGTGTTTGCTGTATTTGTGGTCTATCGCTCGGCGCTGTGCCGCCATTGCTGATGGATTGCATCGTGGCATGTCGAGGTGGTGCCGCCATGGGAATGGCGTTGCAATTTGGATCAGGGTCGGGCAATATTGATTGAGAGCTTGAAGATCTGGTCAAGTTGAGGTATCTATGTGAGGGTTGGAGGTCGTATGGGTACAGTGGATGCGGTACGGCGGAGCACAACTCCCTCGGGTGCAATCTTGCGAGATTTTACTTTTATGCTGAGAGGAACTACGAATTTGGCTATAAAATAATACGAAAAGATCTGATTGGAAGAAGTTTGTAGACAAAACTGTCATTTATTTGATGATGATATACTGAAAGTTCTAACTGCTGACTTCAACAACCGACGCAGCACATCACTCGAGATATCCTCTTGAGCCCAGTTGTGCGATGCAGCGACGAGAATCTCCAGCAACAGTGAAAGTAGCTATAGAGCCGGACACTGGACACTGCAAAGCGATGATATGGATGTATGATATCGAAGAACGAACGTTTTCAACCAAAAGGGATCCTGTTTCTGAGAGACAATTAGCAACCGTCTCGACTGCAAAGATGAAATGCAAAGAATTCATAAAAAGAACAGCCAAATAGTTCTCAGACATCCAAGGAAGATATTCCGCTCAATGCCGCCTTGATTGGGTTCAAGCGACGGCTAGCGTGGAAACTGCGAATGTAGGAAGATTTTCATCATCGAACGGCGCGAGGCCGTTGGCTGGGGGGAAATATGCAATGCAAGAGAAAAAACAGTTGCAAACTTACCAAGTCAGTTGAGAAGAGTATATGTGAATCTATTTCACATATCCTCTGAAGTTGCCTCACTATCGGAGTTCAAAGCCAACATTAAGACTTCGAAACCGAGTTGGTTGAGGAAGATGAAGAAGAAGAATTTTCGGGCCGGGCGATGGCCTTTTATAGGGCCGAGTGGAGCTTGGCAGCTTCTAGTGAAAAAAAAAAAAGTGTGTCCACTTCGAAAAAATAAAAACAAATGGCTGGGAATTATAGCTAACTATTAGCTAAAAATAATAAATAGTCTTGTTCTTATTTTTTTAAATAGCTAATCCCAGGTCATATCGTTTTCGTAGATTCTGATAAAAGCATGTACGCCCCAAAATGAACCACCCAGTGGCTGTAACCCAAGCAATTGAACCAAATAGACACCAAATATGTTCATGAAAGAGAAAGGGAAAGAGGAAGAAAGAGCCAAACGTCATGCCGAAAAGCATTTTCTCCCCTCCAGCTACTTGAAGCTCTTCTGCTTCTGTCGCGAATTCCAATTCAAAGTCTTGGAGATGCTGTGCACCCAGCCTTCACCTTGCCCACCGGGAGGCAAGACATTGGCAAAGGGATATCTCGAGGCTGACACAGTAACATAGTCACCGGGATGTAACTCAACTCTGGGGTTTGTCAGTCAGATAACAGACCCAAGTACAATGGCATATGTAACAAATGTAAGAAACTCACCTCTCTCGTCCATCAAAGCTAGCCCATGAGCTCGTACGCGCATCGTACGGCACACCCATGCGCAAGACAATGGTGTCTGGTAGAATAATCGGTCGGAAGGATAGCGTGTGGGCGCAGATGGCGGTGACAAGAATGACGGGGTTCTCGGGGTGCGAAAGAGAGCCGCCAGCAGCGAGGTTGTAAGCAGTCGATCCAGTTGGGGTAGCAATGCAGATTCCGTCAGCAAGCAGAGTAGTGAAATGCTCGTCGTCCCCGAAGAGTTCGATTTGAGACATGGCTAGGGAAGATTGGTTAGCTGTCTGCCGTGAAACCTAACACGTAACACTGAGGGGAGAATCGCAATCAGAAATCAGAAGGCATACTTGGGTTTGGCCCCCGGTCGAGGACTACATCGTTGAGAATCTCATACACATTAGCTGGGGTGTGCGTCAGTGTGTCCTCCCCTTCCTCTCCGATCAGTTCCTCTACCAGGTCACGTTCTGATAGAGAGCGCGCGTGCGGGTCTCTTAACCGCGCTTTGCTGCGCATGATGGTACATTCGAACCGTAGCCGTAGGCTGACGAAAACGCCTTCCCGGAAAGCATTATCGAGGCTCTTCTGGTAATCTGCAAAGTCGAAATTGGTCAAGAATCCCAGCGAGCCAAGCGCAAAGGAGAGTACGGGTGGCACGATGCGCTGGAACAGCCAGCTCGTGTATAGAACGGTTCCGTCTCCGCCGAGCGTGATCACAAAATCAAACAAATGCGGTTGTTCTTGCGCAAGCTTGGGATCCCAGTACTTAAGCCGGCCCTCGGCGGAGGGCTCATCTTGTACCAGTTGCAACGCACCGAAGTCCGGATGCGTCTCGAGCCGCCGCTCGACATATACCACGTACAGAGAGTCCCGGTCCTTGGAGAGTAGCCACCTTGTAACTTTTCGAGTCAGGCTTACGAGCGACTCGTCCTGCGCTTTGGTGACCACGAACACAGTCCTCACGGTGAGCTTGAGCTTGAGGCTGCCCAGCTTCTTGGATAGCTTGCGCACATTCCAAGCCATGTCTGAGAGCTGTCTCTTCGTAAGATGCCGGGATTCGATGATTGTGGGTATGGGTTTGTTGTCGCGGTCGACAACCGTGACCAGTTGCTCTGCCTCAATACCTTTGGTATTTGTCACGGGTTGGGTCTCGTCCTCGTTCAATGTCCGTACCGCATCTTCTGAGTCTTCTGTGTCTTTCAGGTGGTGTGGGGGTGAGGTCCACTCGCTCGCAATGAGGGAGTGGACATAGCAGGCGGTCGTCCTGTCTTGCTGAGCTGGGTGAGGTTGGACCCTCGGCCTGTCCATCGTAGCAAGGGAGGACTTGCGACGGTGGTTGGAATCGGGATAGAACACGACCTGGGTAACGATATGCGCTTAGTATGGAACTATCATGGGAGTCAACCTGCTTACCTCCAGATGATTCTGAGCCTCCGTATCGCTCGCCCCTCCATCGTTCTATAATAGTATTGGTCAGTCACTACAATACCCCCAAGCCAGTCCATCAACACTTACATCATCCGTAGCTGCCTTATCCATCGTGCAGAAGTACTGTAATTTCCCTATTGATCACTCTGTCATGGTTGACTTGTCCGAGCTCGTGTTGGTTTCATAAAAGAAGTGGGTAGCTGGGTAGTTGTACCCCACCACCGGTGCTTGGTGCACCAAAAATCTAGGAAAGAGGTATCTTTTGTATGGCTTACCTATATAAAAGGTACATGTACATAACCTCGATTTTTCTTTGCCCTCGAACTAGCTAAAGGAAGAGTAAGAGTACTAACATAAACTTTTTTCACACTATACTCATCTTCCTACATCTTCCTTACCTACCTCGTAGGACAACGAAAATACATGTTATGCCTAAAGTACCTTTAGTATTGTATTCCATACAAAAGATACCTAATTTCTTTTGTTCGCTGAAGAATACCGGGCTTGGCACAATTATGACGTAGACCATAGGTCCAGGAACACAACTTCTAACAAATGGCCGATTTTCCGGGGTGAATGTCTTAACTTGATGTGTAAGAGATCTTATTTAAATAGATTGATTCTATACGCTTTTCTGTCTTGGCAGTTCAGTCTAGCCTCGGAATATCTCGTTGTCAAGAAAACACCCTTTCTACAGATATATATCGCAACATGTGATCTGGTAGATTTGCTCGCTAACTTGACTCCCATACTTTACATCGAATTCTTCATCTCTCTCAATGCCGCCATAACCTCCACAGGGTCGGTCTTGCCAGTTACCTTTTGGATCTCGGGGTCCTGTGTGTTCTAAATGAGCAACGGCAGGTACAAAGACAAAGAACAAGAAACTTACATTGACGCGCATGAACACATTGTGGAGCTAAAGATTTGTCAGTGTCGACCAGAAATATCGCTTGGATCCAGCTCTTACCTTCTCGTCGCCGATGGTGAATTTCCCTTGTGTCTGCTTGTTCTGCTCCGCAAATGCCTGGAGCTTCTTGATAGGCTCTGTTTGCGAGACTGCAATGCAGAATTTGACATTGGCCTTGGTATACTCATGACCGGGCTAGAAGGGGTCAGCATGAGCCTTGTATCAACATAAAAAGGCAACCCTACATAAACTTTGGTGTCATCAGGCAGAGCCGCGAGGGTCTGGTTCAAGGCCTTGTGCATCTCCTTCGCATTTCCTTCGAAGAATCGGCCACATCCTGATTTTAAAATTAGTCAATGATACTCCATCAATAGACATGGGGATTGAAGTTTTGAGAATGATACACATCACATACCACCAATGAAGAGAGTATCGCCTGTGAAAACAACACGCTGGTCTCCATCTTGCATATAGTAACAGATGCTGTCTTGCGTGTGACAAGGAGTATGCAATGCCTTCACTGAGATACGATCTCCGATCTTGAATTCTTCGCCATGTGCGGGAGTCTTGGTGACAGACGCGCAGTCCTTGCCACCAATGACCTGGAGGCCCTTGAATTGTTTCAACTGGTGCGAACGTTAGCTTCAGGTAACACCCAATAGACCGAGAAAGCATGCATACAATGTCATTGTTGCCGCCAGCATGATCCCAGTGGCTTCAGCAAATGTCAGCAAACCTGGATTTTTTATGTCCTCCTTTTACCGATCCGTGAAAGTTCCATCTACGTACTGGTGAGTGTTAACAATGGCGGTCAGGTCAATCTTGCCAGAAGCAATCTGAGACTTGAGCTCCGGCGCAACCCTGTAATTCCACATAATCAGTTCAACTCATGCAGTAGTTTCAACCCGACCTAAAGATGCAACTGACTCAGGCGGATTGGCCGGATCAATAATAACCGACTGCTTAGTCGATTCGTCCGTCACGAGATAGGCATAGTTGTTGCCCTTCCCCGTCCCTGTAGAATTGATATAGATGAGCAAATATTCCTCCTACAATATGCCACTGTTGATTGGTAATATATATGACGGGACCTGGGATCGACATACACATAGGAATTGATTGGATATGCATAGCTCTGACTTGTGACCTGTATAAAGGTGATCTAGTTCCGAATAATTGCGTCCTTAGAAAGTTCATCACCAACGATGAATCAAAACAGTGCGGGGAGCTCTCGAAAGAAGTACACTCCCCAGGTGGATCTTCCGGATTACCAACGTCATCCGGAAGAACTATTTCCCCGTCTAGCTTGACAGCTTTTAGTAATGCCACCGCTTTTGATTGGTTGCTCGTTACTATGTAGCTGTCTTTATTGTATAGGGAATATTGGCTTTGGGTTCTCTAACGCTGCCAGCAGCGTATGCATTTTTGTGACTTGGAGAGATGTCCATCTAATTACTCGATACCACGCCCAAAGGTCGACTGTCCCATTTCTCCAGGAATCCCCATCCATGTTCCAGCAGCTTATCCGAGAGCTGAGATGGAACGTATTGCGAGTCATTTCTAACATGTTTCGGTTTCGAGATTCGGTTTTTGGTAGAAGGTCGAGCAGTAAGAACTGATTTGGGCTTGTCCGCCTGCTTTCTTAACCGATCTCCCAACATCTTTGTCCAGTGGTGTGGACTTTCATCGCAGGCTCGGAGAACATAGCTCTGGGGGCATGATTGCCTGTGGAACTCCCATGCAGGAGATGTCAAGATATGCGCGATCCACAGATACAGTGCCTTGGAAGACGCATCTGCCGATATATCGGTTGTGTTCTTAAAGGCTAGATCATTCACCAGATCTTCCGTCAAATGCCTCAAAAACGCAGGATGACTCTCTGCAACCTTTTGCAGAACCGGGTTCCATTCCTTGAATGTATCATTCAGCGAATCCCCAAGTCTAGAATATCACAGTCAGCATGTACTCCCCGAAAACAGATGCACCCCTGAAGACGCAGCCGAGACAAAACCCAAAAAAAGGGGGGGGGGGGGAAGCAAACTCACTCCCGTCCACTGGGCACCAATAATCCCCGCTCGAGTAAAACAGAAGACAAAAGCCTGACCCCAGTCGCCGAAACATTACAAACCGAGACAAGCCGCATAGCGACCGAAACAGCCTGATCCCGCTTCCGCCTCTTGGGCACGGAATCCACCGGTCCACCGGATAGAGGCTGCAGAGCGTCGCACAAGGCGGCCCTGACAGACGCACTGTCGTCATGGGTCAATGCAGGCGCACCAGAGTCATCACCAACACCGGCCCAGTAATTGTCCCACAGCCACTCGAGCGAGCGCTGCGCAGCTTTGCGCAGTACGGCGAGCGACGGCGGCTCGCGGTGGGTTGCTTCGTGGCGAAGTTCCACGAAGGAGGCTGGAAGGCCTAGGTCTGTGGCGCGCTGAAACATTGTTCGGCGAACGCCGTGGATCTTGGTGTCCACAAGACCGGTTACGAAGCTAAGATGGGGCGTTAGTTATTTTGAAAACGGGATATGCTTTTTGGATGGGGGGTGTTTGAATTCGAGACATCATCCCAAGGGAATCAGATGGGGGTTCTTTCCCGTAAATGTAAAAACAAGAATCAGACACGGCTCAATACTCACCGGCAGAAAGCTGCAGAATATGTAGCACGAATTGAGAAGATGGAATTCCTCTGCGCATCATCATGGAGAATAGCATCTGTCAACAACGCCGTAGCTTCAACATGGTGCGGTACATTGCCGCGTAGCTTCCAAGCTTCAACCTTTAATTTCGGACTTCGTTAGCAAACCACATACACAGCTGGACACTACACCCATTCTGTCCTTCATGCATATGTAACATACCACTGCACAGCCATGGGAGCGCAAATCCGGTCCAGCGTACGCAGACGGAGGATAAAACTCGTTCCGCACTTCCAGCAACTGAGACTTGGTTTTCCAAGCCGTAAAAATGACCTTTGCCATTTTCTGCGCTGAGTTTGAAATGAGAAATTAGAAATTAAATTCGACGCCAGATGGGTGACCTTTTGCTTGCTTGACTTTTCGTTAATAGCCTGCGAAATATTTTCGGGGGATTGTTGTTCCTTTGGGATGGTTTTGCCGAGGCTTATTTTCTCAGCAGCCAATCAGAAGGCGAGTTTGTATACTTTGAGAACTTGAAATAATGCGACAATAATTTAATGATGTTGTGTTAACTTCAAGTGAAGATGGAAATAATGATAGGTAGCAAATTCTGAGGTAGATTGTGTATCAGATCGTGTACGAGTACACCTAAAGTAAATGTAGCTAGATGCGAGTCGCGAGCCGTCTCGCCCCAGGGTATCCTTTCCGTGTATCCGACTCCGAGAAAAAAAAAAAGAAAGATGAACTCCACGCTATGCCGCTGGTACCGTAAGAAATGCAAGAAAAAAAAAGCGGGAAAAAAGATCCGATCCCCTCAGATCCACCCATACCCATAGTTCATGCAGGGCTGATTGAAACCAGCAAAAGGCTGCGCAGCAGTCATCGGCTGCTGATCCACATCATCGTCGTCAAAGAAGAAAGACCGCTGGAGTATGTTCAGAGTTTGTTTTGGCTGCTGCTTAGAAGTGAAGTGCGACTGGCGAATGGTAGACGCGGAATCATGGTAGGTGGTTGGTTGCTGAGGCAATTCACGGTGTCCAATGATCTCGACCTCTGGATCTGTCTCGCCGTCCTTATCTTCGTCCGATGGGGTGAATGTTTCTTCGAGTTTCAGGCCCTCGCCTGACTTGCTCTGCGGGGCTCGTGCCAGTGTTCCGTTGGGCTGGCTGTAGAGACCCATGCCGACCAGTTCGTCTTCGCCCTTTGCGGTCTTCATGGGCTCGGCGATGGGTTGGAATGGATCGAATTGCTGAATCGGGAGAAAGTCCGGTGTTGATGGGCCACTCAGTTCACCTGGGGAGGGGACGCTGACGTAGCTTGGACATGTGGTCTCTGGTGGGGGGATGTTGGTGCCCATTGATAGCATGTCGAGGTTCCAGTTGTCGGAGGCCGGGTGCGACATCGTTGACATATCAGTGTGCATGGCGGCGACGTCCCATCCCATCGGGTCGACTTGTGAGCCAGTCATGAGCGCCGGTGTGTGCTGTGGAAGTGGCAAATCCTCCTGCATGGTTGGGTAGACAGGGAAGTAGTCAGGGGAGAATGGGGGGTCGGCGGTCATGGGATATGACATTATGTTTTCACCGCCGTAGACGGTTGAGTTGAGGTACTGATCAGACACGGCTCCCATACCGGCATAGCTATCCGAAGGGAAATCTGAGATGTACGGGTTGGAGAGACCCCGAGTTCTTTCCGATGAAGGATGCCAGCTCATCGGACGTGAGTTCCGGGCGGCTGTGGCGAGAAGGGCTTCTGCCATGGATGACTGATATTGGGTGGGCAGTCCATGCATCACATTTTGATTCACTGTTGATCGTCTCCTGGTTGCCGATGAGGGACTGTTGCCTGCACTACGAGGCTTCATGACGCGAGTGTGCCTCGGTCGAGGGAAAGCATGAGTTAGATCTTGCATGGTGGGCTGGCTATAAGATGCATTGTCTTGAAGCCATTGAGAGCCTGCTGAAGGCGGCTGAGGTTGCCAAGAATAATTGGCCATATAAGAAACTGGAAAGAAGTAAAAGCTTGAAGAGAGGAAGTTGACTAAAGGGGAACCAAGTCAGTATATAGTCAGTTGGGGTAGACCGCAAATAGCTTACGTAGTGTGGATTGTAGTTGAATAAAGAGTGGGTATGATAGAAAAAGAGCCGATGCTCCCGTTCAGGAACGGGTGAGAGTATTTAATTCCAGTGAAGATCCCGTTACTAGGCAAGGCAGGCTTATAAGGGAATCCAGGGAGCGGATCTACCACGATGCTACCGCACATGCTAAGATGACACGACGTTGACACTAACGAAACGAGCCTAGACAAAAAGAAAAAACAAAAGGGTAACCTGGAACCGAATCCATGAATCAGGGCAGTTCCACCGTTTCGACCAGGGCCCATAGGGAATACTCCGGAGTGCAGCAAATAGCAGAGTGGGGTGGGATCGGACCTGTGGGAACATGGAACATGCTTTTTGAGGCGAACATGGGGAAGAATAGAATAGACTAAATAGATTAAATAGATTAAACAGATTAAATAGGTATAATATAGTGTATAGTGTATAGTGGGTATAGTGTGTATGGTATATTATGCTAAAAGTCCAAATAGTCCAATAGATAGTCTCACACAGCCTAAACTGGGGCTCCCGTTTTCTTAGGTTTTTCCTTTCTTTTCCTTTTTTATACGTCTGTCCCCTTTTGGGTAAGAAAAGCAAATTACCAAAATTCAAAATTCCAACCCAGGAACCTTGACCCTTTAGCCGCTGGGAATGCTATTATGTACCTATTGGGTTGACCCGCGATCCGGCCCGATCTGCGGCCAATACTTCCCCCAAGGCTGAGTCTGTTTCTCTCTCTTCTGATCCAACGTTGTAAGAATGCGAGATTTGATAAAAATCAATATACAGGACACTCTGTCCTTCCATTGTCCTTCCCTTGTTTTCCCAATTATAGCGTCCCCGAGCTGGTTACGCAAGGGTTACAATGTGATGGGCTAGAGATCGACTACCCACATCTACCATTTTCGGATTTCGACAGGGGTGTAAGTGGGGTTAACGATAATTATCGTCATCGCCCTTCCCAAAGTCTAGATTAAAGAATTAAAGAACTGTCGCCTCTCCCTTTGTACTGTGCATACCCGGATGTGAGGTTGCCATTCTCTTTGCATGCTGACATCTCTTCATTTACCACCCGGAGCACGGAGTACATGATGCAGGAGATGCATCATTGCCACCATGATCTTTGTTGATGTATTTATTTACCTCTGACTCTTTTTTTGACTTTTCTCATTTAAATGTTCCGAGCCCAGAAATAGACTACTCGACTCGGCTTTCATCACAGGTGCACAGCCAACTAGGTCGGCTTGGCTGAATCGAAAACATAAACTTGGACCATGCGAGGCTTAGGCTACCTGCATTTTTGCAGGATCAACATTTTTAGGTCATTCTCTAGTATCACCTGAGAAAAAAAAAGAGGGGGGCGCCAACTAAAATATAGCTAATACGTAGTAGCGTATCGATTGCCTCAACGTCTGTGGGCCTGTTTCATCGGCAGCGTGGCACAGAAATCCATCACAGACGCCACCAAATGGGAATACAACATGGTACATACAACATAGACAATCTAGAAAAGAGCCTAGTAAAAAAAAATGGGCTCTGAGCGGGAAGCTCGGCTATCCCAAGCGGTTGAACCCCCGTTGAGCTTGAATTTTGAGTTCGGGTTAAACGGAGTTTTTCAACAGTGACGTTTGAAGATGTGCACATAGAATGTGATCAGTCTTCATATCATTCTCATATCATCTGCAGCTTACAATGTACCCCGTACAAATATAGGCAGGTTGCAGGTATGTGTAGGTCAAACAGGCAGTTCCAAGTCCCAGTCTAAGATTGGCGCCAATCTCTAGAACTTGGCGTCTTGAACTAACGTGGAACTAAAATGAATGGAGCCACATACCATTAAAAATAATAATCAAAAACCCAGTTTGTGTCAGAAAAAGGAGTAGCTAGAGCCATTCACAACGTGGCTAGGTGGATCTGATCGTGCTTAGGGCTCTGCCAAAGCCAAAAACAGACCAAAACCCGGGCTTTGACCGGGTTCTAGTCAGGGGCGTTTTTATCTATTTTTCTCTAATCTATCTATATTGGCAGGATTTAGTTGGGAGATAGCAATTTAAATTGCAATGCATTTCTGGGAGGAACAAGGGAACCACACATTATAAACATTGTTTCAGTTCAATACAGGAGATCAGGTCAAAGTACTAATAAGAGCCGATCTCGATGCAAAACACATCAAGCCCATCACGCGGCATCCAAGCCTGTAGCGCAACGCATTTGCAGACCCACTCCCTGCACTGGGTCATGAAAAGGGAAAGGAAAAAAGAAAAGAGAAAATAATTGGAGATAATTTTCCAGAAGGCCAGATGTGTCTGATTTGTCTTGATCAGAGTTCTTCTACTCCGTAGTGGAGCCGTCGACACAGTCTGAAAAATGCCGATCTTCGTATGGTATGCACTGAGCACACCGTAACAGCGGCACAACATTGGGATTTCTTTTAAGGATGCAGCCCCAGTCTGATCACCCCTTGAACACACAAAGAAGGCATACAACAGTTGTATTCGCAGGATTCAGCTTATGTTGTACGGTGTGCTCCGTACAAAGTAGCAAATACGAGATTCCCAAACCCTGCATGCCGGGCAAGATCCGAGGCCCAGTACCAAGTTTTGTTTTCAATATAATCTACTTTGCTATAGCGAAACTAGTACTAATAAGTACATGCGGAGACGGAGGCGTACGTTGTAAAGCAATCAGCGGTCTCGCCGAGACTAGATCACAAATCAGCCTCGTTTTCGCTCTAAGGACAGTAACTTCCGAAAGGCGCGTATTGTATATCCACTAAGGGACTATCACTAGTCATGAACTTCCCATTTTCACCCCCCTCCACGAATCCACTACCTCTCCACTATTGGGGCAACACAGGAGGGCGGAGCCGATCCCAGCTTCCTTCATCCTTCCAGACGTTCCAAGTCGGGGGTTATGATTGCCCGGTTCCCCTTCTTAGCCCCAAAGAATGCAGCGGGAGCTGCGGGCCAGGTCAATTTGGCTTGCTTTAGCGCCATGTCATCAGCTCCTTACGGTGTAGCATCGGATGCACAAGTCGTGGTCACCCTGGTCCCCGTGCGTTTCTCCTTTGTTCTTGTTTTGGGGCTGATAGTGTGAAATGTGATGGGATTGATTAAACAGGGATATAATGTGCCTATGGACGAAGTACGGAGAGTACGAAGGTACAAAGAAAAAAAAAAAAATTTTCTCGTTTTATCGCCTCGGTCGCTATCCCCTAAATCAGATGTTGGTCAGCATTATTGGCGGGACCCATCTTAGGACTCGACGATCGTTGGAATTATCCTCCGACACCTTGACCCAAATGTCTTCAAGGTTGAAACTTAGAGGCCTGCCGTTTCCCGATAGGCTGCAAGATTAGAATCAGCTGGTGCTTCAGAACTGGGCGATTTCCAAGCTGTTTCAATCCCAGTCTAGACCTTACAAGGGCCCTGTGACACAGCACCTGGGATATACAGACACGTAAGGTCTAATGCATGATGCACGATGAAGGCTGCAGCCTCACGGTTATTCTTCGTCATCGACTCTTAACTCTACGAACCATAATCAGGTTCGAAAGTCAAAGATGTGTATCGGGCGCAATTCATAAATGCAGGCTGCCATCCTCGGATATGTTGGGTCCTGACGCCACGCAAGGTCCAGGTCCAGGTGCAGGGGAGACATTCCTTATCCGTCTGGAAGTCAAAGTTATGAGCAGTTTTTGTTGGGTGGATGTGCCCAGGTGGTGATGGGAAGGTGTTTTGAGTCAGAGACAATGACGGCGGCTAGCGGTCAAGCCAACGTGGTTCTCCTCAGAGAGGTTGGACCAATCACATTCCTCCTCACCCGAATCTATTCGAAATTACTCCAAAACCTTCCAAAATCCCAATTTACCAATTTAACTGCACCTTTTTCCGTTTCTCCTCGGTACTCAACCGTCACAGGGTTCCACATTCTTGGTCTACCCTTTTTCATAAGTGAGGTGCTGATCTCCTTACGCTGATCTTGATCCCAACAAGGGAAAGTTAAAAAGATCAATGAGTTGGGGATCCATACTCCTCAACTCCGTACACATGCAGGGGCTGATCCTGAGGGGGGCTGCCCCTCGTATACAACTACGTAGCTCCATTGACTATTTACTACGGAGCACGGAGTACGGAGTACTCCGTATGCTATTACAATTAACGATAATTGTCCAACAGTCGACATTTCTAGCTTATACATACCTTGAAAGACATACGGATGTCGCTAGAAGAAGCCCGGTGCAGCTGATGGCAGGGGTATATGCAACGAACAGCTGCAGTGAGATGGCACATTATTTCTAGGGTTATATCGGGGGAACACAATCAAATCACTGGCTCTGATCCTTGCCTTGATTCTCGGCAGTTATCATGTGTTTGTGATAGAGATTTGCCCTTCTAGACCACACCAATTACCAATTTACCGTAAGCAATATTGCACTTGAGATTAGAGGTGCTTCGAAAGGCCTTTTAGTGGTGCTTAAACGCCAGAAAAAAACATACCCACTTATAATGCTACTTACCTTTTTCCATGTTTTCTGCTCACAAGATTGAGAGGGGGCTCAAGCCCAGGAGTCATCTCCTGGGCTCTCCATAATAGTTTAATAGACTAGTCCAAATAGGGAAATGTAATTGCCCGGGCTCGCGTCAAGACTTTTGAGACATCAGAATCTTGCCTATCACACAGGCACTCCGACCTCCGACTCAACTCCGTACCTGGGAGATATACACCCGCTTTACTGTCTTCACCGCGTTCTCCATCCAGCACACTTGCAATTTTATCTGCGTTCCACAACCGGGTCTGTATGCCGAGGCAGATGTGATATACAGTGCTTCCGTATGTACCTCCCCACACACACAGGAAGTCTGCATCTTCAGTGTACAACGTCTGTGTATACAACATACCAATGCCGCCGTCGACCATATGTACTCCGTAATATGCACCGAGTCGACATTACCTCACATTGCCATTCCACCTCCCTACATATGCACCTACAACACACCAACACCAACACTGATTAAGTGGTATTCCGCATATTGCACTCCGTACTCCATACAAACTCCATAGTTAATTCCGTATTCCCACACTAAAGATCACCCAAAAAACAGATCACCCAACGAGAAAAAAAAAACTATATTACCAGAGGAAACAGCCCCCCGAAAGCCCCAGTTTACCCAAGTCGCAGCCCCCACCTAAACCGAGTATCATTGCCATATCGGACAAATGGTCCAACAGAGTCCCTCTCCCGCTCCTTTCCCGCTCCAACAGCGACACAGTGGATACAACATAGAGGGTGTGTTACCAAGACCGATGAACGCATTATTGATTTCGGGCACTGGCCATTGCAGTAGACTGAGTTTTTACACTTTGCGCGAGTGCAATCTTGTAGATCACGGATGGAGTGTGGAGTACCAAGTCTTGGTGTGGATGGAGCTTGCTGCACATTAATTATTGTTCATTGCGGGTTTGCGGCGTTGCGGTGTTGCGCTGTGGTTTATTTTGAGAAATGTGGTTTTACCCCTCAGATTTGAGTACTACGTTGTAGGTTTGGGCTCTGCGACTACTTTAGTCTTTGTTTTCAAGACGCGAACGAGGATATTTCTCCTAGAACTGGTATAGCCAAGTCTGTCTTCAGATACCACTTACGTAGCACAATTTCCCAGTTAGGGGAGCGTGCGACTGAGTTTAATTTCCTTAAATCTTATTGTTGGTCTCCTTGGCAGATTTACCGAGTTATGTGCGACAGAAGCTCTAGTAGAACCAATTAATGGAAATATATTTTTGAAACGAGAAGCGACCATCCAACAGTTCAACCTACAAAGTAGACTACTGATCACGTCAAAATTCGATCTTACGAACCATCTAGCATGACTTCAATTTTATCCTCTTGTTCAATTCCCCGCTTTCTTGAGGGGTACTAAGGTAGAGAAAAGTATCGGTAGCCATCATGCGTGAACCTGGAGCCTCTTTTAGCAAGTTTCGGGAACATCTGGCTAACGGTGGGTTTTTTTGTAAATGCTCAAGAATATCTTGATAATATGTGAGGTCACGGCCGGGCATGATCCTCAACTCAATTGGTCTCTGTAGAATCAGCTCCAATCGGGTTATACCACAGCCCCAATAATCAACGGCTCGATCATGGGGTTTCCCCTGGACCTGCTCTGGTGCATGGTATTGTGCAGTGCTTGCACTGTCGTTTGCACTGTCATAGGGGATGCCCGTGGCGTCGGATGCGAATCTGAATCAGTCAGGACTATCTGATCCAGGCCTAGATGCGTGAGATACGGTATAGCCTTGGGGGAGAGTTGCATTTAACTTACCATTTCAGCCTCGGGTTGGCCTAGTCGACGATGCCACTGGAGATACGTTGAGAGTCGTTGCTGGCTTTCATGGTTACAGGCACCTTCCATCGGAAATGGGGGGTTAATCCGACCTGAAATTGTTCATCTTTTTCGGGAGACAGAATGTCATATCGCAAAACGAAAACACATTCCCCAGTCATGATGGTTCTTGGGCTGAATTGGGCGTCGGCCAGTCCTGAATATCTCTCCATTCATCACCTTCTTTCTTTTCTTGTTGTCGGCGATGAGAAATAACCCATAGGCTCCCCCGAGCTAGTTGAAACGAGCATGAATACCGGTAACCCGATCCTCTGAGCTGCGGTAGCCTTCTGTGCACAGAGAAGGTCCACGTCGCCGTTACTGAGCTCTTGACGACCACTGCTAATCCTCTATCCAAGATCAACAAGTTCAGGCAACGTAGTCAGGGACAGTTTGAAGTATCTTGTCCGCCTGTTGTCGAATACAGTTCCCTTTATAAACTTCTTGTGGTGCTGCATCGATAGCCGACGTTGCGATTCTATTCACAGGCATCAAAATTGCGAATCGGCCAACATCAGGTCGGACGGGCTCTGGGGTGTTTGGCTCCGTAGTCGCACCGCTAGAAGTTGGCTGTCGTTAGTCAAGCGGTCGTTTCTTCGGCGTAATAGAGATATGGGAATCGGACCAGCAATATTTAGACAGGAAATAGCCGCCGATACAAGCATTTGAAAATCTTTCCAACAGTTGGAAGGGCATTCTTTTGTAACGTCTCGTTAAGGAATAAATGGCGAACCGTCCTCATCTATTTACCACGCGCGAGATTTCTATCCTATGACTAGTTAGCGGTTTCATCACATGGAGTCTTAATACCTACCATATGTCTATTCCTTTCCAGGGCTTATTCCAGTTCAGAAAGACAATCAACCAGACCAAACAGCTGCGTCTCTTGTTACTGTCAGCTCGCGCCTTGTGCAAAAATCAGCAATACAGAGCCAGCCCAGATCCTATTTTGAGGGCCAAGCCGGGTTCCAAGAGCCATATCGAGAGCCATCTGCCTATCCTGGAACTTCCATTCTTTCTCCTTCAGGCCCCGTGGCTTGTTTGTAGCAATTTTGGCGGAGATGGTGAGGTAGCATGTTGTTTGTCTAGACAATATGTCGCTTTCCTTTTGTTGGGATGCCCGTTTGCCTCAGGCCCAAGCTGACATCACACCTATTTCGGGCATATAAAGGCCCCAGTTTGTTCATGAATAGGAGCAGCAGTTCAATTTCCCTTCTTGTATTTTGTCAGCTCTTTTTTTACTTTTTCTCTTACTGGCTACCCTCCTCTTCTTCCCTCTTCCTCTTTCTTTTTCTGTTTTTATATCCTTCTTTCTTATTCCACACCCTCTTACTCTCTGTCTCTCAGGTTCTTCGCGTGGTATTGTATGCTCGACACATACAATACAACAGCTGAAACACCACCTTGCATCTCCGAGTCACAATGGTGGCATGTAGCTCGTTTTCTGGAGAATCCCTCCTTTTCTTGAATGTCGAAATGGGACCTGTCTCTTCAGGTGTGGCTTGCGGACGCCAGGCCCGGGATAGTCTCTGCAAGCCACACCTGAAGAGACAGGTCCCATTTCGACATTCAAGAAAAGGAGGGATTCTCCAGAAAACGAGCTACATGCCACCATTGTGACTCGGAGATGCAAGGTGATTTTTTAGCTGTTGTATTGTATGTGCTTTTCCACGTATATCCTTTGAGACTAACTCCCCAGAAGCAACCTTGGAAGTGGCTCTTGGTTACCTCTCTCGACCCTCCTCATATGGCTATGTGAATTCATTGATCTCCTATTTCACAGGGTAACCGGGTTGTCAGATTCCATAGCTCTGTAGAATCTAGCTTCTACAACTCTTCAATCTATCTGTCTCACATTGCACCATGCACTTCGACATAGTCCTCTCCTGACACGGGTCCACTTCTTCATTATTTCACTTCATCATCCCATATTTCATCCACTCGGCGGTATTACCGGAGAACTCAACCAAAATAGTCTGCATCGTGATCCAAGATACCAAGCTCTAGGTTATTGGCTATGACGCTCGCTGGTCACAAAAGTCACACTGTATGAAAATTGATGATTCTCCGCTTTGGGTTTGATAATCGATCTGACTAATAACCATTTCGAAAGTTCTGAACTGGAGGTCCTCTTATCCCACTGTCTTTTCTTTACCACTGTACCACTTGGTACCAAGTACATGTTGCTGAAGTTGAAGAATGGCAGCAGCAGAACCTCCAGGCAGTTCAAAGAAAATGGTTCGAACGGCAACGAAAAATATGGAATAATGCTTGCCTGGACAATTCCTTGGAGCCGTTTGAAAACCAGGCCGAAAGCTTTCTCGAGCCGGAATGTCAGAGTCTCGAACACCGATATAGACCTGGCTACGCAGAGAGCTTAACACTTGACTCTCCAGACAATGAAAACCAAAATTTAAGCTTGATTTCCGATTGTTGTCGAGAATTCGACAATCTCAACTTTGCTTGTTCGGCATTTCAAGAAGAACAAGAACGCCAGCTGGCACCGGAAATTTAAGTCGAGCGCCAGGTTCAAAGTTGGAGGAATATCGAACGGCCGGTTCTGTCGTCGATCCTCGCACCGAGTTATTCCAATTCATACATGCCACTAAGGGCTATCTTAACGCCGCACGCTTCATACAGACTCTGGATCTGAGCACAAACGATGAGAGCGAGATCGTGGCAATTTAACACATTGTTGCTGTTCGCGCAGTCTCTGTGACTTTTCGATCACACAGAGCAACGAAAAGAAAAAGGAATTCAAAAACCAACCCTCTGCCAGCGCCCCTCCAAAGGTCACTGACCGCAAAGGCATCTGCCCGCCTGACAAAGTCGACGCCTACAGTGCATAACTGGCCACTGCGAACAGACTTGCCCAATGTATGCTCCTCCACCGGGAAGAGAGCGCGGGACCAGACCTTCTATACCACGACCGCATCGACTTTGACGCCAACGGAGATTTCGTTCCTCTGCCCGCTGAAGTCCGTCTGTCAGACGCCAATTTCTTCCTCATCGTGGCTAGCAACAACCCTACTATGCGCGTCCGTAACGCGAAATGGCTAGTGGACTTCAATACCGACGTCTATCCTGAGATATGGCCGAGGGTCGATCCCGTCGTACTTTAGGCACCATTCTGCTTGGAGACATTGACAGAGGAACATCCTCCAAGCTGGTTCGTTTGCTCAACTTACCCGCCTACCATATCGAGTGCGCCGACTCGACGACCAACTCCAAGGTCTACACAGTCCCCGCTAGCTTCTTCCAGAAGCATAGTATCCAGATCGACTACGACCAAGCTAAAGCAGTCCAGTACCAGAACAACCTGGACCCTACCAACGTCGAAGTCAAAGCCGTCGAAGTGAAGTCGTCGCCCCGATGAAGCTCCTGACGACCGTAGAAAACGCCTTCCACATACACCATGACGGAGAAGATACCGTTAGGTACGACATCACCCTACGCCACTCGCCGACTGATTTCGTCCTAACGTACTAGAAGGACTATATCAGGCTGACTATGCTGCCAAACATCGCTGGCTTTTACCCTAACAGTGGGCCTAAAACCCGTCAAATCATGGACCGTCCCGAATCCATTACCGAGGACGCTTGGCAGGTCATGAAGGAATTCACTTGCAAAGACCCATCACAAGTGAATTTAAGGATCAAATAATTAAACTATTCGACATTCGAACCCCGCAATTTCGACGAGCACATCGATATGCTGAGCGAAGGACTGCGGGATTTTGAGACCGGGCAAGAAGGCAAATTTTGTCGTAGGCAAGGCATGATATACACTATACCCAAGGTAGATTTGTGTGTTAATAGTTATACTATCTTACAGGACAAATTACCCGCTACATGAAGGAGCTGAATATCAAGCACGCCTTTCAGTCGACCTACGACGAAACAATTTTCCTCAGAAATGTTGACATCTAAAGAGTTTGGACTCTAGAGTACTCTCCTGTGATCGAATACGACCGTCCCACTAGAGAGGTATTGAGATCAGTGGAAGGAACAATTGAGAAGGAGCCTGATGACAGTATTATGGGACAGATCTCACCGAGAAAAAGCTCCCAAAAAGAGCCAAGGCATAATTGCCGATACTCATATTGAAGGCCTCGGTGCTTGAGAGACCCGCGTGCTCAAAGAAGAAGGTCGAATAGCCACGAAGTGGATTGCCGCTCAGAGTTTGGATGCAGTAGACGCCAATGGAGATAAGGGTTCTGGTAAGGTCGGTTCCTTTGAAACATGCAAGATAAGTTGTGCTCGCATTGACTGCACGCTCATGGGTAGTTGTGACCACTATCAGAAAAACTGCCTTCTCGATGTTGAAATCAACTTCATTAACCGAAGTGAGCCGTTTGAGCGTGTCCTTCGCCTCCTGCAATCGATCTTGTCGAACAAGCCACCAGGGAGATTCGGGAGCGAAATAGAGGAGCGGTATCAAGACCAATGGCCAAAACCACCTGCAAGTATAATTAGCAGCCGAGCACAAAGACGGCTAAATAGTCTCGGGGAAAAGCCTGACTGGATTGCAAAAGGAATTCTGTAAGACCATTCGTTGTCTAAGCTCAGAGTGCCGCGAAGAATCCCTGCGCCGATGAGATGGCCAATAGCCTTCCAATGGTTAGCCTCATATTCAGCCCAGTCGAAACCCTCGGAGTCTTACCCAGCAAAAGTTGACGTAAGTAGTTAGATATGGACGAAGACACATAGGCGAAATCTCCATTGCATAGACAACAGGGATTGTTTGAAAAAGCCCCAGTGGTATACCTGTAGAACTGTTCAGAAACGGAGTGATTCACGGGTATTCGGCAACTTACCGAACAGACATTCTCCGGCGGTCAAAATACCGATAGTAGGAGCGAAGAAGATTATGAAGACTGTGGCAGACGTGAGACCAAGGCCTAGAGTCATCGTCTTGCGAAATCCCAACCGTTCGCTCACATAACCAGCAATGAGAAGACCGACCAGCTGGCCACAGCCAGAGGCGTTATTTAGGCCAGCCTGCCACGATGCCAGTATCTCATATTTGCTGCCGTGGAGATGGAGCCCGTATCTCTTCTGGAAGGCCGGTTGAGCAATCAAGCTACCTATCAACATGGTATCATAGCCTTCCATCACAATTGATGTGGACATGACTATGCTCCAGAATACAGCCTTAGGATACATCTTGAGGGCTCTGAAGAGACCCAAGTTGTGCTCCTGATTGATTCCATCCTGGGCATTGATGAGCCATCCTTCTTCGGTGAATGGTGCTTCCACTGAGCGGACTGAAGAAGCTGGCTTCGCCATAGTCTCTGTAGCGCTTCAAGAAGATTCTCCAAGATAAGGCAGAGAATGGAAGAGGTAACACAAGCAATCACTGGTTGACAACAACTTGGACAGATGCCAGCATGATTGAGACGAGTCTTATAGACTTCATGATGTGAAATTCTATATGTTCCCTTTGCAATTTATCCGAGGTATATACACCAACCACAATTTCAGACTTGGGGGCGTGGACAAGATGTGTACTGTGCAATGTCTTGATATTGGCCATGCTCAATCCAGCGGCCGCTGGTCTGTACCAAACTGTTGCTCACCGGGCACCAATCAGACAAGAGATAAATATGACCGATCGGGGAAACGTCGGACAAATCTGTAGACTTTCTTTTCCTCAGATATACTTCGGGGTTATCGCACGTGGCAGGTCGTTTTCAAGTCTTCCTGCGGGGGTTGACCGCTTCGCTGGGTTCTACGTTATCATGGTCTTCTGTGGACAAGTATCGCTTTTACAAATCATGTTGACTACTTCTCGCAACCCAATTTGATTCTGGGTATATTTTTTTAGTAAACTGGTCTGCAGGGAATTTGCAAACGTTTTTAAAATTTTACTGTAGCAGCAGTGGTTTGTGTTCTTAGTTTTTTTAGAACAAAGATTCTTCCACGCAAGATCTGACAGAGGGACTTGAAATCCAAACGAAGAAATCCGAATGGAAATACACCCAGTGTCGAGATACGGCTACAAGAAAGGAGACATCAAGATGCATGACTGAGATGGATGCTAAAGCTAAGAAGCTATGGAGCTATGGGAGCACTAATCTAACGCCCAGATTATTCAGTACTGTAAGTCCCTACTTAATCACTATACTTGATAAGGTTGTTGCTAGAAGGGAAACGATTCCTTCGCCGAAGGTCTAAATGGTTGATGGTGATGTCTAAGACTTCAACATGATTTCATAGACGATTCTCTCGGTCCAAGTACAAGCGCCTCAATGGTCATCCTGCGTCCCAAGATAGAAAACTCTGGAGTATGCACACATATCCTCAAAGGTACAAAATTCCACTGCACCAAGCTCGAACTCGATCCTCACCGACGCTAGATGCTCCGTAAGCGTCCGATTGAATTCCACCCGGTCTACACCATCAACGTGCCTCATCAAATAAGCAATGGTAACATGAAACTGGTATGTCTCGTGGTTTGGCGCCCGGAAGCCAACGGCGTCGGCAAGCCTGTCTCTCAACCTGTGCATTCGCTGCTCCTCCTCGGCAGTTGCTCCTTCGACCTCAAGACCCGATCCAACAATCCCGGCATCAAACCCCCGCACTCGCATGCGAAACGGCGGTGCTAGACTTTCCTTGCTGAGCTCCCGCCCGAGCTCTCGCAGGCTTTTCGTGAAGTCCTCCGTGTACTCCACGAGGCGCTTCTTCTCCATGCCATCAGGCCACATTCCAGGCTGGCACTCTGATTCACGAACACCATCCAGAACAGTCATGTGCCAAGACTCTGGAGGCACAAGCCGGATGACACTTCCAAGCGTTGGGTGGGAGCTAAGAGCGGTGTATACATTGCGTAGACCGGTCTGCAGAGAAGAACTTGGAGAAATGTGGCAAATGGTCGTATTTCCAGGGTACCGCTGAGCGACACCGTCTGGCGAGAATTTGCAGGGAACGCCGATTGGATACTCCGGTCGGTCAGTGACGGCAATCTGGGTGGAAGACATCGTAATCTCGGTCATTGTATCTCTGTCGAGTGTGCTTGTGAGGCGTTGGGGGTAAAGAGCGAGGTTAGAATTGAGACTGAGGGCTGACGCGAAGCAGGTCGACTTTGTGTGTCTTTTTGCGAGTTGGAGTAGGGTCACATGTATATATTAGGGGTTATATAACTAGCCATATGTGACAGGCTGTCCATCCCGACTGGGACTCGAGAGATATGTGTCGCTTCTAGATAAAAGAAATCCCGTTGTCCAACGGCCGCCATGAACCAGTTGTCTCGTCCGATTGGTTAGAAGACGTTCCTACGATGGGCTTTAGGCTTTCCCAGAAATCGCCGAGCAGAAGGAGAAGCCTCGGCCATACTGTACAACGTGAGCCCCATCCCCAAATGACCAATGCATCCATGACATCGCATTGAATTAAGGTAAATTGAGCGGCGAAACGTCCCCTCCCATGGTAGTGGTATACAATGCCGGTGGAACTTACCAGACTTGCAACACGCGATTATTTGCTGCGATAAATCTCATTTCAGCTTCTGTTTTCTTTTTCTTTTCCGATTCTGGCTCAGTAGCTCAAGTATGGGAATGTATAAGAAGAAGACCTGAGAACTTTCCCTTTCACTTCGTCACCTACTCATGAATAGCCAAAAAAATGGCGGATAACGACCTTCTGGAGATTTGCAACTATCTTATCGAGATTGTGAAGGACGCCGGTAACATCATTGTTACTACCCGGCCGACCTCGCTCACACTCACAACCAAGAAGAACAGTGTGTATATTCCGATGCTTCTTTTCCTACACGCAGCTAACCGATATACAGCCGCAGATATTGTGACGCAGACGGACCAAGCTGTAGAGGACTTTATACGTGTACGTCTAACTAAGCGGTATCCGACATTCGCATTCATTGGCGAGGAGACATACAAGACCGGAGTCGCCATCACCGACCAGCCAACGTTTATAGTTGACCCTGTGGATGGAACATCCAATTTTGTCCACGCATTCCCGGAAGTGTGTGTCTCAATTGGTTTTGTCATTGAGAAGAAACCAACAATCGGCGTGGTCTACAACCCCTTTCGAGAAGAACTCTGGAGCGCCGTTAAACGCTATGGTGCCTTTACCCAACGATCCGGAGGGGATATGCAGAAGCTTCCGCTCGTTTCAGCTCCTCTACGTGGTTTAGGGCCTGCCTGTATTGGCATTGAATGGGGCAGCGACAGAGATGGTCCTAACTTCGAACTCAACTTGAAGGTCTTCACGGCGCTAGCTCGGACTACCGCAACCGGCGGGCGATTTGTAAATTCGCTTCGGTGCACTGGATCGGCGGCTATCACCATATGCAGGATTGCAGCTGGGCAGCAGGATGCGTTTTGGGAATGTGGCTGCTGGGCATGGGACGTGGCTGCAGCTTGGTGCATTTTGGTTGAAGCTGGAGGAATCATGGTTGACGGCCATCCTGGCGAATGGAACCCTCCCCTCGATAACCGCCGATACCTCGCGGTGAGACCTGCGGCAGAAGGACAGCAAGAGTTTGTGGAGGATTTTTGGTCAGTAATTGGGGATCAAAGGTCGACTTACGGGCCTCCAAATTGATGTGTCCAAGCTTTTTCGGATAGGTGGTTTTTACTCCAAAAACCCACTCGATTCCAATCACCCTCTTTCGCTCTAAATGATTTGTCCAATAATATACTAATAAATTATTTGTGTTGTATGACGGAGGAGTTTACGAATAGTCGCGCGAAGAGCTTTGACTTCGGGGGAGAAGGGAACAGGCTTTTGTGCGCCAAAACTTGGAACAATGAAAAGGGCCCAGGTCCTCTTAGGAATAGTTAGTGGGCAGACAAAAGGGGCATTAGCCTTCTCTTGCAGTCAGGCCTTGATCCTGAATAGGAAATTGTCACGCTTGACAAGAGACTAAAAATCAACAATTCTACGACGACGAGGTGCAACAGCGACATCCCTTCATGTTTGGAGTCAGGTGATCTGCTCTTTTTTCTCCCTAGTCTCTGGAATTCCACCTAGCTTCCTCCTTTAGCATCATATAGAGAGACTGATTTTCCTGATCTGCCTTCCCGTAGATCACCCCCAAAGACTTTAGACGCCAGAAGACGTGATGTCTAGTAGTATTCCTGATTGACCAGATAATCAGCTGGAACAACCTTGGCTGTTCCAAATAGTATTTCTGGTCACATTCTTAAGTGTCAAATTTCCCCATAGAGTTTCCCACCCCCATGGGATAGAGCTATGGAATGCTAGTAAACGTCTCTATATGATCTCAATGACTAAAAAGATGATCAGCAGGAGCTCTTCGATACCGCTTACTGCTTCCCCTCCCCAAATATATATATCTCTTGGCTAGCAGATTGAGTAGGCCACGATAGCAACATGTTTAGAATATTGGGCTTCATCTCGTACTTCCTTGAAGATTCAAAAGCCTTGCTAACTAAAGCTAGTGAAATTACATCTAAGATGTTGAGGGGAGGCAAAGGAAAGGAGTCTACTTATGTCCAAGGGTCATGAAGCCCATGTCCGATAATTTAAATGGATTGTCGTAAGGGCGAGAGTTCCTACCAAATATCTTTTTCCCGAGCCGCCAATATTAAAAACCGAACATGTCTCATGATTCCCCCATCTTAAGTCGGCGACTGATGTATAGATATTCGACAAAGAAAACACTCGCCAGACTCGTCAGGCTCTGACACACCAAGCAACCGGGCTCAAACGTGGTTTCAGCTACGTCACATCCTCCCCGTCTGCTTAGTGAGCGGCCCATTAACAAGAGGCTGGAAACTAACGTAGCTAGTCACGGTGCCACGATGTAAAGTTCTACACCTAGCGGTGTTTGATTGAGCGAGCTACAGACTAGTTATTTCTCAAAGCTCCCATCGAGATAATAATCTACATTTGGTTCCTTTTATTTCAGTGATCTACTTATACCTATACGTATTTGATATTAAGGGTCATATTCGGGTGTAACTAGAATGTAGGGTGGGAATGGTAGACACCACCCTATTCCTAATGGATGGTAACAAGGCTGGACTACATACATTATAGTCTGTCCTGATCTGTCGTGAACTACCTCTTTACCTTAGGGTCCATTATAACAGTTTCGCTGCTCCAACTCTTGCTAACAGCTATGCGCCCCCTATTCACTGCTCTCTGCATTTGTTTCCTTATCTGCCTGTCTTCTGCTGCTACTATCAAGTATGACTGGCATGTAAGCTGGATCACTGCCAACCCTGATACACTGCAACCACGGTCAGTAATCGCAGTAACTGATAAAACTGGACAATTCTAACCGTTTATAGTCCTGTTATTGCCATTAATGGACAGTGGCCTTCTCCTGTTCTCAGGGGAAACGTCAACGACACACTCGAAGTAACCGTTCATAATGACCTCGGAAACCAGTCATTATCAATGCACTGGCATGGGATTCATATGACGGGTAACAATAAAGATGATGGAGTTCCCATGGTGACACAATGTCCTGTCATCCCGGGAGCATCATATACATATGCCGTTCATGTTTGAGTTGTTCTGTCCTGCTTTACGTAGAGACTCTAACATAGTTTCTAGCTCGGTCAACCAGGAACTTACTGGTGGCACAGTAAGTTTGCTACTCACCCAAAATTGTAAGTCCCACTTTACTGATCTGGTACATAGGCCATTCCCCGAGCCAATATGTCGATGGTCTTCGTGGTCCCCTCATAATTGATGATCCCCATTCTCCCTACGCTGCCAAATATGATGCCGAGTTGCTCATGACTGTCTCTGATTGGTACCATGGTAATGTTAATTTATGAAATTTGCGACTTGAATACTAAATGGCCCATAGAACAAGGAGCAACACTGCAACAATATTATCTCTGTATGTCTTCCGTGACATGAATTCAGCAGCGACTAATAAAATGAACAGCACTACCAGGAAACCCAAACGCTCTTGAGCCAATTCCTGTTTCTGCTCTAATGAATGATCAAGAACAGCCCACATTTCCTGTTGAAGCGAATAAGACCTATTATCTGAGGATTATTAATATGTCAGGATTCGCGCAATTCTACTTTCATATTGATGGTCATAATATGTCCATTATTGAAGCAGATGGTGTCTATTCTGTTGCTCAGCCTGTTGAAGATCTCTACATTGCAACTGGCCAGCGTTATGGTGTCCTCCTGAAGACAAAACCAACTACAGACCGGAACTTCGCAATTCTGGGGGCAATGGACCTAACAGGGTTTCCAGGATCCGCACCCCCGCCACCCCACCCAAATGTGACAGGAGCACTTGTTTATAACAGTATGGTTCAATTCATCATATCTCCCTTGCTATGCATAAAAACTTTGCTCATAACTTTCAGGTCATCTCCCATTTCCTTCAACACCGTCCGTGGAAAGTTTTACGACGTTTGATGACTTCTGCCTGGTTCCTTTTGACCAGATGCCTCTACTCGGACCACCTGATCAACAAATTGTCCTCAACTTGAGTACATTCTCCCAGCTAGTCCCAGGGAACGAGCAAAATCGGTATAGAACAATCTTTTATTCTTCTCTCACTCCTCCTCGCCTCTCTTTCTCTCCCTCTCTATATAAGGAAATTAGTGTTTTATACTGACTGGGATACAGTGCGGGATTTAATAATATCACCTTCATACCACAGAAGGTCCCATCTCTATACACCGCTCTGTCAGCTCAGCAGTATGCTCTGAATCCTATGTTAGTTGCCCTTCCCCCTTACGACAACATCAAACTGATATATATTAACGTAACATAGTGTATATGGAAACCATACGAATCCATTCGTTCTCAAGCCAGTGGTCCTGAAAAAAGGTGAAATCGTTGAAATTGTCGTATACAACTTTGGTTAGTGAGGCGATCCATTATCCCCAAGCCCCATCATTGCTACTTTGAGGCCCCTGACTAAAATATTATGAAGATACTGGAATACATCCGATCCACCTTCACGGCCACACTGTTCAACTGGTGGCTCGCACAAATAGCACATGTAGCAATAGTCCCATCCCAATGAGACGTGATACGTGGATGGAACCGCGCTGGAATTCGTCAGACCCGAATCATCCCTCCACCGTGGTCCGGTTTCAAGCAGATAACCCAGGCGTATGGTTTTTCCATTGCCACATGGAATGGCATTTGGTTGCGGTAGGGCTGGTTTTCTTTTGCCTTTTCAGAGAAATCTTATTCCTACACCAGCTAGCTATCTGTTGAAGCAACATATTTGTGGAAGATGACTGACTCACTCTTGAATTAGGGAATGGATGTTATCTTCGTCGAAGATCCATTGGCGATCCAGAAAGCACAATCAGGTATCCCAGCTTCAATGAGGGAAATTTGCAAGAAGCAGAACATACCACTCAAAGGCAATGCGGCTGGAAATTATCCGGATTTTTTGAACCTCACAGGAGAGGTGGATATAGCTCCTATGGAATGCGGGTGTGTTCTTATCTTCCTACGCCTCCAGGGCCACACTTACTACGTTGAGATGGAATGCTGATGATCATATAGGGCTGCTTTTCCTCCGTGTATGGAGTAATCGTGAATGTGAATCAATATTAGGTATGGTAGCTCTTGAGAGATAGTCTTAGCTTAATACATTGTGCATCCGCTCTCATTTCTTGTTCCCCGGAGCTATAGGCAATTTACAGTTCCTCCGTTTACAAGACTCACATTACAGTACGTAAAGAAAAGGAGCTTCACCCTTGCCGTTAGAATCCCTACAGTTGGTCATTGGAAGGATTAGTTCCCGAATCGTGTCTTGTATGCGGCCGCCAGACTTTCGATATTGACGACGACTTGTGAATAAGGTATTACGCTGAAGGGGATATTTTACTGATCCGTGGACTTCTATATGGATATGTCCTATATTGGAGGTATTCCTTAAGAATGTAGTTTTTAGCGGTATTTACTAGAGACGGTTGAAATATATACTTTGTTTTAGACGGTAGCTAGCGTGCTCTTAGTCCTACTTTCTCGACGCCCATACTATACTCTAGTATCCTTAGATTGTAGTAGGACTTCTTCCCGGATATCGGTTTAAAAATATGCTCGTCACCTCCGACTATAGTCGTTACTCGTCTCTTCCTAACTCTTATAAAAAATCTACCTCTTCTAAATATTACTATAAGCGCCTCCTACGCTTTCGCTAGGCTTCGTTACGCTTATGATAAGATAGCGAGTGTCGTAATAGCGATGTTTTCAAAATCCGTGTCGGTTGGTACAACTGGGTCTTGATCAACACACCTGAGGCAGTACGGGAGATCTTCGAGAAGCAAGCCATCAAAACTTCCTCCAAACAGCCTTCTCCGATGGGCCACGACATCGTCACCGGCGGTAAACGTATGCCAACTATGCCTTACGGACCACATTGGCGGGCACATCGATCGGTGGTGCGCCAAGTCACGACTGTCCCCATGACTGCAACATTCGTTCCCAGTCAAGAATTCGAGACAAAACAGTTGCCTTTCGACCTCGCCATGGATAACGACAACCAGCGAGACTTTTACCAACATATGCGGAGGTATGCGTTTAGCATTATCATGACCAACACATTCGGCACGCGCGTGAAGAACTGGGATCATCCCGATGCGCAGAATGCAGTGCGCAGTCAAGCGATCATGCGACGAACATCAAAGCCTGGTGCTTTTCTGGTTGATGATAAGTTTCCACCATTGGCTCTTCTACCAAAGTTTCTTCAACCTGGGCGAAAGGATGGGATCGAAGCAGGCAAGGAAGTCCTTGATATCAAGATGGGGCTGTGGCACCACTGGAAAAGCAGTTTGAGGCTGGGAAAGCGCCTCACTGTTTTGCACGAAGCATTCTCGAAAACAAAGATTACTGGTATTCTCAAGGCCTAAATGACGAGGACCTAGCCTAAGTTTCCGGTGGCCTTGTTGAGGCTGGATTCGAGACATCCGCTGCGACTTTGAACAGTCTCGTGCTTCAACTTGCTGCAACCCACGTGCGCAAAAGGCCGCCCAGGATGAGCTGATGAGGGTGGTTGGACCAAATCGCCTTCCAAAGTTTGAGGACATGGTTAATCTGCCTTATATTCGCGCTTGTGTGAAGGAGATGCTTCGAATGAACCCTATCCTCGCCCCAGGCATCCGTCGCTATGAAGACCAGGACGTGATTTACAAAAACCATGTCATTCCCAAGGGAACCGTGCTTCTTGCCAATACGGCTTTCCTGCACTATGATCCAACACGATTCGAAAAGCCTTTCGAATTCATGCCGGAGCGCTTCCTCGAGCATAACCTGTTCAGTTCTGAGTATGCGGCTATGAGCGACCCGTACAAGCGAGACCATTTTACCTTCAGCACGGGTAGGCGCACATGCCCCGGTGCTCGTCTTGCAGAGAGCTCACTCGACATCGCTGTCAGTGGCATGCTGTGGGCCTTTGAGAGCCGACCGCCACTGGTGGATGGCGTCGAGGCGGAGATGATCTTGAGTGACAATGCCTATCCCGATGGTGGTTTCACCATTCTTAAGCCTTTTGCTGCCAGATTCGTGCCCAAGAGCCCAGAGAGGCTTGAACTTGACAAGAAACAGTGGCAGGTTGCGATGCAAGAAAGCTACGAGTTGCGTGGTATTCCGGTTGATGTTAACGGAATGCTTTATCAATGAAAGGGGTAAATGATGACTGGTCGTTCTCGTGTAGAGTTCTAGGATAGCCGAAATACGTGCCAGATATATACGCGACGTCGGTATATAAAATACAGTGACCGATCCAAAAAATGCCCCTCCTAAACTATACACTATAGATGACCTTAGGAACTTATGGAAATGGCGCGTTGGAAAGCGGGATCCAGAGCTTAGTGAGTAACTATAAGCTCGGATCAGATTGTGAGATCATTTTGCACGTGCATCGGCCAAAAGGCTAAACCAGATACAGCTGTACTTTTCAAGGCCTAGTACAACATAGAAGCGGCGAGGCGAGGAATTCTTTATTGAGGACTAAAAGCGTTCGGATACAGTATGGATCTGTCTCATTTCACCACCACTTTTATTCTCGCCACGCAGTAGTGCGATGTCGGGTTTCAGCTCGGGAAGACTCGTAAAAAGCCGAGGGAGACTCGTAAAAATTGAGTTACCTTTACCTACTTAGGAAAAAGACCTAGCCACTCACGAAGAAGATATCTACTTTATATCACCTCTGCACCGCCATGTTCTTTATTAGGGCCCTTCATTTTAAGATGTGTTTATTAAGGCCCCATTAGGATAAAGGATTTCGGGAATTTAGGGACTCTAGTTTCTATTCAATGATATTGGAATTTCGAGTCTCCCCGAGATTTTTACGAGTCCCCCCGAGCTGCTGTCCGTGCAGTAGCTCTGCAGATTGCAATTGTAGCGTGCCAATAGGGCTTTCAATCGAAGCATCTCACTCGACTCAAATATCGGGGAGTAATTCTCGGCCCCACTGAGTCGATATAAGCCCGACCTAACTCCCGATTGCGAGAAGCAATTCAGCTGCAGTGGACAGTGATAGTATAACAACGCAACTGCTGAATCCATTACCTACCACCCTTACATACCAGATAAATGGCCCTTTTCGACTTTTGCGCCCATATAGCTTGGACAGTAAATGATTTGGATTCGGCTTTGCGTGTTTCTGCAGCACATGTGATGGCTGACTGAAAGGCAGGGGAAAATTTCCCGAGGTCATAGTCCCGCTATTGCAGTTACCAACTGGGCAGGCCTGGAGGTTCCAAGGTTTACACATCGGCCAGATCTGAGAACGCAGATCCCAACAGTGAATTATGCGCTATCCCCAATCGGGACTGGCTTCACTCACTGGACCCCACAATAGATTACACGTTTCCAAGGTCTGCTTCTTAAACTTTCTCCCGAGGTCCACTCCAAGGTTTGTTATAAAGTAGTTATGTAACTAAGTCTACTGGCCCGGGGTGAACTGCCGGTTAGAAACAAATAGATAGTTAATTAGGATAATAAATAATCTTTTTTAGTTTGTATGTGCAAATAATTAACCGAGGTAACCCAAATATACGATACGCTTTAGAACGCTACTAATATATACGAGGTCCCACCGACACCATGATTGGGACTAGTTTCACTGTCGGTGGGACCTGTACGCCCGCCAGATCGCTAGGGAATCGACCCTAACCAACGCCGATCTACAGGGATTGTCGATAGTCCGTAAATACAAGTGCTGACCACACTTCCGTATCTTGTGTAATATAATTATTTATCCGGAGACGTGAAAATTGATCATTCAGCCATAGCTCACTGGCCCGATGATTTCGTAGCTTCTGACTTGCAGCAGCAAGTTGACAACTGCACCGAGAACATCCATGGATAAACTGTATTTATGGCTATTAAATTTTGACCTATTGGCATGCGACTTGCTGATCTATGTTGTATTCTGTTAGTTCGAAGAAGTGTGCAAGCCCCACGTCCAGCCACATTAGACACATCACTCCGTACCGCAAGTAATTTAACCAATAAGTTGACAATGCTACATATGTACAGTGACGCAGCAAAAGTGTTAACACCTCAATCTGTACCGCCTTCCGGTACGGGTATACCGCCCGTTGTCTTCAAATTACGACTGGTGGATGATCAAATTGCCAGCAGAATCTTGATCGGGGTGTTAGTTAACACTTTTGCGGTGTGAGTGTAATGTTACATTGTAAGCGTGGCAGACTTAAATACCTCCCTCGTCTCCTAGAATATCCCTCCTTTCCATCCTCGCAACGGCCGGCCAAAAAGGAACCCACACATATCATATCCTCCACGCTTCTTTCTGCACTTATCCTGGTATAGTACCTATTCCACAATGCCAGCTAAGAAGGGAGATAAGATCATTACCCACGGACGAGGTACGCATACCCTGTTGATAAATCCATAAATCCAATTAAGCACAAGCTAATCAAGGTCAAAGTGGTCGGTCAAGCCGATACCATCGTGGAGATTGTTGAAGCCTTAGGCCCAGATGGAGGCCCCCCTTATCGAGTGAGTAGTAGATATTATAATCTTAATGTTGGCACAGTTGCTCTAACATGGGATTTACAGGTGCGAAGTGAAAATGGCCACGAGACTTTGATGTATCCTGGTCCTGACTCGGTGGTCCAGCCTGGCGAGGACTCAGTGTCGCAGGAGGGTACTATACAGTAGTATGCACAATATATATGAATACTACACAGTGATAATAGCCATTTGGAACAAATTGGAGTGGGAACAGTATCAAAAACACCTGAATGTGTCATCGTCACAATCAAAGCGTATCGGATTGATGAGATATAATGGAATGGGTGCTGAACAATGCTGTCTATAGTTACAGTTATCATCATACCGGTATATCGGAAATGGTTCACTCAAATTGAACGGCCGTGAGAAGGCACCGAGCATCCAATCGAGTGTTTTCTCCGTGTCCCTCGCCACCTCCTATGTTAAAGAATCTGCTATACGAAGTGCAGCGAGGACCTTTTTATAAAAGTCTATACTTGGAGTTAGTAATCAGTAAGCAATAAGAGCTGGTGGCGAGCCAGGTAGTCAAAAATTACTGTGGGGAAATCTGATGTGGCGTATTGGCTGTTAGAGACTGCCGTAGAGCGGATCAACGATTTATAGAACTCGCCCAGCGGATCGAAAATCTGATCCGGATAAAAATCAGGGGCATTTTTTCAAGATTCGAGGTCTATGTAGTTGCATGGATAGAGACGGAAGCAAACTCCTCATCATGTTCATATTCCTCCACTTCGATCCCCATTTCCTCTGATGCCACATAGTATAGTAGATTGTGCGTTGAAAGCTTGTCTCCGTTAGCTAGCATGCCTCTACTTGATCTATCTCAGCTGCAATATTCTCATTGATATCTTCACTTTCCTGAATGTCTTCATCGTCGCTGATCGGCGCAATGTTGGCTTCATTTGATTTTAGTGCCGCATCATCTGAAAGTGCCTGGTGGCTCTCATTCTCCAATAAACTCGTGCTGGAGCGGGAATATTCGCTACGAGTGATCACTCGGCCATTCAGATGTAGCATATCAGGTGTTCTCACCTTCTTTGATATGCCGATCTACTTCGTCATGCTCAACCCCTTGCTAGAATAGCCTTCAATACTGGAACAAACGGACCGAAATGCCACAAAAATATGGAATATACCTATTGATTCTAATAGTTCTATCTCAAATGCTCAGTTCCCTCAACTCCAATTGCATCATATGCAAAATCCTTAAACAATCCTGCTTAAGCCATGAGTTGAGACTCAGATAAAGGCCTCCAATTTTCCCTGTCGCCGGATTTGAGCTGCCGGTTTGTGAGCCAAGTTGGTCGATAACACCCTTGACTCGTTCCATCTTGCCAGATAGTAGGTGTATATTTATCATAGTCTGGAGGCGAGGATCGTCCACATTGAATTTCCCAATCATCATTCGTGACGGCGCGAACGATACCTCTGGAGGCTGCATGGGTGGTGAGGATGCAGCTCTACTAGAGTCGCTGGATGTTAAGTTACTCCCTGCTGCCGTACTGGGACGACTTGGCAGAGAGGAAAGTTGTGTGCAACCCGCAGCCTGCTCGTACCACGCCAGGATCCGGGAGATTATCGATGCATAAAGTAATGTAACAGATGGAATTTGTGCACAGGGGCAAGAAACGAGTAGAATGAGACGCTCAACCGCCTCGCGGTTAACCTGGAGCACCAAGTCCAGTGGCACGCCGTTAACTGTGGTCTCCGTTTTTAGGGTGAAACCAGTCGGTGGTGGGGGTCCTTCGTCGGCCTCAGTCTTGTTGATGTTGTGGACGGATATGCTTTCAAGGGTCTCGTGAGACTTTCGCTGGCAGTCGTGGCTGTTGGCAATTTCTGGGGATATTGACTCTTGTTCGACATGTGCACTCGCATCCCATTGCCACTGGAACCCCCCGAAGACAAATGTTCCCCCTGTATTGGAGACTGCTGAGAGGATCGAAGAGGGAAAATAATATTGGCGTCGGTTCGGTCAGAGATAGCCCACTCGTTGTACTCAAAGGGCAGATTCGGTATCATCGGTATTGGAAGCTCATTGTTCAAGTTTCCCCCGGCATCCAGAATGTGCATGAATGTGTGACTGTTGCTGTCTTCATCCATAGGATCCCAGGTATTCATATCAGTGCTGGAGGAGAGGTCCAGATCCAGCGGCACACCACCACTGCTAGCTTCACTACTGCTTTGGAGAGGCGTGACGGTCTCCCTCATAGATCGAGATAGACTGTGACGCCGGAGGCTTTCCCATCTTACGCGAAACCCCATAGACGCAGGGTACGCCATGTGAGATGCACCGCCCACATTCTGGTTGTTCCTTGTCGCATTTTACTTTTGCAACACCGCATCGATCACAGCTAGATCGTAGCTTTTCTGGTCGAGTGTTTCGGGTCGAGTCTCCAGCCATTGTGATTGTCCGAAGTATGTAAGATGGATTTATCAAGTTGGAACGAAGGGAAAAAAAGACAAACTGGACACGAGTAGCTGCGAGACAGGGGGGTATATGAGCTAGTATCCTCGCTAAAGTCTTAAACCAATCAAGGTGCAGGTCTTGTAATATTAGGTGCTTTCTGCCCCAACTCAAGCTTTCGCCCCCGTCTCAAGCTTTTTAGCGCCAAACCAAGGCAACCACTTAGGCTAGCGGGATGAGGAGCGTAGACCACTTACTGTTACAGGAAAGGCCGTATTTATTGGGATATAACCCACTGAGTTCCAGCCTCGTATTATTGCCTTCTTGTCTCGTGTTCTTGTCGTCTTGTCTTGTGTTAGTGCTTACACTACATAGTTCTCGTTTCATCCTGAGGAAAAACCCCGCAACACATCATGGCAGAGTTAAACTGGAAGACGCGCGCGTCACGCGCATCGACACTAAAAGGAACAAAGGAAAAGACAGAGAAATAAAGTCTACGAAGAGATTTAAATTGGCCACATTTGACGGAACATGTATATAAATCAGCATAGATTGATTAATGAAAGAGGCAAAAAGCATAACAAATGTCCACTCAGATGTTTCAGCGCAGATAAGATAAACACCCGGGGGGGGGATTCCGTGCCGCCTGTATCTAATAGCTGACCAATTGAATCGTTGTTCCTGTTGATAAGTATGAGTGACGAGACTACATAATCATCCGTGACTTTAGTCCTATTGCCTAATCCTGCCTAGCAGAAAAGCACATGCAGATTAGTTGTACAGTCCGGGGACCATGACCGGGTTCCAAATTAGGGTATGGTATAGATATTATAATGCTAGAAGCGAGCTATTTTATAAGTAAGAATATAATCAAATAGAGTATGTAATACTATTTGCACCCGTATTCAAACCGTATTTAGGTAGTATTTTTGGAATAGATATGTACTACTCTGTATCTATACACATTATGTAGATATGAACATATATATATATATATATACGGTCGCCGGGGCCCCAGGAAAGTATTCTCTAAGTAATCTTCATGTATATCTAGGTAACCGGGCCTTACAATTTTTTGGTAAAAAATACCAGACCCTCCCCTAGGAGGGTCCGCCACCCACTTTGTAGTTGCACCCAAATTGTAGATTTTTTCCAGAATTCAACCTACCACATTCAACTACCAATCTCTCCATCACCATGCCTAAAGACAACGCCAAAATTGAGATTCAGATTGCTAAAGCAATGGATTCTTTATCCTAGCAATCTAAGCCCAATATCGCGAAAACTGCGCGTGAATTCAACGTACCTGAGGGCCGGCTTCGGTATCGATGGAATGGTGGAAAATCCCTATTTTAACGCCAACCTAACGGTCGGAAGCTTAGTTCTGTATAAGAATCTGCTTTATGCCAATTCATTGATTACTTCGATCAAGCGGGCGCTGTAATAAACTAGTCACAAATCACTATCGCCGCGAATTCAATCCTCGAAGAAGCGCATACCGATCCCGCAATTCCACCCCCTAAGGTCGGCGACCATTGGACTTATCGGTTCTTAAAACGTAATCCTCAATATTACCGACGTCGCCGACGAGCCCTCGATATTAAACGAAGCCGAGTAATAGATAAAGGGGTAGTAGAAAAGTGGTTTAAAGAATACACTTAGATCGTCGAGGAAAATAGCATCTTACCCGGCGATATCTACAATTTCGATAAGACTAGCTTTCAAATTAGTGTCGGTAAAGATTAATAGATTATTACTCGATGACCGAAGCGTACAATCTTCAATAGCTCTATCATAAATCGTGAATCTATAATAGGGATAGAAGCAGTTTCGGCGGACGGTTTTATCTATCCACTACTTATTATTTTAAGTGGTAAACAGATGATGCTACGATAGTTTAAGGCTATTCAAACTAATAAATACCTTGCTATATCCGATTCTGGATATATAACCGACGTCTTAGCATTTCAATAGATTCAAAGATTCTATAAATGGACAATCTATCGAACTTATGGTATTAAGCGACTAGTTTTATACGACCGGTTTAGATCATATTTCACCCGGTAGTTCAGTGAATTTTATAATAAGAATAACATTATTCTTTTCTTTTTATTACTATATTTAAGCCACTTCTTATAGCCTCTCGATATCGGTGTTTTTAGTGCTTATAAATATTGGCATAGTAAGGCTGTCGAGTCCGTAATAATAACCGGATGTTAGAAATTCACTAAGGAAGAATTCCTTTATATAATTACCTCGATCCGGGAAAAAACATTTCGTTATACGCACTATCAAACTCGGCTTTCGGTTAATAGGTCTTTAGCCTATCAATTCTAAGTTAATTACTAAGGATTTGGTTGATTATAACCCTTATAAACGACCATCGATGCTATCAATAGGTAGCTTAGGCTATACAGACTTCAGCACCCCCAAAACCACTAAGAAAGTGTAAAAACTAAGCTTAGCGCTTAAAGAGAGTGAAGCTCATTCTTCCCGCTACAAAAATGCACTCGCAAAGATCGCAAAAAGTGCTGAAATGCATACTACTTTAGTGCATACATTATAGTCCGAATTGGATATAACTTCAGCTATCGGGGCTACTCGCCGCGCTAGATATAATGCTACCCGGGCAAGGGCTCATACTACCGGCATTGTTAATGCTAGTGAATTAAGGAGCATGAAATATAAAGTATATAAATGGACCGAAGCTAAGGATATTTCTAAACGGAAGCGGAAATGGGCTAAGGTCAACACACAAATCAGAAGGCATGGACGCATGCAAAAGAAATAGGGGCGGGTGTCGAATACTAAGATTGAATACATGGTGGAAACAGGGTAAAATACCCTGAATATCATGTGACACATGGTACCATCCATACCATACAAAAGTGCATATTACAGTTAGTCATCTATGTCCGCCCAGATTGTTGAAAACGCGGGTTTTGTCATTTTAGTTAGTTAGAGAACTCAATATATCTGATTTTGTCCATACGTTGTCATACAGCCAGATTTCTGTCAGCGGGTTATAGCTATTGAATTCATGTAATTTAATAGATATTTTATTCATTTCTTATTTAAAATGCATTGAATTCATTCATATATATGGTTGAAATGGGGGTTGGAATTGAATCCTGAAAAAATCTACAATTTGGGTGCAACTACAAAGTGGGTGGCGGACCCTCCTGTGGAGGGTCTGGTATTTTTTACCAAAAAATTGTAAGGCCCGGTTAATAAACAAATGTGGTGCAATTGAAAGGACGGATAAAAAAAGCGGCCCGAACCGCATGTGATCGTATTTCCAAGGTTCGTATTCGATAATCTCACCTGCGCAGACCCCAAGTAAATACTGATGCCTTAATGCCTGATTTAGGCCTGGTTCTTGACCGCTCGTTACACGAGAGCTTGTAAACCACCTGAAAAAAAATGAGATGTATAGATTTGTATAATGTAAAAAGCTGCATGTTGACCCACGCCAAAACATGGTGATGCAAGAATTAATGGGACAAATAGCTCCATTTTACCTATGTACTGGAGACAGCTGGTAGAACCACCTGGGCATGGCACCTTGCTTAAGACAACAAGTCTTAGACAATGTTGGTCATCCCATTGATGCCTCCATTTGTTTGCAGACTGAGCCTGTCTTTGTTTGTCAGGGTATAAACCCCCTGCTTTAGATAGATTGAATAGATCATGATTCCTCTTCTTCTCTCTCCTCCTAGCTAGTACCTCCAACAAACTGTAATAGTGATTCAGGTATTTTAATTCTTCAGTCTTAGTTAATACAGGCGTCCAGGCCAAAGCCAGGCATTCAGGCAATAACGGTAAGCCTAAATGGGGGTTTGGGCCCTGGAGTCTATAGGAATGCGTAATCGTGTTATATTGTGTTATTGTTATATTAGTCTCTCAAAAGTAGTTTCGAGGCAATTTCTCGATGTTTCGATTTCGGTCTTTGTGTAGTGGGTTGAGACTTGGACTCAAAAAGAACAATAACCAGAGCGTATGAAACGTAATTTGGTCTCTATTGCTCGGAATGCAGCAGTGGGTGATATGATAGCAGGATTGGAGGAATTCGCAAAGGAAAACACCGTGTAGATGACAATTATTCATTAACTGATGAGAGTATGTATAGTTGAGAGTTATCACTGTCCCGGTAGTAGTCAAGACTTGAATCCAGCGATATCATGAGTCGAAAAAGCTTGATAGATGAGAGTAACTGGGAAATTAGCCTCATCGGTTTAAATACAGGCGACTACAGTAATCCATAATTACCACTCCCTCTGTCTCGATTTGTAGAAGTTGGCATAAATGGATTTTCTAACCCCTATTTTTCTACTCAATCCCACAATCTGGAAACTTCACCCGAATGCGCGTATTTATATCGCTCAATGCATATCCATCTCCCCGAATCAGCAGCATTTTCCCACAGTGCTCTGTGTGGCTGTATGGACTGATATAAGTGTCGATAGCTTCCTTTCCCGGTCCCAACAAAGCCCGGTGCATCTTCTGCCACATATACACACAATGCTGCACATGGTACTCCCAGCTTACATACAGTCCATCTAGTTCCCCCCGAAGAGCTTCTGTCTTGGGGACTGGTCGCGTTTTGTTCCGATCGAGATACCACTTCCAGTCGACGAGCTGCTCAAACGACTTTGATAACTCATTATCATAGCAGCGATGGGGTAGCCAGCAAAACGTGATGATATCAAAATGACAGCCTCGAGCCTTGGCTTCCGCAGTGGTGTTGCCACAAGGAGACTTCATTATCCCAGTCATGACATGAGCCGACGGGTCGTAAACATGTGTTGATGAGCCATGTGAGGATGAGAACGAGGGTAACTTCGGCAATAATGATGCAGAGGGCTTCCAATGGATCACGTCCGAGTCTGAACTTGGGGTTGAGGTGATATTTACTGCTGTTATCACGAGACCGCCAAGGGTGAACAGAAAGCAAAGTACTGCAACGGCATACTGGCGGAAAAAGGAGCGCCGCCTTTCAGGATAGATTGCGTGTTCATCATCACATTCATTTGTCATGATACTGCTTGGACCTTGCTCGTCTGCTCCGAAGGACATCTCAACACAAGACAGCAAAGTTAAAGATATATGAAATTCGTATGACAATAAAAGGCTTTGTAGAGTAAAGCTTTTCAAGAGAACCGAAGGCGACTTTCTTTTAGAAAGAATCCGTGGGTAACCGAGGGTCTCAGGAAAAGGAATAATCCATATATTGCTATCAAATTACCAAATTTGAGAAAATCGCGCATTATGCCGGGGAGCCTAGCTAGGAAAGAACATGGACGGTCGCTTATATCTGCTCTGTGATCCAATTCGCCAAAGATAGGACAGGAAACCACAAATATAAGAGGGTACATGCATGCGCTGTGGTTGAGAGGGTGGAATTGCATTGGGGTCGCAACATGTATGTAGGCCCATATCGCCCCCGCCAGGGCATATTTGCTCCGCAATCGGGTTCAGCCTTCCCTCCTGACTATTTGGTGCGAACTACTTGTTTTTCCTAGTTTAGAAATAGATTTCGTGGCCCGAACTTGCATAGATTAGGCCGGAATCTCGAGGTATTCCTCAAACTAAACGCGAGGTCAAGAGAACTAGTTCTCCTCCACAGCCGTCGTACCTACGAGATTGATTCATACTCAACAATAATGCCTGGCTACCATAAGATCGTCAAATGGGTTCTACCTTCCTATAGCCAACAAGATCACTATACGGCAGTCGACTCGGGGAATGAGGCTGAGAAATCAGATGAAATAGGGCTTTTGTCCAAAAAGGCAATCCTAGGGCCTCGCTCAGCCTCTCGCAGTCACACTTTGATTCTAAACAGCATCTTAATTCTCTCCTTCGTACTCGCCGTGATTTCTCTTCTAGTGGCATTTACGACTCACTACACTATTGTGCGACGAAGCCTCATCAGTGTCAATTTGCCATATGGGAACCCCATTCCGCCAGGTATGACGTTCTGTTGTAATTTCTTGTGTCGATCGTTTCCGTGCTAATTAATTCAAGTCCCTTTGGAAATGAGAAAGTTTGGACCAGCCGAAATCTTCACTGAACGTCCGAATCCCAGAAGCGATGCTGCATGGGAGGCCCTAGCAGGCCGTAAGATGATCCGTTTCTGCCATGCTACGTGATGAATTCGTATCTAATGACAGAGGACAGCAACCCTTAATGACCAAGGCTTTATTTACGTTCCCAACTGGGAAGATTTGAAGCTACCTCCAGGAGGCGTGGTCCACGGAGAGATGATGTACGGCATTAGCATGTTTCACCAGCTTCATTGCTTGGTGAGTGGTCCTGCGGTCGTTTTATTTTCTGTCTCTATCGAGTAGCAGTGCGCTGACTATTCCTCCCAAGGGTGCTATTCGCCATACGTTCTGGCAGTTGATGGATGGTAAGCTCGACCCCGTGGCTTTTGAAGCCCTTGACGGAAATACTACCGATCCGAACTTTGTACCCCGTGGTCATGGATTGTGGCACATCGAGCATTGCTTCAACTACGTCCGACATGCGTTGCAATGCTATGGAGACACTACTATGGAAGTGCCAACCGACTTCAATGGCCAGTTGATTTTCATTGGGTGGAATACAACGCACCAATGTCGCAATTTTGAGGTCATCTGGGACTACACAGTCAACCATTCCACATTAGATAGCTTGAAATGAGGGCGTAACATTATTGGTCAAAATTTGGGACCCGCACGGATGCTCTGCAAGGCAATAGCATAATAGATGTTTGAACACAAATAACACTCAGGGGAACGTCCGTGCTGCCTGTGCATAATCGCTGACCAATTGAATTGCTGTGTCACGGTTGTTGGTTCCTTCCAAGGTTATCACCCCTCTAACCCTACCCCCCGGCCATATTGGCGCATAATCCCACCAATGGTCGAGAGAAGTTTTGTTGGTGGATTGTGATAGACTAACCTTGTTCTTGCATACTAGAAAACGCTTGGTCTACGTTGTAGCGTGGCCTCATGCAATGAAAATGTGATCTGACTTGGCCCACAGGAGGCGGGAATGACCAGACCCCTGCCCACTAACTTAATGCGATCATTGGGACAGTGGAATACTGAGTTCCGGACCGTCCCGTCCCGTATTCGGAGCCTCCTTGTGCAATTCGGATCTACGTGGCAACTTGATTACGCGTAAGGACAAGTCACAATGCGTCATGCACCCAGTATCATACACTAATGTGCATATGGAAGCGCTTTTGTCTTGATTGGGTTCCCGAAATATAGGTTGCCGTGAGAAAGAGTCAATTTATTTACGTCATAAATGGACTAGTGAACGCAATTGAGTCATTTATGTCTCCTGCTGGAACAAAAAAAGCACAACCCCGCAAGAAAAAGATTCCAGGCCGGGCATTTGACGCAGGGTGATATTTTGTTGGCCGTGGTGCATGACGGGATAGAATTAGGTGACTAGGAAATCAACAGCGAACGCATTCCCCATCCAGATACAAGCCAACATACATCTTCAGTAAATATAAATGCCCGGACTGTTTCACTAACCATCAAAGCAAGTCAGTGCATACCATCAATTGTTCTGCTTTTCCCAGATTGAACTGAGCCTCACGCATTCTATTCGAACCGGTCACCGCAATCATGAAATCTATCAACTGTCTCTACATGCTTGGTCTCCTGGCAGGCTTTGCTATTGCAGTTCCAACTGCCTCTGCCAACTCAAGTATATTGGACCCAAGATAATGCTTTATAGTTATAGTACGTGCCAGCTGATCTATATCTAGTTGCCCGAAGCAAGCAATCGAGTGACGACTATCCCAGCGCCGCAGACGCTCTCCAGTGGATCAAGCGCAATGAGAACGAGAAGGCTGAGGCTTTACAATGGATCAAGCGCGATGAGAACGAGAAGGCTGAGGCTTTGCAATGGATTTGAAGCTATGTAAGATCTACTGGGTAGTAACTGTGGGAATAAAAAATATGCTAATACCTCAAAGTTAACTGAGAGGAATGCTAGAGTTGGCTATGAGACAGAAGCCAGAAACGGATACCGAGTCTGGAATTCCTCCCGGTGAATGATCTATGCGCCTGGTGAAGTGAGAAGTGAAACAACCAGAACTATAGCTGCTACAAATTCACTATTATTTCACGAAAAGTATACCCATTTAGAAAAGCATGGTATATTGACTCCTGGTCAGTGTGCTAACTGTTTTAGTACGTATCATTGAGTTGTAGTAGGTATGTAATTTGTTCATATGGCTACTGTCTTCGTAACTCCCAGTGAACATGGTACGTTTCTTTTGCAAACATATACCGAGTGTCATAGCATTAGCTGTGAAATAGAACACGCTAAAGATGGTCCCTGTAAGAAGCTCAAAATCAACGTAATATACTCTAGTGATCATACCCGTAAATTTGCCTGAATGAAAGATGTGGCGATTTCATCAACCTCAGTTAATCGGGGAGGTGGACAGGGAAAGGAACGGAGAAGGGGTGTGTTCTACGTACTATGGGGAGAAAAGGGATGGGCGAGGCGGGTTACTCCAAAACAAAGTTGATGCGTCGAACGGCGTCCCGGGGGTGCATCTATGTTGTATGAAACTCAAGAGTAAGTCAGGATTAACATGAATTTTATAACTAAGAAACTTACCCGTGGACCTGACCTCTACCTGGGTAGGTAGTATCTGTTGATTACTAAGTAAAACAGGGGTCCCTCCAGGGCTGGGGTGGATGGATAATGGCGCTACCTATGGCCATTTCTTTGTCTACCTAGGCAACATCGCATTCGTCACCCTTCAAAATTTTTCCTCAACCTATTTTACGCATAAATGTTCCATGGAGGACTTTTATCCCTATGTTACAACTATCTCTGTCTCGCACCGTTGCCAGTTCCGATCTGAAGTCCAACATCAATGGCCTCCAGTTCCGCTGCCCCTTGGGCAAAAGATACCTCCGAGAATTCGTTCGGGCCCGTTAGTCACCTGAGGCCATTTGACTTTACTATCACCTTCGAGCAGGCTATACTGTCGATCATTCCTTCGGCGATCCTGCTACTAGCTGGACCACTACGACTATTCCATCTGTCTCGTTGTCAACGAAAGACGCGATCCGAACATGACTATTTCTTGAAGTTGGTAAGATACATCTTTCGTCTAATATTTTCTTAAATTGGGTTGCGACTAATCGGCTTATAGGTTGCCGCTTCAATTAATTTCGCCCTTCAACTGTGCCTCCTGGTGCTGTGGAGCATATCAGTTGCCTCTCGGACGTCGACTAGTATCCCCTCTGCTGCTCTAGGCCTCGCTAATTCCACCATTGTCATTGGGCTTTCCTATGTCGAAGACATAAAATCAACAAGACCCTCTTCTCTGTTGACTGTGTATCTGCTTCTCTCAGTTCTGTTCGATGCGACACAGATTCGAACACTATGGCTTACACATCGGGTCGCCATTGCAGCCGTGCAGAGTGCAATCCTTGGGACAAAACTCGCTATGCTCTTATTGGAGACCCGAGAGAAAACTTCTTATCTGAAGTCCCCCTACAAAGAGTATCCGCCGGAGGCAACCTGTGGCATTGTTAATCTGAGCTTTGTCTGGTGGCTGAATCGGCTCTTTTTGACTGGGTGTCGGAAGATCATTGGGAGTGGGGATCTTTTTGCCCTCGAGCCTGGTCTTAGCTCTGGTACTACAGGAGAAAGGCTAAAAAGAGCGTGGGAGAAGCATGGTTGGATATCCTCTCCGAAATTGGATATATCATTCGCTGACACGCCCCAGGTAAAGCAGGGAACACCTTTTCCTTGCCTTGGGCCTTTGTCTGCTGTTTCTGGTTGGAATTCCTGGCCGTGGCCTTTCCTCGAGTGTGTATGATTGGGTTCAACTTTGCCCAACCATTCATGATCACGGCAGTTCTGGTTTACATAGAGAACCCGATCACACCAGAGAGCTTGAATCGTGGATATGGCCTTATCGGAGCCACTTTCTTGATTTACCTTGGGTTAGCGGTATGATCTGTGCCTTCGGACTTTTGCTTTTTGTGTATTTCTTTCGCCGCTAATAAGAATGCTAGTTGTCTAATGTTCACTACAGACATCGCTTCTCCAGAGTGAGCACTTTGTTCCGTGGCACAATGATATCATTGATCCACGACAGGACCTTAACACTTCAGGCCGACCTCTTTGCGGAAAGTGCAGCTCTTACGTTGATGAGTACAGGTGAGTTCGAGGTGTACTTTCGCTTGTCTGAGAACATGAAAGAGAAAGCTCGGTTTAATAATTGGTTCCAAAAAGACATCGACGGCATCGTTGAGCATCTGGAAAACTTCAATGACGTATGGGCTCGCACGATTGAAGTGGCAGTCGGTACATGGCTACTTGAACGACAAGTGGGTGCAACTTGTGTGGTTCCATTGATTCTGACTCTAGGTAAGCATCAAGCCCCAGGCCAAAAAAATGTGTACCTCTCATACTTATGTTTGAACCAGCATGTCTGGGTGGTCAGAAGCTGGTGGCGAAGACGATAGGAAAGAACCAGCAAAATTGGAACCTTGAAATCCAGAAGAGGATTCAGAATACATCCTCTGTACTGGGTTCTATCAAAGCTACTAAGATTTCAGGGTTCTCTGGCAAACTATCCCAGGCCCTCCAGGGGCACCGCGAACGAGAACTCTTTGTATCTCGCGCTTTTTTCAAGGGTATTATGTGGTTAAATGGTCTAGGTTAGACAGTTTTTGCTTCTATGTTGTTCCTCCGCTGATATCAACCAGCAAGTCTGCCTCGGATATGGTCGCCTGTCATCACCTTCATTGTGTACGCTGTACAAGCACAAATTAGGGCTGACGACTCCCTCACTACCGTGAAAGCCTTCACTGCTCTGAGTATTATCACCCTCGTCACTACGCCCGCAGAAAAATTACTCGCTGTCTTACCCCAGCTAGCGGCTGCAATGGGATGTTTCCAGCGCATCCACGAATACATGGTATCTGAACCGATGAAAGACAGCCGCATTGGGAAGAAAAATCTTGCACTGTTTACTTCAGACAAGACCGAGCCGGAGGTTGCCATAGCCTTGGATAGCGTTACTGTCTTCCCTTCAGAAAAGGCTACATCTACCGCCCTTACTGACGTGTCTTTCAAAGTCACCAGTGGCAGCCTGGTGATTGTTATTGGGCCTGTTGGCTCAGGTAAAACTACATTGCTAAAGACCATCATAGGGGAGCTTGGTTGTCTATCGGGTGCCGTGTCTATCAGATCGACCAGAGGATCCTATTGCAGCCAGAATCCATGGCTGCTTAATACAACAATCAAGAAAAGCATAACTGGTATCTCGGACCACGAAGTCGATGAGAAGTGGTACAAAACTGTCATATATTCATGCTGCTTGGATGAGGATATTCGTCGTTGGCCTGACGGTGACCAAAGTGAGATTGGAAGTAAGGGTCTTGCACTTTCGGGAGGTCAAAAACAGAGAGTAGTATGCAACAATTCCGGACGTGTGTCTTTTTGACAAATGCTAATATTCTGGAGGCTCTGGCTCGTTCGGTGTACAGTCGCCACGATATAGCCTTGCTCGACGATGTCATGAGTGCGCTGGATGCGGAAACGCAAGAAATAATCATTCAACGACTTCTCTCCCGGGATGGGATATTTCGCCAGCTGGGGACAACTGTGGTTTTGACCACTCACAATTGTATGCTGTTTTCCAGACCTTTGTGACCAGGGAGTGCTGACTCGCGATATTCTCGACCATAGCTCGACTCCTTGGAATCGCAGATAGTGTGGTCTCGCTCACTTCGGATGGTCGAGTCGACCTTCAAACAACAGGCAGTGAGGCCATTCGCAATACAAATTTCTGGCAGGCTAGACGATATTCGGATGGGAAAATCCAGGATGACCTTAATGACAAACCCAATGATCATTCAAACACAATGGCTTCAAACTCCGACCCCGTCAGTGAGAACGAAAATATGGATCGAACTCGGCAAATCGGAGATCTATCAGTATATTTTTACTACGCACGAACAGTGGGTCCAGTTCTTTGCGGTGTGTTTCTTGTTGGACATGTTCTCTTAGCATTCGCCGAGAACTTTCCTCAAGTGTGGTTGAGCAAATGGACCACGGCAGGAGGCGAACAGCTTCCTCTCTATCTATCTGTTTATGCGGTCTTGGCACTCGCAGCATCACTTCTTACCATTTGGTGCATATGGGTTGTCTTTCTTAAGCTGATGCCGAAGTCCGCCATTCGTTTGCACTGGTTGCTTTTGGACACGACAATGAAAGCACCACTATCCTTCTTCTCCGCCACTGATAATGGCGTGACTCTGAATCGCTTTAGTCAAGATATGACCCTGGTGGATTTGGCCCTTCCTATTGCGTTAATGTCTTCCGCTGAGTCGTTTTTCGGATGTATTGCTACCATTGGTCTAATCGCCACCGGGTCTCCTTTTATGGCAACAACAATACCGATTACACTGATCGTACTCTATTTCTTGCAAAAGATTTATCTGAAGACGAGTCGCCAACTACGATATCTTGATCTCGAGTCTAGAAGCCCATTGTACTCACACTTTGCCGAGGTCCTCGAAGGTCTGCCGACAATTCGGGCCTTTGGCTGGCAAGACGCCTCATCAAAAATTCTAACTCAGCATCTTGACCGGTCTCAAACGCCGTACTATATGCTACTTTGCGCACAGAGATGGTTGAACTTGGTCTTGGACATCGTGGTGATGGCATTAGCAACCGTTGTGGTAACACTAGCCGTCATGCTGCGTAGCAGCACAGATTCGAGCCTCCTTGGCGTCGCGCTGAACAATATCCTTGGATTCAACCAAATGTTGTCATACTTCATCACATCATGGACTACTCTCGAGACCTCACTCGGAGCGATAGCCCGTGTCAAGTCATTTGTTGAGACAACACCATCTGAAAACAAACTGGGTACAGCCGCAGAATTGCCTACATCATGGCCCGATAGGGGGGATATTGACATACAGGGTCTCTCTCTCCGCTATCCTGATGGAACTCTGGCTCTGGATAACATCTCTATGCACATATGCCCGGGCGAGAAGATCGGTATTTGCGGCCGCACTGGCAGGTACGTGTGTTTCTCGTCTTGTGGCTTTCATTTATCTAACCAGGATGCTGACCAACCCTCCCATGTTTCAGCGGGAAAAGCTCCCTCACACTAGCCATGCTGCGCCTTGTAGACTTCTCGCATGGCAATATCACAGTCGATCATACTGACATTTCCAAGATCGCTCCCGCCTCAATCCAAGAGCGGCTGATAGCCGTGCCGCAGGACTCGTTCACGCTTCTGGGATCCATCCGCTATAATGCAGACATTATGGGACTCTCCAGCGACAGCGAGATTACATCTGTGCTGAAGCAGATCGGCGTTTGGGCAGCGATTGAAAGCCGTGGGGGCCTGGACGCACTCCTTGAGGACCATTCACTGTCGCAAGGAGAGCAGCAGCTCTTCTGTCTGGCACGGGCAATTCTTAAAAGGCAAACCAATAACGGTGGATGTCAGGTGCTAATCCTGGATGAAGCCACGAGCAGCCTTGATGCGCAAACAGACCGGCGAGTGCAGAAAGTCATGAGAGATGCTTTCTGTGGCTGCACTGTTTTCAGCGTCGCTCATAGAGTATGTTCCTATTTCGTCTTTCACTTAAGAGCAAGCTAATCGTTGGACAGCTTGACACAATCATAGATTTTGATCGAATTGCAGTATTGGATGCTGGATGTCTTGTTGAGTTGGATACTCCACAAAACCTTCTCGCTAGAGAGGGTTTATTCAAGCAGATGTACTATGGTACAGACACACAAGAACTTTAGTGACATGGTATGCCAATAGATCTCGTGTACTCTAGCTACCTGCATATGAATATGCAGGCGCCCCTTTCAGAGTGATATACTGCCTCTAGACTTCCTCGAGATAGTCTTGCTCCACCAACGTACTGACATGTCTTTGCAAATTCAATAATGTGAAAATTTTCAATTTAAAGTCGGATAGTGAGTACATTCAAGATTGCATAGTATTTTGACTGAATTCCATAATTTATTAGAACCCACCATTCGGGTGGATGATCACTTTTGTGTACCCATCCTCCCTTTTGTCAAATTTCTCATAAGCAGTCTCGGCATCTGCAAGTGCAATCGCATGCGAGATCACAAAGCTGGGCTTTGCTTTGCCAGCAATAATCATGTCTCGAAGGTATCGGTTATAGGACTTGACATTACATTGCCCGGTACCAAGGGAAAGACCCTATAAAAGGTTAGGTCTAATGAAACTAATAGAGGGAAATTCTAATACCTTTTCAAACAACTTTCCAAAGCTAAGGCTGATCATTCCATTCGCAGTGGCGGCGTCGGCTGCACCAGGATCGCTAAAGAAGGGATCGTTAGGTAAGTTGCCAGGAATAGAGCCTTGGAAGACCCTTGTTCACATACCTAGGAACGTATAATCCAGGGATTCCCATCCCACCACAAGCCCGTGTGACGCGAATCATGTTTTCAAGAACAATATTTGCCTTTTCAGCAGAACCGTTGGAGTCGACAGCCTGGTATCCAACGGCATCCACCGAGCGATCAACCATATCCCCGTTGTGACTGATTATTTGATCGACAGCGTCTCCCTTGTGAAGTCTATAGGAATAGCGCCAATCTTCTTGGCGGCATCTAGTCGCTCGGCAACGCGATCAACAACGTAAATGTTAGACGCTCCTCGTAGAGCAGCAGAGTATGCGGCCATCAGTCCGACAGGACCAGCACCGAATACTGCAATACTTTCACCTGCTTGGAATCCGGAAATTTCCACACCATGCCAGCCTATAGATAACATAAAATCAGAGATAAGGTTCGATCGTATGGATGGTAGGTTTAACAGTACCGGTTGGGAAGATATCTAATAAAATATGCGTTAGTATGGGGAATCGCGAAGAGACGAACGTCAAATAATCAAACTCACCAGCTAGAAGAACGAAGTCTGCTTCATGCTCTTTACCCGGAGGCAACTTAAGAGCATTGAAATCGGCATACGGGACGCGGATGTACTGTGCCTGGCCTGTATCAACTGTTAGAGGCCTTGTATCAACATTGAATCTTTCTTGGAAATCTTACCTCCGCGGTAGGGACCCATTGCGACATATCCTAGGGCTCATTAGCCCAAAATAATTGAAGCTCAATCGTCAACTCTTACCGTAGGCACCGCCAGCAAAGCCAGGGTTGACACCGGTGCAGAATGCAGTTCTCCCTTCCTCGCAGTTTCGACACCGACCATCGGCGACGTTGAAGGGCATAACGACACGATCTCCTTTTTTCAACAGTGTAACTCCCTCACCCAATTCTTCCACGATTCCCATGTTCTCGTGACCTGTGCTTGGGTTAGCGGCTCCTCGACAACAATTTGGGTCTTTTAGTTGAGAAAGTAATACCGAACGTAATCCCTGGCTCGGCGGCTGTTCTCCCTTCGTACATACTGTAGCCCAGTCAGTCTCCCAGAAAGAAGGATGGCTATGTTTGAGGGAAACTTACTGCAAGTCCGAACCGCAAATGGCAGCCTTCATACCCAATTAGTTTGGTTTTCATTATCAAGCTATCAGAGTCTTCACGTCACTCACTGTAGTCACCTTCACGATAATATCATCAGGATGTTCCATTCTCGGCTTTTCGACTTCTTCAACCCGAACCTGGTAAGGTCCAATATAGTTCAGCGCTTTCATAGTTGTTGTTGCCATTGTGATTCTGATTGGGGGGAATTAAATTGCGAGGAGTTGATGGGGGCACTCGGCGGGGTGTTTGAGTATTTGTAGGAAATCGGCACAGCAGGAGCTCACGGATGAGCTAATGCATATCAGACCTATGATTAACGTGGAGCTTTATTCATGGTTTGCTTGTGCTCAACAGCGATATGAGGGGGAGCTACACTATCCCCGCACTGATTTGATCCGGGGAATATTGCCTTTCCTGGAGTCGCTGAGCTTGCCATAAGCAGGTCTTTGAGGTCGGGATTCGATGCTGTGGGAGAGTCAGCTGGTTCCAAACACGTTCGATCGGAATTTGTATCAGGGATCAGCATCGTGAATATGTGGGCCAATAATTCCTTTCTGGAACTCATGTCACAAGCCAAAAAGGGTAGCCTGAGGCATAACGTTTTGTTCAGAAACGGCTGCGTCTTTAACTTGCAGTTATCATCGTGTTGGTTGCACTAATTTTATCTTCAGCTTTGCATGAGGGAATCTTTGTTTCTTAAATCACAGCCCAGCAGGGAGATACGAGATGTATACCATGTCCCTCCCAGAAATAAACTCTATCCCGTAATTAGCTCTTCATTTTAATCCAACGTCGATCAAATGAAGAACTACACAATAAGTACAATCCCCCGCATTGTCTGTCTGACATCACTCTAGGGAGTCTCCAGGGCTCATCCTTAAAATGGCATTTTTCCCCGCAAAGTGACCAATTTGGGCTAATGAAATATTGGCGGTGGAGACACTTTAAAAATGGGAGCCAATCACAGCGCCGTTTCGAATGCCCAACCTTCGAACTAGGACGGGGAACCTTACCTATCAGGTGTAGTGGGAACTTTCAATGAGGAGAAGTATACATTGAGCTTTCATAAGAACATAAATGAATTCGTTTCTCCAGTTCGATTGGAACTTCTCCAATACACCCACCCAATCCGCCTCATATCCTACACCATGAAAATCGACCGCTTTCGATCTGCCTGGGGAATTGCTCCTGGTCCGAACATGGACAATTGGGCCCAATGGTTTCCAGAACTAAAAGCTCAAGGCTACAGTATGTGCACAGTTCCTCACATTTCAATACCATATTGACATCTTCCTGGTAGGTGGTGTCGAAGTAGATATTCATCCGCTGGAGCCAAGTAGAGACTTTCCCCGCCTAAGGGAACTATGCAACCAGACTGGGTTAGAGCTTGGGTTAATGTCAGTGATTGAGCACTCGAGAAAGCAAAAGAGTAACTTGCTGATATGAGTGAAAAGGATACACTCATCTTGGTTCCAGTATCTCGGGCCCCGTCCAGCTGGCACCAAAGCAGACCACCACTTGCAAAATTATCGAAGCCTGCTCAAATCGGTTCAGCAACTGAAGCCATCGACTATGAATTTCCAATCAGGCGAGTAAGTGACATCTGTATAACTTGATTATTGAGCGTCCTCTGACATTAAGCCTAAAGAGACCTTTGGGACGTCGAGGAGTCAATTAAATTCTATAAAGGGACTATCCAGATTGACAGCGAGCTTGGAATATCTGGCCGTGTCTACCATGAGACTCACAGAAACCGATCACTCTTTACGCCCTATGCAACACGGCGCATTTTGGAGGCTGTCCCCAAGTAGGAAAACATTGCCTTTTATCGACCAGTGATTTAACAAATTGCTGACAATACCCTAGCCTTCGGATCACGGCCGATTTCTCCCATTGGATGGTTGGATGTGAAAGAGTGCTCGACCTCAGCGAACGTGACAAAGTCATGATGGACGCAATTATACCGCATGTAAGGAACACCCACCCAAGTTCAGGTTATATGATTTTAATACTGGGCTAGGTTTACCATATTCACGCCAGAATTGGAACAACGCAAGCATCACAATGCCCTGAACCTACAAACCCCGTCTTCAAAGAAGAAAAAGAGTGCTTTGAGAGGATTTGGAAAGATGTCATCCGTTCGCGGGTCAAGGATGGAGCAACTACAAGAATTGTTTTTGTGCCAGAATATGGGTTGGTCCTCTATAATCTCCCTACTATGGGCTCAATGCTTACCTTGCTCCTAGACCATTCCCCTATCACCCAATCGGGAGTACCAAAACCCATAGTCAAGTTGCGGATGAAGAGGGCCAACGGCTGCAGGTCCTTTTTAATGACTTCGCTGCAACCTTGAACGATGCTTGATTAGGCTCTGTCATAACGTGGCCCAAAACTTTAGATAAAACCCAATTTGATACAACTTAAAATGCTCAACCTTAGACTGGGGTAGCACCCCCATTTCCCTATTATAGTGAAGAGGACTTCCTGGTATCTATTCCCCCGCAGAGGTCTCACTGCTTTATCTAATAACGACTCTAACTACTAGGGTAAGAAACGGTCCTCTTGTCCTCCTTTTCCTCCTCTCTGGCCCACCACCAGCAGGCAATATTGCTCCCTATGGCAGCAATGACCCCTGCTAGAGGAATACTGAAACTCTTTTTATATCTATTATATGCCCACTTAGACTGAAATAGCTGGGGCCCAATAACACTACCAAGCTGGCTGATGGAGTTCTACAGAACTCAGGCAAAGGCGGTTTCCGTGGCCCCTTCATAGTAGCTGAGCGCCATGAGCTGAAGGGAATGTAATAAATGGATACGAGAAGGTGCCTAACATGCATGCGACGTATAGGCTGGGTGTCGCAGAAACGACGGAGAAAAGGATGAAGGAGACGATGATACCCGCATTATGCACCCTGAGAAGTTAGCTATGCTCTCGCAACACAAGGAGGTGACATAATCTGCTGCAAGAGGCATTAAAAAGGAAATAGAAAGCTAATCTACCTAGGTAGTATATAATATACATAACAACCTTGAAAAAACTCATGACATATCACGTAACAACGGCGTATTCCCATCAATATCAATCCCAAATCTGGTCTCTCTATCATCAAGCCGTTCATGAACATCACCAGTGTCCACGGCCGAACCATGCCCTCCATTTTGGTTTGTCCGCCCATCATCAACCCGTTCATCAGCATCATCACTCTCCACTGCCGAACCAGGGCTTTCATCTTGGCTTTCATCCCCAACACTAGACACGCTCGAACCATTCGAAGCCGAAACATTAGACTGGCTCGTCTCTCTTTCTACCTCCCACCACCCCATTGAAAACAGCCCCTCGAACAAACCCCTTTTCCTCAACTCCGCATCAGAATACTCCGTGCCCCTCAAAAGTTCCAACAACCTTGACTCAGCAACGAGACTCGCAGCTGAAGCAATACTACACGGACTCTTCGGCAGCACCTCCTTCGTCCGCATCATACAAAGCACAGCAAGTGCACAAACCACCATGGCGGCCAAAACGCCATCCAGGATGCGCTTGGAAAGTTCATTCTGCACGAGATACTTCCGGCCATCATGGAAGACGCCCTCGTAAACAGGTGCATGGCTGGTAGCAGGCTCAACGAACCAAGTAGTGTCCAGCGGGTCGTCGAAAGATTCCCGCCCATTCGAATTGAATAATTGCGCCATGATGATGCCCCAAACTGTATTGAGGCGCGCTGCCAGGACAGTCGGGTCGAGGAGTTCTTCGGCGGGGACGCCGTGGGCGCCATCGGTCAGAGCGCTTAGTAATATGTTTCTGACATTGGGGTTTGATTTGAAGAGGTAATTATCGATCGTTCCTAACGAAGGAAAGGAGCCGATGGTCGTGTTGAAGACTGTTCTGTTTGTGTTTGGGACGACCCGGGGATGGACTTCGGCATCGATGGAGAAGGATGGAAGCTGAAGTCTTGTGTCGACCTCTACTTCTTCTATTGTCGCATTGCAGTTGAGCAAATAGTGTTCGGGCGACGCAATTCCGGAGCCATATGTGCCGTATAGTATGTTGTCGGTGGAGCAGTTTGAGGATCCATTTTTAGCCGGGGTGAAGTAAGTACCTCGAAGGAAGTGTGTCGTGTCGTCCAACGGGTTTTCTCCGCTGTTATGGGTATAGCAGGGGTTGTCAGCCATGCAAAAGTATCCACTGCTCGTAACGGAACAGTTGACTGGGGCATTTGTACAAGTGAGCTGGCTGCGAAGGGTGGGGATGCGGGCGTCGATGTAGCCTGCGCCTGGGGGGATGGTGGTATCGAAGAGGGCGAAGTGCGGGAAGGCAAGATTTTTGTATGTCCACTGTGGATCGGATAGATTGAGATGGATGATGAGGCCGGCCGTTTTGTCTGTATTAAAGTCGACAACTTTGCTATATTTCAGCTTGTCGCCCCGAGTGGAGTCTCCTAGATTCCAGCGGGTAGTCTGCGTGATATTCATAGGGGATGTGGGCCACGAGGCTTTGGCAGTATAAAGACCGGATACCACAATTGGGTTTATTGCTGCAAGAAGGAGAGATGTTGTGGCTGTGGCGAGAATCCACTGCTTCTTTCGGAGGTTATCAAATACTCCGTAGACGGCAATTTTGCGAAGCTGGTTCTCGAAGATGGTTGTTTGTGGTGGGGCAGAGCCCTCGCGGAGGCGAGCATAGGGTTGTACAATCCGTGCGCCAAACTCGACGGATGTGAACACGACACGAATGGTAAACATGACCAATGCCGGGATATAGGTCCATATATAGTGAATATATTGTGACTTTCCTTCGACCAAGGTGATACCATGCGTACTAGCGGAGATGTGGTAGACAACCTCGAGGCCTATAATCGTGGCGACGGGAAGGATAACCACGGCAATCCTAATGAACCATGTGGTCGAGAATGGATACCACCAGGTTATCACAGAGCTCTCAGGTTCACTAGGTTGGATACCTTCATATGCCGGTTTCTCCGTTGATTCATTCTGTGGTAGTAGCCTGAACGTTCCCTCCGTGTGACTTGAGGTATAAAGTGTCTGGCTAAGCCTAGTATCGGCCATTTGCGTCTCTGTCTTGAGCTGTGATCCTTTAAATGAGGTCATGAACTCTGGGCTCTGGGCAAAGACAGTCGCCATTCCCCCAATGGACCCCGTGTCGCGCGGGCATACAGCAACCGGGACAAAGAAGCAAAGAAGGGTGATGGCAATAGCAATCAAACAAACCAGTAGAGCTGCTATCAGCCAGAACGACAACTGACGCACAAATAAACGCTCCTCAATAAGCTGCTCCGTTCCCTCAACATTGTGCGGCTCGGGTCGAAGAAGGTCATTCTGCATGACCTGTCGCATAAGACACGAGAACTCACTTCGCAGGGCATCCGTAAATGCCGCCATGTCATTCCAATACACCTCTTGTGAAGTGCCATTGTGTCCGTTAAACTGATAGCCCTCCTCCGAAATAGCCGCACCCCCATCTTGCTCACTAAGAGTCAAGGACCGGAAGCTACTATGTAAGATTTTATCTGCTGACGCACCCGCGATTCCCTCCGTGGCCTCCAAGCGCTGCGGCTGAATATCCGCTGATATAGCACTCTGTCCGGGTTCACGCCAGATTTTCACCGGGCCCCGATACATATTATACCTAGGCTTGCAGACAACCAGGTGAAATGGAGGGGCATTCCATGCCGATTGCAGTACTTGCTTTCCCGGGAGCTTAACGCCACCCGGGTTGACAACAGCCGCCCAAATTCGCCAATCAAGCGTCCAGTCGACAGACAAATGGTTGCCGACAAGGTAGGAGTTGGCGTCTTCGCCGTCACATGAGCGTAGATAGATCTCTATGCTGATATTCTTCCTGTTTAGTATCGATTCGATGTCGTCGGGATAAATGGCACTACGACATCCGTCCGTGGATGACCATATTGTGGTGTTTCTTTCCAACATTGGACCACCATTGTGTGGTGATGATATGTTACCGGTCCCCCAAGTCACGGTCCCGTTCTCGCAATCGAGGAAAGGCTCAATGACTTCTATATCTGCCTGATATCTCGGGCCTATTGGGATGGTATTTTTCTCCGTCGTATTTGAGCTGGCGGGTTGGAAGGGTGTGTAGATGTAGGGTTCGTGGAGACCGAATGGACGGGTTAAATTGCGGGCAGCAAATGCTGAACAGGCGGCGTATGACCGGGAGTCATAAACAGTCGGCCAATAATTGGACCCGTTGAACATTTTGAGGATGGTTAGACTCGAGGGACGAGTGATGGGCACTGGGTCGAGTTCAAAAAGACCTGTCGAAAACACCGTCACGCCGTTAAGAAGCAGCGAGCCTGCCACACATAGAGATACCAGAAAGTGCTTCTGCTTGAGGGATTGATATAGCGATAGAACGTTCCATTTCGACATGTAGTCGAGGAAGATACTCTGCGAAGCTGGTGTTGGGCCCCGGTGCATCAAAATCCACGGCATGAGCTGTGTGGCGCGGTATTCAGCCTGCATCCAGCCAGCTGTGAGGATCGTAAATACTAGATCAACATTAGATCATTTTCTCTGGAATCAAGTAATAGGGCTGTATACCTGCGGTCGGCCCATATGTCCATAAATAATAGTATCGATCACCATCCGTCTTTATTCCCAAACTGCGACCCTCGCGTTGTGTGTACACGTAAAGCACAATGAGTGTGCCGAAAAGTGACAGGAAACTGAACAAAAATACGATCATGATCGGACGGCGTAGAAAGAACGGCGCCCACAGTTTTCGATGGTCACCCTGTTCATTTTCCTCTCTTGCAACAGAGGCGTAGTTGCCTCGCCTTTCAGCGCAGGAGTGTTCTTGTGCTAACATATTGAAGTTAGAGGCTCGGATTCCATCAGAATAGATGCAAGCAAGGCAAGGCCTATAGCCCAGAAGGTTCTGGGTGAATAGTCGGTATTTGAGAGGAAATTGATAGAGTAATCTGGACTCCGTATACACCGAAAAATTTTAAGAATCTGAAGACCTACCGATTTCCTTTTCTGGTTAGGTTTGCCTTTAGGGGTTTGATGGCTTGGTAATCTCTCACCGACTAGTATTTCATGTCGAATACTAAAGGTTGCATACATGGTGGAAACAGGTATTAATACCCAGAAAATCATGTGACCAATGGTACAATCCATACCATACAAAAGTGCATATTACAGTTAGTCATCTATGTCCGCCCAGATTGTTGAAACCGCGGGTTTTGTCATTTTAGTTAGTTAGAGATTCCAATATATCTGATTTTGTCCATACGTTGTCATACAGCCAGATTTCTGTCATTTCAGCCTCATGCACTGCCCCTTTCATTTTACAAAAGTACTACTCACAGCCACGAAACTATCTAGATTTGTTCGTTGATGAGGATTTTCTATCACGCATCCTCTTACTTTCTCTCCTTTTTTTATATCGCTTAACTCCATTGTTAACTAGGTCTTGAAAAGTGCAGCCAATTTGGTTCACACTTGGCAGACACTTGGCGTCAAACGTGGACTACAGAGGTAAACACCCAAACAATGCCAAGACCATTGATCATTGCCTATCTAGGCAATTGTCTAACTTAAATAAGCAAGGCGGATACACTACTCCATATATTCCCTGTAATGGTCCCCTTTCTAATTTAATGCAGCTGCACTTTCCCCGGCGCTGCCTCGTCCTCTATCTGAGGTTACATTGCTCAGCCCTAGAGATATAGATAGATCTATGTACATTCGATTCCTTGTTCGTAAATGCCTTAATAAATATTAAAAGAATAAACACAATTGATATGAAATTTGTTTTATCATATATTTTATGTTGTACAGTGATGTGGACTAATAGTGAACATTCTCACTTGCGGCTGACCGTGGTCTGCGCTGCCTGACACACCATCTAGGGAATAGGGCCGGGTTAGAATCTGCAAGATTGAAAAGTTAGGGGCATTCCCTAATACCTAGCATGCTCCAGACCTTTCATCCAAAATAGTTTCGTCTGCTCGCTGACCAGAGGGATGAGCAAGGTGAGCAGATGAGATTTTCTTTTTCCATCACACCTCGGCGGTTTGGTACTGTCTTTCGAACCAAGACTCCCTTCCCTCTATATGATATCGAGCAAATTACTAACTACCCCGCAAATGGCCCAAGCGGCTGAATGTATAAAGCATCTATATTTGTTGAGATCATAGCTATGTGACCCTGTTTGATAGTAGTTAAATAATTTGCTCCTCCTCCTCTGTCCCTTCCTTTCCCCAGTTCTCGGCCACTAGCTAATACAACAGTACTGATTTATCTCTTTTCATTTAGTATTCACAGCATTCTAGAAGCCCTATAGACCATACATGTACCAGCCTAATACGGAAGCTATCTTTATGCTGTTGTTTACAGGTGTAATTCTTTCCATTGAATCAAAACCAAATCACCACAACAGCCAACCCCCGTTCTCCTTGCAACCGGTATCTCAAGCATTAGAAGGCTTCACGGAACGCAAGGACACTGGAATAGCAGTTGTATCATCAGACACATTCCACAGCAAGGAATAAATGCCTTCGCCCTGCGAGTTCTCTCTAACATAGAAGCTGGAAGAGATCTCGCCAGAGTCCGATTCCACCATCATCCACGTTCCATAGAAGATGAAACCCGTAGTAGTCTCATTCGACCTATTCTGAGACGTGAAGCCCATTTCATGGCCCGAAGACGACGAACTGGGGATGTAAAGCATCTGGTCGGACCAGCTGGCGTTCGCATTGGTGGTTCCGTTCGGGTTGGCGATCCAAGTGCTATCCGAGGACTCAGATGCACGTTCGACTAGTATCTCCCATATTAATGTATAAACATGACTGTAGAGTGGAAGATTTCACTGACAGGATACACTTGAAGTAGTCGAAGCAGTTGAGTTGGCTGGGTCGCCAATCAGAGCCTTGCCTAGCACCTCGTCAATATGGTTCTATATAGTGGTCGGTGATTAAGCCTACCGTCTCCGTAGAACAGGGAGAGACCACCAACTGAGCCTCCATACGCATAAAGTCCGAATTTCTCACCTGCGCCGGGAGGGCTCCGCGAGACGACTTGAGAAGCGTACGCGGACGCTCCCAGGCACAGCATTGTGCAAGATACTAAGAGACGGAACATGGTGGATAGTAGATAATGAGAAAGATGTCTGACTTTGCACAATATTTTATAGGAACCTGACTATTTTGCTGTCGTTCTCTATATACATAGTCCTTTTGCACGTTACGACCTCCCGAGGTCGGAGGCAGAGCTCCGCTTAGTCAAAATTTAGGTTGAACATGCAGTATCCAATCGGCGTTTAGACCTTTTTATGGTTTATCGCAAATATAGTCTCTACAGCATAGAGAGTGGTCAAAACTGGGTTTGTGGATTTGTGGACGAGTCCAGGCCGCGCGTTGGCTGACGTCGGTGCCGCGGTGCCGCGGTGGTTCTTGGTTGATACCTGAAGATGTCAGTTAGCTTGAAAAGGCGTGCGGGGACTTTGCTTAAATCTGCCTTGCAGTGTATGTCACAATTCCGTGTTAAATAAGTGGAAATAGACTAATAACATTTTTGGTCGGGTTGTGGGTAGTCCGTTAATCCCAAAGTCCCAAAGTATGGCGGTAGTCTACAGTTTTAATGAACATTTTTGTTTCAATTGAGGCATTCTGATGTTTCTGGGAGTCATTCTTTCTCTCCGCTCTATCTTAGAACTTCTATGCCGCGCAATTCGTGACGAGTGATCTGCATTATGGTCTGATCTCCAATCGTGCAGATCCACCTTTTGGGTTTCAACTCCTGGCGGTCCTCGTCCCGTCCCATATAGCTTAAAAATAACCTCACAAATAGGCCAACTCTAGATCGTCAGGGATCGGCAATCCCGAGGTCAAGATCTGAGCTTACGCAGCCTTATCCGTTGAGCCAAGCCAAGTCCAATCAAACCTCATTGACATCGTTAGTTTGTTGGCCCTCTTGATACTCGAGACGAGTTCCAATGCTTCTTCCGAGGTACTGGAATAGTAGAGCATCTGGGCATTATATATGTTGATAAAAATTGGTTTTTAGCAACAATATCTTTCTACAAATCATTTCACAGTCCTTTCCAACAATATTACATTCGTTGTTATTGTTTCTTTTCTTTTCTAATTTCCATTCTTCTGTGCATTTACTTTGTGTTCGTCCGCTACAGTTCAAATTGCTAGCACCCTTGACCGGCCTGAAGCGATCATGAAGATTTGGACCACTCTTTTGACCCTCGCCGGAGTAGCCTCGACAACCTCGATCCATCACGACATACATCACAGGGTCAAACGAGAGGTTTGCTCTGGAAATACTGCCAGTGATAGACAGAGCTGGTGCAACTACAATACGAGCACCAACTACTACGATGTCGTCCCAACCACGGGCGTGACCAGAGAGTATTACCTCAATATTGAAGATGTCACACTTGCTCCCGATGGCTACTCTCGCGCAGCAATGGCAGTCAACGGGTCCATTCCAGGCCCTACCATTCAGGCCAATTGGGGCGATTATGTTATCGTTCATGTCACCAACAGTTTGACCTCAGACAACGGGTCTAGCATCCATTTCCACGGCATCCGCCAGAACTATACCAATCCGAACGATGGCGTTGTATCCATCACCCAATGTCCTACTGCTCCAGGACAGACAACAACCTATAAGTGGAGGGCCACACAATATGGCTCATCATGGTACCATTCTCACATTGGGTTGCAAGCCTATGAGGGTGTCTTCGGTGGAATCGTGATCAACGGACCTGCCACTGAGAACTATGATGTGGACAAAGGAGTTTTGTTCCTCAATGATTGGAGTCACCAGACTGCTGATGAGCTCTACGCCTCTGCCCAGGCCGATGGTCCGCCTACATTGGACAATGGTCTCATCAACGGCACCAATGTGTATGGAGATGACGATTCAACCAGCCAAACGGGCTATCGTTTCAATACATCATTCATTGAAGGCACTTCTTACCGCTTCCGTCTTGTGAATGCTGCGGTAGACACCCACTTCAAGTTCTCAATTGACAACCATACTCTGACGGTGATGGCGATGGACTTGGTACCCATCGAGCCATTCAACACAACTGTCTTGAGCATCGGCATGGGTAAGAGACCATCCACCTACCAACTACATATAACCTTACTAACCCTTATTCCCATCCAGGTCAGCGGTACGATATTGTGGTGAACGCAGATCAATCCACCGGAAGCGACAGTTTCTGGATGCGCGCAATCCCGCAATCCGCGTGTTCCGACAACGACAGCACAGACAACATCAAAGGAATCGTCTATTACGGCAGCACAGCATCCACGCCCACCACGACCGCATACACGTACACGGATAGCTGTGACGACATGGACATATCCGATCTCGTCCCGTACCTTGTCCAGAGCGCATCGGAACCATACTACAACTCCAGCGAGCCAGTCACACTAGGCACGAATACCGAGAATCTCTTCCGCTGGAAAATGAACGGGACATCGATGCAAGTATACTGGGATAACCCGACACTACTGCAAATCTGGAATAACGATACAACATTCACCGATGAAAGCGGCGTAGTCGTGCTCCCGCTCGCAGACGAGTGGTCCTACGTTATTATCGAAACCACCATGACTGTCCCGCATCCTATCCACTTACACGGGCACGACTTCTTTATTCTCGCGCAGGGAACGGGCACGTACAGCTCCTCCGATATCACGAGCTTGACGAACCCGCCCCGACGGGATGTGGCCATGCTCCCGGGCTCTGGGTACCTTGTTGTTGCGTTCAAGACTGATAATCCCGGGGCTTGGTTGATGCATTGCCATATTGGGTGGCATACTGAGGAAGGGTTTGCGATTCAGTTCTTGGAGAGGTATGCGGAGGCCCGGAAGCTGATTGATTATGATACTTTGAATTCTACTTGTGAGGCGTGGGATGCATATGTCACGGAGAGTGAGCTTGAGCAGGAGGATGATGGTATATAGATATACAGGCCGTGGATAGAGTAACAATTTGAGGGTTTGTTTTACGGTCAGCAACTATTTACAGCCATTGACATACATGCAAGCCACCAGAGCTCCATCTATCCATCCATTCATCCATCTACTCTACCCCCTCCGCGTAATGGCAATTCCCACCCGGAAATGCTTCAAAAACCTCCCCCAAACAACCTTTCCCTCAACTTCCCCAACAGCAACAGGCCACAACACCCTGCCAGCACCGTCCTCAAACCCAATCGGACACCCCTCCACGGTCTGGCACTCTGGCGCAGCACTCATATACCCTGGATCAACAGAATTCATAGCAACACGCCGTCCCTTCCATGCAGCGTGTGCTTCTGTCTCTGTTATCATGTTGATCGCTGCTTTAGACATATTCGTGTGTACGTGGTGTCCAGCTTTGCTGCTTGATTGGGGTGTGTCTTCTAGGATTCCTTCGCGGGATGAGACATTTATTATGTATCCTGCTGGTGTAGATTGGGAGGAGGATGAGGAGGACGGTGGGGTGCCCATCACTGGGAGGAGTTCGCGGCAGAGGATTAGAGGCACGAAGGCGTTGACGGAGTGCGCACTTATTAGATCTGAGTAGGGGATTTCGTGGAGGGATTGGACCCAGGATGATTTTGATGGCTCTTCGTCTTCATCGTTGATTTTTCGGAGGCCCTTTGTGGCTATTTGGTTTGTAGGTTGGGTATTGCTTGTATCTTCAATTTGAGGCTGTGTTTTGTTGTTCGTAATACGTGGGATCCAGGTTGCTTGCTGTCCTCCTCTTACACGCGGTGTGTATCTGTCGTTCTCGGATTCTGCGAGTAGGGACATGGCCTGTGGATGGTCTTTTAGATGATCCTCTCTGGAAATGGCTCTCATTTCTCCTTTGACTGGGTCAGTGAGGGTTTGCGCAGCGTTGTTGATAAGTATATACAGGGATTGTGGTGTATCGGATGGAGTCTCGCTGTCCCAAGCACGGAGTAATTGTTTGACAATATGGACCAGACGGAAAGCATCGTTTGCTGTTCTGAAGTCTGCACCGACTACTTTCAGTCTTTTCTCCCATTGAGGGAAGTCTGGCTCTGTGGAATATCGGATTGCAGCATCGGCTGGATACCGAGAGGATACAATGACGTTGGCTCCACAGCGGAGGAGTCGCACTGTAGTGAAGTAACCCAGGTTTATTCTCCCGCCGGTAACGAGCGCGATTTTACCAGTGAGGTCTAGTTTTTCTGGTAGGGAGAGATTTGAGCAGCCGATATTAAACATGCCGCATTGGCGACATAGTGACGGGTATAGTTCGTGAGAATCATTGGCCGAGAAGCGGTACCGACAGATGTAGCATCTTTTTTTAACGTCTGAGACTCTCGGTGCGTCGGTTCTCTGAGATCGTGCATGTTGTGTATATCGAGTATTGTCTTCCATGGAGAGATGGCCTTGCACGGCTAGAACAACCTCAGACAGAGGCTCTGTTGGAGAAACCACTTTATGGTTTTGAAGATAATCCAAAACTTTGAGTGTCGTTTCCAACTCGTTCGATGTTGGGACATGCATACTATCCATGGACGCATGTCCCTCAGATTTGGTCATCGCTTCCAATTGGCCTAGGTAGGCCTTGATGCCTTTGATAATGCCGTTGCATCTGAGCGACCGCAACGCTTTCGAGACTTCACTGTGTGGAGTGAGATGCCAGGCTATTTCGTCAAAGACATCAGCTGTAACAGAAGATAGTTGGATCGCTAGATTACTAGGCACTTTTCGCTCGCTGCAGGCTTGTTGGTCTTGTCGCAGGCGCTGTGCGACTGTCTCTGCGTCTGGCAGTTCCAATCCTGGGAGCTCTTGCTTCATCTTGTTTGATATTTTTTCTCGAAGAAAAAAAATCCCGAACAGGATAGAAGGGCATAGATGGATATGTAGGTAGAAGCCTAAGATGAGTCAACAGAAATGACTCAGGTTGGGTTGTGTTTTTGGCCCCCGCTGACTCGCTTTTATCGCGTGAGGTTCCACAATATCTGAGATCTTTTGTGATCTTTCCACCGTCTTTCCTTTGACCACATCTTCAAAGACAACGTGGCAAAATGGACAATCAAAAAGCATCAACCAGTTCCATAGCCCGCAATATAGCGGCTATTCCGACCGAGCTCGCTCATCAAATCATCGATGACCTGCGAGTATGGGACGTCCTCAAGCTTCTATGCTACGATAATGATCGAGTGGATGCCTGCATCATGTCCCATCCAATCTGCCGCAATATGTTCGGTGCCGACCCAGAAACGCTGGCCAAGTGGAAGCCCGCTGCCCACCTTTACAAAGATATATTCATGGCAGTGGGAAAGGCATTTGTACCATCACACTGGAATGGAATAAACCCTCTTGTCACAAATATCCATTTACTCATACCTCAGAAATATGGAGAGATCTCGAACCAAATGAAGTACCGCATTCAGGATGAGCTCAATATTCATTGGCGCAAAGTAGACCTCACTCGGTTCGGTGCTCCCAATTACTCCAACGGATTTGAGGATCGATACCTCAAGACATTCTCTTCTTTCGAAGAGCAGAAGCAATGCTGGGATGATATACAGAAAGCAAAGGCCAATTTATTTCAGTTGAGGGCTTCGGAGCTTCACTGGACTGCTGATATATTGGAAGCAAATCCGGATATCCTGAAACGCACACTGGACCCGGCCCAGGAATTTCGGCCAAATACTGCACACATCGTGTCGAGATTGCGGCATATCGCTGGTGAAATTTTGCGGACCCCGGCCCAGAAATTCATCTTCTCCGAACATTTCCGTTATGAATTCCTGGGGATCATTCCTTTCGACTCGGCCTTGGACCAACTCTTGCATATGATGCAAAATCATGGTATCATAGAAGGCGATCGGGTTGTGGCGAGCAACACAATCATTTCAGCTGATGCCGCTGCGCACCCATCTTCTATCATCAGTTTGATTCGAATTATTATTGATGGGATGCCGAAATTTTACATCTCACCCCCAGAGACGGCAGAGCAACGAGCCGAAATTGCGTGCAGGAATGTAGCCAACAAAGACGGCGATATTCTTCGAACGGCGAATACTCCATGGTCCGAACCGTTTGGTGCAAATGAACGGGTTTCTTTAAAGGAACCCTTTTTCACAGCGTTCAAATATGGTGATAGCAAAGGTTACTGGCGGCCAAAATCCTCTTTTTGGGATCCTCACCATGAGATGGAGAAAGAATGGCTCGTCAGTTTTATCGAGGTTTATCGGTACTTGAAGAACCTGGATGAATAAACGTTTTTCTTGATGAAGGCTGTTTTAGTGCCTGTGAACCTTTGACTGGGATTAGTAGGTGGAGGACAAGTAATGACATCTAATCTTGCTTGCAATAGAATAGCGTCGATTATTATTTGAAATATGTGGTGTTGCTTCGAGAATGGCTATTGATTTAGTGTAGTCTTGTCTTTCGTGGAGCAAAAGGTTCTGTAGACGAAGGATAAAGTGTAGCAGGACTAAGATCCCAGGAGCCAGAGGCCTTGAAGATATTACTCCCCGATGTTGGGGAGTAGAACGGAAAGGAAAAGCCAGGATTTGCCAGACGTTATCCGCTACCTAGTTCCCTCCATGTAGATGGTTTTAGCTCCCAGGTGAATCTTGCCAGAAACAATACAAGGAAATATTCACAAGGTGACCTCTAACTGTCTGATTTGCTGCCACTCCTTCTTGAGAATCCCCAAATGCACTTCGTCCCACCATTTATCGTCCTTAAACAAGCACTCCCTTCTCCGTCCCTCCTCCCGGAAGCCAATTCTCTCATAAACCTTCTGTGCGCGAGTGTTCCATCCAAAAACATTGCACTCCACCCGGTGCAGACCAGCATTCCTGAATGCCCAGTCAAGCATCCAGTTGATTGCCTCGGCGCCATATCCCTGGCTTTGATATTCCTTCTTAACATCGATACCAAATTCCGAGCAACGGTGATGGGCCATATCTGGACTTGGAGACTTCAAGAAAAGTGTGCCGATAGGCTCGGGTTGTATCTGGTTGACCGAATCATCGGTGGTTCTGTAGATAACCACAAACAAGAGCGAGTTACCAATGAGGTACTTCCTGATGTTGTCGGTTAATTGGCGGTCCACAGGTCGGACGAGTGATGCACAGGAGTTTGTGAAGGCAGCCGGATCACTCTGAATGGAATGGAAGAAGTTGTCATCTTCAGGGGAGTTAAAACTACGGTATTGCAGACGATCGGAGCGGAATAGATCCATGACGCTGTATGCGGCTGATGGGATGGCAAAATGTTGCCCGTTGGTCAAAAGAGGAAAGTGGGATGAGGGAGAGATATACGAGAAAGATCTAGGGGCTGCAGATATACGTGAGGGGCTCTTTGTTTGGTCAGGTGACAGGAACAGGGGTATGGCATTCAAAGTGTCGCAGTGATTAAAGAGATTATATCCTGACCATAATCTGTATTAACTAGGTCCATATGGTAAATTTGGATAATCATCCCTATGGGGTGCCCGAGGCACCCCGCATAACCATCGCACTTTCTAGAAAGGTAGACGTATGATATGAATGACACGGTTGCCGAAGAACGGACTACTTGATCAACAGCCAAACTAAATTGCCAACCCAACTATACCAAGAGACTAGATACAGCCAATCTTCACAGTGCTTGGGCTTCTAGCCAGGTCGTTTGACATGAGTATTACCAAGAAAATGAGTGACCTGGACTAAATTGCTACCCCCTACCAAGCCAGACAGTTTCTTGGTTTCTTCACCTCGGATACTCAAGCGTTGTATTTCCCAGAAATGATCAAACTATAGACTTATCAGCCCCGTTGCCAGATTCCAAGGCGTGCAATTTGCTGCTCGGTGAGCTCACGTCTTAGCTTTGTGTATCCTTTGGCCGCATCCTCGTCGACGTCACGCTTGGTGTAGCCCTTGGTAGCATCCTCGTCGACCGCGCGCTTGGTATAACCCTTAGCGGCGTCTTGATCAAGATCGCGCCTCTCTACACCCAGACATGGAACTGATATCATTATCAACTCAAGATACTCCAAATACGCAGGGCTCATTACCACTACTTGGCTCGACCAATGGTAATGCCATAGCCAAAGCTGGCAATAGCAGAAGAATGTTCGCAATGCGCATATTTTAGAATCTTCAAGCTGGTTCTTGACTGAGGATGGGATTGTGTTTCCCACTGGAAAGATAAAATTTGGTTTGGTACTCTCAGAGAATAGACCAAAAAAGTCCCTCTTATAAATACTTCTTGTACTTCTAAGACTAAATTTGGTTGGCTAAGGCCGAAAGACGTGATTGTGACAAAATGGCGTCTCATGCAGCCCTCGTCAGCTACCTGATCGACGGCGGATCTTGGGTGAGATACTGAGAATCCCGTGGGCGTATACTGTTCTGCAATAGAAAGTTCTGACGCACATGTGAGATTTGAATTAGACCCTCGTTGGGCGGATCTACATCTTTCCCACCATTTGAGCCATCTAAGGCATATTCACCCTGCAGCGGATTTTCGGCAGCCCGCAAAACCCGACTCGAAAATAAAGACATGCGGGGTTTGCAGGCTGGTTATGTGGCCTAGATCATAAGCGCAGATGAACACGCAATCAATATTGCCACTCTACTCTGGGATGTGCTAATGCTGATCGGGTGAGCGGGTGAGCGGGTGAGCGGGTGAGTCTAGAGATGCATATACTATTTGAGGTTGGAAAATGGCGCGAACCATCTTGATTGCCTAAAAATTGGTACAAAGGATATGAGGTAATGATAGTAGTCTCTTGTGTGCAGGGAATAGGGTATTCACTGCTGGAGCCTTCGGGGGCTTGGCTGTATAGAGAGCAAGAAAACAGAAGAACGAAGTATACAATTGTGGATAACATCAAATGAAACTGCATTTTAATCTTAACGACATTGAAATACTGCAAATCTCATTCATATGATATACGAATGCTTGATCTGAAGGACTTCATCTTGTGATATGATAGTTAAAAACAGTCAATATGTGCTCCGAAATAGTCGCCAGAGCCATCCGCGAGCTTGATAGAAGACCTGTTCAGTCGATTAAGTGTACCTTTGCTAACCCGAATATTGGAATATTGCAGTAGTTCATGCCAAGCTGCGTCATGTTCCGGACGAGGCGATCTTCTATACGGATTCATTTTATGTCGCCATCAAAAGTCATTTTCTGATATTTTATCACGTCAACAGTACTTTAGTAATTCGTCTGATGTTTCTATCATTTCCCTATCCCCCAGCTCGGTAGTTTCTTGGATTAAGCCGTAATTAGCCCTCCAGCTGGGCGAGGAGAGATTGACTGCATTTTCATCACCTCTGCCTGAAATTTAAAGCAGCAGCAAAACATTCCAATCGTCCATATTCAGTGGTCAAGCCTAACCTCCCAGTCCTAGAGCATCCTGTTTTCAGGCCACAAATTCTCCCAAAGACTTTCTGTACTGCAGACCCTCGTCCCGGTACAGAAATGTCTTTTCAATGGTCACATACAATAGTATTCAAATCACTTTTACCTCCACACTCTCCCGCGTATGTCTAGGATGGGATCGTTCTTTCTCGTGTTTTCCGCGGTTTAACGGATGCCACTATATTCGAGGACTTTATAGTATAGCTTCTTTATCACTACGGAAAATGGCCCGAACCTAGATCTGTTATAGTTATAGACAGTACGTCGTTTTATCATTTAGAGCGGATTACGTAGACGTGTGCGGACGTAGGTGTGAAATTGGTTTAGTACTTAAATCCGATTGAAGAGTTTTTTGCTAAGCTTAAAAGCTTCATTACACGTAATTGGAGTTATTGCGAAAAAGATCCTGATTAGGGATTTGATGTCTTCCTTGAATGGTTTATCAATATGGTCGGTTGGAAAGAATAGAGTGCGAGAGGCCATTTTCGACAAATAGGCTTGAAAATAGAGGTTGGGATACTTGAAACCAGTTCTGTCTCTTATTCCGGCGGCGTTAAGAAGCCTCGAGGGGTGATATATAGAAACATGAGTACAATAATTATTCGACACCTCAAGGCCAACATTGCTCACTCCGTGAGGGGCTTTACCGATCCTATGGCAAGATCCAGTTCATTAGGCAGCCAGGCACTAAGGCAATCAAGGACAAGTCATCCTTTACACCTGATTCCACTCGATTCCAGATCTCCGACCTCCATGGCATAGTATGGCTAACAATTAGCCGGCTATTCACCCCATTCATGTCAGCTCTGTATGTAGCCTAAAGTTTAGGTAGTACAGACCAAACTCACCTGCTTCTGCGCGAGAACCGCAATTTTCCGATTGTCTTCATCAACCGCCTTTTGATATCTCATATCTTTAGTTGCATAAAGTTGACGTCGATCCGCAAGTCGTTGGTTCTCAAGGTAACTCATTTGGTCTTTGTACTGCGCACAACTTATCGCACCATTCGATGATGTATCATTATTTGGGGGAGCAGCGGCAGCAGCGGCAGCAAGTATAGTAGTAAGGATAAATGGGAAGAACTGCATCTTAACCGTCACGAGTGGTAGTCTTGATCGGTGGTATAATAACAGAATAACCAACTTAAAAGTAAAGGATGAAACAGTTTAAAAAAAAGGAGAATGGGAATGTAGGTTTTATACTTTATCTTCCTTCTCTTAGTGTTTATCCCTTACAGAATAACGCTTCGAAATAGGAGAATGATCGACAAGGATATACTTTTCCAAATTTCTAGTAGATAATCCGACAGAAATCTGGCAGTACGACAACGTATGGTCAAAAACAGGTCGTCCTCTAGAAAAGCTGCCATACTGGGTGTGAGTGTAGAACTAGAATATAAGATGAAGAACTACCCCTCCCGACCCATACTGTGAGTGTAGAACTAGAATATAAGATGAAGAACTACCCCTCCCGACCCATACTGTGAGTGGATAATACATCTGTAATTTATCAAGTGTATTCGGTAGAAATAAATTACAGACGCCAAGAAATTAGGTGTCGGCCAGGAACTACGTTCGTTAACCATCCTATTCGATTACTAATATGGCATGTCCTCCTTTTTCTGGGCGTCAAAGATTCCATCCCCTTGGTCTTGGTCTTAGTCTCTAATTAAATGCCTGATTATAAGTTCGTGGTATTGAAAAACCATGCCGAACGGGCCAATCGTTCGGCCCGGAGCCATGCTATGCGCACTGCCCTTCAGCAACGAGCAGAAGGACCGATTCCCTCGAGCTCGTTGCCATACAGCACCTCTAGTCTCACTACCCGGTCGCAGGCTGAACTCAAAGGCCGATTCCGACTGTCTACTGGAAACCAAAATCTAAATGGTCAAATACATGAGGGCTCAATGGAATCAATGAACCACCCGAGTTCCGAAAGTTATGAAGAGGAAGAACGAACCGATTTGAACAAACAACTTATTATCGGCGATTCTTCAATGAATAAAAACTTGCCATTTACATTTGCAAGGGCAAAGTATCCAATCAATGCTTTTGAGAATCACTGTGTGGATCCATTTGACACACTGCCCGCGCCTTTTAGCAAGGCAGTCGATCTCCTGACAAAATACTGTACGCACCCGATTGAACGTGATATATCCTTTTTTGACCGGACTAATGACTTGACTACTCCACTCTGTTAACTTCAGTTACGCACGGATTGAAATTGAACATCACTACAGTGAATCCAAAGAAGACGTGGATTGGGTTCGCTCTGACTGATATGACTGTATTCAATGCCACTCTTGCCTTTGCTGCTACTGCGTGGAACGCCAACATGGCCATGCCTTCTCCATGGCTAATTCGTGCGGGCTACCACCACAAGGGCGTTGCAATGCACTTGGTCAATGAGCAGTTGACTCAATCGCCACACTCCGCCTCGGATGCAGTAGTCTGTGCCGTTGCGACCCTGGTAAACGTTGAGGTGTGTATACGAGAACCATGCTTGAATATCTGCACCATTATACCTAAAATGAGTAGGGTCTCTTGATATGACAGATCGGCCGAAGTTGGAACGTGACCCTATTTCGAACACATTTGCTAATTAATGTCATGTTTCAGACCCTATCTGGAAATTTCGATACTGCGGATGTTCATTTTAAAGGGTTACTATCTCTTGTTGAAGCTCAAGGGGGTATCAGATCTTTGAAACACAACTTTATTGTGGAAAGGGCTGTTACGTGGTGGGTTCATGTTTTAAATCATCTGAGCACCTTCACTGCTAACTCAAATCAGGGTAGATCTAAATCTAGCAGTATCCTACGGACGCGAACCGCTGTTACCCCCAATACATGACAGGAATGATGTATATCTACCAGAGGCTCTCGTGGCATTATCGAACCACTCGCAGCTAGCTGGCATGATTCAACAGGGTCCTGGGTCCCGAGAACTGCTCTATATTATACGTCTCCTCCGGCTGATAGTGATCGCCCGATCTGAAATAGGGACAATACCGGAAATGCAGAACACAGTCCGAGTGCTCATGCTCCGCGCTGATCGTTGCATTCTGAAATTACTCATGATGGGTACAAGAGACCTGGTTGTCTCGAGTCTTGTTCGTATTGCCAACTCCGCCTCCCACGTCTTCTTACACCGCGTCCTGAGGAATACGCCCAAAAATTGTTTGACATTCCATATTCTTCTCCAAAGACTACAGGAAAATTTGGAACAGGGACATGAACACGAATTTGGCTCTGCGGGTTCATCCATAGTGTTGCTATGGGCACTTGTCGTTGGGGTTGCTGCCACATACGATCTTCCAGAACAGAACGCCTGGTTTGTTCTTCGGTTGAGAGCAGAGTTTGTGATGTTCAGAGAACGATATGCTATGAGCAAATCTCAATTAGAGACGCACCTAAATGCATTTGTCTGGCTAGAAGTGATGTGTCAGCCTGTGCTCAATTCCTTTTGGGATCCTGGCCATGACAGATAGAGCGACATGCTAAAACATGAAGGGTTGTGCAGTTTAACTATATATCTCTTGTTTCGTGTTTATGAAAAGGTGAAAAGATAGACATAAAAGACACCTCAAACATGCACCTCTAAAAGAAAAGGCTACTCAGGAGGCGACCGTACCTTCGTGTATTCTATAAATTGACATCCCACTCCACTGTCAATATTTTCACTTTGGCAAAAGAGGTAATAGCTTGGTTCTATGACAGGTTGTTGGTGATTAAGCTAATAATGAACTAGTAAGGGAGCTTGAGGCCATTTTCTCTGCCGAGAAGGTATGGTGGTCAGATAATTAGGAGTTCGGGTAATGGACTTCGTTTCCTCACCGGCGCGTCAACACGTGGTAGGCACCAATGCCTGTTTCACCTGCAGTGGACTAAAATGCGTATATGTCTATATCAAATACGAAGTGTCTCAGTAGTACAGTAGCTATCTATCCCCGCTAGCCTACCAAAAAGTAGAACCTCCCAAAAGAATCGGAAGATCTTCAGACGACCGTCGGACAAGGACTCGAGGAAGTGCTTCCTAGCAGTCTCAATGGCATCCTCCCAATAGGCACTATCAATACCATCGAATGTCACAGCAAACGCCTGATTATCCTCAATTTTTGGATCAAGGGCACTGACCTACACCCGAGCGACATCGTCAACAAAGGACACGTTGCCTATCAATGGCTCAGCAGACTGGGAACCCTTTAGCAAGCACAAGAGAATAGAATTGCTGGAACCTGTCTCGAATTCAGCAGGGATATGATGTATATTAAGAGATAGTACCATAATATAGAATACACAAAGGACCACGCACACAACCCCAATACCTGCTACAATAATTTATCTACAGGTGTAACCTTAGAACCTAGATGCGATTAAATACAGCAAATTCTACATAACTCTATGCATATTACGGTGGTCACACTTTTGGCCCATTGGACTTTGGCGAGGTCTATTCCTAGTAATCGAAAGTTTATTACAATATGTGCCTACCCATCAAAGAATTGATGGGTCTACTAAGAAATGAACGGCCACTGCCCATACGGAGCTCAGGGAAGAACACTTTCCACGTCTTCGATTCAGACCGTCTGAAATCACATTGTCGGGTTGGCGGAGACTAGAAGATTGTCAAGTTTACGATTCTCGGTCTATCTATATTTAGTAGCCCGGGCAGGATACAGCACGGACAAGAGCGACATACAAAGGAACACTTAAGCTTCACTACGCAGGAGCCAAAGCAAGAAGCATGCACACTGAAATATGTTAGGGCTGTCAAGACGGACTTCCTCCTTTGGACCAAGGGGCCAACTATACAGCAGCTATCCCATATAGACCTTGTAGCCCGCCGAAGGAGTAAGTAAATATTAAAATCTTCTCAGAAGCCTAGCAAATTATCCGCTTGAAGGATATAATATATTTTGGGGCTTACATACAAAGTTGTAGATTAGGGACAAGCTATATACTGGCTACAGAACCTACCACCGAACAAGAGTGTGGTATCAAGATTGGAGTAAAATTTCGGCTATAGGCCCTCTTCAAGCGAACGGAGTACCGTACGAGGCCATAACTTAGATAGTATGATCATGATCATAGAGACTCAGAGAAACCATAGGAACAAACTGCACCTTAAGAAGACTTGTGAGAGCATCTCGCCTGACTTTCTACTCAAGCATCCAAAAAGGTGTTGATCAACTTAGAGAACTGATCGGCATACTCGTTCAAAAACCCGTGTCCGACATCCGGGAACAAGTGGAGATGAGCATCGGCATTGACCAGTTTCTTAAACATGACCCAGCTGTTATTTGTGGGGATAATGATGTCGTTGTCACCATTGGCAATAAGAACAGGAATCTGAAGCTCCTCCAGGCGATCGTAGGATCCTTCGGAGGCAAAGTCCGCATTCGCCCAGCGGATGACCGCACCGATCTGAGCCTGGGTGCCTTCAGGGCCCACATACGCAGAGCGGTTTGAGCGAGCCGTGGTCATGCGACTCCACCAACGATTTCCCAGATCCTGCTTCCTCTCTGACAGAGAGTAGAAAGCGGACAAAAATGCATCGTGGGCCTCCTGTTCGTTGGACGCTGTAGCCAAGCGCTGAGTTGCTGCAGAGTCACCAGCTTCGACACCATCCCCGGCGCTGGGCCCAGTACCGGCAAGGATGAGTTTGCGAACGATAGTGGGTGCGTTCAAAGCAACCATTTGCGCCACAAAGCCTCCCATCGAGAAACCCAACAGGTCAATCTGAGGAATATTCAACGCTCCGATAACACCGATCACGTTACTGGCCCATGCGGCATAGGTTTCCGGAACCGCGCCATCGCTCTTGCCAACTCCCGAGTTATCGATGAGAATAACGGGTCGGATGGCAGCGATGGGATTAATTAGTTCTGGGTCCCAGTGGTCGAAGGTGCCTCGGAAGTGCTGTAGGAACACCAGTGGTACCTGAGTCCTAGCTGTCGAGCCGAACCGAAGGTATGCAAACCGTGTACCGTCCACTTTAACGAAGTGCGGCTCAGCTGTTTCGTAGGTCGTCATGGCTGTCGAGATGGCTGTTGATTTCGATGGCAGGTAGAGAACAGTAGGTTCGGAGAAAACGACGTTATTGTATTTCGGGAAAACCAGTTCTGCGAACACAATCCGGAGACGATATAGTCCTTATGCTTTGGCTGTTCGACAGGAAGAGTATCGACCATCTTATAGACTTTTTATTTATCCCTCAAATCACGTCTGCGGCGGCTACCTGATTTCTAATTCATGAACACCACCAGATTGCTTCTAATCATCATTTCTATCTAGTGTCCACATAGTTCTACAAACTTTCCTGGATACTTTCGATTACTGATCCCTAAATCCAGGGCCCAGTTTACTCTGTTCATGACTGATGACAAATTGTTTGGACTTTATTCCACTTTGGGTAATTTTTATGGCGCAGAACCTGACGCCACCCCATGACCCCACTAATGCGCGTCAACTTCCCAGGTGGCCCAGTACAGCGGTTCTTACAGATAGGAATTACTGAAAGAGGAAGCAAGTCAAACCGCGGTAAAGGATGCCAAGGCACGTCACCGTCCTTTTGACAGTTAGTAATTTATCCTCTAATTCAATATTTAGCCAATGAAAACCTCATGCAAACAGACTTAGGTGCAAGCAGGACATCGATTTCGAAGCACGTTTGGTTCAACATTATTAATCAGTGAAAACGGGTCATAGAATGCGCTTGTCACAAACAACACGCCATGATGAACAATCCAGGCTTTCAGTTTGATGAGTAGGGGAATATATAAAAACGACCACGAATGCCGCGAAGTATGTTGACAGAACTCATACCACCTCAGTCGCAATTCTATATCCTCTTTCGAAGCAAGCTATTTCCCGTTTCTTCATCCTCTCCTGAAAACATCCGACAAGATGGTCAACAACGGCCTCATCGTCCTCACCGGTGCTACCGGTTTTGTTGGGTTCAAAACGCTCGCTGTTGCACTTAAGGCCGGATACAATGTGCGCATTGTGGTCCGCTCCGCTAGCAAGGGTGACGGAATTCTCGAAGCACCTTCCATTAAGGCGTTCAAACTCGGTAGTGAGCGACTTTCCTACTTTGTTGTTCGGGACATCGCCGCTCCTGGCGCCTACGACGATGCGGTGAAAGGAGCAGCCTATGTTATTCATTGTGCGTCTCCGATCCCCAGCTTCGGTGAGGCGGCCCCGACCCCAGAGCTTTACGACGAATTTTTTGTTCAGACGGCTCGGAAGGCCACCATCGGTCTTCTCGAGAGCATTCGCAAGGCCAGCACCATCAAGCGAGTTGTCATCACTAGCTCTATTGCCGGAAACATCCCCTTGAAATACTTCGTTGGCCACGGAGATAATAAAGTTTTCGACGCCGAGAGCCGCACCACTCTTGACCCTGGCCCATATGGCGTGGAGTTCCAGGCCTACAGCGCTAGCAAAGTTGCTGCTCTAAACGCCTCAGAGGCCTGGATGGAGGAGAACAGACCAGGTTTCGATTTAATTAGTATTCTTCCTGGCTGGGTTTTTGGTCGTGATGAGTTATGCACAACCATTGCTGACTTCAAGACCGGGTCCACCAACTCCGTCCTTTTGGGCTTGCTAACGGGCTCCCGGTCCGATGAGCCGGTGATGGGCAACATGTCATTTGTGGATGACGTTGCCCAGGTACATGTCAGCGCCCTTGATCCAAAGGTTGAGGGTAACCAGGCGTTTGTTGTGACTTCTGATGGTATTGATGGTGCCCAGTGGGAGGACGCCATTGAGGCTGCTAGGAAGCACTTCCCTGAGGCCTTGTCCGACGGTCGCTTGAAGAGTAACGGGAAGCAACCTACCGCTGTTGTTCGGGTTGATGCTGGGAAGACCGAGAAGACTTTCGGCATTCACCTGACTAGCTTTGAGAATCAGGTCAAAAGCCTGGTTAGCCAGTATCTTGATATTACCAAGCCTTGAACCGTCCAGTTGGACTTACACTCATTTTCACTTGATTTCCGCTTGGAACACTGCTTTGATGATGGAGTCACATTCTTAACATGTCTCTTTCCAACTTCATGTACAGTAGTTTTCGAATTCAGTTATACCTCAACACTCGTTTCGAAATAAGCGTCGCTATTAACTACAGAAATAGAGACGCTAACCGAGTTAAGCAAATGTGCAAGTTAGAATACGTGCAATAGAGATAGGCAATAGAGAAGACAGGCAATAGAAAGCAAAGCGAACAGGCCAATACTGTATAGCCTTCAGAGAAACTGTACATAGATGTTATTGAACGATAAACTGCAAGGGTTATTTGGGGGTCGATCAAATGTGCGTTTTCAACGATGCTTTCCACAATATCACTAGAATAAACGAGAATAGAAACACAGCGAGTGAGGCATCGTCGACGAGTCGTACAAGGCCGATTAATGGTGAAAGCTTGAAGGCCAACGGGCAAGAAAATGAATGCAACCGGTGATTGATTCGGCTGGGTTGTCTCTTGATTAATTCTTTATTAGGAATTGTTCTTGTTAATTACAAAGGAAGAAGGGTGTTCATTGAATATTATTAGCCAAACAGCACTCTCCACCCCAAATCACGCGCATTTCCTATTACCAAGGCACCCCCCAAGCCTACTCAACCAAATTACAAAGATGACAAGCCCGTGCCGTGTCCACTTTCCTGCCCTATTGTCCAGACCTCCAACCCAAGCCCTCTTCCCGTCATCATACATGTATTAGGGGTCCGGTCGTGGGTTTCATGCTTTGTTACGATCTTTGAAGTCGAATATTATGATTACCGCATTGGAACCAGCGTGGATTCGGCTTAAAGGCGGTCCGTAACCGTGTATTGTAATTAGTCTACGATTTGAGTTTAAAGCTTGCCAATAAGCCGCCCAAGCGAAGTGAGGGTTGACGGCTTGTTATGATTATAAATATTAATGAGGTCATTGTTGAGCGTGATTCATACCTCAGCCTTACGGCGAGCCCCAACCTTGGAACGCGGGCCGCCTTACAAATCAATTTGGCACTGAACTTAGATATAAGACGCCATCATGGAGTCCCTCAACCCTTGCATGGCAGTTGTGATCATAACCATACACCAGGATAAACTCAGTTCACGCCAGTTCGAAATTCATTCAAGGACGCGCCTGAGTTTTCAAAGTCTTTCATAATGACGACGGTAAAGACCGACGAGCCACAGGCCCTCGTCTTTGGGGCATCCGGTATTACCGGTTGGGCGATAATAAACGCGGCTTTATCTTATCCAACGCCCACCACTTTTAAGCGGATCGTGGGTCTCACGAGCCGGCCATTGAGCGTTGAGGACGCGGGGCTCCCTACAGATCAACGGTTACGGCTTTATTCCGGCCTCGACTTGTCAAAAGATTCTCAAAGCATTATTGACTACTTGGGCAAGATCGAAAATATCCAAGAAATCACTCATGTTTATTTCGCAGGTAAGCCGACGTGGCCTCCAAAATTACTTGGACGCCAGCTAACGGGATGGGGTACAAGCATATGTCCATCGTGGGTGGGGGGATGAGGGCTCCGAGGAACGCAAACGAGAGAATATAGACTTCATCACCAATGCGGTAGTTGCAGTAGAGAATGTCTGTCCGAACCTTCAATTCTGGACATTCCCGACTGGTGGGAAGGTACGTCGTCATACCCAATGTACTCTCGAGTTTATTCCAGGGCTAAGATTGCGAATAGTGGTACGGATTTGAATTTGGAGATAAAGTGGAGAGGGTTGTCCCTCTTAAAGAGAGCGCACCAAGAGTACCAGCCCCGTACGGAGACCATATTTTCTATTACCCCCAAATCGACACGTTGGCCAAGCTCTCCAAAGACAAGAACTGGAAATTTGCGGACATCCGCCCAGATGCAATTGTACTTACCCTTATCCCCCCCCGGGTTTCACGTGAACTATCCTATTCTAATACGTACATGCAGGTCGGCTTCGTCCCAAACCACAACCCGATGAACATAGCAGAGCCCCTTGGCCTCTACCTCTCCCTGTGGAAGTCTCTTTCGCCCTCTCTCGATGTCCCATTCCCAGGAACGGAAGAATCGTACACTCACCTCCAATCCAACATCTCCTCTGATCAGCTAGGGCGTTTTCACATCTATGCCTCCCTGCATCCAGAGAAGACGGCAGGGAAGTCATTCAATATTGCAGATGTAGACGAGGGGCTGAGCTGGGAGATGACATGGCCTGGTATAGCGGCCTATTTTGGGCTGAAGGGAGTAGGCCCCGTAGCAAAGGGGGGATTGAGCGGTGAGGAATGGGTCAAGGCGCAGAAGGGGAAGTGGGATAGTTGGACGAAAGAGAAAGGCTTGAGACAGAAGGTACTGGATAATACCTGTTGGTCTTTCATGACTATTGTGGCGTGAGTGTCTGTCGAGTGTTTCGATATTCTTATCTGACTGGGAAATTTAGTGGTCCGTACTCGACCTTCGATCGCCATTTTGACCTCACTGAGGCGAGAAGCATTGGCTTTAATGAATCCGTTGACCACATTAAGGGGTATCATATTGCCTTTGACAGAATGAGAGCTAGAAAGATCATTCCATAGGGTTGATTATCAGGCAGTGTTTCTTGGGGGATAGGGGTCGAGGAAGAGGACAGAATGCCTTCTGGAGGTTGGCGGGGAGGATTGATGAGAGTTTTACAGATGAATGTATATTTAATGCTGTTACAGTTGGATGGATGGATGGATGGATGATATCATTTACACCGACCCATCGCTGAGTTGAAACCCTGAATTGAGGTACAAGTGTGATAATGGATTTCTATCTATGAGAAAGGATGCAGCTATTTTTAGTCACAGTAGCTGCCTTCCTGGTGCTAGTGTAGTGGCAGCCTATTACGCTGCCAGTTCTACAAACCTATGTATCAGTGATCTGGTATCCAACCTCGCGAAGCAGGCTACTGGACTGGTGACGCGCGCTTCGTATGCTTGATGCCCTGAAACGAACAGTGAAGAAAATAAAGATAGCTGCAAAATATGAGTATGTATGTGATATTAGGAAAAGCGGCGAGAAAAGGATATAAAGGTCGTAGAGTCATTTGATTGGCCACAGATTACTCCGTACAGGAAACACAATTGCGAAGTTTATATTTATAGCATGAGACAAAGTGTCGTGAGGTGGGAAACGATTTCTGTCACCCAAAATATATCTCGAAACGGAAAAGACAACCGAAGATTTGGTTCGGAGATCTATCAAATAACCATGTCTCTGTGTTGAGTTCGGATTGAATTCCATTGTGAAAATACATTTATCACGCTCACGTACATTCACGATCTTCCTCGTACTCTTGTTCCAGTCGATTCTACGGTCATTCCGAGGGGCTCCGAACACGCAGTTCTACTTGAGCGTGCGGTATTCCCGATTCTCAAAGAACATGAAGTTGCTTGTCAGGCGGCATCAAATCCCCAGTGTGGAGTTTGCGGTTCGGCCACGAAGCAAATCTTGCAAATCCCTATATCTATTGTTCAAGATGTCAAGAAAAGGGACCAATTGGCGCGTGGAATCAAGCGAAGAGTTTGGCAGTGAGAGCGCAGCAAAGGTCCGCGGACAGATTGCACGGGGGAGGAACACCTTCACTCGTTCCTTGCTTCAGGACATTATAGGTTTTGTATCAAGAGCGAGAAAAGTGAAAGAATGGGGACAATGGACGGAAACACTTGAGGATAGCGCCCACACTTAGGCCTGCATTTGCCTGCATTTCAATTTGTATTATTAAAATTGATCAACGGGGCTATCTCCTACTTGGACCTCCTAGGACCGGCAAACCGGGTTCTAGTCTCTCGATCGCAGGGCATGCATTTTATTGCCTCTCTTCAGACCATTATTCTGCCCAGCTATGTAATCACCTCAGCTTTCTGTTTAGAGGCGCGCTTATTGGCCGCAAGTTCAGTAAAATCGGTACGGTTATCTATCAAACAATAAATTTGCGTCCACTGTCCTTGGATGCAAACAGTATATCGATTCCAAGCACACGACATCATCAATCCCTCAAATGTCTCATAGGAAATAGCTTGGATTCAACCAAGTTGATTTCAAAGCACGCCAGGATGCAAACATTAAGTTGGTCTCAGAGTCGTGGCTTGACTTACTTCCCCTTCGGGTAATTTTCCCGCATTCCCCACATGCTCCACAGGGTGTTGTGGCAAATGCAACAATTGATAATCCACGGGTTTGGCATCTGAAATGATCTCGATATAGAATCATTGACGTCGGTGGTAATATAGAGTAATACTGTGCTTTGTCCATGACTATTAGTAATACGCTAGTATGTGGACGTGAAATGCTCTATAAAGGCTGCACCAGTGCCTCGCCTCAGAAAATTACCAAGGTCAAGTCCAAGTTCAAACAGCCCTTTCTTTTCTGTGGTTCAATTTAATTTGATCATTATCTCGACGAATATGGTTCTTCAACTAATCGGCGCTGCTACATCTTGGAATACTTTGCGCGCACGTCACGTACTTTTTGAGAAAGGGATTCATGATGTTGAGTTGATCGATATAAGCGTAGCGAATGGGGATCAGAAGGTTTGATAACCCCAATTCCTGCGTTCTTGAGAATGGATTGTCTGACGCTTGCCTTCTAGAAACCTGAACATTTGGCCAAGAATCCCTATGGCAAGGTCCCAGTACTGATTGATGGGGATTTGACTTTGTTCGGTAAGTGCAACCTTTGCCCCTCATGGCGGATATGGCGTTTGGATTAATTTCCTAATTCCGTTTTTATCTAGAGTCCCGTGCCATTGCTCTCTATTTGGCCGCGAAATGGAAGGCCTCCGGGGAGTCGCTGATTCCAGAAGCGACAAACCCTGGCGCCGTTGGACTGTTTGCCCAAGCTGCATCGGCAGAACTAACGCAGTTCGATCAGCTTACTGAGCCGTTCATCCTCAAGCATGTCATAGCTAAGTGAGTGACTACCAGGTTTCGGGTCGCGAGAACCGCGGCAGAAGATTATCTCTAATTGCTAAAACATAGATTTACCGGAGCATCTGTTCCCGAAACCGAAACCTCCAGTGCTTTGGCGAGTCTGACACCAAAACTTGACACGCTGGAAGTCATCTTGTCGAGACAGCGTTACATGGCTGGGGATCAGTTCTCCCTGGTCGATGCATTCTATATGCCTCTCGTGCACTTGCTCGTGGGCCTGGGATTTAAAGATCTCATCTTTAAGAGACCCAGTCTGCATGCATGGTGGGAGACTGTCAGTGAACGGGAGGCGTGGAGGAAAGCAGTCGTGCCTTTCAACAAAGCCTATGGATTCTAGCATAGTGTTGAGTTCAGTTAACCTGAACGTCTTTTACTGGATCGAGACCAGCTCATTGACGGGGTGAGCGCTATAAATTGTCAGCTAAATCACGACAAAGAATACGCAGGAATTACAAAAGTGTTGTCTTTCTAATTCCAGCTATGAAGTAATGTTAGAGTATCTCATTGTATAATGGTCCAGGACGTAAATTTGCCTAAGTGGGAGAAAGTGCTCCGGTGAGTGTCATCATTCCATAGCCAGTCGTTGAAAATACCATCATGAACCACTTTTCTATTTGATCGCTCGCGGTTTCGAGGCTTGCAGCTGGACACTGATCAAACTGACAGGAGCCGCCAATGATATGAATACTTCGAATAGACACACATCGTTCCCGAGCGCATCGCGAAATCCTGTTTGAGAGAGCATCAAAATCACCACTATGGAACTCATTTCGCAATTCGCGCTCATCTGGTTGCTAGCATTGACAGGAATGTATCTGACTTTATTCTTCGTTTGGAGAGACTATAATTGAACCTTTGACACTTTTGTTCGGAAAAGGGATATACAGCTAGTCAACTTGCCAACGTCTTAGGTACTGTAGTATCTATAAGGATAGTCAACATCAATGCTAGCCGCGAGCCGACGAAAGACGAGATAAGAACGAATTGGTTATGAAAGCTAAAGCCATGCGGACCCTCCTTACCCATTTCTCCAACCTACCTTCGCAGATAGATTGAAACATGGCCAACGGCTTTCAGCTTTCTCAATTAAGTGTACTTCGCCAATTGATCATAATTCCCATTTGACCATAATTGTCATTTGACTATTATTCCCATTATTGAAATTGTGGGAGGCTCTTTCAATTGGCAAAGGGTGAACTATAGAAAGGGGAATAACAGTGACTGGCTCAATTCTATAGGAGGATGGATAGAGGAAAGAAGGATTTCACTACGACCAAGCTCCCATTACATGTAGAATAAATCACGACGTCGCCATGACTCTCTGCTCTAACTGTTGATGTACCGGTGGGGTCTCAGTACCACCCTCATTTCTTTTCGCCGCCATTCGCACAAGTTTCTTCAATGATGATGGCGCGTCTTCTTTGTCCATGATAACTTCCACCATATTAAAGCCCTTTCCAGCTTTCAGCTGCTCATCCTGCATAACATCCATCAACTCGCCCCAGTTTTCGACTCGCTTATTGAACACCGGGTACTCGGGATCATTCTCGGGAGCACCGAAGTACCGCGCAGACTCCAGATACCGCCAGGGCTGAACCCAGTTATATCCTGCGTGCATACCGTTTATATAGCGTTCAATAGTGTATCCATCGTTGTTAATCACAAAAATAGTTACATCCAGGCGGTTGCGAATGATATCCCCAATAGCCTGTACACTCATCTGGAGACTGCCGTCGCCTTCAAATAGAATTGTTCGACCATCCGGACGGCTCTTTTCCGATATCATCTCGCGCTGAGCCAGGGCTGCACCGCTGCATGCACCAAGCATATACCCGATCGAAAGCCAGAGAGCGGAATTGATCACTGTTGTTTGTGGAGGCAAGACGAAGTCTCTTCCGCCGGAAGATGAGGTGCCGGTCTCAGTCATGACAATGTCGCCAGAGCGGAAGAATGTTGAAATACGCAGCTAGAAAGTCTCTTGGTCAATTACTGTATCGCGCGTAGGCTCTGCTAGCTCATCGCGCAGTTTTCTAGGATCTCCAAGGTCCGGGTACGGGCTTAGTCGCGGCAGCCTTGATGTATCCAAACGATCAAGCAGTTTCCGTAGGAGGGTTTTGATGTTCAGATCACGATAGAGTGCTCCATAAACCTCGACTCCTTTCTGGTCCACCTCGATGGTCACGTTGCGGTTTGTCAATGTAGTGAAGCCGTAGGTGTTGGTGTCTGCATTTAACGGTGCAATGCGGACAATGAGGTCGCAGGAGTTCACCTAGGGTATATATATCTCCTTGCCTGCAGCTCCTGCGAAGATACCATGGAAGTTGGGATATGTCTCGTTGATGATTCCTTTTCCAAAGGGTGTAGTTGAAGTTGGAAATCCAGTGACACGAACGAGCTCATCCGCTTTAGAGCTTATTCCATACCGAGGGGCAAACCCGTCGACAATAATGAAGGGCTGTCTGGCAGCGTACAATCGCTTGAGGATATCTTCGATGGCAGCATTCTCAATAACTAAATTATTCGGAGAAACAGGTAAATAAATTGGTCGGTCGAGCTTGGCAGCTGGAATCCGGGCCTTGACCAGGTCCGTGGGCAGTTCAATATAGACAGGCCTGCTTTGGAGCAAGCATTGGCGCAGAGTCTCGTCGATCAAGGTAGGAGCAGTATCTACATTTCTCAGATTTGCCTGAGCACAAGTGAACTTAGCGTAGATCTCTGCATTCAGGCGGAAATTTCCATCTCCAAATGAATGGTGTAGAAAAAGACCTTGATCCTGGGATGCTGTTGACGGGACTCCGACAATATGAACCACGGGGGCCTTCTCTGCATATGCCCCACCAATGGCATTTAGGGCAGACAGTTCTCCAACTCCAAATGCAGTTATCAACGCTGATATACCTTTGATCCTCGCGTAGCCATCGGCTGCGTATCCAGCATTGAGTTCGTTGGCATTACCAACCCAGTGTAGTCCTGAATGTTCGACATAATCTAGGGCAACTAAGTTGTAGTCCCCAGGAACACCGTGAACACTGCGTACTCCAAACTGATGCAGTCTGAGGAAAAGATATTGCGCGAGGGTAACTTTGTAGGTCATCGTGATTGCGGCGACTCAGTGGATGGCCTTTTTTGATTACCACTTTCTTGAGGGCAGGTGGAGTCAGAAAGTATATATCCAGCAGTAGGACAAGGAGTAATCAATACCAGGGAACAAAGTGGTGTCTTCCTCTCTTTTTCTAGAATATTTGCTTGCTTTTCAGACCTTTTTTCATATTTTTATAGCCAAGTGAGCCCCGCGGGAAATGCGGAATTTCTGCATATTATCCTTCTGCCGATCTTTACAACAGGATGGATATCAGTTGTGCTGCTCCATAATACCAGATCCACAGTTTAAACTCATACTATACAAGCAGTGGGCAGTTAATCGTCTTCAGAAGGAAAGTGAAACATCCGACGACGGGAGGATTAATTTCACCCGTGTAGTGCCGAAGATTATCCGCATATCCTATCAGCAAAACGCACAATTGCGGCATCATAAATGAATACAACTAATGGCAAGATCTCTTCGGGGAATTTTGTGGACTACAGTGTGGAACGCGCGAGTTCTCCATCAATGCCGCATTTTGCCAAGATTGAGGGCCACCAGTAACCGAGTGAGAACATGGACACTTTGACAAATCTCATATTGCGCTTTATCTAAAAAGATCAATTCAATGATTGAACCTGAAAAACCAGCATCTTGCTTGTCACGGGGCCGATTCCGCTCTTCTCCTTTTTCCCACGTACGTGCCGGGTGTTTGAACGTACTACTGGAATGTAGGAATCATGAGATACTGAAGCAATACAAATGTATTGGAATGTGTGTATAGACTTGTGCATCTTACCTACAGTCGGAACCTTCTTTCCGTCATCTGCAGCTTTCCCGTTGACTCATGCTGGTATCGTGTACATACCAAACGGCCATGTCCGGGTATGTCGGTGGTCATGACTATGGTATCAGATCGGTTACTCTCAGGTATCTCTCTGGAGTGGGTTGGGGTGGTGCCTGTTGTTTGCTCTTCCAGGTGTGCGATTTCAGTGACGAATCTCGCGATCAGTGGTCCTTCCCACATTCCTTCTTGGCAATTGGTTTGGTCGAGGAGTGATATAGCATCCCGTCGGGTGGGTGGGTCGCGGCATTTCATTGCGATGAGGTAGAGGGAAGGGACTGCCCCTGATTCCAGTGTGAAGGTTGCCGTGCTGGCTCCATGAATGAATAGCTTTGATAGGTAGACAATGCGACGGAAGAGGTCGATGGATTCATCGCAAGCTACTTCATGTGTGTTCCGATAGGTGGATACAATGAAGCATATGTAGAAGTCCTGGATTTCGAGGAGGATGACTGGTCGTGCGTGTACGTATGATTGATTTTGAGAAAGTTGTTTGAAAAGGGAAATCCACCTCTCTAACTCAAACCGCAGACCGGCTTGTCGCCCTATCAGATCAGGGCGGGACGTCAAGTCGACTGTTTTCGTGCGTGAATGGTGTATACAATGTCGAGCTGCCAAGTCCAGGTTATGGTCTTTCATCCCAACAGCAACGAGATGGATCAGCTCTCCTCGAAAGTGAAGGGCAGCATTGTATAGAACGCTAAGAGACTTCCGGGCTTCCATCACGCAGGAGAACCCCATTGGCGCGATCAGATTTGGGAGCGGACTGTTAAAAGATGCGGGGCTCAGAATAGGACTTGGCTCCCCGAACATGGCCGATTCGTAGTCCAGTCGAGTGAATATGCTTTCTAGCTGGTCAACGGGTGTAGTTGGCTCGAGACTCGGGATATCTGTCTGTCAGCCCATTTTTAGAATCGAGAAAATGCGAAGCCCCGCCCTTAGATGGGCAATAGCACCGACTTTATTCCCTTGTGGCATTTCCAAACAGATAAACAACAGACAAGCTACTAGAACAACCTGCTCGCAGGAGTCTCTTGCTTCGTCAAGTCGTCTTCGAAGTAGATCCACAGACTTGATATATTGTCTTATGGCGAATGGCATTCCTGGCTCAAGCAATATACTAACCTGAAGCGAGGGACACCGACCTCTCATGAAGCGATGCAAGGCACCTACTGCCACTGCAGCATGAAGAATACAGGATCATCCGGTTCCACAGTGGAGAGCTGAAACATCCTGGTATTTCGGTTGCTGTGTATTGTTGCAAGAAGGTGAAGCTTTGGTACTCAATTCGAGATAGATTTTGGGCGGACTGAACCGAGCAACATAGTTGGGCGCATATTATATAGCTCTGTTGCCCATACGGATAGATATGCCTCTTTCCCTTTCTTTCTAAGGCTTTTCTGCGGACATCGGAACTGGGTAGCTCATACCCATCGCACGTTCGACCTGTGGAAGTACAGCGTTCGCAGGAAGGCCGCGTTTCGTCACATTTAACTCTCCGGATTCTATTACAACGGTTGGATTTGGAGTATAGAAAGATATCAAATACTCACCTGCATGTCCGACAGCCTGTTCGACCGCGGGATTTCTTTGTTGTCACCGGCATGGTCAGTTACCCATTGAGGACGGGAAAGATTGCCTATGCGGTATTCCCCATGATTATATCCACGCTAAACAGCCACAGACGCATGTTCAATTATAGTCATGGCTGTGACGGAGTGCGGCGGGCCAAGACAAACATGGGGGCCAACAGACCATGTTGTACGCCATCTTATTGGTCTGCTCGCTAATGAATGCTGGATGGCCAATCATGCTTCTGTATGAATTATATCAGCTGGATGAAGGCCCTTTTAGAACGAAAGTATTCCCAGAAAAGTATTGGTTATATAGGGATTGTTTGTAATAGGATCCTCGATCGTTGTCTATAAAAGGACACCCAATTCCAACCGGAATCAACCAAAACAATACCTATTCTGAACTTCTCCCCGTGCTTCTATTAAAACCTTATTTCTGACCAGAGCTCATACTATCGACATGTCAACCCCAATCCAGATGATTCACATCCACTACAGACCCAAGTCCCTCTTACTGCTGGACTCGGACAATAAAACACCTCTTTACACCGTGAGAGTGTGCCGGGAAACACCTCAAATGCAACTGGCCCGACTGAACAACTCACCAGATTCCGTGCATGTTGATGTCGGTCTCTGTACTGCATCCTTCAAGATGCTCAGCATGAACGTCACTCTCTCTCTGCATGGCCATGAAGTCCATCTTCGACATCCAAACACTTTCACGCGCACCTATGGGTTTGACAGCATTGAACTTCAGGGAATTACCCTGCACTGGGAATCTGATGGCGCGTTGACTGGTGAATTTAAGGTTGTGGATCAGGACAGTGGTCAGGTACTCTCCCGATCTAGGAATAGGCTCTGGACTGTCGAGGAGGTAGGGTCGTTTGAGATGGTCGGGGATTTGTGAGAGAGATTGAAGGAGGAGATTGTTATTAGCAGATTGGCGGTGCTTGTTATGGTGCAGAGCTTGAATTTGGCTGGTATGGTTTTGACGGGGAGTAGTTGATCACCAGGAAGAAGAGTCGGGCCTGATCGCACTTTTATTATGGATCAATCCTATGATTCAGTGATTTAGATAAGCTTGAACAAGAATCGTTGGCTGTGATTGCGACCTTTGTTATTCATTATGACTTCAGAACTTGATAAACCACTCCATAGAATCAGAACCCGTTAGTTGGACCAACCTTGGAATGCCGCACCCATTAGTGGTTCCTTTTCATCCCTTTCTGGTCCTTTAATTATCTGCCTCGATTAAGCATAGCTGTAACTTCCCCGGCAAGCAATTCAAATTCCCATATACCGCCCGCGTTGGGTGATAGTCCACAGTATGTGGGTGTTTCCTTTACCCCGACCCCTCACAAAGCGATATTCAGGCTACAACATTTATGTAACTATATCCGTGTACGTGCACGTGTACTGCATATAGTTACACGTATACCTTAAGGTGCACATTGCATATCTGCCCAGTAAACACCTAGAAAGCATTGGCACAACGCTAACAACTGATTCGACGCTAGCTGAGCCGCTAATTGCCTGGTGTTTGGAATTTCTATTTTTATGCTGCGCCTAGTCCTCCTCGCAGGGGTTTGGTGTTTGGTTGGAATTTCTGCAAATGCAATTGGCCCTTTCTTTCGTTTTAACGTATGAGGCACCTATCCGAGAAAAGTGCCCAATTCGGTTTCTATTTTAAGAGGAGCTATCGGAAGATCTACTGCAGCCCGAATCACATCACATCGTATAAGCGCGGCTATAGCTTTGGGGAAAGGTTCTACCTTGGAGCCACGCAAATATAAAGATATCCAGAGAGCCCGGTATATGATAGATTTCGAGAAGAATTCCATTACGACCACCCTTGCAGCAATAATCGGCCCAATTAGCGGAATATCTAGCCATCTTGATTAACGTCACCTGCAATGCCCTCTAACAAGGATCGGATATATGTTGTTCTCCATGCACGAGGAGGCAAATCAACCATGCCAGGCAAGGAAGACACGTGAGATCACCATCCATGATGTTGTTTAGCTTAATGCAACCAGCAAGGTTAATACCATATATCTTGACTAGGTACCATTGGTCCCTGATTGTAGGGCCCAAAGTTGAGAGAGAGAATAGCACGGGTTTCTGTTATCACGCGAACGAGACCCCGAAGTTGGGAGGGGGCTCTGAGTGGCACTTCGAAGAGCTTGAGTGTTCACTTACCGCTACTAGCATGTTACTTGTTCGCATCATGATTGGGAAGGTATTGGATGGATATCAAGTAGCCGAAATTATGCGCAATACGCCTGTCCGACAGAGTCGGCCAGGATGGAATTGTGTCGCGTGGGTAAAGGAGGCTTTGGAAACGCTCAAGGCCGATCATAAGGCTTTAGGCACGAGCATGCTTGAGTGGAGCATAGTGCGCAATGAAGCAATGGCTTACTGCCAACGGAAGAAAGATCAGCATCGTTTTGATGGTCAGGGCCGTTTCGATATGAGGAAGGCTCCAACTTATGACTTGTTGGAGCAAAAAGAGATTGTCGCTTGAGTTATGGAGGCAGATTAAGTCCAATATATCAGAAGCGCAATTCACACAACCGCTCAATAAGTGGTGTCGCCTTATGAAAAGGTGATTTTGAAAGCTATCAAGTCCATTCATAGTGCTGGCATGTGCCATGGAGGTGAGGGCGTTTCCTCCTCTACAGGTTTTTTTTTTGTTGTTAGCGCCATTATACTCACTTCTTATTAGATATCAGTGGTCGGAATACTGCATTTAGTTGCACTCATTTATCTAAACAAACTGAGGAGCAGCTTTTTGAAGTTCTTGGGTTCCCGGAAATTGAGCCGCTGAAACGGATTGATGGCACGCCTCTAGGGAATGAATTGCCGACCCAGCTGATCAAGGCAGCGGAATGGACTGAGTGGATAGACGAGGACGACGAAGATATTCGGCTCCTTGATTTTGGAGAGAGCTCCTTTCAAGGACAGGAACCTCAGAAGCTAGCCCAGCCGGGTTCATTAAGGGTACCAGAGACGATTTCCACTGACAGCTTTGTGACTATCGTGTCGACTTAGGGCGTACAGGTTGCATGGTACGTCGACATATCTTTTCTTCGAAAGAAATATACTTACGGCGATATGAACTGTAGATTTATTTCTTCCTATTCACGACCTGGCCATTCTGGTATCTTGGCGAGGACGAGGTTTTAATTTTCCAAATGATTGGCTTTGTGGAGAAGTTGCCAGCTGAATGGGAGTCTAAGTGGGAATCAATGTTGATGAAGTCGAGCCATAATCTGGAGCCAGAAGAAGGTAATTAAACTGATCCACATACAGAACTGTTGCTAATCTTGCTCGAAGATTATGGAACCTCAAACCTTGAACGGAAGTTTGCTGGGTTGGTACCCAATCCAACACTCGAACCTCTACTTCATGTGACCCAAGCAAGGATTGATGCGATTTTTACTGTCTAGTCGCCTTACTGCAGAAGAGGCACTTGCTTTGCTGGGTAACACTCAAGACTAATGGATAAATTAAGATATATCGTCTACGAAGTAGGCCGCGTCATCTAATACGACCATATGTACATATGTAGCCACTGCTAAATGTAGCTGTAATAGTAAATAGTCCCAAATAGGAAGTCAACAATCATCGTGACGTCAACGCAATGGAAACAATTCAAGAAACTTGCCTCACGGATTTATATTATTTAACTAATTCCAATTTGTGCCATTTGAAGTCTCTCTTACCAAACACTTATCAACAATTCGCGAATACAACACTTGAACTCAACGCATATACTGCAAAATGTCAAACCCCGGAAAAAGCTGTGGTGGCGATGGAAATGAACTTCCAGGCGATCCACGAACAATGAAGAGTCGAGTACTCGAGAGCGGAGCTGCGATGATCCAGGACTTCACGCCCGTAAAACAAATCTGCGCACATCTCAATGCATTCCACTTCTACGCCAACGATCCAACCCGATGCGTCGAGGCCGATCACTATTGCACTCATTTAACAGAGGGTACGTAATAACAGCCATATTTATAGCCAAAAAAGCGAATAACCAATGTGTTTAACATTAATACCTCACCCAGATATCCGCCAATGCCTGATCTACGACTCGCCCAAGGCAAACGCCCGCCTCATCGGCGTGGAATACATGGTCTCGCCGCGGATCTTCGCGACTCTTCCCACCGAAGAGCGTAAGCTCTGGCACACGCACGAGTTCGAGGTCAAGAGTGGCATGCTGATCATGCCCTCACCGGCTGGTGTGCCCGATGCTGTATGGGAAGCCGCCGAGACGGCAGAGATGCAGGATGTTGCGCCTATCTATGGCAAGACTTATCATTTCTGGCAGGTTGATCGTGGAGACCCTGTGCCTCTGGGTCAGCCACAGTTGATGGGTAGCTTTATATCGAATGACAGCGTGAAGGTGGCACATCCTGCGGGGTTGGATTCATTGTTGGAGGATCGGAATAAGAGGTATGGGGTGGATCATCGGCAGAAGGCGAAGAAGAGGGAGGGCATTGAGGCAGTTGAGAAGCATCAGGGTATGTATTATGTTGTTAATTCGTCTTGCTTGGACTTGGACTGACATGGTTGTTAGATGCTGATTCGTGGTGCAAAAAGTCACCTTGATTGACACATGGATAAGTCTCATTTATATTGTCCAATAAGGCTACAAAATAACTTAAAAGTGAGCGTGAGAAATTGAAAATGATAATAAATTGTCTAATTGAGATGTCTCCCCACTATGCATGCCTCAAGAACCCAGTCCCATAATGAAATGGGGTCAAAGTGAGGCACACTGGGGGACAACCTATCAGAAGATAGGCTGGTTGTGTTCATCTAGCTTCATATTCCACACGTGCTCGTCCTGGTTATGTATTTCGGCGACGGCAAGCTCTAGCATTTGGAGAAGCGAACATCCCTGAAGGGATTGAGGGTAAGGGTAATGGGGTATGGGGAGTATGTAAAGGATATTGACTATTCGAGCATCTCTAGTGATCATAAGAGGTGCTCAGAATAATCGAGGCATGAATGAAAATCCAGGTCCTTCTCAGCCCAGCACCCAAACATTAATGGGCAGCTGATGTAACTGGAAGGCTCCTGGATATCAAAATCCAATGCGACGGCAATATCCTATCAATTGCTGGTTCAAAGACACAAGACATATTGACTGATGATGGGAGAAGAGGAAAATGTGGAGCAAAAAAATGGATTTTAAAGGCTGCATGTGGTCACATGACCATTCCCGACGATCCGCGGAATAGTTGATGCAGCTCGAGCTGAGCAAGACCATGTTTCCAATTCACCACACATGGAGCACTTAGTTCGGTCTGTAATAAAGGCTGCCAATCTGCGCACTATTGGCCGGCTCGCGCTCAATGGCACCAGCACATTCTGCGCCTGCGCGCTGATCTGGGAGCACCTGATAACCGTCCAGCTCAGCGAGGGCCCTTCGATGTACCCTACCTTCGACGTGCGAGGAGACTGGCTCCTGATATCGCGCATGCACCGCAACGGCAAAGGAATCGAGGTTGGAGACGTCGTGCGATATGGTCACCCGAACTTTCAAGGCGTGCATGTGGCCAAGCGGGTAGTGGGCATGCCTGGGGATTTTGTCTGTCAAGATAAGCCGCTTAGTACGGGTATTGGCAAGGATGGGAATATGATTCAGGTGAGCTATGTATTCTTGGTTCCCGTTGGATTCAATTGTTGACTTGTGGTGATGTCTGCAGATCCCCGAAGGTCATGTCTTTCTGGCCGGCGACAATCTTCCCTGGTCTAGGGATTCGAGGAATTACGGTCCAGTGCCCATGGGTCTCATTAATGGGAAGATAATTGCCAGGGTATGGCCTCTATCGAAGATGGAGTGGGTGACCAATCCGTTGCAACCGGCGCAACTGGATTCCCAGAACATTTGAGGATTATACATTGTACATTATACCAGAGCAGGTGGATTGCAGTTCGCCGATGCGCGGCAGTCGGGTCCATTTTGTTTAAGCATACGCATGGAGTTTGGTTGAAAGGGATTAAATCAGTGTGCATATTCATACATATATCAAATTGTACAATACAAAGGCTTCAAGACAAACAAGATCAGCGGAACGAAGAGGGGTTACGTCTCTTATATGGCAGAGGCTCGACTCTCTTGCGGCGGAGCTCCACATTGGCACCGTCGAATCCAATCTCCTTCATGACCTCCAGGGTCGTGTCGTCCCATTGGGTACGGAACAGGTGAGCACCGATAGCCTTGAGGTGGTAACGGGACTGGAGAGTGCGAAGGAGGGTGGTGTCGCGGCTAGACTCCTTAGCCTTGACGGCGGCAAAGTCGAGAGGCTGGGAATCCTTCTGCTCCATGATGAAGAGAGAGAGACGGTGGTAGGGACTTCCCATCTGAGCAACAGGTGGGAGCCAGGGGAGAACGACCTGGGAATCCTCCAAAAGCTGCGCGAGATCGAGCTTGGTGGAGGTGGCCGAGATGGGAACGTTGACGGCCAGGAAGTGTGTCTTATAATCGAAGTTGTTGTTCTCAACGTTCGGGACATCGGGGTCGACAACTGCAATGGTGACCAGCTTTTCACCACCCTCAAACATTTGCACGTCAAGTTTAGGCGCGCTTGTGCTGAGTTTCGCTTCGACGAATTCACCGGCTTGGACTTGTCGCTTGCCGAAGTACAACTTTGTTTCGACGACGGGGTCGCAGTGAGGCAGGACATCGGGAATGACGTTCATCTGGGTGATACGCTGGACCAGAATCTTGCGGCGGTATTCCCGCCATTTGCGGTCGGCCAAAAAGCGGTAGATGGGCTTGGACATGTCACCTGAATTGATAGAAAACGGACCATTAGCCTCAGCCCAATTTGATCAGTTGACCGAGAGATGATTACCTTCATTATCTTCGAACTTTCGCTTGACCAAGGGGTCGTTAATATCGGCCAGAACCTTGAGGCGCTCCAGGTGTAATTGCATGGCAGTAACGCGGGACTTCTTCGCCTTTGCTCCACCAGCCTCCTCGACAGACAAAGCCTCCTGTCTGGCAAGACGCTGCCTCATCGTCTCAATCTCCTTCAACTTCTCTTCGCGGTCCGCAAGCAAAATCTTCCGGGCTTCTTGGAAACATTGGTAGGGCAGTTGTTCGAAAGGAAGGTTCTCTGAATCTTGGAGCGCGGCACGGCGACGACGAGATCCAATGGGGGCGGTTCCCTGTCGGATCAACCGTCTTTCAAGACGGGGACTCGTCACAAGAGAGGGATCGGGTGCCTTGTGGAAAGGTTGGCTCGGAGTTTCGGCTTCGGCCTCTCGAACGCTGGCGGTCGACTGGAAAGCTCGCGTCTGGAGCTGGACTCCAGCCACGCCTCTAGAGTAGGTATTGCGAAGGCATTGGAGCAGAGGCTTCGAAGCCCGCTCGCAGTGGGCCATAATTCGAGGAATTGGGGTGTATGATGGGCTTGGGCTTGAGGTTCGATGTTGTTGTCTTCCCGGGGAACTTTTTCTGTTCAGTCCTAACTTATCACGTGACTGTCCTAGTTGTAGGTACCTAACTACGTACTCCGTACCAATTACATAGTTAACTAGGGCCCAGGGATACAATATGTAGGAAATTACGCGTGCGGTTTATTCTTTTTTTACTACCCTTGTATACATCTAAAAAGACACCCAAAAGAACATCGAAAAACACATTGGGGTGTTCTTACATATCATGTCCCTTATATCATGCTTAGCCAAATGAATCGAATTTATATAGTCCTACGTCCTCAAAGACAGAGGCCGCATAAATGGCCAGATATTATTGTCAACGTCAACCTGGAAATTTTCAAGCTTGAAAATCATGAAATTAATTCAGATCAGCTTTCTTTCTTTTCCCTTCCTTATATTCCTCGTCGTCCCTTCTTGTTCAACCAAGTCAATGAACTGCCTTGATAGGGCGCGCCGTCTCTTTGCCTCGTCCGGCTCATTCACAATGCCAATACAGGTCTCACTGATCCGGAGATAATATTGTCGAAACACAATCCATAAAAGATCCTTCTCAAGGCCTGGTCGGGGATAATAAGGATCATTGCCCCAAAAGGCAGCAGCAGCTTGTTCCACCCCATTTGAATTCATTGCCATCCCCCTACATAAATCAAAGTCGAGAACCCATATCGAGTGGTCTCCAAGGGCGTCAGACTCGATTTTAAGAGGACGCCCCTTATAAGGCGGCGCAAGAACAAACTCAATATCATTCCCATCAATCTCGCCAACCCAGTGCATTACGGCGAGAGTTTCGGCCATAACTCTTGCGTACTGACTTATATCGCTCGTTGTCATGCCGAGTTCTTCGAATTGATCGATATGAAGTGGGAAATTCCGTAGAGAAAATGCTGTGAATTGCGACGTAGTATGAGGCTTTCGTGTTCGTCTTCGGCCGAGGTACGGCCTCACCAAGCAGTCTTTATTCGGATCGCTAGCGATAATTTCTTTGATGATCTTTGGCGGACAGTACTTCCTAATAAGAAGTCGTCCGACAGTATCGGAGAAAGGCGGTATACGTTGAGATTTGATCATATTGCATGGTGTAGTATAGCCTGGTGGAAATTTTCGATGGTTTACGGACCACCATTTCTGGTCCGTTAACTAGATGGATTTGTAATTGTAGGGTTGAGATCTTTTGGAAGCTTTGGATAACTCGGCGGTGCATTTCAAAGTCGTTTATCAAAGATCGATCAGGCCCGCCATCCTCCCTTTTGAATGCAGGGCCTGTCTCGGATGCCCACACGGTTCCGCAAAACCCTTGCCCAATAGTACGTAGTGTGGAGGTATCGGCTACTTCGGTATCAGCTTCTTCAGTCTCTTTGGAGAGGTTGTTAGTCATTGTATTGTCTCTTTGGGGTTATGTCTGTTGCCTGCGGTTGCGTCTTTGCGGTTATGGTTGTTGAGTGGTTGTGGGTTTCGAATCAGAAACATGATGGAGAAGAGGAAGACCGACTTCGAAAGTAGGTAGCAATGACGCGAGAATGATAAGACTGTCATCTGTATTGGGCTAGTAGTTGTGTGTATACTTTGAAGCGCCAAGGTTCTGCTGGCACCCACCGCCCGGGATCAACTTTTGCTCCATTCAAGACTCCGGACATCACCAACTTATACGTCGATCACCCAGGGACTTTCACAATGCCAGGTAACGATGTTATTCGGTCGCTGAGGCTGCTGTCGCGCAGCTCGGGCGGACTCATGTCAGGCCCGAAGCAGGTGACGGTTAGTGCATTCCATGAATTCTTCTCGGTCCGGTTCTAGGACGCATTTACTGACAGCGCATCGAATCATACAGCAACGATGCCTTACACGCTCAATGGCAACCGAAGCGGCAACACAACCCCCAGTGGCGACTCAGGATGCTGTGCAGGCCGAGCAAGCACAGCGACCAGGCGGCCAAACCCCTGTTCAAGTCATGACCTACCGGTGGCCCAACTTGGAACCCCAGCGTCTGGTCCATTACTCCCGCAGACTACTTCAGATGCCCACTCGTCACGATATTCTCCACCGCGCAGTCATCTATGAGGGTGACAGCACCCGACAAGGTTCAGCCAGCACCAAGTGGAGGGACGATGTGCACGGTAGTCACAGGAAGCTGTACGCGCAGAAGGGCTCCGGTCGTGCGCGTGCGGGTGATAAGATGTCGCCAGTTCGACGAGGTGGTGGTGTCGCTTTCGGACCTCATCCTCGTGATTTCTCGACCGATCTGCCCCGAAAGATCTACGACCAAGCCTGGCGCATTGCCCTCAGCCACCGGCTTTCACGCGGCGAATTGATTGTTGTTGATAACACCATCGGTATCGACGAAGCTGCCAGTCCGTTCTTCATCAGAAATCTCGTCAAAGCTCATGGCTGGTATCAGAAGGGCCGGTCTACATTCGTTACACTGAAGCCCAATGAGATGTTCTCTGATGCGGTCGAAAAGTTCGGCAACCACGCACGAACTATCAGCGTCGAGGATTTGGATGTGAAGAATGTCTTGGAGACAGCAAGATTGGTTATTGAGAAGAATGCACTGCACAAGATCCTGCTTTCGCACTCGACGGACTTGGCGAAGGTGGACACACTCTTTTCGCCCTCAGCAAACGGAGAGAAGGTGTATCCGCTGGACTTTAGCCGGATGAAGGCTACATGGAAGAACGTTTAATTGTATTATTCTCTGTTTCTTGTTTTTTTTGGCATTATCTAGCTGTGTACAAATAGGTCATCTATACTTCGAACGTCATTACTTCTCAGAGTCGGCCTGGGGGCAACAACATATGCAGTACTTGGCTGGCCTTTTCTATTATTTGACAGCCATATTATTTGGATCCATTTGTAATGTTTTTTTTAAAAAAAAAATGACAATTGCGGTGATGTCGCCGAAATGTACCTCCGAGCATGTCGGTTATGGGCGGAGTGTTGGTCCTCGGAGCGGAAAGAAAATCCAGCGAAAAACTCCCGAGGTCAAGGAAAGCGGAGAAACACCTGATTGTCACCACATAACCCCCTTCTCTGGTTCTCGTCATATTTCAGTTCTAATGTTACTTCGACAATTCAATCGCGTCTCCTCGCCGAGCTGGATCTCGCGCGTTCCTTCAGCAATGCCTCTACGCGCCAAAGTGACCAACCCTGCCTTCCGGGCAACAGCTATGGTATGCACCCTGTTCGGAGAGAAGCCCGATATCCGGTACTTACTTGCTTACTATGGTTAGATGTCGACTTCATCTGATATCCCCAAAGAGCTCCCCGGCGATGAGCGCGACGATGTGCTGTTCAACTCGATCTACGGTCTCCGCAGCGTTGAGCTCAACCGACCCAAGAAGCTCAACTCCCTCAACGGCTCGATGGCTCGCAAGATTCTCCCTCGATTGAAGGTTAGCATGGATACCCGGAACATCAGAAACATACAATACTAAGCGTTGGATGAATAGGAGTGGGAGAAATCTCATCTTGCAAACATGATTCTCATCTCCGGAGCCGGCACCAAGGCTCTATGCGCAGGAGGCGACGTTGCTGCCCTGGCGCTGCAATGTGAGAGTGGAGCGGAAGGACAGAAAACATCGACTGAATTCTTCGGACTCGAATACCGCCTCGACCACCTGATCGCTACATACTCGAAGCCTGTTATCACATTTATGGATGGAATCACCATGGGTGGTGGTGTGGGCCTCAGCATGCACGCCCCCTTCCGAATTGCGACTGAGCGTACCGTTTTTGCTATGCCCGAGACAACTATTGGCTTCTTCCCCGACGTTGGCGGCTCGTTCTTCCTCCCCCGTCTTGATGGTGAGACTGGCACATACCTGGCTCTGACCTCGGAGCGCCTGAAGGGTGTCCAGGCTCTGTATGCAGGCATTGCCACACACTACTTGCACTCCAGTGTTCTGAGCAATGTGGCGCAGCGTCTTTCCGAGCTGACTTTCCCCGACCACGTCGAGCTTCCTGAGCGTTTGGAAATCGTGAACAAGACCATGGCTGAGTTCTCCCTTGGCCTCCCCCCGCTTGAGGCGGAGCCTATGCTCATGGCCGGTAGCCTGCGCACTGCCATTGACCGCTGCTTCGGATTCAACACTGTGGAGGAGATTATCGAGGCTTTGGAGAAGGAGACCGAGCACAAGGAGTGGGCACAAAAGACACTGGAGACTCTGTCAGGCCGCTCCCCGACTTCCCTTAAGGTGACCCTGCGCCAGTTACGTCTTGGCAAGAAGTGGACCATCTCGGAGACCTTCCAGCGCGAGCACGAGATCGCTGCCAACTTTATGCGTCACCCTGATTTCGTCGAGGGTGTCAAGGCCCGTCTGATGTCCAAGCCTGCCCGCCAGGCCGAGTGGCAGCCCGCTACGCTCCAAGAGGTCTCAGATACAACCGTGGATAACTTCTTCAAGATCCCCGAAAACGAGTCCCGCCTAGCGCTTCTGAGCCAGGGAGATTACAAAAACTACCCTCATGCCCGCTTCGCTCTTCCCTCCGAGCAAAATATTGAGGAGGTTGTGCGCCAAGGCCACGCATCGCGGAAATCTGTAGTCGACTACTTCCTTGAGAGATACGCCCACCGCGAGGGTGTGCGCCGAAAGGTCGTTGAGGTGCTTGCCCGACGGACGACGAAATCATCTCCCGAAGGACTCAGGTGGTTGAATTAAAGATAGGGATACCGTCTATAGCTTGTAATTTTTATTGTTCGGGTGTATTAGAATTTATTGGGAATTTGGCCCATATACCATATACTATTTATTGCATTTGCTGAAGATTTGCAATCATCGATCTTCTTCATTTCTCTAGAAAAGAACTAATATTCCGCTGATGGACTTACATATAAAACGGTTGTTATATAAAACACAAATAGCACGCCATTGCACCTAACATTGTTTTAAAGTTTTTTTTTAAGGTCCTCAGCCCACCTGGGCACTCCCGGCATTATGGTTCCCGACACCCAAATGATCTCAAATTCAACAAAAATTCGACCAGACACCCTTGCATACATGCTGTAAATTTCAAGCAGCGTTTCCAGATGGATTTTGAGAGCAGGTCCCGAGAGCCTAGCCGGCGGTCATCAGAAAGCACCATCAATTCCTCCAACGCTCTGTTACCGACGTCGGCCGATGATGCTTCACGACCGGCAAATGATAGCCCAGCACCAGAAGCCGGCTCAGTACTAACACGCCTATACATCTCACACACACTCTCAGCATGGAACTCACGCATGTTCGAATTTGGCGCCGTGCTCTTCCTAGCTTCGATCTTCCCGGGCACACTACTATATGCTTCGATATACGCTCTAGTGCGGGCGTTTTCAACCGTCGTGCTGTCGTCCTGGCTGGGTGCGCAAGTTGATCGCTTAGACCGGCTCGTAGCTGTGAGGTATTCCATTGGTAGGTTGGAGTCGTTTTGAATATTTCACTATGTACGGAGTATCATTCAAGGCCAATGGCTAATCAAAGGAGTAGTGTGGCAAAGAGTCCCTGTCGCGGTGTCGTGCTTGTGCTTTGTGGCAACCCTGTCTACGGACTCTTGGGTGCTTACGATTGTCTTGTTCGCTGTGCAGGGCTTGCTGGCTTGTATAGAGAAATTGGCCGCTTCGGCTAATACGGTAGCTGTGGAACGGGATTGGGTATGTACGGATAATTGTATTTGGGATGCCTGGTTTCCTCCATGCATCCGATACACATTTTTATTCTAGAAAGAGATATCGCTGATAATTGACACTAGGCAATCGTGATCTCGGATAGTATCAATGTCCCTCGACAAGGTGAGAACGTTGAAGCGACTTGAAGCTCTACAATATCTAACTTTGATCGAATGACAGACTTGAACGCCTCCATGAGACGAATCGATCTATTCTGCAAGCTCGTGGCACCAGTATTCATCTCCTTGATCGACAGCATATCATCCCGATACGCAATTTGGACAGTATTCACCCTGAATACCGCATCAGTGCTGGTCGAATATATGGCCATTGCCCAGGTCTACCAATCAGTTCCCGCCTTGACCAAGACACAAGCTCCCACAACACAAGCAGATGATATAAATAGCGAGAGCGACGACCCTAACCAGAACACATCATCTCGCGAGATACCCCACTCCTTGCCAGAGTCATCACTAGCACCATGGAAGGAGTACATAGCCAGCCCAGTCTTCCTAGCATCATTTGCCCTGAGCCTGCTCTACCTAACAGTCCTATCATTCGGCGCAACAATGACCACGTACCTGCTGCACACGGGCTTTACCTCGTTACAAGTCAGCTACATGCGCATCGGCTCCGTGGCCGCCGAGCTATCTGGCACATGGACAGCGCCTATGATCATGAACCGGATCGGTCCGATTCGGTCCGGGCTATGGTTCCTGAACTGGCAGTTTGTCTGCGTGGCTGGTGCGGCCGTTTCTTTCGTTGCTTGGGACTCGAGCTCGCGGTTCGTGGCGGGCACGCTGATTGCGGGCGTGGCTTTGAGTCGGATTGGGCTCTGGGGATTCGATTTGTCCGTTCAGTTTCTTGTTCAGGAGGTAAGTGGCTTCTCTAAGATTACCTATTGGCTTGTGGTTGCATGTACTGAACGAATGGCATTATGTAGAATATACCGGAACATGCCCGTGCCCGCTTCTCTGCGACTGAAATGGCGCTGCAGAATGTTTTCGAGATGCTTTCTTTTGCCTCGACTATTGCTTTCCCGCTGCCGGCTCAGTTCCAGTATCCGGTGCTGATCAGTTCTGGAGCTGTGATGGTCGCTGCTGTTTGTTTTGCGGCTTATGTGCGCAAGGAACGAGGTCATCTACTGCATCGATCGCGGTGTATGGGTGGGGATAAAGTGTTATATCGAGCGATTGAGTCTGAGTCAGTTTAGAGCATTTGAAGTGGTTGTAGGTTCTTGTATCATAATTCATGAGGAAGACTCTATATGACGGAAATGGTCACAAAAGCCAACCAAAAAATCAAGGTCGCTGGTTATATGAGCGCAACGCCGAGCCATTAGAAAGTCATATATGCATCCCATGCCGAACAGGAGTTCAAATAACGATGAAAAAGTCCGAAAACAATTCCCGCCTCACACATTTCGAGTCTGCCCATGTACGCGACACATTCTGCCGCCTCGTCATCTCCTCCACTAGCACAAGGACCCTATCAGCGGTTGGATGGCGAGAGACCGAAGGTGCGGAGTCAGCTTCATGGGCAGCAGCCATACGCTGAATCTCATTGATAATCCACTTGCGCTGGTCTTCCGTACCCTCGAGCCCAGCAATGAACAGCGGCCACAGGAAGCTAACAGGCAGATGGTCCGGCCCGGTAGAGTCAACGGTAGCCAGTTGAATGATTTGATCGACGGCGCCGTTAACGCGGTCTGTGCGAGGGTAGATCGCAAATGCAACGCGATGCAAGTAGATAAAGTTGGCTAAGAAGTTGGCCACGTATTGTCTGAATGTGCGGCAGATTTCCGATGCCACAGGCGTGCACAGGATATCGGTTAGGGCTTCTGGTCGTCCATAGACGTCTATTACTGAGGGACGTCGGTGCCAGAGTGTTTCGAGGTCTGCGCCGACTTTGTGGGCGAGTTGGAGGACTTCGAACTCGTCGGTGAGGGTTCCGCGGCTGCGATGGTGGAGGTCGATGCAGACTATTCGTCGGACGACTTGTTGGGCTTGTGTGAAGAATCGGAATGCTGGGCCTACGATTGATTCGTAGACGAGGTAGTTGGGGCTGAGGAATGGGTCTTCGATGCTGTCCTCTTGTTTATAGTTGGCTGTTGGCGCTGTTATGTGAGGTGTTTGGGAAGTTTGTGCATCTAGTGGTTTTAGTGGTATGCTATGTTCTGGGATATTGCCAAGCTCAGGGAGAGGATCGCCATCTCGACCTGCAATCAGGGACTTGACATCTAGCAGCGAAACCCATGACACTAGGAGATGACCTAGACCGGTCCAATGTCGGGTACGATCATGGAACCGTTGTAGAATAAGGTACCCGGAGTGAATATAAGAAGTTCCGGTACATATTTCGGGAGATGAGAGAATCTGGGACAATATGAGCATCCGCTCGATCTCGGGACCAAGCAGAACATACCTCGGATATCATTAAGAGAAAAATAGCACCGAAGACTTTGATGAGCGTGGACTCGGTCACCTCGCCATGAATACAAGCTTGGATCTCGGCACTGGACACTCTATAGAAAGATGGCGCCCAGCGCCATCTTTTCCCTTCCATCATCGCCTTATGGACATCTGCATAGCAGTATAAAGCATTCAAAAGCGGACTGGAATCTCGTGCATGAGCCAGCAGCGCCGGCCGCATATACTTCCACTCGATGTTTATCGGCGCAAAAAAAGCAGCCGGTGGGTCAATGGTCAGAAAGTGCTGTAGCAGCTGGTCCTCATACGAAGTACCGCCTGCGTCGGACAAGCTGCGCCGCGTAGTGGGCACGTCTGAAGCGCTTCCAGTCGAGGTCCCATCAATAAGTGAAGATGAGGTATCTGGAGTAAGTGGAATACGACGGTCTGCTGAAAAGTGCCCTTCATCCATGCCTGGTGTGAGTGTCCCGGGTAGCGACTGCGACGGCGGACTAGCGGTGAAAGCCATCGTGTGTCCAGTTGTCAAGTCTAGGTGTTTCTGTTCCAGCTCTGAAGTGATCCCGCCCATGAATCCAAGCATGTCAAACTCGGAAGGATAGGGGTCCCGGTCTGTAGGGAGATGCCGAAGTATGGTTGTCGGCGCTGGTATTGTGTGGTGGCCGTCTGCGCGGAGCACGGTACTAAAGAAGTTGACGTCGGGAGATCGAGATGCAGCCGCAGCTGTACCGCATGACCCTGAGCCTGAAACCCCTAGGTCTGCTGTTTTATTCGGCGATGCGGTTGTATTGTTTGATGGTCGGGTTGGTGATGAACCCCACCCCACGTCGGGGGTGAGAGAGGGTTTATAGAGGCATCGTAGACGCAGTCGATCGCAATTGGAGCAGCCTGGTTTCCCTTCGTCACACCGGACCTTACGGGCCCTGCATGTTAGGCACCCTGTCCGTCGACGCGGGCCGGACCTGCCAGCTCCCCGGGCTTTCGGCACCTGTGGAGAATTCACGGTTAGTCTGGGTCAGGTACAAGGCGAGGAATATTCAAATTACCTCCATGATGGATCAAGCCCCGGGTTAAGCCCAAAGCATACTAGATACAAAGTACGAAGTAGTCGCAAAGAAATTCGACGGTGACTGGTTTCCCCGCAATGGCGCCGATTCTCGGGGATCGGTGTGATGACGAGCTCGGATGGTGATCTGATTGAATTCACGAGATTATTCCAAATAACATCGAAAACAATATTGTTTCAAATCTAGAAGTTCTAGAGGTTCTAGTTGATCATCAGGACATCCATGGATTGTTAATATATACAACTCACTCTGATTGGTGATATATATGAAACTACGACCTTTTTTAGGGATTTTGATATACTAAACATGATATTAAATAGTAAATTCTCCAAGAGCATTCCATCCAAGACGAACAGCACAGACACAAATCAAGACTTAGGCTATTTCTTTTGTGACTACTTAATAAAAAGGGAGAGTGTACGTTCGGACACAATATGTACCTTTCCAGGATGTCTTTTGATATAGTACAAAACAACGTAAGTATATACTTGTCTTTTTATGCCTAGAAAGTACGTGATCAGGTCGAAATAAGGTCAAAGGCATGTCGATCGACAGCCAACTTACTGTATTCATGAAGAACCCTATTTCAACCTTTATATACTTCTGAGAGATTTGAACTTCATATAAAAATGGAATATCATCTCATTAATATCAATCCTCTAAAACCCCCTCCTCCCTTTCAGCCAACTTCCTCTGTATAAACGCCTCCATCCCATCCCTCTCCTAAACTGTCAACAATCCAATCCGATCCTCCAACCCCCCCTCCCCAAAGAACCTGCGATCAATCCTCGCCCAGTAGATAACATCAAAAGCCCAACTTCTCCTCGCCGCATAACTAACCCAGAACCCCCCATTATCCCAGCTCTCCCGCATATGTCCAGAAAGCCGATTCTGCTTCATCGACGGCGCCTCAGCCATAATCCGCTTCCCAATACCAGGCTACTCCGTCTTCCCCGACGAAAAACTCCGCCACGAAGTATCTGCGATGCGCTTTCTCGAGCGACACACAGGAATCCGCATCCCACACATCCTACACCACGGCAGCAGCGACGAAAGTCCGCCCGGCCTAGGCCCGTTCATTATCATGGAGTACATCGACCATAACGCTGATCTTGTTGATGCACTGAGCACGGCCGGAATACCGGATGAAGAGCGGCCTGTTCTTGATCCCAATATCGATGAGAATAGACTGCGCTCGGTGTATAATCAGATGGCGGGCCTGTTGCTGCAGGTTGCGAAGCATTCGTTCCCCCGTATTGGATGCATATCTAATGCCGCGGAAGATGAGTTCGAGGATGAGTGGGTTGTGCGGCACAGGCCGTTGAGTATCAATATGAATGAGCTTGTGCAGGTTGGTGGTGTGCGTGCTGAGGATTTGCCCGGGAAAACGGAGACTTTTACGACGGCGGCGGGGTATTTACTTGCTCTTGCGGAGTTGCATATGACGCATCTTTCGTCGCAGCGGAATGATGCTATTGACGATGCGGAGGATTGTAGGACGAAGTATATTGCGCGGTGTTTGTTCCGGAAGCTTGCGAGGGAAGGGCGGCTTTGTTGGGTCCGGGAGGAGGGGGTGTTTAAACTGTTCTGTGATGATCTACGGCCGGCGAATGTGCTTGCTAACTCGGACTTTGGGTTTAAGATATCCGGGGCTATTGATTGGGAGTTTGCTTATGCGGTGGGTTTTGATCAATGTGGTTATCTTTTTCATGGTTTCTTCGTTGAGCATGGTTGTTTTCCAGGTTGATAGTTCGTCGTCGCTTCTGTCCCGGGCTGTTTCGTCGAAGAACATTAGCTTGCCTTGCATGATTGGTGCCATTTTGGTATTCATGGTGTTCCTGGCATGGGGGGTGCCGGGTCCAGGGGGTTTGAATGTGTGTCTATGACAGACGTCTCTGTATCCTGGTGAATTGCTTTACCCCGCGGTTACTCAGGAGTTATCGGCAAGTTGCATGTTTTGAAACAAATCCTTTATATTTGTTTGATCTGTTTGGAACAATTCAGGGACTCAGCTAGAACAGTTTTACCGTTCCCTCAGAAAGGCTTCACAGTCCGCTGAAACCTCGGCGGCTGACGTGTAAACTTCTCCGGCTGATCTCTAGCACCATCTTTCCAATAATCGAACTCCATCCACGCATTCTCAGGCATCTGTGCCTCAGTCGCCTCCAAAAACTCCCCGAGATCAGGACAGAGCGGTACAACACCCGTCTCAAGCACATACTGATCCCAGAGCTTAAGCAACTGCTTCAACTTCTCCGGCTCGACATCTGCCAGATCGTGAATCTCTCCAGGATCTTGCACGAGATTATACAACTGCCACTTCTCCGGTCCCTTGGGCTTGGGAATAAAAACGATCTTCCAATCCGCACAACGCAGCGCAGCCCGTCCACACGTCTCCCAGCCCTGAATAAACTCAATCGGGTGGATCCGCTCCGCCCGACCCACCGCCCAGGGGTGGAAGCTCCGTCCGCGCATCTCGACGACCTCGCGACCCTGATACATCGGCGCCGGATGCTTGATCCCCGCCATATCCAGGATTGATGGGGCCAGGTCCATAACGGTAGCGAACTGATCTGTGATCCCGCCCTTGCCAGCCGCAACATCTGCAGGGTTAATATTGAAGTTCGCAGGGAAGCGACAGGTGAATGGGACACGCACGCCGCCCTCGGTGGTATACGCCTTATACAGACGCGACGGCGCAGTAGCAGCCTGCGCCCAGCGCGGACCGTACCAGATAAACGAGTTCCCGTTCCCGAGGTTCTCCAAGCTGTTATCGTAGTATTTCTGCAGATGCGGCATGACCCCGTTCTTGACCATCGGGTACGCCTCGTAGGCAGCGCCTTCGGCTCCGTTATCCGACATGAAGCACACGAATGTGTTATCCAGCTCGTCGATCGACCGAAGGTACTCAACTACCTTCCCGACATTCGAATCTATGCACTCGACCATCCCCGCGAAGACTTCCATCGCAACAGCGGACTTCTTCTTCTCCTCCGCGCTGTACTCCTCCCACTCCTTGACTTCCTCCGCTTGGACGGGGTGCGGCTCGACATCGTCCCGCACCATCCCCAGATCCTTCAGATGCTGTAGCCGTTTTTCGCGGAGTACGTCGGGCCCTTCGTCGTACACACCGCGGTAGTGGTCTATGTACTCGCGCGGAGCTTGCAGCGGCCAATGCGGCGCCGTGAAGGGGAGGTATGCGAAGAACGGATGGTCTCCCTTTCCGTCGGGGCCTTCGCTGCCGCCGCTCGTTTTCCATTCTTTCAGATACTCCACCATCTTATTGCCGTACCCGTCGGAAGAGTACCAGTCCTCTGGGAGACGGCGCACGTACTCACCATCCTCCATGTGCAGGGCGATGTAGCTCGCCTCGATGAAAGTCGGGAGCTTGTCTTGGTCTTTTAGCTCTGGCTCGTAGGCATAGTGGTTTGAGCAGGCGGGTAAGTGCGCGAATGACCGCTCAAACCCTCGCTTGTGTGGTGATCGCTCTGGTGTCAGACCTAAGTGCCACTTGCCAGACATTACTGTGTGGTATCCCCCATCGCGTAGGATCTCGGGGAGTGCCACGACCCGCTCGTTGAGGTAGCCCTCGTACCCGGGCATGCCGCGCTGCGGCGCGGTGCTCATGGCTGATCCTTTGGGTCCGTTCTGGCCGGAGATGTTGGTCCATTCGATTAGGTTGCCCAGACCGGCGATGTGGTGGTCTGTGCCTGTCATGATCATGGCGCGTGTGGGACTGGGCATTGTGAGTTTGACTGACATCTGGTAATCTGAGCTGGGGAATCTTACGAGCATGCTGCTGCTGCATGGAAATCGGTAAATCGGAGTCCCTCCTTGGCGATCTGGTCGATGTTGGGGGTGCGGATTTCTCCGCCGAAGCAACCTACATCAGAGAAACCTAGGTCATCGGCGACTATGACGAGGAAGTTGGGGCGTTTAGCTGCCATTGTCAAGAAGAAACATTCGGGAATAGAGAAGGTGAGGGGTGTGTGGTACGTCAATGGTTATTATATCAGATCTCGCAGATCCAACCTGGAACAAGCATCATACGCGTGTACATGATCGCCAATCGGCCATCGGCCATCGGCTCGAAATGCGGGGATTGACTCCACATTTGATCAGGGGTGGGCGAGGAGAAGATAATGAACCAATGACATTGGAACCATGCAATATCAGAAGTATAAGAAGTATACAAGATCCATCAGGTACCACCTTGGAATGCTGCTCAGGTGAATATCACGCAATCCCAAAGTGACATAATCCATCGCCGATCGTCCTGAAACAGCTTCATCTCTCTTCAACCCTACATTCCTCCATTTAGACTTTTATGACAGATTTGATTCAATTTCCATCTAGACCATGTCCAATATAATCCCTATATCTTCCACCTCTCTCCCCACCCCCCGCTCCATATCCCCATTCTCTAAATGGTATAACACTCTGCATACCTGGTGGAACTCAACACCCACAGTATCCTACTCGCAGCTCCCCCAAACACCACAATTAGAGGCCCCAGACGCAATTCCTACAATGGAAGCAGAAGCAGCACGACCACCAAAAGCCCATTGGCGCATATACTGGTTCGCTCTCGTACTCTGCTCCGGCGGAGCTTTATTCGGTTATGACTCGGGGGTAATTGGTGAGTAACAACTACATCCCCCCAACCTACATACCTTCCTATTCAACCCAATATTCCAACCCAATCCAATCCCATACTAATATCCCAAGGCGGCGTCCTACCCTTCCACACCTTCACAACCTCCTTCTCCATCCCACCCAGCCAAAAGACCCGCACAAGCGCCATTGCCGTGGGGATCCAACAAGCCGGCGCCTTCGCGGCCTGTTTCCTAATCTGGCCAATGACAAACCGCTACGGCCGCCGTCTCGCAATGGCACTATGTTCCCTAATCTTCTGTCTAGGCGTAGTCCTCGAAACCATCGACTCGCATTCTCTCTCTGTATTCTACATCGGACGCGTAATCTGCGGACTAGGCGTTGGCGGTTCGGCAACCGTCATCCCGATCTACATGTCCGAGATGAGTCCGAAAGAAATCCGCGGTCGACTGGGGAGTTGTTATCAGCTCGCGTACACGGTTGGCATCCTTGTTTCGTACTGGGTTGATTATGGGGTTAAGAAGATGGGGGATGAGGCTGGGGCGCGACAGTGGCAGGTTCCTGTTGCTTTGCAGCTTGTTCCTGGGGTTTTAATGGGGGTTGGTATGTTGGGAGTTGGGGAGAGTGTGAGGTGGTTACTTGGGGTGGGTAGGGGGGGGAGGCGTGGGAGAGTCTTATTTGGGTGAGGGGCGGGGAGGGGGATGGGGTAAAGCGGGAGTTTGAGGATATGAAGCGTGGATTGGAGGAGGAGAGGGAGGTAACGGATGGATTTAGGGTTTGGGAGTTGGTTGAAGGGGGTAATTTGAAGAGGATGGGGATTGCTGGTGGGTTATTTCTTGCGCAGCAGTCGACGGGGTCGACAGCGTTGGCGTATTTCGGACCGCAGTTTTTTGAGTTGCTTGTTGGGGCTGGGGATCGGACGCTTTTGTTGACGGGGATTTTCGGCGCGATTAAGGTCGTTGCTTGTTTGGTTTTTGTGGTGTTTTTGTCCGATCGGTTTGGGAGACGCCCGCTGTTGGGTGGTGGTGCGGCGTTTATGGCGGTTTGTATGATCGTCACGGTGGCGGTTGTGAAGTGTTATCCCCAGCCTGGGGATGGGACGGTTACTTCTTCGGGGATTGCCACGGTTGCCCTGATATACCTCGATATCATCGCGTACAACTTCAGTTGGGGTCCGTTGCCGTGGCCGTGTGCGAGTGAGATCTTCCCTAGGCGCATTCGTGAACCTGGTGTTGCGTTCGGTGTTGGGTCGCAGTGGTTGTTCAATTTTGTTTGGAGTTTCTCAACGCCGTATATTCAGCAGAGCCTGGGATGGGGTACATTCTTGCTCTTTGGACTGCTGGATGTGGTGATTGTGGGCTTTACTTATTTCTGTCTGAAGGAGACGGCTGGCAAGTCTCTCGAGGAGATTAATGGGATGTTCGATGGGATTGATCCGGATGCTGAGCATGGGTGGAAGGATCTGAATGGTGATGCTGCATCGCATGTACCTGCTGAAAGGTATCAGGATGCGCAGATTGATAATGCTAAATCGGTGTCCAAGTATCGGACTGCGCATCTCGAGTCGACCGCTGGACGGTCTTGACTTACTATATCGTCATTCCTCTTTTGTCTACCATATAAAACCGGTATATCGATGGAAACAAATTCATTTCCATCTGCCATGTTATTGTAGAAGATACATCTTAGGCAACCAGGCAATTGCCCTCAGCAACAAATCCACCCCCTAGCCAATCGCCCTCAAGGCAGCTAGAATTGAGAATCAAAAAAACAGTACTGAATATCAAAAGCTTGTTCCGTTTACTCAAGTCGGAATCCAAACGCCAGACACCCTCCAGTTCCCACTGGATCGCAATTCAAACAGTTCAAAAATTCCACGTTCAACGCCCAGACCGACAGACCTGCTGCCCGCATTACCTCCACATAAAAAGTTCGTTATCACATAACATCAACTGCTGTTCAAACTCACACATTGATCAAATCATCAAACGACGTATCCTCCGCCGAGAACGAATAAGACCCCTCAGAGACGAGCGAAGCCTCCGACTGACGCCGCATCTGCTGCTCAAACGCCTCCGCCGCCGCCGCCGCCGCAGCAGGCTCAAGCTGCAGGGGATCATCAAAGCCAAACGACATCGCCGTTGGTGCCGGCGCAGACACAGGCACAGCCGCTGTAACCGGTGCCGGGGTTGGTTCGAGCGGAGAGACCGAGACCGAGGGATTATCTGGGATTCTGACGGGAGAGTCCGGCAACCCACCCGCAGGCGGAGCACCATCCTTATCGGTAATCTTCTTGACCATCTGGGCGAGATGAAGTTTAATCGGCTCATCTCCACACTGAGCATGTTTCAGGACCTCATTCTTCAGGCCTAGGATCTCCGATCGCAGCCGAGCAATCTCCGCGACAAGCTGCTCCTTTTTCTCAGACTGTTCCTTGAAGTTGAATTCCAGGAGCTGGGTATGTTCCTTCTTTTTCTGGCGACACTTGCTTGCCGCGAGACGATTTCGCTCTAGGAACTTTGCGCGCTTTGCTCGTTCATGCGGGGCGTCGTCGAGGTCTGGACTGAGACTTGCGGCTGCGGTCTTGAATTCTCGCACGCGCCGTCGTTTGCTGGCGTTTTCCATCATGTCTAGGGAGAAGTCGCGGCCTTGGTCGTCGTATGGGGTGTGGGGTTGGTTGGCCATTTCGGACCTGGGCATTTTTGAGGTCCCGCTCGAGTGCGGAATTGGCAAATGCTGCCGAGGCGGGTTTGTCCCAACCTGTGGCCATTGGTGAGACGGGGCTCAGACCCCAGAGTTGGTCGTCGTCTGGAATGGGAAGGCCTAGGAAATCGCCTGAGAACGAAGTTGTGAATGGTGGATCGATGATATTTGTTGCAAGGCCAGGTAACCCTGATGATAGCCCTGATGGCATTGCAGATTTGAGGTTGGTAGACATATCAAAGGAAGCTTTAGAGAGAAAGTTATGTTTCCTTCTAAAACATGGAAGAGAGAGAAAGCAAGGGAGCACACTAAGGAAGCTAAGATGGGCTCTCTGGCTCTCTTGCCCTAATAACCCTAAATAATAACAAAAAGGCTCACTGTCTCTGATTCACTGATTCACTGAAGAAGATTTGGTCGGTGCCTGAAGAAGTGTAGAGTCCAGGTGCGGTCGACCTGGTTGGAGCCACGGTCGGACAAGACTTCCTGCGGTCCAGAAGATCCGGGCGAATGGCACAGGTTGAAGGATGATTTTGGTGTCACCATGGAAGAGAAGAATGTCAAATGGGTTGAGAGTTCCAAAAAAAAAAAGGGAATGGTATTTTATTTATTGTTCAAACCCCCTTCAAACCCAGACCCTCTCATCAGAGACTATAAATAGAATAAAAGACAACAATAAAAAGACAACAAAGGTAAGAGATAGAAAAACAAGAAAAAGAACGGTATCCAACAGGATTCAAAGCCGAGAGGAAAAAACAGGGTTGGGCTGGTGGGGAATATCCCCATTCGACCTGGAAGTATACAGCTTTCTCTTTTCTAGAATAGTCCAATCAGAGAAACCTGGTTTCTCATATGAAAGAGAGAAAAAACCTCGTCCAATTATTCTCTGCCCACCACGTACCGTCCACTCGTCCAGTGTCGCAACTGTCGGTGCACGAAATGCCAATTATTGAGCAACAACCCCGCCACGCGTTGATCATCAACCTCCTTTTCCACCTCTGTTGAGGTCCCATCTCGGTACTCTTGCCCCCTGAGCCCGAGGAGGAGCGGTCCAAACACCCGCACCAACTCGTTGAAGTTCGGACTCGCCACTGGATCACGGAGCTCCATCCCGGGTTGGTCTTGGACGTTGGTCTCCGCATTCACTAGTAAGGAAAGTAGCCCAAATACCGCACAGATAAGATCACGCTGCATCTCAGGAGCCAGAGCTATGAGCGCAAGACACATAAGCTGCACTCGGGAGGCAGTCGTTGGGCTCGCCTCAGAGATACAATCTGGCACACGGGGGAGATGGGATTGATTGGGGACCGAGTGGTAGTACATCGCCCTCAAAATCTGGTAGAGCCGGACACTCCCGAGGATCCCGTTTGGAAGCCCCGCCAGCACGGCCTTTAAGGCCCAGGCCACACTCAGCACGGGCGCTGAATCTTCACGGAGCTGGGGCATGGCAACCACACGCATCGTAAGGGAAATCTTAGACTCATCTTTCTCCACCTCGAGCACCTGGCTAGCAAAGTGGTCATACAAGCGAATGGCGGCTTTCAGATCGCCGGACTGGATGAAGATCTCGGGAGTGTCAAGACCTGCAGGAACCCGGGGTCAGTCAAGTCATGACGTAGACGAAACATCCACCAACCATATTTATGCAGAAACATCAACGTTGCCACGATGTACGCGGGCAGCTGCACGGGACAGGGGGCTAATTCCGTCAGCATAAGATAGCCATATCCTCCAAGACGGGCCAAAGTCTCGATCGATCTTCCTTGCAACGAAGTCATCGGATTGGGACGGCGCAGATTCGCGAATGTTTTCATTCGTCGCAGCTTAGGAGCTGGTGCCAAAGGGGCTGTGTCGGCGTCCAAACTGGATCGCACTTTGCGAACTTTGCCCAACAATTTAATTCCACGACGACTCGGGCCCTGTTCCTCGGTGACAGGTTTGCTCTCTGCTGCTAGGATCTAGTCAGTGGCAATCCATGCACAAACAAAGAAAAACGTACGTGGACTTGGAGTATCATCAGCTGGAATGGAAATCGGGATACCAAACTGAGATGCCATCCGGTTGAAGGCCGAGATCGCCTTGGGCGAGTCAAGTGTGCTACTCCAACTAACCCGACTTTTTTGACTGTTGGCCGAACTTGCCCTCTGAGAGTCCGGATGTTCAGGCTCGGCTGACTCGATGACTTGTTCGATTGTGTCGAAATCAGTCTCAGCGATAGGTTCCAGCGTCCCTTCAGAAGCCCTGGATGATTCCTCTCGACTCGTACCTGCACTATGCCTCGAAGGACCCGACTTTGCCTGTCGGACGTCGGTGGCCTTCCCATCCGAGAACGGGTCCGAACCCTCAAGGGTGTGAGTGTTGGGATTGCTGCTACTATCAGGGTACCGCAGCATCAGTCCGGGCCATCCCCAATCCTCCAAAGGTTCCTGAATAGGCATCGCGATGTGCCGGGCAGGGTCTCGGCACACAGTATCTTCAGTCTGGCTGGACTCCTGAGAATGAGTCGTCTGACCGCTGACCTTCCGCCCCTCTTTCGGGTCATCGAACCTGACAAACTTGCCAGCGGCTGTGGACAGTTCCCCGGCAGTATCTGGTTCAACCGGATTGGAGCTCAAAGGTTTGGAGCTCGGCCTTTCTTTGCGGGTACCCTCCTGCGCAGTTTGAGGCTGTGTATCCGAGATGGGGTCATCTTCCTGGGATAGGCTGCCGCGCAAGCGAGCAACGATTCTCTTCAGCCGCTTGGTACCATTCTTGGACCGCGGAAGTTCGCCGGTGTCTTGGGCGTGTTGGGCATTCGACCCGGTTTCGGTATTGTCAACGGGGGCTACCGCGGCCGAGGCAGGTGGCTTGTTCGCAGCGCTGGGTCCCGCTTCGGTTGTCGGTTCATCGGGTGGTAATTTGTTCGAAGCGTCTTCTGGCTGGGGCTTCAATGGGTCTCCCTCAGACGCTGGACGCCGTCGTGGCCAGACAGCACGAGATGAAGCAGGGTTAGGTGTCTCAGATCTGGACCCGAATACACTTTTGAGACGCCGCATGATTACGTTTAGATAATGTATACAAGAGGAAGAGATGGGGATGAAGTAAGAACTGGGATGTGGGCCCGGGATGTCCACAGGTGACTTGGCCAAGGTCTTGTCCTCGAGGAAGGAGCTGAAATACGTGAGGGAAGTCACGTCTTGACAACCTTCTATAGCCAACAAACAACCTTGGGATAACCTTGGGATAACCTTGGGATAATTAACAACACCGTTAAGATAGTGCTTCAAATTGACATTCAAAATCTTCCAAGTCTATTTCTGTGCCAGTGCTCGACAATAAAAAACCAAAGAGAGCACCGGTTTTTGGAAACCATGTCATTACCTCTGTACATTCGTAAAGCCCAAAATCAAATAGCCCAGAACAGTCATGGCCTCGCCGGGCCCATGTGCTCCCAGGCAATTCATATGTTATCTTCGTCTTTGAGGTTTCCCTCAAAGAGCCAGGACAGGGCAGATCAAAACGCCGGAACCATGCAAAACTGAATATGTATGGGAAAAATCACTTTCAACTCGAAGCCGATCATGCTTCCTCATTCTCTCCCTCGAGAAGAATATAGTGCAGGATATCACTCAGAGTCAGAACGCCCTTAAGCTTGAAGTGCTCATCCACGACAACGAGACGGTGCACTCGCGATTTGCGGATAGTATCAAAGATAGTATCCAGTCCATCATTCAATGAACATGTGTAAATCCCCGGGAAACCCTGCGCAAAATATAAGTATCAGAACCGATATCACTGGGAACGGAGGTTCACATACCGGAGAACGTTTCTTCAATGCTTCCCCGACTGTGAGACTCAAATCATCGTAGAAACCACCTTTGATCAAAGTAATGACATCAACCGACTCGAATACGTTATACACCAGGCCCTCCGAGTTCACAATCGGCACACTGGATATGCTGCGCTCGACCAAAATATGAATGACATCAATGACCGGGGTATCCATCGAAGCCGTGGCAACGTTATCATACGATCCAAGCAAGAGCTCCCCCAGCGGACGCCGCAGCTGCTGCGTATCGGGGACATTGACAGCGACGAATTTCAAGATCCGGTATTGCGTAATGACGCTGAGGACGTGGGGCCGCTCGGTCTGGCTATCGCTGGTGACGAGGGGGATACGGCGGGCGCGCGATTCCAACATGCGCCGACAGGCATCGTAGAGAGGGCGCTCCGGGTCGATTGAGACGGTCTCCGGCGGCGCCACGCCTAGCGCCTTTTCAACTTCTGTATATTCCCGTTAGCGGAGTGTACCTGCAGGGATGGGGGCGAAAGCCCAACGCACCTCGCAAACTGTCCAGACGGAATTGATCGATCTGGTCCAGCGCGGCGGGGTTTTGGAAATAGTATTGGATGACATTGATGTAGTCGGAGGTGGTCAGAAGACCTGCGAATTTGGACGCTTTGGAGTCCCACAACGGAGCTGAAACGATGCCTGTACCTCCCGAATTCCCGGTTCGCAGTCAGCTGGAGTCCGGCAATTTTGTAGAAAAGGAGGAAGGAATCGCGAAAACGTACCGTTTTGAATCAGAATGTTCAGACTCTCCTTGACGGAAAGCGACGTATCGAAGATGATGAGTCGGAAGCTGAGCGGCAGGACATCGTAGGAGTTTCGGGCCTTGAGGAAATCGCGAATGGCACGCTGTTTGCGTTAGTCAAGATCTGGATATGCCCAGGCGATCTGGTGACTGGTGACCCCATGCCGAAACACGTTCACAATGTCCGATCCCCCCATAATGTCCAACGTCAGATATAAAGAGGGGTTGGTTTCCCCTCCTTGAAAAGGCAAAAGGAAAAAGACTTACAAGGCCCTGTCGCTCTTCCCGATCGATCGCTCGCTCGGAGGCCATTGGGGGGCGTAGGTACGAGGATAGGCTGCACGAAAGGCGCGTGACCAGAGATGAAGGTCCCGAGTCGAGGGTCTTCCGCCTTTCGATATGTGGGGGAGGGATCCTACGCAACCAGATTGAAATTTATTAGAGACTAAAAGGAGATTAATGGAATAATTTACATGTATTAATTTTTTTTTCTTTTTCATATCAGATTATCATATTCAATTAATTATTTGTCTATGCGAATGAGGGGGGCTGCATGAACGCGGGCTATACGGGAACATTCGAATGATCCTGTTCAAGGTATATGACATGGATATATACCCGACACCGACACCTCGTTCCTCAGGCATGAACTATATAAAAGCCCAGATAGTTATGTTGGAACTTCCACATCCATGATCTCATGTCTCATATCTAGGAAAATCTTCCATCTGAACTAGGAGTCGGGGTAGCCACCGACTTCCGGATATAGAGCACAATATCCAAGAATATCTCGTCATCAGCGCCAATTTCATGCAGTTCATAACCCTCCATCATTGCTCTGACCCCCGAAGAGTCAGGGTCAGTTCTAATGAGGTTAGCAGATTGAACAGAGGGTAGAAGATGGCATGATACTCACAATCCCTGACCAAGTCCATCATCGAACTCCACTCGACACCAAATAATAGCCGCAGGTCGAGCAATGTCCGCAATAATCTCCTTGACAGGCACATTCGGTGCTATCGAGAGTAAAATCGAGTGCTCGTCTATCTCGAGCCAGCCACGCGGATCTTCAATCACCTCGATGCCGGCCTCATCCAGAATCTTCGTGTCCACCTCACTGTAAGCTGGATCCTGTGAGTAGCATAAGACTTTCTCTTTATGGTCTCTTTGTTTAACCATTCCATCATGGTAACGAGGAGCACATGCTAAGACGCAGATCGCCACCCAGGCCTAGTATTTGCACTTACCATCCTCATTGAAACGATGGGCGGACATCGTGCCAAGAGCCAACCCGATCACCTTGTCAATTTCATGATTCTCTGCAGAAGATGACAGAATTATCTTGAGCTTGTCGCAGGCCAGGCTCTCTTTCCATTCTTGGGCCTTGTCTTGGAAGGTTTTTGTGACCACCTCAAGGTCCAGGGGCCACGCCGTGGGATGATTTTCTCGGTTTTGTTGTCCCATTCGTGCGTCCGATGCATGATATTGAGCGAGCAGGGCTCCCAGTGCTGTAACGGGTAGTTTCTTCAGTCAAGCGTGTTTTTGAGAGATGCTCGACACTGATAAGAGAGGACCAGTTCCTTGCTGGATGATGTTATTTCTCACCACTGCATGTGGTTATGGATGGCATGTACTCACCACACATATTTCTGTATCATCCACCGACCATTGCCCAACCTTCCCCGTCTCTACATCGCATTCAACAACCGCGCCGGTTATATCTTTGGTAAGTATTTTGTCGCCTCGGGCGGGCTCTCGCTTGATCTGATCCCACATATCTTGGATTAACTCTTTGGTGAAAAATGACACTCCAGACGCAAGTCTATCGATGATTGCATGTGCCTCCTCCAAGGTTGGTGCCTCCCTGGGTTCAGCCAAGCGACAACGCGTGCAATGGTAGACCGTGCTTATCAATCTACTATAGACAATATACGAAGACCTTAAAGCATAAACCGTACACATGACTTCTCTATATATAACCAAGAAAATACGCCCTAGGGCAGCCTAATAAGCATCCTAACGCGTTATCCCATTGAAAAGTGGCTCAACCTCCGTCTTCCTGATGTAGACCCTAGCATCTATAAACTGCGTTCCGTCATGTCCAAGTTCATATTCGACGTACCCCTCCATAATTTTCCTAATGCGGAACGAGTCGGGGTCAAGCCTAGCCATCCATATTAGCTTTGGAATCAAACCCCATAGGACACATTAGAACAATCGAAAAAATACTCACATGACAGTATCCATTTCTTCAACGCGAAGCCAGATCACAATAGCAGGTCTAGCGATATCAGCGGTGATATGTTTGACAGGTAAATTAGGTGCTATGGATAGCACAATGGACTGCTCATCGATCTTGAGAAAGCCATCCGGATGGTCAACCACTTGGAAACCGACACCGTCGAGGATTTCCCTATCGACGGGGGTGTATTCTGGATCCTGCCTGTAGCAGAAGAGGTTCTTGCCATCGTCTTGCCCTGTCAGCAACTTCTCATCCAGCCCCTTCTTTCTCAGCCAGCTCTTTGCGGTAACCAGCAACGCGTGCTGGAAGGCAGCGTTGTGTCTGTCTGGCCGGGACAGACTACCGCAGGCGATCCCGACGATGTTGTTGATTTTGTGACCTCTAGCTTTTGACAAAGTCACTTCAAATCTCTTGCGTGTCTCGCTTTTTTCCCAGGCCAGTCTCGCCTTTTCGAAAACTTCACCCGCAAGCTTGTTGTCCTAGATTTCTTCCTCTTTGCCGAATAGGTATACCTCGTATGAAGGAAATTCGGCCCGTCGGCCGCTTTCGAAGGTCATATTCTGCTTCCAAGGTCGTGATTCAGAAAGGTAAAGTGGAGAAGCATAAGACAAGGTTGGAGAGCGCAATCCGGCTGCTCTCTCTTTCACAAAAGTGCTACACAAGGTCAGTTAATAAGCCATCTACTAAGAATGTAACTGACAAATCCAGAGCATTGATACAGGCCCAGCCTGAATTGATTGCCGCAAATATTATGGAAAACGGTGGAATCGGAGAAATTTTGGAGCCTACTGGGAATTTAAAGGTTATATTCACAATCTGAGATTTGTGAGCAATGGGTGTCAGGGTACTAAACATCCTGTTGTGCAGAAAATCACAATTCTTCTGTCCCTGCTGTACGATTGACCCAGGGGAGAAATATTCAGTCACAAGACCACGGCTATTTATGGCGACTTACGCTGCCACCTTTTATGACTTCAATATGTTTCGAACTAGCGGGAATGAGGGTCTACAGTGGTTGGCAATGGGTATTCAGAACTTACAATACGGTTTCATCTACTTCCAAATCCTTCCAACTCGCGCAAGATGGTGACATCGATGGCCTGCGGCAGTTATTCAGGTCCGGGGGGCTTCGCCTTACGATCGAAACCAAAAAGGTCAATCATTGGTTCATGTAAGAAAATTATTCACTTCGACTTTTTCGGTGAGGTTAATCTAATGATTCCTAGGGTGCATGCTTCTATAACCGATTCGAAGCAGTGGAGTTTCTACTCGATCAAGGAGCAGACTTTTACACCGCCGATGATTTCAACTCAAGACCCGTTGATATTGTAGGTTTTGGGGTAGAATCCCACACCAAAGACTCGGAACCCTTGTTGCCATTAGTACGTCTTCTTATCCGACACCTTGACTATGTCGTATACGACACGCTAGACGACCTTCTATTTGGAATACTTTGGAAGTTCGATGGCACAGCGGAAGAATTTCTCTTCCTGCAACAAGCATTTTTCCCATCATTCTATGAGCTACCAGAATGGGACCGAATCCACTTTGCCATACGTGAAATGAATTTGCACGATGATCCTCTCTACAATGCACCCAAGGTTGTGCGGACCATCCTCAATGGAATTCCGCTCACGATGACAACACTGGAACTCGAATTTCCCGAATACCATTGTGGGATAATTGAAACATTCACTTTACCACTATGCATTGCACTTCGGATTGGTGCTAGCCAGGCTGCGTTGCAACAATTAGGCACACTAAAGTCAAAATGGCAAGAGTTATATGAGTCATGGTTCGGTTTGTTTCGTGAATTTGTGGAGAATGGCGTTGACATACATCAAACTGTCGGTGGGTGGACTCCTTTTCTTGCATTCTGGGCTGGGTATTTTCGTCCTTGGTTCAGCATAGGAACGACGGTCGAGTGCAATGCGGCTATCCGATCGTGGTTGAGAGATCTACAGGATGTTGGCGTGGACTTGAGGGACTTTGGTGAAGCAGAAGAAAGAATATTCAAAGACTTGGGCGGAGTAAGGCGACTCGACTCGTTCGTCGCCGATTCTATAGGCTCTGTACAGTTGATTGGATTCTCACATGGCATTTCGCCGGAGGACTGGGGTGTGTGGATATCGGAACCTACTGATGAGTTTGTCGGGGATTTTTGGGCGATGATTGAGCGGCGGATGGAAATGCCAGGTGGATGGATGGATGAGGTACATTTGTTTTTGTAGTTTCACAAACTTGACCTTGTTCGGAGAATATTATAGGGGCTAGGGGCGGCACCCTAAGAGTAAGAGTCGAAACGCCTAAGGCCCACCGTGTACGGGCCTTAGGCACCTCCTAGGTGCCTATAGACGGGCGATATCGCAGTCTAAGAACGCCTTATTATACCTCGAGAATAAAGTCCCGAAGAATGGCTGGCCGGATTCATACCGTTGTTTGACAAGGTTTATTGCCTGCTCCTTTTTCATCATCAGTCGTCCATTGGGATATACTAAGTGAGTCGAAGTATTCGATAACTCTGTGTCCGACTTGGATTCCCAGTCTAAGGGCTCTGAGCGCACTGCAGTCATGATGATAGTAATTGAACTAAGTCTAGAAGAACTTGGAATCAGTGTTGAATGTTAAGAGCCCTCTGAGGATCTAGCTCCATTTATACACTTCGGGGGACATTGCTCAAAAAGCCCATGCCATTAACATATAACAGTAGTCAGTGCATTATATCCTCTATCACATTTGCGCGGCAAGTTAGCCTCCATTTGATGAGCAGTCTATATCCCAACTATTTCAGTTACTCCTGTTTCAGGTGTTGATAGGACGATATATTGCGAGAGATGACTTGATAATAAATTGATGGACGGGAGAAAGCGTTTAGTCCGAGGACCTACAAGGAAACAGAATTCAGACATGAGTCAAAGTTCCCAACTATCTGAACATCACCCGTGGCAGGCTGGCAAACAACGCACTTTGCCCTATACTAGAAGAATTAGAGAACCGGGAGACACAGAAGTCGTCGTATACCATGCGCCAAGCGCCCAGGGATATAGTACAAGAGATATAGAAAGTGTGATGCTGAAGGAACCGGTGGATATGAATGGACAAAGTAGGAAGGGGCGGCTCTCAATGAGTTGGCAAGAGCCATCCATTCCGGTCTTACATTAACCAAAGCCATATAGGGCCATTCACGCAAGGCAACACTAATGAAGCGACAACGTGTCGACATGCCAGAATCATTGGGCTGTAGAGTCCAGCCGGCATTTTCAATCGATCTGTTGGACAACGTATTAGACTACCATTGAAAGATGTTATTTGTGACGAGAAAACATGAAACTATTAGGGAGGACAAGAGAAGCAGACCCGAATGAAATCATGGCTATCATATGGTATGGCTCTAAAAGATAAATATCGAGGCCAAAAAAACTAACCCAAAAGGAAATCCTATAACGCCGCCGCAGCCATGCAAGGTATCATCGCAAAGCACATTTTGTCCAAATTCTAGAACCAGCCAGAACCTGATCCCTTGGGGGGTAAATACATAAGAGAGTTGTAAGAGACGAATCAAAGCCCAGCAAAGCTGATCGAAGACTGAATATCTCCAGCCAGGCCTAGAGGTGTCCGTGTAGCTTGAATCGGTAGATGCAGGTGTGGTTTGCACCCCAATTTGAAGTCACTCGGAAGACAACCTTGTCTACACGGATGGTTGACACGTCAACGATGGTGTTGAGCTTGAATGCCTGCGCGTAGTCTGGGCTGTGAAGGTCGTATTCGACTTTCCCGATGCGGTAGAAGTTGGGGCCGAGAATTGGGTCGTCTGAGTAAGCGCTTGGGGGCTCGAAGGGGTTACTCCGACGCAATAGATCCATCACCAACCCGTGAAGTGAACCGATTCCAGGGATCAGGAATCCCCCAAGTCCTGTTTCGCGGGATGAAGGGGCCTGGGTTGACGGTGGCGGTTGAGACACTGTGGCATCCCCGAAGACTTTCAGGAAGCCACGGCCAGGTCTAGCTTCTGGTGTTGGTTTGGCTTTGACTGGTGTTTTGTGGAGATTCACTTTGAAGCGAGCCCACAGCTCGATTGTTCGAGGTGCCGCCTCTGGCTCGAGAGAAGCGCCCACGGGAATGTGCTCAACTATCAACTCTTCTGCCACGATGTCGCGGCCGAGAAGGACAGATAGTTGGGTGGTTCCATTGCGAGGGGCACTGCACCAGCAGTCGCCTACCTCTTCCCACGTAGTAAGGGCAGACATGGGAGATTGCGGTGCTCGAATGGCTCGTCTGGATACAAACGAACTCGCCCAGAGGAATGCTCGGAAAGAAGCGCTCTGTTTGGGACCCAAAGTCGGTGAAGTTTTCGCTGGGTCAATCATTGCCCCCAACGCCACCGAAAGGAAATTTACCTTGTAGATTGGTTTCCGATGGAGGCTTGCATCTGTGGGCGTCGAATCATGAATGTTGGAAAGCGACTGTTCTGATCGAACAGAACTGATCTCATTCGACAGGGATGACATCTGAACGTCCATTTTTGATACCTGGCTCCGAAGGCTATGGAAAACCTCCGGTTTAGATATGCTTATGTTCGAAGAGGAATCCCAATCCATAGCACCGTGATCTAGATAGTCGCGAAGCTTCGCGGCGATCAGGGGCATGAAAATAAAGCTCAGAAACAAAAGCAAATAGAACGCAGCCCGAATCCAGTTTTGGTAGGGGCCCTCCATTGCTGCTTCAAACTTCTGCATCCAGCTTTTTCGGCGTACCTCGCTAGGGGTTTCATTCTGACTCTGGGGCTCCTGACGTCGGGGTCGCACTGCTCCTAGCCATCGACGCAAAAAGCTTTCCTTGGGGACATCGGGCTCGAAATCGTGATATATTGCCGATTCAAACTTGACATCTTCTTCATCCTCCTCGAGGACATTAGCCAGGCCAGAAATTCGTCGAGGGGGCGCTGTGATGTTGCGTCCATGTTTGCTTGGTCGCGTTCTTTGTAGGTCATCTTCGTTAATATCACGTTCCAGATTCCAAGATGCCACAGAAGCATTATCAACAGAGCTGTGTCGGAATGGCGAGCTGCTACCTAGAGGACTATGAATGCGAGGAGATCCCATCCGTTGAAGCGGCGATGGATAAAGCGGGGAGTTCGACAACGGACGTTGCAATGGGGGTTGAGCGTCAGGACTAGAGTCTGTAGATACCGAATGTGGAACAGGAGGCGAAGGAGTTTGATCGGAGTGTTCGTCTGCTGCATGATGCAGCGACTGCTGAAGCTGAGTTTCGTCGGGTGTTGGCTCACGCTTTGACGGGCGTGCTTGGGTACCTTGCTTCTTCTTTGTAGCGGCTGTTCGCTTCCGAGCAGTCTCAAGACGGGCATCGACTGCTCCAGCCATCTGATCAATCCCAATGTTGGGCCGCATCGAAATGCGCGTAGGTAATGCTGTGGTAGTAGCCGCGCCATAGTTGAACGATGCTTGGACTGGAACACTGGGCAAAACAGGGCCTTGCACAAGGTCGAGTATGGACTCAAATTCGGGATCCTGATGTGGTCTTTGAGGAGTCGCGCCAGCCCGGCGTGTAGCACGTTTGGGCGGCATCTGTACTTTTGTCCTCTAGAATGGATTCCAAAGATAATACTTTGTTCTTGTTTTGTGTCTATTTGAGATATCAGCTTGGGACTGGATGGACAAAACAAAACAAACCCAGAGAATGGGACATGGTCAATGTATAAATTGAAACCTTGAAGATACCAAACAATGATTGACACAGAATATCCACACATTCATGTATCAAGACATAATACAACATGAACTGGAAATGGTGTCATGAGAATGGAACATGCGCAAGTACGGCGGACCAGGGCCGATGCCACAAGTATTGAGCAAGAAAAAAAGAAAACGACAATAATTTCAGACTTACCACAGAACAAATTAAAAATGCAGACTCCGAAAGGCCGTGTGTAGATGTCCGAAGCCTGTAGATCGCGACCCCGGAGAGACGCGCAGACGCGACGGGAACGTGACTTGCAGCTACCAGCTACCAGCTTCCGACGACGGTGCACCCAAGAGATTGAGGGATGTTAGGTGTTCGCTTTGTTTCAAGAATTGCAACAATCTGGGTCTGAGTTGCCAGGAATCCGGGGGAGATCTTAAGGGGTTGGGTGAAGTGAGGAAAAGTAGATGGGGAAAAAAGGGTGGAGGCGCAAATGAAGATCACTGAAGAATCTCAACTCTCGACTTTTAGAGCTGTATATGTACATCGGACACTGGATTTTCATTTTCTTTATATTTCTGCTATTCTTTATACATATATGTAGACTGCAGTCTCACTTCCATAGTCTTTGTTAGTTAGGTCTCTTTGTCAACCTTGCGCCTCGGACTGCTACGGTCTTGACACTATTTTTGTTTCAACTTACTTCCCTGTTTGAAGGACTTTGTTCATGTATACAAAATAACCAACGTGACCCTGCTCCTGATTCGCCCGGTCGCTACTAAGACATAGATTGAATACTATACAACGGTCGCAAAAAGGCTGAGGTGAAAGCAAGAAGATGTGAACCCCAAGTATGCACCTCCTAAAAAGAGATCTTACATGTCTAACACGTCCAGGCAGCCATAGTGCCATCTTTACGTCCCTCCACAAGGTAGCCATCTTTAAGACGAACCCGCTCGATGGTCGCAGGGAATGGCCCATCGTCGTCAAGCCCAACACCTGGGCCGCAGTCCCAGTGGTTGCCATCGGCCTTGTCGTAGACCTTGACCACATTCTCTCCGGCAGCTGCCACGATTCGTTTGGAGTCGAACATCATGTCGGTGATTGGCTTTTCATAGGCATAAGCGTCGTAAATAGAGCCCATACGTAGATCCCAAATCTAGAAACAATTAGAAACAATGGCCAAGTGGGAAAGAAAAGAACTGGAGAGCTTACCCGAATGCTGCGATCGAGACTACCCGTGACCAGGTGCACATCGTCAAATTGGAGACATGTGACCGGCCCCGTGTGTCCTACAAGACTCCGGTGGACCTGACCACTGCGCAAATCCCAGAGACGGACCATGCCATCTGCTGTACCGCACGCCAACGCAGCGTCAAAGCACTGCACTGCGCCAATAAAGTCGGCCGAAGCATCGGGCATGCGACCCGATGGTCGCCAGTCAGAGTCTCCCATCATGGACGATGACGCCTGGGCGGACGCCCACAAAACGTCCAAAGTTTGGACACAGCGGCCTTTAACTAGATCCCATTGTCTGAGCGTCTTGTCTGCAGATCCTGAGATGAGGGTGTCACCCTTGAAATGAAGCGCCGTCACCTCGTCGACGTGTGCCTCTAGCGAGAATACATTGCAGTCTTCGAGGTTAGAGGACGGCGGTGCTGGGAAGTTGTGCTCTGAAGCTCCCTCTTCTTGGTCACGCTCGTGCTTATTGAGGCGCCCGTCCCGGGTCGTGGGTCGAGCACGGCTCAAGTCCCACAACTTGACAGAGGCATCCATTGACCCCGTAGCCACAATGTTATCCTCCACTTGTAGGCAGCGAACCGAGGCATTGTGTCCCTCCAAGAAACCGGAGCATCGGCCGACATTCATATCCCAAACTCTCACAGTATCATCTAATGCAGCGCTGACCATAGTACCAAATGGGTAGTCAAAGTCAATGGCCGTGACCATATCGGTGTGCGCTTCTATTTCCTTGATCAAAGACCCCGGGGCGAAGTGTTCATGTAGAATTGGCATCGACCGTTTCCCTAAATCTGCTGTCAGTTGTGATTCGCGTACCAGACCGGAGGATTCCATACGATTAGATCGATGTCGAAGACTTTTTGGTGATGGTGAGGGGATCTTCTCATAAATCGATTCTGACATGAATGAAGCGTCCATCGCTGGATCTCCCGACGACGCAATAGAACCATCCTGCCCGTCTGACAGCGGCGTCGCAACTGGTGTGTCCTGTGACTCCTCCTCTTCTGGGAAATCTTCCAACTTATTATCGAGATCCGTCACTGTTTCATCTTAATCAGCTTTTTCCTCATGACCGCGTTTGTCTCAATATGTTGACCCACGTTCTTGCTCCAATCCCGCTTCGTCCATTTCCAAGCCGGCCAACCGATCGAGAACAATCTTGCGCATTTTGTGCAAGTTCGCGACCTTGTTGTCGATTTCATGGATCTCCGCGCTGCACATGTTCTTCCGGATTCCCATCAACTCCAATTTGCGACTCAGCGATTTCCGCTGGTCCTTTAACCCGGCCGGGCCGGCAGTCAAGGTGCCACCTCTCTCGACGTCCTTGAGAAGCTTCCCCTTGGAGCTGCGCCTTCGGTGTCGCTTCTTCTCGTGCTCATCTTCGGGAACGGAGGCCTGGAAGCCTTGGAAAAGGGAGTAGGAGCTGTTGTCTTCAGGGATGTTGGCGAGAAGATCATCCGGGAGGGACGAGAGCGCACGAGACTGGATCTCGGTAGTCGAAAGCTTCGAGCGGACAAGGTCGGTGGGTGTTGTTTGTGTTAGGGAGAACACCTTGCGCTGCGTGGCCGGTCGCCGCAGCTCGCGGTGGATGTCGTTCATAGCATTGTGCAAGTGGGCGGCGGTATTCTGTTCGCCCGGTCCGATCAGGTGTCCTGCGGTCGTTGTGACTTTTCGTCCGAATGCCTCGAGGTGACGGGTCTGCAATCACCGCAAATGAAATCCAATCAGCCTGCAGTTTGGTGGGGGGCGTCGTTGGAGGGTAAGAAAAAGCCTACCGTTAAGCCAGTGCCCAGAAGGCCATCGCCTTCGACGATGTCTGACAGACCCGACGGCGAGTCGTCGCGGCGCTGGTTCTCCATGAGACGGAGAGTATCTTGGGCTCAACCAAAACCCATGCGATACGAGGAGAAGAAAGTTGGAAGCTTGCGGTAGGTTGAAGTAGGAGACTTGGTGTCCCACGCGGGTTTACCGCGTTCCCCGGGTACTGCCGTATGGTACTTTTACAGGCTGAAACTAGGTGCTTTCGCTTTCAACCGAATTTGGGTGACTTGAATCAATATCTGACCAAAATGCAAGGATGTTCAAGTGTGTTGGTTTTAGCTCGATTGCGGGTTCCTGCAAGTGCCTCGGTCGCATATGGTTTAAAGTACCAAATGCAATAGATTGCCATAAACTAGATCATCACAAGGCGTGTAATTCTTGTTCACCGGTCTTTCTATTCGTAATTGTTGAACTCTGCGTACGAGAATGATTTAGAGCATTCTGACACAGCATATTTCTTTTCCTCCCCCTCTTCTACGATGTATAAATAGGAAGACGAGCGGAGTGGACTTGAGGTATCCGGGAACAACTTCGCCGTCCCGCAGACTCTCTCCCTCTACACATCACCACATATCAAGCCATGGATACCGCCATTGACCTGTCCGATGCCCTCAAGGCATTGGACCTTGCTAATATTCGTTTCCAGTTGATGTGAGCTCCCACCTTTCCTCCTGCTGAAAGGCTCCCAAGCTCTTTCCCCCGCCCCCGCCATAACCTTCAATACGCACTATACCCCGAAACACTACATTTCTATTGAACCTGCAAAATTCACCACAATGAGAGCTGATAGCTGACATTCCAGGCCCTCAGTCGACTAGAAGACACAATTACCTTCCATCTGATCGAACGGGTTCAATTTCCGCTGAACAAGACCGTCTACGCCCCCGGCGGCGTGAAGATCCCCAACAGCGAGCTCAGTCTGCTAGACTACCTGCTCCGTGAACAAGAGCGCATACAGTCCCGAGTACGCCGCTACCAATCGCCCGACGAGTACCCCTTCTTCCCGGACGTACTTGAAGAGCCGATCCTGCAGCCACTGGAATACCCGCGCATCCTGCACGAGAACAATGTCTGCGTCAACGACGTGATCAAGGAACGATACATCAGCGAGGTCCTGCCGGCAGTGTGCCCCAAGTTTGGACGGGAGGACCGTGGCGAGACACAGGAGAACTACGGCTCCGCGGCGACCTGCGACGTTGCTTGTTTGCAGGCGCTGTCGCGCCGCATTCATTTCGGAAAGTTCGTTGCTGAGTCGAAGTTCCAGAAGGATCCTGAGACCTTTGTGCGTCTGATTAAGGCTGGAGATCGGGCGGGGATCGATGCTGCTATTACCAATTCTGCTGTTGAACTGAAGGTTCTTGAGCGTTTGGGTCTCAAGGCGAAGACTTATGGCACTGATCCTTCTTTGCCTGATGAGAATGGTCCCAAGATTAACATTGATGCTGTCGTTGCTATGTACAAGGTGCGAAGAGACATTTGGAGTTTTGCTTTGGGGTGTATAATCGCTGACTTTGCTACTTTGATAGGAATGTGTCATCCCATTGACCAAGATTGTCGAGGTCGATTACCTCATGCAGAGACTCAAGGGCACACAATGGGAATAAGGAGCATATTAGCATAGGTAAGGTTACGATATGATCAATCCATCGAAACAGCATTCATGAGAATTATGTGAATCATGTGGCCGACGCAACACTGTCCCGGCGCTAAACGGAAGACAAAAGCAAAAGGCAGAATAAGCTAGAATTGAATAGATTTTGTCGTAAACTGGGCATGAAATGGATGTATCAGATTATAAAAGTCTTGGTATTGACTACGACATATACTGCGTAAGAGCCTTAACCATAGGCTCGAACTTAGCCGCCTCAATCAAAATCAAGCTACCTTTCGTCCGGATACCCAGCTCCTGGAACGCACGCTTCGAGTCTGAGTGCCCTTCATCGGACTTATGGGTGTAATCAATAGAGCCAGCACACAGCGCATGGCGCTCCACGACCTCATCTTCGGGGTGGAAAAAGAAGCGCTCGGCCTGCTCACCACCCTTCTTCTTTTTCTTTTGAGGCCGCGAATCTTCCTGATCGAGCTTCGACTCAACTTCCTCATAGTTCTTCGAGAGGACCAGGTAGTGCGAGAAGGTGTAGGGCTCCTTGTCCTCAACAGCCCAGGCAATCTCTTCCTGGAGCATGTTGTACATGGGAGGGACAATCTCGGACGGCATATTGATCAGCCGCTCGGTCAGAATGAGACCGATGGGAGGGATCGGGGTTTGGGAAAGAAGCTGGGAAGCGGCGGAGAGGGACGGGTTGGAGGCGGTTTTGGTCTTGAGGTAGTTGATCAGGTCCTGGACGACGGGTTTATCCTGGGAGCAGATTGTTAGTACAATGAAGAGACGAATATCGGGATATCACAAACCTTGTGTTCCTGCAGATTGAGAATTGACAAGAACGCGTACGGGTCCGATTCATGTCCATCAACCTTCACTGTTGATCCCAGTGTTGGCTGGGAGAGGATCAAATCGGCCAGGGCGGACATGTCGAAGATCTGAGCATCGTTGTCGAATAGCTGGCGCAAGAGGTTCTTCAGGCCGTGGAAATCGATAGGCTGAGGGTCGAACCATTCGAATTCTACATTGACCATGTCCATGTCCTGCAGTCGTCATTATTGTTAGCAATCTGACGGCACACAGTCCGGGGGTTCAAGTCTGACCTCGTCGGAGTCGGACTCCTCTGGCTTGGTGCCGCCCATGGTAACATCACCGAGATCTTTCCGCTTAACCATATTGTATTAATTGAGGTATGTTTTGTCTGGGATTGGGTGGAATTGAAGTTCAAAAGTTGATCTTGGCCCCGCGCTCGGCCGCTTTCGAACTTTTTTCCTTATCGGATGTTATCGCGGACGTACCTGAGGTCATGTATCCATCCATGGATGGTTGTTGGCTGCCCAGGTGATGGTGCCCATCGATTGATTTCGGTTTTCTATAGTAAGCTCTGTATGTTATTATGGTCTCTTGAGAAGACTTAGGGGGAAAACTAGTTAATATATAGGACTTCATTGACAAGCCGTCCAAGGGTGTATTGGTTGATATATTTGTACCCAACATATATACACAGACCAAATGAACAATACACAACCAAATACGGGAATATTAAAGCATTAAATGCTTCGCAGGAATATCTGTTCATATGCTGTAATAAAATGTCAAACCCCGAAAACCACTGCTTCTTTAAGCCAAATCTCCAAGTCTAAACATCGTACTCAACCGCTTCAACAGTCGGCACTTTATGAAGCTTAACATCAAAGAACTGAGCGACAAGCTGCACACAATCCCAAATAACCTGAACCTCCTCCTTCGGAACACCAATGCGCCTCGTACCACGAATATGCCAATGGGTCTCCTTAGGCAGATTCTGACTCATGATACCAGGCAGGACAACAAGCTGAGTATCAAGGTCATTCAAGACCTGACGATCGGACAAAAACAGCCCGTAAGTAATCTCCTTGGACAACCAAGAAAAGTCCTTATGCGCACTGAACAAATCTAGCGTGTCTGTCGTATTACGCGCGTACAGCTTCTGCAGCCACCCAGTGCCGCGCTCGTGGTTTGCCTCGTCGCATTGCCATCCCTCGCGGGTGAAGGTGAAATCCTTGTCCTCGTCGCGCTCGACCTCGCTAATAGCTAGAATTGCTTCAATGGGCTTGCATACTCCGACTATAGGCACGGATTTTACGAGCGCCTCGCGCAGCCGGCGGATCAGGGCTTGCCGGGCTGCTGAGGTCGCATAGTCTGCTTGCTGGGTGAGGTGGAGGTAGAGCTGGTCTGCTCGCTCTGGGTCTGGGCTGGCAACTAGTGTGGAAATGGCTAGGATGTACCATTTGTCGTTGCCCAGACTGGTGGTTTTGAAGCGGTTCTCTAGCTCGGTGAAAAGTTGGCGGTAGCGGGGCTGGACTTCCGCTGTTGCGGTGGAAAAACTCATGGTTGTTCTTGGCGGTTGGTATGGTAGAAGAATTGAAATGATTTTGGGCTGCAGCTGCAGCGTGCTGGCTCGGATTGGTAATCGAGAGAACATGGCGTATATTGTACAATTACAGCGTTCAATACAACGTAAAGTTGTGATCTCTCCATCAATCGCAGTGCAGTCCGACGGCTGAAGTGGGTCGCTGCAGGTTCATAGTATTTTGTATGATATCCTAGTATAAAATTTCGATTTCTTTTCTTTCTAAGGAGAATATCATGAACAATATTAGATACTACCTTATATATTCGATTATTCCTACCTACTAGGAGGTCCTATAGCAACCTTGGAAGCTATGCTGGACAACGTCCTATGTGAACCAGTATAAGGTGGGGCGGACACTAGCAAGCGGAACTCTAAAGCCAAGCATCAAAAGTGTCATAGAACACGATGCTCTGCCTTGATTGTAACGCTTTTGCCAATATCAGAACCCCAAAGAACGGCCCAGAGCACATATGATCAGAAACGAACAGGATCTTTTGCCATTTGCCCTCAAACCGGACTACGCCCCACTATGATCTCAGTGACTCCAGCATGACATCACAACCAGCATACGGAGTATAAGATCGAGTTTTTCCAATGGTAAAAAGAAATCAATCAAGCTCCTCTTCCATTCAAACAAACTACTTCTCTTACACTCTCAACCTCTCAAACCTTTCATCCCAATCCCACTCTATATCTATACAACATGTCAGGCTCAGGACAATCCAACGTCGGAAACCGCAGTATCTACGAGGCAGGCGACCAGCGCAACGCCCCTGTGTCCGAGCTCCAAGAGCGCGCCCGTTACGCCGAGGGCATGCCCCACAGCCACAAGAACCTTGATTCCAAGGATGGCCGCTCCATTGCCAACAAGCTTGCCTCCCAGGAGAACAAGCCTGACTCCGGGCAGCACCACAACAACGAGTACGATGCCGAGGCTGAGTTGAGCAAGCAAGATCCTACCAAGCCTGTAAGTTGCATACAACCTCGACTCACAAGAAAGCCTTGCTCAAGACACATTTGCTAACGTTGGTTTCGATACAGGCCAGATCGCATGGCAATGCTCCTTCCAAGGGTGCTAAGATCGATGCCGAGCTCAAGGCTGAGGATGAGCAGCGTCTGCGGGAAAAGGGCATTAAGCACTAAACTTGTTAATGCTGTTTTTTTGATATTACAAAATACCCCCTCAGGTCTTCTGATTGGAATTGAATATTCATGAGCCAGGGATGGAGGGGTTGGTGGTGGAACCTGATGTACGATAATAATGATATCTGGTCTAACGTTCTCTTGAATGAGTAACGAGGCTACTGAATGAATACCTACATTGAAGATAAGACAGATTGGTGTTAAAATGTGTAGCTTGTATACAGTAATTTCTCAATTTTGAAGCGAGTGTAACGATGTACCTAGGCCCACAACCATGACCCGTCGCTATTTTTGATAACTTAGCATAATTCAACGCTATCGCTTGGAATTCTCTCCGGAGGTCATGTTTCATGCCACTTCCACTTGCCAAGGACACAAGAAGTGGCATCATATATCATTTACACTTCCCCACGTAGAAACAAGAACCGGTATAGTAGCAGTCTACATAAAGCGGTAAATTGTGGTTCAAATCCAGATATGTCATTGAAAATGTGGGAATAAATAGAACATATGTCATGAGATCGTTTTCTAAGCACAATTATATGATATGTACGAGACCCGATATTGCAAGGGCCGAGCTATTGTACAAGGTGAAGTATCGACAGTCTATACAAAGCCAAAGCAACAGGCGTTAGATACCTGCAACCGTATGGTGACTGGCTTATTAGGCCAGAAGAAAATGACCTGGGTGATCGATGACCCCCACGCCAACCAAGACAGTGCTCATCGCGACAGATACCGAGACAATGGGAGGCATATATCTGGAGTGCAGTTGGATATAAGCCAAACACCGGAATCCTGTTCGGGGGGTGGAGGGGAGTGGAGGGAGGCTGGGCTAGTCGAGGAGCGGACCAAGGCACAAAATGTGCCAGTGAGACCTGAGATCAGCCATCCAGAGTAAACTTGGGGTCATCGTCATGCGGCTCAGCAAATACATGGCCCCAGTATTCCTCGACTGTCTTGCACAGGTCCACTTTGTTCTCCCACATTTTGAACGCTGTTTCGAGCTGGCAGCTCACCCATTTGATCTCCTCCCAGTAAGCCTTTTCGACATCGTATCCAAATCGCTTGATGGTATCTGGTGGTGCCGTCCAGGCGCGTCCATCTGAGCCGTCCTCCTTCAATGTAGGTGTTGTTTCCCATCCCATGCCGAAGATCCGGTCGCCGGGGTTGAACTTAGGATAGTTTGCGTGGATGAAGAAAATGTGTGGTGCGGGGGCAACGGACTCGTCTTTTACACGCCATTTATCCTGCTTGATCAAGGAAAAGTCCTCACGGGGATCCGACTGCGCCATAGCGGACCCTGACAGCCCATCCGCATTCGCGTGTCCGATGGCTTGCACCCTCTCACTGACAGTGTAGAAAGGCGCGCCTACAGCCGAGGCGGCTTGGATAAAGGTTTCTTTGTCGCCCTCGCCAGGTCCCCCTTGACTTAACAAGCGGAAATAATGTGAGGGGCCGTAAAAGTTATAATACGCTGCCAGCAAGAGAGCTAGGGAATGGGTTTTCTTAGAGACTAAGAATGCCCCGGTTTCTGATGACTGTCTGGCAGCCATGGATGGTGCTTCTTGGCGTGAAATTCTGTAGTATAACGGAGACGTGGAGGAAGCCCAGAAGTCGGGCCATGTGACGAGGCCATTGGTTTTAAATGGCTCCGAGTCGAGCAGTTCCTCGGGTTTGCCAAGAGGGAAGCAGTCGGCATCCATCCAGACAATCTCTTCGAAGGACGAGAAAAGAACTGCGAAGATCTTGAGCTGATAGTGTTCAATGATGTTTTTACCCACCACGTCCGCCAGCACCAAGCACCGCGCATCGAGTTTGGGAAGCACCTCATTGCAAATCTGTTTCTCGTGTTCGGTGGCATCCTTCATGTAGAGTTCAACCGGCAACGTTGACCCCGCACGGCGGAGCATGCGCAGTGACGAGACAAAAACGGGGAGGTACGTAGCGCCAGCTGTCGATACCAGTCCTCGCTTGCCTGGGGTATGAATCGGCTTCAATTCCTTGTTCGACTTCTTGACATCCTCGATGAATGCCGCGTGTGCTTCTTCCATCTTGTGTACATCTCCCTCGCTCAGGCCCGTCAGGTCGGGTCGCGGCTGGTCTTTTGTGGGGTCAAAGTGCAGAGCTTCAACATCGCCTCGCTTTTCTGGGGAAGGGCAACTCGGTTTGTGGCGTTCAATTATGGGTCGAAGGACCTTCCAGAAGTCTTTTTGGCGTTCCGTGAGTGGAACCTCGAATGCTGTGTTTGGGACTAGGGGGACGTTGGAGGACGCAGTGATCGGGGATCGGTAAAAGTAGACACTGCACACTAGAATCAAAGCGAGCATCGCCAGCACGAGGGCTTTCGCTCTACCAGGTCGGAAAGCATTCATTATTGCTAGATAGTTCGGGTAACTGCGCTTTGATCCAGGGGTTTAGGGAGCGGCGCACGGCCACGCCGATCTTGTATTGACCAAGTTAAGGAAGGAAAAAGGCTCATATATATTGCCCGATTCACAGATTGCGACGACCGGGGATTGGGGGGTTGTAGAGTTGTGGCGCATTGCTCCAGGGAGTCCGGGCGGAAAGAAGATTAGCCCAGTGGGCTTGGCAAATCTACCACCGCGTAGGTACGGAGTACTTACATCGTACATCCAATACTTGGTGGACTGGCATTGTCTACATATTTTGTTATATATAATTAATATTGGATCTTTTGAAGGATTCAATCTCCGACATGACACACGGTATCACTCGTGAAATACCCCGATCCCGTGTCTAGAAAGCCCGAGGCCTGCTAACTAGTATACGTTATAAGGCCAACATCAAGACAAAATTATGGAACAAGATTGAATCAACACATATGTGAGACAGGGATATTTTATTCTAATATTAATTTCATGATCACCGTGGAACCATTTGCCTTTTCGAAAAGGCGCCCCAATCCACCTGGTTCTTCCTAAAGCGCGGATCAGCCTCCACCGGGGCAGATCGTATATCCACCCCCCAACCTTTCTCCGTCATATTATTCCTTCTTTTTCAGTCTGCAGAACTCAGAGAGTCTGCTATTTTTATTTAAATACGTCTTTCCCCCCGAAACCCCTGTTCGAATTCGCCGATCTCGTGGAATTCGATATTTCCGCCCCCATTACAAATCTTCAATCCCCCCGTAACCTACCGTGAACCGCCTATTACCCCAATCGCACAGGTCTTTCAGGGTTTAAACGAATGGACTCCGTGCGGGCATTGCCCACGCCCGTCCAAGATGGCCTCCCATGATGCAGATCGTCCCGCGCCTGACCCCGCGTCCAAGGGAAAATCTCGCAAGACCGACCCGAACGCTCCGGTCCGAAAACGCCGCAAGAGAACAGTGGTCAGCGGAGCGCCCGATGACTGCTTTGCCTGCTCCAAGCGAGGAGCACGGTGTGACCGGCGCCGACCCTATTGCTCCCAGTGCCTCGACCTCGGCCGCGAATGTTCCGGATACAAGACGACGTTGACATGGGGTATGGGAGTCGCAAGTCGAGGGAAACTCCGGGGCCAGAAGCTTCCGGTGATGCAATCGGAAGGACAATCGTCGGGGACTTCTGCGAAATCACAACCGAAGGCCTCAAGCAGCAGTGGCCCGTCTTCTTCGCGGGTGCCTTGTAATGCTTCGGCCCCGATGCCTCCGTCAACCGGCCCTGCAATGGCATCGTTTGATACAAGGACGCCGAGTGTGAAACTGGAAGGCAGCCCACCCATGATGCCAGCTGCCTTCGACATGTCTTCAAATATGGCTTGGACAATGGACATGCCGGATCCACAATCGTGGTCGAGCACGCTTGCTGCTCCGCCTGCGATTTCAGGGCTTCCGTTACCCAGTCGGCCGATGATCGCAAACAACACGGGCCAAAATATGACCCCGGAGCCGCCATTGCTATATGCTCCCATTCAAAGCCCGACAGCTAACTCGGGTTCTCTGGTTTGGCCGGCCGCAGTTCCATTCTCAACACAGGCTGCTACTCCCCCTGCGTCACAAGACACGGATGAGGAGGATGTCAAATATGATCCTAATTATCATGTGCTTTGGAACGCCGCCCATTCTCCGTCACTCTCTCAGCTCCTCTTGGCACGATCTGTAGGGCGGACCCCGCGTATTCGTTATCTCATCAGTTACTACGCCGAAGTCATTGCCCCCATGATTGTGGCCTTTGACACCCCAACAAATCCGTTCCGAACTCACGTTATACGCTTGGCGATGGAGAGCGAGGCTCTGCAGGAGGCGATTGCAACTTTGGCTACGAGCAACTTGCGCCAGAGGCGAGAGCACAATCACCTCTCCACGGAACGAACTTTGCCGGCACGTATGTCATCAATGGCTCACCGCGCTCTAACCGATGAAGATTTCCAAGATCGATATGGTATCTCAATGGTCGAAGGGTATATCAGAGAAGAAAATCACCATCGAGGGATGGCCGTCAAGGCTTTAAATGCTGATTTGGCGGACCCTCGTCGCAGATTGTCAGACTCCGTACTGGCGACTTTGTTAATGCTCTGTCTTTTCCACGGCTGTGATACTGGCGTTGCCGGATTCCGTGCACAATTTGCTGGAGTAACAAGACTACTTGCGATCCGAATGCGCCATTCCCGTGTCATATCGGATGACCTCAAATGGTTCATCCGTATGTTCTCGTGGTTTGATACATTGACAGCAACCACAAATGACCGTGATGTGCAACTCCGCGGAACATGTTTGGATATCAGCTCCATAACCGATGGAGAATGGGGTCTGGAGAACCTGGCCGGCTGTGATGGTCGTCTGTTCAAGCTGATTTCTCAGCTGGGACGTTTGAATCTCCTCAGTCAGGACCAGGAGCCCAACCTATCGCGCCCAACTGATGCTGCTGTCCCCACTGCGTCCCTCCCTCCTAATATGCTGTTCCCGGGATGGGAAACAGTTGTGCCCAATCCAGGAATGGGCTCCGTACCGGAATACGGATTTTCTCTTCCCACGCCGCCGCAAAGCAGTGACTCATCCCGTCGTCCTTCCTCTCCAGAATTCTGGACAGAGTGGTATTCGCTCAGGCAGCGACTCGAATCCTGGCGATTCGACCCACCTGCTCAGGCCGCTTTCCCTTCCCCGCCCTTATCTGCATCTACAATGACCTGGAATGCTACTACCTATGTGACGCCACAGACTTCCTCATCAGCATACCAGGTGGCACCTGAGAACCTCCAGGACGTCTACCAGATCTCGGAGTGCTTCCGTCATGCTGCCCTTCTCTACTGCGAACGTCTAGCTGAGCCGACCCTTCCCTCGTCTCACGGCCGTATCCAGCATCTCGTCCAGCTCGCCATGCACTGCATCATTACCGTGCAATCGGACGTATATCTTTTGTGGCCCTTGTTCATTGTCGGCTCGGAGTGTGTCCAGGACGATCACCGTTCGATTATCCGCAATCGCTGCAAGGATATCTCGAAGGACTCTGGCTTTATCAACAACCTTTCCTGTCTAGAGCTTCTGGAACGGATCTGGGCGGAGCATTCTGATGAATCTTCATTCCCAATTTATCCTAGCGGATTCGGTCCCCCGCCTCCGCTGGCTGGCGGCAGGGCACCAGCTTCATCGCAAGCTTTCCGTTGGTCCCGAGTTATGCAGGCCAAGCGGGGTGACGGCGAGTACATGGTTGCATAGACGGTTTACCTTTTATCCCTTTTTTAATCTTTGCCCGAGCTATATGCTTGCGGTTTCTAGCTTTACAGCATTTTGGTTGGACGGACTCATTGGATTTTTCTTTGTTCGAGGATCAGCGACTCGCGTGTTGTGTTTTTGACAAACATGATACCATTTTTTCTATATGCAGCAATATTGCCTCCAGCAAATACTATCTACGTTGTACATACGGGCTCTTCTTTTTCGGGTTTGCCACAGGCTTAAATAGCATTTCATGCATGTCTGTACATATACCTACAAAATCAGGATAAGCATCCAAATATAGACCATGTCATAATCTTATCTATGGAATGAACTCTACATGCATATGAATCAACGGGTTCACCGTTCGTTCGCTCATTATTCAAAAGCGATTCCCAATCATCTGCTGCGCCTGAACAAAAGTCCTTTGTAATACGTTGTACGGAGTACGGAATATCATCTACATTCTACACCACCAAGGCCCAAAGGTCAAATAGGGCCTGGACCAAGCCACTCGGAGATAACCAAACCGCGTCCTCCCTAGCTAGAAGTAAGCGCAAAAAGTAAATAAAGGCGCAAAAAAACCACCACATAACAACCCAACGAAAGCCCCCTGCCCCTATCACACATCTCACGCCGCAACGACAAAAGTACCAACCAACACCTAGGTCTATAGGCGCTTACGGAGTACGTTATAGGGCACAGGGCAAGGGCAGGTATGCAAACCCTGCATGATCAGCACGCACAATGAAAACCTCAAAAGCTGAATACACAAGCCCGATATCAATAATACACGTACTAATTACCCTCGAGGATTTCCCCGACCGCTAGTATTCCAACGGGGCCTAGAATACCAATAACAAACACTAAAGTGGGTTCAAGGTTTTGTTTTGATTCTCCCGCGGCAAAGCCGATGTCCGCTTGTGCAAGGGGTGGCAGATAAATATGATTCTGTTGCAAACTACGGAGTACAAAGTGCTCCGTACATTCATATGATATGATTTTATGGACCTTGTCCGGAGCCTGCGTGCGTGCAGGTTTAATTAGATAGCTAGGGGGTGAGGAGGTAGGTGCTTGTAAGTGTAGGTGAAGCCCGTTGCTATCATTACCACCCTATGTTGTATACTAACGGACTTGGCGGGCTTGATATCAAAAAGCAAATTTACCAATCAATCCACATTGAAATCCGCAATCTACCAGGGTTCTGTAATCCGCACGGAGTACGGAGTACCCACACGGCAATCTAGGCTTCCACCCCCTATATCCAAAACCTGATTGTCTCGCAAGGATGTTGAGCCGTTAAACCGCCGTGCTTCGAGCATATGAATATGGACGATACACTAGCTGTAGGCCATACTAAGCTCACCTACAGTGCTTCTCGCATGTCGCACGAGAAGCATGGGATATAAAATAAACAGGGCCAATTATTTCACTCAGGGGGGGACGGTGTACAAAGATTTGTGTGCGTGTCCCCGTGCGCCAGTTCAAGGTTATGTTCCTACAGCCGAGGGAACATGCGTCCCGGCTTCCAGCCCGTTGGCCCCCTGCAGCCTTGTTAGCGGGCTTGTTGTGGGTTTTGGGCTTTAAACCTTGTTCCAGAAATTCCATGACTCTTAGGCGAGTTGGCGTTACGCACTAAACAAATTAAATATTATATTGACTTATTTTTCTTTCTTTTTGTCCGTCCACAGCTGAAATCAGCTTGGTTGGGGTGGCGAAGGAAGTGAAAATAGGGGGCGTTGTCGTGTAAGATCTGTTAGATGCCGGATAATCTATGCTGAACAGATACATCTACATAAAAAATATTTTAATCGGCTGCCTGCATGTGAGATCTAGCTTGCAGATACGATCAAAAAATATGTTAGATGGGTGATTTGATTAATAATTCCTTTTTAGAAAATAAATAAAAATAAGCCATGTGCAACCCTAGATGATCGGCAGTGCAGGATAGGTCGGGTTTTTGCCTTCTGTTTGGCTGGTTGGCTAAGACAAGGGGGTAATTCTCGAAGGGTTGACTCATTCAAGAAAAACAAAATCCTCGAATCAGGGGTGGACCTGGGATTCTTTTGTGTGGGCAGCAAGGACGCGCTGGAAATTCCATCTTTCATTCCTTTAGTGCGTGAGCGTAAAAACTATGTCGGTATTTGTCGTATTTGTGGCTGCGCGAAGTTGCGGTGGTCCTGTTCTTTACGTTGAACATACAGAGGCATGTGCTCTGTTTCATAGAATAGAGAAAAGTTGTAGATGTCGTTGTAATATTAGTGTGTAGTCTATATAGCACTGCCGGTCATGACGCACACTGCACATCTGATAGCGTTGGTTGGTGTCAGACCAGTCCCAAAAAGGCAGACTAGGGCTTGAAATTGAATGTGATCGCAATGATAGCGAGTCGCCTATTGTTCATCGCCCCACGCTGAAACAATGAACTGTGGACAGCCAATGTCAAAAATGGATACATAACAGTTCTGTGACTTCATTTTGCTTATGGTTGGAGGACACACTGCCCCCAATTATGCGGCTTCGATCCTAACGCGTTGTACACAGCCGCTGCGCATCCCTCGATTTCATACTTGATAATAACAATACTATTTTTACTCCGTACTACTAGGCGGAAGTATTTTCAGCCCACTCAAGATATTGATGGTCAGACCCAGAGAGCAAGTTGCGGTCTGCGAATTCTCTATATTTTTGCCCAAAATGGCGGTTGCTGCCCAGCGACGCAGCGGTAAAGCCCATGCATGGCCCGTGATGTCGCCCAAGATGGCAGTGCGAAGTGGATGTGTGTGTAAAAGAGATACTGATGGGGCTCGTTAGTGGCTTCTCTTGCCATGGCAACGTGTTCGTATATGTTACAGATAGTACAAAGTAATAATGTCCGAATTGTCTGGGGGTTTAGTGGAGTCTGAACCACTGGACGAGGCGGGATGGGCCGTCGTGAAATCTGGGATGCCGTCGGTCCAACCATGGAACCGTCGTTAATTTGCTCGATCGAGCACTGCATACATCAAGCGCTGCCTAGTTATAAGTACTTACATCGGTAATTACCAGTAGAGGATATTGTTTCATATGATCGATATAAAGTACCATTTTGCCGTATACAGTATTCTCCGTGTTGCTGCAACTAATGATAGCGTTCATGCAGATGAACTGTACGAGGCATAGAAAATGTAGCCTAGTTCTGGAAGTCGAGCACATGGCTTTGCGCTCATCCAACCCAACCGTGACACGCCAGCTGATAGAGGGGTGCTCTAAACTAGTTCCATCGCCAGACATCTGTAAGGCAGCCAGTAAGATCTTTTTTTGGATGACACTACGTCTTAGTGGCAACATTCACGCCTGGTTTTTCGTCTTTACTCAGAGTGAGTCAGTCCACCAAGAGCGAAAAAAAAAAAACTTGGCTAGGCAGTTGCCTTGAGACTGGCAAAGTCAAAGACACCGAGGAAAATGCAGTTGTCCGCTGCCCGATTCAACTGGGGGGCTATCAGCCAAGCGGTTTGCATGTAGCGTCCAAAGGAAGCGTCTCCATCTGGACTAGCTTGAGGGGTAGCGACATCGAAACTTAATGGTACTTTGGCTATGGTAGATTCGTGAGTGAAATAGAAAGTACTAGTTTCTACTAGAGTGGTGACTCGATTGTATTTCCAAGGCTGCCACCTGAAGTTGAGTCATGATATGTAATAACTGACCTCGAGCGCAAGCTATAAGAGAGACGGATTATCACCCAGAAGAAGGAATATTATACTTAAATTAAGATAAACCTGAATTTCAGAGGAAAATGAATAGAATACCTTGAAATTCGTGAATTTCAATACCTGTAAGCAAGAATCCAAACGCCACAGCCCACAACGCCAACCCACACGCGCCGGCCACTAGCGGATGCACTGATTGGCCTGCGCCAATATCGCCGGCGCTGACATTGGGATCCATCTTCCTTTTCCCTTTCATCGGGTTGAAATTTTTCACTCTCCACCACTCTCCACCTCTCTCTAAATTCAAAGCCATTACATCTTTTGGAGCGGAGGTCTCTCTGCTCTTTGTTTTCCTCCTTTTTATCAATAGGAGATATTGGGTCCTAGGATCCCCTAAACGCACTCTCTCTCTTTTCCTCGGATTGACCGAAGAACGTTCAAATGCTCTCTCAGCACATTCAGTTTCAACCCTCCTCTCTTCGATCTGAAACCGTTCCACGGTGACGGTCCTACTATCAAAAAAAAATCCTATCTGACCTGCAGTTCTAAAGTCGGCGTCGATTTCTGTTTGGGTGCACGATATCCTGTATAATATACTTGGTGTTCTTTTTTTTTTGCTGATTTCATTTAACTGCCTTTGGATTGTTTGCATTTCCGGCTTGTCGCCTCCCATTTACATTTATCTGATCGACTGGTTCTCCATATGCTGCGATAATGTATCATTACTCCAGTCCACCGCCCGGGTGGTCAACCTACGACTACACTCAATCACCTCCCACCTCACCTCAATACGCCTACTACGCCTCTCAGTTCGCCAACTCCTACACTTCACCCCGGGGCACCTCGCGACGGCACAACCGCAAGGCCAGTTACACGGCCACGAAAGAAACACCATGGTATTCATCGGGCTACCCACAAGGCTACTATGAAGCAACCCCAGACTATGGCATTCCATCGCGAAAGCACGATCATGTAAGTGCTTCTTTTGCGGGAAAGCCCAAACACCATCGATATTCCTCGACCGGTCATCCTACGGGGGATGGCCTTTGCAACGGATACCACCCGTCGCAATCGCAGACTCGACCCATCTTCGTAGATGTGGTCGACGAAGCATTCGATGTCCCGCGCACCAACGCCCGCGAGCCCCGTACCGGTCGCCCAGGCCGTCCCCCGGCTTCGAACCCCACTCGAGATGGCCCTGGCCAGCATCGTCGCACCACCTCGACCTCTTACCGCAAATCAAATCCAGCTGATTCTCACTTTTACTTCACTCAGGCTCCTAACAACGAGGATATCGAAGCGGCCAGACGCTCACGCACCAGGCGCCAATCCACATCAACTCGCACTCCCAACAAACCTAAACCACCCCCTGCTACTGCCAAACCGCCACCCACCGCCACTGAAGATGACGCCGAGGCCGCAGGGATCCCAGCAGGCTATTCGATCAAAAACTGGGACCCAACCGAGGCACCGATCATCTTGCTTGGTAGTGTGTTTGATGCGAACTCCCTTGGCAAGTGGATCTACGACTGGACCGTCTTTCATCACGGGGCATCGACGCCCATGGCCGACGTCGCGGGCGACTTGTGGCTATTGTTGATCAAGCTGGCGGGCAAAGTAAAGAGGGCCGACGAATGTCTCCCTCGCATCCAACGCGTGGAGGCACAGGAAGTCGTCGAAGATTTCCTGGAAAGTGGCGAGCGCCTCTGGTCCCGATTCAAGAAGCTCCTCAAGGGCTGCGAACTTTACATGTGGAAGGCCGCCAAGCGAGAAGGTGGCAAAGGGCCCGTATCAATGGGCCGCAATGCAGGTTGTGAATTTGTCGAATCGATTTTCGGTCGCGACCGTGAGCTTGAAAATACAGAGAAGCTCATGAATAGTATTCGACTCTGGAATATGCGATTCGACGCCAACTGCGAAGATATTCTGCGCCGACCGGCGGCTGCATAGGCTGTTTTTCTTCATGCGCTTTTTTTTAACTACCGACTGCCGAGGGAGCGATACCCCCCAAAAGAGACAGAGACTTTCTTACTGCTGCTTTTCTTATCTACACTTGGAGCATTTGACATTTGTTGAATCGCATTTGGAGCGTGTTCCTTTGGCTTCGGCTGGCTTTGCTCGTTGCATTTACTGTCTGTTTTCTCGATCCATCGGCAGATGTTGCCCAGCGTTCGACACAAAAGATCATCGTTATTGTTTTTACCTTGCTTTTCTGGTGCCGGCGCCTTGCTTTTGGTCTCGTTTCCTTCATAGGACGGCGCCCTGTTGATCCATTCTATTCCATTTCTGGCGTCCTTGTTTAATCTTTTCATTTCTGGCCGTCAAGTCCGTTCTGTCTTGCCGTTGAAGTCCGTGTCACTCTGCTTCGATGATACCATCTTGCGATTTCTTTATATACGTGCTTGTCTGTTTTTTTTGTCTTTTATTTCCTTTGTCTTTTGCATTACAGCTGTTTGTTATTTTGTCCTGTCCGTTGTGCTTGATTTGATGTTGGGTCGGAGGAACCGGGTTGTACATAGAACCAAGACGACCCAAACGTCCGATAGACCAACCCTAACACTCGTTATACTTTCTCATTCTATACATCCCGAGACTCTCAATTGTACCATGTAAAATCAATACTATTTCCACGTAGTCCATATCCACCTAAAACCCAAAACGGGATGTGATGTGATAGCCCTAGAGCTACCCCTCACCCCCAGCGCTTCCTGCGCCATGCAAGTACCTACATCGTACAGTGTGGATCACTACCCCGCCCCGTGGAACCATAACAAAGCGCCTAGAATCGCCCCGGGGGAGGCCGTTGGTTGCTCAGCTTTTAATATGAATTAGCTATTTGATCGTTCACTGGCTGTGCGCCCTCCAAAGCAGGTACTATCTCTCCAATGATGGCGGCTGATGTCACATTTCATATAAGTGTAGGTCCCAGCGTTGGATCAACTTGCGTTTTTCTCATGCAGGTGATCGCAGCTGCTATTGGCTTAGGTTTCGAAATTCAAATGCTGCATGCACGTTGGTTGGGGGTACCCGAGGGTGTGGCGACCCTATCACAGACGAGGGGCAGGGGTGTGGGGGTTGCGTGCATGACCGCTGGCTTTTGTCTTGGGTTGCATGGTGATCCTGGGATTTGAGGTATTATTTATAAGGATGGGGATGGCTATTAAATATAGTTATGGTGGTTGATATTAAGATGATTGGTTTGGTGTATGGTATGTCGAAGCTTTGGGGGAAGGGGAAAGTTCTGCTCTTGATTTCGCTGGGTAGATGCTGAAAGGCGCTGTGGGCCAGCTCTTACCTCACATATTGGCTTAGACTTGGTTTTATGAATCTCTTTCTTGATTTGGAGTCATACCGAGCTTGTGAGACGTTGTCTCCCAAGGTTGAGCCGGAGAAAAGAGCCGAGCGGCCATATCTGATATTCGGTGAACACTCTTGGGAGCTGACATGAGATAGAAAGCTCATAACAGTCTGAACTTGATATAGGGCATAATTTTATAGAATTGTCCAGGTGGGAGGTCATAAGATTACATACGTTATAGCCAGGGCCGGCCCTGGAAGTGGATTCCAAGTCCATGTGGCCATGCAACCTTATTTGCCCTGTCAGGCCTATTTATGGAGCTTGTTGGAACATATTTGACAACCTTGGAAGCTTGTTCAAAATTCTCATATTCAATAACTCGTAGAGTTCAAATGCTCTGTTGTTCCAAGGTTAACTTTGAAGTATAATGATGACGTATGTGGGACGGTCACGGGACCGCTGTCACCCGGAGCTGATCGTTTGACATCATTTATCACAAATGTGTGGTACCTTGTGCTTGAACCCTCGAATTAAGAGGACTGAGCTATTATTCGAGTCGACTCTCTGCAGAGACTTGTGAGTCGACAACCATCAAAACTCGTACCCGTCTTCTCCACTGTCCTGATGCAATCTCACCCTACCAGGGACAGATGAGGATGCGGTCCTTGAAGTTCTCCTTATCTCAAACATCTGGTTCCTGATAAGCGATCTGGTTTCGGGATATCTGAACATCTTAGCCTCAGACCTCCAAGGCTCATTCGACTTGCGACTGCCCCCAATATGGGCACATGGTCATGCTAGATAAACATATACGACAGTTGTAATGCCCACAGACGACGAGTCTGGTAGGCTGTCCCCGTGGGAATGGATTCGGGATCAGTTTCATATGAGACCACCTGAGGATGACGAGCCACAGTCGTGGTGGATTGCATCGACAGCCATCCCGCTAGTTGCTGCTACAGCGGGACCACTCGCCAATGTCATGTCAATCGTTGCGCTGGTTATGCCATGGCGAAGCAAAATTCTTCCAGGAAACAATAGCGCTGCTGGAACCTCCAATCAAGAAGGATATGCAGACCCTCATTGGTGAGTACAAAGCAAGAGGATGTTACCGTGAAGCAGGTTTCTCTAACACCACGAATAGGGCCACTGTCCTAAATGCCATTTCGCTTTTCTGCGGAATCGTGGGCAACGCATTTTTACTGGTTAATTTCACTCAGATCGTACGCTACATTATAGCTTTGCCCGTGACGATCATTTTGTGGTTCATGGCCGCGGGAATCGTGAGTAAAGTCTCTGGTTTTGTATGTCTCAGACCTAACGTTTGCTTGTAGCTCTCTGGAATTACCATAGCCACAGAGATCTATGCTCCTCCGGTAGGCATTGATAGGATCTACTCTCAGGCTTACTGGAGTGCTATCATTGCGGCAATCCTCTACTTTGTCTTGAGCGTCATCTTGATGATCAACATGCTAGGCTATTTCCTGGGTAAATACCCGCAACATTTTTCGCTGACGGACGAGCAACGAACCTTGATCCTACAAATGACTGCATTGATGGTTTGGCTGTTGATTGGCTCAGCTATTTTTCAAAAAGTAATCGGAATCTCTTTCGCCGATGCATTGTACTTCTGCGACGTCACCGTTCTTACATTAGGATATGGCAACATAATTCCCGTCAGTGCCGTCGGTCGAGGTCTTGTTTGGCCATATGCGGTCATTGGAATTATCATTCTCGGACTGGTTGTGCAAAGCATCTATAAATTCGCTCACGAGGTTCACTACGACAATGTCATTCGGAAACACATTGAACAGAAACGGCAATCCACCTTCGACCGATCAGTCAGTTTTCAGGAGCTCCAATCTTCTCAAGAGAAACGCCTGACTAGTGGAGAAGCTATCACCCCTCCGGCTCTCACCCGCCAAAAGTCCAGGACTCATCGGCAGAATCGGCCAATTCGCAACAGCATCAACGCCCTTGCCACGGCTCGCCGACCCAGGATCCTTATCATGCGTGAAGAAAAGGACCGATTTGATGCTATGCGCCGTATCCAGGCCAATACCATGCGCTTCCGTCGCTGGAACAATTTGATCATCAGCATCGTTGCTTTCGGAATTGTGTGGTCTTGCGGAGCAGTGGTGTTTTGGCAATTAGAAGCCATGACCTACTTCGAATCACTTTATTTTTGCTTCACCTCCCTTCTAACCCTCGGCTACGGTGATTTCACACCAAATTCGAATGCAGGAAGACCATTCTTTGTGGTATGGTCTCTAATCGCCATCCCAACCATGACCATGCTCATTTCCGAGATGAGCGAAACAATCGTCGCCAGCTTCAAGCGCGCCACTGAAGTAGTCGCCGATTACTTCGTACTTCCTCAATCTAGTGCCTACAAGACATGCTTGGGTCGGATTCCCGTCTTTGCCCAGTTTATACTGTCTCGCCAAAAACAAAAGCGGCAAGAGGGCGGTTTCCCACTTGAGGGGGCTGATGAATCCGGCACTGGGGAAAGAGCGGACCCCGAGAGGTCTAGTCAACCTAGACCGCAAATACATGATTTAGCCATGTCTCATCCGCACCGATCCCTCGAGGAACTTGTCCGCGATCCGACCCCAATTGAGCTTGCTCAGCAACTTGCCTTCGCTATTCGCCGCACCTCGAAACAGATACGGGAAGGAAAGCGAAGACAATACTCCTACGAAGAATGGGTCGAGTTCACCCGGCTCATTCAGTTCACTGACCCGCGATCTCGGCCACCATCATCACAGAGAAACCAGCCGGAAAATGACAATGGCCTTTCTAATAATGAAGACGAATATGGACTTCTTAATTGGGATTGGATCGGTGAGAGCAGTCCCATGCTGGCAAAACAAACAGAGCCCGAGTGGGTTCTAGATCGGTTGTGTGAAAGCTTGATTCGGTACGTGTCGACTCAAGAGGAGAGTCGGGCTGTGGGGGGTGGTGCCGATTCGGCGGAGGAGCCAACTCTGAGGAAAGAGAGGGATATTGGGCTGGATGAATGAATCTCTTTTTTTTTTGTCTATGCGTACATGTACATAGCTTGTATTAATTGCCTTTAGCACAGCCCTGGAGTGAACATATGCTTCCCAAAGAGGAAGGTGGGTCCACGTCATACTCGGTGCCTGAATATTATTTCTGCCTGCAGATCATCCATGGATGGCCACATGTAGTTAAGAGAAGGTGCATGTACCTAGGAACCTTTCCTGAATACAGCCAGTGCATGACAGCTTCATCTTCTACTCAGCGACTGACATCTGTCTTCCTTCAATAGGCAAAGCCAGTCATCATCACGCTTAGTGGAGACCCCACATACGTGGGGCTGTGTATGGTGATGGCTTGAGGCTCCATCTATTTAAACTAAATCCTGCTGTCTAAAATCTGCCAGCTGACATCAAACAACCAATATTTTTCCCTTCACCAAACCAACAAACCCTCACCAAAGATGACAACCAACATCCCCGAAATCCTCCTGCTCTGCATGGACAAGGACTTCATAACAGCCTTCAACGATGCCCTCGAAAAGACCTGGCCAGATCACAACCCACAAAAACTAAAGATAACCCTAATACACGAGCGCCTTAACTCCCTCCCAGAAGGAACAACCTTCGACCTAATCGTCTCACCCGCAAACTCCTACGCCCGCCTCGACGGAGCCTTCGACCACGCCATCTCAATGACCTTCAGCCCACGACAAGACTACCACGCCCTGACACGCGCAGCGCAAACAGTCCTCTATGAAAAATGGCGCGGTTTTGCACCGCCAGGCTCGTGCACACTTGTCGAGTTCCCGGATGACCTAAAGCAGAACAAATACGGCTGCGGATGGGTGGCTATTTGTCCGACGATGCGTGAGCCTGGGGATGTCCGGTGGGACAAGGAGATTGTCTATGAGTGTGTTTGGAGCTTGCTGTGTCAGGTTGAGGGACATAATCGTGCTGCGGAGGGGGAGGGGAAGATTGGGAGAATTATTATGACGCCGTTGGCTGTGGGCGTTGGGAAGGTTAGTAAGGAGCGCTGGGCGGTGCAGACGGTGCTTGCGCTGAGACAGTTTGTTGATGCTATTGAGAGGCCTGCGAGGTGGGGGAATTTGGACTGGAAGGATATTGAAAAGGATTCTACTGAGGTTGTGAGGACTTGGGCGTTGTGAGTTGTCGTTGTGGGTGGATTTCGCTGTCCAGGATTGCTACAGGTTACGTATCGGGAAAATTTATGTCGATAACATGACTAGCTTCAAAAATATTCACAAGTTACAACTTTACTGCACACCCATTGTGCTTCTGTAAGCGGGGCATTCCTTCGCTTCGGGCCCATCTTGGCTACCAATCTCTCTAGTTATACATTATTAGAACATGCTTTTGCAGCTAGAGCGGATGAGGGGTTCGAGGCCGAAGAATGCGGCCGTGTTTTGCTTCAGGTAGTGGGATCATTGAGAAATAGCCAAATGGTTGGGGTTTTTTTGTCTTACTGTCAAAAGGTGGCTGGTATTGAGTTTAGTCGTACATTCCTGTGCCTCAGTGGCTATTGATGCGGTCGAATAGTCGGAATATCAAATCATTACCTACATACATAGGTATGCATGTCCTTTGATACTTCCACTCTCCTTGGCCACTATTGAATGCCAAAGTATCGAATCATTTACCCGCCAAAAAGGAGGTTCTAGCGAGAATTTCAACTCTCTACTAACTGTACATAATAGCCCATTCTTTATCAACTCAAGCAAAACAGCCACGGAGCGGGGCAAATCCACCCTTGGAATGTGGCTCGTGTCGAACAAATCAGATGGAATTTCGAGTCTGCAGGGTCCTCAGATAGGCACCAATGTCTTCTATATGCCTTGGTGTGTGCGGGTCAAAGTTCGTGACATACTTGGGGATTTTTGCCTTAAGCGCTGAAAGCGCCCATTTTTCACTCTTATAGGAAATACATTATGTGTGGACCTCACTCACATCTCATATTTAGTACAGGAAGTCCACACTAACATAAAGATGGAGGAAACACATCCATCAACAGGCCAGAAACCAGAGACTTGACCACGCCTTCGAAGACCCTCGGGCTGTACCTAGCCAACGACACACACACACACACATACACACACACAAAAGATGACAATCCAATTCCCAATCATGTCATTCGACTATTTCCAGCCAAGCCCAGCCAAGAAATTCGTCTCTCTCACCAAACACCCTTGGGCGACTAGCGGGAAAATCAACACCGTCTTTCACGAGCTCAAGCCCCTTCAGCCAGACGACTTGATCGGCGAATGGGACGGATATATCCTTGCCACAGGCCACCCATTCGAAGACGAACTGGACACGCTAAATTGGTTCGGCAATACATTTTATTCCACCGACGACGTGGCGCCGCTGACTGTTGCACGGAACGGGGAGCGGGTGTCCTTCGAGGATTGGGGGCGTGCATCTGTAAGTCCGTTTCCTTTATCCTGTGACACATCTCCAGTGGTGCATAGCTATACATATCTATGCGCACGTGTTGTTGTGGCTTTTGAAGGAACTTTGTGCGTATTTGGCTCGGGGTATAAAGTCTGACATTTATTTTCTTGACAGCTACGTGAAATCAAATATAATGGAGTCGTCTCTGCGACTTTGGTCTACGATAAGCGACCAATGATGGTGTATTATCGAGCTGTGAAACATAACATGGTGGCCGGGTGTATTGAGAGTAAAGAGTGGCAGGGGAAGGTCTACTTCTATTTGACGAGATAAGGATATGTATTTAGTATACAGTGTGAAGCAATTTGGTTGAGTGACCAAAGGTGTTGTGTCCAATGGATAATGAGGTAGTTGATTGGCTATATAGGTTCCTCTTCTACTCGAAATCTCCATTGAAACCACAAAGCCCTGATGTTGGGGAACCGAAACCCCCAATATGCCCCAGGCGAGTCCATGGCCCAACTCTACATATCCACTCCTTCAGTGTCGGATGCCAATATTGCGGCAGGTAAGAACTTGATTGATGGGTCTTGTTGGCTCCCTGATGCCGCTCAGAAATATTTCGAGGAAGGTAGAGTCGATAAGGGAAGGCATTCTGGAAATGAGATCTCTCCCAAGGACAATAGCTTGGATTATGCACTTGTGTTAATCGTGGTGTCTCCGTGAACCACAACCAAACCACAGCCTGTCTTTTCTTGAGTTCTTTTCTTGAGTTTTTTTCTTGAGTTTTTTTCTTGCGTTTTTTCTTTATCATTATGTCGAGGTCGTGCGCTTCGGTCGATCGAACGCAATACTCTTTGTTGGGTTGGCTTAGGTCGATGCATACGTACATGGGTTTATTTATCGTCATTTGCTTCATTTCGTTCATTGCTTTTCATGTATCTACTCTACATCGCTCGAGGGTGTCGGCAGATGCCACCGTTAGGTGACAGATCACACTCCCTACGTAGTTAGCTAAATCGATTATCCTTTTCTTTTTTAGTAAGTTATAGGTGCGTAAGTGTTACGTCTAGTTTTTGTCTCTGGTGATATTCAAAAGGAACGGTGATCATTTTTCTGTCGATATTGACGTCCGCTTAGAACTGAGGAGTAAGTGAGCAATAAGTGAGATGAGGAAGCGAGAGCAATCATTGGATACGCTTGTTCAGCCGTTCGTTGTTGGAAGCTCGTTTAGCTTTTGACTTATTCGGCGCAACAAATGCCCCGAACACACTATAAGGATATGGAAATGGGAAACTTATTAAGAGATATAACATGAGCGACTTTGATTGAGCCATCGTTAAAAGCCTTGCTCTTCCCAGACGTTCCTGGCAATTTTCTTCAAAATAGCGTCGTCAAGGCTGATATTTGTTCCTTTCAGGCTGCTCGATGGGCGAAGAAAGAGCTTGTCGAAGCTGATAATAAGCGGCTGGCCCTCGAGTTAGACATAGTAGTTCTTGCACTGGCTGATCGTAATGACTTACTGACGTTTAACCCTATCTTTCACAAGTTCCAATGGCTCTAGCACGATATTAGGCGAGCTCCGACCGATCTTGATTGTGATGACCATTTAAATATCGCCGTTAGATTCGGATAGCCAGAACCGAGCATCGGATATCAATTTAGAAGGCGACTCTGAAAAGTCCGTTTCTACCACAACCGAGGGCCCGTTTCTTCGTTCGAGCTCGAGGAAGTCTCTTTGGTAAAAATTGGCAGCCGGGCTGTTTAGCGGAGCCATTTTCTGCTTTGCAAGTGGCGGATCCAAATGTGTGAAGACAGTCATCGAGGCCGGAGTTCCCCTCTTTCTCAGAGGATCAGCAGTCGTAAGACTGGGATTACCGGGTTCTGACTCTTCTTGTTCAATGTTGTGTTGGGAATGAACTTCTTCCAAGGAAGTGATCGAAGGTGGAGAGTTGGTCAGGGCAAAAACTGGGGAGGGTAAAGGTGGGGTTTAATGGAAGGTAAGGGGAGGGTGAGCAGGAGAGCTGGGAGGGAATGGAGAAGGAACTAACTGGGCTTAGCTCGCTTGAGAGGTAGGCAAAATACTGCGAGAAGGCTGATTACTGGGGATTTCTGGTTCCTCAGAATCTGCCGCCGAGGTGATATCAAAGAGTTCTCGTTCCTGAGATGAGGTCAGGGTGACAGGAATCGGGTAATAGTAGGGCACTTCTTCGGGGCACTTGGGGCATCTGTAGGGGGTTCTTTACTTGGGTTTGAGCTCGGTTGTCCGTGCTTCTCGCACACGTATTCGTGAATGTCTTTGCCGGAGGTTCGTTACAAAGCCCCTCCTTCCTCTTGCCTTTATTGTTATTGTTGGCGTTCAAATTGGCATCTTCGTCCTGGGTTTTGTCGCTGTTGTGACCTCCACGACCACCACGATTTCCGTCACGACCGCGATCACCTTTGCGACCTCTCTCTTTTGATTGTTGAGAGAGAGAGAAAGAGGTGAAGGAAGACCAATCCTGGTGAGGAGCAGAGGTCCTATCCGCTTTAGGGAGAAAGGCTACCTCAAAAATATGTCACGAGGTACGGATGATGATAGCAAGAAAAAAGCTGTTTGACCGGATGAAAGGAAGAAGTGCCTTTAGGCCGAGGAATGTGTACGTACTTCACTGTAACGCCTTGGGACGACTGGTGAGAACACAAGCCAGATCTCCTCAGCTTCATAGGAGATAAAAACAAAAACGTGCGCAAGACCGAAATCGTCGCCTTTGCCAAGGTCCTGGCACTTCCTAGACTGCATCTCAATTGCTGACCTGGGCACTCTTTTGGCTTACGGTGAGCGGTATCTAGCGCCTTGGTATCACGCGGCAGATTATGGCGCCTGGGATTGACCTTGTATATTCACACCAGAGCTGAGGGAGATTGCGCTATTATTATCAGTAATTCCTGGGTCGGAGCTTGCATTTTATATCAGCATACATCGGGATAACAAAGCTGAGATAAAGGGTTGGAGAGAGCGAAAGATGCAGTTGTTTCTTAGTTCAAACAGTGGCTGCATTAGATGCGAGATACTTGCAGGGATTGTGCATATTCTAGGTAAGACTGAAAATTCCCTGCAGGAATTGCGGTCACACGCTACTTATGTTACAAGCATGTTTAATATGAAGAAAGGTTAGGGCTTACATTTTGCCGGTGATTCGACAGATTTCGCAACCCTCTACTGCATCACTTCGCGTAGCGTCGGCCTTGAACCCGTTCTTGTCGTCGCTTCCATTCCCTAGGTCAACTCTTGCATATGGCAATATGCAATTGATGGTAGGACCTAGTATTAGTACCGCGGTAGGGTCTATCTCCGCGGCACGGCTTAGTATATCGGGTAGGGACTCGGGTATAGACTCGGGTATAGATTCGGGTAAACACTCGGGTAGGGACGCGTTAATAACCTTAGGGTCGGAATCTGAGTCTGATAGCAGATAGCTAAGGGCTAAGGAGGCCGTATTAATAGAATTGATAATAAATTGATAAAGAAATGGGTTTGAAGAACCTTGGAAGGTAGGTCAATAGGTGTAAACCAGAATTGTAATATCAACACCCTATTTATATATATTACTCAGGTGTAGCCAGTGATACCTACATACTACTTGTAGTAGGTATCCATGGATGCCAGTTGTGTGTGCTTACCTATGCTAATACGTAAAGTCCACGGGTAATATAAAGATGTGGTTGGCTGTCTTTACCTTAATTCAGCCCTATCCGAGACTACACCAGTTCTCTCCACTATTGCGTGCCGAGCTTCCAGGCAGCAGAATTCAAAAGGGTTTTAGTTGCATTAGCTGCAAGATTTGCAATATTATATAGCCCTAAAGAGTCCCTGAAGAAGTCTACTTGTGTACTTGCATGTGGTAAGAACATTGGAAGGACCGCAATCGGACCCAACGCCGAGAAATTAAGTTTTCCCTTCGGAAGTCGCCTCGTGCCGCCCAGGAACGCGAAAATTCTGTACGACTCGGGCTTTTACCTGTGCCCTCGACCTATTTATTACCCTGTCGGAGTACCGAGTACAGAGTACACATTCATATTATTCTGTCAAAATGGAGAAGACAGTGACCCCGGTCGCACCCGATCTCGAAGCCCCAGACGTCCCCGTCAAAGAGTCCAGCGTCGCCCTACGATGGAAGCAGAACCTGACGCCCACACACGCAGACTTGGTTTGTCTGCTCCTCACTTTCCTCACCGGTCTATGCGATAGCAGCGCCTACAATGCGTGGTCCTGCTTCCTCGGAATGCAAACTGGTACGAGTCATACCCGACGCTCTCCCGCAAAGGGGGCGCAAAGCCAAACAACGAAAACCCCCGAAACACGAAACAAAAAAGACTAACAACCCCTCCTCAAAACAGGAAACACTATCTTCCTCGGCCTCGGCGCCTCCAATCAACCCAATAACAAGCCATGGGGCTGGCTCAAGTCCCTCGTCTCGATCGCGGCCTTCTTCTTCGGCGCGATGATCTTCTCGATCGCGATGCGCAGCGTCGGCGCCCTCCGTCGCGGAACCCTCTTCGTCTCATTCCTCGTACAGACCCTGCTCATCGTCATCGCCGTCGCGTTAATCGAAGCCGATCTCATCCCCCACACCTCCACTGACGCCACTCTTACCGGTGGCTCGCTTTTCCTCGAGTTGATCCCCATCGGCCTGCTGGCTTTCCAATCCGCTGGTGGAATGACGTGCAGTCGTGCGCTGGGCTACAATGAGATCCCGACCGTGGTCTTGACGAGTGTTTACTTTGATATTGCGTCGGATCCTAAGATCACTAATAAGCCGACTACGAATGCCAAGCGCAACCGTCGTGTCGGTGGCGTTGTGTGTCTTCTTATCGGTGCTATCGTTGGTGGGTGGCTGAGTCGTAGCAGTGGTGGTATGCAGTCTGCGCTGTGGATGGCAGCTGGTTTGAAGTTCGTTGCTGCCATTGCGTGGTTGTTCTGGAAGGCTGCGCCGGCGAAATAGATTCGCGCGGCTATTCAATGATGCGGGTTGCCTTGTTCTGGTGTTGTAGAGGTTGAGTAGATTACAATTTATAGTTAGATGTGCATATATCAATGTTAATAGTTTCTAATACAGGTTTGCTTTGAGTGTGTTTGATGTCATATCTACAGATATGACTCTATAAAGAAGTTAAGGTGTTTAAAGCATGAATTGACTTGCAAGGAGATATATAATTGTCCAATTCTTCTACTACTGATGACTAGGCAGGCAAATGCAGTCTTTCTAAGCCTGCTTGACCTTTCTCGTCAAGATCTACGTTGTCTTCGTTGGCGCCTAATTAGTTAGAAACTGATTGACTTGGTGAGTCAGTACATGTCTTACAGTTCGGTTTATTCGGTTAATATAATTGGACATACCTCAGACGCTAATTCGGAGTCCTGTTGTGTATGATGATTGGCCGTGATAAGCGTCGGACTCCGGAATATCACCACGATGGCCCCAGAGCTTAGTATTCGAAGAGGAACTGGCCCTCGAATTTTAGAGCGTCACATTAGGGGCCGTTCTGGCTTCCAGTTCTTTGTTGGGATGAGATATCCACGTGACAGGACCAGTATTGATAGATCTCCTGCTCTCTCTCTCTCCCCTTCCTCCTTTCTCTCTCTGTCCGCTTTTCTCACCCCTTCGTTTGTGACGGTGTCTGCTCGTTGGAGCCACATCCTTTCTCTGCCTACGCTAGCTGATACTACGGCCTCGACGGCCCGGGCGGTTTGTCTGAGTGTGGCTGATGCCGCATTTGGGCCCCGCGTCAATGTCGCCTGTCGAAGCTTTGACTTCACGATTTACTTTGAAGATTTATTCTTCGCTTGCCTGCCAACTGCGTTGTTCTTATTAAGTCTCACTGCCTCCCTGTGGCTGTTGTGGAACAAGCCCCGTCGTATCAAGCGGTCTAGGCGACTGCTCTGTAAGCTAGTAGGTCATTCGTTCATCTATTGAACTCATTATATGAATTTGTTTTCCAAGCATAATAGCCAACACAATCTATAGGTCTCTCTCGTGATACTTCTTGCCTGCCAGCTTGCCTTTCTACTTTTACGTCGGTTAGGGTCTACTATGCTCCGAACCAACGCCTCATTGGCAGCAGATATACTGGAAGTAGTGGCCATCTCCAGCACCATAGTGCTATCATACCTCCATCATTGCCGCTCTACTCGACCATCGACTCTACTCACTCTCTTTCTTTCTGCTCGATCCCTTCTGACAGTCAGTTTCGCTCAATTGACGCTAATGGGATTGGGAGTCGAAAACTAACTTATGGCAACGAGAATCAGCGATGGCGCAAGCGCCATACCAGCACTTTCCAAAGCTGATAGGAGATTGCTACCTCTGGCGAGTTTCAGGTCTGCAGTATCACTTACCGGCCTCGGTGGATTAACAAGGAAGCGGTTCACAGCTGGTAGTATCAATAGAACTGTAAAATGAGTTGCGCTATCCAGGGAAACGAAATAGGCAGACTAAAAATATCAATTAGAACCCAATCTAAAAAATAAAACCGCTGATGAATTGAGACTAATATAAAAGTACGCACATGAGAGAATGACATCTGAAATCTCTTAGGCACATAGATAATCAATAGTCGCATGACGCCGATACCCAGGGACCGCCATAGATATCCGAGCAGAAGCACCACAAGATGGGGTTGCTGCTTCAAAAACACCGTGGAAGTGCGCAGCCAGGATACGACTGATTTTATTGTTGGATCGGTGCTATCAGATAGCACCTCAGTCGCTTGCGATGCCTCTGTATTTGAATCACCCCAGAAGTGCTCCGGGATAATGAGTGCGAGGCACATGCCCATGAAATCCGAGCCTACGCCAGGAACAATGGGCGTCCATACACTCTTATCCATAATGTCTGAGCTTCCCATGTATCCCACAATAATAACAGACTACAGGTTAGGGTCTGGCAGCTAAGTATGGGAGAAAAAAGAACCAGCGTCGACGGTGAGTGGGAGGCTTACAACGGCGTCAAAGGCGGCCGTTTCTAGTCTCCCATTCACCGTCTCATCGTTGTGCGGAGAATGCGACCGAATTAGTTAAATTTTACCTATGTATAGAATATTCATATTGAAAACTATACGGCAGGCAAAATCCGAACTGGCGCAGTGATAATAGGCTTCCCTACACTGTAACTACCCGAATGGCCAATGGGGGCAGACTTTAGCTGCCCGCGGCTCCGCTGCACCTGTGAGCTTGGTATGTCGGCGCCTATCAGCGGGCCCGTGCATTTCCACCTGTGGGTAATTCCAATATTCTACCGCTGAAATCCAATGCTTTATAAGTTGTGATAGGTCCAAGCAGGGATTGCTTGCTGATACCACAAGCACCCCTTTTCCCCAAGGGGGAATCCGACCCGGAGATAACCCGGGACCAGAAAATGCCGAGCCGACTCTACGAAGTATAAAAAAGACCCAATCCCCTCAACTATATTGACAAGTCTGAAATACCTTAGCACGATGTCCACTCCAGCCCCCACCATCCTTCTTATCGGCGCCTCACGTGGCCTTGGCCACGCCATGGCGGCAGAATTCCTAGAAAAGGGATGGAACGTTGTCGGGACAGTCCGCGGTGGATCGCGAACATTACTCCACGAGCTAGCAGACAAATACAACGGCCGGGTTGACATTGAGACCTTGGACATTTGCCAACCTGATCAAATCAAGGCGCTGGACAAGCGCTTGTCGGGCAAGATATTCGACGTCCTCTTTGTGAACGCTGGAACAACGAATCGTGACCCAACCCAAAACATCGGAGATGTATCAACCGAGGATTTTATACATGTCATGGTCACGAATTCACTCAGCCCCATGCGCGTCGTTGAAAGTCTGGCACATCATGTGGCTCCGAAGGGTCTTATCGGTGTGATGTCATCTGGACAGGGAAGCATCAGCAACAATGAAACCGGTCTACGAGAGGTATATCGTGGCACTAAAGCCGCGCTGAACATGTTCATGCGAAGCTTTGCAGCTCGTCAGGGCCCATCGCATCCAATGGTGGTGATGGCTCCAGGGTGGGTCAAAACCGAGTTGGGAGGTCCTGATGCTCGGCTTACTATCGCAGAAAGCATTCCCAACTTGGTGAATGTACTCATTGCAAAGAAAGAACGACCCGGACTTGAATACCTCGATTATCTTGGTCGAACTGTGCCTTGGTGAAATTCATCAAATCCATCATTGATCAATCTATCAAAGAAGCCGCCTGTTATCAACACATGCTTTCCGGCACTCTATGCATTTCCTGTTTTTTAATGAGATGTCTGTTACGGAGTGAGAGGCTTTGGGGGGTTACCACGGCATCCCGCCAAACTCACCGCTTAGGCTTTTGCCGGAGATATCCCCAATATCACGGGGCCCCGCAAATGCTACACACTTACCTATGTAGGTAAAGCATTCCAGTGGTAGCTTATAATGTCATCTATCAAGGATATCCGCCATTAAGTGCCACTTTTCAGAATGGTTCTCACTTTATGCTCGTTTCTTAGGTGTCGATGATCTAGATCGCAAAGAAGTGATATCTCGGCGTTATGTAGTTCGCTTTCACCTGCACATAACCGAATTGTAGCTGCGTCTGTGAAACACCCTCAATCAGGGTAGTTACTAGGCCAACAGAATTAATGCCCTTCGATTGCCACCAGACAGATGGTTAAAGAAGGTACTATCTACGATGGTATCAAAAATCATCGCAAAACAGAGCTTTGTGGCAAACTATGATGGCATATCCATACATCCACCATCCCATGAGTTACCTCGAGAACAAGCACGGCCCACAGCGAGCACCACTTGACTGGCTCACACTAAAGCAGATCTCAGAACAGAATAGAATCAGTGGCACAACTAGATGCATCTGAATGGCAAGTGCGGAGAAGGGCCCAAGGTGGTGGTTAATGTCATCGTCATGATCGAATCATTGGCGCCACCTTCACAATTTGCATAAATATAGACAGTTTTCCCCCAGATTTGAGAGGATTTATCAAACAAACTGAACCAAAACTACGTATAATCACAAATAACTTGGTATGGAGCCCAATTTTACCCCTGTACCTCATGAGAAGAGCATCAGGAGTTGACGGTGGAGGATGCGATGCTCTTAAGAACTCTTGCTGACATTATCAAGACATCATAGGTATCATGCCCAAGGAGAAAGGCGAAAACCGGGGCCAGGAAGCTGCCACCTGCAGAGCCAAGACCAACGCTACGCAAAAGGCTGCCCACAGCGAGATGGGCCCTGCTGAACTTTTGACTGAACACATGGACTCTTCTGGCAACCCAGTACCCGATCCAAGCTGGGGCCCCACAAGGAAACCTGACGAGGATGCGGACTTGTTTGAGGCTATGCAGGCGGACACTTCAGAATTTGACAAAGACTGAACAATTTGATACGGAGAAAGGGTTTTCAGCGAAAATCAAATAATTATGTATATACATATTTTACGAGAATTGAACTACATTTGAAAGCGATCTACTGCAGGTTTCAATATGTTTCAATAGGTTTCAGTAGAGCATGTATATATAGTGGAGTTAGCGGGCTATTGCTATGGCAACAAGACTTATAGACGGTGACACTTTGATGTCGTAGAACCTTGGAAATCATCTTGTTAACTTATATTATTTTCTTATTATTTTCTACTTCAATTTCAATTTCGTTCTTTCTTTTTTCTATTATATTATACATTCTTTCCATCAAAACAAAATATGCTCTAGACTCACAACGTGTGTTTACAATGAACTGAACTTCCCCAAGGAAACAACGCGCAACAGTACCGACCCCCCTTTCACTCATTCCAATCTACATATTCCCTTGCCAATCTATCTCTTATTTTCCCCTTTGTCATTCCCATTGCATGTAATCAATCTTGCATGTACCACTCTCTTCTTGATCGACGACGCGACGCCGTCGCCGCTTGTGTGCAGCTATTAAGCGACAGCAGTAGGGACATGGCGCTAGATCCGCGCTTCTATCACCACATCGGCCATCCGGGCCCGGGCTCGATATCTTCAGCCGCTTCATCCGACATATCGGCCGCCACAGGAATCACCTCACCCAGCATTATCTCCACCTCCGCTTCCGCCGCCACGCTCCGATCCACAGCTTCAAGTCCTTCCTTCCGCGCGCGAGAGGGGTTCGCGATATCCAATACTAGAGATGGGATGGCTAGCCCAACACCAGGGGGAAATGTGCGCGTCGTCGTGCGAGTGCGGAAGTTCTTACCTCGAGGTAGGTGTTGTCTCAGAGGGATGCGGGGAGGCGCGATACCCCCGAAAGTGGAGGGTGAATTCTAACTTCATCTTGCAGAAATCGATCGCAAGGCAGAATGTTTGATTTCGATGGACCCGCGCACGCAGATGACCTGCCTTCAAGCACCGAAACCCAAACCCGGCGATCAAGGAAAACCCAAGTCACAGGCCCGCGGCAAGATCTTGGAAGATAAATCTTTTACATTCGATAATTCCTTTTGGTCCCATAATGAGGAGGATGAGCATTACGCACACCAGGAAGATGTCTACAACTCTCTCGGTGAGGAATTCCTGGATCACAACTTCGAAGGATACCACACGTGTATCTTCGCATACGGACAGACGGGTTCAGGAAAGAGTTACACCATGATGGGAACACCAGATAGACCCGGTTTGATTCCTCGGACGTGCGAGGATCTGTTCCAGCGCATTGAGAATTCGCCTTCTCCCGATATCAGCTACAACGTCCGAGTGTCTTATTTCGAAGTATACAACGAGCATGTTCGCGATCTTTTGGTCCCACGGACAGATCCCCCGCATTATCTCCGCATTCGCGAATCGCCATCAGAGGGTCCATATGTCAAGGATTTGACGGAGGTCACCGCAAGGAACTACACTGAATTGATGAAGTTTATGCGAAAGGGCGACGTCTCACGAACCACGGCTAGCACAAAGATGAACGACACTTCGTCTCGATCTCACGCAGTCTTTACCATCACTTTAAAACAGATCCACCACGACTTGTCAACAGATGAGACGACTGAGCGCACTGCTCGGATTCGGTTAGTCGATCTGGCAGGTTCCGAGCGAGCCAAATCTACCGAAGCAACTGGCGCTAGACTTCGTGAGGGTGCAAATATCAACAAGTCTTTGACTACATTAGGACGTGTCATTGCAGCGCTTGCAGATCCCAAGAAACTCCGCGGCCCACGAAAGGGCAAAGAACTAGTACCATACCGCGACTCGATCCTGACATGGCTATTGAAGGACAGTCTGGGCGGCAACTCCAAGACTGCGATGATTGCCTGTATTGCACCTGCCGACTACGAAGAGACACTTTCGACCCTTCGTTATGCGGACCAAGCCAAGAATATTCGGACACGCGCACGGGTCAACCAAGATCAAATGTCGGCAGCCGAGCGTGATCAACAGATTGCGGAGATGACAGAGACAATTCGCACTCTTCAACTCAGCGTGAGCCAAGCAGCAGTCAACCAGCGGGCAAGCGAGGCCTCCGATGAAAGGCTCGAAGAGTACCAGCAGAAAGTCGAGAAAATGCAACGCCTCATGGAGGAGAACCAGATGGTTAGTGAATGCAAGATTCGACAACTACAAACAGAAAACGACGCCTTGCGCATGCATCTGAAGCTAGCGGTTGAGAGTCTCAAGAACCCAATCCCACCCATTACCATTGAGCAGCGAAAGCCTAGCATTACGTCCCTGGAGGATGAGAATCAACCGCTCAGTCATGATCCGGAAGACCGCGAAGGCTCCCCTTTGGTCTCAGATGCTGAATCTGACATGGACGTCTGGGAAGATGATGATACTATCACCGATGATGTCACCGAGCAGGAGGCAGAACAGATGCAAAATCACATGCATGATCTTCTTGGTGACCTGAGTATGTTCAAGAGGAAGCTGGCCACAGACCATGAACGGTTTCGTCCAATCGAGGAGCATGCGACTCGGAAACGGCGTGCCTTGGGAACCATTGTCAGCAATCGTTAATATGTGGATATGACTTTATTTTTATCTTTTGGGTGTACAGGGATTGAATGGTGTTGGCGGCGATCTCTTTGTCTGCTCTTCAGCGATGCCCTTTGGAATGTTTGAAGTCTTTGTTTGGACTTCCTTGTTTGAATTGGGACCAGACTAGTTTTGGCCTGTGTACTTATTTCTGTTATAGCGAGCCCCTGCGATGAATAATGAGACACTTGATGTTATGCATGTTTCAATGCCAACTGCCCTATTCATTGGGTATCACGAGTTTCTTTCAGGCTGCCCTCTTATATGGAGGCCATGTCATTCAATTAAAAGTAGTAAACTATTGCTGTTTGAAATCCAGTATTCAACTGAAGAGAAGCCGCGAGTTATTCAAGAAAAATTGAACAATTATAAACACATTGTTCATTGTACTGCGCGATGAACCGCAAGTTAGGGCTGCGTCGCTCAGTGGGCCGCTTATGGCATCATTTCTTTTTCCGTGAGTCAACCCTCCCTCCCTCTCCCCACCATCTTCGCCGAACCACCCTCACACGCGAATTAATTCACAGACAAGATGGCGGAACCCTCCCATCCAGTGCCGACCGCGCAAGTCGCAACACCTGCCTCATCGGCACCAGAGCAAGCTCAACCCGCGACCGAAAACTCTCCGCAGATTATCCCGATCCGCGACTCAAAACCCACCCAATCCACCGGAGATGCGCCCGCGTCCACAGACGGCGCCACAGACAAGCCGCTTAGCCCGGCTGAGTTGAAGAAGAAAGCCAAGGCCGATAAGGCTGCCCGACGCATCCGAGAGAAACTTGATAAGGAAGGAGGTACCGTCGGCAGTACCACTCCCACTCCTGGTGTCGGAGCCCAGGCTCGTCCACCAACTACACCGAAGAAAGATGCTACTGGTCCTGGCTCTGCGCAGAAGGGACCGCGAGCGCCTCCCCCGCGCCGTGGCTCAGGTCCCCTCGCGCAAACTGGGTCCGTTCTCGTGGAGCAAAAGAAAAAGAAGGATGATAAGAAGGTTGCTGTCTTTGGCCATTTGTACGGACAACAGCGCCGTGTAACTGTCGCCGGTGCCACAAAGGAAGTACACCCTGCCACCCTGGCCTTGGGCATGCAGTTGATGGACTACACTATTTGCGGCAGCAGTGCGCGCTGCGTGGCAACGTTGATTGCTTTTAAACGAGTATGTTGTTCTTTTGTTTTATGCCGATAAAACATGACCATGACCATGTATGCTGACAAGTCGCTTTCTAAAGGTCATTGAATCTTACACAACACCCATGGGCACCTCGCTGGCTCGCCACTTGACAACACACCTCTCGGCCCAAATCACCTACCTCTCGACATGCCGACCCCTCTCCATCAGCCAGGGAAATGCCATCCGTGCCTTGAAGCTCTTCATTGCCGGCATTGATCCCTCTACCCCCGAGGCGAGTGCAAAGCTTTCACTCTGCGAGTACATCGACAGCTTTATCCGGGAGAAGATTACCGTCGCCGACCAGGTGATTGCAGACAGCGCAGCACAGAAGGTCCAAGACGGCGACGTGATCGTGACATTCGCCGGCAGCAGCATCGTCAAGCAGACACTTTTGTTAGCACACAACCAAGGCAAGCGATTCCGCGTCTCAATCATCGACTCAAGGCCCCTCTTCGAAGGCAAGAGCCTCGCCCGCGATCTCGCCAAGAGCGGGCTCGACGTCCAATACTCCCTCGTCCATGCCATCACCCACGCCATCAAGGACGCCACAAAGGTCTTCCTTGGCGCTCACGCCATGACCAGTAACGGCGGCTTGTACTCCCGCGTCGGCACCGCCCTTGTCGCCATGTCCGCCAAAGAGCGCGCCAGTGGCGTCGAAATCCCCGTCATTGTCTGCTGCGAGACAATCAAGTTCACCGACCGCGTCGCCCTCGACAGCATCGTCGTCAACGAGATCGCCGACGCCAACGAGCTGCTACCCATGAACACACCCGTCTCCCTCTCCGTTTGCGACCCCGCAGATGCGTATGTTCCCCCTCCGCCTGAGAATAAGAAGGGTGGAAACCGCCCCCCGGCTCCCGAAACTCCTGTTATCCCGCACAACAACTCTTCGTCGCCTCTTGCGAACTGGCACAACACTCCCAACCTCCAGCTGCTGAACATCATGTATGATGTTACGCCTGCTGAATATGTCGACATGGTTATTACGGAGATGGGCAGTCTTCCTCCCAGTGCGGTCCCGATTGTCCACCGTATGGTGACAAACCTGTGATGTATTAACTTCTTCGCTTTTTCTCTGCAAGATGGTCATGAATCTGGAGCGTATCGAACCTGTAATCTAAATTAAAAGCAATGAAAATGGTTCCGACTGCCTCGGCGTCGTGATTTCCAGGGTCTTTTTTTTCTCTCCCTCTTATCCTTCTTTTTTTTGGAATCCTCACGGGCCGGCGTTTGGGCTGGCCTGTCTGATCATTTCGGTGTATGCTTTTCCCGTTCCTTATACTTCGATGTTGTTTTGCTCGTTGGATTTTGGTTTTGCCATGCATTAGGCCAGCCCGACTTGAGGATATCGGAACAGGAATGAATAAACAATAGGTCTCTTATATATATCTTGGTTTTATAATAGGTGCTTCCCATCATCTCTTACCTGCAAATGTACCTATTACTATTGGTGTAGGGCTATTTGTATATACGGTCACCAAATGCCGTGGGGAGTATAGAATTGCGACCCTCACCCCCTCTTGTCAATCAATTCACAATTTTCTTTGGTAAATTATGAACCCTGGGAACTATGGAGTAGAAACAGATAATGTGTTTTTAAATTGACAATGAAGGTGCAAAATGATGTTGGAGTGGATGAAGATATTACCCCAGAAAGGGAAGCTTCTCTTTCGATTTCAAAGAGCGCCACGAAAATGTTTGACCCAACCAACCGATAAATTTGCCAGAAATACACCGCAAGTCTCGATAATACACTCGAAGGAAAAAAGACAAAAAATTAAACGACAGCTGAGAGATTCGAACTCTCGCCTCCGAAGAGACTCGCTTAGCAGGCGAGCGCCTTAACCACTCGGCCAAACTGCCGGAAGTTAAGTATACTTAAGCCTTCACTTCAACGTGACCGGTATGCGGGTAACTATAAGTTGATGAACGTGAATCAATAAGTCTACTTGCCAAGATACTTGGTGGACTGCAAGACTAGGCTGATGGTTATGGAGTTTGGAGCTAAGTTGGTTAATTCTATCTATACAGCCGGCTCAAATGAGACTTAAAGAAAAGCATATCTGTACATGTGTAAGGGGGGAAAGAATCTATTTACCTAGACAGCAGAAACAAATATATAATCACATGTGCTCTCTACACCACGAGCAGGCTATGTAGTCTCGAGAAAAATCAATCAGAAACACAGATAAAATCCCCTAAAATGTTGCATTCATATGGTCAGTACGCCACTCATTCCTTTTCTGTATCTGTACACACACAAAATCCATATTTCACATGAATTTCCCCAACGGCTTTGCCAAACCGTCTACAGCCAGTAGGGGTCTCCACAAAGACAATTATACCAGTTGCCAATTCCTATCAAAGGTGGTGGAATCGAATGGTGATGTGCTTCGTGGTGGCGTGGAACTTGGGGTTCGCGGCTAGTGCAATAGCATCATTATTGTCTGCATAGATGGGAACTGGCTTTTCAAGAAGACAATTAATGCCAAGTCTAACTAGCAGATGGCTCTCGGTAGTTAATAAAATAACACAAGGCTGTTTTTTAGAATCCAGGAAATAACACAATCCCCGAGTTTGAAGGGTTTTTTTCACCATGGCGACCTGCTCAAGACTTGAAAGCACCATTGGACACAAAAGCACGCTTGATCCGACGTTCTATTCATGACCTCCGAGAGATGCAATTGTGTAAACCTGTCAGCGTCCTCGAGCAAGCTATCGGAGTCGCATCTTCATCTTCGCGTATCCATAAGACAAGTTAAACATCGACGGCATTTAGATCTATATAAAAGACGAAGAATGGGAAGTGCTGTCCCTCGTTCCTATGCCTATGCCGAAAGACAGATAAGGCGGAGGGCCAAATAGCCGGCGGAAGATAGAAGATAAAGATAAATGCACACACGGGGCGGCCGGAGGAGAGATACTCCCCCGGGGGGGGGGGGGGGTTGAAAAGCCATTGTCGTATTTGGCAGACGATCACGAACGAACGCAATAAGAGGGAGAGGATATACTTAAAGCGATTGTAAGAAGAAAGCTCGTTAGCAACTATATATTTATAATGTAATATTCGGGCGGAGGCCTTAACTTAAAAGGTAATAGGGATTTCGTTTCGAGACTTCGAGGAGAGGAAAATTATTTGTAAAGAAGGAAGGAAAAATAGGGAAGAGGAAGCGCCCTGTTATTTCGAGAAGGCAAATTACTTAATTGTCACCAAGTGAGTTGCCTAATCGGGTAATGTTTCAACTCGCAAGCTTCCAAGGGTATTATCCCTCCGTTTATTTGCCTGGACTCTCTAATTGTTGGAGACTCGGCCGCCCAAGGACTGCCTGTCTGTCTGTCCGTTATCCATAGTTATCAATTCACAACATTTTCTCCCGACGGTTTCGCCATCAGGCGATGACCCTTTCCTTTACTTAACTATCTCACCCTATAAACCCCATGACACTGCTTAAAAAAGGCTAGGATAGACCTTCTGATCTCGCTGTCGTAGTTTTAACAGCACCACGTTATGCATATCGCACATTCTCTATCGACTTCGACGTGCCACCGGGCACGTTTCATCAACCTCGACCCCTCAATTCACCAAGATTGCTGTTAATCCTCGTATTTTGATCCCGCTGACCTGGTCGGTCCCGAATACGCCTGACATTTTCGACCCACACAATCTTTTGCCTGTGAACGACCACACGTGGCTATCTTTTGATAGACAAAGGACGACCTTGACCCCTGCTATATCACAACCTGCTTTATCACAACCGTACTAGCATTAGACTCATTATAGTATACACGGGATCCTGCCATCAGAATGTTGATGTCTGTTTCGCCCGGTATCAGTTCTTATACTATATCGTATGTATCAACCGCTAAATAATATCACAATGGCCTCAATATTCCGTGCGATCCATATAGCTAGTTGAACACATCTTAATGCCATCTGAATCACATTGGTCCATTCGGATACTAGCATGTACTATGATTCTCTGAATCGACAAATATCGCTAGGTGCAAAAATTGCTTACTGTGGCTTTGGGGGAGGGGGCAGGGGATGAGGACTTTTGTACTTTTCGCTGCTACTTCGAGTGTTTGCCCAGGTTGTTGTCTTACAATATTCAGCCTGTTTGCTCCATGCGTTGTTTGCCAGCCAACCCCCCTGTCACCTCCTACCCCGCCAGGGTTTTGACAACGCATCCTCTTCATCACCTTCCTCTTAAATAATTTCTCATCTGGCAGTTCAAATCCTTTCTTCTTGTCCTCTACTTACGTTTCTTCAGTACCCAATACGGCTTGGAACCACCTGGCCTTTGTCACCAGCATGGATACCCACGACGTCTCCGATGTTCCGGAGTACTTGGGATATCTTCGAGCACATAAGCAAAATCTGAAGAACGCGCAAGCCCTCAAGGGCCGTCCAGCAAAATCCCAAAAGTCCAAAGATGAGATCCTGATGCAGTTCATGTTTCGACAAATGATGAATACGAAAGCTCCCGCTAGTCCGATGGAGATCCGATCTTCGTTTCTACCACCTGCCTACCCCCCATGCCATACTCCTTTCAGCAAGTTGAAGAAGGTTATGATCAAAAACCTGTGTCTTGAAACTCATCATAGGGAACGGTATCTCCTCATGAGAACGGTCACCCAGGCAGATACGATGACCGCCGTGATGGCCATCGTAGAAGATGAAGACGGGGGTGTTCTCATGCTGCAGCTCTACAACCAAGAGCAGGAGCTATCGAATGCATACAGCCTCAGGGAGGGTACGGTGCTTGTTGTGAAAGAACCCTATGTGAAAGTAATGGCAGACGGAGACTACGGGATTCGAGTGGACCATCTCTCGGACGTCTGGTTTGTCCCCGAGTTTGACGACCTGGTTCCCTTATCCTGGAGGAAACGTGTGACGCAGGCGGATGAGAACGCCTCTTCTTGGAAGGCGAAAGGAACTGAGCATTTTGATCAGGGTGATTATCGTTCGGCAATCCTATGGTAAGCTGCAAAATATCGCTGTGTCTGAAAGGGGATGCTGAGAATAATTTAGCTATTCAAAGACTTTGGACGCCCACCCGTCGCCAGAATTGGTGATAATAGCGCAGCTCAACCGTGCCCTTTCCTTTTTGAAAAGCTACCGCTTTGATGCAGCGCTGAAAGATGTGGAGCATGTGCTGCAAGTATCAGAGCTATCAGAAAAAGGTCTCTTTAGGAAGGCTCAAGCCCTATATCAACTTCGAAGGTTCAAGGAATCATGTGAAATTCACGCAATACTTGCACAGAAGTATCCAGATAACACCCAGGCCGCACATGAGTATTCCCGAGCATCTGCTCGGCTTGTGGAGCAGGATAGCGGAAAATACGAGTTCAGGAAAATGATACTGGAGGCCAAGAAGCGTCGGCCACCGAGGCTTGACCGCGGCACCTACATTGGTCCTGTGACTGTCAAGCAGACTCAATCTCATGGGAGAGGACTCTTCACAACAGAGGCGGTGAAGGCAGGCGACCTTCTGTTCTGCGAAAAGGCATTTGCTTACGCTTTCCACGATGAAGATACCTCGCAAGATCTCTATCTGCTACTCAATGTCGACATGGACAAAGCTACTATTGGTACTCAAGCAGAGCTTATTGAATTGATTGCTCAGAAGCTGCATAAAAATCCGTCCCTGATACCAGACTTTGTCGATCTCCACCATGGCACATACAAATCAGTGGATGTCCTAGAAGTGGATGGCACACCCGTTGTAGATACGTATGTCACTGGGTTCCCATCTTGGTACCAAAGCTAATACCCTCCAGATTCCTGGTTGAGAGAATCATTCTCCTGAACAGTTTCGGATGCCCACTTTCCTCTCGCCAGAGTCACATAGGCTGCATGAAAGGGGATAATGATACGGCCAAAAAGGCCAATGGGCAATTCCATTCCTCTGGGGTCTGGTCGATGGCATCATACATTAATCACTCTTGCGTGAGCAATGCTCGCCGCTCTTTTATTGGAGACATGATGGTCGTTCGTGCTTCAGGGGACCTGCCTCCTAACACCGAAATTACCTTCCGGTACAAATCACCCATGCCCCGTGATCCAAAAGAATTCCCCGTCAACCTACAGCACTGGGGCTTCAAGTGCGATTGCATATTATGCCAGGAAACACGAAGTGCTAACAGCAGTGTTCTATCAAACCGAAACAGAATTTCGGCTGACCTCCGAAGATTATTTAAGACATCCAAGATGAACTTGCGAAAGATTGAAGACAAAATTTCCACCCTCGCAGCCACATATTCCCGACCAGCTTCTGAAGTCCCTCATCTTACACTTGATTCGCCATATCTGTCTCTCGCTGCGATCTATGCTTCATCCCGAAAACTCGAAAAGAGTGTGGAATTTGGATTGAAGACCCTCGAGTCACTTGGCTTCGTTATCGAAGGTGGAAATCTTCCTCATGTCTCAAATGCTCCATTGGTTGTTAAACAATGGGGGCTGATGAATGATGGCGTTGTGGGATGCTGGATGATTCTGTGCTTAGCATATCGAGAGCTCGCCCCAACTCTCGCGTCTCAAGCTGAGAGATATGCCAGAGCCTCCTACAAAATCTGCGTTGGCGAAGATGAGACTTTTGATAAGACATACAGCAGGCTATCGGATCGGGTCGATGGTTTTCTGACAACCGCAAAGTAATCATGCGAGGTCATAACACGATGACTGGAAATCTTTCGACTCTTGGCGCGGCCGAAGCAGTACGCCGCGGAAGCATAAGTCAACCTAGTTTGTAGAAGGGGTTTTATTTTAAGGGAATTGATATACTTACCCCCCCCATTGGATAGTTACCTACTTCTAGTGATAGGCTACGGACCTCCGTCTCATGCACCAGAGGTTAATCTAATGCTACGATACTAATCAATAGAAACCAATACCTTTCACGTGTAACGTACGTAATTTAAGACAAGATTCCCTAATCGAACATCGTGGCTTGGGGACCCTATAGTGATCCGCGGAACACTACTTGGGCGGAGGTTAGCACTCAGCGTCCGAGATTAGACCTTGTCAACTCCCATGGGACCAAAAGAAATTTGGTCCCATATCCTGGTCCCATATACTCCCATAGGACTAAAATAATTCCGGTTCCATTGCCCTAGTAATCCTATAGGGGTCCTATAGGGGTTCTAGGACTCCTCTATAGTCCCACTCTAGTATAATTTTACTAAGAATTTCCTATTTCGGCTAAATAAAACTATAAAGTAATCAGATAAAATACTATTATTTATAGGCGTATAAGTGTCCCTACTTTTAATATCTAATAATATAGTTTTTTTTATATAATATAGTCTATAATAGAGTTAATAAATAACTTAAGTCTATATTAAAAAGTATCCTTCTTTAAAAAAGAACTTTATATACTAGATTATAGTGGCCTATGAGCGTAAAGGAGAAGTTAGATGAAACCTTCTAACTTATATTTATATAGTTTATATTAAGACCTTATAAAGAATTATACTTTAACTAATCCTTTCTTTCTATTCTATGCTTTGAATAATACCCCAATCTTCGTTCCATTCTCATGGTGATCAGCTCCCTCCCTGGTATATTGGTTAAATATCGCCGCGCTATTGTTGCAGCCTCCTAGCGCGAGCTACCCCTTGAGTTTGATCTTCAATTGACAATCAGAGCCAAACCACCAACATGGTTGCCAGAAGAGCTGCGAAGTACCACTCGTGAGACAAAACGACCAGTCCTGCCTTATTAGTCACACTGACCAGGGCCAAAACTAAATCCGGCTCGTAGACAGAAGGCGTACGGCTGTCAGTCGTTCCATTCCAACAGTATCGCCCAAAGCACTGAGTACAAGCAGCCGGCATGGTGACATTTGTGCGCCCAAGTGAGCGGGTCAACACAGCACAACCGACACAAGTGGACCACTCTGAGTCTCGGCTTCCGTTACCCATAGTGGCCACATTGTAACCATTCAGGATCAATGCGTCTCGCTGAGTATTGTTGTAGTCCATTTTGAAGGTCGAGACATTGGAATGCACCACGTAGGGAGAGTTGGGGATGTAGACAACAAGCGGTGAGTTTGACTGACTGCCGGTGAGATTGGAGGTATCACAACCGAAGAAAGTTGGCCGATTGTTGAGTCCTAAGTTCACAAAGGTGTTGCGGTCTGGGATTGCGGGGAATCCGGTGCCATTGTTGATTTTACCCTCGAGGCTGCGCTCGTAGGTAGCGATGAGGGAGGTGCCGTCTGGCCAGTTGTTGGTATCGGCAGATGAGTCAATGGCGAAAATGACGTCCACATTGCGTTCTGGTTGGATCATGGGATGGAGAGGAATGTTTTGTTGGTCTTCGCCTCCGTCGACAATGGCGAGATACGGAGATTTGGTGGGTATACCTCCGCCTGTTGCTTGGTAGAATGGGTTGGTGTAATTAGCAATATCAAATGCTGCCTCGTCCAAGTTGCCAAGAACATCACGGATAATCTCCTTGGCCATGTCACCGAGATCAGTGGAGTTGATATTGAGTAAAAATTGATTGAAAAGACTGGATGAGGTGCCCATCACAAAGCTGGCGCTGTCGTACCCGCGGATACATTTCGATTTCGGCGACACGATACCCTTCTCAAAGTTGGAGCCTAAGTATTCCAATGGAGCAAATGAAAATATGGTGGGATCGAAAGACCCAAATTCCCATGGGTTGAACTCGAAGACGGTTGCGTTGCCACCGACGACGTGCTCTCCGGGATTGCGACCGTCTGCGATGAGGATTGGCAAAGGCATTTCAGCTCGCTGAAAATTTTCCGTCGCTGCGATGGAACTCCAAGTATAGTTGAGACCTCCCTCTGGGGCATGGATGAGCTGATACGATAGCATACGACCCCTGTGGCAAAGTGAGGAATGTTAGCCAGATGCATGGGAGCGGGTGAAGCGTAGGATCAGGTTGAGTTCTTACCAAAGATCTGTAAGGGTAGCTGGAAAGCCAGCTGCTGCTTTTCCAGCTACAGCCCTAGACAACTCCTTGTAATACTCGATTGCAGAAGACAAGAGAGCGCCACCGTCATCGGGTCCTTTCAGAATGGAGTTGGATAACTGCCATGGAGTGCCGAGGGTTCCGGTCTGCAAAGAAGATACGGACGTGAAATTGTTCATGTAGAGCGAGCCCAGTAGCCAACCACCTCCACTGAGACCGGCCAGGTATGTGGCAGATTGAAGCAAGCCACCAAGCTGACGTGATCCTGTAGAATTGTCGGTCCGACTATCAAAGGCCTTCAAGGCGCCAGCACCGTTCATCAAAGCGCGATATCCTCCGCCAGAAACAGCTATTCCGATATTGGGTAGGCTCGAAGGTTTCTCTGCGTGATTGTCGAGATACGCGACTGCGTCGAAGTTTTCAATCCGAACGTGACCGAAGAAGTCTTTCATAGCTTGCTGGGTTGTCTTCCGTCGCAACTTGAGCCAATCCTGCTCTTTGGACGACAACTTTGCGGCACTGCGCACACTTGGCCGCGGGGATGGACAATTAACTTGAACTGGGGCATAGCCATTTGGGGCGTTGGGGAGGGCTCGGCCGGCTAGCTCTGACACATCCGGGTTGATTAATGGATGGCTTTCGGATTCTAGTTTTTGAGAGGTTAGATGTCAGAAGATAATGACCACTTCAACCAGTCAAAGGATTAATCCCACCAGATGCATAAGCAGCAGCAGTTATAAAGTTCAAGAGAAGAGTGAATCGCATGTTAAGGAAGTCGAATGACCCAATCGACTGGTTTGGGCTTACAGCACTGTTCTGTTCTGTAGGTCACCCGGGCAGGGTGTGATTTATAGATCCAATTTTATCCCTTAAGGGTAACAGGCTCCAGAATTTCCGTTGTTTTTCTCCCCCTCTTGGTCATTACTGCTGTTAGGCGCAGTATCTGTCCAGGGGCTTCCAGCTGGTAGTGTAAATCCTCAAATTTTATGCGTGCTTAAGTTTCAATTCTTGAACCTACAGAGGGCACCTAGGCACTCGTTCTGGGATTACAAATTCTCTTCATATTCACCTAGTTATCCTCGACATTTATTTCAAGTTCAACTTTAATTTTATGGTCATCTCGTGATAGGGTCACATTATCTCATGCCCACCGGCTGTGATAACTTTTGACTTCTCATATCACAGCCGGATTTGCCGAGTGCAGATCTGCAAACAAGTTAGAAACTTCACAAGGCGGTTTGTTCAAATGAAACATATTGCGCTTGGCAGAGGCAAGCTAATACGGACATATTGACCGAAGAGATCAAATATCAAGAGACTGAAACTAATGTACTAGCTCAACCCCACCCGCCCAAGGCAGACCATCCAAAGGGTCAGCAATCAGTCATACTGTAAGCCGAGCGCGACTAGGGTGTGAATAAACGGTACGAGCTTTGGTGTATCTCAATATTGATTTGTTGAACACTGACAGAGGATTTGGTCAGACTCTAGGCCTCTACTCCCAAATGCCATGAGCCATAGCAGCCCAGGTAATCTATATTGGCTTATTGGGTGGAGTTAACATAGAGTGTTGAGTGGAACGTTCTGATACCAGCCTGGGAACATAGATATCAACTTGATAAAAGTCAAAGATCTTTCTAGACATTATTATGATAGCGCGTTAGGTTGCCATAGAGATGAGGCTAGTAGCTTCGCTCTGATTAGAGCAATTCCGCTACTTGTCCTCGCTCCTAAGATATAGAACCATTGAGAAACCAGTACTGATCTGTTGACCAGGAACTATTGTGCCTAGAAGCTCATGATGTTGGTATGTATTCATGTTATATGGATCGTGCTAGTTCAAGGGTCCTGCGTTCTTTCTATTAACTGTTATTCTATATGATCTGCTTGATAAAGACTCTTCTTCCTTCTATAGCAACTCGGCGGAGTGAGTATTGGTCAGGTTACATTTCGCCTGCATCCACCTAAGTAGATATATAGAAGTGGGGATAGGTCTCTCGGTGGAGCCCACGGACAGCCCAATAGCCATGCGTGTTGAGAAATATGTCAGCCTACAGGAACCACGTTTGACAATCTCGGGCTTTGGAGCTGGTAGGCCCTGCATAGACTAAATTTCTGGTAAGCTGCATGAAAATTTCACGAGTTTTGAAACGTGGGGGCTCAGGATTCTTACCAATGCCTATTCGACCAACACTCTTAGTGGCGCACTAAACCCCATGACTAACGAACAACAAAACGCGTTCTGGATACACCGACTCATGGATTGGCCCAATCCGTCAGTGTTTGCATGTATATCTTCTTTACCAAGCTTGTCATGCTCAGCTATACGCTCAGCTATGCGGGATCTGTCTATCTTCTTTCAAATACTCCAGTATCAACACATAGCAATTATTGATCGTCAAAGTTTACTCCATTTGCCAGTAGTCGTATGGTCTATTAAAGGTACAAAGGAAGAAGATATGAGGACCATAGCTGACAATAACTCATTTTACTGGTCTTCCGGTCATAAAAAAAGAGCAGAACCGGCATAGGAAATGTACAAATCTTGAGGGACGAATGCAACAAACAGATGGCTGAAAATGAAGCAGCCACATCCTCTAGCACTATTAAGTGGTCACCGTTCGGCGATCTCCGTTCCTATTGAACAGCACAGCCTAGTCCTGTTGTATAGGCAGCAGCCCATTCAACTCCATGCCCGCAGAAAGATTTTTCGAAATTTTCTAATATCACTAGTCAGTTTCAAAGTCATTCTTACCATTGATGGTGACTTCCGTGCCAGATCCACTGGTAAAACCCCTAACCCATCACGATCATCCATTCTAGGATCGATGCATAAATAGTCCCAAGTAACTATGTCGCTTAGAACACGGCTACTCTCCTTTGTACAAAACGAGCTCAATCCAAGATCTGGTCTATCACATCAAAAATAATCAAGATGTTTAACTGGTTTGGCCTTTTTAACAAGAGCTCTCAAGAAGCAACCTGGAACCCAACCACGATGACCATGGAGCTGCAGCAGCCAACCAGCCCCGAAGCACCTTCCACAAAGCGTGTTGACGTTGAAACAACTGTTCGTATCCTTCCAAGTCAAAGGATGCGTCTGGCAAGGTGGGAATGCTAACTTGTATCCATAGGGCGCAGAAGAATCCACACAAATGAAACTGCGCGGTGGTGGCGGTGGTACATGTTGTGGAATGTAAGTTTCCTATATCTCGAGGGGTTCTATGCTGACAACGTTCTCGACAAAGTTGTGCCGGTCTTCTCTGCTTTGAGTGTTGCGAGTGCTGTTGCTAGGTGCAAGATACCTTACCTCCTGCCTCCCCTCCGCCGTCTCGTTGAATATGGATATCGGCATCGGTGGCATATTACATGGTTGAATTGGATATCCGCCAGGCGTGCTAAGAGATATCATCCTGTCAATTGTCGGTTTTGAGCACATGCATATAGGTGCCTCTCGGTTAATTCATTGCCTTTAAGCTTCGTCCCTTGGGTAGATATTTGATAAAAGTAATGAGAAATATACAATCAGGGAAGACAAACATGCCGAAGAATTTAGGAAGGCACTTGTGGTCTTTTGGCCCGCCTTTTCGCAAAATCAACAATGCCTTGGAAAATTCCCATAGGAAACCATATTGGTTGACTTGGCAAAGCAATCATCTCACCCCCAACACTTTCGCTTGAGCAAGAGATGCTGCGATGGCGTCTCCGGGCGCGGGGTTGGGTGGGAATCTGGCTCAGTTCATTACCAGCTCCTTGTAGACCCGAGTGGTCGTAGTCCAGGAGCCACCTTTCGTTGCCATTCATATCGCGGGAAAGACCAAAACGGTAAAACTGGTTCTGCTCCGGGAATTGCTGAAACTGTCTCTTTCCCATACGTGCCATTTCTCGAAGATCAGTCATCATTTCGCTTCCGGCAACCCAAGGAATCAATGACCCGAGCGAATTGGGGTTTCGAGGTGCACGGAAGTAGTTTGATCGTGCAACAAAGATAAAGACAACTATGATGATATCCAATGACAAGAGAACAAGCGCGATCATAATGGAGGCAGCTGAGGGAAACAGGCCCCAAAGACTTTTTGTGACAGTCCCCTCAATTCGGGGAGCGGCTGACTTCGCATAACGTTGGAAGTACAGGTCCCGGTTGAAGGTGAGATATGTGCTGAGTATCTGCTGGTACGTTGACTGCGCGGCGCTCATCAATGAGGTGGCATCAAAAGAGAGCTGTGAAGTATGATAAAGGCGGTCGTATGTGAGTGCGGTCATCATGCCAGGCCAGTCATAGTGAAAGAAGGACACATTACCAAGAGGGTTATATGGGTTGGAGAGACTCATGATAGCCCGGTTCAAATGCACCAAGCTAGGCAGTGATAGATTCTGTGAAATGGGCCTATCGTGCATGGCCAATGTCGTTGTAGGCTTTGAGGACGATACAATGCCCCGGTGGTCGAAAACAACCTCGAAACCCTCACTTGTGATAGAGGGTTGACATGAGAGGGCTATCGAACTTTGCGAATTTGACGGCGAAGATTGCGTCGTTTCCCAGCGAGCAAGGATCAAGATTGTTGACTGACAGCCAGTTTCCGCATAAGACACGCCGTCAGGTTGGAGATATGAAATAGATCTTTTGATCAAACCACCTTCCACTCTGTTTGGGGCTTCCACCGTGCAGATGAAGCCGGACGGACTTGTATAGTTCCAAGTTCTTGTGCCGGATCCATTTTCAACCTTTGACCAATCGAGGAGGACCTGGTGGCATTGGAGGCTTGCTCCAATCCCAAGGGTGACAGCTTCATAGTTAAAATTGTTGGCTCCATTGGTTTCCACCTCGGAGTTGGACAAGGGAAGAAACGAGTGTTTTTCGTCCTGCCAAGGCACAATCGGGGTGCCTCGGTTCAAATTGCTGAGCACCAAGCCAATTCCATCAAACTGCACATTAGAAGTGGGAAGCTGAAAGGTCGTGCCATTGTATTGAGCACTTAAGCCGGTAGCCGCCTGCTTATGGAGCTTGGTTTGTGGTTCGAACATTCCTCCACTGATGATTGTAAGGGACAAGCCTAGGGTACAGATGATCGACAAAGCCGTGACCAGCAGTGGCCCTTCGCAGAGATTGTGAAAAAGGACGGAAATCGAGATGTGCGAGCCATAGTTCTTTGCCAACGACGCTCCCATGCCGGCCATGCCCTTCTGGAGGCGTCCCCATGTTTCAATAATCGTCAAGTGCCGCAGAATGGAGGCAAGCAGAGAGCTTACCAAGGATGATATGAATGTAGGCCCAAATAACAAGAAAATTAAAAGCCCGATCTGTTGAGCCGACTCGGCATTGACGTCTTTCAGGGATAGAAAGCTCAGCGCAAAGCCATACGTCACCAGGGTGCCAGTCAGCAACATGCATTCCACCAAAAACCAATGAAGAATGACAAAATGGGGTCTTCGGTCCGTGCGTCTGCGGGCTGGTGGTAGTGCCAATGCTCCAGAGGCTATACTGGAAGGCAGTGGGACTATATCAATCTTTTTGCCAGCTGGGCCTTCTGACCATTCGCACCGGAAGTTCTTTGCCCATCGAAGGAGTTGGTGGGAAGTTGCGTGACTGAAGATTTCACTCGATTGAGCTAGAGGACCTTCTGCGACGAACAGGTCTGCGATGATAGTGCACTGGGCTGCTATTGATCCAGGATCGCTCCGAAGAAAAGTTGCACGACGAGGGTACACAGCCGCAAGAATCAATAATAATGTTGCAGCAGCGAAAAGTAAAGCCTCGGCAATAACGGCCGGGTTCGATAAAACATCAAGAGCTACGAGGGTCGTGACTTGAGTAGCTTCTAACGGAACCGGGGCTGTGACGTCAAACAATTTGTTCATGGTGACTATGAATTGAGAGTTCCAGAAGTGCAAGATTGCATCCTGATATGCAGGCAGATCAACCGAATGAGAAAGAATTTCTTGGTCCAAATTGAAATTGGGCCCAGAGGGAACCAACCATGTATGGTTGACAGAAGTTTCCATGATACCGCTTTGAATTTGAAGCTCGAGACTTATGGCTCTGCGGCTTTTGTGGTAGAGTAGATCATGAAAGCCGGGGCCAAAAAATTCCGCGTCCCGCAGATCTCTTCGACTAGAAGAGTCGACTTTAGCTTCAGTGATCGAAGCATCGACGGCAATTTTGAGCTCAGCTTCAGCTGATTGATAGGTCGCATGGCAAGCAAATGCAGTGCCATTTGGAGATCGACCGGTGTCCACTTCAGCATTCTCGGCGATATCAATGAGGAAGCCGAGAAACGCGTAATTTTCACAATGGGTTGTTTGAAACGCTGAATCCTGACCCAGTACTGACTGGGCACGTATCGGCTCCCAGTATCGCAATTGAAGCGGGCCCCTCTGTGGATGAAGAGTCGTGTTGAGGGCGAAGTCAACAGTGCATGGATGATCATTATCACTAGAAGGAAACTCGATTTGCATTGCGCACAACTGTTTCAAGTCACTGCTATCATGGTCCGCGTTTGTGTCGGTAGTCGTTTGCCGCGCCCACGTGATATTCGTGTGCGACACGTTCTGGCAGGATAGCTCGCTCCAATAAACAGTCTGGTTTATGGATAACATTGAGGTTTCGTTCTCGTCAAGCGGCATAGATACTGCCGCCGAGGCATATTCAGAGGAACGGGATAGGAAAATGTCATCGGCCGTCCTCACCACCGAAGCATCGGTGTAACGTATTGCTTCAGCGGCAAACCAGTTCGTCTGAGTGTCTTGGTCAAGCAATTTCGGCCACGTGGAGACGGTAAATGTTTGATCTAGGGATGTCTCAGTCAACACCACCAGCCCCGCTAATGAGGAAGGGAGCAAGATGCGGAAGGCCATCGACAGGGTGGTGATGACGAAGATCAGCCAGTGTCGATTGCGGGCTGCGGTAACGGGAGCCATAACACCATAGAAGAAGTTGTAGTTTGTGAAAAGCACCGTTGCTGAGACTCCCTCTGGTCTAGCTAACTGAAAATAAGGTTCCAATCGAAGAGCATCGCCGACACAAAATTGCCATAAAGTCACCGCCACAACACCCAGGGACACAGGTACATAGACATAGGCCCCTGAGATAACTTTCGGTATCTCATTGACGGTCTTGTAAATGATCAACCCATTATTGCGTTCTGAGAGTTGACGAATAACCTCGAGTGCGATGCCGAAAAGAAGGAGAAATCCCGCTAACGAGCAGAGGAATGGGAGTCGCAACGTCCAAGGCACCCAGCCTCCATTCACTACATGGTTGTTCCCAGGCCGCTGAGATTCAGTCTCATTATTTCGCTCATCGTTCATCTCTGCATACCAGAGATGTGATTGTGATCATAGGCAGACATTGCGGCGAAGTCCGCTTAGCAAAATTTGCGAGTCAGGAGGTGGAGAAGGGGAGTTTCGACGACCTCTATTTGACCCACCTCGGCACCACAGAACTAATTAAAATGCAGGGGTATTTCTTACTAGTGGGAAGTTAAATGGTCTGGACTTGCTAGATAATCTTTTCAGCGATTGGCCAGGATGTTTTTTTACAAAAATTATATACTGGGCATATCCACCAAATGGCCAAGAACTTGGACAACAATGATCTTGCATATATATATAATGTAGGATGTCATTCTCTAGAAGTTACACTCAATGATATTTACTATCCACTGTAACCAGTCTATTACCGCCTTATTACATAATTACATAAGGCAGCAAATACATCTACATATATGTACAGAATTGTTTTAGGGCTTTCCACGAAACTAGAGGCCCTGGATAATGGTTTCTGGCTGATACAACGAATGAAGATATCACAATACCATACAAAGCTGTGTGTATCTCTATCCTCTATACAGTCAATTTCAAGCCCTTGTTGAGCCTGGGTATTGTAGGATTAATCATAGTGTCCCAAATAGTATGGTCGATGGGAATGGAAATACCTAAACTTTGTTTGCTTGTCGAGGTTGCTTCAGTCTCACGCCAATTGATCTTTATATATAGAACGTTCTCGTTGTTTTGCACATGCACTTTTTGCAATGCACTTGCGGCTATACTACTTATACTGATAGGTAGGGGGCGATAACATTCAACAAGACCTTATGGAAGAATCTTAGATATAACCTTCCTTATATCATCTTAATAGTGGATCGGATTACTAAAGCGCTTCGTCGAGGACAAAGGCTGCATAGGCGGCCAACTATTCTTACGTAGGTAGTTTAAAGGGTGCCATGGGTCTTTCTCTTTGGACTCGGTTACTTTCTAGATGTGCAGTGAGTGAGTTGGGAAAGGCGATATAACTATATATACCTCGAGCATCACCAAATTTCAACATACAAAAAGTCCGCACCACTAATATTGACAGGTTAATACATCAGACTGAAGGCAAAGGAACCTGCTTAAAACCTGCCCCTAAGACTTTTGTCCGCTCTATTGATCTCCATGATACTCCCAGCATTTTCTCATCCTTATACAGATATCCACATAGAGGCTGACTCTCCTGATATGTCTTTCACAGTAAGGCTCGTTCATAATTGGATATAATATTACCATAAAATAGTAATTGTACACGTAATCCATCGGATATTCCAAGGTTCCAACATTGTAAGGTTGGTTTAGTATTGTATACTCAACCACACTGATGTCCGATTCAAATAATCCTTTTTGATAATATAAGCAAGCTCAAGACTTTCCATCAATCTGCCATCGTGGTCGAATTCGACACAACGCTCACCTAAACGAAGGTCTTTATTGTAGAAAACCCTACTAGAGGTATAATTAAATAAATCTCGCGACTCCGGAGAACCTATTAGATATAATGGTTCTTATTAATATCACTTTGCCCTTCAAAACATTGACCAAGGTGAAACAATGCAGACATGCTTTTTTTGACATTCGCGTGGCTATTTGAAAGAAGAATGGAGCAAGGAAGTTCGCAGCAACTCTGATGAACAAGGGGGAACGCTGAGTATGTATAAATACGGAGCTCGATAAAGTTCTTTAGTGGTTGTTGCTAGGTTTGTTTTGGATTATAAAAAACAAAAATACAGACGGTGTACTCACTAAACAGTCACGTGCTATCGCGTGCCTTTATGTACTATATGAGGTCGAGGTCATCAAGGTCGAGGTCCAGCTCACTAACGTTGAAGTTGTCACAAGGCGAGCACAAGCCGAGAGGCCTTTGGTAGATGTAGACACGATCAAAAACAAGGTTTTAATGTACCGAAAGTCTCTGTGTCAACGCGATGAAGGTCCTGTAGTAACAAGGTACTGGTGCACGACGCGTTGCTTTGAGCTACAGGGACTGGTACAGTATAAACAACTCTTCTCCAAGCGACCGGACAAGCCGAACAGTTGATGAAAAGTGGTCGCATCATTCGGGGGTAGTATAAGCCCAAAGACACAGTGCAGCATGACTGTGCACAGTCATGCCGCGAGATATAAAAATTATTCTGACTTGAGGAAAAAACATGAAAAGAACAATTACTACACTGGGGAAGAAAGGAAGAGTGGACCTGCCGTGAAGAGTGGGGCTGCTTTATACCCCAGCTTTCGGATTATATATAATCCGAGGTACAATGTTTATCCGGAGGTGAGGCTCTCGAGCACGTGGGATGGCCGAAGCTTGGGACTTTGCACCTGTACGTACAAAGTAGGTCAAAACATAGCACCAGCCCGGAAATATTCATAATTCCTAGTAAACAATGCTTCTTTACTTGGTTCGAGGTGTTAAGACAGATAAGATGATTTTTCATGGAGAAAAAAGGTAAATTGAAACGAAGCTCGCCTGTGAAGCGAGTCCCTTCGGGGACCACAGTTCGAATTTCTGAGCTGTCGATTTCCTTTTTGTCTTCCCCGGACAAGTACATGTCGATTTTTTTTTTCCCTTTCCCCCTCCCCTTTTTCTCCCCAAAATAGAAATGTATCCTTGCGATGTAGGATTTGATTCTCTAAAGACATATGACTGCAATGCCCTGTAATGGCCCCGTGTATAGGGTGATATATGGGGAACGGCGCATACTGTAGGATCCACGTGATATGAGCGGTGTACCCAAGAGTTATTCTGCCGTAAACAACCATCTACACGCCGATAAGCCATAGTGAGTCTCAGTCCATTGACAAAATATTATCACATCTCCAAGATCTCAACAAGGGGATCAAAACTCCCTCAAAATGGTACAAACCCAACTTTAACAACCCCCGAAATTCCCCAGAGTTCCCCAAATCCCAAACTAACACCAAACCACCAGAGCAAAGACTCCTCCGCCTCATACCTACACATGCACCAACCGCGGCTAGCAGACCTCTTCGAAGAATTTACACGCCCACACACCTCAACAGCCACCAACTCGACAACAGACCCACACAACGCCAACAGCGCCTCAGCCGCAAACCGCGAAGGAGCAACTGCAGCCGCAAACGCTATAACCTACGGCTCGACCTCTCCCTCCACAATCCCCTCATTCCTACCGATCGAAGATATCTACGTGGCACCACAGTACCAGCCCCCGAACCCCGAAGACGAGGACGATGTCGTCCCGGACCAGCATGCGGCGTTTGGCATTACCCGCGCCATGGAGCGGAGACGGGATGCTGTGTGGCGCGATCTTGGTCTCGAGGCACTTGTTAATGGCGAAGGACATGGGCCCGATGCTGGGCCTTTGACTGGTCCTGGAGGAGCTGGTGCTGCTGGGGCTGCGACCTCTGGGCCTGGGGCTACGCTGCGGGGTAGTGGGGGTGGTGCGGCGGCCGCCGGGGCGCCTGTTATTAGAATCAGGGATTCTGGGCGGAGGATGGGTGGGCGCAGGGTTATTGGGTTGCGGTAATGGATATCAGTATTTACTGAGGCTCTTGCCGGTTGGTGCTGCAAATGCTTTCCACCTACCTGTATAGCCAGGTAAATGGGTGTCTTGTGTTACTTGCATTTTTTACTGGAGCATATTCTTTTCGGGCTGGGTAGCCTCGTTATGATACCCACGTTGGATATATCCTTTTGTTCTTATGATATATCTTGAAGATCATTGATTCGTTGCCATTTGCGATTTTGTTCAAAGAACCGCCAATATCAAACGGCTGCAGACCTAGCTGAGTCTGAGCCTTAACGCCGCGCGTAATGCGATATGATTATACATGCCCCTAGATACGATTGATGTCGACCCGAGCCCGCTCGTACAGCTTGTGGCTCAGCTGTTTCTGTTCGCGCTCGTCCTCTGCCACGAGTCGGGGGTGGACGGCCATTTGGGCGTATGAGCCCGCGGCGCGACGCTTTGATAGGGTGCCTGGGTTGATGACTAGCACACTGTCGACGACCTACAGAAATAATAAGGTCAGCACCGTTGATGGAAGTTGAACACAAAAAAGCCTCGTCTGGGGATAACATACCTTTACGAAAGGCGGCAGCATACTAGGCACAATTAAAATATCAGGCCGGACATTCCACCACTCGCCCAGTTTCATGTACGGCAGATCCACCATAGCGCCTGTAGCCAAGCCACCCTCGGACCCGGGCTTTGGAAGATTTGACCGTGCGGTTGGAGGGAACAGAGGGAAGAAATGGCGTTGCTCGACGAGATACTTGGGAAGACGGGTGAGTAGGTTGCCCTCTGCGGGCCGACCATGCAAGACCTCTTCGCGGCGAAGCTCGGAGAGTACATCGTGTGAGCACATTCCAATAACACATTCGTTGAACGATAATGTGACGGGGTTCGAGACCATGCGGACCTGCTTGGGCAGACCTAGTTCCTTCTTGGGGAGCTGCTCCTGGGGCCAGGAGACGTGCCGGCTGAGTGCATCGCGCACAGACGGAACCATCACGATCGTAATGCTTGGGACAGCTGCTGCAAGTCGCGCTAGTGGTGCTGAGATACAATGCCGGAACATTATGGACAGTGTAGCTGTGTCCGGGTCGAGGCCCTTGATGTCTGGCAGGTCAAAATCGCCCGATGCAAGAAGAGGGTGCTCAATGTCCAGGAACGGGCCCATCAGCACCAGACTATCGGCGTAGTTTTCGGCTGCCTTCTGACATAGCTCCTGTAGTGGCTCAAAGTCCAGGTTGTCGTCTGCTGTGTAGGGCCCGGCCGCAATCATGACATTAAGCGGTGGGTTTGCATCTCCGTCAAGTCGCTCGTTGATGTTCTCCAGTGCCACAGCTGAAGATGCGGCTGGTGGCAATAGGGGAATTGGGAGCACTTCCTTGACAGTGAAATATTCACCAGAAGGGTTGATTCCTCGGAGAGCCACGATTTGACCTGGGAAAAAGTTCACCGAGGGTACCGAATCCACCTTTAAGGGGACTCGTCTACCGGCTCCGGTCCGGCGCGAAGTCTCAAGTACGAGGGAAGCTGGGTTCAATTTTCCCTCAAGACTGTCGGAAGCGATCCGTCCGACAGCAAAAATCTCGCTTGTGCTCTGGATGGCTGCACTCCCGAATGTAATATCGTCTGAATTGAATTCTGCCTGGAATATAGTCGCGAACTCGTCGATACGATCATCCAAAATCTCCGATGCTTCTGACAATTTCATGCCCATGGGCTTGTAGCCAAACTTTTTGAGGTCCGTATTCGCGGTTGGCTTAATGCGTGCCTCGGAAAATGGCGCCATTGGGGTTTCTGGCAAGGATAGGTGCGCATTGAGGGTTTCTACTGTCTGGCCAGCATTCGGTCGATCCGAGAACGAAACTGCTCTGTTCCTAATGTTAGCACCTTCAATACATCATATACACCCGAAAAACACATACTGCATTCCATCGCCAGGTGTTCCAGTGGGTGTTTTTGTGCCCGCTTGTGATCCAAACTTTTCGAACTTGCTGACTCTTGGTGTAGCGGGGGAGGTGAATTCGGCCTTGCGCTTTGCGGATCCAAATCCATTCCCAGTTCGAACGTTCGAGGCGGTTGGTGTCAATTGGTCGAACATCCCAAACATATCGCCGCCAGCTGTGGCCGCGCCCCGCGGAGTTGCCGTGTTTGCGCTTCGTTTTTCTGTGTGCCGGCCAGCCTTGTCACGACTTTCACGCTCCAAAGCTTCTTGGACATCTTGTTTGAAGCCTCGCACTGTTTGCATGGTCAAGGTCACCCCCTCGCCCATCTTTATGCTGTATGATTCCCATTTGTAGAAGAGCTCCTCCGCGGGGATTGAATGCACCCGCAACATGGAGAGGAGCTCGGCAAGGATGTCTTTGGGGATTCCATCGGGGAATGAGCCCGCAAAAAACTCATTGAGCTCTCCCTCGGCGTCCATTGTGGCGAGATGTGTATCGTGGAAGGGCAATGGATACTGAAAGTGCAGACACGCGCAAGACGCGTGAGACCGTGTCGCTGACCTAAGCGGCCCAAAGCAGTAATATTATTCGAGCATTTGATCGGAGTGGACCTGTCGATCGCGAGAATTCATGATTCAATTACCCCTAGATTTATTTTTCATTCTCTAGATTTCCACTTGTCATTGTATAGTCTGAATATTTAGATACCATCCAAGATCATGCCGAACTCAGAACAAGGTGTTACTGCGCATGCGCCCACCAATGGCGATACTGTGTCCGATGTCAACGTACAGACATTGGCCGAATCAGCCCCTGTGAACGCCCAGGCCGAGCCTACTTCAACCGAGAAGCCAATTGACCTCGAGCTACCGACCTCCGCCGCAGACGGTCTCATCCAGAAGCCTTTCGCTAAGCCGCTGGACATAGCCAAACCAGCAGCACCCGCGGAGCTTACCCCGGAACAACAATCCAAGTACGAGGCTGTGTTGAAGTCTGCTTCAGAATGGACCACAGTCGCCACCAAGGCTGAGAAGAATGCTCCGACGTCTCCTATAACCGAGGATGAGAAGATGTGGTTGACCCGCGAATGCCTCCTGCGCTACCTACGCGCGACCAAGTGGAACGTGTCCGAGGCTGAGACACGCCTCCAGAGCACTCTCACATGGCGCCGCGAGTATGACCTGAAGAAATTGACTCCTGAGTATATTTCAATTGAGAATGAAACGGGCAAGCAGGTCATTTTGGGCTATGATATCCACGGACGACCATGTCTGTATCTCTTGCCCTCCAACCAGAACACGGAGAAGAGTGACCGCCAGCTCGAGCATCTTGTCTTCATGCTGGAGCGGGCCATTGATCTCACGGGACCTGGCCAGGAAACTCTTGCCCTAATTGTCAACTTCAAAGAGACAAAGTCTGGCCAGAACGCAAGCATGGGTCAGGCCAAGCAGACGCTCGGCTTCTTGCAAAACCACTACCCCGAGAGACTTGGTCGGGCTCTGGTGATCAACGGTTAGTGATTTCAGATCCCAGGCAATCTTATAACAAGTTACTAATCTCCTATCATAGTGCCCTTCGTCATTTGGGGATTCTTCAAATTGATCACACCCTTGATTGATCCGAATACTCGACAGAAGCTCAAGTTCAATGAGGACCTGCGTGAGCACGTCCCGCCTAGTCATCTTATGAAGTCAGTGGGTGGTGACGTCGAGTTCCGCTACGACCATGCATCCTACTGGCCTGCTTTGAACAAGCTGGCTGACCAGCGACGTGAGGCTTACCGTGAACGCTGGGTTCAGGGTGGCAAGCAGGTCGGCGAGTTCGAGAATTATCTAAAGGGCGAGGATGTTCCCAGCCTGTCTCAGACCCAGGTTGAGGCTAAGGCCAGCGAGCAAGCTTGAACGGGAGAGCACATCACCTTGCGCCTATTTGGGTGTATTTGTCATTTTTGGTCACCATTTATTTTTCTTTTCTATTGGTTAAAAGCCGGCATTTTCTCACAGAGCTGGAGTGATTTACTGTGGGCTTCTTATACATATACCGCTCCGTTTCGACACGCCTGTTCATAGACATGTCAATCTTTGTCAATACTTAAGCGATAGAATACCCAAATTATAGATACCTAATTTTTCTTCTTCAGCCTTTCTTGTTTCCTGTCTCACGCACACGCCAATTTAGATCGTTTGGGAGAAGACGAGAAGATAAATATTGATATTGTGGTAAGCCCACACCTGGGTTGAACTATGTATGGAGTAGTAGATGCGGAAATTATAGCCCAGCAACAAAATCCGAATTACAAAATCCAGCAAACCAAGGACCCATATCAAACTCCGGATTGACCCATGATCGCATCAATGCACCGAATTTAGGCAAAACACCGAAAGTACATAGCGGTATAGGTGCCATTCGACAAAACCCCCTTTTCGGGTAATATTAATGCCTGAATTAAGGCTGGCAGAAAAATGAAGATACTTGAATTAGTCCACGGCTACCTAGCCCGGGAGGTCCACTATTATAGAGGCCTTAATAAGCAACGTACCCTAGTTCTGTTAGCTGATCCTCGAAGTATAAAAATGTGAAGAAAAAGGTATTGGGGCGATTTATCTTGCGTAAAAACCTACACTTTCACCACACCTATTAATTATATACAGACCAAAACCAGTTGGAATGCAAAGTAGATCGTTGTTGTCCACGGGTAGCATAACGATAAAAGCAAGCAGGAATATCTTGATGCAGTCGACGTTTCTCTAGATTTACATAACTAGCTTCCAATCCCAACACGTTCATCTCTCATTCTTTCTTCTCTTCCATGATATCATACTCCAGACTAACCAAGCTCCTCCGACGAATCGGCGTTATATCATTATAATATTGGATATCACCATTCAAATTCCTGCGTTGCAATTTTAGTCAAGTTTCTTCCTCGTCGGGCACTGTCATTAGCTTACCTCGGTGTAGAGTGTTATCGATGGTCCGTCATTAAGCAACTCATTGTTAACAGCTTTCCGTGTTATACTCATAAGCTCGCTAGGACCACATGCACCAACAATGATGCGGTCGTCTGATTTGCCGCTTCCAGCAGCAGCGGCCGCGATCAAGTTGCCAATATGCGGGCGCCCTGGCAAGATCTGGTTCATTGAAGAAGAATAAATATTGCCCGTAGACTGTTGCCCAACGCCTTTCTCGGGGTCACTCGTTGAAAAGGTTGGAGAGGGTTCTGGGGAGGGTTCTGTTGGGATCACATCGCCCTGTGCAGATACTTTTTCTGATAAAGAGCTTGGGGATGTGGGTGACGATGTGCCGGACAGGTCAGCCTGACGGGTGACGTAAATGAGCACGTTCACTTCTGGATGGGACTGAAGTTGTTTGAGCTCTTGGGCAAACCATTCGAGGCACTCTATGGGACAGAGTTAGTTGACGAATGTATGAGCATTTGTCCTTGTAAACCTTTAACGTACCTTGATGCCTCACTATCCAAATAAAGTCAACCGACTTCACTGCCTTCTGAGATGCCTCGATCAGGTCTAGTGCAATAGCAAATGTGAAGCTAGCACCGCTGCCACCGGCGACAAGAACGACTTTGTCGAACACTTTAAAGTTGGGGACTTGACCATATGCACCGTCTATAGAACAGCGTAGAGATCTCCCCGGGGACTCCACGGCAGCTTTATATAAATCCCGCGTAAAGCCATCATACACTCGAATAACGAACTCGGACGGGTTCGAAGACAACAAAGTGAACGGATGGCTTTCAATCCAGCGGATGGCAGGAACCCATAAGAATGCATGGGAACCTGGACTGGAGTGCATGCGACGGCTGAGTTTGACCCGAAGGGCATTATTGGGCAAAGCTGTGACAGTGAGGGAATTTCCGAAGAAGTTCCAGATAATCTTTGCGCCGCGGATGATGCGGTCCATGGCCCAAAGACAGGCAGTGAAAATCACGACAATCACCGTTGAAGTCGAAAAATTCGGACGGTGCATTCCGACTGTGATTATAATCAAAATGAACATAATTATGTGCAGCATATAGAAGACTGTGAATGTTTAGAAGTGGAAATTATAGGAGTATGCGAAGGAATGACTCACGTTCATAATACCCATGCATGAAGTATTTGATAGTTGAGAAGCCAATGATTACCATGGCAAAACCTGCAATGGCACCAGCAAAATTCTTTGATTCTTCCATTTCGAACAGGTCCCCACTCTTCGACCAGGCAGCTAGGTACACTATGCCATGCAAAGCGCTTGTGAAGATGCAAGTGTAACCGGCAACCTTGTGTAGCGGGCGGAGCTTTTCGTAGGATGTGGCTGTCAAGGGCGCGAGCGGCGTATTCTTCAAGGCTAAGAAAACCAAGAGCACTAGGTTTGCTATTGAAATCCTGTTTATTGATGCTTGTCAGTTTCTAGGCCATAGGAGCTGGAGGTATTGAGAAGACGAACCAGCCAAATCTTTTGGCAACCTAGGAATTGTTAGTAAAATTGCATACCAGCGTAAGATAATGAACGAGGTCAGCTTACATAGTTGATATTCGTAAGGTCATTATTAGTTAAAGCGAGAACCAAGTTGATAGCCCAGTAGATGATATACAGAAGAGATCGGTCTGTTCTTAATCCCATCGTTGGACTAGAAAGAAAGCATCGTGCTTGTCTGTGACATTCAGATGATCAGCATTATCCTTGGCCCATATGAGCAATGAACATACCTATACTTCCGAGTCAATGTAGTATGATTCTTCCTTCGACCATAATAAAAGTGAATTACACTCGACCAATGGTATACAGCAAAAAGAACCATAATTGCGCCGATAGAGATGGCAAAATACTTATTGCTCCATTCATTGTTAGACAGGCGCAATGCCTTCTCAGCAGCCTTTGCAGCTTTTGCAGCGCTGAGGTCACTCATCCTAACTGTTGCAGACAGACTCAACGTGGAAGCTCGAATGGAAAAAACTGCAGGATCAATACAACTTGACTGGGGAGGTCAATTATTAATCCCACTTCCTCTTATTTGAACTGCGCCCCAGAAAACCGTGCCAAGCAAGAAGATGAACCAGAGACTCCACTGTCTTCAGGATGTTCATTCGGCGTTCTTCCGTGTCTGATGGAGTGAGGACTACGTCAAACGGAGCATTTCCTATATTGTAATGTCCCGGGGACCCTTTCCCCATGCCCACTTAGGAAATGTAACCCGAATATCACCTGCGTATGTACGCAGGTGGAACAAGGATACAGAAAACGGTTGGACGAGCACTGTTTTTTACCAACCCCAAACAACCATATCAAGCCATTTAATGACAGTTCTTCAAGGATTCTTCAGCGGTTCTTGAGCGGTTATTCAGCGGATGATCAGCGGTCCTTCAGCGGACTTTTAACGGATTTTTAGCGGTTGTCTAGTACTAAATATATTGCTAGTAGGTCTGTAAAAAGAAATAAACGGTTAATAAATAGTTGCTCTATTTTCAGCGGTTGTTCAACCGTTTTCTGTATCCACATTCCTCCCATAATATACTGGTACCTAGGTATGTAGTGGCTGTTCTCGCGTTCTGATAGGGCCGTAATGAAATATACGCTTCGGGCGTTGGGCCAGCACCAAAGTCTGGGCATTCTACGGAGTACGAGTTCCTTTTAGCCTACCGGGAGATCTGATAGAGAAAACGGAGATATACAGTTCAAGAGACCAACATGAAGTATAAGTCAGCGAAGTCATATTGGAAGTAAAATCCGTGAAGAGTTTTCATCGCACACTGCATAGGGTGAGGGTATCCATGAATAATAAAAGTCAAAATTTATCTAATCAATCAGATAACCTTGGAAACCTTAAGCCATCCCGAATCTGATTAAAATTTCCTCCAATAATCCACATGGGCAGTTGCCTATCTTTCCATCGAAAGTTTGATGGCGCTAAGTGTGAAACATTGGGAGAAATATCCTAGGGCAGAGTATGGCATTTTCATGCAGAAGATAGACTGGTGGCTGACGTCGGTAAGGCCACAAATTACAGAATAAAATAGTCGGAATGATGCTTTCATTGCTACTCAATGCGTGATATTCCCTGGGACACAAAGTATCGCATTGATCCTCTATGCAGTCAATAAAAGTTTGATGTGGGCAGGCTAATCCAGGGCTTTAGATTAGAGGGTCTAGGGTTGACAAAATTTTCACTCGTTTTCGCATCGGTTGAGCGGGTACGTGGGTACGGAGTATAGCCACCGTATTATGATAAGATTATCAATCAGTTACTAAATACTAGTAGTTCACTGGATGGTACTAGTGCGGGTCAGAAAGTGCCACAATCCAGGTCGTTTCCCTACAACATATACGGATACGGAGTAACTAGCCTGTGGGCTCATGCTTCGGACCCCTCACTGAAGACCGGCCTGGTCAAGTCATGGTGATAATTCAGATTTTTGCAGCGCGTTTAGCGAGACTACCTAGGTATCTGCTCCTTAGAAGCCTTGTATTAGAGAAAATATTCAGACTACCTTTTGAACCCACGGAACCTATGAGTTTGGGGCAGTGCTCAGGTGGGGAAGAACTCCGTCCCCGGCCACGAGACATCAAGACGTCGGGAGACCCTGCATGAAAGCTTAGTGCCTCTTGGCAGAAACGGTAAATTACAAGTTCACATTCGAGAACAATATTTCAATTTACAAAATTAAACCTTGGAAGCTCCTCGTTTTCCCGGCCCTCTCGCCCAATAATGATCCTGCTTTCGCCCAGTGGCCCACTCACCGGAAGACTCCCTTTTCGCCCACCGGCCGATCCATCTCAAGTGATTAAATCTAAAGAGCCAAAGCACCAGTCTCTGCACGCTTTGCCGAAACGGGAACTCTTGTCTCAACGGGTGCTGTCGGATCTTCATAGGGACGGCGCAGAATAAAGGCTCTGGCCTTGGCCTTGGCTCTTGCGACACTGTTCATAGCTGGGTCAATGATAGGAATAGCTCCGCGCTTCTCGCGGTAGAACATCAACCCGTAGCCAATCATGACACATATCCAGTATAAGTTGTAAGAGATCACGGAGCCGTAGTCGGCGGAATTGGTCCAGCCAAGAAGCGCGTTGAAGATGCCCCAACCGCCGCCACCTCCTATCAGTGGGTTACAACAGTTCACGTGCCAGACACTCTGTCGGATGTCATAGGATCCGGCGCCAGAGCCAGTCTCCGCCGCGTCGCCTCCGACAATGTGGTTCCAGGTGTTGTTCTCCAAGTACCAGACACCACGCGAGAAAAGACCGGCGGCAACAAGGTAGAGGAAGCAAGTGGAAATAATCAAGAATATCTGCATCGAAGTCTGTCGTCCGCCTCTATCGGTATGTTAGCCCTGTAGCTTTCTCGAAGGCAATTGAATCGACATACCGGTAGATAATATAGCCCACTAGGATACCGGCCAAAAGGCCGCAAACGACGGCCAAGGGGAAGGAAGTGGCAGGAAGCCCTAATCCAACGCCTCCGACATAGACAACGGCCTCGAGACCCTCACGGAGAACGGTGATGAATGGCAGGATGAACATAGCGTATTTTTCCAACCATCTCTTGACACGACCCTTCTTTGTCTCGTTAGGATCGTGCTTGTGTTCGAGAGCCTTGGCGAGCTTGACACGCCATTTGTCTTGAAGTTTAGACACGCGCAAAAGGGCAGCCCCCATAATCGTGATGATGAGCGATGCGATAATTCCCAGAACACCCTCCCAAATATCCTCGGTGCTGGAGAAAGTGTTTGTTCCTAGGCCGTAGAAACCACCAATCATGCCTGCTCCGACTGCGAGACAAACAAATAGGCCTAAGCCGCATCCCAGCCAGACCTGTTTCCTTTAGCCTGCGAACTTGTATAGGATTGCAAGAGCCGGTCACATACTTGTTTTACCAGTCTTTTATACGTTGGGCGATCACTCTCGTAGAGCGACTGCTTCAAGAAAGCCAGTAGAACTGACACAACCACCGTTGTCTCGAGACATTCTCGAAATATAATAAAAAACACTGATTGAACCGAGTTAATAAGAAATTGTATTTTCCAAAAAGCAGTGCATGAACTATACCGGTGACAGCGAAGACCTTGTTATTACCCATAACGCCTGATATGCCTTTGGCAGTTTCCCAAGGTCCAAAGGAGAAGAGATTCAAAAAAATAAAGTCATTGGAAAGCCTAGGAGCACCCCGGGGCCTGATAAGGCCCCTTGTACTCCGTAGCGCGGTTACCAAAATGCACGTGTATTGTTGGAAATTCAAAATTCAAAATTACACGTGCTATGACCCTGCGAACAAGCGTTTGACGACCCACCTCCGTATTGATCCGGTTGAGCTTAGCTTTTTCGGGAGTTCCCTGTCTCCACACCTGGGTATTTTCGATGCTTTTCTTGAGCGTCTGGCTTTATGATTCGCGGTAGTGGATATGTCAAACACGTACGACCCATCACATGCCCAGGGTCCGGCCACCGGAGTTCTGTTGAATCGCACAAATACTAACCGGCCAGAAGCGATAGCGGTCATGCCATATTTCTGAATTTGGCAGGTGAGCACACGTTCGTGACAATCTGATTCGCCTACAACTGAATAACACGAACCTCATTTTCCCCTGGGACTGCCCCCCCCACCATAGTATACCTGGACCTAAGCCAATGAAAAGTTGACAACCCCCCACGTGCACATGCAATAGACTCCGAGTTACATCTGATTAAGAAAAAACCTTCCAACCTTGGTTGGAAGGAGATTGATTAAGAAGATCGGGAAGGATTGAGTTTGCCCAGGTGGGCTTATCAATCTTGTATTGCGCTAGAAATGTTACAAGCTTCCGTTCCCAAGCTCCCGAGGTCGTACCTAGTCTTTTTTGTTCGCCCTCTCTTTTCATCCGGAAGCCGGAAATTCTTCTCCTACTTCCTCCCTGGCGAAACGTCAAACCATGGCTATTTATCATGGAATGCTGTTCCGCCTTGCGGCAGTACTGCTTCTTGTGCAGTACTGTCAGGCGAAGACAGTGAATCTGGATTTTAACGTCACTTGGGTCAATGCGAACCCTGATGGTCTCCATGAGCGCCAGGTGGTGGGTATCAACGGCCAGTGGCCGCTGCCTGTTATTGAGGTGGACAAGGGAGATCGTCTGATTGTCAATATGTATAACGGGCTTGGGGACAAGGAGACTTCTATCCATTGGCACGGCATGTTCCAAAATGGCACCAATAATATGGATGGTCCGTCGATGGCTACTCAATGCCCAATCCCTCCTGGTGCCTCGTTTACCTACAACTTTACCATCCCCCAAAATGGTACTTATTGGTATCATTGTCATACCGACTCTTGCTACCCGGATGGCTATCGACAGGCTTTGATTGTGCACGATGATCAGTCATATTTCAACGATATGTATGACCATGAACTTACCGTTACGATGAGTGATTGGTACCATGAGCTCGTTAAGGACATTCCGTTCATTCGTGTTGAAAACCCGACAGGAGCTGAGCCTGTTCCGAATTCCTTCCTCTTCAATGACACTCTGAACACCAACATTCCCGTTGAAGCTGGAAAAACATATTTGATGCGATTGATCAATATTGGTGCCTTTGTGGCGCAGTACTTCTACATTGAAGATCACACTTTCCGCATTGTCGAAATAGATGGAGTATACGTTGACGAGCAAGAAACCGATACACTTTATATCGCCGTGGCGCAACGCTATTCCATCTTGGTGACCATGAAAAATTCAACGGATAAAAACTATCCTATCGTGACCGTTGCCGACTCGGTTCTACTGGATAAAATCAATCCTTCTCTCAAGCTCAACCAAACCAATTGGCTCGAATACAATAGCAATGCGGCTCATCCGCAAGCTGTAATGAAGGTGGACGTTGCCTCCGACCTTGTCCCATACGATGACATGAAGCTTGTTCCTCACGACCGGATGGAGCTCCTCGCAGAGCCCGATATGACTATTGAGATCGACGTCATTATGGATAATTTGAATGACGGTGCGGGTTATGCGTTCTTCAACAATATCTCCTACACGAGGCCCAAGGTTCCGACATTATACTCAGTCCTCACATCCGGGGATCTCGCTACAAACGCACAGATTTACGGAGAATTCACACATCCATACATTCTCGGCCACAACGCGGTCATCGAGGTTATTCTCAATAACCTGGATGGCGGTTCGCACCCCTTCCACTTGCACGGGCACAACTTCCAGCTCGTCAGTCGCACTCCCTCATATGGTCCGTCGTTCTATGACTACGCCGACGGTGACCCACTCCCTTTCAATGCCACCGAGACTCCCTCTAGCGGCTTCCCGAAATACCCTGCTCGCCGAGATACCTTCGTCGCACCACCCCAGGGTAACTTTGTTATCCGTTTCGTCGCTGATAACCCTGGTGTATGGTTGTTCCACTGCCACATCGACTGGCATATGTCGCAGGGCTTGGCGATGTCTTTCATCGAAGCCCCGAAGCAGATTCAAGAGCAAATGTCGCTGACAGAAAGCGCAATCAACCTCTGCAAGGCTGGCAACATGTCCTACGAGGGCAATGCTGCTGCTAACACGATGGACCTGCTTGACCTAACCGGTGAAAACAAGCAGCTTTCGTGGATACCTGCCGGATTCACGGCGAGGGGAATTGTTGCAATGGTTTTCTCCTGTGTGTCCGCTTTCCTGGGCATGGCATTCATCACTGTCTACGGTATCTCAGGCATCCAATCTAAGGAGGAGACTGCTGTGGTTACCGAGCGTGACAGTTTGTGAGTTTTCTTTTAGATTTCTGCTGTACTTTAAAAAATCATATATACATGTACTTAATAATCTCGTTGTAGTCTGCTGAGGTTCATGAGACCAATATTTACCTAGTTTGCATGGATGTTTTGCTATCTTGGTCAAAACCCCATATACATTGCTCGAACTAGGGTAAGAGCTCTTGGCATCGCAACAGAAATTGTACCGACGGTTATGAGCCCGATTGCCTATAACATGACTATGTATCTGCAAGTGCCTGGAAGACATTCATGGTCACAATCGGTTCTCTACCTACCCACCAATTCCGCAACGACTACGGAGTATCAATTACCGACACCGTGACGATTCGGGGAACGAACGCAGCCGATCGACTGGCCAAAGACGCAGCGAGCCTACGCAAAACAGATCCCTTCCACCTTTTGCCCACAAACGCGAAGGCGTTTATAACCAAGTGTTGTGTTCGACACCGGTACTTCGTACAGACCTGGAGCCCGATTCGGCCCCAGTAGAATCATACAAGGTTCTGGCCGTCTCAATCGCTAGTATGTGCCTCCCTTTATGAGCGGAAGACTCACATCAGACAATGCATGGAGAGGAACATGAGGGTTCACGCAAATTGGGATTCAGCGGTGCCTACAATGTCCCGTTGAGAAGAACCCTTTCGATGGCACGATGCGCATCTTGGATTGTGACGATGTCCCGGTTACTTCGTATTGCTGAACCTTGATTTTGAACGAACGCAGCAACGATTGAAAAAGTGACAAGCTGACTACTAGTACGTCAATTGTTCCAGATTCCAGATACGATAATGCATGGGCTATCAAGGGAATTGGGGAAGGGCACAACAGTATCCTGATGCACAAGGACTTTACCGATGCCGATAAACTTGATCTTTCGCAGGCTGGAAAGATTCTTCCTTAAAACACTCGCTCATAAAAATGATACAAAAAGAAAGCAACGACCGTGGATTGATCCGTGTTTGATCTAATGTTGTTTTGATCATGGCGGAGTCAGAAACAGGTGTGATAAGGGAGGGAATCGAGCAACAGCCGGCGAGGATAGTAGGCGAAGTGATCGATTCCATTTAGCTTAAGAAACCCTTATTCAGCACAACTTCCCCGATCCTGTTTTCTTTTTTATGTAGTTGATACCATACTTAGACATGTTAACATCAATAAGAGCACCGGTACTTCATTTGGTAGAGCGTGCGATTGCAATATCGACAATCATCGCAAGGTAGCGCTCGATCCGCGCCCGGGGCCTTTTTTTACTTTGTTTTTTGATCATGGCGGCGAGGTATTTATGCTGTATTGCGAGTACCGCTGAGTTAGCACTGCAAGCGATTGGGCTATCAAGTAAATCGAGGAGCACAACAATATTTTAATGCGCAAGCCGTTTACCGATGCCAATAAACTTGGTCTTTCACTAACTGGAATGACTCTTCCTCGTGTTATCGCTCTCGGTGGTGCTCACACTATCACGCTGCCCCTGCTGCGGAGCATCAATAATGGGCCTGTCACAGTGATGGTTATCCATTTTGATAGCCACTTGCGGGAAATCAATCAATGAATGACTGAGGCCGACAAAGCAGGTTGGCCGACTGGTAAATACTAGGGAATCGTAGAAGTCCAATGTCTTTGGTAACTCTCCTAGCGACGTCGCTGCCATCAACCACGCTGGTATCTGCCCAACTCTTTCTGGTCCACCTGACTATGAGAATAATGGATACTGCAGGGTTGAGATTGTTGAGACTCGGGATATTGATATTATCGGTATGCTCTATACCACCGGTTAGCTCAGTGCGGTGATTATGTGCTCGTTAACACATACGCTTTGTCCAGGAACGAATTAGTATCATCGAGAAGATCCGTGATCGGGTCGGAACCAACAACTAAGTCTATCTTTCAATTGATATCTGCATGAGGTACTTATCATTAGGCCGAAAAAGGGACCATTGTCTATTGGCGAGGAGTCTCATGAACCCTAAGGGGGGCGGAGAGGTAGGGCAAATATGTATTTACGCCCATAGTCGTATAAAGGGATTTAAGAATGGACGAACATTGAAGGATTTGGAACATCCCATGTCAGGTTGTAAACAATGAAATTCGTTGGTTTAGGTGCTTATCCGTGGATAGGTTAGGGCTCGGGTTGTGGCATATGCAATGCAATGCAATGAATTTCATTAGCCCAGAGATCGAAAAAAAGCCATCGCCGATCCTTTAACGGGCTGTCTGATGATAGTGGACCTCTTTTTCAAATTCGATCCAGGAACCAAAGTCAAAAGACCCAAATCTGACATTTTTGCTTATCCCATGTTTCAGCACAATTTCCACGTGAATGAAAAGAAAGGAGAACTACGGAGTAAATATCTCGGGTTCGGGATGGATTGGGACCAATTATAGAGTACCCTACCTAAATTCGCCAGAATGGTTCAAGCCTTTAGACATACTACTTTGTAGTACATCATAAACGGAGTAAAAGCCGTTAAAATAGCAGTGGACATTAAGCGATTCCCCGACTCTGGACCCGGCTCCGCATCGCAGTCAATTGGAGTGGAACCCGGGTCCAAGAGAACTACCGGATTGGTTTGTCTGGCCCGTCTTGGACACGATTAGGCTCCATCTGGAAGTGAACGCGCAGCGATCGGCACCCAGAGGGTTATGAGATGGCCGGCTGGGAGGGTTGAAAGGGAAAAATGAGCTCGGATAGTTCCTTTCAGCCCCCCAAGTGTACCCTGCTGAAGCTAAAAAGCGAACCTGAAACGAACGGGCACAACGTGGAGGTTCGAGACATCCGGCTGGTTTAATTTATTTTGGAGATAAGAAAGTGCTTTGCGGCCAATATTGTAATAACTAGTTCGCGGAAGACCGATAATGTAAGGCACGACACTATTGAACCATGTGGTCGGAGTATTTTCATGATAGGGGCCATTGCTTAATAGGTCTATAGTACCCCCTACGTAGGTTCAATATGCCAAGAACACAAGGAAATGACATTAATGAACCTTGGTACTGAGTACATTGAATTCTAAGACCCAAAGACCTCGGGACGTCAATTGCCCCTGAACCAAAAAAAAAAAAAAAGACCGTTCGACTTTGGAGCATCAAATCGTCCTTCATCTTAAATAAACGCTAAACTATTCTAAGCGGTGCACGGTGTCAATTTCTCCAGCATCCTTCTGGCCATCTTCCATCTTTTGCCTCCCTACTTTCTCCTGCACAACGTTACAGAGGGGACGTTAACAGGTACGCGTTTTGGTTGTTGATGTGTTCTTATCGATACGGAGAAAAAAAAGGAGACTGACATTTGAACTCTCTCCACTTTCTAGACATCTCCTTATTCTGCGCTTCATGACTACGCCCGCTATCGATTAGCACTTCGAATTCATTCTATTTCTATTCCACCTGGTGTGGTTCTCTTGGGGAGAGAGAGATGGCCGTCTCACCGCCAGCATCGCCCACTGGCGCACCCCCGCGTCCCATCAGTGCCGTCATGCGCACTCCACGTAGTACCAGTCGTTTAAGTATGAGCAGCAGGCAAGGTGGCAGTCGTGCATCTGATGAGGATGGCAAGACTGCAGTTAAAGTCGGTATGTGCATTCTTTGGATCCTTCCCCTGATCGCCCCATTCCAAGGTTACCCGGTACCTGCAATAAAGAGAACACAACATCAGCCGGCAACTAAATTCATGACTGACTTTGCGCAGCTGTCCGTGTGCGACCACCGCTGAAACCAACCGATCCTGGCTATGAATTGATTCCTCAGCGATTCCAGAAATCCACAGTCCACGTCACTGCGCCAACTAGTCTGGCCGTCGATGTGTCCGCTGGGCGCAAACTATTTGTGTTCGATCGGGTTTTCCCTGAAAGTACCGAACAGGAGGGGGTCTGGGAATATGTCAGTGATAGTGTCGACTCATTTGTTCAGGGATACAATGTCTCGATTATGGCATATGGCCAGTCCGGCGCGGGAAAGTCCTTCACAATGGGTACCTCGGGTCCCACTGAGCAGAATAACATGCAGGATATGGGTGAGTTTGAAAGATGCTTGTTTACCAATACACCCAGGGACTAACCGTATGTGTTCATCTTGATTTAGGTATCATCCCCCGTGCTGCGCAAGTCTTGTTCGATAAATTAGAAGGCCCCTCAAAACATAATCGGAATGGCTCGCAGTCGACTACTGGCCTCCGAACACCCCAACGATATTCAATGACTTCCGCCGCAAGCTTTGGGAAGTTGAACCAGGAAAAAGAAAAGACCTGGCAACTGAAGGCTACATATGTGGAGGTGCGCTTTTATTTTAGGAAACTGCTTGCTGGCGTTCCAAGGTTGCATTGTTCTGACCATTGTCCTACAGATCTATAATGAGCACCTGAGAGATTTGCTCCTTCCCGAATCGGCAATCGCAAACGATCGCAGCAACGTCACGATTCGTGAAGATACCAAGGGCCGCATTATTCTGACTGGCTTGCACCAAGTCAACATTAACTCGTTCGACGATCTAATCGGTGCCCTGAACTTTGGCTCCACCATCCGTCAAACAGACTCCACGGCAATCAACGCCAAATCGTCTCGGTCGCACGCCGTCTTCAGCTTGAACCTTGTGCAGCGCAAGTCTTCACCAGCCCACGCGACTCCGACCCCCATAAAGGAGAAGCGCATGTCGATGCCAGTCGACACGTTCCACGCCGGAGAATCTGTCACTGTTGATAGCAAACTGCACTTTGTGGATTTGGCGGGTAGCGAGCGGCTGAAGAACACCGGCGCCTCCGGAGAACGTGCTAAGGAGGGTATCTCTATTAATGCTGGTTTGGCCGCACTCGGCAAGGTCATCTCGCAACTCTCGTCGCGCCAACAGGGTTCTCACGTCTCCTACCGCGATTCAAAGCTTACCCGACTGCTCCAGGATTCTCTCGGTGGAAACGCTTTCACCTATATGATTGCTTGTGTGACTCCCGCCGAGTTCCACCTAAGCGAGACTTTGAATACGATCTCATATGCTCAGCGGGCCAGAGCCATTCAGAGCAAACCTCACATTCAGCAAATTGCAGACGACGGCGACAAGCAGGCTTTGATTGAGCGACTCAAGTCGGAAATTTCTTTCTTGCGCCTACAGATCCGCAACTCTGAAGGGTCTGAGCGACGTGAAGGAGGATCCACCGAACGAACTGAACGCAAGAACGAACGTGAAAAGCACCTGCAGAATCAGTTGTTGGATGTCCAAGAAAGCTATAATTCTCTCAGCCAGCGCCACGCCAAGCTGATTTCGAATATGGCGAATGATTCGGAGTCTCATGCCAACGGCGAAATGGACGACGCTACCTCTGAAATTGGGAAGAACTCGGTTGAGAGAATGCAGCGGTCCAAATCCTTTGCCGAGTCTGTGGAGCAGATGGTTTTGGAGTATGAAAAAACCATTCAAAGCTTGGAGTCTTCACTCTCTGAAACACGCGCCTCCCTCTCCATCACGGAGAGTGATTTACTCGAGCGTGAGACCAAGTGTGCCTATATCGAGACTATCAAGGAACAGCTTCAGGCCCGTGTCCATAAGATGCAGGATCGGGAAGCAAACACTGAGACCTACCTCCACGAATTGGAGTCTAAGCTTGATGGCCACTCTACAGGCGAAGAGAAGCACGCTGCCATTGTTGCCGAATTGCGCAAGGAATTAAGCCGAGCGCGCGATAGCGAAGCCAGCTGCGAGGAATACATCTCGAGGCTTGAAGAACGACTTGCGGAGGGTGATCAGGACATGGAACTTATGCAGCGCGAGGTGATGCGTTTGGAACATGTCATTGAGCGCCAGCGAGGCCTCGGGCAGCTAGATCGCCTGCTCAGCGAACTGGACCAACAAGATGGTGGGGATAGACACGATATTGCCAACGGCATTGACCACCCACACTATCACCAGCCTAGGGGTATGCAAACCTCTCATAGACACACGCCCTCTCTGGACGTTCTCAGCGAAGCAGTTGAGATAGCCATTCCGGAATCAGACGAGGATCTTGTCGAGCCGACCGTAGAGGCCGAGCTCGAGTCCATTGGAGAATCCGAGCATGAAACGGGTGAGGACTTGAAGGTTCTGGAAACTGCGACGAGCAAGCTGGAGGCACGTCGCTCGGAAGCTCTTTGTGAGGACCCCATCGCAAGTCCCGCCCAGTCCAAGTTCGTTGCCGACAAGCTTGAGACTGTCACTCAGGAGCTTCTCGACCTGCGTCTGCAGCACGAGAACACCGTGGGTGACTTTGAGAACCTCGAATCCAAGTACGAGCAGGCCCTCAAGGCCCTTGAAGAGCTTCGCCAGGATAAAATTGATGAAGCCCGCCACCCGGCACCCAGCGTTCAAAACGAACTTTCGCCGCGCCCGGTGACTTTTTTAGGAAATGGAGGCACTCCGACCTCGAAGGCTGGAGCACAACACTCATCCTCGCAATCACTCTCTTCGGAATTATCCTCGGCCGGGGAGCAATCCACTTTGCGCGCATTATCTGAGGATGGATCAAAGGCAATTTCATCCGTGCCCTCAACCCCTCAGGTGCTGTCGGCCGGTCTGGTGGACTCTGAAGAGTCCGAGAGCATACGCAAGATGCTTGCCGAGCATCAGGAGAGTGCTGAGCTCATGACCCAGAAATATACGGAGTTGCAAACCGAGCATGAGGAGATTCTTGGACTGGTCGAAAAGCTGAAGGCCGAGGCCCAACGCGCCAAGTCGAGCTCACCCCCTGCAACTCCCGGTTTCAAAATGATCCGCCGCATGACTAGCCAGAATCTTCTGTCAGGAGTTGACCGTGCAACCCGAGCCCTTACCGGTCTCCGGCTCCTTGCGTCCGAGGAGTTTGCTGACAAGCCGGACGCTATGCACAACTTCGACTACCATCTGGATCAAACCATGCACGAGTTGCAAAGCCGTATGGAGCGCCTCCAATCCCTTGAAGCCGAGAACCAGGGCGTTAAGAAAGAAATGGAAATGAAAGCGACTATTATCTCTGGCCTGACCAGAGAACGGTCGAGTTTGCAGGGTGCCTCGCCTGTGGACATGGCTCTGGTGTCGCAGCTGCGCGATCAGGTCGTCTCCCAGGAAAGGCAGATCAACCACCTTCGAGACGCCCATGAATCCCGCCAAAGGGAGCTGTTGACCGAGATTGATACCTTGAAGGGTCTTTTGAAGTCTCAAGAAAGCGCTACCCGGGCAATGGACGCCGGTGCCGAGGAGCAGGACCAGAAGATCGGCGCTCTGCAGGGAGAGCTCACGGAGTGGCAAAGCAAGCACAAGAGTGCTTTGGAGTCCCTTCAGTCATCTGAGTCGCAGCTCACTACTACTCTTGCCGAGCTGGAGGGTGCTTTGGCTTCGGTTGCTGCTATGCGCTCTGAGCGTGCTGCTGCCGATGCCGACTCTACTGAGAAAGAAGGCACTGCTCGAGAGCTTGAGGGTGGCCGCGCCGAACAGCAGGAGATTGTGGATAGCCTGATGAAGAACATCGAGGATCACAAGTCTACTATTGCTACTCAGCTTGCGACAATTGCCGCTCTGGAAAAGTCTCACTCAAATGCCCGGGATCAAATGGCTTCACAGACCACCGTCGAGGAAGGAGCCAATGCCGGCGCTGTTGACTTGGGTCTTTCTTCTCGGATGGCCGAACTTGAGAAGGAAATTTCTTCCCACAAATCGGTTGTCGATTCTCACAATAATGCCCTGGATACCCTCCAGGAAACTCACAAGCGTGAACTTGCCGAGTTGGAGGAGCGGACTAAGGCTGCTGTCCAGGCCGAATACGATGCTCGTCTCGTCGAGAAGGATGCTGAGCATGAGCAATCCATGGCGACTTTGCAGAATGATATTGCAGAGTCTCGTGATGAGTTGGTCAAGCTTCTCAAGGCTGTGTCCACTCTCCTCAACTCCGAGGTCTCAGCCGAGAACTTGACGGATCAGATCCATGATGTTTTGGCCCAGAAGCAGCACTTCTCAGACAAGTATGCTGAGCTTATGGGCACCAATGAAGACCTTCGTAAGCAGCTGGAGGCCAACGCGGACGCTGAGAGCCGTCTGGACGAGATAACCAAGAAGAACAACGTCCAGGACGCCAAGGTTAATGAGCTGGCTCTCTTGGTGGCTACGTTGGAGGATACTCTGCGCCAGAAGGACGAACAGGTCAAGAAGAAGGAAGCCCTGGTTGAGGAGATCACGATCGAGAAGCAGAAGAGCGTGCGTCTCGTGGAGGAGCTGGAGGAGCAAATTACGAACAGCTTCGACCAGCACCACAACCGTCTGTCCGTCATTCAGCAGGAGCGTGATCAGGCCCTGGAAGACGCCAAGGCCAAGATTGTTATCTACGAAGGCGACATCGAGACTTACCAAGTGCGGATCGAGCAGCTTGAGCTTCAAATCAAGAACACTGGAACCGCCGACGGCTCCCACGACCGCAGCAGCTCTCTCACATCCAACCTCCGCAAGAGCTCTTCCGCTGCCTCTCTTCCCTCGCCTCCGCCGGCGATCCCTCTCCCTCCCTCCCTACCATCACCTCTCACTCCAACGGCACTTCGAGCGTGTCCCCGCCCAACTCGCGACACGCCAGCAAAGAGCTGTCCAACGTCCAGATGATCGAGGACCAGGAAGCTCGAGTCCGAACAATCGAGAAGCACCTGTACGCCGAGAAGCAGCTGACCGCCACCTTGGAAGAAGCCCTCGGCGACCTTGAAACCCAGAGCACGAAGCTTAAGAGCGACTGCGAGGCCTGGAAGAAGAAGGCCTGGGTTTATGAGGATGAACTGTCCTCCCTCCGGAAGGAACGCAGCTCTGCCCGTCTGTCCCTCCAGGCCGTCGAAGAGGAGCGCAGTGCCCGCCGTGAAGCCGAGGCTGCGCGCGCTCAGCTCGAAGAGCGCATGCTTGCCCTCAACAAGAAAAAGAAGAAGAGCACCCTTAACTGCTTCTAGGCGTTTCTGACTCTGACATTGCTCGAACGCTTGAGCTTTCACAGCATCAAAAGCAATCGCATTCTCACCTGTCTTTATCGTTTTCTCTGGTTGTACACTTTTTTACGTTCTCTTTTACTCTTCTTCTCATCTTTTTTTTTTCTTCTTCGTCCCTTGTTTCATACCCCCTTATTTTATTCGATTCCAATCAAGTTACTCACCGATTTCCCTGTATTATGAGCTTTCACGTTTTTGTCACTTTCCCCTGTCGATTCCGTCAATACCTTGTCCTATAGCCCTAACACGCCCCTTTCCCACTCCGTTCTTCACATATTCTCTTTTTTTCTACTTGCGCTCATGAATCCCTCATGACTGGTAGATCTTTCTATCGATCTTTTATCGTCCCTACGCTGAATAACCTCGATATTGTACATTCCGTCGGCTGTTTCTAGGTTCATTCGCGTTGAATCTTTGTGTCGCAACCGGGAAGGATCTTGTCAGCTCTCAGTCGCTTTTCTCTCTGCTTGAATCTCATACGGATGTTCCCTCGTTCATATTGATTTGCTTGTTTCGTGCATTCTTGTCAATGAAGTTTCAATTGTCGACTTATTTCCTATCTTGCTCAGACTGTAGAGTAAAAATTTGATAGGTTATGATTGATTTAGTTTCTGCTATTGGTTTATTCCATAGCGCTTTTAGCAACATTGTAGCTGGTATATATGTATCCTGTTATGAGATGGTTCCATTATCGCCCTCAGTATTAGGAAATGAATGTGCCTCACTTCCGCCGTATGCGAGTACTAACGCAAATGCATTGTTCGTTCGCTGAACCTAGTCGTTCTTGATATCCGCTGCTGTGGTTTATATCTTGTGTGCTGTCTTCTATCGGATCCTAGGAGATCTTGAGAGCAAGTATATAATTCGAGCTTCATACTACTTTTCTTGAACCATTTGGCTAAAATATTACTCTACATTATCTTTAAGTGCTTTGCACCGAAGACGATATCCCACAATCTTATTAATTAATAAGAACACTCGGCACTTGACATCTACTTATGATAATCCGTTAACTCACACTGAGCCCACCACGCCATAATAACACCACAGCCTAAGGGCTTATGTTCTAGGTATTAGCCGTTACAATGAGCCAAAACATTATTGACACAGAATATTAGACAAATGGATCAATTAACTTTGTAAGATAACACTGTGGCATATGTACTTGCATCACATGACGCGTATACCCCACGTGTCTTTAAGCTTGTCGCAACGGCAGCTCCAATCTCCAAGCTCCAAAAACAACTCACCATGGGCCTCCAACGGTCCAATGTGACAATAATCCACCCGGATCTGGGTATCGGAGGTGCCGAGCGGCTAATAATCGACGTCGCCCTAGCCCTCCAGAACCGAGGCCACCGCGTAACGATCTACACCTCCCACCGCGATAAGGCCCACTGCTTCGACGAGGCGCGCGATGGCACGCTGGACGTCCGCGTGCGCGGAAACACCCTCTTTCCCGCCCATGTCTGCGGCAGACTTCACATCCTCATGGCTGCCTTGCGCCAGCTACATCTTACCGTCTCACTACTAGGCGAGCTTGGGACAAGGGGGACACCGGAGACAGCTACCATAACCACCGATGACGAGGAGGACCGCGATGATATCTTCATTGTGGACCAGTTGCCGGCTTGCGTGCCATTTTTGAAGTTGTTCGGCCGCCCGCGCCAGTCCAGACGCCAGCGCATCCTCTTCTATTGTCACTTCCCGGATCAATTGCTCGCGCGTCGTGATGAGGGCGGCTCACTTCTTCGCTTGGCAAAGGTGCTGTACCGGTTTCCGTTTGATTGGTTTGAAGGCTGGGCGATGAGCGCGTCGGATCGCGTTGTTGCGAACTCTAGGTTCTCCCGTGGGGTCGTGCGTGACGTCTTTGGTGCGGACCGGTTGGGTGATGTGGAGGTGGTATATCCTTGTGTCGACATGGATCCCGGGGTGTCAGTGCCTGAGAAAGCGGAGGAAGACCCCCTCTGGGGCGGGAAGAAGATCCTGCTCAGCATCAATCGCTTCGAGCGTAAGAAGGATATGGCGTTGGCGATTCGCGCTTATAATGGACTAGGAGCGGAGAAGAGGAAAGGGACGCGGCTAGTGATTGCTGGTAAGAACTTGTGCATGGATTTGGGGTTTGTATAAATTCTAACATGACATTTTGCAGGCGGTTACGACAATCGTGTCCACGAGAATGTTCAGTACCACCAAGAGCTGGACGAGCTCGCGACCAGTCTCGGGTTGAAGACCGCAACCTCCAAGACAGTCCTATCTGCACTTTCAATACCCGACAACATTGATGTCCTCTTCCTTCTTTCTGTTCCCACTGCATTCAAAGATACCCTGTTGGCGCAATCAAAGCTCCTTCTCTACACACCGATCAACGAACACTTTGGCATTGTACCTGTCGAAGCAATGCGCGTTGGTCTCCCAGTACTAGCATCTAATACTGGCGGTCCACTGGAGACGATTGTCGAGGGCGAAACGGGCTGGCTCCGGGATGCCCACGCAGATGAAGAGTGGACTGCTGTGATGGACAAGGCACTATACGGACTGAGTCGGGAGGATCTTCAACGCATGGCTCTTGCTGGCAAGAACAGGGCGCAGCAGGAATTCTCACTCACTGCTATGGGTGATAGACTAGAAGAAGAGATCTCCACCATGCTCAGAGCCGAAAGAAGGCCATTCAATGGGTGGCAGCAGGTGTTTGTCATTCTCGCACTAGTTGGGGCTATTGTTGCAGTGATGGCTGCAATTTTATTTCGAGCGTTATAATCCAGAGCCCATGCATTAAATCAGTGTACTTTACATTAATCTACTATTTCTTAAGTTACACTAGTTCCCCCATTTCCTCCCTTACTGAACATGTTCACCCCCAACACCACAACCACTCTCAACATATCGGTCACATGACCTCGTGTTTTGTTCGCGGTGACGTCGCGTCCCCCTCTATCAATTGTTCTTTATCCTTAATCGCCGCGGCCCTAGTGGCATTGAGGTTCCTCAACATGCCCGAAATAATAGACCTCCTATCCTCCGATCCTCCCACCCCACCAAAGCCCCAGCCGCTAAAGCTGCAACAGCCAGCCGAACTTCCGTCGCGACGTCCAGCCCACCAGCTCAATCCGATTTCGTCAGACCCGTTCGATACATCCCTGTTCGACTATGAAGACGTCTTCGACAAGCCCGCCAAGAAACGGCGAGTGAGCGACCAAGACACTTCTTCTCTACGACAAAGCATCACGCCAAACGAACCTCGAGCTCCAGCCACTGCGGCGGAGCCTTGGTTCTCGATCTCCGATGATGATTTTGACCTGCCGCCAGTAAACGCTGCGGCGCAGAACAAGCCATCTAAGTCGCGCGTTGAAGAGTCGGATCCAATTGTCTTTACCTCTTCGGCCCCAGTTCCTCTGCCAAAGCCTTCATCGCGGAAACCGAATCTTTCAACCCGGGATATTATTGCGCTTGATGACGATGACTTATTGACGGACCCCATGAAACCTCCGCCCTCGAGTTTCCGAGGGCGTAGTGATATTGATGAATTCAGTGATCCGTTTGCTCTGCCGGAGTTTTCTGACCTATTGAAAAAACCGACTGTCTCGAATCCCATCTCGAATCCTATCTTCTCCGAATCGACAGCTCGACTATTATCTCGCCTTGGCGACGAACATACTTCAGGCCCCAAAACAAATTCTGGTGCTCGAAAACAGAAAGGCACTAGCCTAAAATCTACGGCCGCGGAGGTCTTTTCCGACGACGACATTGATGAACCAGCAGCACCCCGGAAGACAACAAAGAAGACAAGCAAAGTTACCACCGCTGAAAAGGAAGCAAAGGCGAAAGCACGCGATGAAGCAAAGCTACAGCGAGAACGAGAACGCGAGCTCGAGAAAGAGCGCAAGCTGAAGCTCAAAGAGGAGAAAGCGAAAGAGAAACAACGTGCTGCCGACATCGCAAGCGTCAACAAGCTGAAAGTGAACAAAAAGGATTCCGCACCAGAGATGATCGTTGACATGGCCACATCTCTTGAAGACAGCAGCGTCGGCACTCAAACCGTCGAGTTCATGAAACGACTCGGCGTCCAACATACATTTTTCACAAGCGCAATTCCCAACGTAGTCAAATGGCGTCGCAAAATGAACGCCACGTACAACAGAACCCTACGCCACTGGGAGCCGTGTCCATCCTTCATCCAAAAAGAAGACCACGTGCTCTGCCTTGTACCCGCGCAAGAGTTCATCAACATGATAACCGCACCACCAGACGACAAAGAAAGAGAAAGAGAAATCCTAGAAACGCACGTCCTGCGAATAAAAAGCGCCTACCCAGACTGCAAACCCATCTACCTAATCGAAGGGCTGACGGCTCTAATGCGCAAAAACACAAACGCCCGCAACAGAGCCTTCCAAGCCGAAGTCCTGCGCCAACTCGCCGAAACAACCGTACCAGAGGAACAAAGCACAGCTCGCAGAGCGCGAAAATCAAAGAAAAAGCCCGACACGACGCCGCTCGTCGACGACGAGACTGTCGAAGACGCTCTGCTCGCACTACAGGTCACGCATTCCTGTCTCATCCACCACACGACCGCGCCAGCCGACTCCGCGGAGTGGATTAAGAATTTCACCGAGCACATCTCGACAGTGCCCTACCGCCGTGAACGACAGGAAGCACACAATGCTGCTTTCTGTATGGATACCGGACAGGTGAAGACGGGCGTCGATAAGCAGGATACTTTCATCAAGATGATTCAGGAGGTCAACCGCGTGACGGCTCCTATGGCTTATGGGATTGCGGGGCAGTATCCCTGTGTTGCGGATTTGACTCGTGGAATGAGGATGCATGGCGCTATGATGCTGGAGGATATTAAGGTAGGTTTTTCTTTTAATCTCTTAGAGATGCTGGCTTTGTTTCGTATCTATACTGGCTTGGCCTTTTTTTTTCTATCGGAATTTCTTACTGACTGCTATAGAAATCCGCGAACAAAAACGGCTCCCTGACGAATGCGCGCATCGGACCCGCTGCCAGTAAGCGGCTGTACAAAGTGTTCACTGGACTTGATCCGAGTTCAACGGACATTTAGGTTTGTTTTTGTCTTGGTGCTTGATTTTGGTTATTCTTGCCATTTTTAGCCTGGGATACTGTAGAGATACCTCTGCATTCTGGATGTTGCATCCAATTGGCGTCTCGGATTATCTTTTGGTTAATTGCTCGAGTAGTTGGGCTTCTGATACCCTGCCTGCCTCGCCACTCTTCTGGATGGGAAATTGGATATTGCCCTCCAAATGAGATGGATTTCCTGTTGGTTTATGGGACATATTGCTATTGACTGAATGCCAGTTCGTACAGCCCAAGTAGTGTGCCACCTAAAAACACAGCGATTGCCTTTGTCCTTTTTGTGCAAATGTAGTATTTGAACATCAATGTAAGATGATAGAAAGCGCCGAAATAAATGCAAATGCCAAACCCACATTCATGTATAGAACCCATATCAACGCCCATATGAAACTCAGATACCAAACAGATTAGGCATCTCAAAGACAACGAAATCCCAAAATCAAACCCTTCGCTACTAAACGCTGAAAACTAAACAACAACCCCCCTCCTCTTCCACCCCCTCCAAGCAGCCAACCAAGCCAAAACAGCAACCCAAACACTAACCGTGCATCCAACAGCCCAGAACCCATAGCACCGCCATCCATGGCACTGACCATCAGAAAAGCCATCACCGTCGCCACGATCCATAGCATTCTGATAAGCAGCGGAGTAAACAATACCCCAGAGCGCAGCACCAGCCGCAGGCATCATGCAAACGATACCCCAGTTTGTGGCGAAGTTCTCGACGCCCCAGACGACGGAGATGATGATGGGTGCTAGGGAGAAGGCGCTGCCGTACCCGAAGCCGATCAGCGCGGTTGTCAGGTTGAAGATTCCTGGGTGTGCTAGTGGGAGAGGGGAGGCGAGGAGGAGGTAGCCCAGTGAGAGGAGGAAGGCTGAGGGGATGAGGAAGGTCATGCGGGATAGAGTGAGACGTGAGGATGGAGGGGATGTGTGTCGGGAACCATCGGGCATTGAAGGGAAGAGGTGGATTGCTGGGGGTGCGAAGAAGTCGGAAAGTGAGCCTGTTAGGAGGCGGGCGATGGTCGAGGTTAGGGCTATGGTTGTGACGTGGGTTGAGGGGGATCCGGCTGGGGGTGAGGCGCCTGTTGGGTAGGATTGAGGTGTCAGGGTTGGAATGATTGTGCCCAGCTGTTTTGGATAATAGGTTAGCTGTAGTCTGGAGGTGAGGTTTTAGATAAACTCACGTTGTTGATGTACGATTCGCCGGGGCCGGTGACCAAGAAGAAGCCTGCGGCCAGCCACCACATGGTCGTGTCTTGTAGGAACGCGCGTGTTTCATAGTTGAGCAGCCAGTTCTTTTTCCGGCGTTCCTCTTCCTCGCGTTCCTTCTCTAATCTTTGCTGCTCAAGCTCTTCTTCAGACAGGGTTGAATGCTCCACGTCGAATGCATCAGAGAATGTGCCGTACTCAACCGCTTGCCTGATTTCATTTCGCGGCTGGAAGAAATCACTCTCCTCCAGCAGTCCACTGCGCTCCAGTTCTTCAACCGTCTCATCAATATACTTGTCATCATCCTCCACGATGCGCAATGCAAAGGTACCGATTATCCCAATCCCCAGCAACAGCAGTGCCAGAAAGACGAAGTATTTAAAAACGTCGAGGTCACCGTGACTCCCATCCTCGAGGTGTTCATATAACAGATACGTCCCGAGCTGGCTCTGCCACATACCACTGAGACCGAACGCCGCAATAGGAACAGCAAGCATAATGCCCTTGTGCTTTCCCCTGCCGAAGTTCTTGGCGCATGTCGCAACAGCTGCTAGATACATGCAGCTAGTCCCCATACCAATGGCGATAAACGCCACGACCATCACCCAGAACGGCCATCCAGAGCCGCCCGCATCAACAGGCGGGCCGCTCTTATACGTGAATGCAGCGAGGAGATACCCGATGCCAAAGACCAGTCCCGAGAACATAGCTAGTGGCGACGGGCTGTACCGATCACACAAGTAGCCGAACAAGGGAACTGGAAGGTACATTGCGATTTCCGCTGCGATAGAAACGGTATTGACCTGGAGCTGCGAGTAATGGAGTCGGGTAAGGAGTAGATGGCCATACAAAGAGAAAGCAGTGATACTGCCAGCTCCCAGACTGCAAAACACGAATATAAGAGTCAGCTTCCAGGGTCCCGATTGAGATATTCTCTTAAGTATGATAGTAAGAAGAAGGCTTTCCCATACCAAGTAATAACACCCCAGCCAAAGCTAAGCACTCTGATAACCTCCTTCTGCATCTTCCGCCTGTCACGCTCGACAATCTCCTCGACGACATCGCTCAATAGCCCGTCATCACTCCGTAGACCGAGTCCGTCACCGGAGCTCCGTGAATGTCGCCGTGATGGCTCTGCGCTTCGGTCGGTTGTGTCTTGTTCTGCGTCGATATCCTGGAGGAGCGGGCGATTCGCGTCGAAATCACGCTTATCGATCGTCATGGTGCTTTCTCCGCACCGGTTGCGCTAGGCTGTGGAACCGACTCTTTGCCGAGGGGAAGTGTAAGATAGGCGGTATATTTGGGTATGAGAGACGGGAAGGCGTTCGAGATCAAACTATGTGGCGTTCACGATTTGGCAGCTCTGAAATATTGAGTACGATTGTCCGTGTGATGGAGCTTCAAGGGCGGGGAGCGGTGTCAGCTGGGTGGATCCCGAGGTTGTGTTGTTCAATGCTTGCGCTACGTCATTGGAGTTCAGCTTTTGACCATAGAGAGTTATGTTCAATGTAGCATTATTGAGGTACAAGGTAATGTATATGTTATCCAAAAGTAGTTGTCAAGGCAAGTTGAGGGGAAGAGCGGAGAGAGTTGGAGTCATTCCACGTGACTCATTACAGGTCTACTATATTCGATCACGTCATTGAAAAAGGAATATATTGTGAAATAGTAGAAATGAAGGGAAATCGGCCATCTAGAGATAGAAAAAAGGATACTCATGTACAAGTAAGATCATAGTAACAACCCATGAAGGAGACAGACCGAAAAAAAGGTATTTGGAGACATTGGGGGGTATTATCAATATCAATAAAACAAGACTGAGAAAAGAAACTGATACACGCCCGAGAAAAAAAGACAAAAAGGCTACTGGGAAACAAAAAGAAGAAAAACAAAAGCAAAATGGGCAAATAAGAACTTGCAACGACTCTAAATGCATCCAAGCGTTGACGGGGATCATAGAAATACCCAATGAAGGGCTGGGTCGTTATTTCGTAGCGTCGATCAGGCGAGATCAGGCACTGGTGCATATGAATGCTGGCGTTCCGGCGTGGAAGGGTCTATCCTCCGAACGCCACGTATCGGCAGTGGGCCGAGAGATGATGGAAAAAAAAAAAAAAAAAGCAAAATTCGAAAAAGAAAAAAAAGGGAACTAGAAACTGACTTCGCCCGCGTCTGTTTCCATCATGGTCTCATCCCAATACTGAGCAGAGGGTCTCTCACGAGCCGCAGGTTGAGAGCCCAGCGCGATGGCTTCACCTTCACCTCGTTCCACAAATTCATCTAGACTGACCTCTTTCATGATCCGCTGGAAATACATGCGCAGTGTGCGGAGGCCACGCAGATATCCACGGTCGATGTCGTGCGGGTTGTGAGGTGGACATGGTGTATCTGGAGGAAGTTTGTCCTCGCCAGTGACGCAATTGGCGAAATCGACAATCTTCAGTTGAACGTTCAGTTTGCTCTGGCCGTCTTCGGAGGTTCCATGCTTGAGTGGCGTGGGTTCTCCAGAACGAGGTGGTCCTTGCGGAGGTGGAGATTGTGGTTCTCCGTCGTAAAGAATCAAGAGACTGCTAGCATAGAGCCGGTAGCTATCCAGTTGTCGAATCATGTGCTCTAACAAAGCTAATTTCTCCAGAATGACAGGGATCTTTTTGGCAACACTGGCATAGCTGACGCCGTCGTAAAGGAACCGAGTGAGCGCATCCTGGAACTCACGGCCAGATTTCAAATCGCGCCCGAAATACTTGTCTTCAAAGATGTACTCCTGCTTCTTGACGTTCCAAGTCTGCATGCCGCAGAGTCGCACACCCAGCTGCTGCGAAGTAGTGGACTGACATTTCCTTCGCTGAGACTTCTTCTTCTTCTCATTTGCTTCGATACCATACTGTCGAGTACCCATCTTCAAATCCAACACGCAGGGTTTATTCATACCAGCTGTGAGATCCTCAAGGAGGAGGAAGAACTGCACTCGTTCGTCCTTTCTCAACTGTGCCTCTTTAGGGTTGCTGGGCAAGATCGTGTTGATGGGTTCTTGTGGTCTGAAGCGGGTTGGATCAGAAGTTCTACTAGGAGCAAAGCCCTCGGTTGTGAGGTAACCATTGGGCGAGTTACTTTCTGACGCTGGTGAAGCTGACCGTTTGGCGGTGGAAGAAGCATTCGACATTGAGGCATCGGCCTCCATGGAGAAAATATCATCCTCCTTGTCACCGCTATAATCATCGTCATCGAAGAACAGGAGCTCTCCATTGTTGCGAGAGTCCATGCTGCCACGTCTCCGGAGGCCACTCCCGGAATGCCGCCGTCTTGTGTGATGGGCCCGAGAGAGCGAGCTTGCTCGGTTAGGCACCTCTTCGGTCCGGATCTTCTCTAGGCGGTTTTGATTGGCGTCCAGGGCAGTCGAAGCCGACGATGAAAGAGCAGGGCCTTCACTAGGGGAAACCTTTATGTCAATCGCTTCTGTCTTGAGAGCTGCGATTGGCCCATGGACTGGCCGTTCATTGCTAGCTGTGCGGTCTTCTGATAGGTTCTCTCGGCGGCGGGCGGCGGGCGGCATATCGGAATTAGCTCTTGGTAGATGGACATGACCACGAGCGTGCCGTCGATGATGATGAATGGCAGGAGGGCTGAATACCTCGCGGAGAACCTGCTCCTGAAGCTTGAGATTGACGGTCGTGGCGCCCCAGATCTTGGCCCGCTTGCTCAGAGCCGATGTATCAGATTCCGCTGACATACCTTTGAGGCCGTCAGCGGACCGTGCACGGTTTATTGAAGCATCTGCTGTCCGCGGTCGCTGTTGACGGGTAAAAAGATCGGCAGGAATGATGTGGCGATTGTTCTCAAGAATGACTTTGGGGATGACCCCTGTGACTTGCGACTGGCTAACAATTCGCTGTGGCTCTTGTGACTCTGTTGCCTCGAGAAGCTGAGAGCTGAGGGCGGAAGTTCCATTGGCAAGTGTCGTCTCTGAAGTTATTCCATCGGCAGAATCAACCTGATCCTTTCTTTTAGATGTCTTCGAGAAGGTGACATTCAACACTCCGATGTATCTGCCCAGAATATTAGTATTTGATACGCTGATAGCCGTCTCCTTTCCATGGAATTGATTTAACGTACTTTGGAAGAAACACCAACATATCTGGGTGCCTCATTTCAATGCGTTCATAGAACTCATTCTCTCGGTTGTTCAGCTGCTTGCATACAGCGCGTCTGGAAAATCGGAAAACAGTTGTGTGCCCGCCAACCTGATGTCGATAGGGCTTTAATTCCACGGCACCAAGAGGCCCCGGGGGTTGGGGCTGGGGGCGAGAGAGAATCCGAGAACGCTGGGTCGGTGTGGCAGTCGGGGTTTCGACCTCGTCAGCAGATTGTATACTTTCATCTGCTGATGGGGGTTCGACTTCGGAATCGTAGATTGAATCGCTGTATTCAGAGATGGTACTCAAAGGCTTGTCTGGCACATTCTCTCGTGGAGAATGGATATCGCCATAAAGGATCTTACTTTCATTCTTAGATCGAAAGGATATATCCACATGGCTGATTTCCTTTTCGGGAGAATCGCTACGCTCTTGCGGTACTAACATCAGCTCATGACCTTTCTCCGCAGCCGACAGCTGACCCGGCTGTACATCAAGAGGCCCATCGGGAAATTGTTGTAGGCCATCAACCCCGTCAGGCACTGTACGCTCGTGGGGGAAGTAAACGGCAGACGAGATTTGCTCATTTTCCTCCTCCTCAACCCCAAATTGCCTTGATCCACGACGCTCCTCTTCCTCGAAAGAGTCAGACGGGGATACCTCGATATGAAGATCCTTCTGGAAGTAGTCACGGGTGCGCTCTGAATATTGAGTTGGAATGCTTTTTGAGAAAGAAGATCCATGGCTACCGCCAGGCGTGAGATGAAAGTTCCGGATCTCCTCTAGTAAGCTGCGAGGCAATGCTGTAGGGAGACGCTTGGAGGGCTCATCGTCATGTATGGTGTGGGGGAACTCAGCCGGAGGTGGAGGTTGGAGAGACGGAGCATCGCTAAGTGCGGAGAGCGATATGCTTTTACGAAGCGAAGTTTCCTGCTCTGAACGATGTGGTTCTTGTTCATAATCCATGATGCGATCCCTCGACTCCAACGTCTCATCTTGTGGCCGGCCGCGATCCTCCCGTCGTTTGCGATCCGGTGAAGACGTTGTGTTTTCTTTGAAAAGGCCAAGGTAGTGGCTAGACTTACGGCTGCGCACATTAGAAGCCGGCTCCGCGTTGGTCAAATTGGCTTCAATAGAGCTGTCAACTCGGCCACGACGACCTCTGCTGGGGCTTCGCTCCAGCACCACAGGGGCCTGAGGGGTTTCTTCTTTCGGACTGTAGGATAAGAGATCCCGACTGACCTGAGAGCCCTCGCCAGAGGAAGGGATGGTCAAAGAGTGGGAGGTACGAGAGACATCATCTAATGTGGACGGCAAGAGATTCCGTTCAGGTAAAGTGCCTTGAAACCGACGGGTCTTCGTACCTGTGTTATCCAATGGCACCTTGGACCGCTGAGATCCCAAATGAGCCTGCACACCTGTCTCTACCTCGGTTTTCTTTAAGTGATCCGTCGGCGAGGTCGATGCGCGCAGGAGAGACAAACGAGGGAGATCGGTGGATGAGAAGAGAGTAGAGGAACGCAATGGAGAGTTTCTGTGGACGTCAACTTCCATGCGGGAAGGGTCGACGTTAAAACGGTGGGGAGAGACCTTGGAGAATGCACTTGGAGACACGGATGCATCGTCGAGGCTAGGGATCAAGTTGATCTGGCGTTCATTGCCCAAGGCCTTTTCGGGGGGTAATTGTGGGGTATTTGCGGCACTATCTGAGGGAAGGTAATGAGTAGCGAAAATACTGTCACGCTCTGACAGCTGAGGCCGGTAGACAATATCCGGGTGCGCGGTATTCTCCGGAGGTGTGGTAGCGGTTCTTTTTAGAGGGAGTAATCGGGACGCGGGCTGGGACCAGGAATGGGCGGTGGGGGATTCAGCGCGCGATGGTGATGGAACTTCGCCAGACCCCTGAGACAGATGCTGGGCCTGCCGCAAGTGGTGACGTGGGCTACCTCCATGGACGGTATCCTTGGAGCAATCATGTTGGGCAGGTGTAGCAGGTGTCACCAGGGGGGCTAGGCAAGGTATCTTCGGGTACGGACGGCGAGTTTGACATGGGGTGGACATTGGTCAAGCACAGGACGGGATGGTATGGAAGCGGAAACCGGAGTGGTTGGGCGTAAGAAAAAAAAAAAGAAGATTTAAGACTAAGGTAGATGCCTGGAACTGAAGGAAGAAAGATAGGCGTTAGAGGAATTCTATCTCTATGGCATTCAAGGGGTGGGGGAAAAAGAGTGTTATGGGGGGGGGCACGTTGGGGCAGAGAGAGATCTTACAGGCTAAGAAAAAGCCGCAAATCGGTCAGAATGCCGGGGAAGCAAAAGAAACAAGGAGTAAGGGAAAGGGAATTGATGAACGGGGAAGTTTGAGAGAGAGGCCTTTGGACCGTCACCGCCCTTGGGTGGATCCAATTTTCAAGGCCAAAATTGGGGGGGAAAAAAATGAAAAAGATAAAAGATAAAGAAGATACTGAAGATATTGAGGATATTAAAGGCTATTGAAAAGAGATAGAGAAAGGAAGAGAATATGGAAGAAAATGACGAAATTATATAAAAAAAATTTGAGCGGGGAGTTTGCCTCTTTCACTTTCACTTTCTTAGAGAGAGAATACAAATACACCTCAGCTTCTACAAGTACTAACTATAAGTACTAGTACGGGAGTACTCGGTCTATTGTGGAACGTCTTACAGAGCTTCTCTTCTGAATACCTTGGTATCTTCTGGCTAGGGTTCCTGGGGTATTGAAGATACTCACAGCATAATCTCAGAGATCTCGGAATGATATACTGGGATATAACAATGGATATTGTAGGCTCCCAAGGTTGAGATTTGTCAACCCCATGCTTCGAGCCTACATACCAAGCAAGGTAATATTTTCAATTGAATTTCTCAATATCTTTATTTTGATTGCTATCTTGCATCTGCCAATCACCTGTCTCAATGCATAGTGTGCAGCTATGTCGATCGCTAATAGGTGTTGATCCACGGGGCTTATAATGAACTCGGTAACATCTTAATATATTAGCATCTTAGTATATTAGTACCTTAATATCTTAATACTAGTTTATTCTGAGGTTAAGCTCTCGGACTAAAATGACCAAGGCCTTATATCCCCTTCACAGTCCCCGTAAAGGAACTAAACTAAAACCACTTTCAAATTAACTGCCCCCACTTTGAAAAGCCACGAAAATGACCTTATCTTGAGGGGAAACGAAAGAGAAGTACGTAGTACATATTCAGCCAAGACAAATCAGTATAGTGGAATTAAAATTCTCAAAGCTGCTGCCTGCTTAGTATTATCATATTATCGCTCTTTACAAAATGATGTATAATCTCGCAGTATATATATCATGGATGGATGTGAATTGTTCAGCTGGATAAAAGGTCGGGTAAGGCTGTATTCCACAAAAGCTTGGACATAAATAATAGAGATATTCTACCTAGGTAAAGCGGCATAGTAAATATATAAGTAAACCAAGATAGCCTACCTACATATGTAGACAAGGGTTGATTAGGAGACTAAAACCAACAGCGCTTAAGTGTGATTGTGATGGGATAAAAGTGATTGGGAGCCGAGCGGGTCGTAACCCAACCAGAGTCCTCAGCGAGGTGAAGCAGATGCATTAGGGGCCAAGGGAGAAAGACCAGGATTTTTTTTTTCAACGAACCAGCTTCCTCGTAGAAGAAAAAGAGAGGAGATCCCCGCAGAGCTCTGACTTTTGTACTCCCCGCTTACAAGCCTCCTATGGTCTTCCACTCCTTAGTTTAATGCCGGCTTCCTTCCACCATGCGCCTTCGTTCACACTTGAGGCCTTATAGGCACGTTGGACCTTATACATCCCATTTTCCACTGTCGATCTCATGTCCTTTAGCAAATCCCTCTTTCCCTAATACCTATGTTGATCCCCAGAAAGCCGTTGAGTCGCGTGTCATACAGCGAGATTCCCACTTTCAATTATCTACCTCGTGATCAACCAAATCTACTATTTTACTCTTGAGGAGATCTCGATCAGAGTTATATCCATTTACTTGTTAGGAGATTCGCGAGAAAGCCTACTGCCTTGACTTCAAAATGAGTCGTTTGAACGTGGACACCACAGTGGGAGGAAATCACCAGAGGTATTCGTTTATGGAAACACCACTCGAAATGCATCCATCCTCCCACCAACGGGATCTATCATCGCCTCCCCCAGCGGAACCGAGTGCGCCCCCGCAGCATCCCGCAGTGGAAGAGCCCCCGAAAGAGCGACAGCGAGCATGGTCATATGCACCGAGTGAGAAAGAGCAACAATTTCAGAATCAGGGAATAATCCCGGACTATGCCAACTGTCCGCCCATAGAGCAGCACCCAGCGAATTATGCGCCTTTGGTTCGCAACCAGCAGCAGCAGCAACAACAACAACAGCAGCAGCAGCAGCAGCAGCAGCTACAACTACAGCAACAACATAACACTTCAGTGTCTCCTCAAACGTACGCAATCACACCCGAGCACCAGCAGCATGCCGCTCAAGTTTACGCCCAATCCTATACCAGCCAGTCATATACAAACATAGCCGAACAACAAAGTCGCACGATGTCCCCTCAGGCATACGCGACCCAGTCGTATACAAATATACCAGAGCAACAGCAGTACCAATGGCACCCGCAGATTGGCATGAGCGTATCTCCTCAGTATGCGAACGTACCCGAACAACAACAGCACAACTTCCCGATGTCTCCCCACTCATATGCGAGTCATCCGTATGCGACGCAGTCATACACCCACATCCAGGAACAACAGCTCGGCATCGAAATACCCACCCAGCAATATGCCTCGTATACCGAACCTCCCAGCTCGCCACCCCCGAACTCACCAGGGCCACTACCCCTGAAGGTAAACCCCGAAGCTCTCTCACGAAGCGAAACCATGCCCATTGTTCCGGACGAAAACCCCCTGCAGTCACCTAAGTCGCCGTATTTCCCTCCACCCACCAGAGCGACAACATTGCATGCACCCCAACCAGATGACTTGAGCGCATACCACCAGCCTGGTCAAACCACCCATCCAAATCAGGAGATGAGGGGAGGAGGATGGAGCAACGGACTATGCGAATTTTCGAATTTCGGAATCTGCTGTCTGGGACTGTTTTGTCCGTGCATTTTGTATGGGAGAACACAGCACCGACTCTCGATGAAATCGAGAAAGGAGGATCCGACCAACATGCTCGGCTATGAGACATGTAACGGGTCATGCACGGGGATGGGACTGCTATGTGGATGTCAATGTAAGTCTAACTCCAACTTCAAGTTCAGGACCAAGCTTGAGTGAGATCTGCAACATCGCGACCGAGCAACTGAGAAAAAGAAAAGAACCATTCTAACACAGCACAACAGGGTTACTGGCCACGGTCCAACACACCAGAACGAGAAAGGCGTATGGAATCCAGGGTAGTATTGCGTCGGACTGTGTGCGGGCAACCTGCTGTACATGCTGCACATTGATTCAGGATGAGAAGGAGATCCAGAAGCGTGAGGAGTACCGCTCTCGCGCGGCCAGGGAACGGGGGGCGACGCTGCTCTCGCCGTATACTACTCCCGGGCCGATGTCTTATGGTCCGCCACCGAGATGATGCGCCATTTCTAGCCAGGGAGCAGGGCTTGACGGCATGGAGTCCTGTGTACATGTATATAGTTTTGCATTGTGATGTAATAGCGTTTATCATTTGATATGTCTCGAGATGTTCGATTTAGGGCAGTTTTGTAGGGAAAGAGTACTCCATACTTCTGTCAGCCTTTCCAATTTACAGGCGTGAGAGGGAGATGCTAAGTTTGAAGATCAGGGCTGGTTGTTACGTAAATCCACTACTAGTAACTAACTAACTAACTAGTTACTCTCGTTAATGTTGCAGATCCATGGATGACTGTATGCGGCTGGTGAAATGTGATCTATCACATTGCTACCTACGGTGTAAACATGGCATGGTGAGGGCTGATACCGGGCTAATTAGCTTAATTGAGGCACGCAGAGAACAAAATCGGAGTGAGAACTGATTAATTAATACAATCGACGAGAAAATCTATTTGTTCATCTTCAAGTACCTGTTTTACCATAACAACATGTAACCCCATCGCCAGATCCACCCAACCTCTAAAGTTTTATAACTAATAATTGAGCATTTTCGAGGCTTTTACGACATATATTCCAAGACAGGCAGAAATCATTAAACTTTCACATAAGAATATTGAGGGTCTCGCCCAACTAAATATCAAGCCAAGACCCGCGGGTATACGGGAGACTCCAAGTGACGGCAGCGAGCCACGCCACCCAACTAAGCCATTCAAGGTATGGAAGGTAGCAGTTCGAATAAAGCACGTAGTAATTTTTGCCTGCGGGATGTGTCATATCAATAAACTCGAGAAAGATCGCACAATCGTGCAAACCATACTGGCGGATTGATACCGATCAGCCCCGACCTCACCGAGGGGATGGGTCAATGCGCCAGGATGATCCACTAAGTGGCACACCGATTTTTTGAAGAGTCTACGGAGTCGGAGTCCTCCCGAGGTCCATACTACTTTGTACATAATTGCCGTTACGGCACCCCGGTTGTCAAGCTAGTCACGGCAATATGTAAGGCGATGCACTGGAGGGGCGCATGGGCCGTAGATATATTCATGTCAAGTCTACGATAGCTGATGCATCGATTGGTGACGGTGAAGTCGGATCGGTTCTTGGAGGCTGGCGCCGGCGTGGAAATGTCTTCCCTGGAAAAGGTTGAAGCCCTGGAGTAGGGGTTTGACTATGTTGATGGGCTAATATGTAAGGATGGGATATATATCAACCCGGTAGCTACTGCTGTGAGAGAGCGGTCATTGTTATAAGGTTATATTCGAAATATTAGAGCTAAACAATGTGAGACCTGTTCATTTCCTTCTTTTGGGGGGTCTGTTGGTTCGCTTCTGTGTATATATTCGATCTGGGATTCCTAGATCGCGCTGATATCTGCACTACCACTCCTTTGAGAATTCAGTCTCTATACTTTGTTGATACATGCGACATGCCGGATTCAGTGGCCTGGACCATCCATGGCTACGACCATGATAACTTACTCCATGTGGTTATCACTTCGACTTGCTTTGCTTTCATATTGTCTACTACTGCAGTCGGATTCCGGATCATCTCTCGAGCGATTAACAGAAGCGGTCATTTTCTGGATGACTGGCTCATTATCCTTGCGTTGGTGAGAAGCACGCCTTGAATATTTATATATCAAGGCTAACCTTTGTAAACAGATCCTCGAATACGGCATATCGATCGCAGGAGTTGTGCGTACGTTAGTTCATTCACACCTAAACAAGCCACAAGTTAACGGACAGCAGTACTCTACAATGGACTAGGAACCCATATCTTCGAGCTCTCCCCCGAACAGATAGTTGCCTATCTAAAGGTATGATATTGGATTCGCATCGCTGTGTATCACATGTGTAGACCACGTACTAACAGATCTGCAGACACTGTTTACAAGCTCGATCCTTTACACAGGCTGCATTGCAAGCATCAAACCATCCATCCTAATGCTCTAACGCAGACTTTTCCCTATCAAGACCATGAAATACGCCGTCAATATTGTATCTCTGAGTGTGATCCTGTGGACTGCCTGCGGTGTTCTCGCAGGCTGCTTCGCTTGCATCCCAACCGAGAAGCTGTGGCACCCCATGGTAGAAGGTGGTTGCATGAATCTGTCAAAATTTAACTACGGTATTCAGATTCCCAATATCGCCACAGACGCAATTATCCTCCTGATGCCGATGCACATCGTGTGGAACCTTCCCATCTCCAAGGCCAAGAAGTCGGGTCTTTCTGAGGTTTTTGTTCTAGGATTCTTGTAAGCTCTTTACCCACTGTCTCTATGTAAAGCATCCCTCTAACAAAATTAGGACTCTAATCTTCGATATCATTCGTCTGGTCGTCCTGATCCAGCTCTCCACACAGGGGGATGAAATTACCTGTATGCGGAATTACTCCCCAACCCGAATCTATAAAAACTTCCTACTACGACTCGAACAGATAACCAAGTCCCAGCAAGTGTGTGGAGATGCATTGATCCCGCTGTCGGGATAGTTGCAGCCTGTTTGACAAATATGCGGCATTTGTTCAAGGCCACTAACACCAAGGTCTGGTCCAGGCTATTCGGCCGATATATCACCAGCACGAGTGGTACCAGCGATTCACAGATTAATGAGAAGGGTAGCTGGCCGCGACAGACCCCTAGTTCCACTGGTGAAGGGAGTTCTCCCAGCCTTAGTGGTGATTTGAACCAGTCGCCAACTCATAACAAGTCTACTGTGTAAGCCAGGGGCTGGAACTATGCACACCTATACGGATTGGAGTTTGTCTTTTGTCTTTCTATAAATGAAGGAGGTATTATTTCATTATTTTTTCTCGCCTTGTCATCTTTTACCTACGATGAGGAATCCAGGATCGCTTTGTTGGCATCTTCCAGATCTTTATCAGGAGGAAAAGAACACAAAGAGTTCAAACAGTGCTATTGTTTTTTGTCTCAATTGAGTGATTGTCAGCCAATCGACAAAGTCATTGACTTAGTGCAACTAGGAGGAACGGATAAATGAAAGAATTGCATGACTAGCCTGGAGAGAATGGATGACAACGAAACAAAGGCTCTTAATAGCTTAGGTGAAAATTAACCGGAAGTCATAAATAGCTCCTCTTCCAGCACTTTCCCGAGTAAGTCGATCAAGCAAACCATATTAAAAACTCCGAGAACAAGGTTCGCTCTCTCTCTTTCTTTCAGTCTAATAGATTCCGAATCGTTAACAAGACCTAGGTAAGTCCCAATTATTCCACCACTCTGCTCAAGCCTCCGAGTTACTTTCTCAACAAAAGGATGTCTAACCGCGAGCCAGCACGCTCGCTGTGGCAGAAAAGCTTCCAAAAGGAGTGCCGCGCCTTTGTGAAACAGGCAGAGGCTCTAGCTGATTACAGCAGACAACACCCGAACAACTATGAGCATGAGCATATTGGCAAGGTTTGTAGAGGGCTTGTAAGTCTATGGTCTCAAATAGCGCGAGTGAAAGACACCGGACTTGACATGGTTGCGGAGACCCCGAGATGTTCTCTTGTTCTCAAGCAACGCAGCTATTGGTTCATCCGAGATCTTGCAGATCAGACAGAGTTTGAAGACGAATGTGATGAAATAGAGGCTCGTCTAGACGGATTGGCACTAAAGGTTCAACGCTGCGAGTTAGAGAACCTTTGGGTTGCTGGAATTCTTGAGTCGACGGCTTTGCATCTCCAGGATCAGTTTTATGTATAGATCGCTATTAATGGAAGTGAAATATTTTGTTAGAATTTGCGTGTGAACTTGTAGTATTGCTGTTGTTGGATCCAGCCAAGACAACCTCTCCCGATTCAATGGTTATCCCTGATATAGTCAAGGATTTTGGCGATCCTAGGACGATCTACATCATCCTGAAGATCCAAGTACCTGCCCTTTTCCACACCCCGGGGGGCCCAATCCACAATATCCTTTTGTGTATCAGAGTACTTATACACACGCATATATCTCCCCACGGTAATTATACCGTAAACGGGGGTCCGTTTGCCCTTGGAGCGTGTCTTGTGAGTGGCACTGAGATACTGACGCAACTGCGCAGCCCCATCTTGCCAGACAGATTCCCGGCCTTCTAGGCCCTTCCTCTTACACTGGGTAATCAGGAATTTGGTGGCCTTGTTTCCATTTTCTGGGTAGTGAAAGGTATGCAAGTCCGAATAGCCTTTCCTTCCTGATTGCGATGTGTGTTTATCCTGAGGTCGCGTGATATAGCCTTCACCGACAGGAAATTGCCAGGACAATATCGCGTTCCATACGCCAAACGCAACGAACTCGGGACCAGCCCTGTTGATGCGCTTCATCTCCCTTTGGATGGCATGGATTTTGAAAAGCTAATGAGAGTTAGCTGACATGAAGTAGATTGATCCTAGTTTGGTTTACCTGCAGGATGATGGGGGCGGTGCTTAAGGAAGCGTAGAGATCACCGCACAAGGGATCTCTATGGTGAGAGAAAAAGAACCTTGTATGGTTCCCCTGGAGTGGAGCGGAGGGGGACAGAGAGGAGGGGAGAGAAGGGAGAAGAGATCTGGCTAGTTACAGGTTCTTATAAGGAATAATATTTAAAAAAAAGATATCTGAAAAGAACATCTGAAAAGACATTTGAAAAGACATCTGAAAAGACACCTGAAAAGAACATCGGAGTGTTATATTTCATATAGCGTCTCTTATATCATCTTCAGCCAGATAAAGTAGATTATTAAAATCCTGCGTCCTTAAGGATAGAGGCGGCAACTTAGACTTCTTATAGGGGTAGGATGAGGACCCTCCATCGATACGAACATAGCCGGGAAAGATAAGAATTCCAAATACTTTATGTAAGTTTATATTGCATAGGATAGGTCTAACCAACCTAAAACATCAGTCTCATACCGTTGTTGAATGTTCACTGGACTTCACTTGACCCCGGTTCCGAAAAGCATTCCATGAATTCGAGCGTTCATTGTTACATCACTGTATAGAGGTTTTATTTCAGTAACTCGATAGAATTCTTCATGATCATATCAACTCAACACTACATTTATCGCTAGTACATCCATGGCTATTGAGTTCGAACGAGACCCAATTGACTGGGATATCAATCCAGACCCAATTTGCCTTCTATGCGGAGTGGAGGTTAAGGAGATGATCTACTCCCAACCGGTGAATCCAACCCGCTCTGATGTTCTGTTCAGAGAAAAGAAGTGGAAACACTATGCGAAGGCCAGACTAGAGCATGTGATGGTCCCATCAAAGGAGGTAGAAGAGGTGGATTTTGCCAAGTACCCCAGCATGTGGTCATATATGTGTCGAGCCAGTGAGTTTATTGAAGCCTCCTAGGTCCAGCTTATCCTAACAGTTCCAGTAATCAAAGAGCCTACTACCAAATATTTTCTGAGTGGTATCACTGCACTTGAAGTGAAATACTCCTATCCAGAAAGGCTTCCACGAAGTCCTTACATGGTTCCGAAGAACCCCGGCATGGCACGAATCGGTGGGAGAACACGCAACCTCCAATACGATGATACCTTCATTCCATTCTATCCAGCAAGCGTCAGAAGGCAGCTGGGTCGTTTCAGAGGCAAAAATATCGGATTCGTTGTCCATGCCCACTGTTGGGCTCTTCTTAACCACATCATATCAACGACATTGGTTGAAAGCAAAATGGATAAATTCGTTCGCGCTGCCCGAAAATACTGGCATGATCATGAAGCGTGGGGAGGTCTTGATTATATGCTCATGGAATGGAAGCTTCGGCTGGGACCTCGTCATCCAGGATTCTACTACGGCTGCGATATTTACAAGAATCCTTTCGTAGTGCCCGAGGTTCAAAAAGCAATTGACAGCGCAAGGAAGACCAAGAAGGAACCTGTGAAATCCCGTTGCAGTGACGTACCATTGGAAGTTGCGATTATGATCGCCGAGTGGACTTGCCCTATTCACTACACACCGGCTGATGTGAATAACACACGAAATTTGCTTTCTGCATGGCAGTGGACATTGCCTGATGGGTTTTGGAAAAGCCGGCTAAAAGAGGAGATATTCGTTGAATTGAATCCACTCAGGGAGTCCGACTATTCAATTGATTGGCAGGCCCTACGGCTTGATTTGATGGGTCTTGTTTCTGACCAGGAATGGTATTCTAGCAGTGGCTTGCCGAATCGTGAGCGGGTACTTGGCTTTATGAGTGCTATAAAGTCGACTTTTCTCAAAATGCGTTGAGGATAAGAAATATCTCTGCGGCAGGACTTGCTAGATCGCTTATGATATGAATTGAATCGATATTTTGGTATACCGGACTCTGATCTCTCTTTATGAACAGCACTAGTGGTATATTTCCTATATCTGTGAAAAGATATGACATTTAGTTAAGAGGCACATAGTATTGTAATAGCGGGTGCGAATTTTAATACTAATATCTCTTGTTACACTTACATTTGTAGACGTACAGGGATGCTGATCTGCACTAATCCCGGACAAGGTACTCGGTACTTATCACAAGGGGGCATTATGCGCGTATTGCTAGGTACTGGGTACTTAGATATACCAGTAGCATATCCTCAGCCATTTTGAGGGCTAAGCAATGCCTCCACGCCCAGGCAGAGATGTTTATTGTCCACACCCGCGTGATTACAGTGCGCCTGAATTCTTAATAGTAGACTAAATAGATCCACATGTAGTAAAGTAGCGCCAAGATAGCTAAATTGCATCCCCGCGCCCTAACCCACATGACCCGAGCGCATGGACGCCAAAGCTCTGATAAAGGCGATTTTTGAGAGGTCTTTTCTCCTTCTTTTGGATTTTGCCTGAATATGCTCTCTTGAGATTTACGAGGTTCACAAGCTGCCCCGTAAACCCAACATGCGTGGTCTCGACGAAAGCACCGACGTCTTTTTACGTACTGGCCAGAAGGCCCAGGAGCAAGTGCGACATGCTTGGGATGGCTTTATAAATTTCGCGGCGAGGGATAATGTTCTTGAGGTTGCGTTGGGTTTGATGTTAGTTCTCCCTCTTGCATAACACCCTAACCACCCTGCTAACATATAGATCCTGCCCAAAGTATTGCTAATGCGTTCACTAAAGTCGTCACATCTTTCGTAACAGACATGGTTCTACCGATTGTCTCTCTGTTGCCATTTCTGAACCGAAACATGGATCAGAAATTCGCGGTTCTCTCCAAGGGTCCGAATTTCGACCAGCAGAATGGGTATAACACCCTCTATCAAGCGAGAGAAGATGGAGCACTGGTTCTGGCTTATGGGTATGTATACCCACCCCAGCTACTCATGAAAGGTATCCTGTTCGTCAGTTTAACACATATTTATGCAGACTGTTTATCGAGACAGTTATCAACTTCCTGGGTGTCAGCCTTACTCTGTACGCGGTCGGACATTTGTACATGTTGATCTTTCACGACAAGGTCATTAAGCCTACTGTCCGGTGTCCATACTGCAAGCAGTATATCGGTGAATCGGTAAGTGGTTTGATCGCATGTGTGCTTCGCCTCGGCTAATTATTGAAAGGCGCTTCGCTGTCGCCATTGCTCAACGTGGCAAGACGGAAGGGAAGATGAGCCTCGGAGTGATAAAAGATCTCGCGAGGAACTGGCTGATGCCGAGCCGAGTTTTTCTGGGGAAATTCCCTAGGTGGTACTAGACGGCGGGCGTTTGTGAGGCATAGACACCGTGATATGGAGGCAGTCTCTTTTCGCATTTGTTGCAGTTTAGCGAGTTTGATTATGCACAAGTGGACTTTTTGATTTTTAATTGTCAATATTGACGGAGGGCCATGGAGAAGTCTGTTTGATTTGTCACATATGAATTGGGATTTTAATTAAATGTACAAGAAGCTCTATAATACAGACGCCAAGAATGCCAGATCAGATCTAAATGTCTATACCTCTATATCGACCACCATTCGAATTCACTTATATCCTGTACCGGCAAAGTATGTTGTTTGCGACGCCACGTCCTGCGGGCATGCTTGACGAAAGCCTCTGGAGGAGACCAGGCTGCCTCCCAGGTCTGAGGCTGTCTTAGGGTAGTTTTAGACTGAAGAATGCCAAAACGGAAATCAAGGGCATCGACACGCGTGCCTGCAGGAGACGGCAGTCGCATGTAGTAGCGGACACTGTCAGGAATCTCCTCAGCCACATGGCTAGTCATGATCAAGGCTTGATCCTCCGTAAGACCAGTGTACCGGAATTGTGACTCCGCTAGAGAACGGGGTACGGCATTAGGGGCACGGCGTTTAGGTCTCTGGCCAATTTCCAAGAATTGCAAGCACCTGTTACGCTGTGTTGCAGATAGGCCCGAGAGAGCTTCGTCGAGGATAACAATGTCCGGCCTGGCGACGATTGCCCGACAGAAAAGCACAATGCGTTGTTGTGCGGGGGTGAGATCACCAAAGAGAATCTCATCCGCGTACCCAACAACGTGATCTATTAGTGCGTATGTCTCTAGCCTAACGTGAGACCGCTTCACGAGGGGCGGGAGACCGGCAGTCGATATTTTTGGCACCTCGCTCGTGACGTAATTCGGATCAAGCTGGGGCTTGAAGAAATGCAGGACTGCAGATATGTCTTGATCTCGTTCAATGTTCAGCTTCGGCCTTGAGAGGAAGGTCTCGGCGTAGGCAGTCTCAAGCGCTTCACGGATTGATAATTGACGCGGGAAGAACGCATGGATCTCCGGCGATGAGTGTCCAATGCGGGACTGCAGTTCAAAGATTGAAATTCCTGGTTTGCCAGGTTCCGGAAGCCTGGATCGTCCGAAAAGTTTAATGGGCTCCCCATACGCCTGCGGATGGTCGGATGTGATCATTGATAGTAAGGTTGTCTTGCCTGACCCATTAGGACCGAGGATCGCCCAGCGTTGGCCCCGACGAACTCGCCAGTGCAGCCCATGCTTATTTTCGTCATTCACCTTCTGCTGCCAATTACCGAGTATTATCTTGTTCCCATACTGGACGCGAACTCCTTCCATATCAATGACTGGCTCTCCGCCCAATGGGGCCTGGACTTCTGAGGACTTTATCTCATTCGTATGCGCCACCAAATCCCCAAGGAGTTCTTTGTCCAAGACACCAGTCTTCAAGTCTGCTTTGCATTTGTTTAATATTTGCGTTTGCTGTTCGGGCAGCGAGTCCGGCTTAGACTTATTTGCAACGTAGCTCCAGACATTGAGCGTGTCTTCGATAGCCGCCCTTGGCCCTTGGAGGAGAACTTTATGGGAATTGCCCACAACCATAATATGTGTGATCCAGTCCGGCACCTTGTCCTGGGGGCGCAGAGCTAAAATGAGCCGCGGGGCGTTTTTCTTCGCTAGCTCATGAAGAAGTTTAGATAGCTTTCTCACTGCCACCGGGTCCAATCCCACTGAGTAAAGGTTAGAATGCCATAGCCATCGAATACGAATTCGAAATACTCACTAAATGGCTCGTCAAGAAGCAATAGCTCTGGTTTGCTTAGAATCGCCTTTGCAATTCGCGCTCGGCGGGTTTGACCATTGCTCAGACTCGAGACTGGCAAGTTGACCAGAGTTCTTAGGTCAAGACTTCGAAAGGTCCGGGTGAGAAATTCCTCATCATGTAGCGTGCCTTCCTCCTCGCCCTCCATCGGGTTCAAAGAGGTCTGGCCACGCAAGTATTGCAGCACAGTCCAGTCGGTTTCCTCCCGATAGCTCTCATAGCGTGCACTGAGATATGCGCCACGGATTCCCCCAATGGCCCCCGAGCCCTCGCCACTGAATCCAACATATTGGATTGCATTTTCCACTACGCGTAACCGTGGGTCCTTCTCGTCGATCTCGTCCGTGAGGAGGTATGGGTATGAACGTGCGTTGGGCGGGATGCAGATGTGTTGGCCCTGGAGGATATGGAGGAGGTCGGTTCGGCCAGATGGACCAATAATAGCCCAGTGTTGCAGAGGAGCCTTGCTTGAGCCGGGTGTAGCGGGTAGAGTGAAGTTCAGGTTCGGGAAGAGAGGTGGATTGGACGAATCTTCGGTGGTTGGGTATTTCTTGTAAAATGTTCCATCTTGAATGCGAATGAATGGGATTTCGGACGTGAAACGGGTTGCGCGATAAGCTGTGAGCCGCAATACCCTCGGCCGCAATTTGGTTCGGAGTAGCATCGTCGCCTACTGGAAAAGTCGCAAAAGTGCGGAGATTGGAGATTCGGGGTTAACATTTTACAGATCACGTGACTATATGTCATGATTCTAGATTGTCATGCAGGGGTTGTACCTGAGCCCCGGAGACATCCATGAATTGCCATAATATAGGTGTATTTGGTGCAATATCACGAACGCAATATTTTTGCAATGGCTAATCAAACTAGGGGTGGTATAATCAGGAGTTGTCTTTTTATATATATCATGTGACCTGAGCAAAGTCCACTTTTCTGCCTCATCCCACTGATGAATCAGTCAAACAACATCAATAACCAAGTCGCAAGACAATCCGAATTTGATATTGATCATCTCTTAAGCACACATGTACGATATGTACATTTTCTCGAAGATTGAAACGCCTATACTCCTCATGTGACTGTTCCGATCTGATCGCATCCGATCCCGAGGCCGGATAGCCGTCTATTTCGGATCTGCATCGTGCGGGGGTGTAGCTTGACAGTTCGATGTGTTTTATACCCGTCTATTAAGATTCGAAGCTGCAAGTACTGGATGAAAATACTTGGAAATATTTGGAGCAAAGGCAGCATATCTTTCTTATATTTCTTGCCAGGTCGTAGTAACTAAATATAAATGTGAGCCGGCGGCTGATGGGGCGGGTGTGGCCACCCGACGGCCAAACTCTCGGGACCCGATTACCAGAGGTCGTCATCATGGACCCTTATATAGCCGGCCTGCTCTTACTTCGTTTCCCCACGAACCTTCTGCTCATCTCGTGCTTTCCAATTACGGATTCTCACGTGGCAACCACGACTTGCGTTGATCCGATACCAAAGAAATCACCGTCGACCTCCATTCAACCGACATTCAAGTGCAAGTAACTGAACAGAGAAAAAAAAGTACAATGACAGGCAGCATGTACTCTCCGGTCCTTGAGACCAGCCGCATCTTCTCTGAGCTGTGCGAGCAGTCGGAACGTTTCGACTTGCCACCCGAGGTTTTTGCAAACAAAGACCGCGTCTCGTTCTCTACCAGTCATAATGAAATCTACTTCCCCATTCCTTTTAAAGAGACCGAGACTCTCGCCGCTCTAAAGGGCGTCGAAGGTTCTGTCGCTGCCGCCATTGCGGACCTTCGCTTTGGTGCTGGTGCGGAACCTCGTGGCATTCAAGTCAGCCTCGAAGCTGCCACTGCCTTCGGATGTCAAGCGTACATGGCAAAGGTGGATGGCCTGTCAAAGCTGGACCCTGCTGTGAAATCGAAGCTGAAGAGTATGTACTTCCGTGTAGACCGATTTATTGAGCGATAAGACAATACTGACTGTAATAGACACAGATTTGTTGGCTGCCCAGTCCAACGGCTACCGACGTATGTCGGCGAATCTTTACAAGACTAAGAATCCAGACGAGTACTTCCATATTCATGGCTCGCTGGAGGCTACGACGACCTTGAACATGATTGGACTGGAGGGCCAACGGCCAGACCTGACTGACTATGAAGAAATCATCAAGGTTATTGAGAATAAGGTACAGCAATACACAGCTGCAGAGCTTGAAGAGATGAACAAGGAGAGACGCCAGGCCGGGGTGACTGCTTACAAACATGAGGAGTTCATCAAGACTCCCCATGTAAGTTTTACACAGTGCTGTATCCGACCGCGACAAGGAAGCTAATCATTTCACAGGGAAAGCTTAACGTCGAAGAGCCTGCATGGAAAGTCACCAAACTGCCTGGTGATCTTCCGCCAACTCCTTTCCCAACTAGTCGCACCGGCAGCAAGAAGATCCTCGAGGGCGTCAAGGTACTGGAGATGTGCCGTATCATCGCAGGCCCGACTGTTACCCGTATTCTAGCCGAGTATGGTGCCGATGTTTTGAAGATAACCAGCCCAAGCCTTTCCGATGTGCCGTTCTTCCAAGTCGATGGCAACATGGGCAAGCTTGCAGCAGATCTTGATTTGAAAAGCGAGGCTGGACGAAAGGAGTTTGAGAAGCTCCTGGATGACGTGGATGTTATCGTAGATGGCTACCGTCCCGGAGCACTGGATAAGCTTGGCTACGGGGCAGAGGCCATGGCTTCGTTGGCCAAGAAGCGGGGCAAAGGCATCGTTTACGTGAATGAGAACTGCTTCGGATACGAAGGCGAGTGGGCTGGCCGCGCTGGATGGCAGCAGATTGCAGACTGCGTAAGTTGCCAAATACAGTTTCCGATATTCAGATCAAAACTAACTTCACCTACAGGTGACTGGAATCGCCTGGGCCCAAGGCCAGTTCATGGGCCTCTCGACACCCGTTGTGCCTCCCTTCCCCATCTCCGACTATGGTACAGGCTGCATGGGCGCCATTGCCGCATTGACTGGTCTCTACCACCGCGCAAAGACCGGCGGCTCGTACCACGGCAAGGCCTCGCTGATGCACTACGACCTTCTCCTCTTTTCAATGGGCCAATACCCCGCTGATGTGCAGGAGGAGCTTCGTAAGGTGCAGCCGCCCGAGTTCTTCAAGTTGCGTCACTGCGACAGCGTTGACCGCATATCGTCGACTGTGTTGAAGGGCATGAAGGAGCGTTTCCCGCACTTGTACAGGCCTGCCGGTTCTGAGTCCGAAGGCCGCAAGCCATTGACAGAACTATGGTCATCCCGCGCATATGGTGCGGATATCGAGGTTGTGAACCCAGTCGCAGTTATTGGCGGAGTGGATAATCAGTTTGTGCGGTCTAGTCGTCCGAACGGATTTGACCGGGCTGCGTGGGAGGAGTTTAGCGTCGAGGAGACAGATGTGAAGAAGTGTTAGTTGTTTGGGCACTCTCTTCATTCTTTTTTATGTCCTGAATACGGGGAATGCACTGTACATAGATTGCAATTGAACACTAGTCTGCAAGTTTCCATATACTTGATCGTTTCGGGATATCTCTCATTGAGGAATCTCACAATGGTTGTGTAGTTCTGTGAAATAGCATTCTTGTATAGACAAGTGTCTAGTGACACATGCGGTTGGCGTATCGTTTGTGATAGAGCGCTGATGTCGCTGTCGAGTTCCAAGAAGTCGGTGATAAGGTAGATTATCTCCAACGGGAGATCTGGAAATCCCATTTTGTGTACAACAGGCAGAGAAGAAGTGTGAGACCAGGTGTACCTGAGGTGATAGTTCGAGAGAACTACATATGTACACATAAATACGTATGTTGTAGTAGAGATCTGGAACCAAGTCTGGACCAGAGAGTCAGGGCCAGGCAAGCCTCTTACCGAGGTAGCCCCACCACAAAAACCTTGGATGAATTCCCCCAAAACAGGTTTCTTTGCCCGTTTAGCCGTTTTTTCGTAACCCCGTTTTTCTCTTTTGATTCAATGTTTGAACATATGTCACGCATATGAGAACTTCTTAACTTCATTCTTATGTGGAAGTGACCAGCTATAGATCAGCTGGCCCATCTAATATGGGTCAGCCGCAGAATGATGTCGAGCAAGAAAGAATCCGGGATTTATCAAAGTTGGTTGTTCCCCGCCCTGCGATTGCGATCTCCACTAACGCATCTCCGATCTCAACAGATATTATTGTACCTTTGATCAACCAGTCTCTACAAGCTCGGACCCGGAACTACATGATGTCCCACAGGACATACCCTCCCCTCGTCTTTCAAATGATACCACCTTGACTGCGTTGACACAACTGGGTGTCTATCGATTTGGATGTAATCGGTCTTTCGTTTCAATCATTGACGGAGAAAATCAACATATCATTTCAGAGGCAACCGCCTCAATCTCTCTTCGAAACAAAGATCTTCATCGCCCGGACGATGGCATCTTCCTCGGTGTCAATACACTTGACTTGGAATGGGGAGTTTGTCCCCACGCCATTCGACTTTTCACTGGACAAGATCCTTCCCAGGTACAAGACACGGAGAATATAACGGCCAACCAGACACGCAACATCATTCGCGATTTCACCAAGGAGGATTTCTACAAAGATCGCCCGTACGTGCTTGGCTGGCCTTTCTTTCGATTCTACGCCGAGGTGCCATTGTACAGCCCTTCCGGTTTCGTACTCGGTTCATATTGTGTAGTGGACAACAAGCCACGAACGAAATTTGGAGATGAAGATGTCGCTGCTCTTCGAGAGATTGCCGACTCAATTTCAAACCACATTGAAAATGCGCGGATCGTTCAATACCATCGCCGTTCGGAAAACTTGGTCAAAGGGTTGACAAACTTCGTCAAAAGTAATTCGAAATTTGACCCCACTGGCTCCTCCACTCAAGGTCAGATTGAAGCATCTGCGAAGAAGCTCAATTCTGAAGATTTGGGGCTAATAGCCAATCCAGGCGATGTGGGTGGAACGCTCGATTCCTTGTCCACAGAAAAGGATATTGGTGTCTATTCACCCCTTGATGAAAGGTCGTCCACAAGTCTTAATGGAAAGGAAGCGTCGATATTTTCTCGAAACATACCTTCTGCGTCAAACTATACACTGCCATCATCGCTTTCTCGAACCTCGGACCGAGCCGAACCGCTTTCCTCTTCCATAGAAGGGCCCCCGGAATTATCAGTGCCAGACAATGTGCCTATCACTGAACGCATAGCTGCGATTTTTGCTCGTGCCAGTTTACTATTGAAAGAATCTTTGGATTTGGACGGCGTGGTCTTTCTTGATGCCCACCGAAATGACCCGCAATTGTTAGTCACTCTTTCTTTGCATAATTGACATTTTCTAACTCCATTTTAGCGAATCTCCTGGACGGCATGATGATTGGGATTCCTTGTCGAATTTTGAGGCAGGCTCCCCCATTTCTTCGCGCTGGGGCCCTCCTAATGCAAATTCGCCCAAAGATGCAGTAAACTACTGTGGCTCCTTGGGCCAGGCTATAAGCTGCAGGCCAGCTAAGACCAACACCGACTCAAAATTCCAGGTCAAAGTGACTGAAGAGTTGCTGCATTCGTTGATCACACACTTTCCAGATGGCCACATATTCAACATAGACAGCAGGAGTAATCTGGCCAGCCCCATGGACTCTACCCCCATGGACTCTACAAGTGGAAATTCAGAGATTTTTGCTCCAAACTTTGAAATCATTCGGCATATCTCTCATCGTCTCGCTCACCAGCTTCCTGGAGCCAAGTGTGTGATTTTCTATCCTCTATGGGATTGGAACAAATCCCGATGGCTTGCAGGTACACTGGCATGGGTAAACGGAACCCACCGTCCTTTGGGCACAGAAGACCTGCACTACTTTAGAGCCTTTGGAGATTCTATGATCTCTGAAGTATCTCGGATACACTGGACCGCCAGTGAGAACTCAAAATTCGACTTTGTAACTTCTATCAGTCATGAGCTTCGCTCCCCACTACACGGGATCCTCGCGAGCGCAGAGTTGCTACATGACATTCCGCTTCAGACTGCGCACCGTGATATGGTCAACATGATCTTAACATCAGGACTGACCTTGCTGGATACAATAGATCACCTGTAGGTTTTAGTCGCAGTCTGTCGAGTGAGACCTTTTACTGACAAACACCAGGCTAGATTACTGTAAAATCAACAACTTGGCAACCACGCAAAGTCTCAGCGTGACCAACACTAAAGATTCTGGAACAAGCCTAGTCTCCGACTTCGATCTCGATTCCTTGGTTGAAGAAGTCGCTGTGATACTCCATACCGGCCGAAAAGCACATGGGCCTGCCTCCTCTCTTGCAAGTGAAACAGCTATTGCTGCTCTGTCCTTTCAAACCGCCTCTCGTATTACTCGAAATGGGGATGAATTGTCAGTGATAGTAAATATCGAGCAGTCCAGCTCCTGGAATATCCGATCAGTCGCTGGTGCCTGGAGGAGAATAGTCATGAACCTCCTCGGCAACGCAATGAAATGGACACAGACAGGTCTCATCGAGGTATCATTGTCACAAGCCGCAGCTCAAACTGAAGCAGAACCCCATCTTGTTCACCTTCGCGTTACAGACACGGGTCGAGGAATTGCACAGGACTTTCTCAGAAACTCCGCGTTCTCTCCATTCGCCCAGGAAGATGCCTTATCAGAGGGCGTTGGGCTTGGACTCAGCGTCGTGCATAAGCTAGTGACTTTCCTGGGCGGTCATCTTAATATGAAGAGCGAAATTGGTGTTGGTACCCAGGTCGATGTTTACATTCCTGCACAGCGTCCCAAGGACCACGTCCCCGCCAAGCTGTTCGACAATGCTTGCTCGATAGGAACGCAAAGCCACAAGGACACTCTGAAGGCATGTCTCATTGGGTTTAATGGCTATCCCGACTTGACGGAGACACCCACTGGTATCCTGAGCTCCGACGCGAAAAGAAAGCTTTCTATTCAGAGCACTCTTGCCAATGTTTTCAGAGTACAACCGGGATGGCATATTGCACTGGCAGAGTCCCTTGAGAAGGGAGAGGGTGACATCGCGGTCATCGAGGAGGCAAAATTCGACGCTATGTTGAATGACCAATCACCCTCTACTATGGATGGCGGCCATAATTTCAAATTCTTTATTGTCTTGGGCAGCACGACATCTTCGCTAGGCCACTCTCTCCCTCCGAATGCCATCCTGATTTCACAGCCGTACGTCCAGGGTTCACCCCTTTTGCGAATACTTGAACTGACTTTCGATGCAGATATGGACCTCAGAAGATCCGTCAAACCGCTCAAAGAATCATGGATATGCACAAGGCACAGACTCAAATCAACGATCTTGAAGCTCCAATTCCCGCTCCACCAACAAGCCGTGAAATTATTCCCTCAAATCCTACCCCAGCGAACCTACCGGAAATATCGAAAGATCTTTCACAACAGCCTCCAGTTGAATTGGTCTGTCCAAGTCCTCTTATCAGGGGCTCACCGATTCAATCGAATGGTCAAATGAACGATATGCATGTTCTCATCGTTGATGACAATGAAATCAATGTCCAGGTAAGTTAGCTCTCTGCAAACTCGGTTACGCAAAAAGTCGCTCTCACTTTTTCGTCTCTTGGTCCCTTCAATTCATTCCTTGTGATCTGACTTACAACCATGAAACAGATCCTGGCTACGTTCATGCGAAAGATTGGCTGTAGTTACGACACAGCTTCTAATGGACTCATTGCATTAGAACTTGTTGAAAATTCGAGTCGAAGATATGATTTGATATTGATGGGTTAGTCTACGAGTTTGCTGGACATCCTTCAACCCGCAATTACTAACTGCGTGGTTGTTAATTTTAGATTTATCAATGCCTATAATGGACGGGCTGGTTTCAACCAGTAAGATCCGACAACACGAAAAAGACCATGGTCTCCAACCCTCCCGCATAATGGCCGTTACAGGTGTCGCTTCGGATACCATGCAACAGGCGGCGGTGACCGCAGGTATTGACGACTATTTAGTCAAACCTCTCTCCCTCCGTAAGCTGAAGAAGCTCATGGAACCCACACTCTAATCCGATACCATCTCCTGTGAATGCAACAGTTACCTCCGATTATTCTCGGAAGACTGTTTGAAAATTCACGTTATCATGATACCATAGCATAAGCCCCAAGAGCAAGAAAACGAACAGCTCTATAAACTCATCCTTAACTAACAAAACATACAATCACATGCCTAGTCCCACCTCATTCATATCGTAGACCAAATGCCGCTGTTCAATTCAACGTTTATCCAGGATCAAAGCCCTGGAAACACTCATATACACTCCAATGCTATCTCCTTGGTCCACGACATACATGGACTAGTCTTATTTCTGGTCTATTCGCGGCCTGCATATAGACTACATTCACGTGCGGGCGACGAATCTCATCGAATTTCGCAACAGAGGCCGATTGGGATTCAACAAGATCCTCGACAACATCGACCCACTGACTACGAGAATTCTCAAGAATATTCAGCACAGAGTCCTTAAACCGCTCAATCTACGCCTTGTGAGCCTCCTCCCACCCATCACGACTGTCCCCAGAGTCCAGCAAGACAACCTCTCGCGAGAACCCACACATAACCTCATCCTTATTCGCTATGCAAGGATTCACCAAGACACTGTCAGTCTTCTCCCCTAGCCCAGCCCACGTAATCCCACTCCCCAAGACCACCCCAGCCAACGAATGCAGCACGAGCTGCATCTCACCATAACTATCCACAGCCTCAGAGGTCGCCATACGCACCCAGACGGCCAAACATCCGTAAGCCGTTAGACACGATTCCTACTGCGCGGCCGAGAGTTGTCAGCTCTGTGCGCAACTCATAGGTAGGTGAGATTGTTGTGCTTGTTCTGGCGCAGCGCCGTTGCGAGACGGGCTGGTCTAGCGCTGATTCTTAGTGTCGGTGTTGCGGGGTTTGGTAGTGGGGTTTGCTTTTTTTGCGTCGGCGGTCATCTTCATATGCATGTGCTTATGCGCTTATGTGCGTCATCCATTAAATCTCGGGATACACGATTACGCGTGGTTGGGTACTGTTCTCTAGGGCATTTCGACATGGGTGTGTTGTGTGTGCTGGTTTGGGCTGTGCTTACCTTGCGTGGTTCGGACATTGCGGTGGGTTTGGTGTAACGTTGGAGGGTGGATTTCTTTTTGGTTCTGGGAATGATTATAATTGAAAATAGGACTTGGATTTGGACACTTGAGTATTTCATTTTATCTATTTTTGGTTGACTTTGAAGAGTTATATATATTTGGCCTCGTATACTTTGCGGCCTGGGTACATACTCCGTGGATACTACCGAATTCAGTAAATATCACCGTGAGGGTCGGAGGTTGAAATATCCGATCCGACATATCCTTGACCATAATGGACTATATAGCAACAATATATAGTGAGGGATTTGTCTCTATATGCGAGAACATGCACGAAATCCAACTTAAATTAGAGTACATGAAATATCAAACTTGACATGCGAAAATAGACTAAAACAGAGGCAGATTTAAAGAGACAATCTACTTCATGTAAGCTTCAGCACCTTATCACTATCACCGCCACTATAATTGGCCCCCACGCCCCTTGGGTGGAGACTGTTAGTATGTATTTGGAATTGTACGGCTATCACGCACATCAATATTGTCTTTTATAAGGGTGAAGTTTGTCATGGTTGCCTTCTATAGGTTCTTTAAGGAGAAACTTGCCTAACGGATAGCAGCAGGGTCATAGCGCGCGATTCCAAATTCCCCTAGGAAGCGCTGACATATTTACACAAACAGGCCCCCCTGAATAGGAGTCTTGCAACTCAACATCCCTTTGAAAATATCAATTAAAAAAAACACAAGTGTACCGCCAATAAACGCCGCGAGCCGGAGAGGATATATCGCAAGATGCTCGAAAGATACAAACTCCTAAATGAGAAGCAAAAACATGAGAAGCAAAAACAAAAAAAAAAAAAAAAACCAAAAAGGGGCCCAAGAAAACAAGAAGTGAACAACAGGTATGTACGGTCTAGAGACAGACAAATAATATCATGAATTAGGAATCAGGAATCGAAAATCGGGCCAAATGCCGGGGTCCCTCGACATTCAAGCTCATAGACAATTCGCGCCGTCAGCACAGGGTTACTGATCACGCACACCGCTTCAGCTTGGAAGTCCTTGATCTGCCGCAAGATGATGGGCACCATGTCCATACGCCCGCACTTGTCGGTGTCTAGGATGATGGGGGCTGAATCCATCTTGTGGACCAGATGCATCACCCCGTCACCATAGGTATTCCGAGGGGCACGAGTTTGCCAGAGCACACGCAGTGCGGGTCGGTTATCATCACCGAGGAATGACAGACAGGGTCCGATTCCCGATCCGGTAGTGACGACTATCACTCTCCGGAAAACACGCATGGCATATGCAAAGCCATAGATCAACACGCCGCGCTTCCAGAGATGGGTAGGCGGGTTCTGGATCGTTTCTGCAGTCCAGTCTCCAGCTTTGGATATCAAGGTAGAGAAGCTTGGGTTGCCGTGGACACCTGCGGGGGCAGGATCTGGGAAAGTTGCAAAACTATGCCAGTCGCGAAGCGGGTGCTTGGCTAGTTGGATGCCCTTTCCAAAAGTGGTAACAGCATGGTCGAAATGCAGACGGGTGGCGTGGGTCGAGAGTGGCTCGGCCCGTACCGCGACCTTTCGAAGGAAAAGCCAAGGCTGGATAATGGCTGCTACCGTGAGCATCAAGAACCAGAAGGCTGGCAGTTCGATCAGGAATGTTCCAAGTGGTTGGCCCATGGACTGACTAGCGCCTCGCGAGAAGACGAGCAACAGGGCGAAAAACAAGGCCACGACAAGCCACCCCGAAAAACGGTGGGTGAGTTCGAAATAATCATGCCGTTTCATCCGGAAGGCGGGGTGGGCCACCACGATGATCGCCAACAACAGGACCAAGATGACATAAGCTAATGCAACTGATGCTGCTGAAACGCCGATATCCGGACCATCCGCTGATGGCTTCCAATATTGGTGGGATAACACGCCCACGAATCCCACGTACCACACGAGGGAAGCGACTCCACAGCCGCTATGGACACCACCATAGTGGTAGACCTTTGCGGCGATCCGACGGAGGAGAAGCGGCGCTGAGCGCGGCATCGAGCATACTATCACGAAGATGGCATTGACCACCAGTGGCTGGCGGGCCAAACCGCAAGCGAGCAAATTGGCAGCTGTGGCATTGACCAGGGCTAGCAGTTTTTGTTCCGTGCTCATGACGTACACAAACATTGCAACGTTGGCGCAGAAGACTAGCGTGAAAAGACGCCGGTATAGTGTGAGAATGGCATATCGGGTGGATGCAAACACCTTGGGTTTGCGCTGGGTGGTCTGGGTCTGTGCCTCCACATCGATCTCTTTTGAGAGGTCGAGATGTAATGATTCGGCTTCCTTGGAGTAGGACTTCTCATTGATTTTGTCTGCATCGGTAAGAGTGTCCTCGCTCACAGTCGGGGTGTGCCGCGCAACGACCACCTTTGGAGGCATTGTGATGGGGCTTTTCTCTGACATAACTATGATGGGTTCTCAGGTTCTCACGCTGGCTCATATAAAAAAGTTCAAAAGATGACTGAAGGGTATGAGTGAACTAATCAAGCCAGGGATTCCTTGAAGTGAAAAGAGAGACCGAAAGAAATAGTTGACAACCCAACCAGGGCGAGTCTTCTATTTTTGAAGTGAAGCATGTTAACCAAGACTTTTGTTTTTTTTTTTTTTCTCTTTCCCCTCCAGGGCTCTCTTCCACCAAAATCCACATGTGTAAGATCAGCCTCACATCCCTTCTGCATGGCTCCTGCCTTCGCATCCTTCTTTCCCAATCGAGTTGGTCTTTCCCTTTTGGGCGTCACCGGGCATCACCGCGAACGGTGACGCCCTTCCCCATCTCCCTTCTATTCGCCCATCTAGTCTTTTTTTCCTTTCTCTTTTGAGTTTGGCCCTGAAAATCAGGAATGCATTGCATATGATCCTATTATTGTGCCATTTTCCCTATTATTCATTTGCCGTTCCCCTCAGGTGTATGACACTATCACCTCGACCTCACGCTATTGCAAGTATTTCTTGCCAATCAGCAACCAGAGAACCATCCTACTCCCTTGCTTTCAGCTCGGGTTCTTCACACCTTGGGAAAGTGTCTGACGCAACACCCGACAGATCCACGCTATAGCCTGTCAAAACTTTGTTCTGATCCTCCTTCAAGAGGGAGTGGAACCTCCTTTCGGGGATGAACCGGAAAGGGAGATCAAAGAATGTGCTCATTGAAGTGGGATGCAACCTAATTTACCTCGATATCTCCACAATAACCGAACCGAGGGCCAGTCAAGGCGAGATATGCCGAAACACTATCACGGGCCAGGTGCAACCTGACCAGGGTCTACTTGACTAGCCCTGGTAGGATGCAAGCGTCGGATATGATGGGCCAGTGCACCCGATCATACGGTCAAGAAAGCCTTCAATAAAACAGCCGATCTGCAGCCTAGGGAGGGCGTTGACCACAAGTCCCTTCCACCGGATGTGCACTCGAGGCGCCATCAACAAAGCCAATGTGGATCTATGGAGGTGTGGCGGAATCGTGCCATGACTTAATGCAATAACCCGCCGGATGATAGAGCAGTTCATGTTTGTTGGGATTTTATTTTTGCTTTTTTTCCGACTTTTGTTTTCTTTGAACGCTGCGCGGTCGATCATCAAGATGCAGCTGAGGATGTTCGCGCTATGTCCAATTCCCGCCCCTCTCTTATCTCACTTACAAGGCGAAGTTCTACGCTAATCTCCACCCAACGCCGAGGCCCTGGCACATCCATGCACGGGTGCAGTACATAACCTGGGAGGGAGTGGAGCACGGTTTCGTTAGCCGATCTTTTCGATAGTCGATCTGGATCTGGAGCCGGGAGGAGAAGCCGCGCCCAGATTCAAACTTCAAGACTCCACAGGGAAAGGACAGATGATCTCCACTGAATATCAGCTGCATGCTTTGGGCATCCATTGGAATATTGGGCCCATAATAACCTTTGAAAGTGAAAGTGAAAGTGAATGTGGAAAGGAGATTGCATCCCTTTCATGATGGGCACGGCACGTCAGAGCCAAATGACAGGAGCGGGGAGAGGTCTGTTCACACCTCTGATGTGGCAACAGGGGTCAAATTAGCCCGTGTGGAAGGATTTTCTACGTAAGACCGGCCGAATATCGGATTCAGCACCCCTGTCCACGCTCGTGGCAGACCTTGAAGAAAATGACATTATACATTTTTGGGTTTCCCTAAAGAGGGAATGTGAGTTCATCGGATTAGAGTTTGGAGCATATCTCACGATCCGGTCGATCTTCCACCTAGACATGAACCCATTTCTAAACTATATCTTAAGCAAGGTAAGAGAAACCCTCGGGGGTCCCGTCACGGTCACGGGGACACGGACGAAAGGGCGATCTGATGTGGCTCAGCTCTCTAGGGCTAGTGAATTATTGACAACCAGATTGGTCGATTAAAATTTAATCTATTTATTGGATTTCCGAACCCGCCACAATGGATGGCGCTAAGAGCTTTTAGGTCGAATCTGTTTGGTGGAGACACGATGTAGTACTCCATAGTGTTGTTATCCCATTTTCTATGACATAGTCGTATGATTTTCATTACTTTTTTTACTTTTTTTCCCTTACTCTTGAACTTTGAGTTCAGCTTTTTTTTCAGCTCCCTTGTGTATATTGATTTATTTCTTGTTCTATTGTATAATGTAGAGTATAGTAAGAATTTCACCTTACAGTTCCCCGAAGTGGAGACCTCGGGACTAGTGCGTACTTACATAATCATGTATTCCAAATCCTGGAACAGGTGGAACAGGGCCGGGGAAGATGTCAGGTAAAATCAAATCAAAAGATCAAAATGGAATATACATTAACCTATATAATCCCCCGAGGACTTCTGTGCTTTGGACTACTTATATACTACACTCCCAATTCACTTCTTCTTCTAAATTTCCAAACACACAATGACTTGGAACACAACTATGTCTTCAAACAATATGCTCTCCCAGGAGGTCTACTCTGACTTGCTGAGTTTCACATTCGATGGCCCCAAGCCATACAATCAGAATCAACCACTGTTTATTGATGCAGAGGATCCTTCCCGATCATTTACAGCTGCCCAATTCAGACAACTAGTCCGGACCTTGATCGCTGGTTTGAAAGCCCATAATGTCCAGCCAGGAGATTGTGTATTGCTACACTTGGGAAATAGCGTGAGTGAAAGAGAAAAAAAAAAGAGAGAGAATACTTGAAATCTGATATCCAATATTGGACTGAAGATTGTCGGAAAATAAAGAAACAAGACTAACTCGGGCCTATCATATGCAACAGATACTATATCCCGCACTCTTCTTCGGTATAATTGGCGCCGGCGGTGTCTACATGGGATCAAACCCCCGAAGCCAACCCCAAGAACTCGATCACATCCTCAGCCTCGCCGAACCAAAATTAATCCTCACAACTCGCGATGCCCTTCCCTCCCTCCTCGACGTCTCCGCGGCCCGTGGAATCCACCCAGCGCAGGTCTGCCTTGTGGACGAGCGAGCCATCGACAACTGCGCACAATTATTCCTGTGGTACGAACTGGGGTATGCATCGGCAGGACAATTCTGCGCAATGAGTGGCGACGAGCGTCACAACAATTTCGCGAATTTACTCTGCTTCGGCGAAAGCGACTGGCTGAAATTCGCCGACCCTGTCGTTGCACAAGCCACGCCTGCAGCCATGTACCCGACCAGCGGTACAGGCGGCCTGCCCAAAGCAGCAATCCTGTCCCACTATGCACTTGTCTCACAGCACCGCACTATTTACTACGAAGTGCCGCACCCAGTTAGCCGGCTCATCTCGCTGCCCATGTTCCATCTGTTTGGCGCGCTTTGGACACATCTTTTCCCTGTCCGATACGGACACCCGCTGTTCGTCCTGCCGCGCTTCGAGGTCAATGAATTCTTGGCTGCTGTTCAAAAGTACCAGATCTCAGAGACTTACCTCGTCCCGGCTATCATTCACTCTATCAACCAGTCATCTGTACCCATTGGTGATGCATTGAAATCGCTGCGCTATGTTGGTGTTGCCGGCGCTCCTATTGATGGCCATTCCATGCAGCAGTTCCGCAGCCATATCAACCCTATGGGATATGCTTGCCAGATCTGGGGAATGACGGAAGTCGGTGTGACATTCCAGACGCGCTGGGGCCAGCAGGGCGACCCGGGAAGTATTGGAACTTGTATTGCCGGTTACGAGGCCCGCTTGGTGGAACACGATGGCAAAATCGTGCAGGGCGATAACTGCTCGGGTGAGCTGTACGTCCGCGGGCCAGGCCTGCTCAGTGCATACAAAGGCCGCACAGACGCATTGGAGCCACATGGATGGTTCCGAACGGGAGACGTGGCGTACGTCAAGCAGGGCCAATATTACATTGTTGGACGGACGAAGGAGCTTATCAAAGTACGAGGGTAAGTCCATCGTCAAGCCCCAGTTCCATCATCAACTGAATACATATGCTAATCGTTCTATAGATGGCAAGTGGCCCCCGCTGAGGTCGAAAGCGTCCTCCTCCAACACCCGGGAATTCATGATGCCGCCGTGATCGGCGTGAACAAGGATGGTGTGGGCGAGGTCCCACGCGCCTTCATCGTGCGCTCTCGCGACCCATCCGTGCGCCGCCTAACCGGCGAGCAAGTTTACAACTTTGCACGCCAGCACCTAGCTAAATACAAGTCTCTCGATGGAGGTGTCGTATTCGTGGAAGAGATCCCGCGCACTGCAAGTGGAAAGATCCAGCGCTTCAGACTGTCCCAAATGAACTCCTACCGTGAAATGGTGGCGTCCCTGCTATCCCGATTCGATGGTGACAGCTCTGCTGCAGCCACCGCGGCTCGACGGGGACTACCCGCCGGGGCTGAGATGTCGCCTGTTAGCCACATCCCGGAGGGACGGGTTGCAGTCTAGATGAAGAAAGCGGGGCACAGTATGTTTGCACTATCTACGCCGCATATGAGTTGTATGCTACTCGTTCAGCGGTGAAGTGGTGCGGTGAATGGGACAGGGGACGGCGTTTGGGTTAGAACACGGCGTGGTCGGACATTTGGTTTTTGTATCTATTTTTCTTTTCGCTTTCGGGTGGCTATTACTTCTTTTTTATGACTTAGACTCGACTTCGTTATGATTGTTTCCCAATGGACTTGTTATTATTCATTTTTACCAGCATTACCTAGTTCCTCATTTGCACCAGCAATACCTAGATATCGGCGAGTTTTCTATGTAATACTGCCTATTTTTATTTGAAATTACAAATAACACCAGATCCACGTTTCACGGAACATAAATCTATATCCAGTCGCCAAAGTAAACAAATCTAGACCCATCCATAGGAATCCCAACCTCCGAGCCACGAACTCCGCATCATGCAGTGAGACTCTAGAACCTCCCACACCGTACTTCCAAGTCCCACTTCCCTGTCCCAGCCCAAGGCCTCGGTTCTGGATCTCGGGTCTCGGCTTGCATCCGTAAAGCCTACTAGACAGAAGAAATGTGATGTATAAACATACGGAGAGATTCGGAGTAAGCAAAAAGCAATTAATATATTAATATATTTTAGGGCCCCAGGGCGATCCCGTTCGCATTATGCACATGCGAGGTCCCAACAAACAAAGTACGTGGGGCTGGGTCGTACGGAATCCGAATCCGAGTCCGATCTGGAAATCCCACGATCAAGTGCATCCGCGCCAATACATATGCACTTATGCAGGCGCGCACGGGTGGAACCCACCGTGGACGTTCCGTTCCAGGGTTCCCTGCAAGGGGCGTGCTTGGTACTGGAGCCGGGATCGACGGAGCTAAATAGGTTAATTATTGGTGCCCGATTAGGTTGCATTAAGCGTTCTTCGTTTTCAAAGTTAACTGAGTGTTTCTGGTTTAGGTTGGGGGCTTAGAGTTCGTATAGAAAAATTATATCGGTAAACATGTAAATGTAAATATGTAAATATGTACATACTCAAGGTACGAAGTAAGCGGGTTCTCGTTCCAACATGTCCTGGCTCTCTTGCTATTTCCGGATCGGAGAGCGTCCCACGGGCCGCCATTGACAGGTTCAATCCGCTTGACGAAGTTCGGGATGTTACATCGGCCCGATGGACTTTGGCACGTCAGGTTTACCAGGTCTACGGGATTGCATGTTTGGGTCGTTGTTCTTGCTTTTCTCGGGGGTTATACCTTGCCCTGCTTTCGTCACAAGGAGAAATATCAGATCACACCTTGCATGAGGCGAAATCAAGGAAACATGGGAGACTAGGGAGACTGATACATATGACTCAGAAGAACATGTCATGGGAATAGAAATGCAAAAATGAATCGAGTCAACACTTTTAAATATCTTCCGAGTCATGAGGCCAGTTACTCTGCAGAGTAATTACATTATTTATTTTCTAGTTAGGTACTCTGCGCTGTCAAGTGCATTTGCATTTGTTGGGCTTGACCTGTGCGCTGAAAAGCTCGGCCCAAGTATCTAAGACATGTCAAATCCACGGCGTCAACATGGTCTCTGTCGAGACCAAAGTACTCAGAAAATTCAAAAAAGAATCCCAATCGAGTGAATTCGCTCTGTCTATGCATTTACACGTGAAAACAACAAGAATCACATCAAGGACAACCCTGCAAGCTCCTCAATCAGTCCCCGATGGTGATTAGTAGTTCTAGTAGTATATCTATAGAACTCCCAATTTCTCCCACCAGGATCCGAGTTGATTACATAAACAGGAAACGCGAAGTTCTGCTCTCGCTCCTGGGCAGAACCATTTGGATAAGTGGTGATATCTATCTCGATGAAGGTCTGTCGTTGGCCTGGACGTGCCTCCACGGAAAGGCCCCACTGTATGTTATGGCTGTCCCAGTCGGTGAGGAAGGGTCTGATGAAGATGAACGCCAAGGCTAGAGGACTTCCGGGGCGGCGAGGTTGTGCAGGGATGATGACAATTATGCGGAGTCTGCGCACACGGAAAATAGTGTCGACAACTTCTTGTCGGAGCGTGGTCGCATTGACAGGCGAGGAGTAGAGAAGGGGATCATGGTGGCGTTCGGACATTAGGATGTAGAGGGAAGATTTGTAGGGGGTTTTCCTGTTCTTCGGATGGGCTGGTGAATCGTCTACTTATTTGATATTAACTGATATTTTGGACAAGGGACTTTGTTTATTTCGCTGCCATTGTGCTATGTCTCTCTATCATTATTGTTTCGGTATGTCTGCGTTGGATGCGGTTCATGTTTCAACGTTGGGATCAATGTCTTTATAGATGCTTTGTTATTCTACCAATTCGGATGGATTGATGAAACCTGAGGTTTTCATTTCTGATCCTCATCAAATCAATCACCATCCTTCCCAAATGTAACTCCCATCGACCACAACTGTTCTTTATAGTAGATCCATACATGTACATACTCTCCATCTGCAGCTCAAATAATACCATACCCCATCCACCAAACTCCCCAAATCAAAGGTCCCAACGCCCCAAGTACAGCTGCCCCAAATGATAACTCTAGAATACACCAAATCCAAATAGTCCCAACAGCAGGCGCCTTCTTCATAACCGCATAATACGGCTCTCCATTGGTGATAGCGATAAGATGCGCGCCTAGCAGCACAGAAACAGGAAGAAAGACCAGAGTCTTCAGCGCAGGCGGGAAAACCAGCCTTCGTAGGAATGAAAATGTCAATTTGTCACTTGTAAATGGGAACAAAGAAAGAGGAGCAGGCTCTGCCTTTGCACTGCGCTTTTTGAAGGAGATGATATGACCATGTGCTAGGTGGACGAATAAGGTGAGAAGAGGGAAGGCGGTTGTCACAGATTCTTTGAAGAGTTTTGGCAGGTCGATTCTTTCGGCGTATTGGTGGGCTGCGAGGTAGCCCAGGGTGAGGTGGAGGGTTGTAAGAGGCAGGGAAAGGAGGATTGTGTCGAGGAATGGTGGAAGGGGTTTGTCGGGTTCGGATTCGGAGTCGGATTGCTTGACAGTGGTGACTTTTGGATCCTGTTGGCTTTTCTTGGTCTTCTTTTGTGGGACATTGGATGAGAGATGGCTGCTGATGTCGCCGTCGGTGTCGACCAATTCCCCAGACGCGTCGACCGTCACGAATCGCGTTCCCCCTGACTGTGACGGTATGCCTTGTGCTTCTACCGAAGCTGGAATTGTTCCCCCCTTTTGATGGATTCCGCTTTGTCGCTCTGCAATGATGTCATATAGCGTGCGCTCGACGGTTGGTTTATTTTTGGTCGGATCATTGCGTGGGGGATGGGCCATGGTGATTTCAGGTTCGTCCTTTTTGGAGGAAGATCCAGCTGCCGCGCGGCGCTGTTTACGATTCCTTGGAGTTTCCATCTTGCCCAGGCTGGTGTGGAGGGACGATGAGTGGCGGGGAAAAAAAAAGTTGAGAAACACTGACGTGGAGAAATGAGTTTGAGGGCTCGGCGATAAGCCCCATAACCCGGGGTTAACAGGATCGCCAGTTGGCTCCCAGTTGGCTCCCAGCTCTAGATATCTACATCTTCATTTATATATTTAATTTATATTGACAAGTATGGTAGTCTTTAATGGTATATGACTCGCTAGCTGAAAATTCTAATTCTCAGAATTCTCATAAACATGCTAACAAATAATAATATGCACTTTTGTGCGGTATTCTTATTTAGCTTATTGTCCAAATATCTGATAGCCTTGACATCTCAGGGTAGTGGAAGCATGCGCTTGAGGTTGCAGATGAAGCGCTATAGTGCAGGACAGGGGTGTATAAAAACCCCTGTAGCTACCAATCACTCCTTGGGCACGGCACAATGCATGAGCTTGACTACGTGGACGACTTGAATGCCAGTGTCTGTACCGGGCAGAAATAAGGAGGGGGTCTTCCCTGGCATCTGTTTTTCAACAGATTGCATTGTCATCCAAAGCCCGTAAACATTGATCAGCTTCATATTTTATGAATATGGCCAAACTGACGTCAGCCGGCACAAAACGCTTTTCTTGTCCTGGATGTGAGGCAAAGAACTTTCACAATTTGATAGACGTCAAAAATCATTTTGTCCAGCAGTGTCACACTGTCAAGTGTCCGAAATGCCAAAAAGTATTCAAACAAGCAATCTCGCTTATACAACACTACCAAAAATACGATGATTTCAACAACGCGTTGCAGAAGAAACCAACTAAAGTTCAACAAATCCAAACATCCAAACCAGTTGTGAAACTAGCTGTGGCCTCAAGCTCAAGGAGTGTTCAAAATAGTGCTGCTGATGAGGCCATGGGGGTCCAGCGACAGGGCTTTGGAATCCCAGAGCCTGATCCGCTGAGCAGTTCTTTGGTTTTTCTACCACTAATGAGCCTTGAAAGATTTCCTCTATTAGGTACGGGCCCCTGAGTTCACTCATTCACTTTTGAAACTTACACTGTTATCACAGAGGTTGAGCCACGTATTGCGACTCAGTTGCTGGATCTTCCTACTATTCTACATCCTTTAGAACAGGATCTCATCTTCCGATATTTGTGTGCACGATGCCATCCATTGAATCGCCTGCAGGCAGCAGGGTACATATTAGAGCCCACCTTGATGGGAAACAAGAGACGGTCATCTAAGGGAACTATTGAGCCATATCTCTTCCGAACCACTCCTCCTCGCTCGGGATTACAAAAAGATACGAAGAGACGCGCTGTTGCCATTGATTGTGAAATGGTGGAAGTTGCAAATGGTCACCAAGCGCTTGCATTCCTGGGAGCCATCGATTTCTTGAACGGCGATGTACTCATCAATAACTATGTTAGGCCAGATGAGGATGTTGTGGACTGGAGGTCTGATGTCAGTGGCGTGACACACTCACTCATGAGCAGCGCTATTATCGCCGGTGAAGCACTGGGCAGTTGGCAAGAGGCTCGCCAGAGATTATGGAATTTTATTGATGACTCGACTGTACTTGTTGGTCATTCTCTCCACTTCGATCTCGAAGTGCTGGGAATATGCCATACGAAAGTTGTTGACTCTGCCATTTTTACTGCCGAGGCTGTCTTTCACACTGCCTCGTCCACAAAGCCATTCAAGCGCGCATGGAGTTTGAAAACCCTTGCCAGGGAGTTCTTGAACTTGGATATCCAGATTTCCAAGGCCGGGCATAGTGCTTTGGAAGACGCATATGCAGCTCGAGATGTCGTCATATGGTGCATCAGGTATCCGGAGCAGTTCAAGGCATGGGTGGAAATTGCACGCGCCGAGGAGGAGCGTAAGGTCGCGATGCAGCGACAGCGAAAGGGTAAGAAAAAAGGAAATGGGAAATTAGCGGTCAACAAGTCTGTTCAACATCGGGAATATGAGGTTGGATATGATGAGGACTCTGAAATTCTTCATTGGTCTGATATCGCAGAGGGCTGTGGATGGCCCCATCCAGACACGGGGTATGATCCCTGGTCTGACTGAACTTGATGTTGAGGCTCTTAGGGGTATTCGAGCCATGCTATTTAGTCCTACGTATGGGTCAACTCCCTCTCTCTGTATTGGATTGGTTCTCCGTTAGCCATTTTATCTACCAGTAAGTGTCAATTGAATAACCTTCAATCCTACTGCATTAGATCCATTGGGCTCTTTGTTGTCAACATTAAAGCGGCATAGTAAAGAAAGTACACCCCAGGCAGGCCGTATCAGTGATATGAGCGAAGAGTTGGCCTCTGAATAATCATAACCTGCTTGAATCTACGAGCTAGTAGATGAGATCATGGAGAAATAAAGCAATACGCACGTATTGAATTCTCAGGCTTGGGATAGTAATATGAAGACAAACTTTTATCAATTGATCGTTCCTGCTAATTCTCTGCACCCCTTGACACACCCAGTAAATACACGGACTGACCACTCCCTCAGCCAGCCTGGTACAAAGCTGGACCAGCAACCACATGCGGGTTAATCAAGCTCAGATTGAATGGGCTCACATACGGATCACTGTCTGTGATAGCAATAAAAATGGTACCATTGAAAGCTGGGTCACCTTGGTACGTTTCCAAGCTGGGCTGGGTAGTATATCCTCGAATACCATAAATGGTACTGTTGGCATTGTTGGTACTGTTGGACCCGTTGGTACCGTTGGTGCTCTCGGTGCTGTTGGTACCATTCACAACGTACAGAGGGGTGTAGGTAATGTTCAGTTGCGACACCCAAAGGACATACTTTGCACTACCAGCTTTCGTCTCTGTTGTGGTGATGTAGCTGTTGTTGGGACCGATTTTCTTCCCGGGAAGATCCCACTGCAACAGCACCCTCCGACCTGGGGCCGTGAGAGGTACTGGGCGAATATTGCTAACAGAAGCGCCGCAGCCATTAGCTGAAGTAGACGAGTTGAATCTTCCGGAGCCTTTTGGTGACTTGGGGATACTGACGCCTGGTCCGACAGTATTGTTGATTCCCGTGGTCTGATTGAAGCCGAATCCTGCAGTCTGATTGAACCCGGAAGTCGTGTTGAGCCTTGAAATCTGATCGCCACTTGAAGTGAAATTATACCCAGTAGAATTGAACCCAGTAGCATTATGCCCATTTGTACGGTTATTACCCGACGAAAAGTTGCGCGAAGTCGCCGGAATCCACGGATCGGGCTGATTGACCACCATCAGGGTCGGGAAATTTTGCCAAATCAAGCGAGTCTGATTTTCAGGACAAGAGCTGATGAAAGGTGCCAGCAGTGTCCAAGCCCAGGACTGCGGTATGCCAACTTCAAACCACTCTACCATCGGGAAGAGACCCTCAAACTGACGGAAGATCATTTGCTGTCGTGCTTCCGTGGTGATGGACTGGGTCAAAAGAGTGGCTGCCTCGCGCGAGTCAAGATGAGCCAAAAAGCCATACACGCCAGCTTCCCCCAGCGAGTGAGTTTCTGACAGAAGTCGACAAACTCCTTGACGTTCGTGTACGGGTAGATATAGTTGCACTGCTGGGGGGCACCGGCTCCGAGGATATTGCTGAGCATAGTGGCGTGGCCAATCTCTTGATGTGCCATGAATGCGATCAACTCGCGGTCTGAAGCTGTCATACCGGCGGCTCGGAAGGCTGAATCGTTGAAACGCCTGAGTCCGTCCTGGAACAGGTCGAGCTCAATCCATTCCTGGTATAGAGCAAGGGCCTGTTGATTTTAGGTTAGCTTCTAGGCCACACTGCTTTGTCAATTTAGTGTGGATGCATACTAAAGACTCGTAGTCAAAATCGCTTTTCGTGTTGTAGACGGGTGTGCTTCCGTTGGTCCCGACACCACCTGCCGGGACATATGGAGCAGGCTCGGAATGGTGAAGGTTTCCATCCCCGGGATACGTTGTTGCTGTGGCTGCAACGCCTCCGCGAGAGATGCCCGTTCCGATTGAAGAAGCTGTCAGCGCACCTGTGGTAGTCGGAGTCCCAGTAAAGGGTGTATACAGCCTGGAGCTATTGTAACTTCGAAGTGGCGGTGCTGAAGCCGATGCATTTGCAGGTAGCACTGACCATTCGGGGGTTTTTGGTGGATCTTTTTGGTGTTTCTTTGGAGAAGCAGCCGCGAAAGGCAGTGAGCTCAATATGCTCAACAGAATGATACTCTTCCAGATCATCTTTGCCGAAGGTCAAAATCTCTTCAATTCAAGACAGAAAAAGCTTTTTTATCGCTGGTCAAAGCATTGGGTAAGTTGCTGTTCAAAAACCACCGGATAGATACAGACCTTGCGTAGAGTACATATAGTGTTACTTCAGCCAATATCAGCATATAAAAGACCACTAGTCAAGGCAATCCAAAGTGGGGGTCCTTGCTTTTGATGTAAGAAAATCGCACAATGGCCCATCTTCAGACCTGAAATGTGGATAGCTTTGAACGGGGATGAATTCCGAGTGGTGAAATTGCCACATGGTAATGGTAAGGTTCTTTGAGGTAATTTTAATGGCAATTTATGTCTGCTAGAGGGGGCGTTCTTTGTATACTTGGCTAATCAAGTACTTGCAATATACTGCAATTCGCACTTAGAGAACAACCTCGGGATGCTTCGGCAACAGATGACGTCGAAGTAGGCTTCCCCTGCCAACATTCCATGGACCTAAACAAACTAACGCACAATTAGAGATATCTGTGGGGATGGAAATCGAATCCGGCCGGACGATGCCGGATAACTTTCAGGGAACAAGGGGAAAGGCTATACGAAACTTAGTTGAACTATTAGCAGAATAAGGATAGAAGAATGAAATGTACTTGAAATTCCACAAAGCTGTAGAAATATAATTGGCCTTGTTGCCAACAGAATCCATGGAGAGGCGATCTTTCCCATATAGATAGTCCCGAAGCCGCAATATCAGAGTACACAATGCCAGAGCAGTTCATCAACTTAAACTCTATAAGCACCAGACTTCACTGCGTTCGCCAGCCACCCTCGCCCGAAAAGTAACCATAGGTGTCGCAATGGGGCACGTTGGCAGTGATCCTCACACCATTAGACCAAACAATCTCCAAAGTAGAGCCCATAATAGTCGCGGTGAAAGGCTCACGAGTCTGGAGGGACTGTCGGATACTTTCGAGCTCCTTCCAAGGGATATTCACGACTGCCGGGGCCCGTTGAAATGGAGCCGCCGGTTGGCCGCGAGCATTCTTCTCGAATACCCATGGCTCGCCGTTAATCATGAATACACCAGCCAGAGAATTTCCATTCTGGCTACTTAAGGATCCGATCCATTGAGGCATGACTGGATGGTCAGTGGAAAGCTCTGCAATCTTTGTAGAAAATATGCTTACTGGGCTTTTAGGGAACTTCCAGAGCTGCCCAGGTGTGACAAGGGGGAAGCGGGGAAGAGAGTTGGGGAGGATTTGCTTCTTCAGTGTTACATTTACATATCTGTCCAGAAGAAGCAAAGTTGAGGGTTTGCAGTGTAGCTCAGCAGTAGATGCATCATTTACCGCCATCTTTGTGATGATTTACCCAACCATACCATGAATGGATGTTCCACAACACCTTCGACTGTGGTTCTTCACCGCTCGTTTTCATTATGCAGCTTTTTAAGGTCTATCTTGTATATGATACGAGCATTGTCGAAAAGTGGGGACTTTTAACCAAGCGTAAGAACAAATCACATCAAACTATTAAATCCCGTGTAGAAGTACGAAGTGCAAAGTACCTGGACAGGAATCTGACCTGTCACAGGCCCCTTCAGTGGGAAGTGGATGATCGACAAGCGGCCCTTATGTATATACCCGACGTTTTCTATGCTTAGCACTCTGTAGTAGATTATAGACTTGGGGATATTCTGGCCGAGTTACTGGGTGCATTGTGCTCAAAGTGGCCCTACCGTTGAATGCATCATATAGATAGAACCATATTGGGCAGATGCTGCAGCCATTATTACCGTGCAGGCTAGACCGCTGGCATAGGTCTGTACAATCGCGAAGAAGTTTCGAGTAAGTTGATCAGGTTGCTAGTGAACTTAAAAACCGGGCATTGTTTGTATTAACTATGTTGTTGTGGTTATACATAAGCAAGTGGGCCAAGATAGACGGAAATAGTGGAGCATATAGCTTGGGTTATTGTATACTTTTCTTCCTCGGGAGACGTTATCCGCGGAGATCAGAAGTGGCCTTATATCAACTTAACAAAGTCCATGCATTAATGTCTTCCTGCGCCAAAAAGGCTCTAGAGGTGATTGCTCATTCTAGGTTTTGATTGGTAACCTGGGTGATTAATCCACTAGCGACCCGGACCTCGAGATAAGGCTGGGCACAGGAAGAAGAGCGAGTACATGCCCGCCCAAAAGCCTGGCCACCCCATCCATAATCACCAAAAATGCAAATTTCGACCGATTCTTTCTCGACAGATTTTATATGATAAGATATTTTTTATATATTTTTATTATGAAATTCAGCAGTAGGTCAGGAATATATCTCTTTCTAAAAGATCATTAATTTCTGACTGTTGAGTGGGAATTAATACAAATACAAATCGGGATTAAAATTCTGGTCCAGAATCTTCCCTTACAACTTCAAAATTGTCAACTCGATATAGAAAATTCTTCGTCAGATAATTCCTGGTACCGTACCTTGGCAGCGTAAGCATCTCTTTCGCCACACGATCGAGATCGAACTTGTCCGGGATATCAGCCCTATACACCGTCAAAGTTGGACACCACTATATTGGTTCCGGGGTATAGTCATGATGTCATATTCCACGGGTCTACTTTACGCCTAAATGGCGACCTTAAAAGGCTATTGTCAGACTATATTTTGACATTTCTACCCAGAATATGAATGAATGTGAAAATTATTTCAGGACGAGATGGCAACCCTCAATTTTTCAGGCGAAGGACCAGATTTCCTGACTGATGATACCCTCCATGAAGCTTATGAGCTGGAGATCCAATCGGAGAATGGTAAAAAAATTCGATTCGGAGAAGTCGTAGCAGGGAAAGGGGATTCGATAACGACGATTGTCATTTTTAGTGAGCTTTTATGAGGGACTCGAAATCGAGCGGGATCAAATTGATGAGCTAGCTAACTGACTCAATCCTAGTACGCCACTTCTTCTGCATCTACGACCAAGGCTACGTCCGAACCCTAGGTCAACAAATGACCGAAAAATTACTAGATACAGTACCCGCGAGTGCCAGACCAGCTCAAGTCATAATTCTCGGCTGCGGGGATCACTCCCTTATAGTCCCCTATATGGAAGAGACATCGGACGAATTCCCAATATACACTGATCCATCGGGGAAGATATACGAGAAACTACAAATGAAGAGGATATTTAGTGGATTCACAGAACCGCCACCCTATTCTGATTTCACATTCCTCCCTGGTTTTGCGAACGCTATGAAGCAGATATGGAAACGTGGATGGCAGGGTCTCCGTGGGGGGAAGTGGAATCAGCAAGGTGGTGAGTGGATATTTAACCGGGGAAGACTACAATTTGCACATCGGATGGAAGGTGCGAATGATCATCTTACTGCGGAGCGGTTGCTGGAAATCTTGAGTACGGAACACGGGAAAAGTGATGATTTATCCCCAACTAGGGGGGAAGGGGAAGACGCCCAGGGTCGAGAGACGCTGGATGTAAAATGCGAGAGCCGATCGTGTGGCACGGAATACCTATATATCAGATAATGCATGGCACTAGAAATCTTTCCCTTTCCGTTTTACGCAACTATAGATTGGTTGAGGCTGTTCACGGAGAAATCTTCTGCGAAAGCAGCAGAACAAAAAGCCAAAAAAGCGAGTGAGCAAAAGGCATGAAAGAGTTCGTGTGCGGGAGAAGGAGCTCCGACGTGCGAAGGAACATAATGGATTCAAAAAAAGTGGCAAGGGTGAGCACTAAAACGGAAATGGAAAGCCTCTCACCTGGTCTGAAATCCGGTTTTTATGCGGACAGTTCGACTATCGCGAATTTGGGCAAGCATTTGGAGTGGCCTGGGCCCAGTGACGACATGCGTCAGCACCTTTACTCACGAAGCATCGAAATATCACAATTCCTGGTTGTGAATGGGAAACCTAGACATGGATATCCTACTCAAAGCGAAAGTACGGAGCTTCCCTAAATTTATGCAATATTATTAATTTCAATATCGAGGTCAGCAGTAAGTGCTTGCGAAACCCATTCCAAAACACGCATTTGTAAGATGCCGAAACGGGTCGGGTGGAAAGTCGGGGTTGTTCCGCCATATGAGCAATCCTCGGCAGCGTCGCCGATCCAAAGAGGGGAACCTTGAAAGTCCCAGAATGACGATATCAGGAGATGATGGCTCGTTCCTAAACATCACTCTCAGTTCTCTTTCTCTTCATCCAAGCCCTCTAAATTGCCCAATTAATAACCATGGCCCATCTCCAAGCATCGAATCTATTCTCCGTCAAGGACAGGGTGGTCGTGATCACCGGCGGCGGAAGTGGTAAGAACCAATCCCACAGATACAAACAATGGACATATAAGCTAATAAAAACACAGGCCTCGGACGTATCATGACAAAAGCCCTAGACGCCAACGAAGTCTCCAAGATCTTCATCCTAGGCCGACGCGAGGACGCACTACGTGAAACCGCCTCGCAAACCATAAACGGCACCGTGATCCCAATCCAATGCGACATCACCTCAAAAGACTCCCTCGAGGCAGCCTACAAAGCCGTCGAGGCCCAAACAACACACGTCGACCTCCTAATCGCCAACAGTGGCGTAATGGGTCCGCTCATGAAGCCCCCGCAACCGGCAGAAGACGGGTCCCTCCCGCCGCTGTCGGAAGTCCGAAATGAACTCTTCAATGTCCCCATGGAGGAGTTTAACAAAGTGATGAATGTGAACGTTACCGGGTCGTATTACACGGTGCTGGCGTTCTTGCCTCTTCTTGAGGCGGCGAATAAGAGACGTCCGGAGCCGCAGGAGAATGTGCTTGCTGCCCCGACTGCGCAGGTTATTATCACGAGCTCCATTGCTGGGTTTATTCGCAAAGTGCCGTTTAGCTTTGCGTATAACGCTTCCAAGGCTGCGACGACGCATCTCGTCAAGATGCTTTCTACGTCGTTTGCTTATTATGATATTCGGGTTAATGGTATCTCGCCTGGCCTTTACTACTCGGATATGGCAAATCATGTCTTCCAGGCATCGGGTATTCAGGGTCGTGCGATTTCTGAAGGCTCATTCCCGAGGGAGATGATTCCTGCTACTCGTGGTGGTAGTGAGGAGGACTTTGCTGGTTTGATTGTTTGGCTGGCTAGTAACTCGGGTGGTTATATCAATGGTAATATCTTGGTTACTGATGGTGGCCGGATCTCTGTTTCGCCTGCTGTCTACTAAGTGGTGTTTTGTTCGGGCTAAGTGCAGTTTGGGTATACATAGACTGTACAGGTTTGAGCTTCAATGAAAATAGACATATGTTAAGTGCTTGATATCCAGATATGAATGTCGCTCATGAGTGAAAGGCAAATAAAACGGACTAAACGAAAATGATCTTCATCGGGACAATCTCAAGGTTGTTATCCAACTATTTAGTAAGTCGCTGTCAATCGTTGGACCAGGTATTCGCCTGAAGTAATCGCCGAGTATTTCTTGGGCACTTTGGTTTCCTCGCCAAAGGTTCCCGGTAGTGCTTCAATAAGTTTATCGTTGTTTGGCTGGCAGAAATACGCTATGCTGTAACGAGCAGGATAATCCGGAGCATCGTCCCCAGAGCCCTCGGGCGCGGGCGGCTGAATTACCCGATGACGGGTACTCTTGATGGTGTCATTGGACCATCGAGCGAGCAGGTCCCCAGCATTGACAACAATGGTATCAGCAATGGGAGTCACATCCACAAATGTTCCTTTAGGGCTGCGTACTTGCAGTCCACCGTGTCGATCCTGGAAAAGCAGAGTGATTGAACCGTAGTCGCTGTGCTCGCCGGCACGGACTTGGTTAGGGTTATTTTTGAAGACTTCTTTGCTGACGGGAGGATAGTGAAGCAGACGGAGGTTATTGTCACCAGCATTGACAGAATCGTCGAAGAAATGCTCCGGCAAATTCATTCCCAATGCAATGGCCTGCATGATATTCTTATGCAGGTCCTTTCCCATTTCAAAGAATGATTGCATGGTTTCTTTGAAATGTTTTCCTTCGTCATCGAGATGATCGGGCCAGCGATTAGGCAGGCCCTCGACTCCCTCGCGACCAAGTTCCATAGTCTCCTTGATGTCTGGTGCGGACGCACGCAGAGTGTCGACTCCGGTTGTCTCGTCAACGGTGGTTAACTTCTCCCGCCCGATAGCGACGTAACCACGGTTCGACTGTGGGGTTGTCCAGCCCAGAGAATCCTTCTCACTTTGGGGGCGGGCGAAGAAACGGGCAGATGACGCAAACACCCCGGATACAATGGATGGTGGAATACCATGTGCCTTTAGGTAGAGGAAGCCGGATGTTTTGAAGGCTTGGGTTATGGAAAGAGCGACAGCATGTTTATCGGATGGGGTCCCTGTGAAGAATGGGCCGAAGTCGATCACCTAGAGCAGATTCTATTAGTTGTAGCTTGAAATAATAGGAGACAGAGCATACCGGTATCATCAAATCATCCTTATCTACCGCAGCAGACGCAGGATTATCTTGGGCCGCGTTGGAGGCCATTGCATACACGGCTCCTGGGGATATGAACTCTGTTACTGTAAGGCGAAATTGAGACAGGGACAAAGGCCTGTAAAAGCTATAAAGTGGGGTTCTGTCTGAATGGAAAGGAAAGATCTAAAGAAGAGGGGAAAGTCGGGGAAAGGGAAGATCATACCTAGGTAGGTCAGCTGCATACATCAAAAAGATAAGCACATCTGGGCAGATAAGTATCAGATAAGCGTTGACCTCTTACTACATGTATGTATTAAATTTGACTGTTTGTATTGACATCTATTGAATTAGCTGCTATCAGACATTTTGTTTGCCTAGTATATTTGGACTTGGAACTGATAGCGCAGATCAATCCACACCCCCACTCCATCCACAGTGACCCAATCCTCGGGTCATGATCTCAAAGCTGAAGATAGAGCTCATATCGCTCATATCACTCTAAAGAGCAAGCAAAAAAAGAACTAAACACGCTGCTCACATATGGTGATGAATGGCGATAAGACTCCACTAAGGAACAAGCGGTGTAATTTCACATCTTTCACGACAACAGTCGAACTAGGAAGCCATTTGGCATCTCTGTCCTCCAAGAGCTTCGAGACCTTACAATCCTTCCCGCTGTGAGTTCTCAACTGAGTAGCTATCCCATTGACCGCGAGAACAGTAGCAGGAGCAACAAACCCGTATGGGTCCTCTAGAGACTTCATAAACGCAATGGAATCCGGAATTGCGGCAGCCAGGAGGTTCCCATCTGCGTCGAGCGACAGATTATCGAGTGGGTATCCCGTGTAGATTTTATCAACTTGAATCAGCTGGTCGCCAACTAATTTGTGGACAGTCACGACTCCAGTCACTGAATGAGCCACATAGTAGAGTCCGTTCTCTTGGACAATCCCGTTGGCAAAGGAAAACCCTTTGTTGGCAGCGACATGACACTTTCCTGTGTCAGATCGACAATATGTGAGGCTTCCTCCGCCAATCAACATTTCCAACTCCGCGAAAGTGCTAACCTTGGCGTTGTGGTCATTGGTAATCACGATTCCCAAACCATTCTTATCAACGGACAAGTTGTTAGGCGTGACGATTGCGTCGCTGACTATAGTTTTGATATACTCAAGGGTCTCTGATGCCTCGTCCAAATCAAATATCTCAATTGTGGAGTTCGCTCCAACGACCCAGGCATCAAGGAACTCTCCCGTTGTAGAATCGACTGGGGGTCTATGATTGATCAACCAGAATCGAAGTCTGCCGTCAATACTGCGCACGTCGAATCCATGCAGATCCAGATTCCCGAAGTAACCACCAACTTTGAGCTTATGGAGACCATACAGCCCGTCCGGGCCGGGTTGGTCAATATTCAACACTGCGATATGATCCGTGCGAGATCTCGCGGAGATGTTGTATTTGCTGCCACCGGGACTCCATCCCTGTCTGGATTCTATAGTGCTGCATGCTGCGTACAGTTTTCGTTCTTGGTCATCTAGCCACATATCCTCACATCCTTCTAAGAGAGGATGCTGGAGGCGAGTGCAGGTCCATGGGAATTCGTCAATTGATTGGATCTCTCGGCCGATCCCGATTGTGAGAAAGATGATGTTGTGCACATAGGCTTTGTACAAAATACCAAGGGCGAGCACAATCAGGGCCCATATCGCAGCCTGGGAGCTTAGAATTCGAGTTCGTGCCATTGTGAAGGTGAGATAATTATGTGCCTGATTGAAGAAGTGGTGTTGGGTTCCCGGTGGGTACCCACACTTGGGCGGGGCTAATAATTAGTGCTGATGTGAGAGCTAGATTCCATTGAAGTACAGAGTACTTTATTGACGTTTCAATATGAATGAGAAAGATACTTCGATGTGGTTTGAATGCTTGAATAAGTCTAGTTATTGCCCAGGTAGAGCCTTTTTGCGGTGACAATATTCCTACTTAGTGAACTCGTATTTTTCTCTTCGCTAGAAGGTGGACAGTCCGCGGTGTAGGATATTCGGTCCTAGGTGTTATTTACCAAAACATTTAATGGAGGAGTGCTCTTGGATGCGTACAAATGCTGGATATGGCCGAAAGTTACATCCCAACACTCCTCGATTAATCTTCAGCGCTTGTTGAGGTCTTATCCGCTCCTAGCCACTCTGCTTAACCACTCTTCTTATTTGCCATTGTTGCAACGCCCAATGCTTGTGCTAACCATAAAATTAGAATCCAATGAATGAAATAGTTCTACGAAGTAATAAGAAACTGGGTTAAGGATAACGAAAAGTGTTTATTAGTGATAAACAACTACCTTTCTTATTACACACCTGATTGTATCCTCTTTGCGGCTGCGAATAACATTATTCCTTATTGTTTTATCGCATACGACATAATTCTGTGAGTCCCTCCATTCTACCCCGTTTGTTTGTACGAACCCTTTTTTAATCGTAAAATAATTCAGTTGCGCAATAGGGTGCTAGAACTAAAGTGTCAATTTCTTCCGGAGAATTTAGCGTACACGGGCTACACTAACGCCACGAATTGTTAAACCTAGGTCCAAATTTCGTGGACTTGCTTCGTTTGATGTAGCAATTGTGCTCTCATCAATTAGAAAAACACGGATTACGGGAAAGACCTCATCATTGAAAATAGAAATAGTAGCTACTATCTTACATGCATTATTTATAATTGGTTCCACTATTTAAAGATACGCATTGGCTACAGCAGCTTATAGAGTTGTGCATTCGCTGTAGTAAGCAAGTTCACGATGTCAATATGACCGGCTTGTTCTGCGGCTTGGAGAGCTGTACGGCCGTAATATTTGGCAGGTGGAGCGTTGACGCCGGCTTGTTTGTTGAGAAGTAGTTTCACTATCTCGGTATGACCGGCGCCTGCTGCGGCTTGAGAGCTGTACGGCCGTAATATTCGGCAGGTGGAGCGTTGACGTCGGCCTCGTTGTTAAGAAGTAGCTCCACTATCTCGGTATGACCGGCACCTACTGCGGCTTGGAGAGCGGTGCGGCCGTGATTTGTGGCAGGTGGAGCGTTGACGTCGGCTTGATTGTTGAGAAGAAGTTTCACTATCTTAATATGACCGGCGCCTGCTGCGGCTTGGAGAGCTGTACGGCCGTAAGATCCGGCAGGTAGAGCATTGACATCGGCTTTGTTGTCGAGAAGTAGCTCCACTAGATTAATATGACCGGCGCTTGCTGCGGCTTGGAGAGCCGTGCGGCCGTTTTTCCCCATAGCTATAGCGTTGACCTTGGCTTTGTTGTTGAGAAGTAGTTCCACTATCTCGGTATGACCGGCGCTTGCTGCTACTTGGATTGCAGTCATAAGGCAGCCTGTAGAATATTCTTGAATATCCACGCCACTCCTAATGAGGCGAATGGTCATACTCTTAATTCCGTTCAGAGCTGCCCACACCAACACGCGAGTGTCATCACCGATATCAGTAAAGTCGTTTTGCCATCCATCGGCTTGCTCCAAAGTGCGGAAAACGTGATTCCCATTAACATTGGGCATAATCAAATTCTTCATGATTATTTTTGCCGCGTCTCTATAGCCACACTTAGCCGCTAGGTGAAGACTCGTTTTATGGTCCGAATCGATTGAGGTAAGACTTTCTTTGTCGCATAGTAGGCTGACCACCTCAGTCCTCCCGTTGGCAGCTGCTAGGTGTAGAGGCAATTGTCCATTCTGATCTGGAATATCAGACCTGGCTTTCCGGCGTAGCAGCAGCGACACGCATTCATGCCGTCCTCGTAATGCTGCTCGAGACAAGGGCGTTTGGTTCGAAGAATCACGACAGTCAACATCAGAACCATTGTCGAGCAACAATTGCATAATGTCCTGGTAGCCTTTCTCTGTGGCCCAGTGTAATGGCGTTCGACCAAAATTATCGCCGAGATTGATGACATCAATATGGAATTTCCCAACGATCTCTTCCAGGACAGATGTTTTCTTATTTTCCACTGCACAATGGATTGCAGTTCTCCCTAGCCAATCCCTCAAACTTCCAGAGCTAGGGTGGTTTTGGAGGATTTCCAGAACTCTCTTCGCATCTCCTGCCCCAGCCGCCAAATGGAGAGCGAACATGCCACCCTCGTCTTTCGATGGCGGATCTACCATTGTAGTAGTCTAGTGCTTGTCTCGGAGGGTGTTAAGGAAAACAGGGAGAGGTTTCTTTATTTGGGAATAGCTCTGACTTGACTGAATCACAGAAGAAATAGTATAAGAGCACGGCTTGTCTCAGTCAGAAGTTATACTGAGCAAATATAACTAAGGAACGTCGGAAGAAATGAGCCAGAGCTCAAGAAAATGCGAAGCGGCATGGTATTATTCACACCAAACGTGGTTAAGCGCTGGCCCCCGGCCCCCTGCTATGCCACCCCACCCCACTCCGAATCCAGCCGGAGGAATCATAAATCGAGATATGGTAAGTGCATACGGAGTACTCCGTACATAACTAGTTTTGCCAATCATGTTCTTATGCTTGGTTTTGCTGTTTATTTAGTAACATTTATTTTTAGAACCATTCTATTGTGGCTGAACCTCATGACCAAGGCGTCTATTGCGCGATATTTATGTATTTAATAATAATAGGGGATTGGTAGGGTACTGGAAGGGGGGTCGCATTACTGTAGAGGGTCCCATTACAGGAAGGGAGGGTCCCTATACCAATCCCCTAATACTAATGTCTACGTGCGATGTGTTGTTCACAATCTCCCCTCCTTTTTGTGTCTTTGACCTCCATACATTCTTCTTTCATTTTCAAGGTTTTTTGTTTCCCTCTCTTATCTTTTAGCTCGTCTCGAGTCTAAGCATCAGTTTATGGGATAGATTGTTACGTACACAAACGGCACAGCAAGCACGGTTCTATAAAGCTTTGGCGTTTCTATGAGCCAAAGCCTTGATATTCTCCAAGGGTCAGAACACCGACTTCATGGCAGCCAGTGTATTAATATTCAGCATTTTCATGCTGGCGCTTCCTGTGGTCGCAAGTGAGGCTTCGACCGCAGACCATCTTGGGTGGCAGGGCAGCCCCAATCGTCGAGGCACCTGGGATATTATCCTCAGTTGTGGAACAACAATTTTCGCATGCACGTGGAGTGTCCAGCATTTGAATGTACCAGCAGCACATGATGGCACCTTCAAAAAGTTTCTACGAAGTTGCCAGTGGATGATCATCACCGTTTTGTTTCCCGAATTTATCATGGCACATGCTTTCTTCGAGCTTTTGATGGCAATTGAGGCCACAAAATTGATCGAAGGGACTAGAAAAATGGCAGTGACATATCCTTTGTTGATCAGGAAGCTTTTTGTTCGAGGTCATACACAAAACAACGACTCAGAACAGGGCAAGGATTATAAAGGGCCAGAGTGGACGCTCACACATTCATATTTCGCCAACATGGGAGGACTTTCCTTCGAGCATACAGACGATACAGACGAGCAGGAATACACACAATTCCCTCTGACTGCATTTCAATATGCCGCGCAGCTTGATCTTTATGCTAGCCCGGAGATTTATGAAGATGACATCAAAGACAAGGGCAAACAGGATTACTTCGCCAAGGTAATTGCTATACTGCAAATATGCTGGTTGATTTTCTCCCTTATCACTCGAAAGATCCGGGACCTACCCTTCTCTCAATTTGAAACGCTCACCTTGGGTCTCGCGGTCTGCGGTATTGCCGTTTATATCACCTACTGGTATAAGCCTCAAGGCATTGGTATAGCAATAAAGATTGCGAAACGAGAAGTCTGCGTGGTACCCCAATTTTCCAGAACATACGACAGCTTTTGGGATGTCCTTTCAAACTCAAGAAAAGAAACGAGTTCCCAGCCGGTCCACCGCATCAAGAATGACAACATCCCTCTGGCCAAATCAGATAAATGGCATACAACAATCATTGTTTTGGCTGTTTTATCTGCGGTGTTTGGCTGCATTCATATAATTGCATGGAATTTCGAGTTCCCCTCTGACGTGGAGAAGCTCCTTTGGAGAATCGCAACCGTTATGTCGATTGTAGTCCCTGGACTTGGTTTGATCACTATTTTGCTAGCACAATTTACTGCTCGGGATGGTAACCCGCAGGAATTCATGCGCAATTGTCTCGATGTTCTGAGGGAGTTTTCATGGTTATATCATGATATCGATTCCACCACGAAGGCAATGAGTGCCTTGCAAAATATTTACAACAATCCAAGCTCTGACGGCGACGACGCACAGCATTTATATAAAGATATTCTTACCACCGAGACTGAATATCCACTTGGGCCAGAGATGCTCAAGTTCATTAAAAAAGAACCACCTTTTGAGAAAAGCAATTCAATCCAGCTGCCGGAGAAATTTCTATCTCAATTCAGCTTCCTGGTCGAATTGATGAATGAAGAAGGACCAAAAAGTTTGATCGATAGCGCAAAAACTAATTTGTTTCCCCGTCGAACTTTGATTCCAAGATGGGTGAACTTGTCCATTCTGTATGCCACCAACTTGATCTACATTGTGTCCCGACTTATGATCATGGCATTGGCTCTCGCGAGCCTTCGATCTATGCCACAAGGGGTGTATATCACGACATGGACAAAGAATCTTCCAGCTATACAATAGCTTGTCGTACACGGTGTGCGTCGTGGGCTGATTTCACGTAATGTTGAAGTGGGGGAGGGCATCTTGTGATATTGTGTATTATAATGCATGGATAATGTCTAGGTGGATCATTGGATGTACTTTTCGGAATTTATAACACAGTAAACTAGCCCTGGAGGAATAGATTAGTGCTTTTGAATTAGGGGTTGGAAAAAAATGACAGTAAAAAGTAAGAATAAAATCGATCAAAGGCTATCTTGGCCCATTCGGCTTGGGTATGATTATATGTATGCTACTGAGGCCCGGAATAAGAAAAGCAATGATTAGAGTGAAAACTAACTATGCTAATTACTGCACAAATAGGAAGAAAGACATCATTTACTCAAAGCCGTGACTGGCAGGCATACCCGCAATACCACAGCCTGGAAGGTTCCAGGGTTCCCCACCTCAAGCTATTAATAAGCTCAATTGGGACCTCGGGACAATCTCGGGACAGTTACAAAAACATTGGGTTTCTATTTCTCTTCTTTCAACTCCACTTTCAATATACACTCCTCCCTTTTTCAACCAAATCCCTTTTCCAATCGCCAAAATGACGTACACTGCCATTGTTATGTATCCCAACGATGCCGATGTCCAGTTCGACGACTCCTACTACATGAAAACCCACATGCCACTCGTCGAAAGAACCTGGAAGAGCCACGGTCTGATCAGCTGGCGCGTCACCAAGTTCCCCACCACGCTCGATGGCTCGCGGTCTCAGTATCTGATCATGGCCACCCTCGAGTGGGAGAGCGAGGAGTCTGTGAAGTCTGCTCAGCAGAACCCTGGCAGTGCGGCCGTGTTTGCCGATATCCCCAACTTCACCAACGTGAAGCCTATCACTCTGGCTGGTTCCGAACTCCAAGTTTAATCGGTGGTCGAGAGTGTATGTGGAATTTCATGTTGATGTGTGTTTTAGTGCTGAAATTGATGTACAGCGACTATTCATGTTACCAATGAATCGATGAAATGAGATGAAGGGCCTTGGCATTTTTTATGAGAAGCTGTATATATCCTCTATCAGTCGATAGCAACGTTTCACATTCAAATTGCAATCCTTAGCAAAATACGTAACATCAAAAGACCAGACTTATCGGAGATAAAGAAATTGTAACATCACCTGGGCATCTGGGCATCCTTCAGGGCTGGAGAGGGGCATCCCCGCTCAACAGCTCTTATCTACATATTATCCCCTCACTTGGGTAACCCTGTCTCTACTATCCCTCTCTTCTTCCCTTTCCCCGCCAATTCTATTTCGCATATCCCAAACATGTCTCGTCCACTAGTAGTTGACGTCCACACCCATGTGTACCCTCCATCGTACATGGCGATGCTACGCGCTCGCAAGACAGTCCCCTACATCCATGACCCAGCAAGCGGAGAACCGCGCCTGATAATCCTCTCATCAGACGATGACCCATCCATTCCAATCGATGAGCGCGGCCGCCCCGTCGACACATCCTACTCCGACATCAATGTCAAACTAACCTTCATGCAACAGCACGGCATTGACTGCAGTGTGATCTCTCTCGCAAATCCCTGGCTAGACTTCCTCGATCCCGTCGAAGCCCAACAATGGGCGGAGCGGATCAACAACGACCTAGAGGAAACCTGTGCCCAGAACAATAAGTCCACTGACCCGGACAACACTCTCCCTCTGCAGGGGAGGTCGACTTTGTTTGCGTTTGCGACTTTACCGCTGAGCGCACCCAGTGCAGATATCATCGTTAACGAAATCAAGAGACTTAAGACCCTGCCTCATATCCGTGGCGTGATTACGGGGACCTCCGGGCTGGGAAATGGTCTCGATGATGAACGGCTCGGTCCTATTTGGGCTGCTCTGGAAGAAACGCAGTTCCTTCTCTTCTTGCATCCTCATTACGGTCTCCCTGATGAGGCGTTTGGTGGTGCTGAGGTGACAAAGCGCTACGGTCATGTCCTCCCCCTGGCTCTTGGGTTCCCGCTCGAGACGACCATCGCGGTTACCCGCATGCTGCTGTCCCGTGTCTTTGACAAGTTCCCGCGGCTGCAGATCTTGCTGGCGCATTCGGGCGGCACTTTACCGTTTTTGGCGGGGCGCATCGAGAGCTGTATTATGCATGAACGGAAGTTTGTGGAGAATGGTGGCGATGTTCCTGGCCCGCAGAGGAGTATTTGGGAGATTTTGAAGACAAATATCTTCCTTGATGCTGTCGTTTATGGGACTGCTGGGCTCAAGGCTGCTGTTGCTGCCGGGGGAGGTACTGATCGTCTTATGTTTGGTAAGTTTTCTAGTCATGTTATTGGTATGATTGGGGCTGTATCAGGCTAATATATTTCGCAGGTACCGATCATCCGTTCTTCCCACCTCTGAATGAGGGTGAGAAGGAATGGATCAGTGTGACGACCAACTATAAGGCTATTGATGCGACTTTCGAGGGAGAAAAAGAGGCTGTGGCTGCTGTTTTGGGTGGCAATGCTGCTCGTATTTTGAAACTCGAATAATCACATATACTATTTAGCATGAATATCGTTATACTGGTCTGCAGATATAATCATCAATAACAACTGGGGTATAAAGCAATAAAGGGGAACAAATGTGAAACGATTGTAGTACCATGAGCACAAATTTCATAATCCGGGGCTTTCAGGTTGGAGCAAGCACAGTCCTCAACACATCCCAACTAACAAGCCGCCACAGCTCCTGTGTAAGCCAATCTGAAAACTTCTCCTGGTCCATCTGTTGATCATCAAGTACCTGGGGAGGCGGAGTATGCGGACGCCGCAGGCCCTCCCGAAACAGATGATCATCAGGTCCGAATACAGCCCGGAGGAGAGTCTTTTGCAGACGATCTTTGGCATTCGCAACAAATTGACGAGCAGCCGATGCCTCGAGGGGCGATTGACGAGGTTCGGCATTAAGCATTCTGTCCAAAAGCCGAACCAGATACTTTGCTTCGAGTTGTGCCTCGTTCGGCATAAGACCCTCGTCAGTCATTGCTTCCAGTCCATCTGGGAATGTCATCCCGGGGCAGATGCCCATTGGCAGTCGCAGGTCATGGAAAACGTGGAGAGCTAGCATTTTTCCCATGCGATTGAGGACAAGGTAGAGGAACCCTTCCATTACTTCTTGGTCTTCGGTACAGGTTAGATTGAGGGAGAGCGCCATCGTGCAGAGCAGGTCTGCGAGGCGAGAGGTTATCTCATTCTTGGTAGGTGAGCTCTTCTCTTTTGTACGTTTGTTTTGTTCATCAGGTTGCGTGGCAGACTTTGGAGCTCCGCCCGATTTGGTGTCTTTGGTGACTGACTTTTGCTTGGAAATTGCGGTGCAATGCAAAGTGAGTGCTGTCATTGTTGATTCGAACAGACCTACTAGGTAGTAGACGACTTGACCTTGGTGCTGCGTGGCATTCTTGGCCCCAGCCATTTTGTGCAACGCTTTGTGCGTGAGATGGAAAGCAACTGTCACACCATTTAGAACAGCATCTGTGTCCGGCATATTGGCCTGCTCGGTTTGGGGAGGCTTCTGCTCCGTCATACTGTTCTCGTTCTGGATAGTTTGGATCAGCCTCTGCTCTGCCGATTTGCAGAGAATGACTACATTCACAGCCAGAGAATTGGCCTCAGAACTGCTGGTTGTCTTTCTTTGCAAGGCTTTCTGGACGGCATGCAGCTGTCTGTTGAGACACAAGACTATAATAGATTAGCCATCATCATGACCGGTCGATGAAATGGGAACCAAGTACCATCCTCTTCTCCTGAATCATCATCATCATCATCCATCAATGGGATGCTTTTCTGCATACTTTTCGGTAGCTTCGTGCGTTTCCTAGCCATGTTCGAGCTATTTGCATTCTTGCCAACAGCAGGCGCCTTGCGTTTGTTTGCTGGCAAGGTCTCATTGTCATTTCCAGTGACATTGACACGCAGTTTGGCAAGAAGGCCCTCAATACGCTGGTTAAGCTCATGGACTTGATCTTGTAGCTTGCTCTGTCCTGTCTCGGATCGTTCGTACGCTTGCTTCCAGAAGGAGACGCTGTCGAAGAACTTGTCCGTGGCAACAACTTGGCCCAGATCGTTGGTCTTTTTAATAAACTGTCGAATCTGCAGAATGTATTCTAGAATGTATAGTCAATAATAAATGGTCTGAGTCTATAGAAACTGCATGTTCGCCTGACCTTTCACGCCTTGGCCTGGTGGTTTTCCCTTGACCACAGCCAATGCCAGGGCTAGTTGAAGCTTTGTTGGAGGTGTAACACCCGGTTTAGACGGTGGTATGGTTATCATCTTGTTAATGGCCTCGAATGGGTCCTGGCTTGGGAGAAAAGGGCTGCCATCTACTGACAAAGAGCAAAAACTCCAGGATACACACGTGCCTAGATTATATATATCTACCTCGATACTACAATCCTAGTCACAAGAACAATCATACTTAATTTTTATATCCAAGACAAAAGCCAGACAAAAGTTCGAGTACTGAGAGATCTATTTGGCCAATTCAGTATAGTAAATAATAGATTCCCTGATTATTTTGTAATCGGGATCTCATAGTAGACCAGTTGGCGGCCTGAGGCGAAACGGATCCACCGCCCAAGCTCCGAACTTGAACCTACAAATTTCCATCTCAGCAACACCTCACTTTCGGAGCTTTTGATTTAGCGTTATTTTTCTCTCGGGGCCATTACTGTGCTCTGTATTACCCTACGCCCTAAACCAACAACCACAGAGTCAAAAACCGCCACATCAACCCCTCCACTTCATCTCCGCAAACCTCCCAGGCGACATCCAGTCGCATAAACCACCAAGATGCCAAACGACGATCTCAAGGCGCACGCCGCCTCAAACCAAGATTTCTACGCTCTGCTCGACATCCAACCAGCAGCCACCGAAACCGAGATCCGCCGCGCATACCGACGCACCGCACTAAAGTACCACCCGGACAAGATCAAAAACCCCACCGCAGCAGACATCGACAAATTCCATTTCCTCCAGATAGCCTACGATGTCCTCTCCGACACATCAGTGCGACAGCTCTACGACAATGCGCGGGAAGCGCGGCAGCGCAAACAGCGCGAGCGGGACATGATGGGAGCGGCGAAACGAAAGATGCGCGAAGACCTAGAAGCGAGGGAGAGGGCAGGCGCCGCCGAAATGGGTGGTGCAGGTGCCAAGCAGGGTGTCAAGAGATCGTGGGCGGCGGACGGGGATGAGGATGCAGAAGAGAAGCTGCAGCGGGAGATTGACAGGATTGCGGAGGATGGGCGGCGGAGGCGACGCGAGGCTGAGGATAAGGCTAAAAAGGAGCTTGAGGATGAGCAAAAGAAGATTCAGCAGCAGGAAGAGGAGGCTCGCAAGGCGGCGGATCGGAGTAGCCAGCGCGTGGACCGCTCGAAGGAGGGTGGCGCGCAGGTTCCTGAGCTCGAGCGTGCGGTGAAAGTGCGCTGGGTGCGGGAGGGTCGTGGGCTGGAACTTGATATTGAGCAGTTGGCGGTGCTGTTCAAGCCTTTTGGGAAGATTGAGAATACCTTCGCGCTCAAAGATAAACGTCAACGGATCGGAGAGAACAAGGAGAAGAAGACTGTTGCCACGGGCGTGGTGGTTTTCACATCTATTGTGAGCGCTCATACTGCCGTTCTCGATAGCGAGAAGAAACTTCGTCAACATGCTGGTCAGGGTGGTGAATGGGGCCTTATCGAGTCTGTCTTCTGGGCCTCCGGCAGCCAACCTGATCTAGGTCCTGATATATCATCCAAGCCTGACCAAGCTGAGCCCGCACCTGCACCACCAGGGCCCTCTATGGACACTTCCAGCAGGCCTACTAAACCCTCATTCAACTTCCAGGGCTTGAAAACAGCTCCCCCACTCGACAAAGCGCCCTCGTTTGGCTCATTCGCTTCTGCACCTGCTGCGGCAGCTGCCCCGAGTGCAACGTCATTCAATCCATCCACTAAGGCTCCAGCCGCGCCTAGTCTACAGGAAGTGATGATGATGCGGCTGAAGAACGCACAGCGTGAGAAAGAGCGCAAAGCCCTTGAAGAAGAGTTGACACGAGCAGACGAGGCCGCAGACGCAGCAGAAGCAGCGGCAGCGAAAGGCACCTAGCTCTCACGCTTCATAGAGGCTACCTTCCTTTCTGCATTTTTAAAAAGGTCCAGCCTAATTTTGCTACTGTATTTAGATTTAAAAGATACCCCAGAGCACGTTGTATTTGCAATGTTGAGTTGAATAGAGATGCAAGAGCTATTTACATCATACCTTTTTGTGTTGTGTTATATTATACATGAGTAGTGATTAGACACTTAGGCATCTTAGTCTCGGTGCGCTTCGGCTTCGGCTTCTTCTGTCTCTAATTGCTCGACAAATGCCCGTGCCCGTTCGCCCTCTGCGTCAGGATCACGGGGAGCGGGTTTCTCCTCTTTGCCACCGGATATGAAATCTCTCAGCCAAGGCGGAACGAAAGCACGTACTCCAACCTCGCTAGGCTGTTCGACTTCCGGGGCCCAGGATAGCTTAAAGTGGTGTTCATGAGGACGAGCAGGAGCCTCACCCATGAGCGCAACATCGGTCATAACTTCAAGACGGCACAGCGCAAGTCCAATATTGCCAATACCATTAAGGAACGTTCCCGCACTGCGGTTTCGACGAGTAGTGACACCAGCCTTAACAATATCCGCTTCACCAGAAGGCAAAGACAATTGAAAAGATGGATCATATGTGAGGGTATCCGGGGCACTTTGACCATCCTGACCCAAATCATAAAGCTGAACTGGCAAAAGACGCTTCCGCGTAACGCCACGGTGATGAGTGCGAATCGTCAATTCCTGGCCAACATAACAGCCCTTGCGGAAATCGATACCATGAGCCATATCCATATTGCACTGCAAAGGCAAAGCCGATCCACTAATAACCTCCGCCTGGCCCTCCGCAACACCGTGCAGAATGCGACGGACGGTGTACGAGTCCAGCTGGACCTCGGGCCCGGCGACCTGCGCCTCATCCGGGAAATAGGTGCGCAGACCGTCCGAGCCAGGCGTGATAATGCGGGATCCGAAGCCCGGAGCACGCGTGTCAATGCACCCAGCAATTTCGGAGGTGAGTGAGAAGGGCGACGGCGATTCCGACTCCAGACTGTATGCAGCCCACCGTTGCGGCTCGGCGTGGTTCTTCCAGGAGGACCAGATCGTGCGCTCCCCTTCCTCCAAAGCGCGGAGCTTGAGCTTCGCGCGCAGCTTGTGTTTCTTGAGGTGTTTCAGCAGGATGGGGACCTGGTTCTTGTCTACCTCCACTAGCCAGCCTGACTCGGTACCCTGGGCCTCGGCGCCGGGGAGCGGGTAAATGAAGGCATCGTTCAGAACTCGGCCTTGCGAATTGAGGAATGCGGTGTATGCGCCTGTGTGTCGAATGCTTCGGTTCGGGTCGTTGGCGACTAGCATGTTCTGGGTTATCAGGCCCTGGAGAAACGTCGTGCTGTCGAGGCCGGTGATGGAGATCAGTCCGCGGTTTGTGAGTCGGCTATACCCTGCGGTCGGCGGGAAGGGGGCATTCTGGCTCTGTTCGGTACGTTGTGCTGTAGTAGAGAATAGCCTACGGCGGGATAGGCAGCGGCTACAGACCGAGGGGCGCGGGCGCATCATGGTTGAGTTGGTGTAGCAGAGCCAATATGAGTTGATCTATTTCTTTACAAAGCGTCCGATGACGTTGGGCGGCGGATTGTGGCAGAAAGAAAGATTATGGAAGAGACTCGGGAACTGAGGCCTGGGTACGGAGTACTCCGTACTGAACTACAACATGTAGAAGATGCAACCATGGAATTTTTGAGGTGTAAGAATAACTGGTTCCAATATTACAATACTGCTATGTATGTCACATGTGCCTAGCTAGAGGCTACTGCAAAGCCACCTGGGCAACCTTAAAGAATCAGCCGACCACAGAGCTACTTATTGCCCTTGGCCACTCCCTCCAAGAATCCGAGCAAGAACGCCTTGTTGCTCGGAGAGGAGACCTGTTGACCGTTGGCGTGTGCGCCGCCATCAGATGGCGTACCGCGACGAGAAATAGAATCATGGCTGCTCGGACGATTGCGGGACGACATTGGGCTGACAAAACCTGAGTATGCTGGCGGCTGCTGGTTGACGGCTCGGGAGTCGAACTGGGTCGCAAAAACGGGAGACGGAGAGACAGGTGCCTTGCTAAAGAGAGACAAAAGCGAAGCTTTCTGCTCAGCAGTTTGACTCGGTCGACGGTCAAAGTTGCCCTGTGGGACCAAACCCTGGGTATCGATTTCATGACCTGGCAAACTCAATTTGCGTTCAATAGCTTCAGCTTGAGGAGATGTGGCCATCAATGCTTCATATCCGGGTTTTTCGGATCGACGTAGAATCTGCGGTTGGAAATTCCTAACAGGCTCAGGCGCCTCGGGTGTCTTCGCAGGCAGAACCTGGTTTGCTTGTGCAACAGGTCTCGACGAGGATACCTCCCGTTTGGCAGAATGAGGTCGCGATAGAATGGTAATGGGCGAGGATAGCTGTTGTGGCTGGGGTTGCTCTCGCCTGTTCACATGGTTCTTTCGGTTTGTTCCATTGTTTGGCTTGTACGGTTTGGCAAATGTCTCAAATTGCGGCATGTTCAACGGTCCAGACACGGTAGCCGATGTCTGACCTGCTCCCGGAAGACTTCTCGCTGCGCCAGCCTGGTGCATGGGCTGATTATGTTGATCGTGAGGACGCTGAAGAATTTGCTTCTCTGAAGGCGCTGTAGAGGGCACAACAGGGTTGCCTAACAATTCCGCTGGTTCAGAAACACGGGCAGTTTGGGGACCTTTGAGCAAACCCAAAAGACTATCCTGATGCTGAGACGTCTTGCGCACGTGGGAAGAACCCTGCATGGGAGCTGCCAACATCGCTGGACCCGGACCCTTAGGGGTCTTAACCTTGAAGACTTCTAAGAGCGCCAGGGAATGGCTTGTGAGCTTCGGTGGAGGCAATTTGCTCGCCGGCGGAACAACTGGGCCCCGGGTTTGAGATAACTGAGCGGATTCAGAGAACTCCGGGTCTCCAGTCCGTTGAAATGGCGCGGGCATATGGCTTGGGTTCAGAACGCCAGGGGCCATAGGAGGCTGATTATGGTGCTGATATTGAGACATATTGGTGGTCTGGGGGAATTGAGGTATCGCATGAGGTTTAGGATACCAATTAGGTGCACTAGTCGGGAATGCATTGGCGGAAAGAGCCTGTGGGCCATTCGAGGAGTGCTGGATATGAGGTTGGGATGGGATGGTGTGAAATGGTGTCGAGTTCTGCCGCATGAAAGGAGACGGACCCATGTTCTGCTGCTGCTGAGGGAATCCGGGGAAGAAATTCGGGCCCAAATGAGGTCGTTGTTCTGCAGATTGGACGTTGGATTGAGGTGGCGCCATAGGAATACTGAGAGGATCCTGAGGGAATGTCTCTTGACGCCCACGCTGCAACAGGGCAAGGAGCCCACTCGCCTTAGACGGGTCAACAGCAGAAGCCCGAACTGGCTCAAGGCCTGGTGTATGAACTTGTACCGGTGCGGCGCCGATCTTCAGAAGGCGTTTGAGGTGATCTGAAGCATCTTGCGCTGAGGTCACCTCAGGGAGATCACTTGGAATAGCCATTTCCGCGAGAGACATCCCGGGAGTGCCATTGGTATGGCCATTTTCATCCATAGAAACGTATCCCTCGGCCTGTGAAACCTGATTTGTGCCAGGCTGGGCTCTGGAATCAAGCTTCTTCTGCTGCGCAATCCACTTTTTCAATGGGCTGAGAAACGGGGCAACCATGTAGAACTTGTTCGCATTTGCGACTGCGAGTCCTTCATCATGCTGTTTATTTTTCTTCAGTGTTGGCAGCTCTGAAAGCTTGTACCACTCAATCTTGCTGATTTCCTTTCGGGTGCGCGGCTCAAAGTAAGTATCACGGAGCACACCTCGAAAGACGTAGAGTCGCATATGCTGCTCTCTCATCGTAATCTCAATGTATTTGACATCGTCGTCGTTTTTAACCAAGTTGGCGTTCCGAACATCGAACCCGGTTTCTTCGTAGACCTCACGAATAGCACAATCAAGATCCTTTTCGCCCTTGTTGATTTTACCACGGGGAAAACTCCAGTTTGCACCCTTCTTCCAGCCTTTGACCAGAACAACCTCGTCCATCTCTTGGTTCAACATGATCGCACCACGAACCGGCACGCGTGTCTTGTAATCCAGGAATTCTTGGAAGGCAGCCAAGTGATGATAATGAGACCATGACGACATAAGCGGGCAATGTTGGAAAATGCGCATAGCAAATGTCTTCAAGTTCATTGACGGTAGCGCAGGGTCAAGCGGACGAATGAAGTCTTCGTAGAACCATTGCGCTTCTTCGACTTGGAAACATATCCGCTCGACGGACTCAAGCTCCTCGCGCGGAAGGTTGATAATGAAACGGACACACAAATCATCCAGCCCTGTTAGCAACGGCCCACCGGCCTCGGTCAGCAGCCTGTCGTCATTCCGATCGATCAGCAACCAAGTACTCACAATCTTCTAACCGCATATTTGTTTCGGTCATATCGATAGGTAGGCTCTGGCATTTCAAACCCTTGGCGGCTGAGAAAACTGCTCACTCAATCCGACAGCGCAAACGGTCGAAATAAGCAAGCAACACGGTGGAGGGGACAGCTTCTAGGGAGGGTGGGCCAACCCAGGGCTGTGTGGATATGGTGAATGGAATGGGGCAGAGACTAGTGTCAGCAGGTTGTGCAGTATGCGAAGGTAGTCAAAGTTCCAATCAAGTCAGAGAGAAAGAGTTGAATGAGGCGTTGGGAAGCAGAGCAATAATCGGAGCTGCCCAAAGTGGTGATCGGGTGACTAAGGTGATGTGTGGCGGTGATGATCCAAAATAATGCGCCACATGTGGATGTGGCTGTGTTGCGGGTTCCAAGATTCTCGGGGGTATGACGTCGCGTCGCGCAAAACTGTTGATCTCCCTGGATCCCCTAGTTATATTCTTTGGGATTGCTATTTAATCCACCTGGTTTCAAAGTCAAGCACCTTCTTCAACTACCCTTACGCGCCCTTTGTCCTCACCGAAAATACGTGAAACGAGCGCAGCGCCTACCGAAACCCCTGTCTATCCAACCAGGAAGGGTTTAGGGCCTGAAAGGATCAAGGGCAATACATAGTCTATTTTGGTTACCATTGCTCGACATTCGTCTATTTCTTCAGCACTTCTCCCCAGAAGATTCCAATTTCCTCAACTGCTTTTACCTCACGGTGCATACTGTGATCTAAAACAAGGATGTCGAAAATCCTGGTGTCTCTGATTAGCAAAAAGGTGCTAGGTGAAACCGCCAAGAATCATTTTGGTACTGAGGTGAGTTCACTTGAACGACCGAAATTCATTTGGTTTTGCGAAGAGAGATCAGGCTGACCCAATTTTTCCTATCTACCTAGGACCCCTACTTCGAAGAAGTTCCTGCTTCACGCCTCGGTCGTACATTTGGAAAAAAGACCCAAAAGCGTCGCAAGGCCATCCCGCCGGGCCTCTCTGAGCATGATGCCAAGGTACTGACCAAGGTCAAACGCAGAGCCTACCAGTTGGACTATGCTCTTTTCAGCTTGTGCGGAATCCGCTTTGGCTGGGGAAGTGTGATTGGACTTATTCCATTGTGAGTTTCACCATAATCTATTGCACTAGCACCGAGAGGGGACCAATGCTAACAAATGAACCGCAGCATCGGCGACGTTGGTGATGCTGCGCTCGCAATGATGGTTGTGAGATCTTGCGAAGGGATTGACGGTGGACTTCCTCATGCTTTGCGCATGAAGATGTTGATCAATGTCATACTCGACTTCGTGATTGGCCTCGTCCCTTTCATTGGTGATCTTGCCGATGCAGTGTACAAAGCGAATACACGAAATGCCGTCATTCTTGAAAGTCATCTGCGCCAAAAGGGTGCCAAGGAGACCTCACAGCAGAGTAGAAGAAGACAGGAGCCGATAGTTGAAGTCGATCACAGTCTTCCCGATGCATTTGACAAACAAGAAGATGGAGTCGTGGGTGACCGTCCACCGGCCTATGACGATGTGCGACCATCGGGTCATGGGGGAAGGGACAACGCTGCCCCCCAGCCTCCAACCAGGCCCCAGCCGGCCAAACGGTCCCGGAACAAGTCATTTGGCAGATGGTTTGGCGGAGCGGGTCATCCAGAAGATGATTTGGAGCGAGGTGGAGCGAGGTAGCGCATGGTGCGTGAAGATAATGAGACCGTAATTTCAGATACCCCATGATTTTTTTTTGTCGATGATTTCAGATATTGCGGGATGTTCGCCTTTAGTTCATTTAATTTTGTCATGAATCAAGAATGTTTCTCTTCAGCAAAGCTCCTCAGGTCGAGACCGCATACACCCGTAGCAGAATTGAGAGCTGTGGTTATCCTCTGCCTGATTTGCAACAGTAACTCCGGAATTACCCTTCACATTTCCCACTAGACTAGCACAAAGAGCACACTTGGGTGCACCATCAGAAGTGGAGGGGTTGAGCTTGTTTGCGGTTCTGGCCACATTCGCCATGACACCTGGATACTTTGCGCCTTGGTTCTGAACATATCGCAGCATCAACTCGTCAATAGAAAGGTTCTTGGTAAGAACATTTTCAGAGGGCGGTTGGTCGGGTATGACGATATCAAAGAGCTCAGCACAGACACTCGCATATTGGAGCAACTCAGCCTTATACAGATCACGGAGCGGGTACTCGAACCTCACGCCCCAAGGAGACATGCCATCGGATACCTGCCAGGAGAGGGAAGCCCCACGTCCCTTGGCGACACCCGCAAGTGCTTTCGCAGCGAGACGGCTGTCCGAGTCACCCCAAATCACAGATTCACATCCAGACTCTTTCGCAAATTCAACGATCAGTCTAGTCAGCAAAATGGTGTCGACGTCGACCCTGGAAGTTGGTGTGGAAATAGATGCACGGAAGGCAGCTAAGCGTTCTTCATTCGAGAGAGTGCTGTCGTCTGTGAATCTCAATCCTGCATATTCCTGCATGATCTCTTCCACCTCCGGAACATAGTCAAAGATACTATGAAAAGGTATCCGAGTAATCTTGTGCATCGGGAAATTCTTTTCAAGAGCTTCGTAGTTTTGATCAAAGGGAATGCCTGTAGCCGCAACGGTCGAAGGTTCGATGACCAAAATCTTGAAGTCGTACCCCAGAGGGCGTCCATTATCCAGGCGATATTGTCGATCAGTATTCAATATATGCAACAAGACCGAGGAGGAAACACCGAAAGATACGGGGAGAAGTAATTGGGTTTTGGGGCCATCTAGGCCAAAAGCTCTGTAGACGCTCAAGCGCGACTGAACCTTGTGTGCTATAAAGCGCTTAAAGCATAAGCTAGGAAAGGAAAGTCAGAAACTATGAGCTGGAGGGGTCGTAGATTGCCGAATTGTCGCATACCTGCAAAGCTGCCTCTTGCGGACAGTGAGCTCGAATTCTGCATCCTTGCATTCCATGCATGTCTTGTTCAGTTCCTTTGCTGGCATGATGACTGCTGTAAAGTATCGACTATTAAACCTGGACTCTGGACTGGACATTGAAAAAAAGTCGACCGAAGTTGGAAACTAAAAAAATAGTGGCGGTGCCCGCTTAGATAATGGCCACGCGCGGCTTCCCCGGTTTGGGGGCGAGTTAAACAAGAACACCTTAGCCTTACAACTTTTTTGCTCAACACACCTTACCATATTCGGCTCTCTATCTTCTTGCTCATATTTTTGCTTTGATGCTGTGTGGTCTTAAAGACCTCATCCCGAATTCCGGAGCATAGTCTCGCTTCAAATCTACGGTCGCCATGAAGGGCTGGCTCCAGACCTTGGGCTTGACGGCCCTATTTGCAAGCTATGCGCTTGCTAATGATGCTGAACTGGTATGTCCCTACTCTCCACTCATTGGATAATTATCAGGCGCTAACGTTGTTCTGCAGAAATCCGACGATGCGCACCGACAACGATGCTCAGGGATGTACAGTCGCAAGGCTTGGGGAGGAGATGTTGACCCCTTCATTTTGGTGAAATTTACCAAGTCGGAAGCCCAGGAAAGTGATCCTTTGGCTAGCTTGGTGATCTTTGAATGGGCCGACGAGGGATTGATTGGCCAGTACCGGTCCGACGATGCTGAGGTATGTCTGTCAACTCCATGGGAACAACCGACGCGGCTAATTATTGGGTTTAGGTCAAGGAAACAATCTGCGATGCCTCCAATGTTGAGGCAAAGATCTGCACTCAAGAACAGCTCGGCTCTTTTGTTCTCGCCAGCAATGCCACCGACGTCTCCAAAAGCCCTATCATCTCGAAAGCAATCCACCTAAACAACCCCGACGCCGTGAAATTCCCCGTCAGAAAGACTGGATTTTACTGCGTGAGCACGTATGCATACTCCGGACAAGACTACAAAGCAGTGGTTACGTTCCGAAACTCATACGGCGAGCTTCCCGCTGCTCAAATCGCAAAGCTTCCATTTTATGGGGCCTTGACGATCGTTTACGCTGTTATTGGAGCGTATGTAACTCGCAGAATCGATGGACTCGATAGGTTTTCGAGTAGATGCTTACGCATAATTCTAGATTCTGGGCCTTCCTTTACGTGCAGAACCGTTATGACATTTGTATGTTGGATTCCCTTCTGCTATCCGAGCCATGCTAACACTGGATAGTGCCCGTCCAAAACTATATCACTGCAATTGTGGTATTCTTGATCGTCGAGCAGTTGATGACGTGGGGATTCTATGGTAAGAGACAACAATCGATTCCTTGCTTGACTCCATCTGACTTTCCTAGAATACCAAAACCGCCATGGTCTAAATGGTGGCGCAAAGGCACTCATGGTCATTGTAGCAGTACTCAACGCTGGCAGAAATGCTTTCTCTTTCTTCCTTCTACTAATTGTCTGCATGGGTTACGGCGTGGTCAAGCATTCATTAGGCCGAACGATGATCTATGTTCGCATCCTGGCCATTGGTCACTTCATCTTCGCGGTCGTCTACTCGGTTGCCAGTCTTTCGATCACCCCTGATAGCGCCGGTCCTCTGGTGCTTCTCATTGTCCTACCCCTTGCCGGAACCTTGACAGCTTTCTACGTGTGGACCTTGAATTCCCTGAACGCGACGATGAAGGATCTTATCGACAGAAAGCAAAAGACCAAGGCAATGATGTACAAGAAGCTGTGGTGGTGTATCCTCGGCAGCATCATTGTGATCTTCGGTTTCTTCTTTATCAACTCATTCGCTTTCGCTGGAACTAGTGACGCTAGCTTTGTGCCCGAGCACTGGAAGGCGAGATGGTTCGTTCTTGATGGCTGGCTAAACCTGGTTTACCTGTTCGACATCGGATTTGTCGCTTATCTGTGGCGACCAACCGTCAACAATCGCCGCTTCGCCATGAGTGATGAGGTATGCAGCCCTTCCCTAAATAAGCAAGAGCAAAATCGAGGTACTAATACTTCTTATAGCTTGCTCAAGACGACGATGGATTTGAGATTCGATCATTCGGCAGTGGTTTGGATGAAGAGGATGCCTATGATGCTCCCCGGGATTATCCTGGCAGCTCAGCCGCCGAGGGCCGCCGTGATCTCTCCCCAGTTCCTCCCAAGCCCTTCTCCTCGGCACCCCGCCATCGCGAGTCACTCGATGAAGAGACAATATTCGCAGTCGGTGAAGAGGATGCTGAGAGGTGGTCCGATGACGAGTCGCCTCGCAATTCAAACGAGAGACAGAGACTCACCGGCAAAGACAAGGAATAGACTGAACATTGACTCTTTTTTTTTTTGTTACTGTTGTTATTCCTGGTTAGTGTAAAAGCCGATCAGGACCAGGCATCTGGTAAATTGATGGGGTTGTCATTTCACTCAATGTACAACCTGCCTCTAGGGCAAGGATGCAAGCATGTCATGGCGTTGGTCTTTCCTTCACACTTATGTCAAATACTTTGTTCTCCTATCTCGCTTTTTAGTTATATTATCGGCTTATACGTGTTTCTTAGCCACAACGATTTTCAATTTGAGAAGTTTTTTTAGGTGTCTTTTTCCTTCTTATTGTTATAACTAGAACCTTCCAAGGTGGGAAGGCCCTGGACGATTTTTGAGTCATCCGGAGCCTCATGTGGAGCCCCAGTCTCTCCCTCGTCCTTACAAGATATAAATTAATTCATTCCAATATTGCAGTTAATATTTCCAAGCTGAAAAGGGCCTTGAAATGTTTTGATTCTATACTCCTCTATACTCCTACCAACCGATAAAAGAAATCTTATCCCACCTGCCCCGCAAACCCTCAAAACAACAGCTCCAATTCTCGAACAACACAAACAACCAACAACCCTAGCACACATTTCACCTGCATATGTGAGGCAGTATCACCATCCTCAAGCATCACATGCACGCAACCGGTGCCTAAATATACACAATGGCACCAGACACGCATCCCCACGTCCCCGCAACCCCCTCCGACAAAGAAAGCGACAATGACAACACAAGCACAGCCACCGCGAAACCAGAACCCCAATCAACAGAGCCCAGCCCCAGGACAAGCACGACCCTCTCAGCACAGCTGAACCAAGAATGTAACGACCTACTCTCCCAGATCGACGCCTACCAATCCCTCCTCGCGTCCACACTGCGGAACCCACAGCTCGTCGAGGTGCGCCAATTCCGCTCCAGCGTAGCCTCCGAGCTGAAGATGCTGGAGAAGCTAGGACGGCAGATTGAGGACGCGATTGGAGAGACAACTCCAGGACCAGAAACGAGTCGAATGGAAGATGGGGTGACGGGGTCGCGTGACCCTGATTTGGAAATGCGGTTGGTGCATGCGCTACGCTCTTCGAATTTGCCATTCTACCAGGCTGTCTGGAGGATCGCGAGTGGGTCTTGTTCTGGGTTGGTTGCGCTGGGCAAGAGGTTTTACTGGGATGGGGAGACCAAGGCGACGGAGAGGAAGAATGCCAGTGGGAAGGGGAAGGGTGGTGGTGCTGCGCAGCCGGAGAAGCAGCCTAACAAGGATAAGCGCAAGAGTGTGTTTGTGGATGTTGTGGCTGATGATGGGGAGGAATGGGTGAAGGTGTCTACTATGTCGGAGAGCCGGCTTTTGTTTGAGATGGCGAAGAAAGGCTGGGAGGGTGATAGTGATGAGGATGAGTGGTCTGACGGGGGTAAAGGGCGGACTATTTTACACAATTTTGATGAAGATGGGGATGATGATGACGATGATGAGTTGGAGCTCATTAAATTGGCCCGGGATCTAAGGAAGGCGTCTGATGCTACGCGCGTTAGATATAAACATCCTTGGCTACGGGTTGTTATACCTAAGATTGAAGAAGGAAGTGTTCCTGAAATTGACGCTGTCTTGAACGAGATGCGGAGCTATGGTATTCAGGTTGACTGTCAGGGGAGTCTGCCAGCTGAGACTCGCACCGGACTAGCCCATCTCCTGCCTCAACCATTCAAAAACTTCACTTCGACTCTGAATGTCGACTGCACTTTACTCCTTGCCTTGGTGTCTGACTTGTCTCACGTCAAGGACATCCCGATATCACCCCATTTCCATAGAGCGATCGTCCGACAAATCGAAGTTGAGCGGGAAAAACCACTGCTCACTTCCGAACTCTGGCCGGCTATGGATGGCCGTGAGCTCCTATCCACCACAGAGGCTGCAGTGCGCTTCCGGGAAATTGTCGAAACCATTGGGACAGAGACGGAGAAGAGTCGGACTCGCATGTTGCTGGGAGATCCACCATACGAACAACTCGATCGTGAGGCTATTCTCCAGAAGTTTCAAGAATTGTCTGATTATCAGGTGCCCGCAAATTGGAAACTCCCCATCAAAGTGGTTGAAGCCCAGCAAGTGATTGATGCGGCCAGGACACAGGGTAATCTTCATCCAGTGGTACATGAAGTTGGGAAAGACCTATCGGATATCAACCACAGCGTGTTTTTGTACGGTTGGGTCACCGGTTTGACGACCATTTCCAGCAATCGCACAATCGACAAGCAAATCGAGGCCACCGTCGAGGACAACCGGAAAGGCGATGATTGCCTAGAAGGCCCTGACGTTTGGATCTGTGACACAGCACGAAGTTTGGTGGGCAAAGACAAAGACCGAAAAGCATAAGCATAGAGGTTCGGTCATCTGCTAGACGGGTTTGACAAGAAGCCGCTTTTCTTGACCTTGAGAATTTGTGAACACGCTGCCATTGTTCTGCAGGGCAGCTAGTCATACAGTGTATTTATAGACAATGATTAGCTGAGAGCTTGAGAGAAAATCGGAGATCTGGTCCTTTCCATCGCGCCATCAGATTTGAATTACTTCTCTGAAGACTTGCCGTGGTCGTCAGGGACGTAGAAGATAATTTCCTTGTCGGCACTGGCGATCATATTGTAACGTGGGTTGTATTCCACCATTGCCGCGCAGCTTGGAGCAGACAATCTGGTCGAGGGCTGCAGTGTGAGGTCCCCCCGCCGATCTGTCCCAAGTCCCACACGAGCATACCGTTCTGATCACCATTGCCTCCAATTACGTATCGACCATCGGGAGTGAAACAAGCGTCGCCTTGTCCGAGAGGCTTGCCAGTCGTGGACACGGGTGCAGCACGACCAGACGCTCCACTCTTGCCGCCCAGGAAGGCCTTGAGTGTACCATCAAAGGCATCTAGAACATAGTGACCATGGTAGTCTGTTCCAAGCATCAAATATTTTCCATCATTGGAGAACTCCAATCGAGTCCATGCTCGTCCCCACGTCGACGGTGTGAATCTCTCCTCATATGGTGCAAGGTCGAAAGTGGAGAAGGGCGACTTGTCAAAGTTGCGGAAGTCGTAAAGAAGCACTGTAGCTGTGGATTGAGAGGCGATTGCAATGACCGTACCCGAAGGATCAAAGGCAGCAAGGTATGGTGTCGCAAGGTTGAGCTTGCCCTGTGGATTCCTCGAATTCAGGTCCCACAATGTCACAGTATCATCCTTGGAGCAGGACATGAAGGCGTCGCTGGCGGGGGATTGAGCCAGGCAAGTTACTTGATCGTTGTTGCCGGTGAAATATCGTATGTATCCCTCATTGTGAAGGTCCAGTAACCGCAAATTATCTGTAAATGGTGAGCTAGGTGGCTAAAATCAAGGCCATTCAGTCACATACTATCAATTTTGGTACTCGCATGGAGAACTTGGCGAGAGTGATGCGTGAATCTCGCAAGATGAACACCGTATTTCTTGCTGGCAACGGATTTGTTGTATTTGCCCTCTTTCACGTCATAAACATGCATACTGTCGTCGGTACCGGCACCGATCAGAACATCGCCCTGGTCGTCAAAGTCCAAAGAGGTCACATATTTGGACGGATCTTTTTTACAAGGGTGGAATCCCTTGGATGGGCGGAAGGTATCAATGATATCCGTGATTTTCTGCGACTTGAGGGGAGCTTGGGCGGCAGGCGCACCCTGCTGAGGTGTTGATTGGCCTTCGGTCATGGCGATGTGATTGACGGTGTGGTTGACGGTGAAGTGAGAGAGGTTACTGGGAATATATTATAGGGAATACTTGCAAAACACAAGCAACAGGAAAGGGAATGTGAGAAAGAGGAAGGAGCTGCCCACATAGAAATGACAAGCTCCGAGGTGAAGCTCCGCGATTGGGCTTTTTTGCGCGCCTCACCGCCTCGGCTGACGTAAAAACTCCGGGGCCGACGCCGGAGGGCCCAGGCTCAATTGACCAATGAGCGTTTAACCGAGTCCCAGTTCGCCGCATGTAAGCTTTTATGTCCACGGTTTATCTCAGGGCGCGTATTGACTTAACTTCTTCAATATCTGGCCCTAGGTGAAAATATTGTGCATTCATTCATATTTCTTACCCATACTTCAATTGTGACTTGGCTATACCGCCTCATTTAATTGCACATATCCTGTGGGATCTCCGCTACTAGCCGCATTCATTTCATTCTACGGGTCCGATCTTCCTCCGCTAGCCGACAAACCTGAGCAAGTCATCACACAGCCAAAGATCACATATAAGGCGCTATGTCTACTACTGGAGGGTATGTTATATCTATGCGCAGGAGGTGTACAAGGGCTGCGCTAACAGCAATTGTGGTGGAACAGCGCGTTCATTGCAGGTGGCATTGCAGCATGCGGTGCAGTCACTGTCACCCATAGTTTCGAAACGGTCAAGATCCGGTTGGTTTCCTGATACCCCGGATATGCTGTCATGATACTGACAGTTATACTGTCTACAAGTCTTCAACTACAGGGTGAATTGCAGAACAAAAATCAGGCAGTGAAGATGTACAAGGGCCCGTTGCACGGCATCAAAGTCATTTTGCAGAATGAAGGACCTCGCGGTCTGTTCCGTGGTATTGGATCTGCTGTATGTGATGTCATCTCGAAATTGCATATAAAGGCGCACTGAACTAACATCCGGGTCATGTAGTATATCTACCAGGTCTTGCTTAACGGCTGCCGTCTGGGTTTCTACGAACCTATCCGCTCGAACCTCACAACTGCTATATACAATGACCCCAAGGTCCAATCCCTCGGTGCCAATGTCGTTGCAGGAGCTGCTTCAGGTGTCATTGGTGCCGCAGCAGGGTCGCCTTTCTTCCTTGTGAAGACCCGTCTTCAGTCTTACTCACCGTTCCTCCCCGTCGGCACCCAGCACAACTATAAGAATTCTTTTGATGGCCTTAGCAAGATCTACAAGGGCGAGGGCATCAAGGGTATCTACCGTGGTGTCGGTGCTGCTATGATCCGCACCAGTTTCGGCAGCGCCGTGCAGCTTCCCACATACTTCTTTGCCAAGCGCCGTCTGACCCACCACCTGGGTATGGAAGAGGGTCCTGCTTTGCATCTGGCTAGTAGCGCAGCTTCCGGCTTCGTTGTGTGCTGCTTCATGCACCCCCCCGGTATGTCCTTTCAAACACAGGCTATTGTATGTTCTTCGCTGATTTTCAATCTCTCTAGACACGATCATGGCTCGTATGTACAACCAGACCGGTAACCTGTACGGCGGTGTGTTTGATTGCTTGCTCAAGACTATCCGCACTGAGGGTCCTCTTGCCATTTACAAGGGCTTCTTCGCCCATCTCGCCCGTATCCTTCCCCACACTGTAAGTGACAGGAGTTGAGCCTTGCTTTACCATTCATCAACTAACCCCGCCTCTAGATTTTGACTCTGAGTCTGGCCGAGCAGACTAACAAGCTGATGCGCCGTGTCGAGGACCGAATCCTGCCCGATTCTTTCCGTGAGGGAATCTAAACAACATATGGGATATATTTTGAAGGGATCTTCTTGCGAGATCCACTACTAGTATCTGCATTGCCTGGCTGAGGTTTCTTTTCAAATGTTCTGTGCCGCACAATTGCTTCTGACTGGGCATATAGATGGCGTTTGGTAGAGTAACCTGTTTATTTCAGAATTCGAGAGTCTGTACATATTGTTGTTCACATATCGCAAGCCTTGGAAATATTTTGGGTATGTGCATTGGCATTATTTGATTCCCCTCACAGTTGGTTTCCCCGGCACAAATCGTGAAACACGAGAACGCGCTAGCACGTGGTGATGCAAGGCACTTCCCTGCTACTCCCACTAGTCCACTAGACCAAGGTATGTGGGGGTTGCTGGTGCACCGAGAGCTCAAACCTGGCAGGTGGAGATATCTCTTGCAAGGGATTACTCGCCACATTGCATTCAACCCTTGGGAACAGTGTCAATATACCATGCAATATAGACAACGTTGGTCCTTGTGCTTCGTACTCCGTAGGTATATCCCAATGCAACTTGAATACGTAAAATGGTCAAACAAAGACCCCTAACATTAGATCCTGCATGGCTGCCTAGGCGTGACGCAGCTAAGATGATCGGCACTTTCTTTTTCTCTTGCGGGTCCACTCCTAGAAACTTCCCTATGGAGTAAAGGGTAGAAAGATCCTTCATCCCTGGGACTTGACAGGAGCTGCCACATGTTACTCGCCTTGTTTGAAATGCTATGGGCTATGTATAATGTCGAGATTAACGGACGGGAACAACCCTTGGAGCATGCTAACGTACTTTGTACGGAGTACGGAAGTATAGCAGATGGAACGCGTGTGTGGAGAGCTGAGCACACCCTTACGCCATGAAAAATGAGCTATGAATTGGCGAATGAGATGCTAATGCCTGGATCTAGACCAATAACAGAACCAATTAGATCCGTAAATCCGGATTGTTTTCCAAGTCGCGTCGCGCGTTGTTGTGGATTCACTGGCTTATCTGATCGTGATCAATAGTGGGGACTGAAAATTGGAGACGCGTGGGAGTTGTTGATGTCTTAGGTTGTAAGCTTATGGACGTGGCGTGGCGATTGCTGAATTGGAAATTGAAGATTCACTATTATCAGAATAAGATGTCAAAGGGTTATTTCTAGAAGGAGTAACATGCTGATGTAGATAAGATCGGAATCTACGAAATCTACATACAAAGCACGAAATCTATATTGACATGCACAAGAATGGAGCTGGAATGGAGCACGGCCAAGGACTATCCTTTCGGATGTTGCTGGGATCCAAGTGGCATGAGAAAAGAATCGCCCAAATAGGAAAGAAGGGCTGGGAAAAAAGACCTGTGGACGCGCCGTACATTACCTAATCAGTGCGCGCAGTCACGTGCGACGTGACTTAGCACGTCGCGCTAAAGAGAAATCGGCAGTACTTAATCGAGTTTCTCTTCCCTCGTCCAACCCCAAATTTCCCATCCCACTCTCAAGGCCTCTGTCTCATTCTTACTTGCTGTCTTTGCTGTCAAGAATTGTTCCTGTGATATTACATCCCTCACATACTTGTTCCAATGGCCGCCCAAGTCACTCCCTCCAAGCAGGTACGTGATGTCACGCTTGTCGCCTCTTGCCTCTCGCGTCAGACGCGTCGTGAAGTTCGTTTGAGCTAACATTTCTTCTTTCTTAGGCTGCTTCCTCCCTCGAGAACCTCAAGATGAGCGACTCACCTATTAAGAAGCTCGACTTCCAGTCGGCTGGCAAGGAGAACGCGCCCGCGTCTCTTAAGGCTGTCGACGCCCCCATTGAGAAGCCCACCGAGAAGGCTCTCGCGGCCAAGCCTCTTACCATCAAGGAGATTGAAGCCACAGAGCCCCTCCTCCAGGAGAACCCTCACCGTTTCGTCATGTTCCCTATCAAGTACCACGAGGTAAGTCACGTCGACGCGTTTCACGCGTAAAGTGGATATCGTCAAGGATATCCTGCCAGCATGAACATTGAAGCTAACCATGTCCCTCATTTTAACAGATCTGGCAAATGTACAAGAAGGCCGAAGCTTCCTTCTGGACCGCTGAGGAGATTGATCTCTCCAAGGATCTTCATGACTGGCACAATCGCCTGAACGACGATGAGCGTTACTTCATCTCCCACGTCCTGGCCTTCTTCGCCGCCTCCGACGGTATTGTCAACGAGAACCTTGTTGAGCGTTTCAGTGGAGAGGTCCAGATCCCCGAGGCCCGTTGCTTCTACGGCTTCCAGATCATGATGGAGAACATCCACTCCGAGACCTACTCCCTGCTCATCGACACCTATATCAAGGAGCCCAAGCAGCGTACCTACCTCTTTGATGCCATTGACACTAGTAAGTGCTTCTCCCATTGACTTACATGTCATTCAATTGTCTAACCTGGCATTTAGTTCCCTGCATTGCCAAGAAGGCCAACTGGGCCCTCCGCTGGATCAACGACCGTGAGTCAACCTTCGCTTCGCGTCTGGTTGCCTTCGCTGCTGTCGAGGGTATCTTCTTCTCTGGCTCATTCGCCTCCATCTTCTGGCTGAAGAAGCGTGGCCTGATGCCTGGTCTCACTTTCTCCAACGAGCTGATCTCTCGTGACGAGGGTCTCCACACCGACTTCGCTTGTCTGCTGTTCTCCCACATGAACCACCGCCCCGACCCCAAGGTGGTTGAGGAAATCATTGTCGAGGCCGTCGGCATCGAGCAGGAGTTCCTGACTGATGCTCTTCCCTGCGGTCTGCTTGGCATGAACTCCAAGCTGATGTGCGAGTACATTGAGTTCGTCGCTGACCGCCTGCTGGTGGCCCTCGGCAACAAGAAGTACTACAACGCTACCAACCCCTTCGACTTCATGGAGTCCATCTCCCTGGCTGGCAAGACCAACTTCTTCGAGAAGCGTGTCGGTGACTACCAGAAGGCTGGTGTCATGGCCAGCACCAAGCAGGAGGTCAACGCTGAGGGTGAGAAGATCGTAAGCGACCGTCTCAACTTCGATGAGGACTTCTAGACGACGTCCTTCTCCCTTCCCTCTTGTGTTGTTTTATACCCTCTCCCCTTTCACGTGATATTATGTCGTTTTCTTATTCTGTTTTTTATTGATTGATGTAATTTCCGTTTGAAGGCTCGCATGGGAATGGCGTTTTTTTTCTTCTTGTTTTTCATTTTTCTGGTCTCTCCTGGACTCTGGTGTCCATGGATGCATGGCGGATTCTCTGTATCTAGATCTTCGAATCACTTCTCCAATGTGTCTGGATATGTTTGTTTGTAGATGTAGATTGTTTGTAGATGTAGATTGTTTGTAGATATAGATTGTTTGTAGATGTAGATTGTTTGTAGATGTAGATAACGCCAATGGCCCTCTTAAATACTTATTATCAATTGTTCAGTATCATCCCATCCCATCCCTACTTCAGACTGTGAAAACTCCATTTAATTCACCAGACCGTCCGTAGATTTGCATAGCCAGCCCGAACTCAAAGCCGGTATCTCATTCCCGATATCAAAAGACCTCGATCCCACATCTATGAATGCATCATAAAAAGTAACAAGCGAAAAGAAGCATAAGAAACAAAGCAATGATCCCATTCAAAAAGAAACCAGTCAATTTACCGCTTCCCCTTCCCACCCTTCTTCTTCCCCTTCGCACTCTGTCCCTGACCCTGACCCTGCGCCTTACCAGCAAGCGGTGGCGTCGCAACCTCCTCAGCAGGAGCATCAACCATCTCCACATCTGCGCCGGCAGTAGGTACTGCAGCCGATAACCCCAACCCCGCTACATCAGCACCGGCAGCCAGCTTGCCCAGACTCGTAATCAGGCGCCCGACTTCCTGTGCCTTGTTTGTGCGGTAGTGCAGACAGATTCCGGTGGTTGGGTTGAATGTTTTCAGAGTGAGAGTTGCGATTGCGGTGGATGGGTGTGCGGGTGTGGTGGATGGAGCATCGGTGGCTTTGGCGGCGTCTTTTCGGACTTGGGATTTGTAGGCTCGGAGTATGTTTCCTCGTCGGTTTGTGGGGAAGTTGTATTTTGTTACTATGCGGGTCTGGGGAGGATTACATGTTAGTTTGGTGGATTTGGAATTGGATTTGGGTTTGGGGTTTGCGGTTGGTGTTCATTGTTGCCCGCTGTGGGGGGACGCGGTGTGGAATATTGGATGGCGGGTTGGGAGGGAAGGTTCGGGGCTTACCGTGTCTGGGTACGCTTGTAATAACTGCGCGGACTGTTCCAGGTAGGCCTGGGAGGTGGATAGGTAGGGCATTTTGGAGTGGTGGTGAGCGTCTGTAGAGCTCGCGGTTTTGGATTGAGAGATGTGGTGGGATTCGCAGGTTGGTTGGTGAGTGTCTTGATGTCGCGGGGAATGCGCAGAATGAAATGTCGCGGATCAAAAGGAAATATCCGCTGAGAGTCAACGCTCGAGAGGAATTGGTGGGAAAGTTGGTGGATGGAGAGAGTGTGTGGAGGTGTTATCAGTGTGCTGGCGGCTTTTTCCATGTCTTGGCATCAATATGGTCCAGTCCGCAATTTATACATGTACACTTCGACATGGCCTTCACTAGGTGGAACACTTCCTAACCAGATGGACTCTAACTATTAGTTATTTATTCCCCTATGCTAGTCTTATTACTTGAGGCCTATTAAACACGATTATTGGCCCTAAACGAATGCGAGAGCTAAGTCTTTACCATCAACCACATCTACTTCATTAGCCTCAACCAATTTGAACATACTACACAAAGAAAATGGTAATCGAAAATTTCCTACAAGCCATGTATTGCATCCATGACGGATATCTTAGGTACATACATGATGTATGCACCGAAGATAGCAGCTCGTCCCTCATAAGGTTTAGAGGGCGGCAACCATTTCGAGTACTCATGACTCACAGCATGACTAGACCATTCCAGGTGAATAGATTAAGAATTGGTGACGTGTAGTCTGGGTTTTCTTTTAAAGATGCTTCCTTAAAATTCCATCTTATTTCATGAACTGCCGCCGTATTGTTTATCAAGCACACGATCAACAAAACACCATGGATCGTCTCAATGAATACCAATATCCCCAAGTCCCCGTCTCTGCCCATCTCGGAAATTTCGTAAAGCTACCCCTTGAAATCCGTTTCTTAATATGGGAGTACCTCTTCTATGACATACAGCCCCCCATGTCTTATCCATTCTACGCTGCAACCGCTACCTCTACAGTGTGCGTGAGCTTACTGGAAGAAAAACCGCCGAAGGAGCATCAACCACACTAACCAGGTACCCTCTGATTACAAGCTTGCGACGATCCCTTTCATGCGCCTTTCCAACTGGCACTTTCGAGTATCACGGGGCCTTTTTGCTGTGGTAAAAAAACAAAGGAGAGTCGCCAGATCAGTTTCTTCCGCATAAACCTACAGATGAAGATGATGGATTAAACGACTGGTATTGTGTTACTAACTAACTTGGGAGTCGTTGGAGAGTTTACGCTTGATTCAGATTATCAAAGACCAACTGGTAATTAGCATCGGCTGGAGCAGTGTCCAGATGGCTTCCCTAGCAGTTTTGAGTGGTGCGCGATGTGTGGGACGACTAAATCCAAGGTAATAGTTGAAGTTACTTGCGAATGCCAGTGAAATATGGAATTCCCTAGCTTTCTCTACTAAATCAACTCTACTTGGGTATATTATTGTTGATAGTAACAGTAGGACTTTAGGGTGGGATCGGCTTCTTTCATAGGACAGTTGGCGGCCTAAATCGGTATGCTTGCTCAATTAATCCATAAAAGCAGTGCCAGAAACACAAATCAAATATATATCAGTATCAACGAAGGTAATAGTTACGGAGTAACTATGTTGATGTCCAGCTACATGTAGATACGTTCATCATTTCCGGTTAGGGAAGTCAGCTGCACACGGCCCCCCAAATGCATCCATGTAGGGCTTACACATGTCAGCTTATCCAGGAAACTCTTAGAAGACGCACGAAGTCACTGGAAGGAATAAAGAACACTCTGGAAGATACACGAAACTCTTCGAAACCACAGGACTCTTCTCAAATCTTCCAGATAAGGCGTTGCCGTGTATATAACCGCGTCCGTTCCTGGTGATAGAATTATTTACTACACTTCCAACTATCATCATTTACTTCTCACAATCAACGCTCACAATCACCACCATGGTATACCGCGTAATGGTCTTCGCCCCACGCAAGGCGACCATCACCCACGAGGAATTCAAAACCCGCTACGAGCAGCACATGCGCATGGTAGCAGATATCAGCGGCGATGCAGCGCCGCTCTCGCACACACGGTCGTATCTGAAGCACGACGCGAGCTCTAATCCGATTCTGCTAGCGGGAAGCGTCGACGAGACGTACGATGCCGTTGTGACCATGTCCTTTGACGATGAGTCTGCGTTTGGCAGGTTCACTCAAGCGTTGAATACGCCGCAGGCTAAGGCGATGATTGAGGCTGATGAGGCGGGGTTTTGGGATCGGGAGAGGATGAAGGTTATGGTTGTTGAGGATGTGAGGGGGTTGGAGTAGGGTGTTTTGGGGGAGAGAGGAGAGGGGAGGGTGCGAGTCATCTTCTTTAGGTGAACTAAAGGATGCATGAATCAATGCTAAGATGGTTTCGTGTACTGTATTTCTTGATCTTGGGGTTGTCGGTTTATCTGGTAGATGGGTTACGATGCAGTCTTACCAAGACACCCTAGACCATTCTTCGGGATCTCTATGTCTACAGTGACGACCTTTATTGCCTTCCATGTCAAGGGAAGAGAGATACTCTTTCAAACCCTAATCACATGATACGCTAAGCTTGAGATGGATTAAGTGTAAATTACCAATTTTATATATACACGGTAATAATACTGGAAGACGCGCGCGTTGCGCGCATCAGCCCTGAAACGAAGGACCCAAAAGGCTAGAACGAGAGATCGCACCATCAACATCTCTTGTTCGTGACTTGCGAGAGAGATTAGTCTGCTGTTCCATTCAGACTTAAGAAGCCCATTTCGTCGTGAAGCTCAGTTCCTTTCAGGGAAAGATCATTTTCCGCAATGTCTTCTAGTATGTCCTCGAAAGCAGCAGCAAACCTTCGAAAAGCACATCCCTGGGCAAGTAAATTATGATAAACATCGTTGTGCAATCGATTAAAAGAGAGGTTCAGATCGCGAAGGAGGCCAAAGAGTCTGCTCTCCAGACTTTTTGCAAGTGTGCTCGGTTGGTTTGACTTTAAAAGCAGGAGGAGTAAGTGGTCGTAGTACCCATTAGAGTTGCTCGAATTGCGTCGAAGTTGGTCTTCTGGCCACGCCTTACGACTCCATCTTCGAAGCTTGCACAACAACTGTTGCGGCATTTCCAAAGTGATTGTTTCTTCGGGAGTTAGTTCCTCGAGAATCCATGCAATATCGCAAGATAGCCAGGTGATCTTTGAATCCACAAGCTTGCGCTACAAATCCCCTGTCCCGATGTCTTTAGGATTTTGGAAGAAACATTTTTCAAACTATGCATCCAGGGAGGTAAGAAGTTCTTCCCACTGCTCTTTGATATACGATCGGTTCCATTTCCCGTCAATATTCTTTTCTGTATAATGCAATAAGAAAGTGTTGGAGTATATCACGTTAGATTTTCTTACCACCGACTTTCCTTTTTGCTCTGATCCGGCATTCATCTCTTAACCCCTTCATCCATAGCTCTTCAGTCCAGCTCTGCCCCCAAAGAGCAAATGCTTCGTAAACTCTAGAACCAGGAGCTGCTTGAAGGAAGAGGATATTGGATAATAGTTAATAGCGTAACTTGGGTGAAATGCATTCACAAGGGTAGACGAAAAGCCAAATCCGGTAAGCTTTGGGTTACACTAGTTTTCGAAATCAGTTATACCTACACACTCTTACGACTTCTTTCTCGGAAAATAAATCCGAAATGCGCTAATCTGTTTTTGTTTCACCGCCTTTTAATTTCAACAGAACGGCCCTTGTAATGGCCGTACAACGATGGATGAGTCATCGCTAATACCGTAATGTAGCCTTGTATCACGTAGAAATTCATAAGTCATCCGCGATCTTCACAGTCGGAATCTCGAGATAGCTTGCAGATGCTCCTCCCCACAGAACGGAGTGCTCCCCTTCATTACAAACAGGAAAGGTTCCTTGCAGGGCTTCAAACTCGGCAGGGCCCATGAAATGGCCCGAGATCTTCATGACCAGCTGTTCGCCCGGTTCAAATAACATACCCGTAGGCCAGATCTCAATCTCCAATCTCATTGCCTCTCCCACCTTTACCGGCAGACGCTTCCTGTGCGAGAGCGTTTTCCAGTGAGGTTTCGACAATTCTTCCGCGACATCTCGGCAAGATCCCCTCAGGATGCCATGTGGACCGAAATATTTCATTGGATTTGTCAAAGGAACTTCTTCTGCAGAAGCAACCCCCAAATCATTGAGTGGTATATTGACATGCTGTAGAAGCTTTCCAGTCCGGTCTGCTTTTCTTAGGTGCACATAGACATCCATATCTGGCCCCTTCTTTGTCTCAACGTAAATAATAGCACGCGACGAGCCGAGAATAGTTGTTCGCTGAGGGAAGGTGAACGAAAACTGGATTTCTCCTGGGTCGTTATCTCTTTGCCAAATTGGCGCAATATCGGCTTGGTATACCGATTGTCCCGGCTCTTGGGGCTGAATCTCTGTCAAACGACCCTCTGAGTTCAAAAACAATCGTTTGTTATTAGTTTGGCGATGAGGCCAGACAGGTTCTTCGAAAGGGATTTCAGTCAGCGCCGGCTGGTTGAATGGAAGTACAGTAGCGCGCACACGCGGTGTACTCTCCCAATCATTCGGGGCTTTCGTGTAACAGTCAAAGAAAACGTTCAATTCCTGAATTCTCTCGGGGGAGTACAGGTCGTACCATTCCTGAGTCCCATGGATCACAAGCCTGGAACTCGATTAGTGTGAAACTACTATAGCATGGGATAACGACAGGAAGTATTGTCACCATTTCTTATTGTGGGGAATTTCTTCATAGCCTCGGAGAGATCCCAGCGTGTGAAGCATCGTCGAATAGCTGGCCAAAATGTATGCAGGGACCTGGATTTGGTCTATTTTCGCTCTTTTGTCCTCCCAGTAAGAATTCGTAAGGTCTGACTCCTCCGCCATTGTCACGATATCTTCCACATCATTGCGACCTGTCTGTTATCAGAAAGACAAGAAGCTAAATAAAAGCAAACATCGATACGGACCGCAGAGAAGGCCTGATAACGCCTTCCAAAATTGCAACTCAGGAATTCCCCCTCGACGAAACTGCTCCCGGAATGGATCACTGACGCCTTCAAGAGGAGCTATACAAGCCAGATGTGGCGGCCTCTCAGCGGCAATGAACCACTGTGATATAGCCAGCCAGGAGTTCCCTAGCATGGCTACTTTGCCATTACACCATGGTAGACCTGCAATCTCCTCAATAGCGTCGTATCCGTCTTTCCCGTCACCGGAACCCCAGAATCTCATGGATCCTTCTGAATCCATTGAGCCCCTGGCATCCACGTTCACAATAGCGTAGCCTCGTGGTACCCATTCAGCAGGGTCAGGGCTAAGTGACACTTCAGTTTAAGCCTTTGAAATGTGCAATGTCGAGTTTCTTACCCTTCAAAACTCTCATAGCCGGAGAGTCGGGTTTCTGCTACACCAACTCGCAGCGGGAAAGAACCGAGGTTCAAGTGTCCTGTGTGCAGCCTCACAGTCAGCAGGTAAATTTTTTGTCATAGATCCGATCTCAGACTTACCACTGCCCGACTTCCCATACGGGCCCCAAACCATGATAGCCGGGACAACAGTCTCATTGGTAGGACGATATATATCGGCATAAATCTTGGTTCCGTCACGAAGGCGAACGGTTTGATCTCGCTCAAAAACCATGGGCTCATGAAGGGGACGAGAGTTTTCCCTTCGCTTATGGCCCACCGGTAACACGGTTACCAATGGATGAAATCCCAGGTATGCTTTAGACTCTTCCGGAGGAGGGAGATGACGCCAGCGTATTTCAACGTCCGTGGATTCCATAATCCCGAAAAGGGGACAATAATTGGAATTCGATTAGTTCCAGATTGAATGAGGAATATGATGAAGGCTTGCAGAGATGGTACCGCACCCTCACACATCATATATAAGGGACATCTGGCTAGTGGCGTAACCTACATGGCGGGGTGACTATATTCCTCAGAGAACCTCCCGCTGGTACCCCACATACCCTATATCCGATCGCCCTAGCCCGCAGTAGAGTCCAGTGGAGATTTCAAGGCTGGCGGGGTGTGTATCAATTTTGGCGATTCATCGGATTTAATATTGCCGGGATCAATTTATGATGTATATCCCTTTATCCGAAAATGCGACTGTAGAAACTTTCCCAAGATCCACTTTCCTAATAATTCTAGCGCAATTTGGGATTTACTGCCTTATTAATGGATCCGGGAGTTGTTCTCATAATGTGGGCTGCAACCGTGGTCTAGAGCTCATCCAAAAGAAAGCAATAGTAAGGCTTAAGGCATATAGATGCTTCCTGCCGTCATATAATGAATGAAGTGGAGCTTTGAGGTAAGGGGCCGTGGAAAAATCTCGTGTGATTTTAAATTACGCGCAAGAGTGGGTGAAAGCGTGGAAGGCATTGAGTGTAAAGCATCTTCTTGTAAAAAGAAGTCGCAAGACTGTGAAGGTATAACTGAATTCGAAAACTAGTGTATCAGGGTAGAAACTCCGCCCTACTCCTCGGCTCTGAAGTTTCTTAACAAGAGAGTTTTGAGTCTCAGTTTTGAAGCAGCATAGAATGATATCAGGGTCTTTAGCCCTAGCCATATCGGCGAAAACATTCTGTGCTTCATCGATGATATCCTGGTGATCTTTTCCCGCGACTGTCTCATCTAGAAAAGGTATTGCATCAAATAAGCTGACATCGTCAAAACCCAACTTATCGTTATTTACAGCAGAAATAAGATCCGACACTACATTAATAGTTCGGCAGTTGCGTTTGCCTTCCATAAATCCGTCCTCGTTTTCCTATTTCGAATGAGGCCGTTCCAGTACAATAAGGACACCACCCTTCAATTCTGGTCGCGCCATTTCGAGTCCGAAGCTCAGGTCACATATCGGGTAGTCACTCTCGTCAACCTCTAGAGATAATCCAAAGCTATGAAGAAGCTGAATATGGTCGGAATTTTCCTTGTCCCTATCGATACGTCTTGCCTCACGAATCACTCGCCGCAGTCGATAGTCAATAGGAACACCTAGGCACTCCATTTTGTTGCAGGTGATGTATCAGTGAGCTAAGTAAAACGTGTTCAACGAGTATTCTAATTCTCAAGGATAATTTTTGCGTAAGGGCAATCTTGAGCATTGGTAGCACAATTCAGTCTCGTCAGCAGATGTGCGGGGTCTATCTAATCTGACAATAATATCGTCGAGGGGGTATATGGCAATAAGCAATAGAGCGTCCTAGTAAAAGAGGGGCCTAGAACAAAGATCGAAGCAATCACAAAGAGTAAAACGTGCAGATGCATTGCATGCATGCACGGCGAACCCTAAGCCCTGACACACCAGACTCGAAGAGGAAATGCAGGGGGCGAATCACGAGAGTGCGTGGCGGAACGAACCGTACATAGTTAAGCCTCTTCTTTTTTCCAGTCTCGCACATGTACATCCACGTTGATTAGAACCCTTACTCTCACTTCGTTCGTTTCAGGGCACAAGGGTCTAGAACCCGAGGCCTACCCAAGTTCAAACCAGATATGAGTCAGCTTGACTGCCTCAATCAGCTAAGCCGCGTTAGTAAAATTTCTGGCCAAAGCGGCCTGTTACTGGCTAGTTTGATAGCAAGATCGGAGGATGTAGGCCTACTGGAAGAAAACGCTGGACTTGGATTTAATGAGGATACATTCACCGTTTTGAAAGCGTCTAACTTATTTAATTTTAGCGATCACTTCCAAAAAACCGCATTTGGTTCATTTATCGAAATCCTCTTTACTTCACTGGTACATGTCCGAGTTGAAATGTTGTTTCGTCTCCCAATCGAGCTACGTTTGAAAGTATACGAACTAGTATTCGGGACATGCCCATGTCGCAATCCGCACGCCTTTTATACACCCAAGCATCAGATTGCATTGAATATCCTACTCATTAACCGCCAAATTTATGCGGAAACCCGTGTTCTGGGCTTTCAACTTCACAAATTCGACTTCCGCAGATGGTGTGGGACTGGAGTTCATTCCTGTAGAATCTTTCTCCAGCGTCTGTGTCAATGGCAATTGTGCTCAATTCAAAGGCTGAGTATACGGGCTGTTGAGAGCAGTCTTATCAACGGATCTGGCAGTTGTCGGCCTACGTCTGAATGGATTGATATCTGCGCCATTCTGGGGGCCGCGGTAGGGCCAAATTGCACCGGGTTACGGGAATTGAGCCTGACTATTGAAGGCCAGTTAATAGAGGGTGGTTTGAGGCTTCTTGATACCGAAGCCGAATGGGTGAAGATAGGACTTGGGAGCTTCAAGTTTCTGCAGCGCCTTGAACTTATCATTGCGAACGATACAATTCATATAGGAGCAGCAACAAACTTCAAATGCGGGCTGGCAGATACTTTAAGGGGAGTCCGGATTGTGATAAAGGCAGTTGTGTGGGGAAGTGAGATTTCTTTATAAATTGATGGAGACCCGTATATATATAGGATATGTTGTCTTCGCTCAGTCTTGATCGCCACTTCAGTTAAGATGATTTCTGGTCGAGGTCTTTTGGATGCCGGAGTAACAGCAACAACGTGCGATAAGAAACAACAGTAATATCTAAGCGGAAACTTGGTTCTGGATGACCCTCCGAGGCTGCGGGCTGTAGAAAGAATAACTTTATGTACATACATCGTGGAAAGCCTCGGAATTGGGCCCACCTTTTAGAGCCTCATTCTTCCACTGCTCCTACCCGTACGTAATACCTGGGCTTCTGCGGATGCTAGTGCCTATTGGCTACTTATGTAGCAATGACTTTACCTCGTTAAAGCCCACCAAGAATGACAATAGTCTGGCTAAATGGGCCCTAATTTTTCGTAGAGGCAAGGTAATACTGTAGAGTCACAGTGTTTTGAATATATCTTAGCTATCTTGGCGAGCCCTAGCCTAGACCGAGGGTGCACAGGCGGGTCCAGATCAGCCAGACTTCTCCTCAATAAAAATATGTCTTCAAACTGGCCAATTACAAGATAGAGGAAATATGATCGTGATTGGCCACTTCTATCGTCGATATATTAACCGGATTGCTTTGCAATGTCCAGTTAAGAGATAGTGGGGAAGCTAAGGCACCAGATGTGTTTATTGGCTACTTATAGAGCCGTGTGGGAGGCGATGTGGAATTTTATGAGCATATGTGTTTAAACTGAGCAATCATAATAAGCATTGGAATACGATGGTTGGTCACTTCTGCTCCACCAAGGTGAAACTAAGGCCGACTTAAAAAGGCCAAGGGAAAAAGTATAGTTTACGTTACGGTCGTTGGCCACTTATATAGCAAGGTACTCCAGCTAAAGGAGGTTACTTAATACTATATAAGTAAGCAGGCTGGGATATAAATAGGGAAGTACAAAGCTGGAGTACTTGAATTAGCAACAGACAAGTATTATCGACGTCCTAAGGTTCCCATCCAAGGACACCATGGCACCAGTACCTATCGAGGCATCTCAGACGATTTCCCCACCCATCTTTTACTGGGGTACACCGGTTGTGTTGATAACGACGGAGAACGAAGATGGAACATCCAACATCGCGCCCATGTCATCAGCATGGTGGCTTGGAAATCGATGCATGTTAGGCCTAGGGGCCATATCGCAAACCACGATCAATCTGATTCGAACCAAGCAATGTGTCCTGAACCTCGCATCAGATAACATGGCAGGAGCAGTGAACGCTCTTGCAAAAACAACTGGGTCGAAGGAGGTGTTGACCGCAGCCAAGGGAACAGGATACCTATACTTCAAACGCATGAATGGTTACAAGTATGTGCCGGACAAATTTGGACATTCAGGCTTGACACCGGCGGATTCCGATCTGATTCAACCTCCCCGCATTGCTGAGTGCCCTGCTCAGATGGAGGCCGAATTGAAGGGAGTGTATGAAATGATGCAAGACGCGGAGATGAAAGGGTTTATCGCGTTGGAGGTTCAGGTTCTTCGGACACACGTTCATGAAAATATTCGCATGGCAGGTCATGCGAACCGAATCGATCCCGACAAATGGCACCCGTTGATTATGAGCTTTCAGGAGCTGTATGGACTGGGGCGCAAAAAAACTTCCGAGTCCATTCTCGCCGAAATCAACGAAGAAGGATACAGGCCATTCTCTAACCCTGTCGACGATGAGGCAACAACTGAAGAGGAGGAGTAGAAATTTGACGAATACGTTGTTTTTGTATGTATCTTGGGCTACAACGTAACAACAGCGTTGTCATGCCGGGTGTTCTTCAACAGAACCTCCCATTAGATCTTTTTTCTTTCAATCAATCATTCTCATTGGCGCGGAGAACAGATTAATGCACTGCATGATGGGCTCCAGAAATTTTTTTGTGTGCACAAAGGGGAATCTGTTTTCGACTCCGACTGTACAGTATCACTCTGCTTGGAGGTTTAGTTCGCAAATCTGGGTTGGGAGTGCGAGTCAAGAAAGCATAGTTAGGAAGAAAAAGATATCCCATAATGGAACAGCCAACTATAAAATGTACCTAGTCTCTTCGAGGATATTTCAATCTTCCATATCTCATCTCTCATTGCATCTGATAAAATACACGCCCTGCTATCAAGGCCCAACGAAATACATATACACATTAAACAAAACATATCGACATCATAACTACATAAAACAAAAGAAAATCACCCATCCTCCAATATATATCCAAAATGCCGAAACAAACGCCAAAACCTATCATACATACCAAATCATAGATCATATAAGCATCCACAGACGACCATAAATGAAAGAAGTCTCAAGAAACAGGCCGATGACACTCCGAACAAATAAGCTTCTGCTTCCCATCCCTCCCCTTAACACTGCGGAAACTCGTCGCACGACAATTTTCACACTCAAGCACATCTTCCTCTGCATCACCCGTCGAAGAGGTATAGTCACTGCTCAGCGCACTACCTGCCGAAGTACTCATCTTGCGCTCGCGCGAAGGAATCATATCCGGACTGAGCAAGTCATTCGATTTCCGGGACTGCATGGCCAGCGCATCGTGCGTGATCTTATTCCAGTACGCGTAGCTGCGGTCACCCTGTATCCAGAGCGGGTTGTCTTGTGTTTTGCCGCTGGCTAGGAGGTCTACAGATGAGGCGATGTTGGAGGAGGGTTGGGCTTTGGATGTTGAGGCGTTTGCATGGCCGTTGTTGTTTCCGTTTGCCCGGGTCACGTCTTCGCTTGTGCGGTTTCTTTCGGGGCGGGGTCGGCGTGGCGATGGGGGTGGGGATGTAGTGAAAACGGATAGTGATTCGTTCGGTCCCAGACTTGAAGGTCTGGAGGAGGCTAGTCTGGAAGTCGCTGGGCGGTGCTGGGGGGATGGGGTGCGGGTTCTGAGGCCGGCGCGGGAGCCTTCGGTGCTGGACCGGCCGTGGCGGACGACGGAGTTGCGCCATGAGACGATGCGCTCGGAGGGGGTTTTGTGGGAGGATTCCTTTCCGACTGAGGAGGCGATGCTGCGGCGTGCGGAGTTGGAGCGTTTTAGGATCCGTCGTGAGATGGTGGTGTTCGCGTCCCAGTTCTCGAAGCGTCGTTTGTGATACGCGCAGTCTTGTCGGAGGACTTTGATCTTGCCGGAGTAGTCGGCGATCACGATTATCTCTCCGTCTGGATGCTTGGATCGGGCGAGGTACGAGGGTGATTCGTGGGCCATTTTGCTGATGATGGATAGGCGAGGTGCTGATGCAGACCGCTTGTGGGAGTTTCCATTTTCTTTGCCTGAGTTTGTTTTCTTCGAAGGCTCTGTTGACTCCGGACCCATTAGGGCTACCGGGGGTGGGTTGCAGATGTCGTAGATTGGGTCTTCTGATAGCGCCAGGACCTGTTTCGTTTGAATCGGTGCCATGATAGCAGCTGTTACCATGGCAGACTGTGTCTCGAATACCTCCACGGCCTGCTTTTCGGAATCTCGTTGCACAGACCCAATTGGCCACACGTACGCCCTGCGATCCTCACTTCCACATATGATGTACTTGCCATCATTAGTGAATGTAGCTCTAATTTGGCTGCAGGTGTTCTCGTTACCGCGGAACTTAGCCTCCAACGATCGATCATTGAAGTTGTACAATCTGATGCGGGAGTCGTTGCTGGTAACCAGTAACTTGATATCGCCCTTGGTATCATCCTTATAATCGTCATTGGGAATCGTTATCGTATCGATTCCAGTGATTTTACTGCCCTTGGCATTGCGTCCACGGGCCGATCGTACATGGATCTGGGCTGATACTTTTAGGCCCTCAGTGTCATAGATGTTAAGCATGCCATTCAAACATCCGGCAATGGAGTATCGGCCATCTGGAGTGAATGCCACTGCAGTAATCATATCGGGCACAGCAGTCACAAAAGCCACGCTCTTATCTGGGATACTCCAGAGTCGCAGTTTCGTGTCGAGAGATCCAGCAAGGAAAAAGCGGTCGTCACGCGGGTGGAATTGGATCGAAGTCACAAAATCACTGTGCTGGAAACAGCAAAGACATTCCCGTCGAGAGATATGCCATAATCGCACTGTTTTGTCCATCGACGAGGAGAGAAGGAAATTGTTCTGGCTCACAGGTCAGCATGGCTGTTTCCCATCGTGTTGAATGTTTTGAGTATGCATACTTTACTCCAGCTCAGGTCCAATATACTTCCCGTGTGTCCCTCGTACACCTGAACGGGTTCCGGCTGGAACACAGGCGCCTTCAGGCCGGAATGATCTTGTGCGTCTACAGGTGTTGCCTCTTCGTCCCCATTGGCATCCTCGCGCTCCTCCGGTGTAGCGATAACAGTCCATACTCGGACTTTCCGATCCTGGCCAGCGGCCGCGAGATATTTACCATCTTTAGAAAACATGAGTGCCCAGACGGCCTTTCCGGTGTGATCGCCATTCGGTGGCAAGACCGAGGACATAGATATCCGTCTTTCTGCGGGTTTGGGCGATGGGCCGCTGCCCTCCAGTTCCTGGGCCAGAAACACGCGGTTGAACGTCTTATCCTTTTTGTGATGGGCTCGCACTTTCAAGTATTTGGGCGGAGCAGGGTGTCGAGGTATAAATCCAATTGGATGCGAAGTGTCAACGGACATGTGGTGCGCCTCGGATTCTGAGGTCTCATCTTCCACTTCCACCGCCTCCTTTTTCTTGGTTCCGATGATTCGGCTGAGGAAGGAGACACCTTTTCTGTAGTTGGGAAGAACAAACCACTGGTCAGTCGCTGGTAATATAACGTATACTGTTGCTGCGAGAATCCCAGGGATGGATCTTCTCAAGAGGACTATGCGGGGGAGGCGCAAAGAAACTCCCGGCACACAAGTGTCGGCGTGACTGGTTTCCAACGCAGGCTGACAAAGTCTAGAAACTTACTTCTTCTCTTTGAGAGGTTTTGAGGTAGGCAATGCATCTCCCCTTGTCGGGCTTTGCTCTGGCTGGCTGTACTCGGAGCCCACGGCCTCTGCTTCGTATGACGCTCTTCCCAGTAATTTCAGGGGAATGGACTTTTGGGTATTGGTGCGTTGGATAATGTGCTACAATGACGACGGAGCACGGCCCTCCTGTCAGCTTGGCTCCTACATCTCCGTATCTGCATCTCAGATGCGGGTTGCACAAAGCAAACAAGCACATGATCGGACCGGGGGAAGTTTCGGCCAATTCGGTGTTGCAGGTCTCCTGGGAGCTTACCTGGGATAACGGATCTATAGCACTTGACTCGGTCTTCTCGTGGGGGGTATTCGAGGTCGAATCTCGTAAAGAGCTACCAATGACCGAGCGTCTGGAATTCCGAGCATCTTGCAGACTATGAATCGAGCCCGAGGGGACATCCGACGTGGCCGAGCCTGATAGTTTCGTCAGCATCTTCCATTGACATGTTTTTCGTGTGTTCTTTTTGCGCGCGTGATAGGGACCAATTCAGAGCCAGTGGCCAGAGGCGCATTGGAGTTCTCTAGGCCAGACCAGATTTAAATTTCAAACTTCAAGTCTTGAAATACAAACCTAAGACTCAAGATTCAAAATCCAAAGTTCAAAATCCAACTTACCGGGTAATGTCGAGGTTCCGAGGGGGGTCAAATCGGCTATCGCGGGGGTCGTCGCGACTCGTAGTTGTAGATTGTTGCTTCCCTCCGCCATATGGTCAGTCGCATGGGGGGTATCAAGAAGTAATATACAAATTCAAATGTACACTATTCACACAGAGACTTAAGAAATTAAAAAAAGAAAGAAAAGTAAAGTTAAGCGGCAGAGACCGGATAGCGCTGGATGACATCAAATTGGGGCGATGGTGGAGACATGGACCCTCCAGGGTTGCTTATTTCGCTTTAACGATAATGATGTTTTGTATAAGAATATAAAAATATAAGATATATAAAATATATAAAATATAGAACATAGATAGAAAATAAAACATAGAACTGTATTAAATGCGTGATTGAAGCTTTCTCGCTCGGTCCTTTGCAATATCACACATGCCCTTCACGAAGTCAGTATATATAGCAACTCAACGATAAGAGAACATTACCTGAATGGTCTCTTCAATCTCTTTCTCCGCATTACCCCGGTCAATGCGCTGGCGCATCTCGACCATAATCACGTCGCGACTGCGCCCATTGACAAATGTGCTATATATCCCCCAAGTCAATATGTATAGATGACTGCGCAAGAGACATGGACCTACACAAACCGCAACCCTGGGAACTTTCCCTCGTATTCCGCATTCAGTGCTCGTAACTTTTCCGCCTGTTCCTCTGCGCCTTCATTCAATTGGGCCTGTTCCTTTTTGCTCAGCTCACTCAGATGTTCTGGGTTGGCTGGGGCCCGGCCAAGACGCGGATGCGATCCCAAAATGCCAAAGAGCACGTCTCGGTCGGTAGGTGAATTCGGGGCTGAGAGTGCAGACATGCGACCCCCTACAGCATCGATGAGGCTGGGGTATGAAGAGAAGGTCTGGTTGGCCAGAACAGGGATCATCAGTCGGTGGAGCTCTGGGGAGGGTTCGAAGAGGGTATCGAGCACCCGAAGCTGGGTCTCTTGGGGTAGGGAAGGGATCGTCGATAGCGGGGGGAGGTCAGCCATATTGTAGATTATTGTATAAGAGTATGGATATGAATGTCAGGGGAATGTATTGCAGTTAAGTATGTACTTATAAAATAGATATCTGAGCTCCCGCTTTCGGAGGACGCCGAGGCGGAGAACAGCGGGTGTATGTGTTATGGCTTCAAGTTATATTGTAACTATTAGAACTATTAACTATTAACTATAATTATAGTTAACTATTTATATTTTATCTAGTGTGTTTCATATGTTTAGTTTAACAACATCTGGACTTATTTACTCCTTATTCCCTTGAAAGCATACAATCCCAATGATCACGCATTCCATATGGACAAATGTAGCTTCCAAGGTTGTACCTGTACCTTTTTAACATACCGAAGAATCCAAGGACTTGATGTAGGATTCTACTTATGTATAATAAAGACTTTGATATTTAAATTGGGATAATCAAAGGTGGAGCCCAAATGAGAACATGTTCCCCCTGAGAAGAGTTCGCCTAAACCAACTTTGTTTTCATGAAACAGCCCAAATCTGCACTTCGGCCTTGATTGGGCACATCGCGATCTAAAGATCCGACCCCAAGTCAACTTTTAGTGTCTTTCTAGGGCCACTTCTCCCTATTCTCCCCTCTTCACTCCCATTACCTTCGGCATTGCGCCTCCTCTGTCCTCCATGCGGCTCACGCCATGTCTTTGAATGGGCTCGATACTGCCCCCGTCGTGGAAGCCTACCAAAGTGCCCTGGCCGATGCGGGCGGGTGGTGAGTAACCCCTTTCGGTGTTTCAACTGTCCACCGTGCGACAGATACACATAAATTTCACGTCACTGACACCCCTATGTTTCAGGTTTCTACTACACTATGTTGCAAGAGATGAGGTTGCTCTCCACGAACGAGGCACCGGCGGGGTGCCTGAAATCCGGAATGCCATCAACAGCTACGAGGAATGCTCGCCACTCTATGGCTTCCTTCAATACCGGCGCAGAAAAGTGATCATCCGCTACATGCCGGAGGGGTTATCCCGGCTCATACTAGGTATGCCCATCAATACCTTTTTCATAGAAGTTGGTCTAATCTGTCCCAGCCCGAAGCAATGTCCAATTCCAGTCCGTGACCGACAAGTTCACCCCAAACGACACTGTCCTTCCTCTGTCCAAAGCCTCCGATCTCACCGAAAGCGCCTTGTCCTCCGCGTGTCTCCTCCATACCGCCTCGACTTCGATTACCTCTTCTTCGAGCTCTCTTCGCCGCCGCAGGCTGATGGAAATCACGGAAGATGCTGAGGAAAATGGCGCAAAGGATGAAGCTCCAAAACCAATCCCACCTCCCCAATCGGAGGCCCGACGCAGACCAAGGAGCGTCAAGTCGGAAGCTACCCTAGTGCCGTCACCCATTGAACCCCCCGTGGAACCAGAATTACCTCCGACATCACCAGAAAGCGAAAAAGCGTCAGTCGACCTCATGCCACCCCCATCCCGGGCGAGCTCTAGAGCCACAATCTCTCGAGGGAGTCCCATTGAACCACAGTCGGCAACAATGTCCCCCAGGTCCATAAAATCAGATCGCTCTCCCTCCAGCTCCAGGTACCGAACTATCTTGGATGAATTCCCCCGTCCTTCAGAAGAGGCCCGGTTGTCCACCCAATCCACCCGCCCCTCACTCCGAGATTTGGAACGGGCCGCGGGATACACTCCTAAGGTTAAGCTGGGACCCCGACCGTCCGTGGATAGCAGTGGAAGACCCCGCACATCAGGCAGTTCTCGAAATGTAGACCAGCGCCCTGTTGCTTCCCTGCCGACAAATATGCGCTCTTCCTCCCTGCGGAAGCAAAACGGTGATCCGCCCCGCCCTCGATCTCAGGGGAGCACTTTCGCAACCAAGCCCACTAGTCGTGTCCCGCCAGTCCCACCTTTGCTGGTTCCACCCCCCTCTATTCCTATTTCGAGACCTCAACTTTCCCCTGGCGCCAAATCTCTTGGAGCGTTGTCGACCTCCTCGGGATTGACCCCTGAGAAAGAACGTTTGATGAAGGCTTTGCAGCAACGAAGGAAGAATATGGCTAAGCGTGCGGAGGAAACGAAGAAGAAGCAGGTCTCGGAGGAAGGAGAGCTCAAACCAGTGAAGGATATTGCCAAAAATTTGGATGACGATAAAGAGAATCTCATTCAGATTCACTATCCTGATTCTGAAATGCTGCTGTCTGAGCCGGAGACAATTCAACAAGATCAACAGGACTTCCCTTCGGACAATTCACCCGTGCCTCCTGAGTCCGCCCCTGAGCTTGTTCCCGAGTCTATTCTTAAACCTGCCTTCGAGCCTGTTCATGAATCCACCCTTGAACTTGCCCCCGAATATGTTCCTGAGCCCAGTCCCAAACTTGCTCCTGAGCCTGTTGGCCCAACTTCCGAAGCTGTCCTCACACCCGCCTTCGAGCCTGCTCATGACTCCACTCTTGAACTTGTCGCAGAACCCGTCCCTGAGACCATTGTTGAATCCGCTCCTGAGCTCGTCGTGGAGGCAGTTGCTGAGCCCATTCCCGAAATTGCTCCTAAGCCTGTTGACGCAAATTCCGAGGCTATCCTTGAACCAGTCACCGAACCGATTGTTGAGTCTGCTGTGACGCCTGAGCCAGAGCAGCCTTCTGAGCCTCTCGAGGCTGAATCAGAACCGATCGTTGATCTCCCTCCTACCAGCGCTGAGGATGGGCCATCCTTACCCACAGGCACAAGTGCCGACAGTTCTATCTCAGCCGATCGCGCTGCTACACCTTCAGAGACTGTCAAGGCAGAAACACTGCAGACACCCCCTGAGGATGAAACACGCACTGAGCACGAGGACTCCGTAATCCCTGATCTCGCCCCACCTACTTTTAATCCTGATGTCCCACTTCAAAATGAGCCTTCGGATGCCCCGCAACCTGATTCAGGGGACGTCTCCGAAACACATTTCGAACTTTCCCCAGTTGCATATGTGCCAACTGACGAGCCTTCTGAGGTGCCTATCTCAGCAGAGGTCCCTCAGGTGGTTCCCCTCCCCTCCGCCCCCTCTGTTATCCCTCCAGAAAGCACTGGCACGGAAACGCCAGCCTCCCCCGTTTTTGTCTCGATCGAGGTGGACGAGCCGACCCCTGATCACCCGATTGCTGAGAAAGCCGAGCCTCTTACCCTAGACCAGAGGCGCAGGGTCCGCCTAGAGCCTATTCAAGTGCCTACTCTAGAGTTCTCGGACGACGACAACCTCCTTTCCGACGATTCATTCATGGAGGAATTGACCTCGGCTACTGTCCAGGAGGCCAGACCGGTATCTGTGAAATCACCCAACGGCGTCGATCACGCCTGGAAGAATTCACGCGCCGTCTCGAGCCCGTTCTCTATGGGATCACCGTCGGGTCTGCAAGCTCTTGCAGTGGGCCGGTCCATTTCTAGCTCACACTCTGAAAATGGCCCGCCTACGCCGGTACTCATGGCCAAGAAGATCAACGTCTCCTCTGGAATTTCCAGTCGCATCAAGGCTCTTGAAAAGTTTTCGAGCCGGGAAGGCACTCCCTTGGGCGCGAGTCCGGCTATAGGTGGGCCATCAGCCTCCTCGTCTTTCGAGAACCTTCGCAAACGCGCATCTATCTCGGTGCCCAGCGGGAACCACGAAACTCCTCCACCGAGCACAATGCATTCTGCTCACGTCCCCGAGAGCTTTGCCGGTGCGCCGAGCTTGAGTCGGCACAACCGTCAGGTGTCTGTAGATGCTACGCGCCCTGCTAGCTCTGTTTCCGTGACAGCCCGTATCGTGCGCGATGCAGATATCTCTCCCGGGTCTTCTGGACTTGAGCCCTCGGAGTCCGATGTTGTCAACCTCCAGGCCAGTCCTTTGACTGTGGAGCATGAGACAGCCGAGGAGGCACCGCTCCCTCAGACCTCGCCTATCGAGCCTGCCAGCCGTCCCCAGGACCGAAGCATGTCAATTTCATCTACTGCGTCTAGTCGCCAAACGACATCTCGCCCTGGCAGCCGTCCCGGAAGCCGCCCCTCTCTCCCCTCGCGCTCTAGGACCGACGACAGCGTTCAATCCGCCTCTTCCACATCCGAGGATAAGAAGATATCTCGCACCTCACGACTCATGCGCCGCATGTCCTCGATCACATCCAACTCTCGCCGCAGCATTATCGGAGCCCTCAGCTCACCAGTCAAGGAAGAGGAGTATGTTCCCACCTTCACAAATGGGTCTAGTAAGGCTTCAGGGTCTGCTAGCTCGCGTACCTCAGAGCCCATCGACATTGGCGAAGTGAACGTCCAGTTCCCAGAAACTCTTCTGTGGAAGCGTCGGGTCATGCGCATCGATGAACAGGGATACGTTGTTCTCACGCCTGGCACCAATGATGCCACCAACCGGAACATGACTAAACGCTACCATCTCACCGAGTTCCGCACTCCTTGTCTTCCCGATGAAGACATGCAGGAATTGCCCAACAGCATCTTGCTTGACTTCTTAGATGGAAACACGCTGCAGTGTGCTTGTGAATCCAGACAGGGACAAGCCTCTGCTCTTCAGAGTAAGTATCCATTGCATTTCTTCGAAATTGGGAGAATAAATAGCTAATCATCCACAGCTCTCGTCGAGGCTCACAGTGCCCACCAGCAATAATCCTCACATTTGGTCAAACGACAGGACTCCTCACGCCGATAGTCCTGTCTTCCACTTTCATTCTCTTCTGGGCTTCATCACCCGCCTTTTCTTTTCCTTTCCCAACTACACGCATCTTGCTACACCTCCTTCGACATCTATTTCTTATCTTTTCTACAATCCTCTCTGTATCTCTATATCTTTTTCCTCTCTCTTATCTCTCAATCTGTTGTGTATGTGTTGTGATATATGTGGCGTGTTCTTGGTATACCCCTCCGAGTCAAAAGAGCTTCTCTTTCTCTTTCTTTTCCTTTCCCACTTCTCTCAATACCAATCTACTGTTCTTCGCCGTGTACAGACAGACAGTATTTCTTTGCCCCTCCTTTTGCTCGCTTTTCTTAATTGACTTTGCTCTTGCATACACACTCCGTGCTTTCGTATAGAGTGTTGGTGTTCTATTCAACGCACTGTGTTCTCTTCTTCTCTTGGATTACTTCTAGAAGTTTTATATTCTAATCTGTCTTCTGATTGCTATCTTCGTACACGCTAAACTTGGAAAGTGTACTTTGAACGGATGGTCCGATTCTCTTTTGGTTCTGCGCGTGCCATTTGACTGATGTTCAAGGCTTGTATTGGCTGGTAGTAATACATTGGAGTAAGAGAATATATCTCAATTGTGCTATTTCAACCTATGTGGTTCTACCTACTTTGGGCGGGGGTATCAAGTGGAAGAAACCAGCCCAATCCGAAAGAATCATCAGCAAAGCATAGTGTCCATCAAACCTCTAGGGATGTGCATGTCTAGCGAATTCGTTCCGTAGGAGACACCTTCCCTGTTAGCCTGTTTCCTCTAGCACCCAACGCCATTATTCCACGGTGATGTGTGTGGGTATCTCTGTCGGCAAAGAAAACAGTTAGACAGTGTTCTTGACAGCTGCGAATAAGAAGTAATTTTATAACATACCTGAGAGGAGAGCTCTGTAGGTGTATGGCGCTGTGTTCTAATCCCGTCAACTGGCTCAGTTGTATCTTGTAATCATCAAAGTCCAGCGATGTGAGGGTTTAATTGTTCAATCGTGTTTCCGGTTTCCGATGAACGTCGTGGCACATAACGATCGTTAATTTCGGGATGAATAGATCAGGTGTAGCCGTTCGCAAGGTCCTCAAGCTCCTGATCTTCATCATCTTCTTCGTCCTCCTCTTCTAATCCCCCGGTCTCCGGAATGGATGTCTCTTCATCCAGGGGATGTTCACCGTTCTGAGCCGTGCTATTTTCTTTAGCAGAATAGAACTCCGGGAATGCGGCGCGCATTTGCAGCACGTGCGCGTCAACGACGTATTGCATGAGGTTGTTGACGGGGAAGGAAGAATGCATGCGTTTCTCCGACTCCATCAGCTCGACCTTCATCTGCGTCTCCCACTCGTGCTCTCCGGCATGGTCCCCAATAAGTTTCTTGCGCTCGATTCTGTCGGTCGTCGAAATCACCTTCTCGCATCCGGGCATGCGGCATGTCCAGGTATCAGAAGTATCGTCGATGAACTCTTCAACTTCCTGTGACGTATCTGGGGCGGGATCCAGCTCTGGAGACAGAAGCTTTTGCCGTGAGGGCGACGAAGATACGGGAGGAGTCTGGAGTTTGTCTTTCTTGATATTGTCCTTGAACAGGCTCTTCATAAGAGAGGAGCCGGCGCCGCTCGAGGAGGCTGACAAGAACGAGCGAGTCCGAGGCTTTGTGGCTGAGAATGGATCTCTGATTAGTTCATGGCCACGGGTTTTGCTGGGTGTTTCGACCTCGTCGATCTCGTCGATTTCATCGGTGTCCTCTTGGTCTTCGTCGTTGGATTCGACTGTCTGCTGGTTTGTGGAGGCATTGCGGTTTCGCTTGCCGGTCACTTTATTGGAGACCGTGTGGACTTTTGGACGCAGCACAGACTTCTGAGTCCGGACGTACCGTTCATCGTCGCTGGATTCTTCCTGCGAATCCAGGGGGGTTAAGAGTGCACCTGGCAGAGGGGCGGATTTCGTGGATGCATGTGTGAGTTCCCTATGGATGACATAGCGAGACCATCTAAAGTCCTCTTCTTCCATCATTTCCAGCACGGTGCTTGCCCTGATGGCAATGACTTTCTGGGCATCTTCGTTGCTGAAAGAGAATCGTTCTGCCAAGCGCTCTCCCAGGAGGTCAATATGCAGGCGCCGCTTTGCCAAGTGACCTTCTTCTCTGAGATCCTTGAGCAACTGATAGATGGCATCGGCTTGTGATTTTGAGATTGCCGCAGGCTGATGTCGAGGAGTTGTCACTTCTGGTTCGTCTTGGGTTTCAGTTTCGCTTTCCTCAGAGGGCGAAAGTTCTTCCATCAGCCTATTATACTCATCCTAGGCTTATTATCAGTATGCAAAGAGGCTTTTGTAAACGAGGGTACTTCTTCACTCACATTAAATAGGCGACGCAGATGGACGAAGACATTTGTCTTCTTCCATTCCACATCTGCATCACCTTGGATCATGCAGCGAAGCAAGAAGGAAGCATGTGTCGCAAATACCTCAGCTGACTGTTCTCGGGTCTCACATGAGCCATATGTGTGGTAAGTGTACTGAGGGTGGATGAATATTAGGCCTCCGTTTGTATAGCATAACCCAGATTCGAAAGACTCACTTGTTCACAGAGACTCCTAAAAGAGGGATTGATCTGTCTCTTTCCTTGCTGATGCTTATCGACCAGGAAATACAGCATATCAATGGCCTGGACCATGCGATTGTATGTGGGTGTGAAACCCTTGGCGGGCGAAATGATGTCGTACCAGCCCGCCTTACCGGCAACCCAGAGCTCAATGCTCTTATCTTCGGTTTGGCCGTAGGCATAGTGTGTGACCTCGTCAATAATAATGCGCTTAGGAGGGTTGTCCGGGTTGAGCACTGCTGAGCGAGTGACTGGTCAGCAAGCTGCTTGATAAACTCGCATTGATAACGGGCTTGTAACTGCAACGATACGCACCCAAGTGTTCCTGGTCCTCACGAAGCGGCTCTAAGCAGCCGATCACCTGTACTGGGTTCTGTTCGGTAGCGTCCAGTAGGTTTGCATATAGCATCTTCCCGGGCTTTAGGACCTTCACATCGGTCAGACCGAACTCCCACCAATCGTTCTCATCAGTGATAGAGGCATCGGTGGGAGCTAGGACGGTTTCTTCGCGGGACGTCATGGTGGAATTGGCATGGTGGGTGTCGGCGATAATGTATTTTGAAGTGTTGATAGGAAGGTGAGGTTAAGCAACTGAGAATATGAGAATAAGAAGAAGGTGACTTGGAATGGAATCTTGTAGTTGTGAACTGTCGAAGTCATCGACCGCCAGTAAATTACGGATACAGCAAGTTACCCGCAATTAATTACAGGGAGCTCTGCCTGATTTATCGGGGATTAATACATCTAGTATCACGTGGGTAATGCACAATTGCATAAGAGGGAATTTAAGGTTACAGTGGTCCACGGGTACACGGATCTGATCTAAATTAAACTCTGATCTGATATTCCAGACTTTTAAAAGGTTACCTGCATATGTACCTAGGTATGTATGTACATATCTATCTACCACCATGTACCATAATGTTGCACGTTAAACCGGCAGCAGCATTATACCCCTAGCTACCAAAATATCTACGCCGCCTTTAACACTGACTCAACTGTAATGAACCAACCGAAGGCTTCACAATCTACGGCGCGACCTACACCCCACAGTGCGATATCTCAATCCCAGAGATATCTAACATTATCACCTCATACATTAAAGTGACATTCTACAAGATATATAAAGACCTATAGCGTAAGCAGCAGGGCAAATTAAGTCGACAAGGCCGACTTCGATGAATTATAGGCTAAGTATGAGCCGCGAACTGTTGATGATGCAACCCAGTTTAATGGCTCATCGATATACAATGCCTAGTCTTATTTTAAGGCCTGGGCTAATAAGCGGAATATACGCGACAGGTTCCCCAGCTACCTGAGGTTTATCGTGATTGATAAGGAGACTTTCCAGACGCTGCTAGGCATACCATTTTCAGAGGACTGCTCTCAGTCAATGCAAAATTAAAACCGCTATGTGAAGCTTGTTGAGGCATGGCAGAAGCCCAATCCACCATTCAATGGTCTGGGTTTGTGGCCGAATATGCAGGATGGAGCCTTCTAAGGATCGGCGGGATTGTCGACTCTATTATAGGGCTGGGGCCCATATATTTTCTTTCGAGGGCTTGTCTGTCTGATCTCTTCATCCACAAAATCGACCAGGAGCAAAACGCCCTCTAGGCTAAACATCAAATTGTCGGTCTTTGAATCTAACCTAAGTCAGGAGAGCGTGTCTTGTCTGTGTTCGAGAACAGTACCAGTATGGATGATATTAGCTTTGATGTGCAAAGGCTTAGGTGCCAATAACATTCTTGCTAGTGTCATATTGAGAGGGGGAATGTTAAGCGGTCTTGGGTTCAGTCTTATCATTTCTAGGAATGTCATATGCATCGGTTGAGGACGAGGCACCAGTGTTTGCCAGTGTGGCACCGGCGCTAGAAAGATCCAGCGCTATCGCATCAGTGATTATCGTAGAGCTGACAATATGCTGATGCCAGATCCAAGGGCTTGTAATCACGGAGCCATGCCTAGGGCTGAGATAAGAGAACCTTGTCGAATGGCTTGGCTGTTGCACTCCGACAGACGAGGAATGCGTCAGTTGGTCACAGCTGTGTATTAGGTAGAGACTTATGTATTTATTCATTGTACAAAATCAACATTATCTATGGCTGTAAGACGAAGTATTCAAAAAGGGTGGATTCTGAAGCACTATAGTCAGTGTAGAATAGCATGTCAAGGGGTGCGGCAACAATGGCGTCTTGAAGTGCCCTAATTATTTTAATAGGAATTTAGTTATCATCCTGGCTTCCACTTTATGCCAGTTATTTTCACTCTGCTATAAGAGAAAAGAGAATCTGAAAAATGGAATCTACAAGGACATCAAAGAGATGCCTTGACAAGCCTTCAAATTGCACTTGGAAAGGACATTAACATCATACCAAGGCCTTTAATATATATACTACTGTAATATCTATACATATCGCCCATACATGATCTGGAAACCTGTATATAAATAATCATTGGCCAAGCGCCTTGCCGTGGTCCCAAAGAACTGCCGTAAGGCGGGAGCCAAATCTCTACCAAAATAACTTTTTTCCATTTTGGATTGCCTCCCATCTCACCAGATGCCATTCCCTCCAGGTTTTCGACTTTTTCGCAAAACAATGTCTGGCGAGAAGATCCTCGAAGGCGTATTCGGTGAGCTTAAGTCCTGCTAAAGCAAGACTTCGATCTAACTTCCCCGATAGCCGTCCACAAGCCGCAAGGCGTTACCTCCGCCGACGTGATCCGCACTTTGCAGAAGCACTTCAACCCCTCCAAGACATTCAGACCATGGTTAGAAGAGGAACGCGCACGCCGTGAGCGTGAGAGCCAGTTCCAGCGCAAACGCCGTCGCCACCAACGCCTCGACGTGAAGATCGGCCACGGCGGAACCTTGGACCCGCTCGCGACAGGCGTGCTCATCACCGGAATTGGCAAGGGCACAAAGTCCCTCCAGGATTTCCTGGCCTGCACCAAGAGCTACGAAACCATTGTGACCTTCGGCGTGGAGACAGATACCTACGACCGTCTTGGAAAAATCGTGCGTCGCGCGCCCTACGAACACATCACGCGCGAAGCAGTCGAGAAGGCGCTGGAACAGTTCCGCGGGAACATCATGCAGCAGCCGCCCATTTTCTCTGCTTTGCGGGTGAATGGAAAGAAGTTGTATGAGTATGCGCGCGAGGGCAAGGTGCCCCCGGTTGAGATTAAGCATCGGCCCGTTGAGGTCTTGAACATGGAGATTGTGGAGTGGTACGAGCCCGGCACGCACGAGCACAAATGGCCCGAGGAGGAGATGACTGGTGATGAGAAGGCTGTCGCTGAGAAGCTTCTTGATCAGGAAGCCTCTGTGCCTGAGCCATCGGCCGAAGGTGAAGCTGCGAGTCAAGTCCCCGAGGCTTCTTCTACTAAGCGGAAGTCGCCACCCCCGGCGGATGAGGCGAAGGATGACAGTGCGGAGGCTGCTAAGAAGCTAAAGGTGTCTGAGACCGAGGCCGCGCCTGCAGCACCTGAACCTACTGCCCCCGAACCTGCAACTACAGAGGTCCCTGTTGTGCCTGCAGAGGAGCCCAAGCCCCAGCCTCCGGCGGTAAAGATCAAGATGACTGTCACGTCAGGCTTCTATGTCCGCTCGCTGGCACATGATCTGGGCAAAGCTGTTGGCAGCTGTGCTATGATGAGCGAGCTAGTGCGCAGTCGTCAAGGTGACTATGAACTCTCCGCTGACAAGGTTCTGGAGTACAAGGACCTTGACGCTGGCGAAGAGGTCTGGGGACCGAAGGTGGAGAAGTTTTTGACAGAGTGGGAGGAGAAGAGGGCCACCAAGGCTGAAGCTGAAGCAGCTCAATAGACTATAGAGTCTCTAAAATGATATAGCATTTGTATATAGACTTGCTATCTGTAATATCAACCCCTGAATTAAATATATTATGTATCATGCCTTGCCTTTCATTGTGTATGTAGCGTCCAATATATGCATCTCGAAACTTTTCATTCTTAGAGCTCACCTCTTGTCACTTTTATAATTCGGCTATAGCTACAAAGTCTCACATTGGCAAGTCATAAGAGATAATAAATCAAAACTGCCATTTTTTGGTTATCCAGACCCAAGCGAGAAAAAATAATTACATGATGCACGATACAAATGCAATGTCACAACATAACCCATCACGTTAAAACGATTAGTTGCGTCCCTTGGCTTGGACTCTCTTGCTCTTGCCGGGTCGCTTTGCGCCACCCTTCATCTTCTTAGCGGAGAAGTTGCTCAGATCGCCACTGGATGCGGCATCACCGCTCTTAGCATGGCGCTTCTTGCCTCCGAATCCAAACTTGGCGTCCTTCTTCTGGCGCTTCGAGCCACCGGGGCCATCACCACGGCTACGCTTCTTGTCGGGCTGGGTAGCCTCATCAATGGCAATGTCGAACATATCATTGGCGTCGTCGGTAGGGGCAGAGCCGTCAGCCTTGCGCTCTGTGTGAAAAATCAGGTTAGCGACTGCGAAACTCATGAAAGGATATCAAGAGTAAAATGAAAACATACTCTTCTTCAGCGTGTTGATCTTCTCCAACATGTCGCGCTTCTCCTTGTGTCTCTGCTGCAACTTAGAGTTCTGGACCTGCTTGCCGAACTTCTTAAGATCACGCTGGCGGCGAGCCTCAGCAGAAGCCTTCTTGCCAGCAGCCTCTTCGTAAAGCTTCTTCTTGATCAAGCTCATATGCTCATCGTTCTTCACCATCTCCGCGAAGTAATCGCCCGGCCGCGTGAAGGGAATGCCATCCTTCTTCAGCAGACCACGGGCCTGGGTAGCAGCAGCCTGGCAGACCTTGTAGAAGGCCAATTCACGGTTCAGATCGTCATTGGCGTCTTCGACCTCGATTGGCTCTTTCGAGACTAGGGAGTTGTGCTCTGAGAATGGGGTGTTGGGGCCGATGAAGGAAATGCGCTTGAGGGCTGAGAGAATAGCGGCAGAGTTGTTGATCGTCAAACGTTGGTGAGGAACGACATCTTCACGCTCGTCTTCTTCGAGGTCGGAGAGTGGGATGTCCTCTTCCTCTTCCTCGTCATCCTCCATCTCCTCGTCCTGGTCGACCTCCTCCTCTTCTTCCTCTTCGGCGTCAGAGCTGGCGGCCTTCTCTTCTTCCTCCTTCTTCTCCTCCACGATCTTGTCCTCGGGGGCGGCAGTAGTCTTCTTAGCCTTCTTTTTTTCCGCGGCCTTGATCAATTTCTTCTGCTTCTCGGCGTCGAAATCCCGGCCCTTGTGGGCATCGAGAGCCTGGAGTAACTTGCTGCGCTTGCCCATTGTTGCTTTGTGTTAAAATACAAAGAGAAATTTGTATTTTGTGTAATGTGAAAGGAATTGAAAAGAAGAAAGCAACTTGCTATCAAACCCGCATCAGAGAATCCACGGGATTTTTTTGAAATCACGCCAGACCTGATCGGGCTAGCGGCACCGATAAGGCCACACTAGTCCACATGTAGCAATATCTCGGAAATATATATAACCCGGTCTCTTATCGAGTCCACCGCCCTGTCGACTGTCCCCCGTCTCTACATACCCTAAACAGTCTGTACAGCGATTGCATAGTCTCACAATGGTCGACGATTCCAAGTCTCCTTCTCCAGACAAGCTAGAGAGCTCCCTACCAGAAGGCGAGTCTCTTCTATCCCAACCGGTACATACCTTCTGCAAGCTCCAAACCCCACTTGTCGCTCTTACTAACTAATGCTATCAGAACTCCGATGCCCAGGGTCAGCTCACCGCAGCTGTGGACGATCTACTGAATGAACTCCAAAGCAAATTCGACAATGTCTCTACGGAGATGTTCGGGAAACGTGAGTCCCTGCCTCAATCATCCTCCACCATCACCACCAATATATCTTCATACCTGCGACCGCGTACTAACCTATGTGTATGCGCAGTGGATGAAATGACCAAGCGCCTTGATGAGCTGGAGGCTTCTTTAACTGCATCTTCTGGGACTGGTGTCCCGACCCCGGCAAAATAAATATGAGCGCCATTTACCCATACTCCGACTTTGTGCATTCTTTTTACCGCGCGGCGTTTTTGGCGAGAGAGCAATAAGCACTGCATTTTTGGGCTGTCCAGCTCTGCTGAAACCCCTGTATCAATAGGCCAACACATACTTTACTTATGGCATGCATGATGCTTCCTGGGGGTGTGGATTGAAGGCATTGAACAGCCATGTAATTGGCCTGTGTCTGGTTCTGATACTTATGCTTTTACGATTTCATAGATACCCTACAATCAAACGAGGATACTTGTACAGAAGACCCATGCTTCTTTATTGACTTGCGTGGATCTAGTTCATATATCACATAGCCATTTTTGAGAGGGTAACCTCGAGATTGGTACTCAATTAGTACAATATACAGCATCAAGCTAATATTTTCTCATACAATTCTATCCATTTCCGTCGAATCCATGCCTTGTAGCAGTCCCAGTGCTCGGTTTAGAACCACAGTGACTAGAGCTTTAAGCCAAAAATCCAAGAGGGAAAAATGCAAACATCCAGAAATAGCAATGCCAAGCGCTTAAAGCTCATCGTGCTTCTCCTCGCCAACAAAGCGACTGAGAATGTTGCTGCGAGAGAGAAGATCATCCAGCTTCTCGGGGGCCGAGCCACCCTTAGCCAGGACCTTCCGGAGGCGAGTGAGCTCCTTGACAGCGTAGCCCTCGTTCTTGCTCAGCTTCTCCGCGGCCTTAACATAGTACTCAGCGTACTTGTCTGGCAGACCCTTGGCGGCCTTCTTAACCTCAGCCACCAACTTATCGAACTTCTGCGCCGCGACGTTCTCAGTAACAATCTCGTCCAGAACGGCGATGGTGCCTGCCAAGCTGTCAAGACCGCCACCGACGGCACGGTGGGTACCAGCCTTCTCGTTGATGAACTTGACAAAGGCCTCCTCGGAGCGAGCGCCGGAGTACGACTCAGCCTCGGTCGAGCCCTTGGGGAAGAACTTGATGGTAGGGAATCCGGTAATACCCTGTTCCTTGCTCAAGGCACGGGAGTTCTCAGCTTCAGCGTCGACCTTGGCGATAACAACGTTGGACTCGAGGGCGAAGTCGTTGGCGAGGGTTTCCCAGGTAGGAGCGAGGGTCTTGCAGTCTGAACAAAGGACGAACAATTAGCAAAACAGAAAATGAGACTAGACCAAACTAGACCAGAGGCAGGTAGGTCAATTAGGGAATCAACTCACGTCCACACCACGGCGCAGTGAAAGCAACCAGAACATCCTTATCGCCACCAACAACGGTCTTGAAAGAGGCATCGTTCAGCATCTCAACCTTGCTAACCTCCTTCTGCGCAGCGCTACGAGGCTTGACGCCGGTCTTCTCGGTGATGAAGGCGGACAAGCTCTCGAGATCACGACCGCCCTTGTATTCCTCCGGCTTGTCGCTCTTTCCATCGAACCACTTGACAGTAGGGAAGCCCTGGATACCAAAGCGCTTGCCTAGCGAGCGGTTCTCGTCGGCGTCGACCTTGGCGATGGTGACCTTGTCTTCAGCGAAGGCGAAGGTTTGCGCAAGCTCCTCGTAAATCGGGGCGAGGGTCTTGCAGTGGCCGCACCAGGGAGCGAAGAATTCAACCAGCGCGGGCTTGCCGGTCAGGACGACATCGTCGAAGTTGGTGGGGAGGAGGTCTTTCACTGCGGAGTTGCTTGCAGTGGCGAAGCCGCTGAGTGTTGAGAGGGCTCCGAGGAGCAGGAAGCTCAAGCGTGCCATTATGTATAGGGAATTTGGTGTGAGTATACTTTCGGGGAAAGTATGAGTTCACAAAGAAATGTGGATGACGGAGTTAAAGCTCGGGGAGGCGATGACAAAGAAAGCCGAAGAGGCCACTTGGTGACTCCACAGCTCCGCAGATCACATCCATCCATGGATCTACTTCCAAGGTTGACATCTACGATACGACATCCATAATATAGTTACATGCATGCTACTTCCCCTATGCTACGTATCTGATTATTCTGCTCTAGGGTAGTATCGAGTTTCTTGTTCATTTTCTTGATTTGTTTTGTCTCTGTTGCTACCTGAGTAGTTAGTAATACACTGGAGAATTGCTGGTATCGCATTTCCTTGGGCAAGATCGGAGCTGTTGGCATAAACTTCAATTGCAAGCTGCGCTTGTTAACCCAGAATCCTCGCGGTGGTTGATTGGTGTCGTTGGCAAAGCTTGCCCATATCATCGTCTCTCTGCCAGCCATTTGTTTGCGTCTTCCCAGAACTTTGCTTCCTTGAACTCCTTGCTCGTACTCTGTGTGCCTGCGTAAACCTATCTTGAAAATCAGCTTTTGGTCAACATTTAACATCAGGAAACACTAACCGCATCCCATAGCTTGAATGCCAAATCCAAGTTTCCAATAAAGCTCTCGCTGTGTTGGAACCATTCCTTGCCCTTCGCCTTCACATCCGCTCGAGCCTCCGGCGATGTCGGATTTGCCTGTAGAGGTAGGTCATCGAGGTAAGTCCGAACCGCAATTCCAAGTCCACAGTCGTTATCATCAATAAACGGAAGCCTAAGAGACTAGGTTAGAACAACAATCCAGATGGAGCATAATTAGTCTAGAAGGAACATACTTGATAGCCATCTCAGTCCAGTCGTTGCGGTCCCGATCAGCATCACCACTGAGCAGCAGACCAGCGAGTACCACCTCGATCAGATTCCTCAGTGCAGAGCGCACCTCAGAAATCAAAGAGCGGTAGCAAAGAAGTTGACGGCTCAGAGGTCCAGAATATCCAATGCTCTTGTGCTGAAGCTTGGCAACGCATGCAACACGCGATACCAGCATATTGAAGGTCTTGTCGTCTTCTGACCCTCTCATGGGACCGCCAGATACATGTGAAAACCAGTTCTTAGTGTTGAGGAGACCCAAGCGGATCATCTCAATAGCAATGAATATAGGTTCCTCGAGGTTGTCTGCAGGATCGATAGCTGATAGTGCCTGCACTAGACACTGGCCCCACGGAGTGAGCTTGTGCTTGTCGTCCACGTATCCACGCAGTTGCAGGAAGCGCCACATAACATTAGATAAGATATCCTCCTGCGATGAGATGGCCTTTGAAAGCTGTTAGTTATCGAGGCAGCATCAAACCTATGAGTAAACTTACAGGTGTTTCTTTATTAGCAAATGACTTGGACGCAAAGTCAGAGTCGCTTAAGCTCTCGACAGCAAACTTAAAGGATCCGCGAGGCGCCTGAAGCTTCTTGATACTTTCGGGGAATTGCTCTCCGTGAATCTTCCAGGAATGGATGGTTTCCTTGACTGATGGGATGCCCTTGAGGTTGATCGTCCGCTCTGAGGTCTCATCGAACCACGGGCGGATCCGAATGACTTTCGTTTGGTAGAATCGGTGAAGCGAGTTTGCTAGAAGGCAAATAGACTGAGTGCGGACAGGTGTCAAAATATCACCCACGAGCTGGCGGTAAATCTCGGTGTCCTCGGTACCCAGCGGTAGCGAGATGCGAACTTCGCCAGTTGTGAGGAAGTTTGGTACATCAGCTCCAATAATACCTTTAGAGAGATAGAAGTACAGCTCCTCCGGGAGGCGCTGCCCGATAAGCTCATGCATATCCGACGAGGTATTCTCTGGATCCATGGGACCGACTCGACCTTCCACGTCAATGTAGACATGGTGCTTCACAATCATATACGCTCGCTTATACAGGTCTGCGTATTGAAGCTCCTGCATACGGCGATCCTCTTCAAATTGGGCACACAGTGTCAATGCACTACGTCCAGCTGCATTGAACATCGGCAACGCATCGCGAATGGTGGGGCTTTTACCGGGGTAAGCAGGGTTCTCAAAAAGTGGGAGGGAACGCAGGAAGGGAGAGCCCAGCAGTAAACAGAAGTCCAGGAATTGTTCATTGGAAAGTCGACCCAGCTCCTCCTGGCAGGTTTGCTTTGTGATCCAGAAAAATTGCGCGGGCTCGGTGTCGATACGGGTGACCAGCTTGTCAAGGTCAAACAAGAGGGCTTCGGAGGGGGCAAAAACGGCATCAACCACAGGATTGCTACCGCGGGCGAGGTAAGAGAGCTGGTCAGAGAAATTAATTAGCACTTAACGATCCAACCATGGCGCATAGGGTAGCCACTCACCTGAGCCGCGGCGCTGTATGGCGCTACGATGAATTCCACTCCGTTCTGGGTCAAAATCCGTTGCAGGAACTTGAAAAGGGTCTCCGGGGGCGGGGTGCCTGAGGGTTCGGTTGTGTCAGCGGGTGTTGGGAAGCTTCGCTGTGACCAATAGTAACGATAAAATCCCCACGGGTCCGTCACTGGGGAAAGATTGAAATAAGGATAGTAGGTGGTCATACCAGCACTGCTGAAGGCGTCAACCACCTGGTCTGCCTGTTGCTGGTCGTAAAGGTCCCAAGCTTGTTCGAATGAGCGCGACGCTGCGGGCTGGGTGCGATGCTCTTTCTTGCCGAATTCCAACCCATTGAAGACGAAGATAGTTGCGACACCAAGGTTCTTGAAGGTCTGCAATTCCTTCTCGATGTTGGTCCTCAAGGCGAACGGGAATCCGCCTAGTGCGCCCAAGAGCGCTTCCCGGGTTGACTGGTTCACAAGGTGTTGATTGATGTAGTGCGACGCATCGATGCCAATAACAGCGCCCTTCAATGCTGAGAGGGGTAGGGACTGGGTGCGGCCAACGGCCCATTCATCGAGAGGACGGACTAGTCATGGAGATAAAAGGTTAGCTGATGCGATTGTGGAGCTATGTTATTGCGTACTCGGCATGGTTCTGGAGCTATCTGTCACGGGCTGAAAGTACGGCAACGCCGGGCATCAAAGCCCGAAGGTGGGGAGCAAGAGGTTAAATCAAAGGTAAGAGCAGATCAAAAGCTCCGTGATCAGGAATATGATGAATCGGAGCTGGGATTGTTTGGGTTTTCGGAATGGGGGAGAGCGAGATCACGAGGGGGGGGAGGCGGAGTTGGAGTTGGCCCTGTTATTTTTTTTGCCTCTAATGCATCACATCACTTTGGTCTTCGCTTGTTTCAACCGCTTCTTTGGGGATTTTGATCTTTTATTTGACTTGGATTTGATTTAGTTATTCCATGCTCAGCTCCTGCTACCACCCAGGTTCCTGTTTATCTGTTCTCTATCGAAGAATGTACGGCTTATAATGAAGTCATCTCCAATACGTGTCTAAATAGAAATAATACAGTCCCACAAATCCACAAATCCACAATGTATTATGGAGCAACAAAATGTTCCGAACGTCTAGACAATACTTATCTTCCTTACTAAGTATCTAGAAGATCTAAAGCAACCTGCACAACTGTATAAGCGGGGGCAATGACACATCGGCGGGGTCCCAAGCCCATTCAAATCGGATGTCGCCTAAGCTCGGAATTGACCCAGGAAACTAACTGGAGCCGGCTATTAAACAAGCAATTGGATTGGTTACACCCAAATTGATTATCGTGATATTGAAGATACGCGTATAGGCCTAATCACATGTGCACTAATCGTGATTTCAACCCCGGACTGCAACTATATATTCACTCTGACCTTCAAACCCTAACTTCCGAGTAACCCATTTCTACACATCTACTCTTCAAAATGGTAGACACCACAGTTCCAATTGAGCTTCCCGTCATTGACATCTCTAATCCTCATGACCCCGCTGTGGGGAAGGCCATGCTGGATGCCGCTGCAAAGTATGGTTTTCTATATGTCAACAGCAAGGGAACCGATTTCACCGTGGAGGATGTGAACCATGCGTTTGGATTGGTAATACTTGCGCTTTTATGAATTGGAGCCTATATGCACAGCATCTGACCACCCCTATAGTCAAAGAAGTTCTTCTCGTCTCCCGCACAGGAGAAGGAGACATGCCGGATCCAGCAGAATGTTTGTGACAAGACTGAAGGCCAACAAACAACACATTCAATCTAACTACAATATCTATAGAACCGTGGCTGGTCCGGAATGCATATAGAAACCCTCGACCCCGAGCATCAGCGGGTAGGTCATGACTCCAACTCACCAATTCCCTGGCATAGAGTACGAAGACTGACATTAGATATGGCAAATAGACCGGAGACTTCAAAGAGTACGAAACAACCATATCCCCAAGCCTTGAAATACTCCCAACTATGAACTAACCACCCAACCAGAGCCATGAACTTCGGCGACTTCAAAGACGGCAAAGCCCAACAGCCTCTGCCACCGTCACTAACCCCCCACGAAGCAGAGATCAACGGCTTCGCCGAACTTTGCAACAAAACCTGCACCCGAATTCTGACTCTGCTGGCCCTAGGCCTAGAGGTACGTAACCAAACCAGATCTATATATCCACCACCATCAGCACCAGTGGCTGCCTATCCGCACAAATACATAATATATATACCAACCACCCAATCCAATCCCAGATCCAAGAAGACTTCTTCACAACCCGACACGACCCAAGCACAGGCCCAACAGGCAGCATCCTCCGGTACCTGTACTACCCATCGATCTTCTCACCAACAACAGCAGCCTACAAGCACGACAAGGACGTGCGAGCTGGCGCGCACTCCGACTACGGCAGCATAACTCTTCTGTTCCAGCGGCCGGGCCAGCCAGGGCTAGAGATCCTGACTCCGGAAGGCAGCTGGGCGCCCGTGCCCATTGTGCCCGGCACAGCAGCCGAGGCGGAGGGGTATCCGTTCCCGCCTATCTTGGTGAATATCGGCGACTTGCTGAGTTATTGGACGGATGGGCTGCTGA